CCCTTGCCGTAGAATGTCATCAGCGCGGCCAGACAAGAAACTTGACATATGAACAGCTCGAAACGCAGGTCCAGATGGTGGCCGCTCGTCTTGCGGCTGCTGGCATCGAGCAGAGAACACGGATTGCGCTGTTCTTGGACAAGTCTCTCGAGCTTGTTGTGTCCATATTTGCCGCCCACTGTTTAGATTGTGCATACGTCCCATTGGATATCGAGAGTCCGGCAGCGAGTATCGCCACTCTCATCGAGAAAATCGGGCCCTCCGCTATCATCACAACACCAGCTCTGCGAGCCAGCTTGCCAAAAAACCCGGTTCCTGTCTTCACAACGGACACCCTCTTCTGCCCTCAAAAATCTGCTCTCTTCTCTCGCCGACGTCAGAACGCTGGACTTGACGATCTTGCGGCTGTTTTGTTCACAAGTGGCACCACAGGAACGCCCAAAGGTGTCTCCATGCCTCATCGTCAGGTTGTCGGATACGGCATTATGATGGCCCAGGCACTCGGATACACAACAACAGATCGAATTTTCTGGTTTGCAAGACCAGTGTTTGATGTTTCTCAGAGCGATCTTTTCGGCTCCGTATTTGCTGGAGCAACTCTCGTTATCACGCCGCATGTCGACGCCATGGCCCGCCTCGCCCCGTTGCTTGCCAAACTGCGGATTACTTCAACTAGTGTCACTCCATCAATCGCCTCGCTACTCCGACCGCAGAATTTGCCACTCATTCGTTCGCTATTTCTCGCTGGCGAGATGGCCTCACAAGAGGTCATCCGGCGCTGGTCGGCGACGGTTCGTGTCATTAACGGCTATGGGCCCACCGAAGGCGTTGTGGTCGCGTGGAAGCATATGAAGCCCGACACCAGTCCGCACTGCATTGGACGCCCGTCAATTGGTATGAATGTTTTTGTGTTGGATGCACAAATGCGTCAAGTTCCCATTGGTGTGCGCGGCACAATCTGGATTGCGGGACGGCAATTGTCCCAGGGATACTTTGGTCAGCCCGGCGCGACAGACCAAGTCTTCCGATCCAATCTATTCGGGCATGGACTAATGTACAACACCGGTAAGAACTATTTCCTCATGCTGCTTCGTGAGTTAGTCAAGCTACTTCGTGGCTAGTTCAAAAAAAGGTGGCTAACGAACTTTTCTTGTACGCGCGCAGGTGACATTGGCGTCTGGAGTCATGATGGCGAATTACTCTATCTCTCTCGGGAGGACCGCCAGGTCAAAATTAATGGACGACGCGTAGAGTTGGCTGAGATCGAAAGTGCCCTCTCCAATGATAGCGTTCAAGTGGCCGTTTTGCTTCTCAATAAATTAGGGGGTTGGAAAGAGTTGGTCGCCTTCTTCGCGCAAGAAGAGGAATCTCAAAAAGATCATTCTGTCGTGGCGGCAGAGCTGTCAGCGCAAGCTAACCGTCATCTACCGCCTCACATGGTGCCTCAGCGCTTTATCTTCGTCCCTCACCTGCCATTGAACGGCAATGCTAAGGTTGATACAAAAAGCCTCGAACAAGCTTACCTGGATGGATCTCTGCCAAATATCAACGCCAGAACCACAAAGATGTCCCGCGCAAACGAGGGCTCAAGTTGCTCAGCAATCACCCTGACAGATGAGGAGCTAGATAGGCGTCTTTCTGAAGCGTTGATTCATTTCCCTCCCGCGCTGAGCGCCGAAAACAAAACGTCAGTAGAGGCATCCGAGCGACCCAACATGTTTCTCTTCTTCGCTGTGACAGGCACGTCAGTCCAATACCGCTTGCTAGCACAGCGTCTGTCCACCTACCAGGTCGTCGGCGTGGATCATCTCCGCACGAACCAGCCTGAAGCATATCCGTCCATTACCAGTATGGCGGCCGACCTCGCGGCAATTCTGCGCCGACAACAACCACGGGGCCCGTACACTCTGGGTGGCTTCTCATTTGGAGGGCTTGTCGCCTGGGCTGTCGCACAATATCTCGAGGAGCAACATGGCGAGACCATCCGTCTGGTTTTGATTGATAGCGAAGCCCTTGTACAAGCGCCAATCCCACCTCAAGCCAGCGCGCAGGACTCTCAATCGGTGGCCACGGCACAAGAAACGCGTGAGAGGATGTACGAGCGGCTCTTTGACATTCCCAGTCGTAAAATTGCGGACCCCATTACCACGCCGGAGCTTGCTGAGTTTCGGGACATGCTGCTCACCCAGGCGCACCACAATCTTGCCATTCATGACGTCTTTCGGCCAGAAGTGCTACACGCGCCTATTTTGTTGATTCGTCGCTGCATGAAGAAAGATAATAATCCAGAAGAAGTGAACGATGGTGGCGATTCTTCTCGCCATCAAAGCGCATGTCAAGGAACAAATGGATTCGCCGAGTTTGCCGCGGGCCGTCTTGATGTCCGCTGTGTGCCTAGCTCAGATCATTATACAATGTTGAAGGACGAACGATGCTTGCGGGCGATCAGCAAGATACTAGAGGATGATTGTCTCGTGTTTACCGGCATTATGAGCAATAGTTGGCTACCATTAGCATCAGCACACTAGGTGATCAATATTGAATGAGAAAGGAACTCTGTTATCCGTTCATCAGTGTACGACTAGTTACACGACTATGGCGGCCGATAATAGCCACTTTTCGAAATACGATTTTCTACAACTCTTTCAAAAGTATCTATCCCCTGCAACCTGGGTAGTTGCCATGAAGATAAATAGCGCAGGGGCGTGACGCTGATAATTGTCGGAAGGGGGTTGAAAGAAAGAGGGAGAAAGGTAGATTCAAAAAGCGGAACGTGCTGTGCCAAGCAGGGATTTATAGGCTAGGCCGACAGTAAAATTGGTACTTGAAGCGTATCTCCCTCAACTTTTTGGTGTTTACAGTCCCTACCAACAAGTATTTGAACAACCCCCCCCTCTCCCCACCCACCTCCACCGCCCTACCCCTACCGCCCTACCCCTACCGCCTACTAAATCAAAAATGGCTAGCCAATCTGAACATCCAAAATAAATAAACAGCTCTATAAAAATAAACAGAACGCGTAGGGAATAGGGAGTAAGAAATAGGGGGTAGGATGGCACTGCTAGAGTCTCCGACCCCCCTTATAGACCGCCTTTTATTCTGCCGCTTTTTCTGCCAGACATAGATTCTATGAATTTCCGACTGGAGCCCACCAGCTAGGTGTAGGAGCAGTCCTAATGGGAGGTATAGCTATAGGAAGAGAAATAATATAACTACGCGACGCGCTTTTCAAGCGCGTTATTTTAGTAGGTTTTAGTAAGTTTTAGCCTGCCAGATATAGCAGGAGGTATAGACGAGATGGAAGGGCGGTGTATAGGGGGGTCGGAGACTTTAGTGCCACTGTATTCTCGGGTATCCCATCCCCTATTTCCTACCCCTAGCATATATCCCACATTATGCCTACCGCAGGTAAAGAGCTCTCGCCGTCAGTACGGTCACGCATTTGCAGCCTTCGGAACGACGCAAAATGGTCATATAATCGCATTCATAGCCAGTTTCCCTCTATATCTCGCTCTACAATTATTTATACCTGCAAAAATGAGGCTATTCGCGGTCAGCAGAACTACTCAGCTCAACGCTCTGGTCGGCCTCGCAATTTAAGCACTTTTGATCGTGATTTAATATACGATGCTATCCAAAACAACCCTAGTATCAAATATGATGCTTTGCTTAACCTCGTCGACTATAAAATTAGTCGTGAGACGCTCCGGAAGCTATTAAAAGATTTTGGTCTACGAAAATAGCGCAAGATCAAACAACCTCAGTTAACTGAGCACGACGCACGCCTACGCATGAGGATTGGTCAAGGGTCTATTGGTCGGACGACACTTCTATTGAGCGAGGTTTAGGGGAAAACGCAGAGTGGATATTTACAAAACCAAATTATTAGGCCCAAGAGGGCGAGGTCAAGCCTATACCGCTTAGAAAACAGCTTCGATAGATGTTTTAGGCTTCTTTTTTAGACGATCCACGTCGAATAGCTCTAATTCCTTTATTCAGATATCCTGCTTTACCTTGAGGCGGCGTGAATAGCACCAGAATCCTTGAGGCCTATCAATAATAGCTACCGACATTAATAAATAACCGATCTGAGGCTATTTTTATACACGACGGCGCTCGCGTATATATCGCGCGTCAAGTACGCTATTAGCTAAAAGAACAAGGGTTTATAGTCATGAATTGGCCAGCATATTCGCTAGATTTGAACCCTATAGAGAATCTATAGGCGTTGCTAAAAGATAGGCTATTAAAGATGTTCCCCGAGATTTATGATATGCCTAATACTGAGGGAACACGCGGGTTTTTAATTAATGTAGCACAAACGGCATGGTCATGTATAGACACCGAGATCCTATGGCATCTTGCCTATCTTCTATTCGCCCACTCATTCATCGATCCTCAGTCAGTCACAGGAGCAGGCCGTCGGGTTCAGGCGTCCAAGTGTCGAGACCAAGAGGATCGCTGCTCCCGGTGAAGCTCTCCTTGCTTTCATTCGATGATATTGATGATCGTCATCGCCTGGCGCCTCGATTTGAAGCTGGGAAGTGGCCCTAATGATAGTTATGCTTCCGAGATATACATCTGTTTCAAATGTTTGGATATAGAATGGAGTCTACAGCCTCGAATAAACGACGTTGAATTCCGAGAACACTAGAAAGTCTGGGTTCGACCGATGTAAGATGCAAGCAATAGAACACCCCCAACTTGTCCCCAAACTGCAGGATACTGTTTGTTCTTCATATTTTGTGTTTTTATCCGAGTCGTGTATAATGCACGTCGCCTTGGTTCCGTGCATTCCGATTAAATGCGGGGTCATCGTCTCACAATACCACATTGTCCATGCATACGACGCTAATTGTGCATAAGACAAGGCCGGTGGCCTTACGCGTGATCTTACGGTGACGAAACACACCGTTATGACTATTGAAATAGATTTGGCTATTCTGGCTTCCCCGAAAGACTGACGGTTTCTGAATACAGGCCGACAGCACGTTTTCAAGATGGCGCTTTTGAATTCCAGCTCAGAGACTTTTGGCGTAACATCTTTGTTCTATCTAGGGGTGATTGCTGTATGTGTGGCTTGCTTTGGGCGCTGACTAGTTCACTGACATATACTCAGCCGGCGGCTTACCTGTTGTGGACCGTTGTTTACAACCTCTATTTCAGCCCACTATCGAAATATCCAGGACCGAGATTGGCAGCCTGCGCCAACCTCCAAAACCTGTACTGGACATCGACAGGACAATACCATTACAAGATCAAAGAACTGCATGACAAATATGGAGACGTCGTTCGAACCGGCCCCCAAGTACTCGTCTACCGCAGTCCGCAAGCATGGAAAGATATCTACGGCCACCGAAAATCTGGAGCCGGCTCATTCTTGAAAGACCCCAGATTCTACCTCGGAGGACCGAGTGGACCGAGTATTCTAAACTCCAACGATGCAGACCACTCGCGATCGCGAAGACTTCTCTCGCATGCGTTTTCCGAGAAAGCTCTCCGAGACCAAGAATCTTTGATCCAGTCCTATGTCGACATGCTCATCGAGCGACTAAACGGAGAGGTGTCCGCGTCGCGCGAAACGGTGGACATGTCTCAATGGTTCAATTTCACCACCTTCGACATAATCGGCGACCTAGCCTTCGGCGAGCCTTTCGACTGTCTGCGAGAAAGCCAATACCATCCATGGGTCCAAATGGTCTTCGTAAGCGCCAAGGTAATGGTCTTACAGCGACCGCTAGCCGTATATCCATTCCTGGCTCCGATCGTCAGAAGGCTGCTGCCGAAACGACTAGCGAAGATGCGAGACGAGCATTTTGCCTTGACAAATGAGAAGGTCCATCGCAGATTGGAAACCAAAACCGACCGGCCGGATTTCATGACATACATCCTACGATTTAGCGACGACCGGGCTATGAGTATCCGTGAGATGGAAGCTAATGCGGCGTTGTTGATTCTGGCTGGGAGTGAGACTACGGCTAGTTTGCTCTCTGGATTTACTTTCTATACTCTCATGAATCCCTCGGTTCATAAGAAACTGGTGGATGAGATTCGAGGGGCGTTTGGGACTTATGATGAGATTGATTTCCAGAGGGTGAGCCAGCTGCCTTATTTGAATGCTGCGCTTGAGGAGAGTTTGCGAGTTTATCCGCCTGTTCCGGCTGTCATTCCACGGATCGTTCCGGAGGGAGGTGCTGTGATCGATGGGCACTTTGTTCCAGAAGGAGTATGTAACTCTGTTACTCGTGATGGTTGATGTGGACTGACCTGCGCAGGTTTCCGTCTCGGGGGCTCATTATTCGACTTACCACGCCGAGTCCCTGTTCGCCGAAGCGGAGTCTTTTATCCCTGAGAGATGGCTGGATAGCAGAGACAAGCGCTTCGAGTCGGACTGTCGGACGGCACTTCAGGCATTCTCGCTTGGACCTCGGAACTGTCTTGGGAGAAAGTCAGTATTTATCTTCAAATACCGGATATTGAGCTAACTATTGTGTCTTCGCAGCCTTGCATATGCGGAAATGAGGCTCATTGCAGCCAAGTTCTTGTGGAGCTTTGACATGACCCTGGATGAGAGCTCCGCTAACTGGAATATCCAGAGAGCCTACAATATCTTGGAGAGAAAGCCACTGATGGTGAAATTGTCGCAGGCACAACACTAATAAGGAGGATTCAGAGACTAGTCAAGTGTTCTCAAGTTGAAATCAAATTCAATGCAGGAGGATCCGTAAAATCAATATTGTACAGGCATATGTATGGATAATCAATACCATTTTATAAATGCCATGTGCTAAGCCAACTCCAATCCACCTCCAACGCCAGACGAGTATCCGACTCAATACCCGTAAAGAAGAATGGCCCGAATCGGCCCGGCCGAGTAGTAGCACATATCATGCAAACCATGAAACATAAAACCATAGACTCCATTTCCTACATCAAATACCTAGAATACGTCCAACGCTCCATGGGGTACAGGATCGGAAGCCACGAGCCAGCGTCAACGCTAACCACCCCTTTCACCGAATTCTCGAGCCCACTCTTCATACCTGCGGAGCCCGTCAGGTGACACGCTGGGTCGGATAGAGTATAAGCTTGCTTCGAAGTCTTTGAAGATGATGGGCCGGATCTGGTCCATTGGGGTGTGGAGTAGTGCTTCGCCGAGGTTGCGGAGAGGGCCCATGGCGGCGTCTTTGGCTAGGGCTGTTATGTCTGAGCCGGAAAAGCCTGTGATTGTTAGCAATGGTCATTCTCATATATAGAGGGGGTAGAGTTTTACCTTCTGTGACATGGACCAGGACCTGGATATCAGCATCGCTCAGTGTCTGGTGCTGATGGCTGAGAAGCCTGCGTATCTGCTGCTCGCGAACATGTTGCTCCGGTAAGGGGATGTACTGCCTCCGAACGAAACGACGACGCGCAGCCTCGTCGATATCCCAAGGCAAATTGGTGGCCGCCAAAACGAGCACGCGACCCGCATCTCCTTCCTTCTTGTCCCTTGCGGTCGGTTCCCGACCGGCGGCGGCACGCTGGAGATCAGACCACTGGACCAGGAATTCAGTCTTTGACCGCCGCGAAGCTTCGTGCTCGGTGCCAGAGGACCGTGCAGACAGAAGAGAGTCGATCTCATCGACGAAGATGATCGAAGGGGCGAGGACTTTGGCGAGTCCAAATAGGGCACGCACGAGCTTCTCGCTCTCACCGTGCCATTTTGATGTGAGGCTCGAGGCAGACACCGAGAAGAATGTGGATTTGGATTCCGTGGCTACTGCTCGTGCAAGCATGGTTTTACCAGTACCGGGCGGACCGAAGAGCAACATACCACGTGCTGGTTCACGAAGGCCTGAGAAGAGATCCGGGCGAAGGAATGGGTACACCACTGCTTCTTTGAGAGCCTTCTTGGCTCCTTCCAGCCCGGCGATGTCGTCCCAGTGTACTTCATCGCCACGCACGACGATATCGTTTAGGATCTGTCGAGCTGATTGGAGGTCCACGCCCTTGGGCAGTTTGTTCAAGATATTGACGATATCGTTGTTATCCCCTTCTTCATCCTCATCCCCGGCTTCGTCTTCAGACCGCTGTCCCGAAGAGTCTTGATCGCTCGATGGCGGTGTCTCGTGACGTTTGGGTGGAGCCGCTTTGCGTCGAACAGCGCCGCCGTTCACGCCAGAAACGGACATGCGGTCAACTCCACGCTGAATGTCATCACTCGATGATGGTGATATATAGGATGACGGCTCGGTTTTATTGATGCGTGGCGCGGATTTGGTCCGCGGCTTATTACTCGACACTTTCGTCTCGCGATCCTGTCGCGGTGTCGTCGGCCGAGAACTGCCCTCGGACTTGACCTGTGTCACGCGAGGCGGAGGTGGGAGTGTAGATCGTAACCCTACGGGTTTGGGTTTGACAGATGGCTTAGGTGGATAGGTAGGCGTGAAATCCTGTGGGTCTGGCATGTGCAGCTTGACTGACGGAGGAGGCTTGCGACTCTCATGCGAGGCCTGCGGCGGGCGCAGAACCGGCGCTTGGGTCACCGGGCGAGGAGATGATCGAGCCGGCGATGAGTGATGAGGCTCTCGCCAATTTGCAGAAGGAATCCGATCTGTCGATGGGTTCTTTTGTGGAGACCGCCGGACAAAGACAGGCTCTTCGCTAGAACTCGATTTCGGCTCCACATCACGCCGGATGCTAGGGTCGTGGGCCGCGGTCGATCGGGAAGAAGCCAGCGCCGCATCGCTCGCGATCTTCTCGTTCGTCGACGAAGACCGGTAAAGATTGCCCCATGCCAAACCCGCAGCTTTGGAAGCGGCCGGCCGCGAGTCCTTCTTGGAACTGATCTTGCTTTTCTTGCCATTCTTCTTTCCGTCGGTGTTGCGTAATGTCGTCAGCATTCCCTTCCGTCGCTCAGGACTAGATCCACGGGATTTGGTCTTGCCCGAAGAATTGGACTCCACGCGCAGTGCGGGTGCGGCGCTCAGCGACGGGCCCGGAGCCGCAAAGTCGTCGTACAGCGCCGGTGAGTCGGTATTCTGTCGCGCCATCGGTGGCGGTTGTGGTCGCCCCGGTATAGCGGCCGGTTTGGAGAGATCTGTGTAGCCGACGGCGGGGATAGTGCCGTCTCCGATCCAGCCGGGGGGTTTTTGAAGAGGAAGGAGAAGGTGCGTAGTTAGAAGATTTACCCTTGGTGAGTGTCGCAGAGCCTTCTTTGGCGCCGTTGGCTTCAGCGGACTCTTTTCGGCTCTCGCGCAGGGCTCCTAGAAGATCGACTCGCTCGCGGCATTGAATCTCCAGCGCACGGATGGAATCCTGCAGGGCCTTCTCGGTTTCGGACTTGGGAGTGTAGGTCGACGAGACCCGGCGGGCATTATGGTGATAGATAGTATCGAGGGCGGATCGCCAGGACCTCAATGCTTCGTCCTCGTTGTTCTGATGTCATGAGCAATTGAAGCCGACCGAGGCAGCGGCAGAACTGGGGAACATACCTGGCCTTCAAAGTAGACGGCAGTAGAGCACAAGAGATAGCACTCATCATAGGTCTTCTGCATGGAAGACGCAGGCCGTGGGCGCATCATTGGGGAAAGTACAAGCCCGCACCCATCTGTAGTTTGTTGGTGGGGGAGAGGATGGGAGCGATGATCTCCCGTTTGAGGGATTTTTCGCGTGACGTCGTCTGTCCGCCCGTTACTGCATGCGGACTCTATACTCTTCAAGCCCTACATTTGTATTGTGAATGCTCGGATATCGTCTCTAGATTCCTCGTGGTGGCACGTCTATGGGTACATGCAAAGAAATAAAAATAAAACAGAAAAATAAAACATGTATCGATGCAACGGAGAGACCCAGCCGCACAAGAAATCAAACCCCGAGGATCCAGGTTCCAACGCCGGTAACGATATAGGACACATCGGACAGGAGGAGCGTCAAGAAGAGAAAAACAAGTCCATCTCCAAGCCGGCAGTGCCATTCCCAAATCTCCTTTCGTTCCGAACTATACATTGCTATCGCTTTTGGAGAACAGAAGTCCCAAACATGCAGAAAGATCGAAACCCGGGCTCACGTGGCCCATGATGCACCTTCATATGAGGGTTGATCGGGCGCTGCCCGTCCCTCAAGACCCATATCGCCTCAAGAGATCACAGAAACAAAAAGAAAGGCATTACGTGGACCTCGACGTAATGCGGTATATTGAACAAGTGGAACAGCATTATCGGGATCGGTAGATGGCAGTCAAATCGGCAAATGGTGATCGCGTGACAAGGTGTATTTTTTCTTATTTTTCGCTTTGTTGCTTGAAGTAAGCCTTGGCCATCTCATAAGATGTCCTATAATAACGTTAGCGACCTGAAAGTCCTGAATCTCAGGGGGAAAGACAGAACATACCAGCAAATGGCCGTGGACGGCATGGTCGAGATAATCCGAGGGCGCATGCCTCGGAGGAAACCAGACCAGCCGAACTGACGCTTAATGATGGCAGCGGCATTGAAGAGACCGCGCGCAGAGCGGATCTCCTCGCTCTCGGCGAGGCCACGGGTTTGGAGGAGGGTCTTCACGACGTCCAGGGGTGTGGTGAGACCGGCGGCGAAGGCACCGGCGAGACCGCCGGCCATGCAGTGGGTGAAGGGGTCGTATTGCTGGGAGGGGTTCATAACCTTGGAGATGGACTCGTAGGCGACAAACTGGGTGGCAGTGAAGGGGACGGTCATGCAGAGGGTGGTGGGGTAGGAGACGTAGAAGGCCTGGAGACCCTCGGTGCGGTAGAGGGTTTTGGCGCATTGCATCAGGGTCTTGTGAACTGAACCATGAACCTGCATACGCTGCTTGATAACTATTATGGGTCAGCGGCGTCAAACCTCTTGTTGTTCTTAAGAGACACCTACCATCGAATGGGTTCATCAGCGCATCGCTCGCGATCGTGGCCGAGGCACCGCTCATAGCTGCATTATGAGTCAGTCATGTATACATTCCCTCGAGGTTTCAAAACCTACCAGCTGCCAATGGGTGGTGTCCATCATCGACATTGCCGCCAGCCATGTCCTTCACGATCTCATACGTTCCAAAATACACCGCGTGTGCCGGACCTGTCGCAGGATCAGTCGTCCGTCCCAATTATCCCATCTCGACTCTGGAAACTCACCAGCGCCAACAATCACACTAGAAACACCCTTCCATAGTGTCCGCCAGCCTTCAATCCGATAAATTGTGGAGACCGCATTGGTGAGGCCGGTGTACAGGCCGCCGGTTGAAGGGTTCAGGATTTGCATGCGAGTCTAGATGTTGAGAAACTCCGTCAGTCCAATCCGCCCCACGAGAATGATATGATGAGATCCAGACGCAAAAACTTACCTTGAGCAAATCAACCGGGTACATCACGGAGTGTTCCTTGAATCCGACCATCAGCCATGTCTCTCCTACCAAGTCAATGTCGGTGACATACCGCTATCCCTGCAAAAGCGCCCGCAAGCATATTTCGGCCTAAGCCATAGTTGGAAGGGAGAGCTTCGTAGCTGTTGGAAGAAACATCACGTTAGCATGTACGGCACACCGGAGTCACTCGGCCCAGGGCAAAAAACGCCATGGGGAGCGGAGATGGCCCAAATGCACCAGCAGAAGGCAAAGACACGCCCGCAGGAGCCTCAATCGCTCCGCAAGTGAATGGAACCGCCCTATCCCGCGCGGCGATGGAGGTCGCGTTGCCCGCTCAACGAAAATTCAAGCGCGGAGAGTCACCTACTCATATTCCTGCTCCGGGAGATGCTCGGTAGCAGCCATGGGAGCTCCGCTAGCTCGAGGCGCAGCGGGCGCAATTCGAGAAAAAATGGACAGAGAGGTTGGGGTGATGATGATGTCGTGGTGTCGTGACCGAGGTGCGCAGGATGGAAGGCTTATGGGTGCTAAGGTAACGGGGGTCGTGGAGCCAACGCCAAACAGACACAAATACGCCCGGATTGAACAGGGGGAGAAGTTGCTGTTGTTCAAGGATGAGGTTTCCCAAGTTGACCAACGGACTTCAACTTAAGGGATACTTGGTCAAATTTTTTTTTCGGACGCCCGGGGAAGGAGAAGATGGGGAATGGAATAGTGACCACTAGGGAAATTATTCAAGGCCGACCGACCTTCGCCGGATTCCACAATCTCCGGCCCTAAGCAATCCGAGCTCCGAGCGGTATATCATGCTATAGTAGTCTACTCCATTACGTTAATTATATTCTACTCGGGTTTCACAAACCCTCGTCTATTTTTCCACGGCACTACTCAGACAATAGGTCCAGAACTCCATCTCAACCAACTTCATCGACCCCCGAAGATCCGATGACGGAGCTTAGGTAACCCGTATTGTACCGGCTCTCCGAACTACACTAAGGCAAGTTAGGTATAGGACGGGCCCAATACCGGTAACTTTTATCAATCTGATAAGCGTTTAATTTATTGCACCCCTTCCATCGGGATTTAGCTTGTGAGAGAAGGGGTAGGGGTGGAGCAGGCATCCGGCGAACGGTATAAGGCTCCCAAGCTGTCGAGAAAGCCATTCATCGGCCAACTGACTCTACCTTTCCATGATCGGAGGTGGTCATAATACAAATCCTTTACTCCTTTCCCCTACAGTAGTCCATAGATTCCTTCAAAGGTACCCTATAAGGGGGGGGGGATTGGACATCCTTGAATACGAGATCCCCTACGATTTGGGCGCCGCCCGAACACGCGACTCTGGGGGCCAGGCTACCGAGAACCGGGTGGACATCAACCCGTGTGGACTAAACCATTCGTGTCGCCGCCGTACGTAAAAGGCTGCCAATAATCTCTGATGTGTCCACGCGACCCTAGTTTCCCGTAAGGGAGCAGCAGAAATTTTACCTAGAAGTCTTACTATGCATAGCGCCGCTTTAGGGGATACCGTAAGGAGCCACTCCTAAATGGGTCACCGGGTAAATAGAGGATTTTCCAGAACAAAATGAAGAACAAAATGAATGAGGAGTAAAGAAATCGCTATGAATATGATTGTAAAGAGCACTGCTATCTGGCCATGGTAGTCCCAACAAATGATCACAACACCTTCTGCGCCACAGCCTCGGAAAATGGAAATGGGTAAGATCAAACATAGTAGAGTTCCAGGTGCATCCGGTTCGTTTTGACCGGAGAGGAATATAAAACACAGTTACTTCAGAGTCCACCGATGAAGGAAAGAGGGAGATGGAGGATCGGGCGGTAACTTGTTGGAGGTTCGTTCACGTCGTCAAGATCTCATCGGCAGTCGTCCGTAGGTGGTCGAGGTATGGCTTTTACCACTCGACATTAAACGCCCATTCTCCTGCAGTCTGGATTAGCATTTCTGAAAAAAAAAAAAAAAAAAACTTGAATGTATCGACTTACCATTCTTCAGGTTTTCTGCGGTGTCGCTCAACAGAATAACTCGGCGCTTGTTACAGTAGGCCGTCTTGTCCAGAATATCGACCTTCAACTTGGCCAGCTCTGGCACGGGCTTTTCGAACATCTCACTGAGACTCTCGACGGCCATTTCCAGATCCTTTTGGTTGTCCTCGAAGATCTCGGTGAGGTTGTTGCGCGCCAAGTAAAATGCAAATGCATACGTCCACTTCAAAGTCTGTCGGCACTGTTGCAGTGCCTGTGAGGCAGTGTCTAAGAACTGAACTTCGATCCAAGACAGGCCCGATTGTGACTGAAGGCTGGTCATCTTCTTCTCGGTCTTGAGATATAGATCCTTGTCCAGTTTAGCAGACTGCTCGTGATTTGCATAACGATTATAGTAATGCAGGTAGCGTTCCAAAGACGCCCGAGACTTGGCCTGGGCAGAGCGTGCGTCTGAGCCAGACTTTTCCTCGTACCGGTTGCAGTTATACCAGCTGGTACCGTGCTCCGACCACAAGCCCATGCACATCCAGCAGAACTCATGCTTGCACTTGCGGCAGGTCATGTGGTTGCAACCGCCGTTCTTCTCGATCGTCGACATGCACCTGGGGCACTCCTTGGTGTTGGCGGATATCCAGTTGGCCGTCTCGGAGTCATCCTCACACTTCTTCAACCACATCTTCACCAGTGTGCAGGGAGTAGGTTGATGGTCGTTGAGGGAGCAGCCGAAACAGAACTCATGTTTGCAAATACAGTTCACCGTTGGTACAATGCGGCGGAGGTCGCGGGCTTTGACCGCACAGTCGACAGCATATTCGCAGTTGGGTGCCGGGCACCAACGGAGGTTGTCCTTATCATCCACATACGTCCTTGTGAGGAGAGTACGGTACCTAAAGCAAGCGTAAATGTCAGTCATCATCTTTCGCTTAATGATAAAGAGGAGGGAGATGGTTGGCATACCGTTCCTGCAAGGCGTTGTTGTCCGCCAAAAGTAGTTCCAGGGACTTGGAATCCACGATGCGGTGACAATTATCGCCTGGACATTCAATACGAGCGGCTTCACCCTCCTCCTTGATCTTTTGCGCCAGGTAGTGTCGGTAGCAGTCGACACAGAACCGATGACCGCATCGCATCGCAAACGTCTCGAGGTCGGGCCCTTCCTCGCAGCATATCTCACACATGAAGTCCGCCACCTTCTCGGTCTTCGCAAGGCCCTCGAAATTTGTCCCAAGCCCTGCATCTTCTAATGTCTCCTCCGGGTGTTCCATATACCCCTCGATAAGTTTCTCCTGCTTCCACCGACCGAACCGTAACAGGATCGCCGCCGACTCTGGGGGAAGGCCAAGGATTGCGGAAACATCGTCTACCTGGACATCCTGCTCACGCTGAATGTCCAAGGGGTTTAAAACCTTGAATTCAACTTCGTATGGTTTTCGTTTTTGCTTGATGAGGTCTTTATCATCGGAAAAGCCGGTATCGAGATCATCACCGAAATCTGTTCGTGGGAAGCAAGGTCAACAGGAGGACGTCATCATCGGAAGAGCAATACATACCATCCCCTAAACTCTCATCATCGCTGTTCTGGGTGTCGAGGAAGTCACCGGCACTCGACACGTCGCTCAGGAAGTCGTCGTCGGAATCCATGCTGCCCGTGGTTGTCGCGGGAGTCACGAGATCCCGCTTTTCCTGCTTGGAACTAGGGGTATGCTTCCCGGGAACGATGAAGAGAGATGAGGCCGTGAGAGAGTCGGGTTTGCTAAGCGGATCGGAGGTAGTGGCGCTTGGAGCGTGGGTAGCCTTGGTGGCGGCTTTGGGGGGAGGCTGGTCGTCCGCAATCGCCGCCTCAGCCGCCTTTCTCTTCCGTGTAGAGGGAGGCGTGGTGAAAAGGGGGTGCGGCAGAGTGCCGGCGATGGGAATTAGAAATCGATGGGAGGAATCGGAAGACTGCGTCACTTGGAAAACGGAGCGCGGACAAGTAGTGGTCGGAGAGGGGGGCGAGAGTGGGGAAGGGGCTGCGATCAGGCGGATCCGTTCACTCTATACGCTCGCAGCTATCTTTCAGGCGCCTCAAATTGGAGTCACAAGGGAACTAGGAAAACAAAAATGAATGACCTCTGCCTGACGGGCGTTTTGACTCACGCGATGATTCACGGTGGAGCTGTGCCAGTTTCAGGGTGCTAGTGTTAGTGCCAGGTTTGAGGTGACGTGCAGATGGGACCAGGATAGGGTCTCAAGTTGGCAGCGCCGTATAAATTACATTTAAGACAACCTCACATGAAGCTGAATAATTGGATCGAAGGTGATTTTCTCTCCAGCTTGGGTAGGTTTGCCTCTTCCGGAGCTTCCTAGGAACATCCATGGATCTCGCCAGGACCATCCTAGGTAGCATGTCTGCCTGATAGCCTATAGAACACGATAGAATATGGAATTGACACGGCCAATATATACGGAACCTACATTCAAGGCGACCTGTCATGGACACTAAAGTCTCAAATGAGTGTCGTGGAATGTGTTTTGAGCAAAATGCACCTAGTGTGATGCATCCCTTCGAACTTGTAGCTGGTGAGCCCAGCGAAGCTAGTATCCTGGTCCTTATAACATCATGTCAGATGGAAATAGATACTACAAAAAAAATAATAGCAAAATGCACCCAGTCTCAGATAGACTCAGTTCTGAGATGGGCCAAAGAAAAACAAAAAAAGATGCGTCGACGCCCGGATTCGAACCGAGGAACCCGAAGGAAACGGCTCTCCTATGTGAGAGATCAAACCTTAGTGAACTAAGGCGTTGGAAGGCTCTAGCAGGCCGCCGCGGTAACCACTGCGCCACGTCGACCTTGGATGGTGGCAAAGTTCCAATTACTGATATGAGTATATTGATTAAGTATACCGAATCCTTCGTGTTACTAGGTCTTTCTATTCAGCTGCTATCTCTGATCTGCACCTGTGCTTTTTTTCTTTCATTTCTTTCTCATCTTTATGTAGAATGGGTCTGTCTATACTTTTTTCTTGCATCAGTCATCAAGACAATGTCTAGGGCGTCGCGGGGATGCGCTCGTCTACTAGATATATCCTCCCGAAATCGGATTGTTTATTTAGGATAACATTGGCTACTGAGTTCACAACTTAATCAGTTAAAAAATCTAGGTTGGCTGACGATGTAAGTCCCTGATTGCTTGCAAAATGCGATGTATGAAAATGCGTTAATTTTGGGTATGAAAGCGTCCCGAGGTCTTTTAAAGATATCAAGGTGTCCGAATGAATGGGAAATATGCCTCTACTCATCGTCCTCGTCACTGTCTTCCTCCTCACTGCTCTCCTCCTCGTCAGCATTCGCGAGCCAATCCACAAACTGCTGCGCCTGGCTACGAACGGTCTTCATCTCTTCACTTTCAGTAGACCGTTCATGATCCCACCATTGCTCGTACGCCTCCTCATCCACCAGCTCCAAGTCGTACAGCTCCTTCGCAGTAAAAAGCAGCACGGTATCACCCTTGTTGCGGTGCACCAGATCCTGCTGCAGCCGTAGCAAAAGATCTACCTGATCTCTCTTCTCAGCCTTGTTCCGATCGAATAGCGTGCGCTCCACGACTTCACGGTACTTGGAGAACACCTCGTGCACGGCATCGCCGGCACCCTTGCCACCTTCCATGAGCTGCTGGATGTATTTCATGAAGGAGGTTACGATTGCGCGCCGCACTTGCACATCCGAGGCGTTGGCTGTCATACGCAGACTGACTAGCTCCAATTGCACCACGTCTGCGGAGACGCCGTCGCGCAGACCGTCAAATAGACTAACTGATGCGTCGTGGTGGAAGTGGTCCTGTTCTTCCTCGTCGGAGAAACTGCTGCGTGCGGAGCGTTGCCATGATCCGTCGGATACTTCGGAAGATAGGGTTGAGATGGAGGCGGAGGAGAGCGAAAGTCCTGGCATGCGGTATACCAGTCCCGATGAGGCGACACTGGCATCGTCATCTTCCTCGTCATCATCCTCGCCCGGCACAAACTCGTAGCCCTCGCCTCCTTGACCGACCACCTTGGAGTCGGTGGGACCGGCAGTTCCATTCCGTCCCACCTTGGTGATGCGCTTTCCACTCTCAACCTCTACACCGTCTGCGATCTTTACATCGTGAGAGATAAGCGCACCGGGGGCGACAGTGCAGCCCTTGCCGATAACCACATTGTCAGCAATAATAGCCCCCGGGACGTCGGTGTTGTCTCCGATCACGACGCCGTCCCAGATGTATGCGCCGTCCAGCTTGACATTCCGGCCAATCTTGCAGTTCCGTCCTAAAACAGTGCTGTGGACTGTTGTTCGGTCACCGATACTGGTGCCTTTACCGATGACTGTGCGACGACCAATTACACATGACCGAGCCAGGGTCACGCCCTGTTCTTGGTACAAGCTGCCCTTGCGGAGATCGTAAGTGTGGCCCGGGAGCAAGTTCGTATCAGGACACAAGGGGTAGGTCCAGCGCGAAATAATATCCTTGCTAATGGCATCGTAAGCCTTCAGATTACGTACCCGGGCGGCGTAGTGGTCTTTGATGATATGTGTGTGAATGGTCTTGCCATTCAGCTCGTAGTCCTTTAGGACACCGAACAAGTAATGCTTCCGCGGTGACTGGTAGTCGAAACTATCGGACCACAAGCCCAGTACGTCGGGAGTGCAGATATCGATACTGCAGTCAATCAAATCTTGACGGATATCCAGCTCGGAGTGGGTGAGAATGATCTCCGTATCGATGTTCAACCGGGTCGGAGCATCGTCGTCATGGTGGTCAATCTCCTCGTAATGGAGACAGCGGTCCTTGGTCGGATCAATCACAAAGACTGGTGAAACTGAAGAGGACTTTGTGCGGTGGTTCGGGCCGGCTTCGCGCAGCACCATGGTCATGATCGCGTTCTTATCGGCCTCGCGGCGGGCTCGGTGTGTGGCCAGGGCGCCCTCAATGGGCAGGTTGCTGATTACATCGCCGCTTACGACGATGAAGTCGCCGGTGATAAGGTGCTTGCCGTCCAAGTCACGCATCACATCGCCGACCGAGGTAGAGGTGGATTTGAGGAATGTGAGTTTCTTGAAGGGCGAGGACAGGGCTCTCCATTTCGAAGCACTAGCGAAAAACAGTCAGCCTCTTTCTCTGGTTATGATCTGGTCAACGGTTTCTGGCGGCGTACTTGATGTATTTCTCTAGCTTGTCAGAGTGGGCGCCTCCGTAGAGAAAAACCTCCTCGACACCTGCATTGGCCAGAAACTCGAGGGTATATTCGATGAGGGGGGTGTTGGCCAGGGGAAGAAGACACTATCGTGATTAAAGTCGATTAGCACTTGCAATCTTCCCGTAACTCCCCTTCGGGTACATACCCGCGGCTTGTCGAGAGTAAAGGGCTCGAATCTCGTCTCGAAGGTATCCGCCAGAACCACTGCCTGCAGAGTCTCCTCTACCTCCTCAGCCTGGTTGCCCTTGGACTTCGAGCTTCCTTTTTGCTTGGCACCCATTGCTGGAAGATCCTTGGAGGCGTCAGTTGAAGTGTTCGCGCGAAAGGAGCTCTTTCGTAGGGTCGAGATGACAAAGTGTCCAGCTGGAGAAATATCAGGTGTATCATACCGGGAAAGTAAGGACCACAGAAATGGGATTGACCAAGTCTGTTCAATCGGCACAGCAACTGGTCCCAGGCTCGTTATCAAAGAAAGGCACAAAAACCCCCGCCAAGCCTCCGATGACTCCCACGGTGTTGCATTGTTTGCACTTCAGACAAAAAGATGCAAACAAAAGGTCACATCTCATGGCGTCACATGACTTTAGTGTTACGTGCCAGCCACGTGCTAGCCGCAGACGGTCCAGAACTCCCCTGAAGGTCTGGGCCCTCCTGGACTCCCTTAATTTGCTTGTTTAAAGAGACACGCGGTCTAGAATTCCCCCTGGGGCTCGCGCTGAGCACGATCTCGGGTTCGTCCGCACAAAACTTCGGGATTGCGGGTGTGTGGGAATTTTCTCCCGAGACTCGGCGGTTTGTCGTAAGAGCGACGCGTGTATAAAAGAGGAAAAATTGGATTTGATGACGAGTAACATCGTTGAAAACTATGCTTCCCTACATGCTTTGCCCCATTCTATCTAGGGAATTGCATGGAGCACCTAGCCTTGTTGATCAATAAATATGTGCGTAAATATGTACTTGACGAAACAACTTTCTCCCACGGGAATGTATAATGAAAGTCCCAGGTGCTCGGTTAAAACAAAATCGCCTCCCAAACCTGGAATGAAAGAGCCTGCAAAAACGCCAATGACTGTAAGGGGTGGAAAGACCGCAACCAAGACAAACATTCGGTCAACAAAGATGGAAAGCAATATACGATTGGAAACCTCGTTATAGACAGTGGGAATCGTGGAGTAATAGACAAGCGGAGAAGAGGGGAGGTTTCGAGTTTAGCCGGGCCGCCCAGCTTGGACCGCCATCATAGGTTGTGGCTGGGGATACATCCGTTGTCGTTTGGCCATGTTCGGGTTATCCGCGGCACCTGCCATGTCTGACATTTGCCGCCGATGAGGTGGGCGAGCTGGGCCTCCCGTTGAAGGGACGGCAACGGCGGGTGCTGGGAATTGAACGCCGTTCTGATCAACGGCGTATGCGGCCGGCGTGGCTGTTGCTGGAACATACTGTCCCGGGACCGCGGGCATTGTCGGTGGAACAGCCTGCATGCCCTGAAATTGACCAGGTGATTGCCAGTTGGTCATGGACCCGGCCGGAGACTGACCGGGGGAGCTGTCTTCCTTGATCGATTGGCTAGCTGATGTTTGGGCCATGGTGACCGCGGCTGCGGATGGCGGGGCCTCGATGCCTTGCTGCATGGTCTTGAGATGCACCAGATGCTTCTCGAGCATGTCGAGAAGACTCTTGCGAGTAAACGGCTTCGGAAGAACGTCATCCATGCCTGTCATAGATCAGTAAAGTCCTGGGATGAAAAAGTAAATTGGAACGTACCGTGTTGGAAGTACAGTTGGATATCGTCACTTCGAATATTGGAGGTCATGGCAATGATGGGAGTTCGGTCGAATTGGCGGATGAGATGACAGGCCGACACACCGTCCAAGTTCGGCATTATGATATCCATCAGGATCAGATCGTACTTGGAACCACCCTGAATCTTGTTCACTGCTTCCAAGCCATCAAACTAAAACACATTAGTTTCTGTCGCATCGACCAATCGTTGAATCCAAACGTACCGCTGTGTCAATAACACAATTGAACGAGTATAAAAATTTGCCGCCAATCTGTCGGCAGGTAGCATCGTCTTCGACCAACAAGATTTGCGGGCTACGCATCCAGCCGGGGTCAACATTGGAGGTCTTCTTCCGATTGTCCGGGTATTGTCGGCGCGCGTCAGGGGTCTCGACCTCTGTCTTGGTAGGCATGGGGTACGGCACATTGTTGACATGTTCGCTATACATGGGGTCGATGCCGTTGGTGGCACCCACGGGGTAGACCACCTGTTCCAAATCGCCACCCATTTTCTGGTAGACCAGCGCTGGGTTGGGAGGTACCGTTGTTGCCGGACGCACCGCCCCATTCCGAGCAGTCGGATCCATCGCAGGGGTGGCTACTGGCACAACCCCGGCCTTTTGAGGATCGTTGGGATCCACCCCCCGAGATTGAACTGGACCTCGGCGTTCATATCGTTCAAAAGTTTCGAGGCCTGCTGAAGAGGTGAAGAAGGCTCATCATCCACCGCACCAACCTGGGAGGGGCTTATGGTCGAGCCGGCCGGACCTTGGAAGGCAACAGCAGCCTTGCTGTCTCGCCGCTGGCGTGCGTCCGTCGAGAGCAAATGTTGCATCATCTGCTGGATCACATTCTCGTGGTTCAACACCGTCTTTTGCACCCTCATCATCTCCTGTAACATGAGCTGGTGGTCCACCGTGAGTTGCGCATAGCGGTCTGAGAGGTGCTGGATCTGCTGTTGCTGCGCGACAATCTGCTGGTTGAGCAAGTCGATCTGCTGGGTGGGAACAGACTCGTCGTTGCTCTGGGTCTGTTTGCGAGGCGCAGGAGCCTTTCGGCGGATGTTATCCAAGGACTCCTTGCTGTTTGCACGGAACTCGGGGTGTTTGAATTCCCAGGCCTGCGTGATTGATATTAGTCCTCCGAATCAGGAAATAGAGAGGACATGTCCGGAGTCCTACATTCTGTCCGTACGGCGACTGGCCGTTCTCCTCGTTATTTTGACGGACTTTGTGGAAATCGTATTTGTTCAGTTGGCGCACGAAACTGGCGAAGTTGCTATGCTTGAAATGCTTGGGCAGGATGGTCTTGGTGAACTTCTCGCACTAGATTTGTTGAGCCGAGTCAGCCAAAGTCGGTGCGACCGCACAGCGTCACGGGGCGCATTTACCTCGAGAACCACGAAGCTATCCCCTTCATCACCCCAGCGAACTATGGACGCGTAGGAGGGATCCTCCAACATTCTAGCACGACGGTTAACATTCAGAACGGGGCGGTCAGACGGCGGAGAGGGGCCACGGAGAGGTCGCGTTGAAAAAGTCGAGAGGGGCATTCAAAGGACTTACTTGTACAACTTGCGTACCTAGCCATCGTGTTAGCAATGCAGCGAAGACCTTGATCAACTTGGACGATCGACCGACTCACAAAATCGCTGGAGTTCCCAGCGGGGGGATTCGAGGAGGTCTGGCCAGCCTCCATGCCGGGCTAGACGGGTCGCGACCGGTCGAACGAGCAGGCTGGACCCGGGCGGGATAATCCAAGTCTCTTGGATCTAGATCGCCCACCAGAAGGAACAATGTAAAAAGGAAAAGGAAATATAAGGTCGAACGAGAGATGGGTTGGGAAGGGCAGAGGAGAGAGAAAGGGAATTGTCAACGGGGACGAACTTGGCGGTAGAGCCAAGTACCAAAGTTACTGCGCAGGTACTGCGCGGTACATCGCGGTACTCCAGAGCCTGGATTCTTCTTGCTCCCACCTTGGGACAATAAGGTCGTCAGGAATGATGCAAGGAGTTCCGTTGTTTCTATTTCTATTTTACCCTTCCTATAGCTGTCGGGGCCCTATAGGCCGGGTTCTCTTTCGGGTTGATCGAGGGGCACGTTTCTTTGAGTGCTAACTTTCGGTACGCCTGCTCCGAGCAGCAAAAACTTCCCCTCGAATGTACGCAATCGTACTCCGTCAGTGCGCACGAGGTGGAGGGGGGGCTGCGTCTCTTTACCTATGAGCTGGTGGGCACACCCCCATCGATCCCAATACTACTTCCGCGGGAGGGAAAAAATGTGCAGGTGCCAAATTGACCGTTGGAGATGAAGGGGGACTCCGGGCCTTTGAGACCCTTGGAAATCGCGTCCGGTGGATCCCTGTCTTTGGTTCCCACACGCGTTCGTGCGGATGAACTGATGAGTTGGCAGGTGGGCCGTATCACGGTTCAAGTGTATTATTAGTTAGGAGATTAAATTTGATTTCATAATGATCGTTTCATCAGCCATAGAGCTACCGCCACCGTGACGCCTTTGTGCAAGGTCTTCGGTTCCTCCGATTCGGGCCGACTGCGCATAGGTCCGGGATACTTGGGACTTCAGCATGCTAGCTACATAGCTAAGAACATTTATTGAGGGGGTGTAGACAAAATGATAATGAAAATCCGCCGTTGTGTCCCGCGAAGAATGATCGTCCGGTTGCCGAGCCCCGACAGCCCTGGAGCCATGACGAAATCCCGGGGAGCTCCATGACAACCTGTCTTCCCACTTCCCCTTCCCCTTCCCCCTCCCCCTCCTTTGAACCTACACCTTCACTTGCCATCTTCACCATGTTTGCCGCTCGCCGCCTCGCCGCCAACATTCCCCGCGTGCGCCCTCAGGCTGCCCTCTTCCACAGCACCGCGCCCGCCTTCGTCCAGAAGGGCGACGCCATTCCCAGCTTGGACCTCGTCGAGAACTCTCCCGGCAACAAGGTCAACCTTGCCAATGAGCTAAAGGGCAAGGGCGTCATCATCGGCGTCCCCGCAGCCTTCAGTACGTGAGCCTGTGCTAACAAAAACAACGAGAAAAAGAAGTTGACCGTCCACAGGCCCTGCTTGCTCCTCCTCGCACATTCCTGGCTACATCAATCACCCCAAGCTCAAGGAGGCCGGTCAAGTCTTTGTGGTGGCCGTGAACGACCCCTTCGTGTGAGGCTGCCCCCTGCGCGCCGGGAATCCCTCCGCGAATGAAACGCTAACTCGGATAACCTTATAGCACCAAGGCCTGGGCTACTTCACTCGACCCGACTGGCAAGAGCGGCGTAAGTAATTCCTCATTGTTTAATGGCAGTTCATTGTCTGACATCGTGTTCTTATAGGTCCGCTTCCTGGGTGACCCGTCCGGCCAGTTCACCGAGGCTCTGGACTTGAGCTTCGAGAGCAGCGCCATTTTTGGCAACAACCGCAGCAAGCGTTACGCCCTGCTCGTAGAGAACGGCAAAGTCAAGGAAGCTTTCGTAGAACCCGACAACATCGGCCTCAACGGTACGTTTTCTCTCCGACGCGACTGGAGGGGGGTCACTAACGGGAGAGAAATTAGTCTCCGCTGCCGAGAAGGTGCTCGGTTAGAACGATATATACGCATGTCTAGAGCCAGTGCACATGACAAAATATCAAGAGCGACGATTAATCATCTGCTCGAGATTAATATCAAGACCAAGAATAGAACCATGAATCATAAACCATGAATCATGAACCATGGGTCATAAACACCTGACATATCCGTCAAGTCGGTACGTATAAAATGTAGCTCAAAGTCATCTAGATCCAAAATTTGAACATTAAAGTAGGGGAATTGCGACGTGCAGGTGACCCGAGATATTCAAACAATATCCAATTCGACCAGCAACCAACGTTTAAAGGATCCCGAGGGCCCTTGTCATGCATGCATCTACATGTAGATGGCGGCTGCCTACGTCTGACGCGGCCCCTTGCCACATATGTGGCGGTGGTAAAACGTGTCCGCAACGGCAGTTGGGAGCCCAAATATAGTGCACCCTGTAGATCCCCGCGACTCCAACTCGGAAGATCTGGAAGCTTTTCTTTCTGAGGTAATTGACCATTTGCATTGAGGAGTGTGACGCCGAGAATGATAGTGCTTTCAAATTCATTCCTGGGGAGATGTCAAGAATTCCCATCGCCTTCCGACACTGGATGCGCGGCAAGTCATACCAAGTCAGAGGCCGTGGCAAAATAGATTCAACCTGGAAGGCAGAACACACTAAATTACCCCGGATCTGATGGAAATAAAAACTTATTCACAGTTTAACCTGCTTTAGAACTTTTCTTAAAAAAGTTCGCACCTGTGTAGATCGCAAGTCGCAAAGTTCTGACGGCCGCTTCGTCATTGCCAAGACCTGCCCCCGTTCCAGCCACAGAATCCCCTCCCGACTCTCATCTTCTCCTTCCCCCATAGTCTCCCCAAACCTCGATTACCAATTCTTTGCGCTTTTCCCCCCCTAAGTGGCTGGTCCCTTGATCTTTCTAAAGGGGTGGTGCAGGGTCGCCCATCAAACTCGCCCGACAACTCGCCTTGGGCCGCCATTCAGAGCAACGACACTGAGTGGGCTGTGAGATCTTGGCAATCCAGCTTTCTCCGGCTATATTTCCCCGACTCGTCTGATCGGTCTCCGGATCCCTTCGCCTTACTCCTCCTCCTGCGTCTGCACCGGCATCATGTCTAAGGTAGTGCGCAGCGTCAAGAACGTTACAAAGGGATATTCCTCGGTGCAGGTCAAGGTTCGAAATGGTACGTGTTGTCTCTATCGGTCATGGGCTTCCGCTTGGACTTGGATCTGGACTCGCGGGCAGGCATCGTGACCCCGGCGCTGTCACTTCTCCTTGCCACGGCCTCCCTGCTTGAACGGCGTGGTTCAATGACAGCGTGCCCCGGATTTGTCGCAACATGCTAACTGTGCTTGCTTTGCAGCAACGAGCAATGACCCCTGGGGCCCGACGGGCACTGATATGTCCGAGATCGCGGCCATGACTTTCGGGAGGTAAGTGTGATGACTGGTTCATATCGAGGTGGCAAGCTCTAACATGTCGGCTCCCTCTAGCCCGAACGAGTTCTACGAGATCATGGATATGATCGACAAGCGCCTCAACGATAAGGGCAAGAATTGGCGCCATGTTTTGAAATCGCTGAAGGTCCTGGACTACTGTCTTCATGAGGGCTCCGAGCTGGTGGTGACATGGGCGCGTAAGAACGTCTACATCATCAAGACACTGCGCGAGTTCCAATATGTTGACGAGGAAGGACGCGACGTCGGTCAAAATGGTTGGTGACTTTCCAGGTCTAATTGCATCCCTGTTGCTAATAATTTCGGTAGTTCGCGTCGCCGCAAAGGAATTGACCGCACTTGTTCTGGATGAGGATCGCCTGCGCAGCGAACGATCGGATCGCAAACTTTGGAAGACTCGTGTCAGTGGACTCGATGACGGCTATGGAAGCCAGGCCGAGCCACCGCGCCGAGAGCGACGACGACCCAACCAGGACGAGGATGATACCGAATACCGACTAGCGATCGAAGCCAGCAAGGCTGAAGCCGAAGAGGAACGCAGACGACGTGCCAAGGAGGCAGCGGTCGGTGAAGATGAGGATCTAGCTAAGGCTATCAAGCTCAGCAGGGAAGAAGAGGATCTGCGGAAGCGGGAACTGGAGGAGAGCAACGCTCACTCGCTCTTCGATGAGACCCCGGCTCAAGTTCAGCCGACTGGCTTCAACCAGGGCTACCAGCAACAAGGTGCCGTGGACTGGTTTGGCAACCCGATTAACGTCCAGCAGCCCATGACGACTGGCTTCTTGAACAACCAATATGCTCAACCCACAGGTTTCCAGCCTCAACCCACGGCCAACCCTTATGCAAACGGGTACCAACAGCCCTCCGCTTTTGACCAGAACCCTTACGGACAGCCCCACAACAACTTCTTGCAGCCCCAGGCCACCCTCCAAACACAAAATACCGCGTTCAACAACAATCCTTATGGACCTGCGGATGCTTTCCCTCAGCAGCAGCAGCAGCAGCAACAACAACAACAACAGCAGTCTCAGGAGAACTACCTGTCTGCTGGAAGTAACAACCCGTGGGCCTCGAACCAGCCAGCTGAGACGCTCAAGCCCGTGCCCACTGGCTCGAACAACCCCTTCGCCCAGAAGACTCAGCCCCAGTTCAACAACCCACCGCAGTCAACAGGACCTCCGTCTCTTAACACCCTTGCAGAGGACCGCCCCACGAACCAGTTTAGCAACCAATACAGCCAGAACAACCAGTTCAGCAACCAGAACCAATCGTTTGCCCACCAACCCATTCAGCCCAACCCGATCGCCAACTTCCAAGCCCCGCAGCCTCCGAAGAGCACTCCTCCTCAGTCCTCTGACCCGCACCATGCTCGTCTGAATGCGCTTCTTGCATCAGGCGAAGGCCAGGATACCTTCGGAAATGTCGGCGATCTCCGTATCCCCGCGCAGCACACCGCACCTGGCACGTTCGTCAACTCCGCTGGCCAGGGTCTGGATCGCCTGCATGCCAACCAGACGGGCAACAATCCATTCTTCGGCCAGCAATACACAGGCATGCCCCAGCAAACCGGCTTCGTACAGCAGCGCCCCGCCAGCAACCCCTGGGGAGGCCAGCAACAGCAGCAGCATGGAGGTAGCTTGATTGACCTGTAACCACGTTTTAACTGGTTCTTGGTCCGTTGAATGCTTGCTAGGAACCCGTATAGCCTGCTGTTGCATTTTACCATCGATCTGTTTTGTCTCTGCTCCCATGATCTCCTCGTTCTTTCCTGTTCTCTCCAACCTTTCACCCCTTCTATGTCTCCTACTCCATGGATACCAAGGCACTTGCATAGCCAAGCCTTGAGATCTATTCGTCTTTTGCCCTCGGTCCAGTTTTTATCTGGAATCCATACTTCATGTCCCCACCCATTCCTCCCTTTGTTTCCACCCCCCTCTCTTGCTCTCTCTCTTCGTGCCCCAGATGCTTCTCTTTTGTCTACTGTGTTTCGTCGTTAGGATATCCTTCTCACTTCTCAACTGGTCTTAAACTCTTTTCAATGCTAGATACTGTAGTCGGAATTTATCTTTCAATTTTTTCGCCAGCTAGCTATCGGTACTTTGAAATGGCACTTTTCATTTCTCATCATTGCATTCATCTGCTCAATAGAAGATTTCTACCGACGAATCATAATCCCATATGGATCTCGATCGGCCTCACTTACGGAAACCGACACCTCCGCATCCTGGAACACCTCAGAAGATTCCGCAGGGGCAGCACCGCCCTGCTTCGCACTATCCTGTATCGCCTTAAGAGCAACCTCCCTCTCACCATGCCAGCACTGCGACAATTCCTGAAGCAACTTGGTACGCATGACGGCGTGGAGATATCCACGCTCGGAATTGGAGTGCGCAAGGGAAATAACCACCGATCCACGCTCCGTAGCTGCCAATGCTTCGTGGTGGCTCATCTCTCCCGTGAATAGGAGGTCGGGGATTTCGCCGCCGCGGAGAAGCACGCCTGACCCGGAACCGGGGCACATGCCTACCGTGCGAATTTGGATGTCGTCCACGGACCGGGACTGCGGAATGGCAATGGGGATACCGCCTGGCAAGCCAACGCCCTCGCCGATGGAATCGATTAGCTTGGTCAGAGGCTGGGCTTCGTTGAAAGTAACCAGACGGCCGGCACCGGCGGACTCGAAGCCCTCCGGGATTGAATCGGGCGGTGATGGGTGGATGGTCGACCGGGTGTGGGGAATTGAGCTTTGTGTTGCGGATGCAGCAAACTCTGGGCGTGGGTAGGTAGGAGCAGAATAGCTTGATGAAGCGCACTGCTTGGTCTGGGACTGCTCGGCTTTGATGCCGCCGTGGACACCTGTCACCACGTCACAGAGCCAGTCGGCCATTCCGCCGGGGACGGTGTCGACGGCGGTGTGGGGCGAGTAGACGCTGATTCCATGTTGTGCTAGACGTAGGAGAGATCGTTGCTGGGTGTCCTCGAGTGTGATGGACTTCAGACCACGGAAGATGATGGGATCTATGGCCCGTTAGCTTCATTAAGCCCCGAGATTGACAGAAAACTCTCAGGATTGTTAATTCAAGTCTTGGGATGAGCAGACTTACGGTAGGCCACGACGGCCGAGTCCCGGCGCTTGATAGCCTCATCTGCGACGGCTGTCGTGAGGTCAATGGCCAGCAGGACCGAGTTCTTCTGGCGACGCGAGGGGTCAAAAGGAGCTTCAAGAAGCACTGTAACAACGTATAATTAGCTCTGAATAGAAGTCAGATGTGTCCATTCAGCTAGAGAGAGCTTACATCCAGTGTTGTCAAAGCTCTTATCGGCCAATGCCTCCGGATACCTAGCTTCAAGTCAGACTCAAGCTCCAAGACTACCAAGGGAAGCTCCCCTCCTCACCACATACAGTCTCCTCATAGAGCTCACCACCGCTCTGGTAAAGGGCGAACAAGAAGGAGTCGCCAAATCCATAGTAGAACAACGCCGCACGGTAGTACGCAGAAGATTCATGGAATAGAAGTAAATAAGGAAACGAAGTGGGACGTGACGCTATGAACACCGCGAACGCCACTGCACGTGCACACCAGCCACAACCGATCGGGGCAGCGCAATTTGTAATACGAACCTCATCGCGACTGATTCTCCGGGATCTTTCAATTCATAACAGAATCTCCGTGCTTGATGTTTCTCCGCGCCTCCCCTGTCTTGAGAGGCTGCCGCTATCTCCTCCGCCCGACCGCCCCGCGCGCCTTCTTCTCGCTCTCCGCGCGCTCCTTCGCTGCCGTCGACGCCGCTATGGCTGATACCTCGGGTGTCACCGCGGACTCGCTGAAGAACAAGCTGGTGGAGCAACTGCAGGCTCACCATGTGGAGATTGAGGATCTTTCTGGTAGGTTTGCGCTGCAAGTCGATGTCGGCATTGGCTAATGGCTTGTCTCTATAGGCGGTTGTGGCCAGGCGTTCCAGGCTGTGATCGTTTCGCCCCAGTTCGAGAGCAAGACTATGCTTGCGCGCCACCGTCTTGTCAACTCGGTTCTTAAGGCTGAGATTGCTGCCATCCACGCATGGACTCCCAAGTGCTATACCCCCGAGCAGTGGCAGGCTCTGCAACACTAAGGGTTGCGGAATAACTAGGATGAATAGTTATGATATCGGTTGAGGGAGGCGATAGGTGGTGGTCCAAGATGGGTTGCAACAAGAGCATCTCGATCGATCTTTCGACCCTCCCAATCGAATACGTGCTCGTTGACGAAGCGTGTACCATGAGCCCTGGTTGGCGAGACCGGGTTTGCAGGACATTGATGATACCGAAATGAGCACCCGGGTCCTTTTGAGACTAGGACTCAGGATTTGTTTGTACGATAGGGTTCCAAGGTTAAACTTCGTATGGTTTATACAGACGATTTCCATTTTGTTCAGGGTCGCTTCATGCAGTTTCTATAGATACACATTTTCTATGTTCAAGACGGCATTACCGACTCTAGAGGGTTCTTATCTGATTTCCACTCTTCCTCCATCGTAGATCCAATGATACCTTCGATCTTCCCGGCAACGGTCCCTGCTAAGACACCGACTCCAATGATACCCCCGTCGGTGGCCTCTCGGAGGAAAATGCTCTTCCCTTCACTCTGTGTTCCCGCGCTGATGATAAGCCGGTCAATATATCGCTGGATCGTCTCCTTGTAATGCGGATAGTGCGTGATGACTCCGCCAGAGACAGCCACGACCAATTCTTCAGGTCCCTTCTGCCAGCCTGGTTTCGACGAGCCGAATTCCGGCATCTTGCATTCCGTATCTGGACCCTGGGGTGTTGGAGATACGTGTGTATTTGAGTCCATGAGCTCTGCATTGTGCAACTCAATCTCCCGCGTGCAAGCGAGGAGACCAACGGTTGCGGTTGCAATCAAAGCAGCAGACCGGTCCTGCACGGCGGCGGCGACTGACCGAATATGACCTGCATATTCAGATGTCCATTCCCAATCACTGTCGGCTGGTGCAGGAAGCTGTTGATTCAGATCCTTTGCCAGCTGCTCATCTGAGTAGCTCGGAGCCACAACAAACGAGAGGAAGTCTGTTGTTAGGTTATACTCCTCGACCAGCTTGAGGGGTAGTGACGATGGCGGCAACCCCTTAGTCCCATGAAACCAGTCATAGCAAATAATCCGCACAAGCTCGCCAATATAGCGACCTCCGACCATGTACTCGAGCGGCTGGAATCCGGGCCGATTGGAATTAGCCTCCAGTGCCGAGTCCCACTTCGTCACGATATTCAGCTCCTGCAGAGGTGCCGTTGCCCCGCGGAGCGTCCATTCAGTCGAGACGATCGACTCGACCGCATCTGGATCCTTTTCACGAATGTGTCGGGTCTTGGATTCTTGTAGGTCGGAGAGTTTCATGGGCACGGCGGAGTTGCAGCCTGCGCCGACAATCAGGCCCATGACGACGCGGGTGTTGGGCAGCGCGCGAATCGAGTATGCCAACGAAGCGAGGGTAGATATCGTATCGTTAGTCATGACGGTGACCTTCAATTTCGGCAGACAGTATTGCTTCTGTCGCTTGGCTGGCATCTCGTCGGAATCTTCATCCGATCGCCGTGTATGGCATTCATAACCGTCGAGTAGGGCCTGATGTAGGTTGAGCGAGGACCCGAGTGCAAAACCCTTGCCGGTTGGCATGAGGATGGCCTCGTCCATGAACTTTTGTCTGGGATCTGTTAGGCCAACTCGAAATACTTGGGGGGGGAAACTATTTACTTGATCGGGAAGCAAAAGGAAATGCCCATCGCCACCTCTGAAGGCGCATCATCCTTGGAATTTGCCAGGTCGTCATGGATGACTTCTGCAATGCAATCACCGATCCAAGCAAAAAGTGATGTTGCCTGATCCCGCCGCAGACGATCCTCAATAGGCCATGCTTTTTCAAGAGTTCGTCGCACATGGGAAGGCTTGCCCATCTGCTCCTCACCCAAGAGGTCAATGAACGCAATGCGCAGATAGTACAGCCCTAAATAGACTGCCAGATAGCGGCCCTTTTCATGCCCAGTAGGCAGACGCGTGGTAGCGGTTGGAAAGAACTGGTCCGAGGACCCGGCGGCCAGCTCGCGGTATGTTTGGGACAGACGACAGGACAGACGATATAGTGTGTCACTGTTGATCTTGAGCGGCTGCAGGAATTCCTGCAGCGCTGGGTCGGGTCTGCTCATGGTCGTTTATATCCGTTGGCGCTTGTCGTGGGCAGCTGCGTCCCCTTGTGGTTTAGCTGGGTTCCCCGGCCGAGTGGGGCCAATCATGGATCAGAAGCATCTACTGGAGACTCCGACTCTGAGTATGAGGCCGCTCGGTTATGTGGTGTCATGCACGGAAGAAAAATAATGCAATATAAGAGACTTGCATATTGGATTTGGATGATTAGAAAACGCATCTTGAATGAGTTTGGTCACAGCTTCGGCCAAGACGAGGGCGTCGGAGGCGGGAACGATTATTCCATGTTCTATAATTAGGTCAGTCAGCGCAGTTCGTGTAAATGTGCACTTTGAGCTACGCATAATCAGATAAGGGAGGTTGATTCTCATGAGTTGGCAGAAATGGTGGTAGGAACGGTTGGGTTTATGAAGGTAAAGCTGTGATTCCATCCACGACGAACTTCATAACCTACCATTCTCGGGTAGATAAAAGCGTGAAACTTTTATTCAATGATCCAGTCGCATAAACTAAATAACGTGGCTGAGCCCAATAGACGTAACCATGTCTAACAATACCCAATATTGGAAGAGTTGGTCGACCCACGCACAGCTCTTCAATCCCGGTACGTCTCTTCAAAACTCATACTCCAGACTCCATGCGCACCACGTACACGATATGGCTTGCTCCAATCCTCCTCTTTAAAATTCTCCTTGTACGAAGCAGCACCAACATGTTGCATTTGAGAGGGCACAAGCACAAGCCGATCCAGTTTGTTCTCGTCGGCCAGCTGTTCAATGGCAGTGTCCACAGCCATGGATATTCTCTCCCTCCCCATTTTGCGGAGATGCTCCATCAACAGCGGCGCTTTGTCTCGCGGGAAAACCATGGCTTGAGTACAACAACCGTATCGATTCATCACATGGAGGCCGGGCTTTAGAGGTCGCATCGTCACACGTCCACTCAAGAAGATTAAGCCGATCAATAATGGTAGAAACACAAAGCAAGTTATCCCCAGAAAAGGGATTGTTGCAAGTTCCCTCACCAGCCGTGACCTCTTTCGTGCACAGAGGAGTGTGCCAGCGACGGCCATGAAAGTCAGTAGACTGAAGGTTAGGTATTTCGGCCATTCCTCCGAGTTCCATCCGAGGAACTTCTCCGTGTAGAGGAGCCGGAGGTAGAGCCAGTCCCTGATCCGGCCTTGTTGTCTCCAATCGATAATATTTTGTAGACTTTTCAAGGTGTTTTCGTACCAATCTCGCCGCGCCAAAACGTCGTCCTCGAGGATTACAATCCACTGTGCATTCGTCCTCTCCATGCATGATTTGAGTGCAAGGCGGTAGTCCAGAAGTGACTTTCGGTGAATATCCCGGTGTCTTTCCAATCGCTTGATGGCCGACATGGGAGCATCGAGAATATCATACGTGAGGACATGGTCGGCGATGCTCGAAACCCATGGCTGGGCGTAGTCCGGATGATCGACGGGATTGGTTTGTGCAAAGAGGACTTGGAGGGCGATGGTAGACCTCTGGTCTTTGGACAAGGTATCCAGGATGGAGCCCATGGTGGTGTCGAGGTTCTGCTGAAAGGGGCGCTTCGCGGTGATAATCCCAACGCAAATGTCAACCCGCTGTGCTGCTTTGGCTGAGCTGCTGATCGGAGGCAGAGGACGTGTTGAGTGGTTCCGACCGGAGACATATCGCAAGGATTCTTCGACTCTCGTGAGACTGTATTTGGGTCTGTAGCCGGCTTCCGGCAGGAAGAAGTAGGATCCGGGGTCTCGTGCAGAACGGGAGCGAGAGAGCAATAGAAGAACAAGGTATATAATGGAGAATGATATTCCTATAGCGAGCTGTTTCCTGCTGAGGGCCATGTTCGGGGTCATGGCAACGTGGATGCCAACGGAGGAATAGAAGGATCAATGCATTCCTCATGTAATTCAGACAAAGCTCGCTCTTACACGGCAACGGGGCATTCAAGAAACACGGAGAAGGAGCGTCGGGGTTCCTTCCTCGAGTGAAAATCTTGGGATAAATTGCAACTTCATCTTTACACCCAGCTCGGTCTATTGTTCCGAGGGCCAGGCAAATTCTTTCCAAGGCCGACCGTTAGATTCGGCAGCCAAATCAACCAGGCTGGTCCATGTCCACAGCCCATCCGGATTCACCAACTCGTTCTCGCTACCCAATCCGTCAGTGGTGTGATTGATTTTGCCTTCACCCATCAAAAATCGCAGGTACTTGGCCGGGTCCCATGAAGTGGTGGCCGTAGCCTCCTCCTTGTAATTCTGAAGTGATATCTCTGTGACTTGGATGGGACCAGCTCCAGCCGCTTGCATGATCTCGGCAGTCTCAGCAAAGGAGCGAGTATCGCCACCCACATGAACAATCTCAGGGATCTTCTCCTTGGGAAGAGCGGCCAAGGAAGCAACAGTCTTTCCCACATCGTCGAGCGAAGTGAAGGAAATGGGGGTGTGACGAGACCCCACGCTTTCGTATTTTCCATTCTTAGTATCGAAGCCAAACCACGGCCCGATACTGTCTTCCAGGAAGAGACCACAGAAAATACGACATGTTTTCACGTTCGGAAGTCGCTGAGCTAGAGCAAAATGCTTCTTCTTCTGGTCCCATTCCAGGTGCGAGAAGTCATGAACATAGTGATCAACTCCAAATTCGGAGGGGAAGTAAACCTGCACCTTGGTATGGGGAAGTGCCTGGACAAGTTTCTCTTTAAATGAATGTCCCGATGGACCGACCGTGTTCACAAGGACCTGAACGTCTCGAAGAGCGTCGACAAGATTGTCCTCATCGTATTTGCGGGTAGTGTATTTGCCATTTACTTCTGGAACTAAGGATAGGGAAGAATCTTGTCGTGACAGTATAATGATCTCGGAAAAGTGGTCACGGAAAGGAGGAGAGAGAAATGCAGATGCGACATGCCGACCCAAATGGCCGGTGGCCCCGGCAATGGCCACGACCGGACGCGAGGCAGTAGGAGTTATCGAAGTCATCGGGATTAGTCCGACTGGTGTGATGTAGGGCAGTATGTGTCGGTCAAATTAAGAATACTCTCGCCTTGGAAGAGCGCTCTATATAGTTTGGCGACTGCCAAAAGCCTACGTCACGGCCAAACGAACCAAGCAGAACCCTCGCTTCTTATTGGCTACAAGTCCCATTTTGTTCAGTTTGCAACGCATGCAAACACGATATTGTCCAATATATCACGAACATTACACTCGGACCAAGAGGATATTGTAAGTGCGCCTAATTAGGCGGTGGGGTTTCGGTTGATTCGTGTTGGGATGGATGCATCGGGATGTGTACCTTGGGCATTAGATGAGCAAGGCCTGGCTGCTGGGATCTCGGGGGATATCAAGCTTTCACTGGATTGTTTGCTGTCCTGAGACCCATATTCGGATATTTAGTACATCTATACATTGGTACTCCCTAGATGAATATAAAGCATGCATGAGTCGTCAACATCGCTAGCCACACGGGCAAGATCGTAGATACATTTTCAAATCAAACAGACCCATTCTGCATGCTCAGATACTTCGCCTCCGCTCCACGGATACAGGCAATGTTCGCACCGAGCTTGTTAATCGTCTCCATGTACTCGTCATACGGATCAGAGTCAAACACGATACCACCGCCGGCCTGCAGATAGGCAACGCCATCCTTGACCAGCATCGTCCGCAGCGCAATGCATGTATCCATCGCACCGGGCTCCTCTCTCGATCCGTCACCGTTGGCAATGTTGTAGCCGAAGTATCCAACAGCGCCGGCGTACACACCACGCTTCTCGCCCTCCAGCTCGGCAATCAGTTGCATCGCACGGATCTTAGGAGCGCCGGAGACGGTACCAGCCGGGAAGATGGACCGGAAGGCGTCGAAGCGCGTCTTGCCGGGTCGCAGCACGCCGGAGACTTGTGAGACGAGGTGCTGCACGTGTGAGAACTTCTCCACCACCATCAGCCGGTCGACTTGCGTGGTGATCGGATCGCACACCCGGTTCACATCGTTGCGGGCCAGATCGACCAGCATGACGTGCTCGGCACGGTCCTTGAGACTGCTGCGGAGCTCGTCGGCCAGCGCGGTGTCTTCTTCCAATGTCTTGCCACGCTTCACCGTTCCCGCGATGGGGTGGGTGATGATGCGACCTCGCTCTTCCTTCACGAGGAGCTCGGGGCTGGCACCCACGAGCTGGAAGTCTTCGCAGTCGATGTAGAACAGGTAAGGAGAGGGGTTCACTGTGCGAAGGTGGCGGAAGAGGTTGTACGGATGAAGAGAGGTGGGCCGCGATAGCCGTTGTGAGGGGACGGTTTGGAAGATATCGCCCTTGCCGATGTGTTCCTTCAGTTTCTTGACGTGGTTCTCGTAGCCCTCTTGGCCGATGTTGGAAGTGTATTCCTGGTTCTGGATGATGAGACCCTGAGGAGGCAGTGGTGTACGGTCCTGGAGAAGGGTATCGATGGTCTTCTGAATAATCTCCTGGCCCTTCTGATATTCGGCATCGATATCGGCATCATCGGCCGGGATCGGGACATAGGTGATAACCTTGACGACCTGAAAGAAGTGGTCAAAGGCAATGATGGTGTCAAACAGCATGAACATGGACTCCGGCACACCCAGGACATCCTTCATGGGCCGTGCGGTCTTGGGCTCAAAGTATCGGACACAGTCATATCCCACGTATCCGATGGCTCCGGCGGTCAAAGGCGGGAGGATCAACCCGGGAACTGAGGCAACACGGTACCGGGAGAGCTCTTCCTCCAGGATAGGGAGGGGGTCGGCTTCGGGGCCATGGCCAGAACCGGTCTTGATGGTCTTTCTGGGGTCTGGAAGAAAAGTGGTGAGTCAGTATAAGCAGGGTTGTGTTATAGGCCGAGATCACCCACCTGCACCGACGAAACTGTATCGTCCAATGGTCTCCGTAGTCGCTGCACTCTCGTATAAAAAGGACAACCGCGAGCTATAAATTTCAGGTCAGTCACCATACCACCAGATTTTCCCCGCTATGCCCCGCAGGTCGTCGTATTGAAAAGCCGGCACTTACTTCTCCGCAATCTTGAGGTATGCTAATGTCGGCGTCAAAAGATCCGCAGGAATCGAGGCAGTCACGGGCAGGAGATTCGGGGCGAATTGGGAGTTTCTCGACTTGGAGATAACCTCGCGCGCCGCCTCAAGCGACGGGACACTTGCGATCTGAGTCATTAGGATGCGCGTTAGCAATTTCCGAGTCAATGTAGGGCTGTATGAATGCGCTGGGACTGTACCGGAGGTGCCATGCTGAGCTGCTTTCACAATAGGACAAAGCAGAGCAGAGAAGGAAGGGTCGACTCCAACGGGATTTGGCGGTGGGAAAAAGAGTCACGGTGGGGCTCTGGACTCCGGTTCCGCTGGTTGACTCCCAACTCCGCAACAACAGATAAACAGCCGCTAAAAGACCAGAAGGAACCTATATCGATAATCACAGCCACAGAAATGGAAGTAGAGACGAATGCTCCAGGGAGACCAGTGTCAAGGCTCGAAAGAGAGTAGCGCGGGGCGGTTATCGCTTATCGATAGGCATTCGCATTCGCATTCGCATTCCGATTCCTGCAATCACTTTCAACCTGCACAGCACATCACCTCGCAGCGCCTCCTAATCGATCGCATTACATCCAGCACATGACCTCCACATGGCAACCCTCGAACCAAGCAGCCCGATAGCTCCCGCCTCTGTCCCGGACCCCGAGACAGGCGAGCTGAGCTCCACAGCAGATGGACTCGCAGGTTCAGCTGTGACATCCTGGTCGCAACGCCTGACCGAACTCGCACACCTTGCATCAGCATCGACAGGGGCCGTATACGAGGACGATGAATCGGCGCAGGCGATAACATTCCATCTGGATGCGATTGAGTCCATACTTCGTGACCCGCGCCCGGCGCTGTCGCGTGAGGTAGCGAAGTGTCGGCCGGATGTTGTTGTACACGGTAGATCGGCTGTGTCGGACAGGTCTCGCGCGTCGAGTCCTTCCCCGTTACCAGCTCCTTCCAACCAACATAGTGGATCGCATGTTGAGAATGGGTTCGCTAAGACAGACATGCTAGCGCAGCTGTCAACTCTATTGACAGAAGTAAATGGGCTGCATACCCAGCTGGGAGACCGTCGCAGGGAGACCAGTGAAATTTGCGATTTGTATGAGGAGCGGTGTCGCGGGTTAGAACGGACAGTGGCTGAGTTGGAGCTCGAAGTTGTGGAGTTGTAAGTTCGGTCTACGGCTCCATTCCCTTGCTATTCGCACTCTTAAATCATGCTAATGTATTTTGTGACTATAGGAAAACGAACCTAGTCGAAGACGCTGTCGAACTCGAAGGAATTCAGGGAACGATCCTCGGCCTCCAAGCATGGATAGATGGTCTCCAAGCGCAGCAAACCATACTTCGACGACAACGATACCTTGCACAGCACAAGGCGCGACAGCAATGGGGAAGTCGCCAAAGAAATGGCAGCTACGATGATCTGGCATCCGACGCACAGATTGATGATGTCCTGGAAGGACTTGGCGCGTGGATGCGTGGATTGAGAGACGTGGAAGAGGGATTTCAATCTCGGGCGCGAGCAAGGCGAACAAGACGGGATCGGAGACAGGAGATGCTGGAGCAGGAAATACCCCGAAGGGATAAAACAGACGGAGTCGATACAGATGCCGGATTATGGAGTAGAGCTTTTCCAGCACAGCGTGTTTGAATCGGCTCTACTCCGATAGAAATTACAAGTACCTGAATCATTAGAAGTATCGATGATGCATTTTTTGCGAGATTCACAGGAAAGAAAAGTTCAGATCATAATCACCGGCCACCGACCCCGAACGCGTCATAAAAGACAAAAAAAGACCTCTCGCCAGGAACCCGTATCGTTCGCCGTACCCAAGCTTGATCCCAAGCAATGCATGCCACCACGCGTCTTCTAAATCACGAATTTATGTCCAGAGAAAATATGCAGAGGAAAGGGTCAGGAAATGGGATATTGGGTTTAGATGTCAACCGTATCCAATGTAGGTCGGGTGGTGAAGGGGGCTTCCCCGTCGCATTCCCCGAAGGTGGGATTGAGCAGGTTGAAGGTTGCAAGGCCAGTGTCTTGCCATCGTGGAGTTTACTGGGTGACATTGATGGCATAATAGGAGCCCTGAAATCGTCTCCAGCTCATGGCTGGTAAAGGTATCAATTATACCATGCCAAGATCACGTACTTCAGGAAAACCCAATTCATTGGTGGTGGGGAAGTGCTTATTGCGCCAAGCAAAGCCTTCGAACATTGACGCTGGCCAAGCCCGCTCACCGCTGCAAGTTAACAATAGCCATCTGGTCCGAGTTAGTACCGTCTTGACTTCTTGGCATTTCCGATTCACGTACCTGATTCCCAAAGCCATAAGCAAGTTTCTTGCCGTCAGTGTCCCATGATAGAGCACGGTCAGGGATCGGCATTGCATGCCCATTCTGTCCGTTCGTGTGCTCGGATTCTTCCTTAATCTCTCCGGAGCCGGGTGCGGTCCACGTAGACACAGGCTCACCACCACGCTCTGCATTCCAGATGAAGAGCCGGTCGTTGCTCACCGCACTCAGAGCGTATCCATCTGGAGAGAAGCTGCCTGCGAGAGCTGGGACAGAGGAACCCAAACGCAAACGATGGATGCGCTTGTATTCCTTGGACTCCAGATCCACTTGCCACACGTTGACGCAGCTGTCCGTTGAGTACGAAGCAATTGTGATTGTAGGGGTCCGTTTTTCCGCGTGGGGTTGCGGGCGGATGTCAAGCGCCGTGATGGCGTCCTGGTGAGCGTTTTCGATCAGGATGTCGTGCGTCGGGATCCAGATCGCGGAGTTTGCAGAGCCGGCCGTGACTGCCACGGAGTAGGTTTCCGTCTGAGTGCAGCGGATGAAGGTCCAAGCGGCGTCGATATCGGTGGATTGATATGTTTTGTTCAGGTTGATGTTTTGGCTGACATCGCATTGATAAACGGCCCCGTTCCCGCAGGCAAATACTTGGTTGCGTCCACACCATGCCAAGTCGTAGATATGGCTGTCAATGACTTGAGGTGGTGGAAACACTTCCGGCCGGCGGTTGTCGTCCCAAAGGGCCAGTTCCGAGGTTCGTTCGTCCGATGCCACGATGGCCAGCTGCGGGCTCTCCTCCGACCAGTGCAATCCGCTTATCACCCGGGGGAGATCCGGAAGCAAGTCCACTACGTTGCCATCGGTGTTGTACATGGTGACCGTTCCTTTCATGTCCCGAATGGACGCCACGGCCAGTTTAGCGCCGATAGCATCCCACTTGACCGCTGATACATAGGCACCGCTGCCCTTCAGGTCCAGGAATCGGTTCTGCACCGGAGGCGACGACGAAGTAAGCTTCCACAGACTGCAGAATGTATCGCCGGAAGCCGCGAGTACGGTCGAGTCGTTGGGGTGCCAGGCAGTTGATATCACGTGATCATCGGCCTGGAGCAAGGCGGTGTCGGGCGCCAAATCGGCGGCCTTGGCGGGGGAGATCTGGACGCCGACGCTGGGGCCCATTGTAAGAATGGGTTCCTGAGGCACGTCCTCGGGCCCCATGCTCACATCCCCGTCGCCATCCAAGTGAGCCGGGATCGGTGAGCCGGGCTTGCTCTCGGTTTCGTCGTCAACTTCCATCGGCTCATTGCCGTTAGTTTCCTTGAGGATCTTTTTGCCGTTCTCGGCCGGGTGACCGTTCGTCACGCGGTCGCGAGGCTCCGGCGCAACGGGTTCTTCGGGAACGTGCTCATCGCGATTTTGCAAGTCGGTTACCTCGAAGGGCTCTGGTCCGAAGAAATAATCCGATGGGTTAAGTGAGATGCGGTTCCCCTCCTGTAGACCGTTAGATAACTCTTTGAGGACGGTGAAAGCGAGTCCCTCATGAACAAAAAAAGGCCTGTCGTGTCACACCAAGCGTTGCGCGCGAACGTACCTTGTCAATGGAGGACTCCAGCTCGTGGTACTGCAGGCCCTTTTGGACCAGCGAGACCAGCGCATGGGTTCGGATGTGACGCGCAAAAGGCAGACTCTGCGGGTCGGGGTACCATGCACGCTGCAGTGATACGGCGGCCTCACCGTGACCTGTTGGATGTTAGAGGGGGAAGCCGGGGATGGTGCCAGGGTCATTGAACCGAGGTGCTACTAACCTGCTTCCTGAAGATACCTGCGCGATAGTTTAGCGAGGACCGGCGAGAGCGGGGAGAGAAACTTACCGCCATATTAAGTAGTTGACGTGATGCGATGTAAGGTCGGGGTGTGCCATGATTACATGTGCGACCACCTCCAGGTGGACATGCCAGAGGAGGAGGGTGCTTCCGCAAGGGAAAGGAAAATCAAAAGTGGAGAGCGGTTGCGAGATGCGCGAGAGGCGGGTACAGGAACACGAGTTGCTTCGGAGACGGAGTCCGGAGCCAGAAGTCAGGGGTGGTCCAGGTGTTGAAGAATAGGGTTCGGGCAGATGAAATCTCAGGGTTGAATTTCTGGGGTGACGAGCAAGGGAGGGCGAGGCGCTAAAGGGTGGAGGCTGAAGGTTGAAGGTTGAAGGTTGAAGGTTGAAGGGAGGATGGAGAGTTGGAAAGCGGGAAGAGACGAGCTAAGGCAAAGCCGGGGATCCAGGGTCGAGGGCCAGATCGATTGTGGAACACGAAACAGAGAGAAGTTTAAGATCGCGAGAAGTGACACTCAAGCTTAAGCGCACCAGCCACTTAAAGAAGTGGGCTCCGAATCTCGAACTGCAGAGCAAATCCTCCCTGTGGCGCCCTCCACATCTGGTGGCCTTTCGTGCGACTCGCTTGGCAGTGGTGGATCTGGGGCGGATCCTCCACTCTTACGTACTACTAGGGACCACGTACGGAAGACTAACACGTTGGCACCTCCTAGGTCATGGACGGAAGACAGATAGGGGGAAATCCGGTCGCCATTCGGGCTCAGGCGTGTGTGCTGCACGCACCCGAACCCGGCGATGGTCTGCAGCGGAAAAAGTGGATCGCTGGAGCCACTCGGCTCCCCGTTCTGGTCCAGCATACTTGGCTTATCTAGGCAGTCGGCAACTCTTCCCTAACCATCTAACGGAATGTATACATGGTACGAATCGTTCAATCTATCCATGCTATTTCTCGGTGGCTCACTTGTTCTTCTATAAAGGCCTTGTAATAATTTACGGGACCGGACGCGCTACTGACCACCTTATCAGATGAATACCGAAGTAGAGGGCAAGAATGTCACCCCAACATGAATCCATCTCAGTCATTTCGTATATCCAAATGCGTCAACCTATGGAAACGCTTTCCTGCACAAATGCTTTGTCGAGTCGTGGTACAGTCTTTGTCTACCGGTTAGAACTCCCTCTTCGGCCCGCCCTTGTCCCTGTTGTTGTCCGCCTTCCTTAGCCCGAGCCGCCCCCCCCAAAATAATATCTCACCCTCGACAACACGCCTGGTCCGACAAGCCTGCGGTCTCGCATCCGCGAGATAAAATGCCGCTCCGAATCAACATCCCTCCGGCTACCCGTATCTTCCTCGTCAGCTTGCTCGCTCTCTCCTTTCTCTACAACGTTGCCAGATGGCGACAACTTGACACCTCCCCCGGCAGCGTCCAGTCAACCCCAATCATTCCCTACCTCACCCTCGTTCCCTCCTTCTTCTACTACTACCCGTGGACCCTCCTCACTGCGACCTTTGTCGAACAAAACATCTTCACCGTCATCCTCAACGGCGCGACGATCTTCTATGGTGGGAAATATCTCGAGCGCGCGTGGGGTTCCCGCGAGTTCAGCAAGTTCATTGTTGCGGTCACCGTGGTCCCCAATGCCGTGATCATTCCCATCTACCTTATCTGGAGCGGCGTTGGAGGTTCTCCAAGCAGAGCGTACGTGCCCGCTACAACCAATCCATTGGACTCTTAGAGCTGACCGTTTCCCGCTGTAGTCTCACCCAGATCTGCGGTGGTGTCGCCATCCAAGCTTCCTTCCTCGTTGCCTTCAAGCAACTAGTTCCCGAGCATACCGTCGCCATCTTCAAGGGGCTGGTCAAGATGCGCGTGAAACATTTCCCCGCCCTGTTCCTACTTCTCAATACCCTTAGTGGTATCTTGATCGGAACAGACACCGCCGCTTTCCTGGCCTGGCTCGGCCTCCTGACTAGCTGGACCTACCTCCGGTTCTATAAACAGCAGCCCGACCTTACTGGAACGTCGACGAACGGCCTCGGCATCAAGGGCGATGCCAGTGAGACCTTTGCCTTTGCCTGCCTGTTTCCCGACGTTATGCAGCCGCCGATCGCATTCGTCGCCGATCAGATCTATGCGCTTTTTGTGGCTGTTAGAATCCTGAGACCATTTTCGGAAGATGATATCGCTTCCGGAAACCAACAGGTGTTGGCCCGAGGGGAAGCCGGCCTACCAACACTCCTCAGCAACCAGCGCGGCGGGGGATCAAGAGGCGCCGGAAAGCGCGAGGAGGCGGAGCGGAGACGCGCTTTGGCACTCAAGGCCCTGGACCAGCGACTCCAGGCAGCGTCTGTGGGACGCCCACAAGCAGGGCCGTCAACACTGGGCGAGTCGTCAGCCCAACCGCCGTCGGCCCCTGCTGGCCAGAGCATGTTGGGAGAGACCAGCTACAACCCGGATAATACGTAAAGGTACTGGAGTTGTCGGCCTTTACTTCACAAGATTTTGGACATATTAGCATGCATAGCAGGGCACTCAGCTTGGCGAACAGACCTGCGGGTGATGCTCCTGTCTTTCTTCTGATGTTGTATATTGCCCATATTTTTTTTTGTCCTGGATGAGTCTTCTAAGCCCATGTGTCATGCCTTTCAGGTCACTTTTCTCTTGCCTAGCATGTGCATTCTTCTACGCGTGGGTTTCTTCCCTAGCTCTATACCAATCATAAGCGAGAATCTTGCAATCAAAACCTCTTCAAAGCAGTCCGATGCATCTTGTTCAAATGCTCTAATATAAAATCCCACAGAAATAAATGGTCGTAAGGAAAACAAAGATGCTATATGCTACAGGTGGCTCCCCTCAACACAGCCGAGGAGCCAGAGAATGGACAACCAAGTCAAGACCCTCTTACATCGTCTTGAGCTTCTCCACCTCACCACGCGCCTCAGCAAGCATCCGCTCCTGATCCCTCTTCGCCTGCCGCATAGCCTGTATACGCTCGCGGTCCTTAACAGCCTTCTCCGAAATAGCCTGCAACTTCTTCTGCTCCGCCTGATCCTCAGCCGTAGCAGGCACCTCCTCCGCACCCGTCGAGGCCTGCACACGACTCCAAATCTCCTCCCAGGTAAGGTTCTTCACGTCCACAACGGCAGTCCTCTCGCTGGCCTCCGGCGCCGGTGCGTGCTTGTCGGTGATCTGATTCTTGCCCGCGATGGCGTTCGCCGTGCTGCCGACCCTTTCCGCGAAGTAGATCGTCAATGCGGCTGGGCCTTCCTGCTCTTCTGTTTGTCGTACTGTCATCTTTACTCCGGGGTTATGGTACTTCAGTCGTGGAAGGCACCTGCGCCAGAAATGCCGGGCGCCTTGGTGTCCGCCGTAGATCTTTTGCGCGTATGTGAGGTGTAGTCGGGTGACAGCTGGGAATTCTTTGTTGGCCGAGGCCAGGGTCGGGAAGATGGCGGCACCGGTGCCGACTCGGACGTCGAGTATCTGTGATGGAAGTTGGGTCAGTGTACGTGTTGGATTGAAGGGTCTGCTGATCACGGAGGTGATTCAATGAGTCTCCAGGCTAGAAGGTTTGGAGGAGTATATGAGGAGAGATGGGAGATTTACCCTCTGTAAAAAAGAGAACATGCGAGATTAGCCAATTGTCTTCCCGGAAAACTTCAAACATCTGTAGCCAAGGCAGGACAACAACTTACAGTCTTCAGCTTCCGCATCCGCTTGAAAAGGTTCACCATGATGGCAGGTGTCGCACAGGGGCTGGCCCTGATGCGAGGGTATTTCGAGGCTGATGGAGGGTTGGAAGAAAGTAAAGCAGTAAAATAGCCGCTCAATGGCCTCACAAAGAGCTTAGGGCGCGGTGTCGGTGATCCGGGGAAATTTGTTGCGGGAACTCTTGCGCTGCGAAGTCTCCGTGATATCGCTCACGTGACACGCCTGATATTGTTTAACGCTTTTGTATGCTTCGCATTGCGCGCCACCTTGGATATTGCGTAGAGAGCGATGCCTACTCGATCATGATCCAGTTCCCCAGAGTCAATTAGACCTTTTCTTCTAAACTATTCGATACCCAAATCCTGTGACCTCTCATTGTTGAAAAGCACGTGCCGTAAATTACAATTATCAATACAGGCCAGTTACAGTGCTGACTCACACTTCCAACTGACGGTTTTATATTCACCCCCCGCGATCTTTTGTTCCCTGCCCCTCGGGACTCTTGCAATCAGGGTCTATATCTTGAAGAGAACATCATGGCAGCCGCCGCCGCGTCTGCTGCGCTCGACCCGAGCAACAGCACTAAGAACACCCTGAAGTTGGAAAATGTTATCCTGCCCCTCCCCCTCCATTTACTTCCCGAATTTTTTTTGGGATGACCGTTGCTAACTGAATTGGCTCCCAGACCGAGAAGCGTGACTCCCTGATCGCAATTGAGAAGCGTTACCAGGCACAATGGAAGAAAGACAAGGTCTTCGAAGTCGATGCCCCCTCCTTCGCCGAGGTGCCACAGGGCTCCATGTCCGCCGCCGAGCTGCGTGAGAAACACCCCAAGTTCTTCGGTACCATGGCCTACCCTTACATGAACGGTACCCTGCACGCCGGGCACAGTTTCACGGCCAGTAAGGTCGAGTTCATGACCGGTTTCGCTCGCATGGAGGGCAAGCGCGCCCTCTTCCCGCTCGGTTTCCACTGCACCGGTATGCCTATCAAAGCCTGTGCCGATAAGCTGCGCGACGAGGTGAAGATGTTTGGCCAGAACTTTGAGGGCTATAAGGAGGAGGAAGAGGCTCCTACCCCTGCGGCGCCCACCCAGGAGTCCAAGCCGGAGGTCAAGGAGCAGGCCGAGAAGTTCTCTGGAAAGAAGAGCAAGGCCGCTGCCAAGACCGTGAAGATGAAGTACCAGTTCCAGATTATGCTGGCTATCGGTGTCCCTCTCGAGGATATCCACAAGTTCGCCGATGCCAACCACTGGCTCCACCACTTCCCTCCCCTCGCCATTCGTGACCTCGACAGCATGGGTGCCCGCGTCGACTGGCGGAGACAGTTCGTCACCACTGATGCCAACCCTTACTACGATGCCTTTGTTCGCTGGCAGACGAATCGCCTTCACGAGCTGGGCAAGATCATGTACGGTAGCCGTTACACCATCTACTCGCCTAAGGACGGCCAGCCGTGCATGGACCACGACCGTACCGAGGGTGAGGGTGTTGGTCCCCAGGAGTACACTGCTCTGAAGCTCCAGGTGAAGGAGTGGTCCCCCAAGATGGCGGAGGCCATCAAGGGCAAGATTGAGGACGATGCCAAGGTCTACTTTGTTCCGGCTACTCTGCGTCCCGAGACCATGTACGGTCAGACAAACTGCTTTGTTGGACCCAAGATTAAGTACGGTCTATTCAAGCTGAAGGAGAAGGAGTACGTCGTGGTCACCAAGCGTGCTGCTTGGAACATGGCTTTCCAGGGCCACTTCTTCGGCAGCGAGAGCTTCCCCAAGTCCCAGGACCAGCTGCCAATGGTCTACGAGGCTCCTGGCTCTGACTTCGTTGGTACTCTTATCAATGCCCCTCTCTCCTTCCACACCGAGGGTGTGTACATTCTGCCCATGGAGAGTGTCTCTGCTGCCAAGGGTACCGGTGTCGTTACTTCCGTGCCCTCGGACAGCCCTGACGACTATGCGACCCTGATGGACCTGCAGAAGAAGGCCGACTACTACGGCATCAAGAAAGAGTGGGCCTCCAAGGAGATTCACCCCCTGATCGATACCCCCACCTACGGCAACTTGACTGCCCCTACTCTCGTCAAGCAGCTGAAGATCAACTCGCCCAAGGACGTCACCCAGCTGGCCCAGGCCAAGGACCTCGCCTACACGGAGGGCTTCTACAAGGGCACCATGCTTGTTGGTGAGTTCAAGGGCGAGGCCGTCAGCGCTGCCAAGGACAAGGTCCGCAAGTCTCTGTACGACAGCGGTGATGCTTTCCCCTTTGCCGACCCCATGGGTAAGGTTGTCAGCCGTAGCGGCGATGATTGCGTTGTCGCCTACCTTGGCCAGTGGTTCTTGAACTACGGCGAGAACGACGCCCAGTGGCAGGCCGAGACCCTGAACCACGTTGTCACCGACCTCAACACCTACTCCCCCGAGACCCAGCACGGTTTCGAGAAGAACCTGTCCTGGCTCAACCGCTGGGCTTGTGCCAGAACCTACGGTCTTGGATCCAAGCTGCCCTGGGACCAGCAGTTCCTGGTTGAGTCTCTGTCTGACAGCACTGTCTACATGGCCTACTACACCATTGCCCACCTTCTGCACGGCGACCGCTACGGCAAGACCGTTGGTTCCCTGAACGTGACTGCTGACCAGATGACCGATGAAGTCTGGGACTATGTCTTCTGCCGCCGAGAGATCAGCGATGACCTGATCTCCAAGAGCGGTATTAACAAGGATGCTCTGCAGCAGATGCGCCGCGAGTTCGAGTACTGGTACCCCCTGGATGTTCGTGTCTCCGGCAAGGACTTGATCCAAAACCACTTGACCTTCTTCCTGTACATCCACGTCGCTCTCTTCCCCAAGGAGTACTGGCCCCGTGGTATCCGTGCCAACGGCCACCTGCTGTTGAACGGCGAAAAGATGAGTAAGAGCACAGGTAACTTCCTTACTCTGAAGGATTCCGTCGACAAGTTCGGTGCCGATGCTACCCGTATCGCTTTCGCCGACGCTGGTGACAGTATTGAGGATGCCAACTTCGAGGAATCTGTTGCCAACAGCAATATTTTGCGTCTGTTTACCCTCAAGGACTGGATTGAGGAAATTACCAAGGACGAGTCCCTGCGCACCGGCCCTGCTGATGCTTTCGCCGACAAACTCTTCGACAACGAGCTTAACACTCTGGTCCGTGAGACTCAGAAGCACTACCGCAAGTACGTTATCCTTTATTGAACCTTGCCTTTATCTTGATCGCTAACATCCTTTTAGCACCGATTTCAAGCTTGCTCTGAAGTCTGGTCTCTACGACTTCACCAGTGCCCGTGACAGCTACCGTGAGATGGCAACAGCCGCCGGTGTTGGCATGCACAAGGATGTCGTTCTGCGCTACATCGAGCTGCAGGCCCTCATGCTCGCCCCCATCGCTCCTCACTGGGCCGAGTATGTGTGGCTCGAGGTTCTCAAGAAGGTCAGTATAATATCTCCCACCGTCAAAACCTTATCTAATCTCTACCAGTCCTCGTCCATCCACCACGCCCGGTTCCCCACTGTACCCGAGGGCTCGCCCGAGCTGTCCGCCGCTCAGCAGTACGTCCGTGGCACCTCCTCGAACATTCTGTCCTCAGAGTCCATGTTCGTCAAGCGTCTGTCCAAGGGCAAGACCGTGAACTTCAACCCGCGCGAGCCGAAGAAGCTCACCATCTACGCCGCCAAGAAGTTCCCCGCCTGGCAGGAGAAGTACATCGACCTGGTGCGCGAGGCCTTCGACAGCATGAGTATCTCCATCAATGACAAGGAGCTCAACGCCAAGGTCGGTAAGCTCGGCGAGATGAAGAAGGCCATGCCCTTCGTGCAGACTCTCAAGCGCCGCCTGGTGCAGGTCCGCGAGGACCCCAAGGCTGTCTTCGAGCGCAAGCTGCCCTTCGACGAGTTTGCTATTCTCGCTGAGATGGTTGATGGTCTTAAGCGTACTGCTGGCTACAAGGAGGTTGAGATCGTTGCTGTTGAGGAGGGTGGTAAGTCTGGTGAGGTTGTTGGTACTGGTGAGAAGAGGGAGGGTCTCTCGGCTGAGAATGCTGTGCCTGGAAACCCTACCTTCCAGTTCTCCAATGTTGCCGCGTAGAATTGTTCATGAATTGGAGCATAAATGGTCTCTCTTTTGTCTTAAAGAGTCATGTTTGATGAGCTTATGCTGAAAAAAGAATAAATGCATTTCATGGTTCTAGTATTCATTGTGCCTGTGGCAGAGGTCGAGCGTAGTCTTGCTCTCATCTGAATGTATACTAAACAGAGAGCTGAATTGATTCTATTAGGCTGGAGAATTAGACCAGCCATTCAAGGTTGGTCGTATCGTCGCCCGAAGCCTAAGTATATCCGAAATCAAGCTGCAGGTTTCACAACACACAGCAGTCTACAATATGTCAGCAATTGTAGAGAAAACAAAGCAAACTCAGAAGAATAAATTCAACTAACCTTCTAAGTCCCTCCTTCAACGCACTCTCATCTTGTGAAAACACCAACCTGAACCACCCGGCGTCTTTCCCATGCTCCTCACCAGGATGGAGAAAGACGCCAGCGTCAACAAGCTTCTGCGCCAAAGTAAACTCTCGTTCTCGGATAGAGGCGCCTTCAGGAAGGAAAGGAGAAAGGTCGATGTAGACGAAGAAGCCGGCATTTCTGCACTGATTTAGTGAAGACTTAACTATGCGGTGTGTATTGACTCACCCTCCCTTGATATAGTTGATCCCAGCCCGGTCCAACGTGGAAGTCGTCAACTTATAGCCTGCAGCTAGACTTGCTCTTGTCTTGGCTGTGAAGCTTTCGACGAAGTCCTGGTCTTCTAGGATGGCCATTCCAATTGTGACGGCTGCTTGGGAAGGGCTGTGAAATCTCCTTAACCAGAGTTAGCTTTATAGGTCGTATAAAGTAGCAGTATTTAACGGCTTATGGATCAGTCATTGGTCTCAGGATAGACATACGAACACATCTTGCATGCTAAGCGCAGCTGCTCGTTTTGAGTTACCAGGAACCCGAGGCGAAGGCCGCCGGAGGCAAAGTCCTAAACCAAAGTCAGTATGAATCTGGACTCTTGTTTCTAAATGATGTCTTCCTTACCTTGCTGAAGCCATACAGGACATGTACAAGGTCAGGATCTATCAGATCCTGCAAATTCAGCGAAAGAATTGAAGTGAATGGCACGGCCTCGGGATTGCCAGTGTCAAAGACACACGACGCATAAACCTCATCACTAATAAGGTGGAGCCTATGTCTATCACAGAACCGGGCGATGTGCTTCAGCGTCTTAACCGGGTAGCAGCGGCCTGGGTTGATGGGTTAAATGAGCATCCGTGTATAATCCGAGAGAAACACCCATGCTGCGACAAGCTTACCGACTGGGTTATGCGGGTTAACCAGAAGAACGGCCCGGATATTCACACCCCGCTCTTTGGCATCTGCCAAAGCCTGCTCATACTTCTCCGCCACATCGGGCATAAACGCCTCCTCCGTGTCAGTGTCGGCATATACAATCTCGACTCCAGCTTCAATACCATAGTCTAGTTCAAAACGGCCATAGACTGGCCGGCTGACGAGTATGCCTTCGCTGGGAGCTGCTAGGTTGTACCCAAGCATATGACCCAACGAGGTCGGAGAGTCAGCAACAAAGACATCCTCTGGGTTAATCGGTGCATGTGCCTTCAGGGCTCGGTCCATATGGGCGGCTGCGACATCAGGGAGTCGGGCATTTGAGACTGTAGTGGAGCGGTAGCTGATTGAATCCACCGAGAAGACGACCTAGAGATCTGTTAGATGTTTGAGGCACACTTCCAAGGTGAGGACTATGCTATTTAGAACCTTTTCGTTGATGAATTTGACTATTTCTTCTCTCATTGGTCTCTGGCTCGTTGTTAGTGTTGAAATGCTTCGATGGTAGTAGGTACACACATTCTCCGCCATCCCAAAGGAGATGAGCCCCTTTGGACTTGTTTCTGGATCATAAGTCGGCGTAGGCGTGAATCGCCATGGACGATCCAGTTGCGCGATATTTTTGAGTGCACGAGATGATAGCATTTTGGAAAGTACACAACTTTGCAGCTAGGCTGTCTATGTCAGGGACACAGTCCATGGGTAGTTGAAGAAGCGGTGACGCTACTCACGTCGACGAAATACTCTTTTTATCTGATCCTCGGTGCCAATATGTGAGAAAAAGAAGAGCGATGCAATATCAATGCAGACGGAGAGTTAAAGAAATGTTAAGATCCCACACATGGCATGGAAGCGGTAGAGCGTTAGAGTTGGAAGAAGCAAGGTACCTGAGTCGTCCTCGAAAGAAGTTCTCCACAGCGGCCGAAATCGCAACGACACCGCGAGTGTAAATCAACAGTTAATGGAAACATTTTCCGCAACGGAGATTGTTGTATATATACACATTATATTCACAAATGGAAACGCCAATCGCTATGCTACACGTAGTATACACTTCCAGTCTAGTCAAAGCTCAAGCTCAACTATACCGGTGACGCAAACGCGGCCTCTTGCGCTTGTCTGCTTTCCGCTTCTCTGCAATGAAATTCCAACATTCAATCGGCGGTCGAGATCCAATGTGCTTTCCATTAGGAGTGAACACTTCAATTTGAGGATAGGAAGGCGACTCAGTCTCCGAGTTGCGCTTGGCGCGCACTTGCACACTGACTTCAATCCAGCCGCAGCCTTCAATCAGAATATCGGCAGCCATTACTCGATACGGGAGCGGAGGGATGGGGATCTTCTTATCTTTCACGGCCTTTGCGACCAAGTCGGGCAGATTGGAAGCGGTGACATCCCATTCGAGATCAAACTTCCCAGCCGAAGTGATAGAGCTACCGGTACCTTCTGTCATCAGAACCTTTCCTGGATAGGGTCGTTGCTCAGTCTGCATTTCAATCGCCTTGTCGGTCTTGGTTATATGAGTCTCAATGGGCACAAAACACGCGGCCAGGACGGTGTGCTCAGGATCCACGGGTGTAATGCGAACGAGACCGCCACCGAGAAGAAGAGACTGGCCAGGTTTGATGGTACAGCGATCTGGCTTGACTCTTTTGATCATGATGAGATCACGTTTGTGATCGTCACGCACAAAGTCCTCAAGATGACCACGCTCCATTCCCGGTAGGTCGATCACTTCGCCCTTTCCGCGGCCGAATGGGATACGGATGGGCGACACTGTTGTTCCTGGGAGCGAAGAAACGACCGGTAGCACCGGGAATGCATCCTCGCGAGGGGCAGGGGGCAGGAGACCGTCGGGTTCGAGTAGATCGAGCATAGATCCCTGTCCCTGATTCTGGACTTGGTTCTCTTCTCGCTGCTGTTGGATCCATTCTGCCATGTTCTCCATGCTCTTCGAGCTTTTGGGGTAACACGCTTCAATGAAGCTGCTTTTTCCTACATTGGCCTTGCCCACAACCCAGATACCTCCGCCGCGCCCGTATATCTCTTCCTTGACTTGCTTGGTCCACCAGCCACGATGGGCACTGATCATATGGACGTTACCCAGACGGACATCTTTCCCGGCTTTCCCCAGGGATGTGCGAAGCACCGAGCGAACGTATTCCATCTTCGAATCAACCTGTTCTTTTGTCGCAGCCAACAAGTCGGAGCGCGTGATGATAAAGTTGAGGGTGGGCAATTTCTTTCCTCCATAGTACTTTTCAGTTGTAGCTCTTCGGTTCCGAGAACGCTGCTCCTGAAGCGAAAGCGCCTGATGAATGTGTGGGACTAGCGACATAGGGAAATCCGCAGCATCCACGATATGGTATACGCAGTTATCTTTGTATGGCGACTCGTTCAGGTACTCTCGGATGGAAAGGATGGATGGCTTGGGAGCGGAGATAGCCTTGTTGTGGTGTATTAAGTCATGGCATCGATCGCAGACGTGGGTTATTTGCTTTCGCGACTCAATCGAAGGAATCTCAGGGTCTATCACATCGTCTGGTAATGCTCCGTCTTTTGCTTCGAGTTAGTTGTCATAGACTGGACGCGATAGGTATGGTAATGACTTACCCTGGATAGGCTTGGGCGCCGTCGACTCTTCAATAGAATGCGCATGATCCTCGACTGGACCATCGTGAATGCCAGAGACCGCCACATCCCCCGACTCTGCATTATGCCGTTCGGTGGCATCTTTTTTGGACGCCACTAGCTTCCGTCTCGACTTGCGACTCTTGCTGTAGTACCCCGGTTCTTCCGGCTCGATTGTCTGCGAAAAGGCACCACACCCTGGACAGCAAATAGGAAGAACATCGGTCAGGTTTTGGATAGGCGCCTCTGATTGTCGGAAGCGGGTGGTCGAGAAGGCACGGTGCGCATTCGCGGGTTGTTGCCCGACACTGAGGGACCTGACCAACGACAGCGCCGTCGTAGAACAAAGTCGTGGATGGTTAGTGTGTGCTAATTGTCGAGAATATGCCCTAGCTGGAACTCGTAATACGTCAAGCCTCAGGGCCCGCACAATCGCGCCCCGAGAGCAAGGCGACATGGTTGACGTGCAGGTTTGCGGAGTTCGCGGAGCTTTTTTTCTGCTGGAGCCGGTTATCGATAGCGCCGTCTTTCCGCGCCATACAACGAAAATCAACCGCGTTGTTCTACGTGTTTCTACACATCACCTGGTTCGCTTTTAAATAGCTGGGTCATTGGTCGATGAGGAAAATGTCCTTATATTAGGCCCTGAAGACCATCGTGAAAACCTCGATAATGATACAGGAAAGCTAAAACCCAGATGCGCTTAAACCGTGAAGCAAAAAAACAACAAAAAACGCCATCATAAACCGTAGACTATAAGCCTTTTTTGATAATCACAAGGTTCGAGCTTAAGCGCGTGCCTTGCCTTTCCCCTTGTCTGCAGATTCGTCCGCTTCCTCTTCATCCGAGTCACTCATGAACTCGTCGTCATCGTCGAATCCGATAAAGCGGCGAGGCGCGGGCTTCTGCGTGGGTGCAGAGGGCCCTGCGACAGCTGAGGATATGGCGTTCTCCTCATCATCCTCATCCTCATCCTCATCGGAGCTAGACGATGTAGCGTGTTCACTGCCTTCGCTGGCACTGGTGCTGGACCCGCCCAGAATCGCGTCGCGAAGATTGTCGGTCCATGTGTCGTCTTTCAAGGCCGCCATGACTGCTTCGTGGAGCTTTTCAGACATCTCTTCCTTGTCCTCCATCCACTGACCATCAACCTTTTGCTTTCCGCCACCGTTCTTCAACTCCTCTTGGCGCTTTTCTGCCATGTCAACAACGGCCTGCCACCGGCGGCGGCGCTCTTCTTTTTCTTTTTTATCCATCTCAGGCTTGACTGCGAGGTACTCGGCGAGTGCCTTGGCTTCGTTGACGGTGCGCAGACGGCGGCCATCGAGGTTGCGACTCGAGCTATTGTTGTCGCCCTGGTTGCGCTTACGCTTGCTGGACATGCGGCCACCAGCAGCACGCAGCTGCGATCCGAATCCACCCTTACCACCGCATAGGGGAACCGACAGGCGGAGCGGCAGAAGTGTTGATGCACCGGAGTCGCCATCACGAGCAGTCACGAGAGATTGCAAGGTATCGGCAGAGGAGACGATTTGCTTGTTGTTGGTCGTAGTAAGGATAAGGGACTGAAGAGAGAGTGGGGAAGGAAGGTATGATGCGACCTTCTCCGTCAGGTCGGAGATTCTGGAAGTCGAAGGTAAGGTGAAGGAAAGGGTGGATGGAAGCGATAGTCCAGGGAAGGACGACAGCAGAACGTTGACGTTAGATGACGCCATCTTGAATAGAATGTTGTAGATGATCTCCGACTAAGCGTGGAGAAGCAGTGGCAGTTCAAAGACACTGAAGATAAGATGGCGATGCAGGCTGGAGATCGGAGGTCATGTGATGCCAGGCAGATCATAGATGACTCAGCGATGGAAAGGTCACCTGATCGATAGGGTGCAAACCCTAGCGAGGACCCCGAAATGGAACGCACTTTTCTCGCGCCGCTGCTCCACTCTACGTTCTTTAAATCACCCATCTTTTCTGGCGTTGTCAAAGCGATTCCCCGAATTGCGCCAGGAACTCGCGACAATGTATGTTGACGGCCCTACACCCTCTTCTTTTGCATGGTCACTAATAGTGTTTTAGGCTTATCCCCAAGGACGACCGCAAGAAGATCCACGAGTACCTCTTCCGTGGTATGTAACGAGTCCCCTCGCCGCCACTAGGCTCCCCAACCTGCCCGGCGTCATTGCGCATGAGCGGGTTGAGACGAACTCGAACAAATTGACTGACTTTTGATCTTCAGAGGGTGTGCTCGTGGCCAAGAAGGACTTCAACCTTCCCAAGCACGGTGACATTGACACCAAGAACCTTTATGTAAGATGCGCCTTTCGACATCGTTGGCTCGCAGCGCAGTCTCGCTAATATAAACATTTCCACAGGTCATTAAGGCTCTGCAGTCTCTGGACTCCCGCGGCTTCGTCAAGACCCGCTTCTCGTGGCAGTACTACTACTACACCCTCACCCCCGAGGGTCTTGACTACCTCCGCGAGTGGCTCCACCTCCCCGCTGAGGTTGTCCCCGCCACCCACATCAAGCAGCAGCGTTCCCACGCTCCCCCCCCGCGGCATGATGGGCGGTGAGGAGCGTGAGCGCCGTCCCCGCGCTCCCCGTGAGGGTGGCCGTGAGGGTGGCTACCGCCGCCGCGAGGAGGGTGGCAAGGAGGGCGGTGCCCCCGGCGAGTTCGCTCCTTCTTTCCGTGGTGGCTTCGGCCGTGGCCGTGGTGCTCCCCAGTAAAGGAGAGGCCTTGGTGTCCTGTCATCCACTGCTCGGTCATCCTAGGGACTGATGTTGTCGGTACTCGGTTCTGAGTAGGTCCCAAGAAATTGGGTTCTGAAACGAACTGTTACTCGCGCATCTCTATACGTCCCCTTCTGTCTGAGACCTGGGGATACGGAAAACAAAAAAGTTAAATGAGATCACTGGCTTTATGATGTAGCTAGACTCAATGGCAAACTCATGACCTCAGTGCCTTGCGCTTTACCGTAGATGATCGTATAATATCTTGTTGATTATAGCATGCTGAAATATCCATTGTATCTACACTGCCCCGACAGCTCTCGATCTATGCGAACCTCTTCCGGTCATATCGCACGACGGCCTGCAGGATCACAGATGCTCCGGTTGCACAATCGTCCGCCGAGCAGAATTCTTCAGGATGATGGCTTAGCCCATCCCTGCATGGAACGAAGATCATGCTAGTTGGAACTCTCTTCGAGGTAAACACGCTATCATGGCCAGCACCACTCATGATCGGCCGGACCAGTGACTTTGTATCTGCCACCGGAGCATCCGCAACAACGGCATAGGCTGAATCTTGCACACAGCCGATACAATCTTCATGGAATTTCACAGCGGGCGAGTCGAAGTCAAGTGTCCACTCCACACGACAAGGCTTCCCGATCCCAGCGCCTTCCTCTGCCGCAATGCCATCAAAGTCCTTGCGCAACTCCTTCTCTACCTCGGCCACCAGCTCTGTCTCTGGGCCACGGATGTCCAAGCTAAAGCTCACTGTGCCGGGGACGGTATTTACACTTCCGGGTTTCGCCTCGACAATGCCCACGCTAGCAAGACATCCTCGAGATTTGGCAACTTCTCTAGCCCTGACCATCATGCGGGAAAAGGCATACAAAGCATCTGCGCGGTGCTCGAAAGCCGTTGTTCCCGTGTGTGTATCTCTTCCGATCACGTTCAGTCGGTACCATCGATAAGCCTGGACTGCTGTGACCACACCAACTCGCTGACCAGCCGACACAAGATGTGGACCTTGTTCGATATGCAACTCAAAGTGTGCCGCCATTGGTGTTGACTTATATGAGCAGGGTACACTGCCCAGGTAATCGATCTTCTGTAAAGCACTCTTCATTGTCTCCGGGGCCGAAGCAGCCGTGGGCAGCGACGCAACTGTCGGCACCTCCTTGAGGCCATGGGCTTTGGACAGCGGGATGCACTCTGCCCATATGCCGGAAGAGATCATGCTAACCGGGAATCGAGCGCCCTCTTCACTGCAATAGAGTTAGTGATTGGTTTCTGACATCGAAAGACTGCCGTCTTACTTGGTCCAGTTCACAACCCCAACGCCTCCCTCTGTTTCAAGACCCATCTCATCCATTCGCTTGAGGGCCTCTACGCCGGACAAGACGCCCAGTATTCCATCATAGCGGCCTCCGGTTGGCTGGGTATCGAGGTGACTTCCGATAAAAGTGGCCGGAACGTCCGTCCTCTTGCCGGGACGCACAGCGAAAATGTTGCCCATCTCGTCGACGGTAATCTGGCATTTAAGGTCTTTCATGGTTTGGATGAACCAGTTCCTAACGCTCTTGTCTTCCTCGGACAGAGCAAGGCGCTGCATGCCGGTGTCTGTCGATCCATCTCCCCATCGGATACCGTAACCCCATTGACATGAGTGGTGAAGGTCCTTTGCCAATCGCTCCTTGTTAACTCTCAGCGCCGACACCTCGGCTTCAGATAATTCAGTAGTCAACATGGCCTGATAATGCGACGTTGAGAAGGACTTGAGAAGGGGCTTCCGAAAGGCCGGTTTGGTTATTGGAAGATGCGACAATTTAGGAGTTGACCTCGACAAGGTCGTACGCAGTGGATTTATCCCTGCCATGGTGGAACGTGGATGATTTTATAAACGGAGCTCTCTCCAATTAAAAGGTAACGTTGTGATTGATAAGAGAGCGGGGGATGCAGCGGACAAAGTCCGCCCTTGATAGCGTTGCCGATATACAGTCCCCCGCATTGTTGGAGGTGGCGCATTCTCCATTTCAGTGCTCAGGCTTCATCGCTACAAATCAACTATCTCTTTCTTTCAAATCACAGCCCTTCAAAGATTAAAGATTTAGATCTCGTACCCAGCACAGGTTAAATTGCACCTGGACCTCATCCCTCGTATATTCTCCGTCATCCTCTTCAATCGTTGCTGGGATAGGTCTTTTGCAAGAAGAGTCAAGCTAAATCCATGTCTTCGATCTCCAACTGGGTAGTCAGGAGTCTGAGAGTGATTAATTACCCGCTGATTCCATACGAGAAAAGTGCCAGCTTCATAGCGGATCTGACGAGAGAATTCGCCGTCTGGCGATGTGATCCAAGAGAAAACGAGAAGGAAGTCCGACTCTACCTGATCGAATCAGACGATTTTTCTCCCTGTAGACCGGATTGCCATCCGAAGAGACTCGGTATTAGAGACTGTGCGACGGCATATGCGTGTTCAAGAACAAATCTATAAAGAGCCTTCTAAATGAACAAGCCCAACGGGGTGTGCAGCTAGAAGCATCCCGAGTCGCATGACGGCTTTCTGGTTTGTTTTTCAGGGATTCGATCCGTGCGCCATTGAACTGGGCTATGGTCGGTCAGAAATTTTTAGGTAGTAGAAAATATCCAAACGCGATTTGTGTGTGGGCCTTTTGACCCAAAGTGGTCCATGACTGAATTTAGGAGTCTTATCATTCGGAATACTCAGGTGAGATAGTGACATCCCCACATGACCCCTCGGGTCGGTAACACGGGGCGAGCGCCCGCAATATTATTAGAAAAAGTACCAGATAAGAGTGTTATATATGTCTCGATGGACAGAATCCAACCCTTCGTCCTTCATTTTCAATCCAGTCTTGAGATCCCCTGGGATTCATAGATGGCTCATGAAAGAATATACGGCTCGTTTGAGACTGGCGATAATGCCTCTCCTATAATGAGTCACGCTAGCCTTCAACGGCAACCTGATGAGAACAGCAAACTATTGCCAGATGATCTTCCAACGGAGTTTGAAGCCCAAAGGGTGATCGAGGGGGACGCTAATTTTCATCGTCTCGGTTGGAAACATCTCACGGTGGTCAGCATCGTCGAAGCGATCGCTCTCGGCGCCCTTAGTCTACCTGCCGCATTTGCAACACTGGGCATGATCCCGGGTATTGTTACATGTGTTGGGATGGGAATTATCGCGATATACACCAGCTATATCATCGGACAAGTCAAGATCAAATTCCCTTCAGTTGCGCACTATGGAGATATTGGGCAACTGATGATGGGCAAATTTGGCTACTGGCTCTTCAGTGGCATCTTCGTCTTTCAGCTGACACTCTCTGTTGGATCTCACTGCCTTACTGGCATGATTGCCTTTGCGAATATCACTCAAAGTAGTGTTTGCTCTTTGGTGTTCGGCGTTGTCTCCGCGATCATTCTGCTCTTGTTAGCGATACCGCCTACATTCGCCGATATCGCCATTCTCGGTTATATTGACTTCGTCTCCGTTATTCTCGCAATCGGAGTCACGATGATTGCTACTGGAATTCAGCAGGCGCAAAGTGCGGGCGGCCTCGCGAGCTCAAACTGGTCTGCCTGGCCCCCAGAGGATGTCACATTTTCTAAAGCTGCCGTCGCCGTCAGCAATATTGTCTTCGCTTACGCCTTTGGTGGCGCTTTACCCTCATTCATGAATGAAATGCATACGCCGAAAGACTATGTCAAATCAATCACCGCACTGGGGGTCATTGAGATCTCAATATACGTGCTAACCGGATCTGTCATCTATGCCTTTGTCGGACAGGATGTTCAATCTCCTGCTTTGCTATCGGCGGGACCTGTTGTATCCAGGATCGCCTTTGGAATTGCCCTCCCGGTGATCTTTATTTCCGGCTCCATCAATACTACGGTCGTGTGTCGGTACATTCACACGCGAATCTATCGTGATTCGGTCGTTCAGTACGTCAACACAGTGAAGGGATGGGTGACCTGGATAGCACTCGTGGTTACCATCACCACGATCGCTTGGGTAGTTGCTGAAGTCATCCCCTTCTTCGACGATCTATTGTCCATCAGTGCGGCTCTCCTCGTCTCTGGGATGTCTCTTTATTTCCCCCCAATGATGTGGTATTTACTTCTGAGAGATGGAGACTGGTGGAAATCGAGAAATCTCCAACACAGTTTCTACAATTTGGTCTGTTTCTTGATCGGGATCACGGTCCTTGTATGTGGCGTTTATGCAAGTATTGTTGAGTTGGTAAGTTGCCTGAAAATCCCCTCTATTTTAACCTGCTAATTCGAGCGAACAGATAAGGAAATTTCAAGACGGGGCTATAGGTAGACCCTTTTCGTGCACGCTCGGCTAATCATTCGACTTTTGGTTGTTATATCTGCCGATGAAGTTTAAGATCATGAGTGAATGATAGAGGGATGGGACAGAACTGTGTTCTAGACATACATGATGAGAATGAATAGATTACCAAGGAGCAATCCCAACGAATTATTCCCTTGTCAGTAATTGGCAGGTCATACAAAATAGGTACCTATGGAGTCATAACACGACCTTGGGGGTTGCCCGTGACAAGAATACAAGCTGAAGGAGAGACGGCTATTTGTTTAGTTCTGTTTGAAGCCACTCGTCTTTTTCGAGTTCCTTGGCAGAGCTTCGTCTTTCCGGCTCCCATTGCAGCATTTTTCGCACTAGGCGGAGGAATTTCTCCTTATCCTCTCCCTCGAGACTCGTCTCCCTTTGCTCCAGCGGGGTGTATTCTCCCACGGAAACTCCAGCGCAGAAATCACCTAGAACGTCAGAAACAGTTAGGCATTGCCGCTTTATTAGGTAACAAAACGATAGACAGGTAATTACCTTCCTCTGAAAAGAACTTTTGGGTCAGATTCCCCCGCGCAAGGAAACTTGGCGGCGGCGGACCGAGAAGACGTATCATTTCGGCAAGATGAGCTCGACTCCTATAAGTCTGAAATTCTGGGTCCTGGCCGCTAAACAAGGACCCCCCTTCGAAAAGGTTCCAAACCTGGCGATGTGAATTCAGAAGTTTTTGCACCAGAATTATCCTTTTCTTACCATGCATCCCACATTCCATATATCAACGCTGTATGTCCATGGAATTTCCAAAATCACCTCCGGTGCTCGATAGATATCGGGTTGAATATCTTCCGAGTGCTCTTCGTCACCCAGCACGGCCGAGCCGAAATCGCAGAGGATAGGCGCGCATGGTTGATTAGGAATTCCGAGTTCACGAGAGGTATAAATTGTCCTTCCATCTAGCTCCTTCCGAGGGCAGGGGCTCTGAAGCTCATTCTCTTCAAAATCACGGAAAAGAAAAGATAACACACTCTCCCACAACGGAGGATGTACGAGACATCGGTGTTTGTCTTCAGGTCCGTTGACATCGAAGGAGTCCAGCAACGATCTCACATACTTACGACCTGGATGTTTTTGGGAAGCTCCTTCTATGCGTTTGTATATATTAAGCTCGTCGTCCAGTTGCTGTCCCATTGACGTAGACTTAATGAAAAGCTTCAGAGTAACATAACTATGGTATCTGTATTTTGAATTAGTGAAAGAGTGGTGGGAAGATAATGATATGTGAAGATTTCATGGGCGTCTTCTTACTCCATGTCACGAGCGAGCCACACGGTTGAGCTAGCTCCAAATCCCAGCTTTCCCACAACTTGGTACCGGTCCTTAAGGATTTCCCCTATTCGAGTAGGATAGTAACGACCAGCAACGTAGCCCGGAATGGTTTCCTCCTCAATTGCCTGGCCTGTGGGCAACCGAATGAAATTCGGATTGCTGAAGCTGAAAGGTGTCCATCTTCGTCCGAGCCGTGGCAAGGACCGTAGAAAAGACACCACCATTTCTGAGGTGAACAGGAGCCAGGTTTATTGTAGGGCGCTGTGTGAATTTCGAAATATGGGTGGAGACAACGCGAATGGTGGGAAATCAAGACAACAATGGGGTTATGGATGGCAGGGGATGGCCTTGCTTACGTGATACTCTATTGAGTTGGGTACCCAAGACATGGATGGATTGTAATACAGACCCTCATAAAATGGATACTACGTAACGTCCTTAAAAGACCATCAAGATTCGAACCTTCGTCGATGGTTGTATCAATATGCTGGGCTACGCTTCTTGGATAGAACAAGCGTGGGAAGGGTGGCCAATCACGGCTCGTGAAACGGTCCCGCAGGAAGTTGTCTCCGTAAATCCGATCGCTAGCTTGGGACTTGAGCTGTCTGTGGGGAAGAATCCGGGGTTGACAGTCTTCATCTCTCTACTCTATCAGTCTAGCTATGCCTCAGACGCGGCGTCGTCTCAAGCCGCAGAGGGCCTGCCCTTGGTGTCCTCGAACATTTTCTAAAGAAGAACATCTCTCTCGGCACATAAGATCGCATACCAAGGAGAAACCCTTTACTTGCTCCGACTGTGGCAAATCATTTAGTCGCCAGTAGGTTCAAATGAGAAGTATACAAGGTGGTTCTACCCCTTTAGTCAAGTGCTAATGTGACGCTAAGCGATACTCTTTTGCGACATGCGAGGGCTCATCCTTCTTACAATACCCCACAGTCAGGGCCCATCGCCACACCTGCTACGACCGGAGTCCATCAAGCACCAAGCACATCAGACATCGTCTCGCTAAATCCTGATGAATCTATTTACTTCAACGTCGATAGACCAGCACCACCCCGGCTGCCCGCGTGGCTTGAGACTTTCGTAGATCCTCCCACGGAGTTCGTTGATCAAAGACAAATACAGTCCCAAGAAGCTACCTTTACGCCTCTGGAAGGCATGCTTCAGAATCCATCAGCCATTCAGTGGGATACCGATCTTGACGCCCAAGTCCCTAACTGGTTGGCTGGCGAGGACTTTGACTTGAACGCTCTAAATTCCTCTGTGCTGGCCAGCGCTATAAATGACATCCCCCTTTTGGTGTGCCACGATGACGAGACGACTGTCTGGTCGCTATCGGACCCTCCAATAAATGTTGATGAAGATCGCGAGGAATACCGTACTCGTCAACACTGGTTCAGTTTCATACCCGCGGGTGATACTGGGCATGCTACTCCTGATATGATGCCCGAGCGGACAGAAGTTGATGACCAGTATCGAGAAGGCCTTTCAAGATGTCTACAACAGCGGGTCATGGCTGAGCCTTTGCCTTCCACCGAGTTTCTAGTGAGTCTCCATACTTGATACCACGGCATGAGATTCTAATTACGACCAGAACCAATGTGTCCAAATGTACTTTACACGATTTAGTCCCATTTTCCCCGTTGTTCATCCTTCTACATTCCGACCTTCTCCAAAACACTCACTGTTACTTCTGTCGATCTGCTCAGTCGGTTGTCTTTTCGTCGGTTCCAATTATGCTATCGCTCAGGGCTCGAGAATCTTTGAGAGACTACACAAAGCTATTCTTGCTTCGGTCGGTATTCTCTGTCCATATGTATGCAAATTTTGAAACTGACTTGACAAGTGGGAGAAATACTTCGCCAAAGGAAAAGAGGAAACCCTGGCCATGATTCAGGCTGCTTTAATTGGGCAGACATTTGCCATTCTGTCGGGGGTAACTGATCTCGTAATTGCCACTCTTCTTTATCTCCGCTAACTCGATGAAAGAATCCAAGACACCTGCTTATTGCGCAAGCATTCCATGGAACGGTAGTAAACGTGAGTATGACCACTATCATTGGGAATAGCGCGACGCTTGATCTAACATTTGATTCAGTGGGCTCGAAGATGTAAAATGTTCCAAGTCCGCCAAGCAGATGATCTCTTACCCGGTGGTGGTCTATCCGTATGGACTCTGGAACAACGCTGGAAATCCTGGGCTCATGCCGAAGAGCAAATAAGGGTCGCGACAGGCCACTATATTCAGGACACAGAGCTCTCCACGTTGCTTATGAGCCGTCCAGTGCTGAAACATTCCTCATCAGTTATTCCAGTTACATCCAGCGACAGCCTCTGGGAGGCGAAATTTACATCTGGATGGAATGCTTTGAACGAGGAGCGAAAAGCAACGACCCCATCCAAGTCTGAATTCACAGAAGTCTCTGGATTTACTCAGTTCACGATGCTGGAAGGTCTTATTGCCTCCGTGGTCGACAATCGCTCATTAAATACAGGGCTTCGTGAAGATGTCCGAGAAGAGTTTGAACGCTGGCTATCTCGGTTTTATGATAACTTCCTGAAGGGAAATGCTCCTCGCTCGTCCAGTCCGTTCTGCCTGGAGCTTCTCTGGCACTCCGCATATCTAGCTCTATTTGTGGACTTCGATCGTCTGGAACTTGTCACGGGTAGAGAGGGATATGCGCAGTCCCTTCTGCATCTTGACTACATCCAAAAGTGGGCCTGCTCCCAGGATGGTCGGCGCTGCGCTCTTCACGGGGCCTTGATACTTCGCAAGGCCCAAGACATGACACTAGGGGTAGAGCCTGCCATCCATGTGCCTCGCGTTCTATACCAGGCGGCTATGGTATGGTTCGCGTATCTCAAGTTTGGCCTTGACAATCATGACTCTCCGAAAGACTTTTCAGAGCTCACCAGTCTCAATGTGAACTGCCAAGCTCTTCTCTTTGAATCAAATGGCTTCAAGATATCACGACCAAAGATCAAGGAGTCCAGTACTCTGAGTGGACTTGTGGATTTGTTGCGTCGGATTGGCCACTGGGGAATTTCGAGGAAATTTGCTGATCAGTTGGTTTGGATGATGCAAGGAAATACCGAGGAAGAGTCGAGCAGTAGTACCCTCCTGTAAGAGCGGCTGAAAAATTTACATAATGAATAAGAATACAGTTGTGAAGGCTTGCAAGTTCATATGGATACGTGTTTGTACATGTTTTGATTCCAGGATGGCTGTCATCTATTGTTCAATATTTGCAAACAACTTGCCAATCACAATCTTCAAGTCCTCCTTGGTATCACATGCAGCGAATATGAACCTATCCTGCCGGAAGATGGCAAATCGCATGCCTTTCAACGCTTTTCCCAGATATAACGGGTCATAGAACTCCGGCGCCGGTCGTCTTTCACACAAGGGAGACTTGGCAAACTCCTCACCAGTGGCAAGCCGATAGATATTGTCTTCCTTTGCACAATACCCGCGACCCATGTCCTCAACCAAGAATGTCGCTTCAGATGCTAGGATCTCTCCTTTGGACACTTCGTCAATGCCAGCAACAATCTCTCGAGAGGAAGAGACCTCATCTGCGCTTTTGACATAGACCAGAAACTGAAACAGGCCCTTCTTCTGCTGTCCAAATATCACGTCATCCGTGAAAAGAACATTTCCGTCTGGTCTCGCAACTTGTTTGCAGTACACTTGGGGAAGACAGAGACCACCGTTGAACTCTGGAAGAAAAGGCAGCCCTTTGGAATATTCATATCGCACCATCCCTTCCTTTCGACGCCCGAGTGATAATTCGTGGCGCCATGCTGGGACGAGCTGTATCAACCAGAGATAGATACCGCGTGCGAATATCTTCAGGGGGTTACTCTCCGTTACAAATTTTCCATTCTCAATAGTTGACGCGAGCGACTTCTCAAGTTGCTGCTTGCGTTCTGTGTACCAAGCCTTCAAGACGTCTTCATGAAATCCAGGCCTTTGGCTTTGATTTCGACAAAGAAGGGAGAGACGCCACGCTAGCGACGCAGCGTCTCGGAAACCTGATGCAATACCTTGTCCGCCAACTACATACGTGCTTATCAGCTGGGGCCTTTGGGCGGGATCGTCTGTAGGGAACAAAACCTACAGGGAGGGAAAACATGTGCAGCATCGCCACACAAGACTACTCGACCATGCGACCATCTGTTGCAGCTTCGAGCGGAAAATTTGAATGGCCTCGAACGAAGAACTTCAATGCAGTCTTCTGGGAATGACACGTCCCCTGAAAGGCTAAGTGAAGTCAGAAAAGGTCATGTGCAGGTGTGAACTGAACATTATACTCACCCGTATCGACTCCCCGCATGGGTAATATATGGAAAGACAACCTTCTTGATCATCTCCGGTTTTGACATCTCGTTTCCGTCTTCTCCACTTAGAATAACGAACTCAAACCGCCACAATCGATCGGAGGGTAGTCCGAAGCGACCACACACGGATGGTCGATTGGGATTGCAGATGAACCGAAAGTTGCGGGGAAAGAAAAGATCGTACACTTGCTCGGGTGTATACCCCAACTTCCACAAAGGAAAGTCGGGGTGAGTTTTGTCGTTGGGAAGACTAATCTTCCAATTCAGAGCTACCCATGTCTCTTCGTAGAATGCTCTGTTGATAGGTCAGTCAATCAATCATACTGCATGCTCTTGCGCATTACCATTACCACTCACTGATGGGCTTGCTCCATGAGGATTCCTTTAGACTCGAGATACTGCTTTCTGGTGAAACCAGTTTTGCCGTCTGCACCAACAAAAAAACGCGATCGTATGCGGCGAAGTTTGTCTTCCGAGTCCTTGTACTCACATACAGTACCCATTTCGTCTTCAGAGAGCCCGGTGATTTCACAGCCAGACCGCAGCTCACAGCACTTCAAAGCCGCCATCGCGTCTCGCAAGCATCGCTCTAGAGCAGGCTGATTATGGCAGATAAAACCCACATGACCGGTGCCGCCCTCAGTCTAGTCAGGCATTAAGATGATGATTAGCATTGATTCCAAGGCTGTTTCATAGTGATATCCGAGACAAGGATAACCTACCGTTCCGTAGTTCATCTCAATAAACGCCTTCTTATCCAGGACGGGCTCGGTTCCCCCAATGAACCTGAATTTATGCATGCCTGTCAAGTCGTTGATTAGATATTGCGCTAGCTCTGGGCAAGCCATGTAATCCTGCAACTCACATGTGCCAATCTTCGAATAAATGGACGAATACAGGCCAAGGCCTTGGAGCAGGCGAATCCCATCTTCGTCCAATGCAATACCGCGAGGATCTGTTGTGATTTCCGTTCCCTTCTCCAGAACGATGTTGGGCACGTCCATTTGCCCCAAATATGCCGACAGCATGGCCCCGGTCGGGCCACAGCCACAGATCACCACATCAGTCGTTTCGCACTCCGAGTCAGACATGGGTTCGATCGATATCCTTCAGGTTATTCTGAAGGCTATCACAACCTCAAGCAGTCTCGTGTCTGTTTATCCTCTGTTGGAGACGGAAACCTTCCCCAGAAATGCGGAGGTCCCGCATGCTCGGCAGGTCCCGCATTCCCCATGTGTCCCGCTTTGTAGGCCGCTCAACATCTTTTGGAGATCAGTATCCCTATATCCGTGATATCCGGACGTGATATCCGGACACTCACGCCATATCCGAGTCTGGGGACTTTTGGTCCCGCCGTCCCACCTGGAGGAGTCCTCCCGGGGCTATTTGATGAGGCAAGAGTCAAGATGTCTTCCTTGGCTTGATCCTTGAATTATCTCTTGAATTCGCTCTAAGTGATTTCTCATTGCTCAAAATGCCCTCTTGGACACACTTGATCCGCTTCGTTGCCGTCGAGGACAGCTTGGCCCATCTCGGCCAACTCGTTGATACTTCCCGCGATATTGGACGCGATAGTGTCGACGGTGTTGAGATCGCAGCGTATGTGATCGATGGAACCATTTTTGATGGCCGCGTCACCGACGATGTTATGCACGTAAAGCAGGTAAGATGACGGAGAGCTTGTCTGTTACAACCTGTTCTAACCTTTCTTTCAAGCTTCTTTCCCCGGTCTCACGCGAAGAATGCAACTATATCCGGTGCCTGGGTCTGAACTACATGGATCACGCAAAGGTATCTTTTCTAACCACCGGCTACCTCACTATTTCAACAGCTAAAGGCATCCAGGAAGCAAACATGGCCCTCCCTAAAGCTCCGATCCTCTTCACCAAGCCGCGCACTGCCCTCATCGGCCCCTACCCCGCGGCCATCAACATCCCCAAGTGCGCCCAGGACGGCACAAGCGACTACGAAGCTGAGCTTTGTCTGATTATCGGAAAGACTGGCCGTGACATCCCCGAGGATGAAGCACTGGACTACGTGCTAGGATATACCGCCTCAAATGATGTCTCTGCCAGAACGATGCAAATGATTACTACCCAATGGGCCTTCTCCAAGGGTCTAGATGGCAGTTGCCCGATTGGTTAGTAGAGCGAGTGCTTTTTCTTTCTTTCTTTTGACTGACATTCACCAGGACCTGTTCTGGTTGCTCCGTCCGTCATCAAGGACCCTCAGACACTCTCTATCAAGGCTATCCACAACGGTGCAACCGTCCAAGACGGCCACACTCGTGATATGATCTTCTCTATCAAGAAACAGATTTCTTATCTTTCTCAAGGTACTTCTTTGGAGGCGGGTACCATGTTCCTGACGGGAACCCCGGCGGGTATTGGGTACTTCCGGGAGCCGAGGGTGGTGCTGAAGGATGGTGATGAGATTTCGGTCGAGATTGGCCAGATTGGAACCTTGGTCAACAAGGTCCGATATGAAAGTCGATAGTCTGGGGTCTTGGTTTCGATTGTAGTCTAGGTAACGGTAAAACTGCCCCCTCGGGACGTGATCGACTCCCGGAGCACAGGGGGGCCCGTGACCCTGAGCAGCTCCTGAAGGCCGAGCGCTGAAATACCCGAACAACAATAGAAACACGTTTATCCTATATGGTAGATTCGTCGATGGAATTTTGAAGATCGTCATGCAAAACAAGGCGAACATCATCTAGTCTGGCAGACCTGGCGATGTTCCACCAACCTTGCTTCTTGGCAACGCGTCTGCAGAAGAGCATCACCCTTTTTTATTCCTGATAAGTCGATCGGGTAGTAACTTAGACTAGATATGAATGCAAGCCAGGAAGTAGGATACCGATGGCTTTCTCTTACTGGGGCTAGGAGCCCTAAGCTGCCCCATTGCTGCACTCGTAACGAGTTGGGGGCTCGGGAACTCTTAGAGACTTGCCATAGGGGGGTCTTGCTATGGTCTAGGAGAGTCTCGAGCAGCACCACCCTCCCAATACCTGCTATCCCATGGTCTCATACAGGCAGCTAAAGACGACCATCCTGTTGTGATGAAATTGCTACTAGAAAGGGCGGCGATGATCCAAAAATGGGCTATCTACGCAGCCAAATCACAGCCAGCCTGGGAGCTACTGTTAAACTACAGACTAGAGGTCAGCAATCCCATGGTTTGGGCAGTTGTGCCGCTCATGTGAGCTAGAAGAGGCTAGCAGATTGTGCGACATGGCCATCGTCGACCTCCTAAGCGAGCATGGGGCCAAACTCGAAAACAGTCTTGCACTACACCATGGCTTGATGCGATAAGAGGGTCGAATCCCGATGATGGTGCATTTACTCCATCTGGAAGTCGATGTCGATCGCTTCAGCTGGCTCCCACCGTTAGCTCACGGTGGAACGGCCCTTCACATGGAGGCGTATCGCGGCCAAGTGCACGAAGTGCAGTGGCTTGTGGAGTATGGGGCCGATCCTGCCGTCAAGGGACGGATGGAAATGACGCCGGAGGATTACGTCCTCTTGCAAGATCGCCATGACATGGTTAGGCTCTTGCGGGATTGGAGAGGGGTGGTGATCCTTTCCTAGCGAGGTTGAACAATCGTACATGTTTTGCGGCTACGTATAGATAGCAAGGAATCTAATGTTTCATATCAAAGACAAGCTCACGCTTTGAAGGGGCTAGGTTTGGCGTCATCTCGGATGTCGGCTCGTGATTGACGTTAAGATACCCGTTCCTGGGAAGGATCTTTGACTTTCCCATTTTTGGGTTTCACATTCCGATTTCCCCATTTTTTGATTTTCCTTATTGGTCTTGATTGGTGCCGTCCTTTCACTCAGCACCTATGCTGTCAGGCAGTGACGCGAGCCAACTTTTCTCCAGGAGTCTGGATAGAACGAATATCGAACTACAGCATAAGAGGTCTGGAAGGAATCGAAACTCGTAAATTCCAAAGGGGTATATCCCCTAATTGCACACAATATTGAAAGTCGGCATCTATATGCATTCACCAACTCCTCTATCTGAGCAACACGCGCAACATCCATGACCGCTCTATGTAAATGATCTATGTAGCAAGTAGCAAAATGTACCAATAGCAGACCCCAGATCTACTGTCTATTTGGGCGCCGCCGCTTTCCAGAACAGCCACCCGGCGGCCGCAACTAACTTCAGTCCCGCCGCCATCCACAGGGCCGACTCCATGCCACCGCTGCTGCGACTGAGCCACCCACCAACGATCGCACCGATTAGCAGCGACACCACCCCTCCGATGCGACGGTTCCGCTTGGCGTTGCTCGTGGGTTTCTGTGCGATCTTCGGGTCCGATGCAATATCGAAATAGACACTGGTGAGAACCACGGTCGGGATCTCGTTGAAACCGAGCGACCTACTGCAGGTCATCCCACCGGCTGACTGGAAAGCGAGCAGCCCGATGGGTATCAGCTCCAGGAAGAGCCGGCCCCCGCCTAGAGACATGTCGCTCGGCGTGTGGGGGATCAGGTCGGCCTGAATAATACCAGCGGCAATGATGATCAGGATGCTTTGAACGAGGAAAGAAACGAAGAGCGTGCCGCGACGGAGAGCGCCCACGCGCCGCATGATAGCGGAGAAGATCATGGCGCCGGCGAAGAACGATACGATGGAGACGAGGGACTTGAGCCAGCCCCAGGGTTTGGTTTTAGGCTGACCGGAGGCACCAAGACCCAGGAAGATGGTGTTTCCTATCAAAGATCAAAAATCACGTATTAGCTTGGGCCATTGTCGACGTCTCTATGGAATCGGTGTCTTGAGTCATACCGGTTTGCATTCCCAGAAAGCAGGACCAGGCATTGTAAGCACTGCTATCGCACAGTCCAGTCAGGAAGCACAACAGCAGGCACACCAGGTCGGCATGGGTAGGGTCCAGGTTCTGCTTCCACTGGCGAGAGAGAGTGGACTCCCGAGGCTCGTCCCGTGTAGGACTGGACTCGAGATCGGGGACCGCTGTGGGTTGATAGGCTTTCTCCATCATGTGTCCGGATGAACGTGTGAAAGATCAAGCTCAAAACAGACAAAGTTCCAAGGTTTTCAGAGGTGATGGAAACTGAACATATTGTCTTCATAAATAAATTGGGGCATGCTGCATTCTTCGCTTGGGGCCATTCTACGGGAAAAGAATCATCACACCTCTTTGCCTCCCTTCGATTGACATTCCTGTAAGCCTAAGAATCTGTTCCTGACTCGATCGACAAGTTCCGACCATGGGATTTGGGCGGTTCACGGCGCAGCCAACGAGAAGCGTGCTCGCCACCACCCAACTCAAGATGTATTGGGACTTGTCGTTCAACCGCATGTATGAACGAGCGGTCGGGTTCGCTTACAGGTTCGACCAAACGAAGCGGGTTTGGGTCGGTTAGTTGCGAGTGGGGACATTCTAACGCCGTGGTCACGGTGGAGTTTAAACAGATAACGGTCAAGTTAAGGTTTCTGCCAATGACGTTCCACATGTGTCCACTGGATGTGCCTGACCCTAACATGTGAGTGCCCGGGATCATCCGGATCATCCACTCAGCGGTGTTCTTAAATTTGAGCTTATTGCCATTTGGTACAGACCGATAAGCGATTAATGAATGAATATCGCGCATCATCGTAGATGTACCCGAGAGCAAATAATGAGACGTCATGTCTCAAAATTGAAATGACAGTAGTTTGAAGTCTCTATAACAAACCGCGGTACCGAGAACAGGAGTGTTGATGAATGGAATGAACTGAGCTGATTGTCTACGCAGGTAAGTATCCCAGGCCCTATTGGAGATGGAGATAGACAAACCCGATTTTCAAACTCGTTTACGCACCACCGTAAGTGATTACCAGCCAGCAACATTGCAAGGTTTATGGTTTGCTTGCCACCTTGATCGATAACCCGATATATCCGGAGAAGTCATGAAATTGTGACACATGGCGTAGACGTGCATGATGGATAACAGCGGGGCTGAGAACAGTGGTCGGTGGATCTGCAAGTACCATCAAAGCACCCACGTGGGGACAGTGCAGGACTTTGAGTAGAACGGTAATTGGGTAAAAACGGGAAATTGACCCGCAACAAGTGGGTTTCATTATTGTAGAACACAGACGCCACTCATTTCTTGTTTCGGGCTAAGCATTTTATGTTACGTGTGCCAAGATGTCAAACTGACTGCATCTACAGTAATAGTTCCAGAGCGGCAATTACATTTGGGCAATGGGAATTGCAATCGGAGAACGGGATCGGAGGAGATTCAATAGCTCATTCTTCTCGTGGTCAGCGTCGGCTGCGGGCAGCATTCAATCATTGGGCGCAGGGCTGACACCTAATTCTTGGGCGGGCTGACATCTATACGCGAGGCCAATTCTTTGGAACTTACTATTCAACCAACGACCAACAATTACGGGCCCTGTTCCTGAAGCGAAGCGGGTCTAACCCCAGCCTCACACCCTGGGATAGGCAAACGCACATAACCTCTCACAAGCGTCAGATCACAGATCCAAAGCCACAGTGGAGCCAAGGAAGGAGGGAGCCACGGTACTCTGGATCTCCCCATCGCCATGTGCCCGTCGCCTCCCGCTTCGGACCAATTTTCGGTCTCGTCATTATCGTTGATATGACACGGAACCAAGGCATTTGGGCTTTGACGAGAGGCGACTTGTCACCTAGACGGTCAGGAATACCTTCCTGATCTGGGCTTGTGCTCGAATATATAAAGGGCAGTGATTTCCCTCGAAGATGTTTTTGTATCACAGAACACAATTCGCAATAAGAAGACTACTCGTTTATCCAAGTTCCCTCTTTTATCAAACTTCTCTCTTTTATCAAACTTCTCTCTTTTTATCAAACCTCCCTCTTTTATCAAACTTCTCTCTTTTATCAAACTTCTCTCTTTTATCAAACTTCTCAACATGACTATCTCAATCACCGTCGAGAAGGATGGATTCTACGAGGTCAACGGGGCCCAACAGGAGCCTTCCGTGTCTCTCCATGTGACCCCGGCAGCTTCCAAGCTGCGCCGCATGCTCAAAGAGACGAACGAACTCATCGTGTGCCCTGGTGTGTATGATGGCCTCTCCGCCCGCATTGCCATGTCGGTTGGCTTCAAGGGTCTCTACATGGTAAGAACTCCGAACTACGTCTTCATATCCCGGTATACTGATAAAATACATAGACTGGTGCTGGAACTACTGCATCACGATTGGGAATGGCGGACCTTGGCCTGGCTCAGCTTCATGATATGAAGACCAACGCTGAAATGATTGCGAATCTGGACCCATATGGCCCCCCATTGATTGCAGACATGGATACCGGCTACGGAGGTCAGTTACCAACGATCCGAAACATAACTACTGAATGAAAAAGAGACTGACTTTCTTCCAGGCCCCTTGATGGTGTCAAAGGCCATTCAACAGTACATCCTGGCCGGTGTCGCTGGCTTCCATATTGAAGACCAGATCCAGAACAAGCGTTGTGGACACTTGGCAGGCAAGAAGGTCGTTACCATGGACGAATACCTCACACGTCTTCGCGCCGCCAAGCTGACCAAGGATCGTCTGCACTCGGACATCGTTCTGATTGCCCGAACTGACGCACTCCAGCAACATGGTTACGACGAGTGCATTCGTCGGCTGAAGGCGGCCCGTGACATTGGAGCCGATGTCGGACTACTCGAAGGGTTCACTTCGAAAGAACAAGCCCGACAAGCAGTCCAGGATCTGGCTCCTTGGCCCCTCCTCCTCAACATGGTGGAGAATGGCGCGACCCCTCTCATCACCACGAAAGAGGCCGAGGACATGGGCTTCAGGATCATGATTTTCTCGTTTGCTACAATCACCCCGGCATACCAGGGAATTATGGATACTTTGCGGAACCTCAAGAATCAAGGAGTTGTGGGTACTCCTGCAGGACTGGGTCCGAAAACAATCTTTGAGGTCTGTGGGTTGGGGGATGCCATAAAGGTTGACACGGAATCCGGAGGCGATGGCTTCGTCGAAGGTGTCTAATGATATTTTGATTTGTTCATTCTTTCCTTAGAGGCGCAACGGTGTTCTATGTCTAGTCAGATATTCAAATTGCAAGCAAATTTCTCATTATTACTTCTCATTCTTTCCTTAGAAGCGCAACTGATTTCATATAGCTAGTAAGATATTCAAATTGCAAGCAACGTTCTCATTATTACTTCCCATTCTTACCTTCGAGGCGCAATAGAGTTCATATATCTATTTAGATACTTAAATTATAAGCAACGTTCTCATTGTTACCTTCTATTCTGACCTTAGAAGCGCAACGGATTTCATATATCTACTCAGATATTCAAATTGCAAACAACATTCTCGTTACTTCCATTAGTAGCCAGGAACGCCCTCGTCCTGGTCCAAGTCTTTGTATTGGGCCTTTACAATCTCATTGACTATTGCAACCGAAGAATTCTTGCAAAGACTCTGCCTCACTTTGTGCGCCTTTGGTTTACTGTTGCATGAATGTGATTCAAACAATACTGACAAGGTTACAAGGACCTCCCTTGACGAGCCTCGGTGGCGAGTTTCAATCCCAGTGCTGGCCAGCTTGTTTCCCTTGACGAACCTCGTGGCGAGTTTCAATCCCAAGTACTGGTCGGCTTGTTCCATAGGAATCATAAACATGGCCGGAAAAGGCCAAATGAATCATAAGCAAGGCCGGAATAGGCAGGTGCAATTGTGACTGGATGATTGGGCTTGCCGGCGAATTTTTTCCCTACTTAGGGACACTCCCCACATTGGGAAAGCTTGAACGTTAGAGAAATTCTCTTGAGATTCCGGATCCCTACGGAACTTCCTCTGAATAAGGAGGGGTCGGTCTGGTTGGCGAATGTTTCAGAAAAGAACGAAGGTACTCGGGCCGACCGTTTCAATGTGCCGGGAAACTGGCGCGGGAAATGGGGGGCTATGGAAAGCCTTGAATAAGGCGCTTAGGCCAAGCCCAGAGAAAGCTAAGCATTTCCGCCTGGGTTTCTTTCAAATTGGCGCTTGTGACTGTTGAGTCTTGCGGTAGTCGCACTTTGTCTGACGTCATGAACTATCTACTTCCGTACGACCAGGTGACTCGTTTGCCTCTGCCAAGAGGAGGCTACCGTCCATCTTTCTCCCCGGGAATTTTAGACTTTCCATACCAATTAAGAACCGTTTTAGTGTTTTGGGGTGGCCTGGCGGTGGGACGTAGAACTTTCCACAGAACTGGGAGAAGACATGATTGAGCGATACTGGTTGGATAATACTCACACGAACCCTAAAGTCGTTGGCAGATCTGCATCGCAGCCGGTATGACATACATGGGCGAGAACACACACCACACGAGTGGTTGGTGGCGGCTCTTGGAAAAAGTATGAACTCCATACAGGGGGTGAGGTGACATTGGGTCGAGTCTGTACATTCTCTGCTTTCGTTTTTGTATCGCTCCAGGAGTCAACGAGTAATCCTCTACGACCTCTATATTTTCATTATGTCTTCATTTATCCCATGGAGTATAATGACTGTATAATAACGTGTATTTATCAAAGTTCAGATCTATCTAAACATGCATGAAGAGACAACACCGAGATGACATGGCTGTACACAAAGTTCTATAAGATGCAAAATTCTATTACAGAAACATATCACGAATTCGCAAGTCGCTAAATCAATATCCCGCACGGGGATGGTGCACCATCGGTGGCACCATGCTCGCAGGATGTGGCCAATGAGGCGGGATGTGTTTCCTAGGCTCGTAACCTCCATAATGAGCCAGCTCGGGAGGATAGGCACTCGAGGGTGGTGGGACCGCAACAGGAATATATTCCTGGTGGTGTGATGCAGAGTGAGGCACTCCTGGCGGAGCATCGGGGGCCTCGAAGGCCATGGAGTACCACCATTCGGGGTCCAAGGTGGGATCAAGACCCAGGTCGGGAGACATGGGGCACGGTGACCACGCTGCCATTGGGGGGTTGGTCGTTGACCCTGGAGGGAGTACACATTGACCAGGATAGACGGGGTACCCCGGGGAGGAAGACATCGGAGCAGATGTGGTGTTCATAATGAGACCCTCGGCGACTGGAGAGGTCCGAGCCGGCTGCTCAAAGGAGGTAGCAGGCATGTTGAGATCGTGGGCGGCATGGGATCTGTTTGAGACACGGACATGATCCATCGATGGGCTCGGAGTCAACAGTTGAGCCGCGGAGGCATTCCACTTCTGGTCCATCGGCTGGGAGTGGACATCTAATAGTGCGCCGGCCGGAAGACCTGAACAGTCCCAGCCTGTGGATGTCTGCATTGCTGCCGGCGATGGCCCGTCGTTGTGTGGAGGTGTAGCGGGGGACGCATTCTCATCCTTTTCAGAGTCGTCGTCCCCTGAATCGCAACCACGAGGCCTGCGAGTCTTGCGGGAAGGCTTGATGGCCCGCCATTTCCTCAAGCGGCTTCGCAGTTGTGTCTCACTGAAACGTGTCAGATAATCATCAAAAGGCGCCCAAGGAATGGAAGAAGTAGCTTACCTTGGGTTAAAATCGTCCGAACGAATCTGTTTGAGGACATGCTTGAGAGGCCATTCCTCCTCCACGTATAACCTATTGATCAAGGGCTTCTTCTTTTCCCACGCACATGAAGAGATCGAAGTTTTCATAATTGTAGTGTTGTAGTAGGAAGGGAGGACTCTGAAGATGGGAGAAAGAGAAGGAAGGAAACGGCGACAAGGGGTTTATGTAGATAACGGAGACACTGGGGATCCACGGAGACTGGTGAGGCGTGATATAGAGTGGACCACTGAAATGACATGATCTGGGTCTTTCCATGGCACCACGCGAATCACGTCTACAGTGCCCCTAATGTGGGGTGTGTCACGAACGTCCACTCCTTCTCGATCACACGTGGCGGCAAGGTACACATGGTCGATCATGATCCACCCGAATCGACTCACCGAAAGGGGTTCCTGGCGCTCAGGAACAGACCCAAGCCGGGGAGGCGAATCCAGCCGGTTATAGGCCAATTGCCTCACACGGCCTCGTGGAACCACATATCTGGACCAGGCAAGCCGATTGCCGCGATTTCCTAGTCCGGTGTTGCTCCACCGGCCATGAGTCCCATGAGTCCCCACAGGATCTCCAAACCCCAAGATTGTCGATCATCGTCGACCCGCCACCCTCACGTTGTTCCTGCCTGTCCGCCACCCTCACCTTGTTCTTGTCTGGGCTCGGTACTGGATGGCCTCCAGAAACAGCAACCCGGTCTGTTGGGTGAACTCACTCGAACTATTGGCTCTGTCATGTTATATCCTCAATCGATGCCAGTTCCATCGCACCGACTAGGCTGGCTAGTATAGTGGGAGGACTCTCGTTGGCTTGTCCCATCAGCCTTCACTTACAGCCCTCTACAATTGTCATCCAAAAGTATATCACGGCGTACTCTTCAGGCCTCAGCGCTTCCTCAACCAACAAGCTTTCTTGGCTAGCTACTTCCGTCGCATATCACTGGTCAAGGCTTCCACGGATCACAAGCTGTCCAATGGGAAAATGGCCTCGCCGCCTATCAGAGCTCCCAGCAGTCTGCGCGACCCCACGGGTACCCAACCCGCCTATCACCCCCCGGGGATAGGGCCTTTGAAACATACCATGAGTTCGGCCGAAGTGTTTCCATAGAACCACTGCTCCCCCATGAGGGCGAAGTCTGGCATATGCCAATCGACACCTACCAGCAGCAGCAACCCCAGCAGCTCCCACCGGCAATTCTAGATGATGCTGGACCCGATCTACGCAGGCGGGATGCAAAGAAAAAGCATAACAGCAGAAGCAGCATTAGCCCCAAATTGCGTTCGTGCCTAACACATGATCTCGGTGCGGCTTTTCTTTCTTCTTAGCCGCTTAAAGGGAGCGCTTGAATTTGCGTCTGTCCGGTACCCCTTTCGCTTCGTCGATCCTGTACCATACTTCGGCTTGCAACTTAAGGTTTCCAGTCAAGATCGATCTGTTCTCGAACAGGAAATGGAATGTTTCAAATATCTATTACGCGTGATGGCGTTCCAGCCCCTGAAAAGCAGTTCGTGATACCTTGACTTCATTGGACTCGTTTGCGTTTAATCCCCGTTAGCCCCACCACTACCGTTCTCCGCGTCGCCACTCACGGAAAGATTAACCTATGATCTTGTAATGTCAAACCTTAATTTCCCCAATTTTTGGGCAAATGTTGGTACTAGTATTGAACTTTGACATGATGATGGACGGATTTGGAAGGTGGCAGGTAAAAAACAGACAACCCACGGTAACAGATTAAAGTTATTCCGCGGAATTGGTCCCGACATCCTTGATTTGCGCTAACGGCATTCCTTTTTAGTTGAATTCCTCCCCGTTGCGTCTTGCTAGAAAGAACCAACGGATCGCTTTGGAGATGACTAGTTTTTAGGATTGTCACGGTTGATGAGCGGCAATCAGGAGCGGGTGGGGAAACGGTTTTAAGGTTTACCGTTGGGGCTCAAAACCTTCTCTATATTGTGGGTACCATTACTGTTGAAAGCACTACGAGGCTGAATGATTCAAATTCCCGAGGCCTTGCAATTTTACGATCGCAATATAGTTTGCTATGACAGAAGAAGCAAACCAAGTCAAGAGGTCTACAGGCTTTGTGAAAAGTGTCGATTATTACAAAATAATGAGTGTTTAGAACGGGAAGATGGAGATTCTAATGGGAGTACAAAGTCGCCTCTACAGCCACGTAGCAGAGCCATGGTTACCGTAGTTATGGGAACTAAGAATGAAGAAACCGAGTCAGGACGGGTGTGTTACTGATCGACCGGGTCTCCCCCATACCCACAATCGAATATTGGACCAGTATTCTTCGTCCCGGCTTCTTACTGCCTGTTTCCGCCCGCATGATCTGCGGTCCCAGTTCCTCGGAACCACTAAGGCGATAAAGTTCGCGGCAGTCTACCACAATCCATTGGGCGTACTTTTGCGCAAAACCTGGGGCGAAAGATGTTCGGTATTTAAGCTTTAGATGTCCGCTAAAGTCATCCTCGGAAATCCACACGCAATCTCACCCCGCCTGTTGCTTCCCACTACACACACAAGCTCTGCTGCCGAAATGGCTGAGTTGGCTGCTCTCAGTACACTGCCATCATGTGCTGTATGCTTCGCCCGATCATTTTATAATGCCCAGCTAATGGAATCATAGGTAGAATGCTTGGCTAAAACCGCATTGGAGGTAGGGTGTGGCCTTACCGACCTGGCATGCCAGTGCCGAAGCGAAAAGATGACCCAAGTCGCCACTGCTTGTATATTAAATTCTTGCACCTTGGCTCAAACTTTGAGTATGTGATGCATGCAATCTGGAGACCACCAGCTGACGATGGACAGGTACGGGACAGCTGCAAGCAAAATTGTGCAACCGTCCGCACAACAATCGCCATACTCTAATTCAAGCCTCTGCTATTTTTACCGCAGTTGTCATTTTCCTGATGGTCACATTACGTCTTATATCACGATTCTTAACTGTTGGCAAACTGTGGTGGGATGACTGGTTTCATATTATCGCTGGGGTGTGTATTGAATTCAATCCCGAGTTTCTCATGTTCTGATTCTAACGATACAGGTATTTTCCGTCCCGTTGGTCATTGCAACAAATCTCTGTAAGACTCGTGCCATGCGGTGTTTCGAAATAATACTGACAGTGGAACGCAGGTGCTAAATATGACCTCGGTTACCATATTTACTCTCCCAAGTTTACCGCTTCAAAAGTTACTTCTCTCCTTTTTTGGTGTAAGTTGTGTGTCCCAGTAAAGTGAACTGGCCAGTCAACTCATGGAAATCACTCTACCAGTCTACATGTGCCAAATATTTTGGGGCTTGGCCATTTACTTCGTTAAGATGTCCATCCTGGCACTCTATCTCCGCCTGTTTCCGAACAAGGGCCTTCGCCTTGCTGTCTTTTTATGCATGGGCTTCGTGACTCTCTCTGTGGTCATCCTCATCCCCTTGGTGATCTGGCAATGCAACCCTATCGCTGCATCGTGGGAACTAGATGCAAGACACCATGCGAAGTGCCTGAGCCTCTCTGGAGTTGCATATGCCAATGCAGCCGTCAATATTGCGACAGAGATTACGATTCTTATCATACCGCTACCCGTGATAAGAAAATTGCAGATCAACCGAGCGAAGGCAATCTCGCTGTATGTATTGTTTGGTGCGGGTCTACTGTAAGTTCAATCACTGCACGTCGCATCACGCGAGCACCACTTTATACTCGGTCAACCTGTTCTACCTTGTACCGGGTATGAATAAAGTAGAGGAAAGATGTTAACCGAGACAGTGTTATTGCGATTGCTTCCGCTCGCGTTCCGAGTATAGGCCATATTGCCACCCTCGATGATCCGACCTACAAGAATGTCCCCCTTACCGTATGGACATGTGCCGAGTCTGTGGTTGTGCACATTTGCGCAGGTGCTCCTGCAATCCGATGTCTCTTCACTAGGATGGTACAAAAAGCACGCGTATTTGGGAGCTTTGGAAGCGGAACACACGGAAAATCCAATGGCTGGGGTGGTACTCCCACCAGCAAACAAAGCTATTCTGCCGGTTCAGGAACGTCTGGCTCCCTAGCACAATTGAGGCGTACGGGGGACAGCACAAGGAAAACCAGTGACTTTGATTTATACTCCTGTGAGTCGAATAAATGCGAAGCGCTCAAAATGTTGGAGACGAGACGCTGACTATAAGGGCCACTCTCATAGACGAAGATCATCAGAAGGACCTTGCATTAAAGCCACTACCGCGGCCGCCGAGCAGTCACATGAGCACATCTTCCTACAATTCTGAGAGGAGATTCTCCCATGATACGGACATCGATGATCGTAAGGTCATAGCGATGAACTTGGCTGATCATAATGATGAGCGGGTGTGCTCTCTGGGATATTGTTCGTGCGCACAAGGGGAGGGTTGTGCGGTGCATGGCCGGTCGTTTTTCCAAGTTTGATTCTCCGTGATGTAAATCTGCGTCGTCGTGTTGTGTTCTTAAGACATATTTCTGTTTCTTGTCCTCGCCTGCGGATTGGTTGCGGGAGCTTCTGACGAGCTTTCGCTTGACCACCGCTTGGTTCAGCTTCGATTAGACAATAGATCATGAATTCTGAAGATTTCCTGCCTCCAGTGGTGTCATTCGATTTAAATAGCTTCAATTTCTTGTCAAACGAGTGTTCCAGTGGCAGTAAAAACTGGCTGTCGATCGTGGTGCAGTAGAATGACAGGGATTGAGACCAACAAAAAAAGAGCAAAAGGCAAAACACTATTTCAAGAACCAAGCTGGAACCTCCGGTCCCCAAACAGCCAGAGACTCATCTCCAGCGGGACCATAGCCAATAGGGGTCTGATCATTCACCAGATCTCCATCCGCATAGTGCTCGATCATGTTGCCAGTAGTATCCCACCAGTAATCAAAGATCTGAGACCCCAAAATATGCCGACCGACACCCCATACAGACTTGTAGTTCTTGTCTGCGAGCCACTGGTGTCCCAATTTCTGCGTATCAAAATCATGCACTTCGAATGAGCAATGGTGAGCGTGTGTTGTGGTGTTTGTGCTCATGAAGAAACTGTGGTGGTCGACGTGCTCGTTGCCACGGTCGATATGTGCGAAGAGCGCGACGTTTTGCTTCTTGCCTTCTTTTTCCACGTATAGGAAATCGGTGGGTACGATGTTGAACGTTGTCGTGTAGAAAGTGACAAGATCTTCAAACTGCTGTGTGCAAACGCCAAAGTGGCCAAGCTGATTTGCAAAGTCAGTTTAGTCGAGAGGTGGGTAGTAGTACACGTGCCTTGTGGACAGCTGCTGGACCAGGGTTGAATCGCTGGAATCTCCGAACTCGCGGTTTTTCTTCTTCATAGTTGATGGTGAGCTTCTCTGGGAAGGCGCCCTTTTCGGCAGGCGTCTGTCCAAACATCAAGTTGACGGGAAATCCCTCGGGGTCCTTCAGAGTCACCAAAAAGCCGCCTCCGGGTGCATCTAAAAGTTCTTGGATCTTGGTGGCTGTTGGAAGCTGGGCGGCTCTGTCAAAATGTCAAAATGTGACGCTCCAAGATGGATTTCCTCCTGTTAACGTACTTCTCCAGGTCTTCGTATGATTCCACGGCAAATGTGCCACCGAGATACTCCTTCGGTCCCTTTCGAGCATAGTAGACATATTGGTCAACGCCATAACCGCGATACCAAATTTGATCTTCTGTTCTCTTGGCCACAGTCATGCCAAAATCTGATATGGGTTAACAATAACTCGAATAGATCAACCAGAAAAAAGGATATAGTATACCTTGAAGGAATGTCGTGATTTGGTCCAGATCAGGATGTTGATAGCGCATGTGCGCCAGCTTCACTAGACGTATCTGCTTATTTTTGTCGATACTGCATCGCTGCTGCCATTCGGCGATGTTTTCCCGCTCGGGGCCGATGGCTACGATATCCGGCACTGACGCCCCGTGGTTTGTGGCAGCCATTGTGAATTATGATCTAGAAACCAAATCTATTCTTGAGTAATGCCTTCAGGCTGTATGTTTTATTTGAACCTTTGCATTATTTGTCAAGATAATCTGCATTCGTGAGACTGCTTCCCCGCACCCCACACAATGCAGGCCCCGCGTCCCGCTGATCCAAGCGTCCCGCAAGACTTCCGACCGTATATCCGGCTTGGTTTTCGGTGGGATTGCTTAGGCTCATCTTAGGAGATGTATAGTAATGGAACTTCTTTAACGTCTGACATGTGGGCAAAGGCCTTGGACTCGTTCTTCCCCAGAGGTTGTTGCTCCGTGAAGCCCACCAACATGCGTCCGTATGTTCCGCATGGCACTTCAATAAATCGGCGCCGGAATTAAAATCAAATTAGGTTTGGATTCTAGTAACCCTGAAATAGTGTAAGTTCATTCTCACTGCGTATATCCGATCATGAACAGCATCGTTCACTTGATGAACGAGGAACCAATTCTTCCTCTTCTTCTCTGCTATGGAAGACTCCCTCTTACCTCTCGCCCTACCGGAAGCCCCAGTCATGGATAGTGAAGATGACCACGTCATTGGACTCACCGATTTTGAATGCTGAAACCTTCAAGTTTCTCTTGGGCAACAAAAAGGTGCAATCTATTGTTGGCTAAATTTAAATACTGTGTCACAATATTGTTAGTATTGTACCAGGCCCAGGTCTTTGTTTCGATCCAGCGTATTGACAGAAGCTGCTGATCAGACCGTTGAGTTCACGAAACTTTCGCTGATAAGTGGCTGTGAATGTCGACAAAACCTAAAGTGTAACGGGGGCGGAACGGGAGCGGACTCCGTGTCCGACCACCGCCTCCGCCAAACTGAAGTCGTGACATCAACTACGAGGCCGTCGACACTATTGGAGATTCGGACCCTGCAAGCCAACTCTTCCGACTAGCATTCGACTCACACCATGTATCCGGTTACACGACAGCGCGGAGTGGCGCCAGATTCGCCCGGCATGGACGACCAAAGCGGACTCCGCTTGCCGAAGGCTTGTAAAACATGCGCCAAGGCCAAGGTACGATGTGATCCGGACCCTAATAATGGTCCCTGCAAGCGGTCAGTACTCATTTGACATTCTAAGTTAATGTCCGTTCTCTAATAATGCCTAGATGTCGCCGTCTGAATAAGGAATGTGGTGGTCAGGCTCCTGGGGCACATCGTCGCCAGAGACCCACCGCAAGTAATATGTGAGCTACTCTTATACGCATTCCAATCACAAATCTTATACTGTTCATAGTGAGGTTGCTTCCCTAGAGGCTAAACTAGATCGGATGGTCGCCCTGCTAGCCGCTTCGGGGCGAAATTCCAATGAGATAGGCCCCTCGCCTGAAAGGTCTTCAACGTACCCAGAAGATGATGCGGTGATGCCGAGTGAGCAGGAAGGGCATGCGTTCTTGGAAATCTTTAGGACAAGGATGGTTCCTGTGTTCCCATTCATTGTGATACCAGCCCATGTCACCCCAGAACGACTACGTCAAGAAAAGCCATTTCTCTACCTGAACATCTCAATGGTTGCCTGTCAGAATGCTCCACGACAGAGAGAAATTGCCGGAATCGCTAAGGAGTATGTCGCTGAGCATATTGTCTTGAGAGGCGAACACAGTCTGGATCTGTTTGAGGGTCTCCTCGTTCATATCGCGTGGTTCATCTCTGTTTCTCGCCTGCACCGTCCGGACATTGCTGGCCGAGCGCTCGACAATGAGAACGAAAAACAGAGGTATAATATGTCAGGCGTTGCACAACTGGACGCATTTGTGCAGTTGGCAAGGGCCCAGGCAATTAGCCTGGGATTGAACCAGGAACAAAACATCATGAGAAGCCTTGATAAACCTATCGTCTATCTCAGAAACCTTGACCTCGAGAATGGTAAGGCTCCGGTTCGCACACTCGAAGAACGGCGGGCTTATCTTGGGTGCTATTATGTGATTGCGATGTATGCTTCCTTTACTCCTGTGGCTGTTCCAAGACCGAAAACTAACTGCAGAAGGCTCTCCGCGTGCGTCAGAAACATGGAACCTCTTCGCTTTACCAAATATTCGAATGAGTGCTGCCAAGTTTTGCAAGAGACCTCGGAGTTTCCTACAGATGCCTTTCTGGTCCAACTTGTGCGATCGATGCATCTTGCTGATAAAATCAATCGTACATTCTCAATCCACGACTATGATTCTTCTGCAGTTCTCTCTACGCCACTGGGGATGAGTGTGAAGTGGCATCAAGCCGAGCTCCAGCGGCTGAGGGCATCTTGCTCATGTGAAACGCCATATTCCAGTACGTGCTGGTATCATCTGCCACTCTATCTCACATACTGATCGTTCATTTGGAAAATAGCCATTTTATTCTTCCATTACGATACCCTCGAATTGCTCTTGTACAAAATCGCCCTCAGTGAGGACCTATCGGATGCTGAATACGGCGGGCACCCAGTGACGCGATTAGACCTGCTCTTCTGTTGTTTGGAAGCGACAAAATCCTTCTTCTTCAACTACTACTCCCTCTCATCTGCCTATTTCCCATTTTTGCCGTTCACGTCGTGGTGCCAATTCGGTCACGCAATCGTCATCCTATCTCGACTGAGTCTCTACCGGAGCGATCGCGTGGAATGGGATCGAGCTTATGTCCAAAGCACCATTGATTTCAATAATATTGTCGATCAGATAGGACAGAAACTGGGAGAAGCACGGCCATCCACAAAGCTGGGACCAGGGAAAGACCAGCAGTGCACAAATGAGCGACCTGAGATATACGAAAAATTGGAAAGCAGGATGCAATTGATGAAGGAAGCACATCTCAAAAGACGAGAGGCAATGGAGAAAAGCCAGCCACAGGCTCCTCAGGCTCCGCCGGACTTTAGCTTCATGTTTAGCATGCCCATGGGTACTTTTTTCCCTTATACAGATTTTGGTGAGCTGCCAGACGCATTGGAGACCCCGATGTATAATTAGAATCCAATCCAGTTATTATTTCTTATGAAATTCGAGGTATCCGAGATAGTTGCGTAATGCTCAGCATATCGAGGGCGGGCCGAGTGTTCCCACTTGATGGTCTGACGTTCGTCGGGGACGGAATCCCGTCTTCCTAGATTTTGCAAAGATGTGCCAATGAGCTCTCATCGCATTTAATGGCTGCGCTTATTTGCACTGGGACTATATAAGGCCCATGATCCAGGCTATAATTGAGTTACAATACACCGATAGAAACAACAAGCAACTCAGTCACAACAAGCAACGCCAATCACAATGACGCGTCCTCAGACAAACGACGACTATCCACAAAGCACCGACCCCGGGAGGCTCCCCGAGCGAGAAGCCTCGTCAGGCATTTCAGTTCTAATTGTCGGAGCTGGTGTTGCAGGCTTACTTGCCTGTCTAGAGTGCTGGCGCCAAGGACATGAGGTTCGAATTATCGAAAGGAGCACGTCGCGACTCCTGTCTGGTAAGTAGCATCTGGAGAAATCGTGCATGTATCTGACCACCTCTTCAGGCGACGGCTTCACCATCGGAGCAAGTGCACTCTGTGCATTCCGTAATTGGCCAGACATGGAAGATGAAAATGAGCGCATTGCATGCAACATGTGGTTATCATGGCATAAAATCACCGGAGAGAGGATCTCGGGTCCGGCGCCTCTGGAACTGGAACCTAGCAAGGGCAATCATGATGAAAAGGTTCAACCCCCAAAATTGCACAGGCACAGTCGTCCCAAATTCCACAAGATGTTGTCCGACCAGGCCGAAAGAGTTGGGATCGCGATTGAGTATAACAAGCGTGTGACGGCTTACTTTGAAACCGATGCTACCGATAAGGCCGGAGTTATACTTGATGGTGGCGAAACGATCGAGGCGGACGTGGTCATCGCAGCTGATGGAGTCGGGAGTAAATCTTCTCAAGTCACGATGGGACATGAGATACGGGCTCGCTCCACTGGCTTCTCGATTTACAGGGCTGCTTTCCCGGTCGAGCTGGCCATTGCTGACCCCATGGTACGGGACAGGTTCCAGTTACTGGAAGATGGGACATCCGTTGCAGAGATGTGGATGGGAGAGGGCGTGCACGTCATGTTCGCAAGAAGTGACGATGAAATGGTGTTTGCACTGAACTACCCGGTAAGTCCAAGTTGATTTTATCAAATATTCTATCCGCTGATGTGAAATTCCAGGATCAAGAAAAAGATGGCATCGAGTCCTGGTCAAAATTGGTAGACCCGGAAAAGGTCCTTCAGACCACGGCCAAGATTCCAGGATGGCCAGATGTCGCCAACAGGGTGATCAAAGCGACGCCCAAGGAGTGTCTCCATGATTTCAAGCTCATGTGGAGAGAACCGCAACCTCGCTGGACCTCTTCTGGTGGACGCGTTGTACAAATCGGCGATGCTGCGCACACCTTTCTTCCGTCATCAGGAAATGGAGGTACACAGGGTATGGAAGATGCCATCTCGTTGGCGGCATGTTTGCGTATCGCAGGCAAGGACAATGTGCCGTGGGCGACTCGGGTTCACAACAAGCTTAGGTATGTTCACCGTCATAAAGTACTCGGAGAAACGGTGTCACTGACTAGACACAGATTTGAACGTGTCGCCTGCCTTCAGAAATTAGGCGTAATCAACCATGACATGAGGAAGCGTTCTTCGAATGCCACTGCCTCACAGGCAAAACCCGTTGGACTGCTGGGCTCGTGGATCTGGAGCCATGATCCAGAGCGGTATGCGTTTGAAAACTACGACAAGGTGCTGGCTCATTTGATGGATGGGACTCCGTTTCAGAACACGAATATTCCACCCAGTCATGTGTATAAGCCGTGGACCATCGACGAACTCCTGCAAGCCAAGGAAAGTGGAAAGGAAATCGAACTGGATTGGGACTGGGAGTAGGTCGTCGTTGATGTCATTCGCATGATACTATGGAATGAAAGTTTCTTCTCTACTTTTCGATATTTTGAGATAAATAGTTGAAGCTGCCTTTTTATATAGTAATTGATCAAATAATATTAAGACAGTCAATCCCACATGGGCTTTACAAGGCAAAGGCGCCAGCAACAGCAGCGGCAATAACCAGGACGCCTGCCATGTTCGACGCAGGGACGGCGGCAGCATTTCCGGTTTTAGCGCTGGTCGCGGCAGACGAGGTTGAATCTCCGGCCTTGGAGCTAGGCGAGGTAGTCTTGGTGAAAGAGACAGCAGGCGAGGAAGTCGGGGCTGCGGTGATCATTGTGTTGCCCGAGTGGTTGAAAGTAGAAGAGGGCGACTCAGAGGACGACTCAGAAGATGCCTCGGCAGATGAAACGATAGTGGTGTGCATCATGATCGTGGTAGAAGTCTCGGACACCGTGGTGGTGGAAGCGACCATCTTGCCATTCGGTCCGTAGCCGGGCAGGTAACTGGGTGTCACGGTTGCGGTGCCGGTGTATAGAGGGCAGCCAGGCTGGTCGGTCTTCGGAGGAGCCATACCACCGCCACAGTCGATGAAGTCGCAGATCTCGCCGCTGCCGGGGACATACCAGATCATGCTGGCTTCGTGCCACTGGTCAGTGGTTGTCGACGAGACGCAGCCGCTGATGTCGGTGCGCGCAGCGGCCAGGCCAAAGAGGCCGACGAGAATAGGCAGAGTGAAGGCCTTCATTTTGACGATAAAAGGAATGGAAGGTTCAAAGAACGAGGGGTATCTGGTCGGGCAGTGAATGAGTGACGGAAGGCGAGTAGAAAAGCTCCTTCAGGGTCCGATGCGAGTGGCTTATATTTCAATTTACTGCAGGGTTGAGGACCCCATCGGCATTAGCCCCAAACTCTCGCATCAGCCAGCACCGGTTGATTCAGGCCCTTCTAGTCCTCCACGGGCGAAAATGAGACCGCGAAAGTCCCAGCCAAGAACCGAGTGGCGTTCAGGGCCGCTGTTCTATTGGCCATCATGGGCTCGTCGGGCAGCAGCCGTGTGAATGTGGTTAGCGAGCTTCAGAGTTCGGCTTCTATTGGAAAGGCTTGATTTCTCCTGTTTGGAGTGTTGGCTCCTTGAAGCAAAAATTTTTTTCCCCCATTCACTGCCGCCCCCCGATCTGCCTCCTATTTTTAGCGCAAATCAAAGAACCACAGAATCTCGTATCCCTTTGGACACAAGATTTATCTATCCTGTGAACAATGTTTATCCAAAATACCACGAGAATATCTTTTTCAGATGCAGTATATATAGGCCGGTAGGTAGAAGTATTAATCGGATTCCCGATCGCATGGGGCGATCTTCCCCGACCCACGCGCTTAACGCCGATCTAGCGTGGAGTCTTCTAAGCTTGAGATAGTTATTGGAACGAAAATACAATTGCGAAACTGCATTATTTTATGCTATATTGTCTGCCTCGAGGGCTCAAGGTCTTCATGCAAGCTGGGCACGAGCAATGAAGGCAGTCTTCTCCACCCTCTTCTCCTCCCTAGTAAACACAAGTGGCTCGGACAGCACCTCATAGTCAAATTTGACAGTCAATCCAGCGCCCTGGAACAATTTTTGCATGTGCTCCTTGGAGAAGCCATGTGTCTTGACGGTATGAGCGGCGTCTCCGAATTCATGCTGATGCTTTGCATGCTCATCGTGATCGTGACCGTGGCCGTGGCCGTGGCCATGCCCATGCCCATGGTCATGGACAGAGCCGGGTTCTGGGACGAGATCAATAATGTAGCACACGCCACCATTCTTCAGTCGCTTTGCCAGCTTCTGCAGCGCCATATCCGGGTCCTCGAAGTGGTGCAATGCCATGCTAATCGTCAACACGTCGAATTCGTTGAACTCTGGTCCGGAGAATTCGGTTGCAACGGTCTCGGCAAGGAGGTCAACATTATAACCCGTCATCTTGGAGGCCATGTCAACCGCCTTGGCATTCCTGTTGAACTCGTCTATCATCTTCTCGGAGACATCGATGCCAACGATTTGGGTCAGGAAAGGCGCCAGCGTCTGTGATTTGATCCATCGTCAGCTCGTAACAAAAGACAGCGTAATACCCGTGAAGGAATAAGTGGCATACCATCGAGATAACTCCTGGTCCGCAGGCATATTCGAGCATCTTGATCTCTTGGCCCTTCCCCGCTTCCGTGTCTGTCCATCGGTCACTAATCCAAGACCGGTGTTTCAGTGTCTGGTCCGAGAACATCTTCATGGTTTCGGCAAATTTATCCTTGTAGGCCGTTGCCATTTTGCTAAAGCAAACCATCAGTTCCGCATCGTACTTTTGAATGTCTAATCGCCTCTTACTCGAAATAAGTCCGATTTGCCTCTGTGAAGTCAGTCATCTTGTCGATGGTTTCAATAACAAACAACTGAGGTAAAGCCTGGTAGGTTTCAAGTAATGGGGTATTTTCAAAGTCTGGAGAGTTGAGTCCGGAAGCAAGTAGACTTCAGGTACCGAGACGAGTATTTATGTGGCGGCTCGGAGACATCTCGGGTACTTCCTGTACCTGAGGAAAGTCAACTCCCCACGCATCCAGAGTACCTTCGGAGACATCCACACTACAGGTCCCAAATCTTTCCGGCCATGTGGATCAATCAATACATTTTATTTTCGAGGCGGAGGCTGAGAATGCGTTATATGGATGAAGTTAGATTCGGTGGCCTCATATCTGTCAGGTCTCATGACACATAGCGCGAAAATGGTCTATCCCAACTTAGTATGGACAAACTTGACGAAATTCCATAATATCTTATTTGTCTTGATTCCTTTTAGCTTTGGTGTACTTCAAGTAACGCAAAGAAGGCCAGGTCGCGCCTGAGGTGTATAACAGCTCTCTCACCGCCCGCGAGCTCCAAACTGCCAAAAAGACATCATCAGCTCCATCCGCCATCTCCAATCCCCACGTCTTACGATTCGCTTTTCCGATTCCCCATCTGCTGTCGTCGATATCATCTCCTTCTATCGGCAATCACGTCTACGCCTTCGTCGAATCACCCCTCGCTCTCCGCCATGGAGTCCAAGATCCCCGATTTCCTGGCCGAGCAGCAGGCGCAGGGCACCCCCGAGACGCAAACCTACTTCCTCACTTTCGAAGATTTCTGGGAGCGCAAGCTATGGCATCAACTCACAGACTCCCTCGTTGAGTTCTTCCGTATGCCGGAGAGCGCTCCGCAGCGGTTAGCCATCTTCAAGACCTTCGTCCTCAGTTTCGCCGACCGCATCAACCAGCTCAAGTTCGTGTCCCTGGGGTTGATGGCTTCGACGGAATGCGGAGGTTAGTTCATTTTCCTGCAATGCTTCGTCTGCGGCTTTGCAATTATCTACCATACCTTTCGAAATGGCTTGCTAACACCTCCGCGGCAGATGACAAGGAACGGCTGGCTTTCCTCACATCCCTCGCCGACAAGGTCGACAAGCCCGAATCACAAGAAGCATACATCTACGCACTCGCCGACGTTGCCAACGTCAAGCTGCGGCTACAGGATCTGGACGGAGCACAGAAGGACCTGGCATCCTGCCAACGGGTGCTGGACTCGTTCGACTCGGTTGAGACTGTCGTGCACGCATCATTCTACAAGGTCAACGCAGACTACTACCACGTACGTATCAACCGGACCCCTACAATGAAGCGTTAACTCCACGACCAAGGACGTGCAAGTTGGGCACCGAGCAAGAAACTGACATCATCCAGTCCAAGGAAGAATTCGCCTCTTTCTACAAAAACGCCCTCCTGTACCTGGCCTGCATCAACCTCGAGGACCTCCAAGAAAACGAGCGCGCCGAGCGCGCCTACAACCTCAGCGTCGCCGCGCTGGTCTCCGACTCCATCTACAACTTCGGCGAGCTTCTCCTCCACCCGATCCTTGATTCCTTGACCGAGACACCGCACAACTGGCTGCGCGAGCTGCTCTTCGCCTTCAACCGCGGCGATCTGACCGCCTACGACGTGCTCGCCGGCAACATCAGCAAGAACAAGTTGCTCGAGTCGCACAAGGTCTTCCTCTACCAGAAGATCTCCCTTTCCGCGCTGACAGAGATGGTTTTCCGTCGTCCGCCCCACGACCGCTCTCTCGCTTTCAGTGCTATTGCCTCTGAGACGAAAGTGCAGCCTGATGAGATCGAACACTTGGTTATGAAGGCGTTGTCGCTGGGTTTGCTGCGTGGGTCGATTGATCAGGTTGCGGGTGTAGCGCAGATCCACTGGGTTCAGCCCAAGGTGTTGGATATGAAGCAGATTGATGGTATGCGGAACCGTTTGAAGGACTGGGATGCCGGTGTTAACCAGCTCGGTCACTGGATCGAGGGTGCTGGCAAGGATGTTTGGGCTGCATAGACGAGTATCTACTTCTGCCACTTTTTATCTATAATGAATGATTCGGGTGGTTTATCTGGCATTTATGAGTGCTTCTTCTTTATTTGTAAAATGTAGACTAGTTTTTAATCCGGTAATATATGAGATTGAAAAGGCTGCGAGCAGGGACTTTAGAACATGGAGGATCCCAACAACACGCAGCCAATAAGCCAGGCTGGCCACCACACACACCACACCACAACCGACGTCCACATGCCCCACACATCCCAGCCGAACGCGGCTTGGGTCATGACCGTCTCAACGGACACGCCAGTGTACCAGCAGACACCCAAGAGAACAATGGGCGGGGAGAGCAGGTTCAAGAGTAAGAGCCCCAGGGTAGAGACGGCATATCGAACCGGGGCCGAAGGGCCCTGAAGGCGAGTGATGAAGCTGAGAGGAGCACACAGGAGACCGATCATGAAGGAAAGGGAGAAGTTGAGAGTCGCCAGGGTGGAAAGCGACAAGCCCAACAGGAGAAGCGCGAAAGACTTGATTAAGAGGTACTGTTGCGGGACGATGGGTGCCGATAGTCCCAGACCATTAGAGAGTAATGCCGCGAGGAGCAGTGGCAGAACAATATCCACGACGACGAAGGTGTAGGTGGCAGTCGTGAAATACTATCAGACGGGTTAGCAACTATCTCAGCCAGCGTGGCTCTGTAATCAACTCACCTGATAGGAAAGGGTATTGAACATCCAAAGTGGAACAAGGCCAAGCAGGTGGAGACCGCTGACCAGAGTAAGCGGCATGGCCAAGAGACGTTCGGCAACGGGGTTGCCCTTGATCTTCACTTCCGTGCTACACTGGGCCTTGGAACCAGAAGACTTCTCACTCGTGGGCTCCGAAATCAGGGTGCTCGTCTTGGGGTCTGAGTAAAAGCCCGTCCGCATCCACAGCGCGATTGCCATGATAGTGAAGTTTCCTGCGATCAGCATCGCGCTGGGTAGATAAGTTCCAATGCTGACGAAACGGTTCGACTGCATAAGCAGGTAGAAGAAGAAACTCTGGTGCAGATGCTCCAACAGGTTGTTCAGACTGCGGCAGAGACTCTCGATGGTTCGGCCCAGCGCCATCTCGTCTTCCCATCCGTGGCCCTTGGGCTGTAGAGTAATGGCATCAATGTGGTAGGGCATGAAGCTGCTATGGGCACCAGTAGCGTAGCCAAGGCCTTGTTTGGTCATGCCACGTAGGATGGTCTTCAGACGTGACTGGTAGCTGTCGTCGTGTTCCCACATCTCTTGCAGATTGGTTCCCATGCCCATCTGGCCGCTCGCGATGGAGACGGCCGTGTTGAACAGGTCTAGATTAGGCAGTTGGCCATTGACGCCGTCGTAAACAATGTGGAGTGATTGGAAGTTATGATCGAAGGGGAATTCGATGACCAGCGCGCCTTGCAATGCCCCACTCTTCAATGGGAGCGGTTGCACGGATGCCGGTTGCAGGTCGTGGTAGGCGTCAATCCATGCCTGCGTTCCTGTTTTGCTGTCGGGAGTGAAAAGGAAGATGATGTCCTTGGACCATAGTGACCAACCTATTAACAAGTTTCAGTCGGGAGTCCGGAAAGGATGGTCGAAGCTCAGAACTCACGTTTGAAGTATCTAGCCAGTGTCAGGGCCAATGTGACGCCCTTCAGATTTAACTCGTCATCTGCGGTCTTCCACGCCGCGACCAATACAATTGCCTCAGTGGCATCACCTCGCGGCGCATGGATAATACCATAGATGTTCTCGCCCTGGTGGGTGATGCCGGCGGAGGTATACTCGTACTTCTGCGTCGCAACCTTCAACCCCGCAGCCTGCAAGATCGAGTGCAACTTGTTGTGGGCCCTGCTATAGTATCAGCGCATCGTTCGCATGGCAAGCTTGGAGTTTGCGGTCCCACGTACGCTGGGGTCACGGCCACCTCATCTTGAGAGACGTCATTCTCACGCCCCTCGTTTAGCAGCACTTCCAACTCCTTTTTGTATCCTCGGAAGATATTTTGTTCGCTGCCGGTGAAATAGGCATGCACTTGACCAGGCAAGAGCGCATTCTCGGAGATGTAGGTGTGGCGGGAGTAGTCGTTCAAGGGGAGGAGCAGGAGCCAGACGACGCCGACGACGATACAGAGGAGAGACAGAATGTTCGGGAGACGAATGAAAAGCACATCGGGTTTATTCCGCAGGTTGCGGATCGCGGCTGCATTTCCCTATTGTCAGTGCTTCCTTGGTACCAGGTGTCGTTTCGGGAGTGGAGGTGCTTGAAACAGATGGGTGCTTTGCCGTTGAGAACTCACATTTCAGCGCCATTTCATGAGGACCATCGGAGAATTCCTCCCCTATTTGCAACGGCGAGCCCGTCAATTGACTTGAGGAGTTGGACGTATCGCGGAGGCCAGCTTGGAGTTGACCCCGGAGCTCCGAGATGTTTACGGGGAATTTACGGCTAGCGATAAAAACCAAGTGCGCAAATTATAGATGCAAGTCGCTATGCTATGATCCAATGCCCCACAACCTTACACCCCCCAGTAATAAAAAGGATTATGGCAAAATATACACAGAAAATTGAAGCAATGGAGACAAGCTGAAAGGTCTTATGCTTATGGGCCCACCCGTTGCGCGGTGGCCAGATAGCTCATGGGCGTCCCGTTTGCGTTGGCAGCCGCATTCGAGGTGGGCAAAACTCCATATCGGCCGAACGTCTTCTGGTCCACGGAGATATAATGTGGCAGCCGGCCCAGAAGGTTCAGCTTGCTCTCGATCCAGCGGAGGACCTTCTCCGGAGGCACGAAAATCTTGAGATACCCAAGTCCGACTGCAAAAATATTAGTAACTCGGAGGGATCAATGGCATGGATTAAGACGTACAGAGGTAGCCCACGGCAATAGCACAGAGATGGCCCAAGAAGCTCACGTTAGAAACAAGAATCGAAAGAACAACGCAGGCGATCAAGGGCGAGGTCCAGGTGGGAATCTTGTAAGGTCCGAGGCTAGAATTCGTTAGCGATGACCTATGGTCCTGTCAATTATTCTCGGCGTACCTGAAATGAGGGTTTGACTTGTACGTCCGAATGGCCTCTGAGCCCAGAAGCAAGAAGACCCAAACACTGTAAGTTTCGTCAGCGCTGCTATACGTGATTCTTCGGCGATAAGAGCTCACCTGGCACCAACCACTGGTGTATTCCTGTGCAAGATAGCTTTCTCAAAGAGGAGATAAAGGCCGGCCGGAAAGGTGGAAAGCGCTGTCAAAAAGAAGGTACCATCAGCAAAGCCGTATTCTAGAGTCCAGGATCCGACACGCGCCGATCATATATCCCGGAGCTTATAGCAAGGTAGTACTCACGTCCGACAAACAGGGCAATAGATGTGAGGGTACCGTGTTCCGCCTCGAAGCGCTCCAAGAGCGGAGTCAAGGCCAGCACATTCAATGCGGCGTGGAAGAATCCGGTGTGAATGAAAGGAAAGGTGTTCAGTCGATACACTATATCGTATAGATTAGAAAAATGGCATCATTCGTACTGACCACAGGGCGCACGTACTGGTTCCAAGGTTGACCTCATCGGGGGTGAGAGATCCCCATTGCACCACGCTCCAGATCGTCTGAAGCTCCAGCAACCAGAAAGCAAGGATCACCAAAAGCACCAGTCGCGTAAACAGCGGCAGCCGCATGAGATATGATCGAACCCGTGACGGGTTGAAGGGCAGTGGTGGTAAAGCAGCGGGAGTAGCCATGTTGATGGCGGACGTCGTTATCGATAAAAGGTCGTGAAAATACCAGGAATGGGCGAGGTTCTCGATACCGGTCAGGGCTGGAAAAAGTGACGAGGACTGCAGAATGGTGATCACGGTTAGTCCGTTGTCCGCGACGGTAGGATGGGTCCCGATGGTCGTCAGGCCTTGCCAGGGATGACCCGCGCACGCGATCGGCTCGCCGAGGAACAAGGACACGACAGGCAGAGAAAGACAAAAGGTAAACCAGTAGTCGAGAACGAGAGCAACTCACACAGTCAGATCGCAGCAATCCGCCCCAGAGTAGGTAGATCGGGTCGTGAATCGAGGAACGAGAAAGGTAAACTCGACTCTTGAGGGAAGCGTGGCCGCGGCGATCCCCGCTATTCCTTTTTGGGATACGGTTCCACACTTTTGACGAACTATAAACTAGAGTGATGAGATTTCCTGCTCCAATCCCTACTTCTAACGGGAATATATTTTTCCTCAAGAGGAACTTGTGCCATTATAGATTATCCAGAGAAATCCATAAGCAGGCAGAGAATGATGTTTTCGGAGAATTCTAGAGAAATATTTGGGAAGACGTCTTGTAAAGAGGATATCCACCGCTTGTAAGTTATCTTGCCTACCCATGTACATATGTACTACTTTAGACATCGGGATATTACCTATCTTGATTACCTTTTGATTAACGTTTGGATTGAGTTTTTTACCAAGATTCTAGAAGAATCAGGCAAACCCACACGTCAAATGGTACGGATATTTTATCACTAAGTATGTGTAGCACTTAAGATTCGGACCCGGTATTAACCTGAGTAGGGCAAAATGCTTGGTGTATTTGATTTTAAGCCAAGGAAGCTATTGCCGGCCATTCCTCGAGCGGCTATGCCAACGTGCATTTGCTCAATGTTGCGCCCAAGAACCCGATCGTGTGAAGGGTTGGAGCGCGGCGCTAGTTTCACCGCCACTTCCCTTTGACCAAAAGATCATACAAGACAACAGACCACCGTCTGTTGCTCGCCAGCGCACTATAAGCAAGGGTAAGGCATAGCCTTACTAAATAACCAGGCATCAGCCTTTTACAGATCGCTAGGGATGAATCCAAACGCCGCCATCCGCCTCTTGTGGGCCTGCCTTGGTGATTTTGGCTATTTGTAGAACGCATTACAGTAGCAATTTCCTTCAAGACTAGGTTAGGAACTTTCGAGGAATTCATATCCGGACCTAAAAATCGGCTCCTAAGGGGTACATGGTACGTTTCCCCCAATCAGCGCGCATCATAAGTGAGCTTATATAATGAACAAGAATGCTAGTCAGCACCATGGACAAATCAGCGACGCGAACCGTCGCGCCTGATGACAACCTTTGACTTGCTACAATTGAACGGATTTCGCGTCTGATCTTACGTGATACCTCGCCTAGTCCAGATCTCTGTCTTCCCAGTCTTCTGATCTGCAATACCAGGGACATTGCATCGGCATGCATCAATTTCCATGAGGGACCAGTCCGTCGTCGCTTATACTCGCGTTTTAGTTCAAAATGAGTCTCTGTCAGAGCACCCATGTCGAAGGTTTCGATATCAAAGAGCGGGTGCGAAGCTTGGACTTTGTCACTCGCCGAGAGGACTCGGAACCGCACAGCTTTGAGTCCTCGCGGGCCCATCTGTATTCCGGCATAGAGATCATGCAAGAGATCCTGTCCATCATTCAACGAGGGGAAAGCCTGAGACGCCATCAAAGCACAAGTCCATTTGAACTTCATGCTAGCACTTTGAATGCCATGATCAGCTCCACGCTCAACAGCAGCGGTCCGCGACCTGTCGAGCAGGATAACACTGCAACTCCATCCTCATTCACCCCCACTTGGATTCAGGCTATTATAGCTGCTCAGGATGGTCAGTTGAGGCGCAGCGAAGATGGCAAATATCTTTGCAGCGTCAAAGGTAGGCTAGTTGAAATCTCTGAAACAGACAGTCAGCTCGTTCTTCACTTCATTCACGAAACCTTACCTCGAGACCAAGATGTGCAAAAGGAGATAGAAACACATTCGGCTATTCTTGAAGATTTGACTCAGTACGTCGGATGCTTTGTGGAAGGTATGCAGTCTCTGTGTCCTTTTGCCTACGCCACCTTTTAACAATCAAAGCCCTCAAACAAGCCAACTTCCTCCGAGATAAATTGGTTGAGAACCGAAATGTCCTTCAAAGCTATCTTCAACCTGACGGCGACTTGTCAGCATCAAACCAGCTTGAGCTATCAGATCAACCCAGGGAGGCATCTCCCGCAGACTCCGTCCTTGAGTACGGCAGTGGCGATATCGCCCATGATGCACCAGATGAACCGAGCTCGACTGTCTCGGAACCCACATCAAACCAAGCTCCCCAAATCTCATTCTACAATCTTAGAAGCTCCAACCATTCAGAAATTGGCAGTTCGCCTTACACAAAAACAAAAGACCACACATCCGGAGCGTTCAGGTCACGCGTAAATCAGAAAGCAAAAATGAGTGGGTGCAATAATGAATCAAGGTTCCGCAGCTCTACTGGAGTTATGAGCAATGGACCACTCGACACCGATTTGGTTCACAGTGATGGGCATACCAGTCCCCCTCGCAGAGCTTCATCTTCCAATGCGGTGGAGAGTTCGAGGCGAAGTAGATCGCCTACGCCAGTCTCGACGCGAGACAACCCGATTCCTTCCACCGATAAAGAAAAGCTCCACAAACATCCTTTCTTGGTAACCCAGATTCAAAATGGTGTGCCTTGGGACCAAATTGCTCTTGCATATAAAGAGGAGTTTGGGATCTGGCGCTCGGTTGGTTCTCTCAGGTGGTTCTTATCTACATATGAGAGCAGGAGCAAGCACAGCTTCTCGGCGACGACGCTTTCCTCGGCTCAAAGTCCTTACAGCGATACGCATAGGCGCTCGAAGCGGACTAGAGCGTCTACTTCTGTCTCAAGGCGGACTAAATCACCTACCCCGGTCTCGACGTTATCAAACAAAGTCCGTTGGACCGAGCAAGAAATGCTTCACAGAGTTCCTTGGTTAGAGTCTCAACTCCAGAAAGGAGTGCCTTGGGTCCAGATTCCCTTTGCATATAAGGAAGAGTTTGGGGTATGGCGCCCAGTCACGTCTCTGAGGACTGTCTACCGTGAAGAAATGGGGGAATGCGAGCCGGTTTCCTCGATTTCGAAAGTTCCTTCAGCTCGAAGAGCCTCTGGAAGGGGCAGAAGCTCGATGCGGGATAGATCGCCTACTCCAGTTTCGTCGCGAGGACACAAGATTTGGACAACCGAACAAGAAAAGCTCTATAGATTCCCTTTCTTGGAGTCTCAAGTCCGGAAAGGCGTTCCTTGGGTCCAAATTCCCCTTTTGTATAAGGAGAAGTTTGGGATATGGCGCTCAACTGTGTCTCTCAGGTCCTCTTACCTTGCGTCTAGGCGCGGGAGTGTGCCGGGCTCCCCAGTTCCGAGTGTTGCCTCGCTCAAGCTTGGACCAAGTCATGCAACTTCAGATACAGAGAACGTGAAGTCTCCGGAGGGGCCAACCTGGTCTAAAGGTAGATTAGGACGACGATACCGTTCATTCTCGGGGTAGCGCGAATCTCTTTTCCCCTTTTCCTTTTTCGGCACCTCGAGTGATCACACTTTGTACCCAATATTAATTTGCTGTACGTTTTGTAGCGCTCTATATGACCAAAACTTGCTAAAAGCTTGAATGGTACAATTTTTGACTATAGGAATTAACTGACGGTGGGAATTAAACAAAAAAGAATTGACACAAACAAGACATTCAACACAAGGCCTATTTCATCTTCCAGAAAGCGCAGCATTACCTCGAACTGGATCGTACAGCTGCGGTTGAAACAACAATGTCATGATGAGCATCACCTGAAGTATTGCTTTGTCCGCCGCTTTACCTTCCGCTTGGCTGGATTCTAGTAGCTCGGCTACTCCAAGGTATCCTCCCGGTCATTCACTGAAACGTCCACATTCGATCGTTCGGATGCTGTCCTGCTAGGTCTATACTGCCCTGGACTAGCATAAATGGAGCTTGATCCTCCTCCTGCCCTTGAGGTTCGAGTTGGATCAGACTGCGAGTTCAATCGTAAGCGGAGTGTTCCATAGTCATGTCTCGTATCACAGATGATTGAAAGGGTATTTCCGTACCTGAATGCCTTTCTTGCTCCTCTTGGCCTTCTCTCTCCAGTGGTATCCTTGCAGAGTAGACTTTGAGCGATTGGTCCCAAATTCTTTGTTATATTCGTCTGCAATCTGCACCCAGCCCATGTCTTTGTCCAGCCGGTCTCCTATGAACTTGAAGAAGTGCTTTTTCTCCTCCCCTGACTTGTACGGACCCCTCTCTGATTTGCGGCGCCTCTTTCGCCCTAAGGATGTTGTTGGAGCATCTGGCATCCACTCGTCAGAGTCGCTGCTGTTGAAATAGTCAAAATTTGTACCGGTGAAACCATAGTCCTGCCCCTCGTTCGACCTTTTTGCATTTCGGGTGCTCGGATCCCTTCTCGCTCCGGCTTGCATGTCGTTCCCTATTTCCCTCGGTGGCGTGCCGGATGCAGTGCCCGTCGTGGAGTTATTTTGAATGGCGTCCCCGGCAGTGTCTTCATGCGTATCTGCTTGAGTCGAAGGGTCCGCAACGGTGTTGCCGACTTCTTCGGGGACTCCATAGTCAATGTCACCTCTTGCGTCAACAAGGATAGAGTTGGCCAATGAAGGTTCTCGTATTTGGGGTTGGACTGATACTAATTCGGACTCGGGAGGCCGAGATAAATCGGCTTCATACTGGCAAATATCATAATAGCGCTTTTCGAGCTCGGAAATGAACTGGTCTTTGTGTTTGATCACTGCAAAACCAATGAGCCACGGATATGTTCAACTTACTCGGACATTTGCACTCACGTTTTTCCACATCATCTGTCAACATACGCATATCTCCAATACCAGCCAGAATACTTTGTTTCTCTTGCCCTATATCCTGCTCATGTGGCCAAGGTTCCAAAAGATCTTGAGGGAATCTGAGAATATACCCTCGCTCTTTTCCAGACACTCGGATCAGATGGCCTTGGGCACGAAACTGGTAACTTTCATTACCTCCGACACGTTGAAAATGTTCCTCTTTGGTACCTCGAATCATGCCAGACCAGTTTGGCGACTCATTCTCCGAATTTGCAGAGCTCTCGGGATCGGCCCCAACGGGGTCGCGGTTGTCGAAGTTTTTTCTGATTTTTGCTTCGAGTGCGCTGGCGTAAGTGTTAGAAAAGAGCCCCGACCTATGCCGTGCAAAACTCTTTCCTTCGTTGAATATTGGATGATATCTCTGAAGAGTCTCAGTGACCAATTGTACCTTAGCGCGCAAAGCCGCCTGATCTCCATAGATTCGATCCTCTGAGCGGCTCACGAAATCGAGGCTGCCGACCCGCTTTTTGTAATCGGGAACTTGACCTTGACCCTGCGCTGCATTCATTCTTATGGCGAACGGAGTTCGGCGAGATCACTTAGGGTCAGAGCAGTAAAGGCAGTTTGATATGGATAGTGGGCTTTGGAACGCCGTGGCTGAAATGATATTGTACAAGGAGCTAGAAGGAAAAAGAAAAAAGGGAAAAGGCTCTCCCCAAAGTAACGGGAGAATTTAAACAGACGGTAGGCGCTATGGATTCAGCCTTGGGCCAAAATGACCTTCTGCACTGTTCAAAAGTACGAAATTAGCCGCCCTTTGACCAAAAAAGGAATGTCGTGGTTGCCTTACCCCGTAGTCCCTGAACTTTGCATGCTCAAATATTTTATTTTCGTTCACTTCCTCGGTTGCTTCCTAAAGTATCCAGCAAGCATAAGATTGAAGTAGAACATCTTCATTATGATGGAAATCGAAACTAGATCGTTAGTGAACAAACTACGTACAATATGCTCACTGACCCCCTCATGCCATCATGTTGGCAAAACACGAAGCACATGTACAATAACCCCTGTCTAAACGTTCTCTCTGACAATTTGCACAGCCCAAAAGTTCAGGCAGCACAATTTTCGAGTGTCCGTTTTTCTCGGCCTGTGTGCACCTAGTACTTGTCGACATACCCGTTGTACCCCTCGCCGGCTGTCGGCGACGTGCTTGTCAACAGAGTCATCATGCTTTCCGCTGTCTTCTTTTCACTGTTCGCCTTCCTTTTTGCTGACGTGCATGTCGTCGGCATGCCGTTTGCCAGTCACGCGGAAGGTCTCAACATTGCCATCTCCGAATCGCTTCCGGGGCACTGTGGTGGAGCTGGACACAAACTCGGGGATCGAACGGATGACAGTGTTGTTCGACGAAGTCTCCCATGAGTTTTGTTCAATGTCTGAAGAAATCACGGTTGCGCCTTCGGTCGATCTGGGGTTGAGACTCAGTCGGTCCCAGACGGCCTTCACTGAGTCCATGCTGCGGTGACCCCCGAACTTATCATTGTACCGATCGGTGATGAAGAGCCAGCTCTTACCTTCCTTCAACAGAGAATCGATGAGTATGAACCCATGGGCCTTCTCGTCCTTGCTCAGACGAGTTCGCACACCGATGTGGAGCGATGAGGCTGGAGTGACACGTCTGCGCTTGGACGAGGGAGGTGAAGAAGTTGGTGCCTTGGTCGGGGTATCCTCATCATCATCCCCATCACTGCCCTTGGAGTCATCCAGGGCCTCCCAGTCGGTGCTGTCGGGAATAGAGGAAAGAGCAGAATTGCTCACGGTGCCGGAGTGGAAACGGCCCGAATCACTTGACCGTTTACGCTTACTGGCACGGGAACGTCGGTGCGGAGCCTCAGAGACAGATTCGCCTGTCAAAACTTGAGTGGAAACATCACCCTCGGGTAGCAAGAACGGGATGTCACCTCTGTTGTCCCATAAAATCGAGTTGTCCGAATTGGTGGGCGAACCCTCGCCTCTCTGAACTGGAGAAGTCTCAAAGCTCTTGGGGAGACCAAAGTTGTGTCTGAAGTACATCTTACTCCAGTCCTTGATGGCCTCCATGTACACACCAAGGTTGTCATCACGTTCCTTCAGCTTAGCAACATAGCTGTCGAGACGATCCCCAACTATCAAAGTCAGGACCTGTAGGAAGACACACAACATCTGCTGGAGTGGGAAACCTACCTTCCGTGTGAGCTTCTTTGAACCGGGAGACCTTTTCAAGCTCCATCGCCAACACCATTCGCTCCTTGTCGACATCATCAGGATGCGGCCAGGGAGGCCAAGGTTGAAGAAAAGGTTGAAGGATCGACAGGGTTACAAAGTCATGCTCGGAAATGATGATCAAGTGCTCGTTCTTGAAAAGGCAACAGTGCGATCCGTCAGCGCCCTGATAGAAATCATGCAGTTTGACCTCTCGAACGACGTCGGCCCAGTTGAGCGAGAATGCATCTTCCTGATCCATGTCGGCAGGAGGCTTAACATATGGACCGTTGGGATCCAGCACAGTCCTCAGCCGAGCCTCCAGCGAGCTGGCAAAGAGATCGTACGGGTTTCGGACTTGATATCTTGCCAGGCTTTCTCCAGCATCCAGCAGGGCCATGTTATTAAGAAAATGCTGCAGAGCCCAGTCCATGGACTCCGGGGATTTATCGAGGTCCGGCATGGTGACGTTAGGGCGGCAGGTTGCGAAATTCAGATTGCTTACCTGCAGGTGGGCATTCCAATATCGTGAGTAATTCTCATGATCAGACATCTTTTGCACTATGAAGGCCGCGCGCGCCTACGTCGCGTCGCGGTGCCAAAGTATCTGATCAGAAAATGAAAAAGGATCTTAGGAGGCCGATGAAGGATGAAAGAGAAGGCGAGGCAAAAACAACTAACAAAGTATCCATTCGTTCAAATGCTCGTTACAGGACCGGCAACTTCCGGTCGAAATTGAATGAGAAATGAAAAACGTTGCAGTCTTCAAGGAAAGGAGAGAAGCCTTCTCTTCAATGTCTCACCGAGAGATAAAAACTGCCTATCCGGTACAGTAGTCTCTCGAGTGATTATAGCTTGCCCGCTTATTTGATCTATATGGTAATTTGGCAAATCTGAAGATCTTTCATGTTACTGGAGATGTTGTGGATGGAAATGAAGTAACTATATCCAGGTTTTATCCACGGGGCACGCTGACCTTATGCATCAGCTAAAGACGCGTCGCATGAGAGGGTATTATGAAATTCAGAATAGAATATTTATGCCAGCTATGTCGACGGCTCAAAAGCTTTATGATATGACACAGTCCCAGTAGGTGTTGGCTTACGCCAAGTCAGAGCCATAAAATATTCCGGTGGCACTCCAGGTAGCTGCAGAGAAGGATCCGGCTTGAACCCAAAACGCGTGTAGTATTTCGGATTTCCTAATACAACGCAACCGGCCGCATGGCGACTCTGAAGATCTGCCAACGCGCGTTTAATTAATGACGACCCCACGCCATTTCCTTGATATCGAGGTAAAACTGAGATTGGCCCTAGGCCGTACCAATTCTCACTGCCATTCGCGATATTTACAGGTGAAACAGCGACATGGCCCACGATTATACGCGTGACTTCGTCTTCGGCGACTAGCGAGATTGATAGATGGTCCGCTTCGCGGAGGCCGCGGATAATGAATTGCTCGTTGTGGTCTGTGTGCTCCGCATTCATGAATGCGACTGAGGTGACCTCTTCTATTGCCGGCACGTCGCGTCTTGTCTCAGGTCGGATACAAATTTGCGTTGTGCTTGCCATTCTTACGGATGGTTTCCAAGAGCTGCGAGATATTCGTCGTCTGGAAGGTGTGGTATGTACTCGAAAATGTCGGCTGGATTGTGATTGGAGACATGAAAAGGATATATGGCTCTAGTTTTGGAAACAGCACCGGAAATTTATACTGCAGCCCTTGACATGAGTCGTAGTGAGTCATTCGGCAGCGCTAGGAGCAGACATGTCTCGGAAGTCGGAGCAGAAGTGTTGTCCGTTTCAGATTCGCATTATAAAATACATAAACTATTCAAGGAAGCGGTCTGGAAAGCCGAGTGATCACTATCTTTCCGCATTGGGACTACCTAGCCCCACGACAAGCAAAGCTAACGAAGCCTGCATAAAAGACTAAATAAGCCACATCTGCTTCTCTACCGCATTTCCCAAAAACCAAAAACCTCGAGATCACTTCCGATTACGACATTCTACTGCGCCTCATCATGAAGTACCCAAAAGGAAATTTCAATTTGATTCATTCCTCATAACTTAGCAGCCTGGGTCTCAGATGCATCTCTGCCTACTAATCAGCAATCACATCACCGAACGAGCAGAGCCATCTAAAGCCCAAAGCTATCTACAGCGAAGCCCACGCTTACAGGTGCTGGTTGAACCACACAACGGCCTGGCAGAAGGCCTGCTCCTTAGCCCACTTTTGCTTCGGGTCGCTCAGGTCGGCGCGGACGGCGAAGCCGTGCGAAACACCGCTGAACAGGTTGATCTGCCATGGCTGGCCGGTCTTGATCAGAGTGTCCTCGGACTCGTGGCGGAGCTGCGTGGTGAAGATCTGGTCGACCTCTGTAACAGGTGGTGAGATGGGGGCAATTCATGGGTGGGGTGCTTTGGTGAGTACTTACCAGCGGCGGCGATGGAGAAGGGGCCCTTGATAGCGCCGAGCTCCTCGTGGGTGACGAACGAGGGATGAGCGGAGAAACCGACATCAATCTGGCCGGGCTTCAAGAAGCGAGTAACGTACTTCCCACCGAAGCAGTAGCCAACGGCACCGATCTTCTTGACGCCGAGAGTCTCGCGCATGTACTTGACGGTCTTCTCAACGACGGGGTCGACATTGTTGGGCTGGTGGTTGGGCAACCAGGCGGGCAAGTCAGCCTTGCCGGACTCCATGGCGGCAACCGAGATCTGATCACCCTGGAACAGGTCGGGGATGACTGTCAGATAGCCATTGTTGGCGAACTCGTCGGCGAGAAGCTGAGCGTTGGGGAAGATGCCGAAGATGTCGGTCAGGAAGAGGACCGCCTTGTCAGTGCTCTTGTCCTTGGGGTAGGTGACATAGGTGTTGACTGTCGAATTAAGGCTCTGTTAGCGTCTGGTTCGGGTATTGGAAGGGTGTAGGTTCGACACTTACCACCGTCAACGTTCTTGATCTCACCGACGGGGTTGCCCTCGTGTTTGAAGCCAGAGGCACAGCAGGCGCCAGGGGGTTTGGAGGCCATATTGTATATAGGATGTGGAAGACGAATAGAGGGTATCGTACAGAGTGGGAAAAAAAGGCAGAATGAATTGTTGAGAGACGGAGGTCTTAAAACACGTCCCGGGCCGTTCACGGAGAGTTGCCCCTCCTATGAGAACATCGCGGGCCCTTTCCAACTCTTTGCTGTTGGCCCAATCACTGCGCACTCTTCGACCGATTTCGCCGCGTTCCCCTCTATTTCAATGTGACCCACTTGCCATAGCCCGTGAGGGGATTAATAATGTATGACAGAGCACGGTTGAAGCTACACTGTATTTCCTAGTGTACGACATGAACTTAAGAAGCTGAATATGCAATTGAACCCTGCTTTTACTAGGTCATAGCCACCATCGCTTAGGTGCTGACAGCTATAGGCATGAAGAACAGACTGCCGACTCGGTACTCGGCACGGCCAACTCGGCGTTAACCTCCATATCTCCGAATCGCTTAAAGGTCCTGCAGAAAGAGGGTCGCGTTGTAGATCTTTGAACAGCCGGGCATTCATTCCATTTCTCTTAAGCCATAAATACTAATCATGCATCATATAAAAACCCGGCACACTGGCCAACAAGTATGACCACCTCACATTAATGCGTAACAGGTTCGTTCCGGCATAGCGACTATTTTCGCGCCTGTGGTGTACCTGCAGGAGAGGGGATTGTCGTAGTGGAGACCATCACACCAGATGACCCCTATATGAGAATTTTCGAAAGCAGCAAGTGTAAAGGGATATCAAACAGAAAACAGATGCAAAAAGATTCATGGGAAGCGGAAACTTCCGTTCAACTGCGGGCGCTGGTCGCGCTTCACCGCCCACGCCTTGAGCGCGATGTTCAGGATCACCAGGGACATGATGAAGGCTGTGAAGCCCATGCCGACGGTAAAGGTGAACATGGCATCCAGGTTGTAAAACTCCATGGCTTGGATCACGTTGCGGGTCTGTTCGGTGTGGGTTAGTCGCAATCATAATAGGGTCTGCACTGGTATAACTTACACTCAGCATGAAGATGAGTCCACCGGCGATGAGACAGAAGCCAGAAACGATCTCCGTGGGAGGCCGAGCGGGGAGGTAAGAGGTTGGCGGGCGCAGGAAGAGGAGGACGTAGGTCATTCCACGAGCGAGCGCGAAGCCGACCAGCATGTTGCCCCACTGCTTGTGCACCATGGTCGATGTCATGCTGTCCTGGTGGTGCGATCCCATCATCATGCCCAGAAGCAGGATGATCAGTGCCGGCATCGGGTTGAGGGGCACACCTTGTGACTCGGGAGGCTGCCAGTTTTCGTCGCGAGAGCCATGAGGAGGGGACCGGAGGAGAGTGCTGTTGAGCGCGTCGCGAATGCGCTGGGATTCGAAAAGCATGCCGACCAAACCACCACCAAAGAACATGATGGAGATGGAGGCGTGCTCCATATCAGTCGCAGACCATGCATCGCCAGCGTTTGACAGGTGCTCCAGGAAGACATTGGTGATACCATACAACCAGATGACGAATGACTCCACGAACTCGCCTGAAGGAACTTTGGCCTTCCAGCCGACGATTGACGCCGGGGGCTTCTTGTTCCAAGCCCAACCCAAGTCCGCCCAGGCCCCGATAAAGCGCCCGAGGGTGAGAATTCCATACCAGAAGAAGATTCCACCCTTGATGAAATGCGCCAGGCCGTTGAAAATGTCACGGCCCCGGAAAATACCACCGTAAGTGACCCCGCCAGATACAATGGCGATGAAGCCAAACGGCAGAATAATCCGATCAATCACATCGTACGCGCTGTTAAAAATGCGCAGGACACGGCTCGAGACCATCCCCGGCACGCGTTTCGAAAGAAATCGATCGACAATGGAGCTGTGGAACCAGCCGCGCGGGAGGGAAGGCTTCGGGGACAGCTCCTCAGGCTTCTCGAAACCTTCATACTCGGCTTGCGACTCGCAGGAGGGTGATCCAGGACTGTGGATGGACGATCCGGGCTCGGTTCCCTGGCCGCTGTCGCGGGACCAGCGGTACTCATGCATCGCACCAGTCGGGTAGGGGCTCTCGTGCTCGTTCGTCGCGACGGGCAGGAACGCGGCGCGCTCAAAGGAGGTCGACGGCGACTTTGAATTACCACGGCCGGCATACGCAAAAATCAAGGCCAGGATGACCTGCACGCTGATGACCCACGTCACGATCCAGCCAATCTTGTGGTGAACATTGTTCTCGTACAGATCGGGTGTCTGGCTGTTGTAAATGGTTCCGAAGAGCAGACCAAAGGCATTAAAGACGAGGAACAAGAATTGCGACGGAAGTGCAAGTCGCGAGCGCGCAATGCTGAACATGACCGCTGTCGGGAATTAGTTGAGATCTGAAGCGCTGACCAGAGAATCACTTACCTGCAGGAAGAACAAAGCACCAGCCCAGGATCATGAGCGCAATGTGCGCCATGATGGTGCTGGAGTGCTTGCCATAGGAGAAGTAGCTCATGGGACCTTCGCTGTAGGGAGTTGGCGTGGCGAACGGTGTCGGCGAAGCTGTGCTGGGGGGCGCATGCGTATCCATGCTCATTCCCATGTCCATGCCCATGTCCGTCGATTCATCGTCGCCGTGCGCAATAGCAAGCGACGCGAGGAAAGCTGCCGCAAATGCAGCTCGAGTAGCTAACAGCCGCATGAGGCCGGAGGATGAATGCAAGCTCGTGTGAACTACTCCGAGAACTGTTGTAGTTACGAAAGGTAAAATGGAGGCAGAGCTTCAATCGGCGCAAAAGATCGAAGCTCTGTCGAATCGTGACGTAACGACGCTGCCAGATCCCGGGAATGCAAGCTCCCACTTCACTGGGCTTTCTGCCTTTCTTGTTCCAGACCCGGACTATTCGGATGCGTTTCAACCAAGGTCAAGTTCACACGACTACCTAGACTGGCGGTGTTGATGAGAAGGCGGACTGGGATTGTATAGGGCTGAGAAGGGAAGTATACCGGAGGGCGGGTGCTGCTGTATAAAAGAGCCCGGAGATTGGCGGGGCAGAATGCAGGGAATCAATAAGGAACTAAGCACCGGATTTACGCAAATTACCAAATCAAACGTCGAATTTTTTTTTTAAAAAAAAAAATATCCCGAAAAAAGAAGACTCGGCGACGCTGGTTTCCAATGCTTCGGACTGGGCGGGAATAACGCAACCGCCGAGAGTGCGTGGCAACAAGATGGCCCAGAGCTTCCGCGTGCCGACCTTTCCCTGTTCCTCATTTAAGCACTAAATTCTTATTTTCCTGATGATTCACACCTGTCACCGCTACCATCCCTTTACTTTGGTTATGACGCTGTCTACTAAGGTACAAACTCTCATTCCGTATCCTGCTCACAGCATCTCCAGACTAAAGCACCAGCATGGATCTGCAGTCATATGCATTGTCTAGGTTGCACCGATGGAGTCGGGGGTCTTGGCATACCTTTGCCTATTGAATAAAGAAAATTAGGAAAAAATTTCATTCGGATGTGTCGGGAAGCTCACGAACGGCCACGGGGGCCAAGCTAGATCGCGGCTGGGTGGATCGGGGGAGAGTGACCTCATCTCCACGGGCCTAACGGGGCTACAAGCCAGAAAATAGGGCCCAGTATGTTTGTCCAAGTGACTATGTCCGTACGTTTGGGCATATCTCATGGGGCAAACACCAGGCCATGACGTAGTCGATCGCTACCACGTTGGGATTCACCGCTGGATGAACTGCTGCCTGATGGATTTAGATTCAGTTATCTCCATGGGCCTTTGGGTCGGCTATTTGGGGTCTTGGGCATAGGTCATCCAAAATCCCCGTGCTCCACGCGAGCTAGGAGTCATCCTATCCTGACCCAGGGATATCTCTCCCAACTTTACGGAGAGAAACCTTCGGAACCTTCTATCAAGCCTCTACAACACGAATCTTACGCGTTGACTCCCCAATCAGCGCCCGCGTATTACCTCGTATACGTACTACAACAAACACCGGACGCACAGAGATCGACAAATCCAGCCCCCGCCTGGGTCAGCAGCTATCCGACCCCGGCATCGCCAGCTTCCTTTCACACCCCTGTCTCGGCCTCGCTTTTTGGCCCTTCCGAGCCGCAGTTTTGAGTTATCCGTTGGCGGTGGGGTTCTTTTTCGCTAAACCCCGAGACTCCGATCGGGGATTGAGCCACCATGGCATGACTATGACCACCATGTGAGTGAAGCCGCCCCTCTTTGTGGTCCAGTCCTGCGGGGGGGGACAATGAACAGTTTGACATGTCCACATGCCGACCTCGTATGGCACCATGACATTCGAGTCGGCATGCATGATGATGTTATCCCTAAACTAGTAGTTGGGGTGGAGCTGAAGGAGCTAAAGGTCTGTCCATCTCCGTCTCGGCCTTGGGTTCGCGCGTTGGCCTTTCTTTGGCCCCCCTACACGTCTCACTGCATCGCGCGAGTGGGAAAGCTGGGGAGCTGATGTGATGTGTCACTGCGCCGAGCCTCTTGGGCCAAGACATCTTTAAACTTTACCTCGTATACTCAGACAAGGTATTCGTATACAAGTGCCCATCCTGAGATTTGGGCGGTCCCGTTTGGTAAGGTGATGCGCGCGATCCTGCGACCGACTGATCTCGGCCCATTGCGATGTGGAACCCTTCAACCTCTTTTCCAGCTATGATATAACTTATGATTTTAAAACTCCACTTCCCTGTGCCCTGATTCTTGCACGTCTCCGTTAAAGAACGGGGATCTCCCGAAACGTTGGAATCAAGAGCAAAACCGGGGAATAATAAATATCAATGTCGCGCTCATTAGCTGCACAGTCTTTATCTGCATAGAGACCTTGCAGAATCAGAACACTGAAGCTTTTGGGATTATACAAGTAGGGCGTAAAGATGCAGCAGAACATTTTCTGCCCTCCACACTCTACGGAAACCTATCTTGAACAGCTATACCCACCAGCCTTTTCCTAAGTACCGATGTGGGGTTTCGATCTACATTGCTTATGATCTACATGCAACTATATACTTGCCATTGAATCTGTATATGTCGAGAGGAAACCACCTTCGATCAGTATCTTGATGCATTCGCATATATTGTTCGACACGGGGAAGAGGCCATTGCAGCAACGGCGGATCCCAATGGAGAATAACCTCATGTCACATTCGAGATGGGAGTCGGTATCCCCATGCTTGTAACTGCATTGAAATGCCGCCAATCGTCGACTCGAAGGTTTTACATGGTATGATGGATCTGCCTTGGTCGCAAAAGTCGTCGAAATTGAACAAACTATCTGCGCCCCGATTTACTAGATTAGCATGTATGAGGAACACAAGTACATGGGCAAACAGAAGCCAACAGAAGTCGGCTTGATAATTGCCAGGGAAAAAAGAACCGGCCACTGCGGACAGATTCAAATGACTTCATTCTGGTAGAAGAGCGGGTTCCGCTCCGAGTCTGAGGATCGCGAGTCAACTCTAGCGTTATGTAGATCGGGTAGACGGATCCGCGGGTTCCTGACGAAGGCAAAGCCAGAGAGTCATCCCGCCATATTTCCGAGACCCACCCTGATTCATAGGTTCTCCTGGTCGTGGGGGACTATATCTGTTTTTCGCCGAGAACCGGTACCAACAGGAACAACAGTCTCACGAAATGATGAGAATGTGATGAAAATGTGATGAAAAGAAGGTATATTCAGTAACACCTTCACACTTTAGCGTCTCGGTTCACCGTCCAACCCTTGGAACCTTCTCTTGCACGCGGTCAACAAGCTCGGAACCTTATATCGCAGACCTTATATCATAGAAGCGGCTGAGCCATCTAGAAACAAGGAAAATCTTCAAGGCCGTGAACCTAGAAGTGAGCGGGTCCGAACCCGAGCCGTCACATCAAAACGTGATGATCTTTGCCGCGCCGTAATGGGGCATGCGCAAACCTGTATCCGCGCCCTTCCGGCCGCGGCTGGGGTCACAACGCACACGCACCCGTGGCGGCACGCACCGATCTGTGCTGAATAATTAATGATTTTTGCTCATTTTCTCGCGGAAATACCAGCCCCGGAGACTTTTCGCGACCCCAATTACGGTAGTTTCAAGCTGTCATTTGACGCTTCCTTGTCATCGTCATTTGATCCATTGTTGGTCTCTGCACCCCGGATTGTCTATCTCCGGTTGTTAGGTCATACTTGGCTCGAAAAAATCATGTAAAAGAATAAATTTCAATAGTCTCGAGTACTCTTTTCGATACATAGCTTAGGAGACACGTCGAATCTCTATCCATTACCGCAGACTTATTGAAACTCCCATAAACTTTCTGTTATTATTAAGTTCCGCGCCAAGTAGAACTACTGCAATCTCCTCAACAGGAATCTCTACCCCTCCGACAAGATCAGCGGATCGACGCATCTCCACGCTGATCGAGCAATATTACCAACTTAAGCAAGACCGCCCTGCAGAGCATCGGATATTCGGCACCGTGCCCTCCGAAAGGCCTGCAGGCCGTCTTCCATCCATTTGTCCCCAGCCTTGGCACGGTTGGTACGGCCGCTATATGAACGGGGATAATAATGCGCATAAGATATGCACGGATCAACACGGACACTAAGCGACCGGCTCATCCCGTGCACTATATCGAAGTACCCCTGCGTTGAAGGGAGTCGGTGTAGATGCGTTATACAACTTGATTTGTTTTTAAATTTAGAGAACTCTCTAGAATGATCACTAGCATTGGTGCGTTCTCAGGCGCAGGCTTTTTGGGCTTAGGAAACTCCCAACGCTCTACCCATGCAGGAGTATGACTAGTATCTTGAAGGTCGTCGACTGGATTCATTTCCCGAAGATCTGTACAAAGTTTCTCGGCTCCCATAATTCTAGTCTTAAGTTGACACTGATGAGTCCACGAGTAGACGCGCTGTAGACACAGGGCTAATCGCGAACAATATCCTTGTCACCTATATGTGCGGTGGTACGGCAGTCAGTCAATTTCTGGGGTATACCAACCCTCTTAAATGCTCACCTCTATTCTCTAGAAAAAATCCGAAATATTTATCCTGGCTCTTGCAGCATGTCATTTGGGATAATCCACAAATGACTCTTATCTGCTAGAGACACTAGCGGTCGAATATTGCCTGAGAGCCATCTGGTCTCTAGGTAAAATAATTCATAATATCCCCGTTAGGGTTTCTGCAAGTTAACTGAGAACGAAGTTAACATTTTTGCCACCTTTCAAGATGCTCTTGCTTCAAAACGTGAGTTCACCCACGTCATGCTTCTGTATGAGATGATTTACTGAGTCCGGAGAAGATCGACGAAGCAGGAATGTCAACCCACGCTGTTCGCATCACGGGAGAACTATCTATCTATGATCGGCTACAACTTAGCAATACCCGGATGTCTTCTCCAGTCTGTTTGGTTTGTGGCTATGTCGAGCAGCTTGATCCGATTTATCATCTCCGGCCTGAACTTTTGAAAGATGCTAGACCGAAGTATTTCTAGGGTGGATGAAATTCTTCGTTGATCTGCAGTCTCGTTTTACCAGCCATAGCAGTTGGCCATAATATGCCTACTTGGTTCTGAATCTGAATTCATTTTTTAGTGCATATTTGTTTGTGAATTCCGTCAGTGTCGGAATCTGGCTCGAGTGCCATGGCGAAACTTACACTCCGCCATTTTAAGCTGGTGAAGATTAATTGATCTCCGTAGGAACAAAATGTTGAGTAGCAAGCAACGAGTCGCATTTCTAGAGGGTGATGGTGAGGAAACCCCGATGTATAGACGTATGACTAAGCAAACATGTGATCCACTAACCGGATCGGGCTAGGGTACACCAAGCGAGAGTGGCCCGTGCACGTTCCCCAATTGGGGCAGCACACAACGATTTTCCAACCCTAACCTTCGTCTTTCGCCTCTCTTCAACAGCGCCAAACGACCCTCGTCCCCGACAACAACCCCGTCAACCCACCCCCCTACAACATCTCAAGATGACTCACGAGTCCGTTTGGTACAGCCGGCCCCGCAAGTAAGTCGAATCTGAGCCCGGCGCACGATGTAAAGTTACTGACCGAATCTCTCTTCAGGTACGGCAAGGGCTCCCGCGAGTGGTGTGTATCCCCATTGAATATCTTCGATTCCCGACGAGCAGAGACAAGCGAAGAGCGCGAGTGGAGGATTGTTATCGGAGCGGAAACACTGGGAATGAATTTGGAGGAATAGAGTGCTAATTCGTGTGCGATCGATCCAGCCGTGTCTGCTCCCACCGCGCCGGTCTGATCCGCAAGTACGGCGTACGTTTGAACTCTCCCCGGCATTCGTGTGTAGCGCACGAGTGCTGTCGAAAAGTTGGACAATTGTGTGGCTAATACGGGTTCGGTTTTAGATGAACATCTGCCGTCAGTGCTTCCGTGAGAAGTCCACCGACATCGGTTTCAACAAGGTTCGTTTCTACCTTTCGCCTACACCGACTCGAGAATACCGGGAATATACGATTTCTTTCATGGGCGCACCTCGGGCCGGTTCACATTGACAGAACGGACGCACTAACATGACCACCACACAGTACCGCTAAACAAAAATGAAAACCATGTCGCTGTAACGCCCTTCTCGCTCCGTTCACGTCCTCGATGCGTTTACACCCTGGCGCTCGGTCTCGACAGTGTCCAGGCGAATGTTTCGAAGTGTTCGGTTATGATTCGCCCACGTTCCGTTTTTCGTGACGGCTCCAAAAAGCGTTGTTGATTCTTAATGGAGGAGGCATCTTTTGCTGTCTCGGATGGACGAGGAGGGGACTGGGGTTGTTGTGTCAAGAGTTTGAAAACGAGGATGTCATTTTGATCCTTCATCCTTTTCCTTATCCAATATCAATGACGGATTTTCTTCTCTGGGATTCCTACAACGTTCTGGATCTGCGTATTGGTTGTTGAGGGTTCCGGCTGGGTGATGCAATGTTTGCAGTTTCCCATGTCTGCCTTCTACCCGTGAAACCTGAAAGTTGGTCTTCGGATCTCCTTCTGGTCTTACATTGATTCTCTCGTAGATCTGACTGTAGACTCGTGTCAATCAGCGGGTGAGAGCCCGGTCCGTATGCATACTGGTGATCGGCCAGAAATTTAATTTCTATGAGAACAAATGAATGAAGATTGCGTGTTCATAAAAGGTCTTCCGCTCTATGTACATCAAGGCTAACAACAACTCTCGGCCTCGAATTGAATGCCAGACTGTAATTTCTCGACCAAGGACCAATGACTGTCTCTTGTTAAGACGAGGCCTTCTCCGCAGCAATGGAACGAATACTGTAAAACAAAAGGTATGCATCCTGCCGCATGACATCGGCGACACTGGCGACGGTGACTTTGTTGTCGTCCATCAGAACCCACTGGGAAGCAAGTTAGCCCAACACCGTCCTATAACACACGAAACCATTGTACGCACCTTATCACCACCAAGGCGAGTGTAGGCGAAATAGTGACCGGAATCCATAGTTCCCTGGTGAACGATGACGGTGGATAGATCGTAGATGTACTTGGATGTGTCGACACGCTCTTTGTCCTTTTTCACGGTGTAAGGGAGCATGTTGAGGGTAACGGGGAAGTCGATGTGGCAGTTCATCTTCTCCGATGATGCCGAGGTGGCCTCATAGCGCTGGAGAACAGTTAGTAAAGACAAACAAGATGAGATGAAGCAATATATGAACCTTCAGTTGCATGCAGAGAATGGCAGGAAGTCTGCGAATCTGCAAACGCTTGGATGCCCGCTGGGGGGTGTTGCCGCACTTCTCACAGTGATAGGCAGCATCTGCATGTAAGTCCTCAACCGCGGTGAAGCTGTCCAGGCAGGCAGTCAATGTGACGGTGGATGATGGGTTCGATCGGCCCAACTTGCGCTTCTTGTTCTGCGCTTGTACGTCGAGACTCAGATCGGCCATGGGGTCGTGGGTGTGGGTGGTTTTGCCGCATTTGTGGCACATGACGCTGCTGCGCAGTTCACCATAGAAGGTCTGATGGAAGAAGCACTCGCATTTGCTCTCGTAGCTCTCCGAGTGTCCAGGGGTGCAAGAATGAAGCGCGTTGACCAGGAATTGGAAATATTCGTGTGCATCCTGCTGGCGATATCCTGCCATTTCCTATTACGAGGAATTAGCTTGAGTCCATGTTCTTTGATCAGAGACGTTCCCATACTCTTGACGCATCCCACCCATGGTAAAGGAGAGTAGCGGCGGAGACCGCGTCCGTCTTCTCACCGCTGTTAAAGTCCATGAACACTTCGGTGGCAGCACAGGCCATGCAGAAACTCCTCTTGCAGTTGTGAATGTCATGGCCCCCAGCTAGGAAATACGCGTTGAGAGTTGGGTCGTGAAGCAGAGCCTGGAGGATGACTGCCTGGTAACAAGTCTGACCCATGTTCCACACGCCACGGGCACCTCGGCGGGAGCATGGATTCTTGGTAGCATTTGTCTTGACATAGGCTTCGGAGGCCGAGTCCTCGGCCCACTTTCCCTTGCCATCTATAGGATGTCAGGTTTTTGCTACCAACGTACACTGCAGTGAAAGCTCTGCTCTGATAACGTACCTTCGATCCCGTACTTGGAAGATGGGCCACCCAGTCTTTCCAGTCCATGGTCATAGACAAAGTCCCCACAACTCTCGCAAAACACGAAGCGATTACGCGACTCCATGTCTAGAGGCACAGTATTAGCACGGGACTGAGGGAACCCGATTCAACGGACATACAAAATACGTGTCCAGTCTTCTTTGTGTGTGCCTTCCGATCGCCGTTCAAGCAGATCTCGGAGCAGAACAGACAGTGGTACTTGGGCTTCAACGACGCCACCGTGCGTAGACCGCTAGTCTGAATAGCAACCGCCTCAGGCTTCGTGAGCGGAGCCAGTCTATCATGGTGTTTTCGGAAGCCATTTCTGAACTGGCCAGCAGTTTGATTATCCTTCAGCACGGCGGCAAGATGTTCTAGCGGGTTGGTTAGTCCGACATGATACCACGAAGGCGGGGCAGTCAACACATACCACAGCCATATGCTGCTTCTGCTAGAAGATTCACGGAATCAAGGCTCGCCGCCATAATGACGAAGATGGGAACAATGTACGGGGAAAGCACAAAGGGATAGCGAACAGAGATGCCTCAGTCGGAGGTAGGCAAGCCACCAGATGCAAAGAAAAGGGCAAACCACACCAGGTTCAAACCTCTATGCGAGCAGAAATCGAACGAATCCCAACCGGATGGACGACCGGGAAAGCAATCCAGGCTATTGAAGGTTGCGATGACTGCGTGGGGCGGCAAACGATCCAGATCAGTCTCAAGGACTCCCCCTGAATAAGGCCAGCATTGCACTTCAGAGAATATCAGTTCAGGAGTGTGCAGCCATCAGCAGTAAAGGCAACGAACAGTCAATAGGATGGTCGAGTAGAGATAGATGGAGCTACGTGCTCATCAGGCACAAGGGTTGCCACGACAGATTCACCAACAAGCCCCGCCTCAATGGACCACGAGAGATCAAACTGCCCAAGACCAAATAAGGGCAGTCTAATGCGAGATGTAGTTCAAAGGTATTCCTTTGTGGACGAGGATGGGTACGTTGCCATCGGGCGGGCCTTTTTTCGCCAGAACCCGATTTACCGCCGGATCAGAGATCGGATAAGCCTCTCCGCCTGGGCCGTCTCTATACTGACGGTTCGTCTCGTATCCCAGCTACACTTTCTATTTTGTTTTTTGTTTTCATTTTACAGTCTACTCTTCTTTGCAATTTTATTAAGTTTGTTCATTTCTAGTCGTCATAATCACAGGGGTTATCGCGGTGTACCTCCGAGCGCACATGCCCAGAGTGCGTCCCTTGTCGCGCAGGCCGATCCGAGGCACTCACTAGCTTTGAGCCGGAGATCATCTCGGAGTTTTTTAAATCTGTAGATACGGAATTTTCCCTCTAGCATGTTTTTTTGTCATGTGCAACCTTTGGGAACCTCAAATGGCACAGTTTGTCAACACTTATGGTGGCTGGATCAATGCATGCCACGTCCCCGAGGCAGCGCACTCGGTCGAGCACCCCGTGCCCCTCGTGTTGCGTACCGGCTCGTTGCTGAGCCTCGCGTGGTCCCTCGAGTAGTTCCCCGTGTGGGTGCTGAGTATTTCGATGTCGGTTTGGAGGAAACGGTGCTGGGAGGGTGCTCGACAAAGGAGGTATCGGTGGTCCTGGGGTACGCATGTCAATTGGACATGCTTCGGCACGCATCTAAGACTCTTCATTAAATATTCTTCACTCACAGGAATGTCATTTCGCCATCGTCTGCCGGCCGGGACGGTTCCATCTCTGCTTCTGCTCCAGATGTTAGTTGGACCGCTCCTGAGTAACCCCTCCATCACGAGCCGCCGGGACGCGAACGGTGGCCTCCATACCTTTCTGGGCCTCTGCGTACTTGGCTCTCTTGAACGAATCGGCGATCGGGGCCTGTAGTAATCGTTTAGCCTCAGCCCGAGGGGCTTGCTCGACGCGTTTTCGATCGTACCTCTGGGAAATCGACGCAGAACGCGTTCATATTCAAGCCGTACAGAAAACTAGCGAAACTCTCGCTGAATCGCGTCAAACTCTCGTGCATCAGCTGCAGGTGCATGAAATTGGCCTCGAGGTCGGCCATGGAGTCTGCGAGCTCCGCGAACTGCGGCTCCAGAGCGTTGATGGCGGGTTGATTGTATCCGGCATTGCTGATGCTGTGACCGTAGCCGTGGGCTTCTCGGAGCGACGAGCGCGAGCTGGGTCGCAAGGGCGTCGTGGGGCGAGACGACGGCCTCGGTCGCGACGACGAACGCGGTGCAGCGCCGTCCATGTTTATTGAGGCGCGTAGGAGAGGTTTTGTTTTGGAAGGGATTCCAAGAGACGGTGGATATCTCAAGATCGTGCGACAATTGGGCCAAGGATGTAATTCAAGTGGGTTTTCGGACGGTTCGGTAAGGAATAAGGTGATCCGTCTGTGTTGTGTTGATCCCCCGCTACGTTGCTGGGCGATGATGACTTCATCGGCACGCGATGGTCAGTTGATGCGGCCAGCTACAACTATGTATATCGCTTTTGTAAGCATCCCTAAACTTTGTCTAAAATTGATCGTAGCAAAGCAAAGCAAAAAGAAAAAGGGTCCAGAACAGCATGGTTTTCCCCGCAAGGGCAGATCGTCATTCTTGATTCTGCCCGAATCCACTTTGCGCCATCATCTTGTCTCGTCTCAAGTCCCGCTTCCCCTTCTATCTTTCTACCCTGACTAATATCATCTCTCCCCGCCACATGCGGAACTGTTCAATTCTTCGCCGTCGTTTACATTCCTCGGCCAATCTTACATCCCTGCGCGCACAGATCCCAGCCTGTCTACCCTGGTGTCTACCCCGGTCTCCGACGCTCGCGCGACGCTTCTCCACACGTGCTCAACCGAGGGAGGCGTCGTCCTTCTGGTCCATCACATTCGCTTTACTCGCCGTCACCGGGGGCGCCTGGCTTCACAATATATATATCAATCCTAAACAGCAGCAATTGCCCGCGCCTTCCCGGATCCCTCCACAAGAACCTTTCCTCGGTGTTATCGATACCCTCAAGACCATGCCTACCGAACCCGCCCCGGGCACCATTGGGACCCTCACTCCCGAGCAGGAGGCTAAACTTCAGGAATTCTGGATCCTCACGCTCAAGGTTTTCGGCGTCAAACTCGATGCCCTCGAGACTGAGGCGGCCAATGGCAACGGTAACGGCGAGGCCGCACCAGCAACCCCGCCGAAGGAGAAGAAGTCGGCACCCAAGCGCCGATGGGGACTCTTTGGCCGCAGCACCGACGACGACGATGACTCCAAGAGCGTCTCCTCCGCGAAAGGCATCACCTCGAACCTGGCCTCCATCAACATCACCGACGGCGATGACAAGTATGGCCAGTCCAAGGAGTTCCAACAAGCGCTGGAACAACTGGAGCCGGAAGAGATCCGCACCGCATACTGGAATATGGTGAAGCAGGATAATCCGGATGCGCTGCTGCTGCGTTTCCTGCGCGCGCGCAAGTGGGACGTCCAGAAGGCGCTCATCATGATGATTTCCACCATGCGCTGGCGTCTGCAGGATGTGCATGTCGACGACGATATCATGGCCAATGGCGAGGCCCTGGCCCTAGAGAACTCGAAGAGTAGCGACCCTGCGAAGAAGAAGAAGGGCGAACAATTCCTCTATCAAATGCGGATGGGCAAGAGTTTCTTGCACGGAGTTGACCGCTTCGGTCGTCCCATCTGCGTTGTTCGCGTGCGTCTGCACAAAGCTGCTGATCAGGAAGTGGATACTCTGGAGCGGTCCACCGTTTACACTATTGAGATGGCGCGCCTGTTACTGGCTCCTCCGGTTGAGACTGCGGTATGTCAATTTCTCCGATCACGGTGCTCAGAACTAATGAATACAGACTATCATTTTCGATCTGACCGATTTCAGTCTGGCGAATATGGACTATACCCCCGTGAAGTTCATGATCAAGTGCTTCGAGGCCAACTACCCCGAATCCCTTGGAGCCGTCCTCATCCACAAGGCTCCGTGGATCTTCTCCAGTACGTGCCTATAACATGAATTCCTGTACAATTCTAACTCGCCCTACAGGTATCTGGAACATCATCAAGGGCTGGCTCGACCCGGTTGTTGCAGCCAAGATCCACTTCACCAAGAACAGGCAAGACCTGGAATCCTTCATCCCCCCGAGCCAGATCATGAAAGAGCTCGAAGGCGACGAGAACTGGGAGTACAAATACGTCGAGGTCAAGGACGGCGAGAACAAGTTGATGGAGGACACGGAGACCCGCGACAAGCTGCTCGCTGAGCGCCACATCCTTGCCAAGGATATTCAGGATATCACCATCGAGTGGATCCGTGCCAGCTTCAAGAAAGAAACCGCGGCTGCGTCCGCTGCCAAGGAGAAGCGCGATGCTCTGGTTGAGGAACTGCGCAAGCAATACTGGGTGCTTGACCCGTATATCCGGGCTCGCTCTCTCTACGACAGACTGAACATCGTCCAGGGTGGGGGTAAGATTGAGTTCTATCCCGGTCCTGGAAAAAAGAGCACTGAGGCTGCAGAGTCCGCATAATCTGTCTGTTTGGAATGGGCTTCTTTTTCTCGTCTTCAAGTTTGGGATATATGCTAGACTTGCGGTTTAGACCATTTTTGCATGGCTTTGTAGTATATACGAGCTTGGGTTTGGACAGTCAACATTTGGACTAGAGAATATACAGACGATTACATTTGGCAGAAAGATCTCCTCCATATTCCCTATTCCAGGTTTAGTAGAGCTAGGTGATGGGCATTTTAAGTTATCATCTCCCGGATGACTACCAAGGTTCTCGAAAGCATTTTACATCTTCGCCGTGATCTCTTCATGCAGAGCCTTCAGCTTGTCCATCTCAGTTTCCTTAGTGGGCCAACCGATGCTCATACCCTCCTGCTCGTTTGGCTTGGGGATCTGTCAATCAATTGGTCAGTATACCTTCGTCCACATACTTCTTGAAACGGGAAACCAACCATGTGGAAGTGAACATGGTCAACGACTTGGTGGGCAATGCGTCCATTGTTCTGCAGGATGTTGAAGTCCTCGGCACCGCTGGCCTTGGCGATCTTCTTCGCCACGGGCTGTAGAGACGAGTCATGTCAGCCGAGTTGTTCCATAAATTGAAGGACCTTGGGGGTTGGCGACTGGGGAAGACCCCGACCCCCCAGATTTAGTTCCATCCCTGCAACCATCCTTCTTTGCTTTCATTTCTGGGGTTTCCACCTACCAAAATCTCGACCAGGTCCTCGTCGGGGATGTCGGTCAGCTTCGCGCCGTGGAACTTGGGGATCACGAGCTGTTCGCGTCAGTGGTCAGCTTCGTGAGATCATTACTTTCTATCGGCAGCTATTTTGGGTTCAATGCATGGCTGGATTACTGTACGCAGCATCGACAATTGGTATCGACGGTGCACGACGTCGAAACGACCGGGACGAACGCGGTGCGGGGAAGGGTACACAAGGTGACTCACAGCGTGGCCGCGGCTGAGCGGCTGGATATCGAGGAAGGCAAAGACCTTATCGCTCTCGAAGAGCTTGAAGGAAGGGATATCACCTGCAGCGATTGGACGTGTTAGCAGACACTGCTGGCGAGGGCGCGACCCGATCGGGGTCGACAGGACCGAGCCTTTGCGGGTTGAGGGGCATTTGAAGGAAAAGCCTACCCTTGATGATCTTGCAGAAGATGCAGGCAGCAGAAGACATGATGATTATGTGAGCTTCCGTACGGTTCAATATGAATGGAGTAGGGTACTGGGTAAGGAAGGGAAGCTATAACAAGCTGAAGTCATCAGTATGCGGGGTCGGGAAAATAAAACATTTGCCGGGTGGGGGAGTCGAACGGGGGTGCTCGGAAGTTATGCGGTACCCTATATATCAAATAAGGGTGGGAACCCCGAGGAGTGGGACAAGCTAGTACAGAACCCATTTCTTGCCTTTTACCAGAGATGGCCGTGGTTTGCCCACAATACTCCTCTAATGAATCTTTGGACCACCACGCTTCGACATAGCTGTCGAATTTTTTGCTTTTTTCTTCTCTGCCCGATTCAGTCACGCTCAATTAGACGCTCTGTGTTCTTTTTCAAAGGATTCACGATTGCTAGGACGTTTTGGAGGTGTCTAGGACGTGTGCGTACTGATATTGGTGCGTATCTCTAAATTCCATGCACTCCGGTCTCCTACGTTAACGCGGCCTATTCGATCGCTATTATGCAATCTTCCTTTTGATCTCTTTAGACCCATAGAATCATCAGTGGTAATAATCATCAATATTTTTTCGTGCTGAAAAACAATGCCAATTTTGTCAAGGTATATTCCAAATTTTTAGAAGCCTCGTGCATTGCTATCCTGCCTCGCAAGGTCGGTGATTTCGATCAGACATTTAGTCCGTGCGTGCTCCTCCATTTCTGAACCAGTCGCTTTGCATCTACCCTTTCACCACTTCATTAAATGACGGGCGAAGCACCTAGGGCAGCACAAAACCGAACTGAAAGAGGATATGCAGATGGCCAACACTAAACGAAATATTGCCCATTACAGCACAGGTACGCCACTATGCTAATCATACTTATCCAACCAAATTGACAGTCACATTAGCCAGGAAACAATGCCATCAAACATCTAGTTCGCATGCAGCAGATCACTCTTATAGTGGGAGACGGAGAGGGTTTGGCGGGCATCCAATCACAGCGGGTATATTGTCAGATCTTTTGTGGGCGTGCATGTTGGAGATGCTGTAGAGGCAACAGCACACCTTTAAAATAATACACAATCAAACCAAGCCACCGAGAGCCCTCAAACCATCCATCTAGAAGAGGAGAATATTAAGAAAAGAGGAAACAGAGGCAGCGCTGGCCATTGAGGACTGGCTACCGAATCTGGTTTAGCGCCCAGTCCCGTGGTCTTCCCGAATTGACCTGCGAAAGCCCGTCACTTGCACCTCACCAAGCCCGAATTACCTCTCCCCTCCGCTGGTCTCTCCAGACTCTCCCAGAGGCCATGCACAAGTCCCGGGTCATCAATTCTGCCCTGGGGTCGCGGGCTTTTGCCCCCACCCCGCGGGTCACCGTCATGTTCCAGCGCCGCTCCCTCCAGGACGTCGCCATCTCTCGCACCGGACGTCCCATCTTGAAGGTCCAGGGTGGCCGGTAAGTACTCAATTGCTCTCTATGGACTTGGGTCAATTGCTAACTCCCTGCGCTAATAGCTCTTCCCTCGGAGGTACCTCCACCGTCTCGCTTCAATCCTGTCATCCGTTCGATATGCTCACCACTCAATCCTAGGCCACACCGCGACCGTCTTTGGTGCTACCGGTTTCCTCGGTCGCTACATTGTCAACAACCTTGGTATGTCGAGGCTCTCTCGGGACACAATGGATCGGAGGACTGGACACTGACATCCCGCAGCTAAGCAGGGATGCAACGTCGTCGTGCCCTACCGCGAGGAGATGATGAAGCGTCACCTGAAGGTCACTGGTGATCTTGGACGTGTTACTTTCATTGTATGGGCTGCTCCCGTCTCAAAACGCTCGAATGTCGGACGATATCTGACTCCCACAGGAATACGATCTGCGCAACACCCAGTCCATCGAGGAGAGCGTTCGTCACTCCGACGTCGTTTACAACCTTGTCGGTCGCCAGTACCCGACTAAGTAAGTGCGAACGGATCATTTGGGGCTGCAATAGGTTATTGACGGTGGAATAGGAACTTCTCGTTCACTGACGTCCACGTTGATGGTGCTGAGCGCATCGCCGAGGCCGTTGCCAAGTACGATGTGGACCGATTCATCCACGTCTCTTCCTACAACGCCCGCCGGGACTCGCCCTCTGAGTACTTCTCCACCAAGGTTGGTTGATCCGATAGTAAATATGTCAACATACAGATGTGCTAATCAACACAGGCCTGGGGAGAGGATGTCGTTCGTTCCATCTACCCCGAGACCACCATCGTGCGCCCCGCCCCAATGTTCGGTTTCGAGGACAACCTCCTTCACAAGATCGCTGGCACCAGCCCCCTGATTCACTCCAACCACTTGCAGGAGCGCTACTGGCCGGTTCACGTAAGTTGCCCCGCATTCACCGAGAATTTCTTCAATTGACCGGTCTCTAGGCTATCGATGTCGCTCGCGCTCTGGAGCGCATGCTGCACGACGAGAGCACAGTCGGCCAGACCTTCGAGCTCTACGGCCCCAAGGAGTACTCCACTGCCGAGATTGCCGAGCTTGTCGACACCGAGATCGTCAAGGAGCGCACTCGCATCAACGTGCCCAAGAAGCTCCTCAAGCCCCTCGCCTTCTACCTTAACAAGGCTCTGTGGTGGCACACCATGTCCGCCGATGAGGTGGAGCGTGAGCACCTCGACCAGGTCATTGACCCGGAGGCCAAGACCTTTGCGGACCTGGGCATGCACGAGTTGGCTGATCTGGCCGAGCTGACCTTCCACTACCTGGTACGTGTTTATGAATAAATCGCTCGGAATGACTGCTAACTCTCCAACAGAAAAGATACCGCAGCTCGTCCTACTACGACCTCCCCCCCATGACGGAGAAGGAGCAGCGCGAGGACAGGAAGTACCTGCATGTGCTGGACGACCAGTAGTCTGTTGTTTTAATGTGTACATAAGCCGTTCCTGGACCAATTCCATTTCCTTGTGTTGTCTAGATCAATTCAAAATCGTATCTCAGTCTACACTCTGACCACCCTGGGTAAGGCATGCTGTAACTAGTACTTACATAGTGTCTTGCAGAAACAGAAAGTCGGAGCTCGGCCCCGCAATCCGCGGATAACATCGACCCTCCGGGAACATCTGGAACTCAACTCCGACTCCTCACTAACACAATGCCGCCCATTCTCCTCCTCAAAACCAAATCCTCTCCTCACGACGGCTACGATGATTTCTTCTCCGCAAACGACTACACCCCATCCTTCATCCCGGTCCTAGAACACCGCTTCCACACCGAGAACCTAGCACACGTGCGCGAGCTCTTCGCCTCCGGCGCATTCGACTCCAATGCCACAGACAACCCCAATGGCCCCAAATACGGCGGCATGATCTTCACAAGCCAGCGCGCCGTCGAAGGGTTTGCAGAAATGATCGGCCAACACGGCCGTACGTCCCACCTTCCGCCATACATTTCAACCTCAACTCGTCAAGCGCATAGCTAACTCTTCTATCAAAGTCCCTCTGAACCCCTCAACAAACCTCCCCCTCTACACCGTCGGCCCAGCCACCGCCCGCTCTCTAACGACCCTCCGCAACAAACACCTCCCCTCCTGCTCGATCCACGGCGAAGACACCGGAACCGGCGAGAAGCTAGCACACCACATGCTCCAGCACTACAACGCCCTCCACCCAGATGCCGACCCCAACCCGTCCCTCCTCTTTCTGGTCGGTGAACAGCGCCGAGATATCATTCCAAAGACACTCATGGACCCGTCGTTACCCGATGATCAACGCATTCCCGTGGAGGAAATCGTCGTCTATGAAACTGGGGAAATGGGTTCGTTTGAGGGAGATTTCAGATCTGCGGTGCAGGGTTCGGGTGAAGGTGTGCTTTGGGTGGTTGTGTTTTCGCCGAGTGGGTGTGAGGCGATGCTACGGGTTCTGGGATTAGGGCCTTTTGCTGGGAATGGGAATGGGGATGGAGGTGGGGATGGGAGGAAGGTGTTTGTGGCGACGATTGGACCTACGACGAGAGATCATCTGAGGAGTAAGTTTGGTTTTGAGCCGCATCTTTGTGCCGAGAAGCCTAGTCCCGAGGGGGGTTGGGGAGGGGATACGGAGGTTTATGGAGGAACAGGGGCTGTAGACTAAGGTATGGGTTCGATGTACATAACATATTTTTTTAGACGTATATACTACACTACATTATCGTATAGGAGGCGTGGAGAGGCGGGGGCTTTCAACGCATTGATATTGAGATGTTGATATTGACGGGTAGATCACACTTATTCCCCAGATGCCTTGCTATCTACCGGCGAATTCCACGCTGACAACAAATGATTGCATGCTTCAAATATTCCGGCCCAGCTCCTTACCGCATGATTTCCTCGTAGATGAGTACTAGCAACCGTTAGTCGAGATTCCACTCGCGGACGTGGAAGGGACATACATTTCAATTGCTCCTTACTCAGCGCATCCTTGTTCTTGTCGAAATCAAAGAATCCCTCGGGGATCGGGGGTGCGGTGGGCTCATCCTCGGGATCGTGGTATGGCTCCAGATACGGGTGGCGCAGGGCGTCCTCGACGGAAATGCGCTTGGCCGGGTTGAAGGCCAGCAGTTTTTCGAGCAGGTCCAGGGCCAGCTCGTTGCTCTTGGGGAAGAGTGCTCGGAAGGGAATCTTCTTCTTAAAGGGGAGGGACCGGATGTACTCGCGTGCCCGTCGGGATTTGATGCCGTAATAGTCTTCCATCGTTGGCGTGCCGAGAACGTCCAAGATCAGGGTCAACTGGTGGTGGTCTGGGACAGTTAGATGGGGTGCATTAACCAGTACAGGGTATACATACAGTCCTTTCCTGGGAACAGAGGCTTGCCGCTCAGCATCTCGGCCAAGATGCAGCCCACACTCCATACGTCAATGGCTTTAGTGTATTCCTTGAATGTCAACATAATCTCCGGCGCACGGTACCAGCGAGTAGCCACGTATTCCGTCATGAACCCGGAGTTATCGTCAGTAGAGGCGGCCGATCGTGCGAGGCCGAAATCGCACACTTTCAAATCGCAGTTGGCATTGAGCAGCAGGTTCGACGGCTTCAGGTCTCGGTGGAGCACGTTGGCGGAGTGCATTGCCTTGAGGGCACGCAGTGTCTGGTAGATAAAGTATTGGCAGTGGTCGTCCGACAGGTCTTGTGTCCGAATGACTCGGTGCATATCAGTCTCCATCAGCTCCTGCAAACAAGTCAGATATCAATTGTGACCCGCAGCCGTGAAGCACGCCCTACCTGAATCAAGTACACCTCGTTGAAGCCCTCGTAGTTGCGGGGCCGTTGGATATCCAAGATGGAGATAATATTCTCGTGGTTAAAGTACCGCAACAGCTTCATCTCGCGCAATGTGCGCAGGCAGAACATGGAGTGGTCGAACGGGGTAATCTTTTTGATGGCGACCTTTTGGCTGGATGGCTTGTGAATGGCGGAGCTGCCAAATATTCAGCATGGAGGCATTCCTCCTAGAATGAACTTGAACTTGCTTACCAGACGACACCGTAAGCACCTTCACCGATGACATCCTGGATCTCGTATTGGTCGGACACGTTGAAGGAGATCTTCCGCGATCCTCCCTGCGGAGGATTCTGCTGGCCCATGTTGGTGGTGCAGGGCTGCGGGGAGAGTTAGCTCTAAACATCCATGACGAGAATATCCACGACCAAAGTCGGGTGACAGAGCGAGAGATCCAAGTCATGGTGACTTGGAGGGGCACAGCAGGAATATCCAACAACACGCTACCGAGTTGGGAGACTCGCAAACCTGGGACGGAGCAGAACGCCAAAGCTCGTGGGAATCCAAGAGTCGGAGTATTTGACTCGCAAAACATTCACATCGGGGCAAAGCAAACGCGGCATTCACAGAGATAGGAACCAAAGCTTACTTTTGTTTGCGCGGGGTGATTGTCGTCCTTCCTTCACTTCTCACTTCTCACTTCTCACTTCTGTCTTCTGTCTTCTGCCTGAGAATCGTCGCGCAGTCTGGCAGCCTGGCAGTCGAGAAGGCGCACGAAGCTCGCTCGGAAGATCAGAGGGAGGCGTGAGGTCGAGCAGGTAGGTAACGGGTGGAAGCACGGATCAGGGTGGTTGCCGGTTCTAGTGATGTGTTAGTGGAAGAGCCGAGGCGGGGTGAAAGCAGGCCCCGCACCGCCACTCACCAACTCCTCTAGAAATGTCTCGTAATGGAGTGTCTTGGGATAGCTTGGAGGTTGAGGTTGAAGGTTGAAGGTTGAAGTCCAAGGTCGCAAACTGCAGAATGAAGTGGGGAGAGCAGAGAGAACCGGGACTCAGCCACGGGCCGCAAATTGGTGGGGCAGCTACCAGAAAAGAATCAGGGGGTTGAAATGGGACGATTTACGCGCTACTGTCGGAGGTTGAGGGGCAGCATCTCGGTGTAGTAGCCAGGGACCTGAGACTGCTACCAGTTGGGCGACTCCGTGTTTAGGAACCTTGGCTCACCGTCTCCACCGTCCACACGTACGGTATGCGTACCCATCACCTCACTCTCTCTCTCTACACAAGGTTACGAACCAGCCACCAGCGCCAAATGGCCTTATCCATCACGTCTTGCGTGTGCTGGGAAAGGGCGCTACTGTCGAGACTGGTCACAATCACAGTGACTCGTCGACTCCACTGCGATGGACCGTCTCTCCTTCCTGATTGGAGCCGCGCGGCTTCACGGTTTCACCACCGGGGAGGCGTTTGATTGGAGTGCTCAGCGCGTTGATCTCTGTACGGAAAGACACAAAACGGACGTCGATTTTCTGCTACTAGAGCAACATAGATGTCAAAGAACATGCGGGCGTCTATGGCCCTATACAACCCCGTCCCCGTCCCCGTACAACCCCGTGGTCTACTTCCAAAGTCCATGACAGATATCCTGGCCCGGCGTAATGATACAGGCGGGTGCGTGTGAGAAAGTTTGAGAAAAGGAAACGTAGGATTCATGAGAGAATGAAGGTGTACTGGATATACCGACTGCGTCGGACTTTACTGCACGACCTGAACGGCATGTTAGTACGGGGAGTGAGGTGGAGATATGGAAGATCATACCTTCTCCCGCAGAGTACCCATCCATTGCTCCAGACTGGGGCTCTGGTCTGCGCGGTCCTCCACCAGGGTCGACTGTGCCCAGAGGCGCAGCCCGGGCTCGCCGTCTTCGCGCACCACGTACAGATGAGGCACGATCATGCTGCCCACGCCCTTGGACCGGTGGTCGCGGCTCTTCTCGATCACGTTGCGCACGCGCTGGTTGAACTCGTTGTCCACCGCCCGCAGGGTCTGCTTGCCCACCCGTAGTTCGTCCTTGCTGGCCACACCGAACACGTCCACGATGAGCTGCGGCACGGCGTTGTGACCGACCCACAGGAACTGCGTCTGGCCGTCGTCGATGAGATACAGACCGTAGTTGGCAATAGACTTGGACGACAGGTTGATGGCCGGCGGGAGAGTGATCTCACCGGTCTGCTCGTCCGGAATACCTGCATTGTCGGGCATATCGTGGAGAGAGTACATCTTGGGGTAGATGTACTGGATGAGGAGAGGCAGGGGCAGAGTCGAAAGGAGGCAGAGAGCGGCGGACCGCATATCCGTGGGGATCTGCGCGGATTTGCGAAGACCAAGCTATACATCCATGTTAGCAAAATGAGAACTGGTGAGGAATGCCCCAAAAAATATAAGAATAATAAATGGTAAAAGACTTACGTTCTTGATCATCGCGAGGAACAGAACGGGCAGACCACGCATGTTGGCCGGGAACTGCAGGCCACCGCCGCTGACGCTACCGCCAGCAAGCTCCTTGCGGTAGGTGGTCAACAGCTCGATGAGCTTGGCCTGAAGAGCCTCGCGAGCAGGCTCGAGACCGCTGCTCAATGTACGCTCAACGGCCTTGTGGCTGAAGAAGGTGGCCACGGCCTGCTGATCAACCGAGGCATAGATATCCGCCAGGCTGGTGGTAGTGGGCAGTGCCAAAGTAAGCACACGAATGCGACGCTCGCCGTTGCAAGTGGTGTGGAGAACGGCGGCCTGTAGACACACGACCGGCTTCGCAACGGTCTCGTCGATAGCCACCTCGACCACGTATGCCTGGTCACGGGGGAACGCGGGGAAAGCGCAAAGATCGGAGCTGCGGTTGAAGAAGTTTCCGTAGAATGTGCTCATGCGCAGACCGGTGGTTGCGCGCACCCGAAGAACGGCCTCCAATCCAATCTCCGATGACAGATACGCTGAAAATTCTGAAGCAAACTTCATGGCATCTTCTTCCCGGGCGGCATTCCAGCCGGGGTAGAAGTAGGTCTGACCACCGGTATAGCGAGGCAAGTTGCTCAGAGATGCCACATCCTGGTATTGCGAGGAAAAGAGGAACATATCCACGGATACCTGGGCCTTGGAGCATTCGACCGCAAAGCTCTTGTAGAAAGAGTTGGCCGTCTGCAAGAGACTCGACTCCTTGCTCGTGCCCAGCACCTTCTTGTCTTCACGCATGATGAGCGCTCCGTGGCCAATGTTGGGCAGAGAGGCGCTCAGGACAGTCATCTTGCCTCCAACGGGCGAGATCAGCTTGTAACCGGCACGCAGTGCCGAGCCCATGGCACAGCTGTTGTTTTGGGTGTTCTGGAACATCTCTTGCAGCTTGTCGAGGAAGTTCTCAACATTCTCCCGGCATTCGCTCAGTGTCACGAGAAGATCGGTGGGGATGGGCAAGAAGGGCTCGTCGAGATCACTGACAACCAGCATCCGGGCCTCGGAGCTTTCTGACTGATCCCGAGGGATGCTGAAGTAGTGCAGGCTCGAATCCACGGCCATGAAGCCCAGTCTGGTCCGTCGGTCTGCGTTGGGAATACGGTCGAGGCTCTCCTTGATGCAGCGTGCACTGGTAGCCAAAAGACCACTGGCCACGGAGGAGTAGCTAACATCGATCAAGAAGAGGTACACGAGTGGCTGAGGGGGTCGGACCATGTACTCCTGGGGAGCAACAAACTCCACCATGCTATGGTTCAGGTCGGAGCGCAATGAGCGGTCGGCCGGCTTCTGCAGTGTCGAGTCCCAATCGAAGGCCTGGGGCACGTCGTTTGTGAGGTTGCACATGTTGCAACGCCAGCGGTGGCCATGGTCAAGGAAGGTGACGAAGGGATTGATATAAGAGCGGCATCGTCTGCATCGTGAAATAACCTGGTCCGGGATTACGGGAATGGGGTCCTCCTGGTCGTGAAGAGCTCCATAGGGCTGAATCACCAAGGCGAAGGGCAATTTGGACTTCTTGAGAAGAGAGTTATTTGTCGGAACGGCGTTCAAGGTGGACCGCATGTATTTCGGAGGGCAATTGGCATCGGGGGAGGGGTAAACACTGGTCTGTCATTGTATTTATTAGCATTGCCCCTGTCGATGCAAGGCGGGGTCAATCAGCACATACCCCCGGAGGCAGAACAATAGGAGGCGGGGGGTAGTCCAACTCCGCGACGTTAAACGGTTGAGAGATGAGGTCTGTCGGATAGAGTTGGTTGAGCTGGACGTGGCGAGCGGGCTGCACCACGGGCTGCTGTTGGGGCGGGGGCATGTGGTGCGGTTCAGCCATGCCCATTCCACCGAACTGCTGGGTCATTTGCGCAACGTCGGCTGCAGGTTGAGCATAGCCTGCTGCTGCGGGTGCCATCTGGCTGGGGTCGGCGCCATACACCGGTTGTTGATATCCCATGGCTTGGGCTTGGCCTTGTGGCTGCTGGGGGTAGGCACCGTAGGCACCTCCGGCCGTGGGCTGACCACCGAGCGCAGCGTTGGCACCTGACCCAAAGTCAAAGGCCTCGCCAGCATAGGCTCTCTTCTTCTTTCCTCCGGCCGCGGCTGGGACGGGCGCACCATGCGCGGGGACGGGTGACTGTTGCTGCGAAGGATCCGGGGAGTCGTAGCCTGGCTGGCCGTGCCCTTCCTGAGGGGGGGTAACCCCCTTGTGGAGCTGCCATGGAGGTCTTCTGGGGGAGGGTATGTCGCCGGAATTGGATTCCTCAATAGGAAGGGTCGGGGTTGGGGTCAAGTTCGGGGGGAGGTTGAGTCGAGATGGGGGGGCGCGGGTAACAGCTTCGCTAGAACCCCACAGTCAGCTTAGTCGCCAAGAAGTGAATAAGGCGACGGACAGAGCTGTACCGACTCTGATACAAGAACAAGACGGGGAAGAGCGATGCCTCGAGAATAATGGAGGGGGTTCAACGCACGGAGAGGCGGTGATGGGATACTGTGGCCTCTAGGTTAGAGCCGTCCAGCCAATCACACGCGACCGGCCACATGTGAGCTTCGGCTGTGAAGTTCGATGTATAAAGATTGACATCTGATATTTGCATGGTTTCCAGTCTCCCTATATGCTGGCGACAGAGCCATAGTGTGTGGAAATTACATATATACTCGTTAAGAAGGCATATGGTCCATGTGCGAACCAGTTGACTGCTCAGTACACAAGTTGGCCGGTGCCGAACTTGGAATATACACAGTACATCGAGCGGATCTAGGTATACTCCGCTAGACAAAGTTGTATATTTTTCTCACAGATAGAAACAGTTGAATCATATCAAAAGCTGATTTAGTCCAAGGTCATTTCTACTTCAATCTACTCAAGATAAGGTACCATGGTGCTGAGTAGCGCGCTGGAATTCAAGAAGGGTGGTTGCCCTGCCAACAAACCACCACAAGTGTCTTCCGTGAACTCCTCCACCGTACCATCTTCAGTTCAACATCCACCCAAAGGTAGGTAGGTAGGTTTCTTTTCTTTTGTGGGAGGGGGATATTTAATTATATCTTCTCTTTCCTTTTTCGGTCCGTTCGCCATTGTTTCGATCAATCGAGTGTCAGTCGGGAAATCCGTGGATGTGTGAACCGTCACAATGAGTGTCCGGGTCGTTGCGCGTGTTCGACCCCTCCTCAAGACCGAGAGAGAACTCGACGTTATTGTTCGCACCGGCTCCTCTGCCCCTGCCGAGTCCAAGTCACAACAGTCCGTGAATGGCGACCGAAAGCTGGCGGCGCTGAGGGACAGGGACAACGTGGTGCGGATCCCCAATCCTAAGAACGGAGGCGAGGAATACACCTTCCAGTTCAGTGCTGTGTACGATGCGGAGGTGGCACAGCAGGAGTTGTTCGATGCCGAGGGTGAGTGCCGTTTGCCATGGGAGCTTGAGAAATACCCGGTCGATAGCTGATGCTGATCAATTGCAGTCGCGCCCACCATCAAGCACCTTTTCAACGGATTCGACGTCACGATCTTCGCATACGGTGTCACGGGAACTGGAAAAACACACACGATGCGTGGTGGGAAAAGCCTCGCCGACAGAGGTGTCATTCCTCGACTCCTGAGTGGCATCTACCGACGTAGCCGGAAGATTGAGAAAGATACCGACGGCGAAACAACGGTTCAGGTCTCCCTCAGCTACTACGAGATCTATAACGATAAGGTGTATGATCTGTTCGAGCCGCCCGAGAAGCGTACTCTGGCCGGTCTTCCACTGCGTGACAATGGCGGCAAGACTGTCGTTTGTGGTCTGACGGAGAAACCGTGCACAAGCTTGAAAGAATTCGAAGGACTGTACGATCAGGCCAATAATAACCGTTCCACTTCTGCGACTAAGGTAGGTCTCTGATTAAGCTGATAGACACGACGCGCGTTGACAATTATGGCCTAGTTGAATGCCCACTCGTCTCGTTCGCACGCCATCCTCGGTGTCAAGGTTACCGTTTCCTCACCGGACAGCACTCGCATTAGCACTGCTTCCGCCATTGATCTTGCCGGCTCGGAGGACAACCGCCGGACGGAAAATGACAAGGAGCGCATGGTGGAGTCAGCCAGTATCAACAAGAGTCTCTTTGTTCTGGCGCAGTGCGTCGAGGCGATCACAAAGAAGCAGCATCGAATCCCGTACCGCGAGTCCAAGATGACCAGAATTCTTTCGCTGGGACAGAACAATGGACTGACCGTGATGATTCTTAACCTGGCACCGATTCGATCGTACCATCTGGACACCATTAGCTCTTTGAGTGTCGCCAACCGCACCAGGAAGATCGAAGTCCGTGAAGTCGAGAATGACCCGATCTTCAAGGGCCCCGCGAGACCCTCAATGCGGCCATCGTTGGCAGCCTCTCGACAGCCGCTGCGCCCTCTTACAGCTTCTGTCAATGTGAACATGCCCGCCCCTGCTGCAAAGGATCCCGCCAAGAAGGACGAGGAGAAGCCGCTCAAGGCATTCAGTGTTTATTCCGACCGGGCGCAGCCGAAGCCCGTGACGCAGATACGGAAGCCTGAGTCCAAGAGACCGTCCCTCTCCTCTGATGCACCCACTGCACGCTCATTGAAGCCTCGTCAGACGCTCGTTCCGCCCCAACCTCAACTGAGCAACTCGGATCTTTCTGCTGCCAAAATCGAGGAGATGGTTGCAAAGAAGGTCGAGGAGATCTTGGCTGTGCGTGCAGTGAGCGAACAGTCAAGACAGACTCAGGTTCTTGAGCTGAATGATCAGCTCCAGCGGCGGTTGGAGCAACTGGAGCAGCGCATCGAAGGCACCGAAGACGCTCGCGCAGAAGGTCTGTCCTATCTGCTAATGGCCAAGCAGCATCAGGCACGTGGTGAGAACAGCTCCGCATTGAGAATGTACCAGCTGGCACTCCCTCATTTCCCACACAATGAGAAGCTGGCATCCAAGATTGCCGCTTTAAAAGAGCGTGTCGAGGGCAAGTCTCAACCGCGACAGTCTGTCAATGCTGCCTCCCCGCCCTGCAAGGGAAAATTTGGCAGCATGCTTTCACTCAATTTGAAGAAAGATCCCACCCTGACACTGGGCAAACGCCGGGCTGAAGATTCTGATCATGACTACATGGACCAGTCCGCTATGGGTGGATTCTCCGATGACGAGACTGGCTTCCTTGGTGCTTCCCGTCCAAAGCACAAGAAGCGTGCCTCAAACAAGGCCCTTCGTAAGAGCGGAGATGATCTTGCTGCTCTAGACGACTATCAAGATCCGTCCGTTTCACCCCGAACTATCCACCTTTTGTCAATCATCAACTCGCGCGATGTCAGCCAGATAAAGCTTCTCAAGGGCGTCGGCGTCAAGAAGGCCGAGGCAATTGTCGACTGCCTCTGTGAGATGGACCAAGCATCCTCAAACACGGATGTAGATATGGTTTCCGACCAACCTCAATTCCAGGTGGACAGCCTGGCGCAGCTGAGTACATTGAAGGGAGTGGGCATTCGCACAGTTGAGAACATGCGCAATGGAGTCCTGGTCTGATGCATTTACATGACTCGGCTATATACATGGCATTTTCTTGTTTTTCAGTCATGCATCGTTCAGCGACGGTGCTGCGGCGTTTGGATTATAGCTGGGCTTGTTTGGAGTTGGTCAATACCTATTTAGCACTGTTATGCCTTTTCTCCGTGATATGAGGATCTGTAACTTTAGCAATAGTTGTTTCCGATGTTATTTTCTATATCTCACGCCAGCATTGCATTTCTTCGACTTGCTTTTTGTCTACACTGCATTAAATTCATCTCGCTATGCAAATATTTGTATGCACAATCCAGGAAATAGCGTCAAGGGACCCGTGTCCCGCTGATTATCAACATCATTATACTTTGTTCAGCTTGGCTCCTCCAACAACCACTCTTGCTACGACAAACAGCGTCGCTCCAGAAACCATAACCACACCGCTGAAGACCTGCAGCCTCGTGTATGACCCGTGCAGCACGTCAGAGACTAATGCACCACCAATCGGAGTACCAGTCAAAGCGGCGAATGAGATGATCGAAAAGCAAGTACCGTTGCGGACTCCAACCTCGCGCAGGTCGGAGATCTGGGCAATCAGCGCCGGTGCCAGAGAGACGAAGGCACCGGAGCCGAAGCCGTATAGTGCGCTGAACACGATTGCTGGGGCATTGCTGCGAGACGGAAGCCATAGGGCAAGCACGAGAATGCCTGACAGGTAGCTGAAGATGATCATCACATTGTACCGACCGACACGGTCTGCCAGATAGCCTGGAAGGGTACGGCCGAAGATACTGAAATCGGCATGCGTTAGTTACTTCGTCGTCAAAGAAAGCAAAGTCAGAAACTCACCTAGCAGCGTTCAAAATCGGAATAAGATACTGCGACATGTTTTGCGACATGCCATAGCGCTCAGCCTGGGTAATCACGAAAGTGAAAGGCAAGAACATGCCCCAGAAAAAGCAAAAGCACCCGGCAACAGTCAACACAAACTTAATCTCCTTCAGCGGCCTAAAGAAGTTCGAAAAGGAAAACGGCCTCTTGCTCGGCGGCAATCTCGACGCCAATGTCAAGTTCGCAATACCCAGCATGCCCAGAATCAGGAATGCGCAGATCCGCATCGCCCACGGAAATCCAACCTGGGGAATAAGATGCGTCACCATGATAGGGAAGATGACGCCTCCCAGACTCGATCCCGAGGCCATGAGTCCCAATGCGAAGGCGCGGCGCTTCGCAAACCATGTGCTGACTGAGTTCACGCATGCGTTGAAGATGGCGCTTGCTCCGAGTGAGCTGCAGATTCCTTGTGCTAGGATGAATTGGTAGTACTCTGTTGAGAGGGACGCCATCATGAGTCCGAGGACGTGGAAGATTGTGCCGCCGAGTAGGATCCAGCGTGGGCCGTAGCTGTCGAAGAGGGTGCCGAAGATTGGGGCGGCGAAGAACATGACGAATGTCTCCAGTGATGTGATCCAGGTCACCGTGCTGGTTGACATGTTGCTTAATTGGTGGGTTTCGTAGTATGTTTGGAAGACACCGATGCCTGCAATCGTTAGCTTCTCCACCGTGCACGATATGATGTGCTCCAAGGCTTACAGTTAATCCATCCGAAACTAACAAAGAGACCACAGAAACCTCCTAGAACAACTGTCCATGCTTTGATTCCTCCGTCGGGAGGCGGGCCTGGCCCCGGGGGTCCAGAAGGCCCAGCGTCGGATTTCTCAGTGGGTTCCAATTTGGCATCATGTATCTCCGTAGGCTCGGTTATTTTCTGCTGGCCCTTTTCAAGGTCATCGTTCATTTGGTCGCTCATTGCGGGAGTTGAATGATCAGACGGCGCAACGTTTGTGTTCGTGCTGCCGATGGAGGGGGCGTTATGTTCAGTAGTTCCAGTCATTTTGATTGATTTCTCTCCTGCTCGAGACAAAAGAGTTTCCGGCTTATAGGTGATATCAGACTGGGCTCACTAGCTAAGACGAATGGTATTAGATTCTGTTATTGACCCGGGCGCTACTCCAAGGAAATAAATAGGCGGCTTTGTGATCAGGGGAATCGCGACCAAACGAAGACATGGACAGAGCAAGGAAGTATCAGGTAGATTCGAGATCGAGTTGTAAACTTGCCTGTCAAATGACTCGTGCAAACGGCGGTGCAGCAATGAACCGTCGGGGAGAAACTCTAACACAATTCGTTTGTTCCACCCTGTGAATCAATCTTTGCTTCGTTTCGACCCTAGGGTATTAATCACAGATCCTGCCACTATTTCAGGTATAGAAACCTAGGTAAAGGAAAGAGAGTCTATAAAGGAAGAAAAAGATTTATTAAGAATCAAAAAGCAGCGGTCGCGTCTTCGGCATCGCGCCTGTCTAAACTCCGAGCTTTGGGCTCGCTTTTTTTTTGGCGTATCTAACCGGAAAGAGAAATGAATCGGCGCCGGCCCAAAGACGTCTATGGTAGTTTAGGACCAGTAATCCGTCTCCACCCCGTATCGACTCCGGCCTTTTAGCCGTGAGGGTGTTGCACTCCGCGGGTGCTCCAGTGCTCTATGGACGGGCCTATCGCGATTATCGGCATGATGGCGGCGGCTCTTGTGATTGATTACGGAGATTATCCAAAGGCCGCTCGGATATACTGCATTAGGCCGAACACCGAGGCCGGTGGTTCGGCGGTCTAGTGGCTCGGACTACTGTAGAAGCCTCGTGTGTTTCGGATATTTCATATCTGATTCCTCGAGTCAGAGCAGCGGGTATTTAAGTGTCTGCGCAAACGTGTAGCTTCTTGCAGCTACCTGGGCCATAGGCGGGCCGAATGTCGGAGCCCCTGAGATCCCCACCTCGATTTCATTTCATGTTTGGAATAAATGATTCGTAAGCTTTCGGTTCTCTCGACCCCTGGTCATAGCTGCAGCTGTCCAGCATGAGTCATGTATCTTTGAAAGATTAACGTACTACTACTATGTATATGGAAATTAGGCCTTGAAACACTCTTGGCTCCATAAAACACCAGGGGAAAATTTAGACATCAATTGGTTTTGTAGTGTAATGGTCATCACTGCGGATTCTGATTCCGCCAATCCCGGTTCGATCCCGGGCAAGACCTTTTATCTTCCTTTCTTTCTTTTAACTGAAAGAAAGAAAGATATTTTTGCTTTTCGATCATGGATTGAATTTTTTGTCTACGGTAGGCAGACGCATTTTGTGCGTGTTCAAAATCAGGTTCGCACGTCCGATGAACTATGCATAGTTCACATAGAGGACCGGATCGAGATGCACCTGGGCAGGTGCAATGGAAATATAAATTGACAGCCTGACTGCTTGATCAAGCGGCCCAAACAAAACTTTCCAACCTCGGAACGTGAATGTAAATAATGTAGCTAGTAAGTAACGTCGATAAAGTATACTGGGCCTCGACATTATTATGTACCCAAGTCTTCCTAAAAGAGGAACTATGAGAGAATCGATTACCTTCACACTACGCATGTGAGCATGGTTCCTAAACCAACGGCACAAGTTCTCAAGGCTTCTACTAACGTGTAACGTCTTTTTTTACAAGGATAAGGATCTTCTACTCCATGTTCCAGGGGCACTCATCGCCCTCAAATTCATGTTTGCTCTTCCTATGGTTCTTGTTTAGAAGGCAATATACCTTGGCGTCTCGGAATTCCTTTCCTTATCCGCTGCGAAATACAGAGGCGACTATTATCGCGTTCCATGTCGGAAACATGAGATGTCATTTCAAAACCCTAATCACGGAATGTTTTCTCACTATACATTTAGCTCCTGTATTTTAAAATGGGAAAATAATGGCAGCACCCAGTGCAGCCGAAGCAAGAGAAATGCCAAAAACGGCACCAAATCCACTCCAGCTTGACGCCCGCGGCCCTGATCTCGCGGCAGCATTTGAGGTAGAAGCAGCAGTACCCGTAGCCGTAGACTCCCTCGTAGCTGTAGCCGTAGCCGTATTCGAACCAGTGGCCTGAACGTCATTCTCACGGTGGATAAGTGTCACCCCGGTAATATAGCGGATGGGCGTATAGTATTCGGCAAAGCCGTCGCCGGGAGTCCAAGACTCAGAGTGTGTCACAAGGCTCATACCGGTAGTCAAGGTCGTGACGATCTCCTCGGTCTTGGTACCATCGGTTGTATAAATTGAAGTGGAGCTGCCGATGGCGCTGATAGAGCTCTCGTAGACGTCGCAAACCTGCGTGGGGGTGTACGAGGGGACCGTGGTGAAGCATCCACCTGCGATCTCTGCTGTGTAGCCGCTAGAATATGTATTAGTATCATGAAGTTAGAGCTTGTCTATCAACGGACAGATATACCTTGGGCAACAGAGCGCAACAGTCTCGCTGGGTTGCAAATTTTTCGCCAACAGAGTGGGTATGTAGTCGTAGGACAAGTACAGAGCCCGGTCACTCGCACCGAAGCTCATCACTCCTGATGTCGTATAAGGCTTGTTACCATCGCGCGCGGCTTGTCCAACCGTTTCCCAACCGGAGGGACAGTATAGACCCGGTGAGTAGTAGTTCCCAACGGAAGCCCTCCAGCCATCCGAAGTCACCGAAGGCGTGGCAGTAGCGGAAGGCACACAGTCTGAAAACCATGTCGTTTCACATTGTACATTGTACGTAAGGTAAGGTAAGCCATCCGAGTCGATGGTTCCAAGGAAGATTCTGTCCGTGGCCGAGCAGCTCGGCGCGGGAGTATAGGTTGTCGTGAGGGGGCCATAGTTGTAGAAGGTCCAGGAACCGCCGCCGGCTGAAAGGGTAGTCATGCTTCCAGTCAATGAAATTTACTTAACAGGGAAAATAGGTTGTTCAAATCGACGTGGTGTAAAAACGCAGCAGTAAATTGAAAGGGCTCTATTTTAACGGAGGAACCTATGACCATGTTAAATAGACAATCTTCCTTCGGTAGTGGGAAAGCAGCACCATCCAATAACCACCTCAAAGCCCAGGCCAAGGCCCCAGAGGATTCTTAGTCGAACACTGAGTTCAACCAAGGCCGTTCAAATGAGGTTTTAATGGCCTCGCTTCTCGGCGCGCAATCTCCGCCCCACGCGCTACCAGCTTGGCAGGGACGAAATCACTCTCGACTTTCACCGGAAAGCATGCTAGTATTGAAATTGGTTAGTGATGTCTCTCAGGGTCACATCATGAACCCTTGGCTTGTTTACCTCCAATTTGAGAGTTCTGGCACCTGCCTGGAACCCCCGGACCTCTGCATACTATTATCACGAACACTTATTATTTTAACACCGTGTAGGAGGCATAATAGTAGAAAGATAGAGAAAAATAAATGCTCTAGACTTCTTTGCGGCAGGCTCCAAGTTCCGAAAGACCTGGATCTGGACACCGAATGGCCTAGGTTAGTTCAACCACTGGTTCAGGCCCCGGGACACGAAGGGTCTGGGTGCGCAAGACTCCAGCGCTCGGACGTGATTCTTCTGGTAATAGGCGAGTCGCATAAAAAGGGGGGAGGCTCAGCTAATGCCTGTCCTAAAGGATGGAGGAGAACCTTGGACCAGAGAGAATTCATAGCCTCGCCTTCCGCCTAGCTCTATCGGGAGAATCTTTAGAGTAGAGGAATAATACACGTGTCCTCTTATGAGAAATTTTCTCGCAGGATCATCTATATCGATGCCTTGCTAAAATCCTACGTTTAAGTATTCTGGATTTACTTTCCGGCGCCTGTGACTGAAGCCCATAAGGCCCAAATTTCGAGGCTAAAAGGCATTCGTGAACCGGCCCGAGGAATTAATGCTTAGGATTTTTATAACAAGAGACGTCAGCTTTATCTTCCTACAAAGATGTGGGCCACCAACATAAAATTTGTGCATAGCCAGGAAGCTCAGTTGATGCCGTGGCCACAATTCTAACGAAATGCAGAAGCGGCCGAGTATAGGCATTGTGGGAAATATTCCATGGCTGGTAATCCCATGGTCGGCGGAAAACCCCTACTGGAGAGGTCCGGTGAGCTTCTAGAAGAAGTAGGACCCATGGAATGGAGGGAAGAGTTTGTTGATTTCAAGCCAATCACTTATGTCTGAATATCTCGCTTTTTTGGTTTGAAATTTTACGACTAAACTGTGTCTAGTCTATGTATCTTCATCACCTAGTCAACGAAACATTTCTTGCCTGCCTGTCAGATATTCCTTGCTGAATGGGTAATCCGAATAGCCTGCCACAGACTCGGAGACATAAAATGTCTCCCTGTTGTATGCACTGAGCTCCAGGCCATTCTTCATTCTGTACACCATGTCCGGATTGGAAATAAAATATCGGCCAAATATGACCATGATGTCCTTGTCCGGATACTTTTCATTCACAAGTATCTGGGCCTCCTGTGGCGTATATCCACCTGCAACAAGAAGAGGTCCATTCCAGAGAGCGAACGCAAAATCCAGTCTGTCGTGGCCATCGTAGTCCACAGCACCGGAGATCCGTGACTCTACGAGGTGAAGATATGCGATATCTGACTGTCTGGCCTTCTTGATAACATCCGTAAATTGTGGAATCGGATCCTTCATTCTCATGCCCTGGAACCTACTCCAGGGGCTGAGACGGAGCCCGACACACTGAGCACCGATGGCGTTGGCAACAGACCTGATCACGTTGTCAAGAAGGCGTGATCTGTTCTCCACACTGCCACCGTACTCATCATGGCGTATATTGCTGACATCTTGAATGAATTGGTCGAGGAGGTAGCCATTAGCACCGTGAATTTCGACTCCATCGAATCCGGCCGCGACGGCGTTCCTGGAAGCGTTCACAAAGTCCTGAACTATCTGCTCGACTTCCTTGATGACCATAGCCCGGGGAACCGCAGCGCCTTCTTCCATCGGAATGGCACTAGGCGCTACGATCTCGAACCCCTCCTGTTTGGCCAAGTCGACATCCGCAGCACGACCCATCGCGAACAGCTGACAAAATATGTAGCATCCTTTGCTATGAACTTCGTCTGTGATGGTTTTCCAGGCAGCGATTTGGTCTTCGCGCCATAATCCTGGTGCATGGGGGAAGCCACCACAGGTTGCCGATATAAAGGTTCCCTCAGTGATGATCAAGGTGCTGGGTACGGCGGCTCTTTGGCTATAGTATTCCTTCATCAAGAATGTAGGTACTCGGTCGAAAGTCGCTCGGAGACGAGTCAGTGGAGCCATCCCGATGCGGTGCTTCACTTCCATATCGCCTATCATAAGGGGCTTGAAAAGACGCGATTGAGACATAGTCAAAAATCTCGGAATGCTGGATCCCGAGTATGGTAGAACGATGGATATTTCGATACCTTGAAATCGGGGATATCCAAGTATTTGTACTCATCGTTCAGTGGAGAGCCTACCGTAGTCGTCGGATAAATGTAATAGAATTATTCTTTGCAAAGGGAAGGAGGATACTTCCCAAAAAGGAAAAGAGATACTTCCAATTAAGGAAAAGCCAATAAACGTTGCTATGTCTGGGTATGGCTTTTCGTATTCGGCCAATCATTTTTCCCCCAGAAGAGGTTAGTGGGGCAAAGGTCTGGTCTTGTCCTGAGCTAAGATTCGTGTCATCGCAGCAGTCAGCGGCAGATTACAAATAGAGTGGTGGATTGTCACAGCCTCGGGGGCGTTCACGTCATTGTTGATAACCGGCGTATTAAATAGCTTAACACCTTGGTTGTTCTTGTCATACGTCTGGCCTTGGGAATAACTAAATCTACCAGCCCTAGAGTTTTCTCATGATGTCCATAAAAGTACATACAGCGAAGCATATTCATTTCATGCTAAGAACCTCCCATAGCTAGCAAGACAAGCTGTCGATTGTGTAGCTTGCAAGGCTGAAGATATTCTCACATGACAACTGGAATACAACATAGCCATCAGACAAGATCTGTATTCAAGTAGTCTAAACCACAATTTCTTCCCAGAATGCTTTAACCTGTGACAAAAATGCCTTATCTGACCAAATGAACTGCTTTAGAATCGCAAGTAGCTCTGGCAATGATGTATACAACCCTCTGAGCCTGGTTCTGCGGTTTAAATGCAATAGTGCCACGTATCCCGATCGTATAATTCCCATGGGCGCAAAAGCCCCGCCAATGTGTAAGAGCCAAACTAGCAAGCCAGGCTGACCGTCCCATATGATATCGTCGTTTGCTTGTTGAAGCTTACCTAGTAGCTGTAATGAAAGGTGGGACTGACCTCCAAAATCAGCGAAACCTACTACAAGACCAAGTTATGATAGAGAACAGAGTCCGTGCGTGGACTTACAGGTATAGTCGAAGCACGCCAAATTTTGCAGCGCAGCATAGTCGAGCATAGATATGCCGCTAGATGGCAACACTCCGCAACAAGTGAGCAAGTTGGTAAGCTCATCAGCCTAGACTGGATGGATGCCTGGTGATTGTCAATATGTGCCATCGATATTGCATCTTCTCTAGAAAACAAGGCAGAGTCTCGGATGCATTGCAATGCAGCGACATCTTTGAGCACCTCAACGAAATCTCGGTCCAGTAAATAGGACTGGGATTGGAATCCAGGTGGCAGGATGAAGTAACTCGGGGAGAAGGGGTCTCTTCTCCACTGAAGCTCGGAAAAAGTTGTGTGATCAACAACTCGGCTCGACCCCGTCATGACCGAGGCATTCAAGTCGGACCTGTCAAGTATCGTAAGGATAAGCTGCCATGGAACGCTGCATAGTCGCTTACCAGAAGATGGCACGTTTGATACCGTCACTCAAGTACACACCCGTTCTTCGACATACGTCAAGAAGCTGTTTTATTGCCCCCATGTGAAGTTGGACTTGGCGTGGCAATCCAAGCCGAGCCTGTATCATTCAATGGTCAGCTTGTCTGGCTGCACTTCTGACAAATATCTCAATAGTTAAGAGAGATTTATACGGACCTCTATGCCGGCGAGTAGCAGAATGGCCCCTAGCGTCGGTACTTTTGTGGCTTTGTTCGGAGAACTCATTCTTTGACGAATAGAGCTCAGAGCCTCACCCTGGTACCGGATACACTCTCTGTCAATGCTTCCAGCAGTGGTCGCATATGCATATGTGAGCATAATGGCACTCAGAAGGGCGTGGTCATCTAGCCCTTCCCGAAGAACCGAGCGAAAGTTCTGAAGCACAAGCTCGTCTGAAACACTAAAGATCGGCTTCGTAGCATATCGGGTCTTGTCTGGATCATTTCGTGTCAGCCTTCCTTGGCTACTTTTGAGATTTGCGAGGATCTTACGTCGATTAAACAATGCCTGCAGTCTGGGCGATTCTGCAGCAAGCATTTGGAACGGATCGGATGGGTCTGCGGACAGGAAGTTTGGTGGCATGATAAGAGCTTGGTCTTGCTTTCTTTTGCTCGCGCGTCGGCTAATATCCTCTAGAGATACTGCATGGAAATTCAAACCCGACTTTTGCTGAAGCTTTCGTTTGTTCTGAATGCCCCGCGCTACAGCGTGTGATCGGCCCAAACGTCTCGTCGTAAGGTCATCCGAACTTTGAGTGGAAATGAAATGAAATTGGCCATCTGGAAAAGAAACATGAACATCAAGACATGGAGTCTCAGCGCGATGAGGCTTCGCCGTACCTGGATTGAGTTTATTGTGTTCGGCCATTAACGCGACACGGTTCTCGGAGTGTGACGGGTAATGGTTTCAATTAAAATGTGTGCGTGTATTCTTCAGCGTTCATAGCGTCTTTATATATGAAAATCCAATGAAGTGGACAAAAATATACGTTTTTCGACCCTGCCGTCGATGAGGGTGGTGGATTACAAATCCGAATTATATCCGACCCTGGAGTCAGGACTTAACACCTTAAAGTCTTATAGGTGTTGATGGTTATTATGCTGATAGTTGTTATGTTGACGGTTGTTACGATGACTATTGTTACGTTGACGATTGTTGTGTTGACGGTCGTAAAATGTTGATTGATGTTGATGGTGACGAGGTTGATGACTGACCGAGCGGCGGAATTGAACGGTCTGGCGGCTGACCGGGGGATTTTCTTCCAGCCACTTCACCCGCATGAACTAAGCATGTCTTGACCCTAGGGTTCGAGAAACAATCGAAGAGTGTAGGTGGTGACACCAGTTTTGGGACGTACTGTAGCATGACAAATCTATACAACTATTTTGATCCATAGCTTTCTATTCACTCTTTGTTGCCTTTCCATCAGCAGCCTTTGCTGACCCATTTCCTTCAGAGACCGCCAAAGCAGCAAACGCCTTCTTGCTCGCGCACAGACTGGTGTAGATCAAAACTAATAAAGAGTTAGGAAAATGACCTGTTATAAGCATTGTGAAACTCACGGAGCGGAATCGCAATCCAAAAGGCATTACAAAGCACAAAGTATCCCCAGAAAATCGCAGCTTCGGGCCGCGAGTACTCAAGGCCGAGGATATAGTTGTCAAAAAGACACGTCGCGTAGTAGAGAATATCACCATAGAGCTGACCGAGAGATACAATAGCTTGTAGTGGATACCGTAGAGGATGGCTGGTCATGATCATGCCTGCAAGAACGAATGACAGAGGTCCCCAGAAGGCAGCAGTGACGGTCTCCATGCATAAAACGAAGGCGTCCTGTGTTTGATACCGGGAGTCCGAAAGCGAGTATTCTTTCCAAAGCTGTCCAAATAGGTCCTGCATGCTTGGCATGCGCCTGAAATTGTAGGCGAAATATCCTTCGAAGAAGAGATGGATGCATCCGCCTAGTTAGGTTGTTAATATCGAGTGATCCCAGAGCGATTTGGGCATCCTACATAAGACAAACCACATGATGGTCCATAGATCATGGGTTGATATCTTCGGGTGAACTTTCATCACGAGTAGGTAGGTCACTAGAAAGATAGCGGCGCATCCTGAGGCGAAGAGCGATACTAGAGTCAGGGTATCCCACTCATTGGCTATATACCCCACGATTTCGAGGTCGATTGGATAGTAGGGATGTGCAGCCATGCCTGCTACTTTTGATGCTTTGAGATTTTGAAGATTTGGACGAACGGGCAGTTTGCGAAGGCCGTAATCAACGAAGAGAATGTGCAGCTACGTAGGTCACGTGGCAAAGAAAAAGGGGCTGGTTGGGTCCGCTGTTAATGGGGGTCACAGCTGGCTGGGACCCAAAAGTTGGTTGGGACCCAGAAAATCCTGAGTCCCAGCCAGGTGCGGGAGTTGAGTGGGACCCAGGATCCAGGATTAGTCATGATTTCTCTGGGTCGTGCTCAACTTTTTTTGGGTCGCGCTCAGCTGGAACCCGCGCCCGCTGTTAATGTTAGAACGAACAGCCATGCATACCGATGTGGGAATCCTATTAAGCTAATCCTAATTAGGATATAGAGGCCTAAGAAACCAAGTACGAGGGGTTGGTAGTATCAATTCCTTATAACTGATAAGTCCTAGATAGACTATAACTAATTTAGAGACTATATTGTCGATTTCTAAGCTGTGTATTTATCGTATAAAATAGCTAGGATAATTTATAGCCACGAGGTTAGCTAGTGGGCAGGCGCCTGCTGCATCTGCATCTTCTTCATGGTCTCTGCCCCCGCGAACGAATACTTACACTTCATACGCACTTGCTCAACGTAGTGATACATGATCAAGGGAAACGGTATGCAAACCAATGTCATGAAAGCTGGGATGCTGGACGCCCAATGGATACCTAAATTATGATACATCTGTGTTGTGAACAGAGGGAACACGGCGCGCGCCGATGATAGAACGGAAGATAGCGGCCGCTGCCAGAACCGAGGCGGCGTAGATTGTGTAGGCGTCAAGGTAGTTCATGATTGGCAAGAGTACAAGCACGCAGCCGAAGCCAAAGGGCGAGGACAGGACGATGCTGACGGACCAGTGAATACTGGGATAATTGGTCCAGGCAAAGGCAAACATGCCAATTAGGAGGGCGACAGCGCCGACGATGGCGGGTGGCAAGTGGGATTCGGCTGTCGAGGTTTTAGATAGGAACAGCTTCATATACCGGGTGTTGTTGTCCCAGATGGCATAAATCAATCCAAAGATAATTCCCACGGTAATTCCTAGAAATGACAGGCCTCCGACGCCCTCGCTCCAGCCGCGGTCTTCGTTGTACACGATCGGCATAGCGCCCATGAACATGTAGACTGTGGAATAGACAATAGCTATGTAAACCGACGCCACCAAGACAATGGGTTCCAGGAAAAGGAAAACCCAGGGTCGGAACAGGGCTCGCTGGAAAACTTCAGAAGGTTTTTTCTTGCCCTGACCTTTTTCAAGGACACTAATATAAGCCTTGCCATCAGCCTTGGACAATCGACTCGCCTTCTTTTGCAGCAATACCGGACCGTATGTCTCTGGAACAAAGACGACACCCAGAATGCCGATTATTACAATGAAGATCACACACACTCCTTGTACCCACCTCCAGCCGACATTTTCGGAAATAAATCCCCCAGCCACGGGGCCTAGGACTGGTCCAAGGAATGGCGCGACACACTTTTTTTTCTACGGTAGGCAAACGCATTTTGTGCGTGCTCAAAATCAGGTTATGAGGTCCGATGAACTATCCATAGTCCACATTAGACTGCGAAATTGCGGTCTTGGTTAGTAAAGTGATAATCAAGACCAAGACCGTCATTTCGCAGTCAACTAAACCCGTATTGTGGTTAACCGTTAGTTAACTGCACTAGTATAATTCTTGTAGATCTTGCCTATTATAACCACTTATACGAACTTTATACGGAGATAGCTAACACACTCTAGGTTTTAGGGAATTGATACAGCCAACCCCCCCCCCCTCCCCCCTCTCTGCCTGCCTGATCTCTTAGGCCAAAGTACCTAAATAAGCTTAGACTAATAAATATATCACCGCTTTTCTCACCGTCCCTAACTCTCTCCTTTATCTCTCTTTCTACTATAGCCTCCCTATCTCTTAGGCTTCTCCTGCTATCGTGGGCGACGTATTTGGTGCGCCCACTTGTACACGGTCAAGGGTGAGGAGGGCAGGGAGGTCGTGGAGAGCAGGGTCTTATGGGGCTTGGGCGCGCGGTCGGAGATTGCAGCGTGGTTAAGGGATATGCTGAATAACCATTATGGAGGCTTGTGGTTAGGCGCTGAAAGATATAGTAAAAAAGGAAAAGAGAGCGATGTAATAGGATAAAAGCCCTGGCTTTTACTACATAAACCAGAATTAAAAATCTCTGCAGCTAAGAAAACTGACACTTCAAAACCTAGGGGGATGAAAGACAGGGTGCCTAAGAAATCAGGCAGGGTTGGTAGGAGGAGGGGGGTTGGTAGTATCAATTCCCTATAAATTTTGCGAAACTTTTGCTGCGTCACTGTAACACGGCTTACACCGCCACAGTCTGAGAAATACGTGACATCTTCTGGTAATGCCGTGATGAGGGAACTCATGGTTGGCAAATAGGTACGTGAAATGGCATTTCACGACGGTTCCAATTGCCCCCTATGTTTTTTCAGCTTGATAAGCTACACTGCAACGCAGACATAGACGTTCAACTCCAAATTTTTGCAATCAGAGCCCACAGCTGGGTTCCATTTAAGGAAGTCCGCCGCGCTGATGTTATGATCTGTCTCGACCTTGTCACAAGTATCTCCGCCTTGGACTTTATAGTACTGAGTGCAGTCAGATGAAATACCACTTTGCACTGGCGAAGGCACTGATCCAATTGCTGTCGGCGTTGCGATGGTAGTGGTCAGAGTTGATGTAGTAGATCCTGTAGGACATTAGGTCCAGCAATTTTCCTTGGCTAAGAGAAGAGACTATACCCGTAAGACCAACACAGACGTAGACGTTTAGCTGTAAATTCGCACAATCAGATCCCACGGCGGGATTCCACTCAAGGAAATCGGTTGCACTGATGCTCCTGTCTTTCTCAACAGAATCACATGTGTCTCCACTCTGAACTTTGTAATACTTGATGCAAGTTGATGCAATACCACTTTGAACGGGTGATGGCACGGGTATGGTTTCTGTCCCAGTTGTCTTTGCGGTGCTAGTGGTCGGAGATGTCGTGGATCCTATCATAGTTAGGTCGTGTAATGGCTCTTGACCAAGAAAAGCGAACATACCAGAAACACCAACACACACTTCAGTCTTAAGCCATAAGCTATTGCATTTAGACCCAGTAGCGGGATTCCAAGAGTAAAATTGAGCCGCAGTAATCCCAAATTCCGAAAGAATCGAGCCACAGGTATCGTTATCGTCGACATAGTGCCATTTGTTGCCTGTGTCGAATCCGTAAGAATGAAGAACGGATTCCAAGAATATAAATGTAGCAAATGACTTACAATTAAGAGCGACTCCACTTTGTGTTGGGAAGGCAGACGATGAAACTAATGGAGTGGTCGAGCTGGCTGCTTGTACGCAGACATAGTCACCCACAACCAGTCCCTTGCATCCCAAAATAGCTCTATTAATGTTAGTTCGCCCTGGAACTTAGCCAAGGAAAGATAGTTTGATACTCACGGGTTCCAACTGTAGAACTGAGCGAGAGTGAAGTCCATGTACTGATCTTGAATACTATAGCAAGTATCGCCATTCTGCACCAAGTGGTACAGAATGCAGTTACTTGTAAGTCCAGTTTGAACCGGTGCGGCGGTGCCATTGTATGTGATTGTCCCAGCTGGAGTAGCATATGTGGCTGATGGAGCCGCTGAAGTCGCGGAACCAGCAGGACCGTAGACGCAGTAACTAAATCCAGGGACCATCTTACACCCCGAGCTTGTTTGCAACATTGGATTCTGGATATATATTGGTGAGCATGCTGCAAAATGTGGAATGGAGAGCAGAGAGTAAGGAATCACCCATTTTTCGAACTGCGCCTCAGATATACCAAAGAATTCTGCAACCGTCTCACAAGTGTCCCCAAGCTGGATATTGTTTGCCCAATAGTCACAGTCCGTGGTAACATTGGGGTCTGTCTGTCCGGTTGCTGTAGGACCGTTTTTCCATCCTCCTTGGCCGGCGCACACTGCAGTCACTGCACCAAACAGAAGAAGGGAATGACTGAGAACATGGGACTTCATGATCGGTTTTAAGAAGGGGACTTTAGATAAAGAAGACTTAAACCGCAGGCAATTCAGAGGCCAACACAGACATTAAGTTTTGGAAAGCTAGCGATGCTCCTTATAAGATAAAAGGTCAGGAACATTGCAAAATTCTTCCTTATGCTTCAACGAGGCCCCTATTTGAAGTGGCAAGAATCCACTCCGAAGAAAGATGCAGCTAGATGAATACTCCGTAATTTTCATTCAAATACATCACTATCCGTTCGAACACCGTTTGACTGTAAGAAAGCCAAATTTCAGTATAGCATCACTGCTGTAAATATTACCTTAGGCTGTGATTGAACAAGTTCGGTCGCAGTTTTCCGAACCCCCACCACGCTTATGTGCAGGTACCCTTCTGTTCCTTCGGGTATCGCCCCTTTTTGGCCCCCATGTCTCAGTTTCTTGAGGTGGAGCTTAGATTGCCTACTACGCATGTGGGGCTCTAGTGCATGTGACTTCCGTACATTGGGCACCTGCCGAGTCCATTCTTTGGAAACCCGGGTCCCTCAAGCTTGTGCAGTGCCTAATGCTGATGAACCGATACCTCCACTGCACCAACAACCAGGATAAGACGTGGATGACCGCCGGACTGGCAATGCGAATTGCATAAACCGTGTGTTGCCATCTCCCGGAAACGCCTTCAGCGAAGGACACTGACAAGGACAGGCAGCTGAAACAGAAGGTGTGGGCGAGCTGTGTTGCTCTAGATCGGTAAGCCCTATGACCGTGATTTTTAAACCCTGTGGCTCTCGCCGATGCCCATGGGTGTAGATGCGTGTCCTGGTCACTTGGGAGGACATCGGCACTGGCATTAGTCCCCTCACCCATAGATGGCTGTCAACAAGATGGTAGAAATGCGGAGAATCTTCGCTGGGAATTGGAGCTTCACGAAATTGGCAATCAGATTTAACTGGCGCAGATATAGACTCGAAGTAGTCTATCGGTTAGATCTGGCGCGCAGGGCCTGTGTCAACAGGACGAATACCAAACCGCGGCAGTCCACCTCGACGCACGCCTCAATGGATGGGAGAATAGCCTTTCAAGTGACTGGCAATTACAAAACCTTAAAATGGTGGTCGATAGGACATCTCGAGCGGAGCGATACTTGTTTCATCTTCGGTATACAACCGTTCTCATTCCCCAGGATCGTCAGGCTCCATCTATACTGATACCAGTGTCCCTAGTTTCCTCCACTCTCGAATCTTCCTCTTCAGACCCATGCTCTCCCGCTTCTACTCGAGGAAATCCGACCCCCAGTCAACATCCGCCAAACCCCTAAGCCTAAGCGATCGCCTTCTCAGACAATGTGCCGGAATGTGCATCGAGGCTGCACAAAAAGTAACATCCCTAATCATCGGATCACTAGAGCCAGACGAATCTATTGGTATTCTTCCCTGGTGGATTCGAATCTACTATCTCCACATCGCGGGAGCCATCTTCCTTGCAGCCATGTTCGAAACGGACCTTTTTACAGACTCGGTTTCTCGATCTTGGCATGATGTCCTGTCGGGTCTCCGTGCACATGTGCACCTGAGCACATACGTTCAGCAGTGTATTTATACGATTATGCAGACGGCGTGTTCTACTCTGGATGGGGGTAAGCAGCTGGCGGAGGAGACATCGGGGTGTTGCTTTGATGATATCTTTCAAGATATCAGGTTTGATTTTGATAACTTTCTCTTTGGGACGGAGGATTTCGTTGATGGGTTGGGTTAGTGGCCAGGCAGTGCAGTTGTCCATCCAGAAGAATTACCGAGAATATATCTCCATGGCTAACTATGTATAAGGGGACGCTGCAGCCGAACAAAGAAAAGTAAGGATTGATTTGAATGGCAGAGCTGAGAACCAAAGATGCCCGCGATACTGTACAGGATGCCCATAATACCATTCCTTGAGGAAAACCAACCGCCTTCAACCCGTACAGAAGCAAATGCAATGAGAAGAGATTAATCATTTGTGGTGGTGCTTCATAGCTCTTTCGTCTTGCCCACTTCCTCGAATTCTACTTTGCCGTCCTTGCGGATCTTAGCCACGCTTTGGCTGATTCCGTTCACCTCCCGGACGATGCTCTCAAACGAGCGAGAGATCTCAGGCTCTTGAATGGTATTGTTGGATTCCTTTCCTTGCTCAGCCTTCAGCTGACCGGGGAGGGAGGTGACGCCGCGAGGAGTGTCGGCGATCTCATTCACCTCGCGGCCTGACAGCACGTCGTTCAAGCGGGGCCCGCGCGACTGCACAAGAATGGTTGCCGGACCGTCGAATTGCATGAAGAGCTGGAAAAAACATTATTAATGGAAATTTCGTTGAGCCTCAGATGAATGGGACTTACTCTATCTCCCCAGATAGTCACCCGAGACCAAGTCCGCAGCTTGTGGAAGAAGCGCATAGTCCGCTTCCATGCTTCTGAACTAGAGACATTCTGGATGTACTTGTTGTTCTGCAGTAGCCTCGGCAGTGTCTTCAGGCCCGGAACCTGGAAGCTCAGAGTCGTGGATTTAAAGCGGTAAGGGCGAGGGGGGTTGGAGGACATGGTGTAGGCGACTATGTTGCTGTTTGCGCATTAGCAATGCCAGACCCGCATAGCTGGAGACAAGACGTACCTGGGGTGAGCAATATACTGCTCTCCATCTTTCAATTCGACGGAGTAGACCTGGCCGTTTCCAACTAGAGCTATTAACCCTCTTCCGGTCACCTCGGAACTTCCCCAGTGAGAAATGCTCTGCCGCAAGTTAGCCCGAAGCTACCTTCCTCATATTTAGAAGAGCACAAACCAGGCCAGTGTTAATAGTGGGCTTGATAGACAGAGACCGGCCGGTCCATGCCAGCAAAGCGCGACGCTGAGCAACCATCCAGTCCACAGATCCATTGAGATTCACCACGGCGAAAGAAGTAGTGGGAGATCGAACTGAGATGAGGGCTGTGACGGGGCTTGCCGAGGAGACCTATGTCACGGTCAATCACTGCTTGGAAATCGATAACAAACATGCACCATACCTTCTGATAGAGAAAAGGCACTCCAACAACCGCCCTTCGGAAGGGCTCGAGGACGCTCAATGTTGAAACCACCTGCAATCACAATGTCAACCACAATCTCAAAAACCAGGATGTCATGCGACTGCATACATTATCGGCCTTTCCGCTCAATCCAACCAAGGTTCCTCGGCGCGTGTATAGGTTTTGCGAGGCCGAAAGCGAGACGGAAAGAAGGGAGTACGGGGCACCAACGACATCGAATCGCGCATCTATAGAATTGCTATGTTAGTTTGGATGTATCTTTTTAAATCATAACCGTAAACAGGACATACCACGGGATTCAACGTAACTAGGCGTGTTTGCGAGGGGTAGGTTGGCGCCGTTGGCGGGCTCCTCGGAGGGTGTTGCGCGAATCTGAACGCATCTTGTCTGACGGTGCACGCGAGGGACGACTCTAGTCCAGGAAAGAGTCCGGACACCTCGCTGGAGCGTTGTTCGCATGGTGCCTGAAGAAGGAACTGTTTCCGGGAAGAGAACTTTACGTCAGTTTGGGGAGCTGCGCAGGTCGGGAAATCGTGGCGCCGACCGCCTCAACTTGTACACTTCGATTGCGACATTGACCATATTGCGACATTGCGATTGACGAACTCGCTCAAATTTCCTTTTTCTTACTCCATACTTATCGTCTCTTCTTGTTGACCACCCCCGACGGTCCCTAGGCTTATTCGGACGCTTTGCTCCGAAGCCGGCGGCTCCCAAGGTTTCCCCACGAGCTGTCGCAGCTGCGGACGCCATTCCCCTCGCCCTTTTACTATGCGCCCCTGATCCCCAATCGCTACATCCGAACCTCCTTGGACAAAATATCTTGATTATAAGCAGCGATGCTGCTCAGAGCCGCGCGGTCGCCATGCTGGCGTCCGGCGCGGTACGCCCATCCGAGCTTCGCCAGCCGGGCACCGTGGACGAGACCGAGTGCTACACAGCTGTGCGTTTTTACCTCTAGTGGACGATTACAAAACCAATCAACCGATGGCAAAGATCCGATGACCGTGAAGCCCGGTTCTTCCGCCGTTCCTTCCTCACAACTCACAGACGGCAATGCCGCCCAACAATCGAAAGAGGCCGCCGACGCGAAGGCTGCAAAGAAGGAGTTGCTAGGCGAGACAGCCCAGGCAAGCAAGGAACAGAGGAAGGCAGACTGGGCTATCATGAGAGAAATGGCCAAGTACCTTTGGCCGAAGGTAATGCTTCGTGGTATTTCCCCGCCGGGCTCGGAACGTACTGACCGAGTATGTAGGATGACTGGGGCACGAAGATTCGTGTGGGATCTGCACTGTCATTGCTGATCGGAGCCAAGGTTAGTCGTGCTTGGGAATTGTTGGATCGTGCCATGGGTACTGACCACAAATCTAGATTCTTAATGTAGAGGTGCCTTTCTACTTCAAGAACATCGTCGACTCTATGAACGTGGACTTTGCCTCTGTTGGTGGGACTGCGTATACCGTTGCAGGCTCCATGATCATAGCTTGTAAGAACCCCCAGCCCAATGTAAACAGACAGGTCTAACGGGGACATTGCAGACGGCGCGACTCGAATTGGAGCAACACTCTTCCAGGAACTTCGCAATGCAGTGTTTGCGAGCGTCGCGCAAAAGGCCATTCGAAAGGTGGCTAGCAATGTTTTCGAACATCTTCTGAGACTGGACCTCAACTTCCATCTCTCGCGCCAGACCGGTGGTTTGACACGTGCCATTGACCGTGGAACAAAGGGTATCAGTTTCTTACTGACCTCGATGGTCTTCCACGTTGTCCCGACTGCGCTCGAGATCTCTCTCGTTTGCGGTATTCTTGTAGGATCACCCGCTCCGTAATGTCAAACGTCGACTAACCCGCTCCTAGACCTACCAATATGGCTTCCGATTTGCTGCCATCACGGCTACGACCATGCTTGCGTATACGGCGTTCACAATCACCACAACTGCCTGGCGCACCAAGTTCCGCCGTCAAGCCAATGCAGCCGATAACCGTGGGGCTACCGTGGCAGTTGATTCGCTCATTAACTACGAAGCCGTCAAGTATTTCAACAACGAGAAGTTTGAGGTGGCCCGATATGACAAGGCCCTGAAGAACTACGAGGACGCATCGATCAAGGTGACAACGTCCCTGGCCTTCCTCAACTCTGGCCAAAACCTGATCTTTTCAAGCGCGCTGGCCGCCATGATGTACCTGGCTTGCGACGGAGTCGCCACCGGTGCTTTGACGGTTGGTGATCTGGTCATGGTCAACCAGCTGGTCTTCCAGCTCTCCGTGCCCCTCAACTTCCTGGGATCGGTATACCGTGAACTGCGTCAGTCTCTGCTGGACATGGAGACACTATTCAACCTGCAAAAGGTCAACGTAACCATCAAGGAGCGACCCAACGCCAAAGCACTGGAGCTGAAGCGTGGCGGCGAGATTCGTTTCGAGAACGTCACCTTTGGCTACCACCCCGACCGACCAATTCTGAAAAATGCCACTTTTACCATCCCCGCCGGCTCGAAGTTTGCCATTGTCGGTCCTAGTGGCTGCGGCAAATCTACAATCCTGCGTCTGTTGTTCCGATTTTATGACACGCAGTCTGGCCGGATCTTGGTTGATGGCCAAGACGTGCGCGACGTCACACTCGACAGCCTTCGCAAAGCGATCGGAGTGGTCCCACAAGACACCCCGCTGTTCAACGATACGATTGCCCACAACATCCGCTACGGACGAATCGACGCATCGGACGAGGAGGTGCGCCATGCGGCAGAGCGAGCACGCATTCACGAACTGATCGAACGCTTGCCGGATGGATACGAGACTGCAGTTGGCGAGCGAGGCATGATGATTTCGGGCGGAGAGAAACAACGACTAGCGATTTCTCGTCTGATTCTGAAAGACCCGCAGCTTTTGTTCTTTGACGAAGCGGTAAGTTTGAACTCCCCCCAGTTCCCCGATAGACGGATTGGTGGCTGATAAGACGCGTAGACCTCCGCCCTCGACACCTACACCGAACAGGCACTCCTGCAAAACATCAACAGCATTCTCAAGGATAAGAGCCGCACGAGTGTGTTTGTGGCGCATCGCCTGCGTACCATCTGTGACAGTGACCAGATTCTGGTGCTGAAGGACGGCCATGTGGTGGAGACCGGTTCGCACCGTGAGCTCCTGGATCTAGGCGGCGTGTATGCGGAACTGTGGAACGGTAAGTGTATTTCTATCGATGGCTTCCAACTCTTGCTGACTGCGAAAAAGCCCAGGAAACGTCGCTGCAGGACGGTGAGCCGCCGGAGGAGGCGTAGTACAGAGTTAGACAACCAAGTACAGACAAGGCGATTAAAAGTAATTGAAATGCAAATATGCAGTAAAATGACCGACACATCTTGAATCTGCGTATTCGATCCAGTCGGAGTTGAAACTAGATTTCACGAACTATCCAAGTCGGCGTGGATGTGACTATCGACTCGATGCTCCTCAATAGTTCGGGCCAAGCATCGCTTATTAGCAGAATAACCATGTTCGGACTAACGTCACGGCATAGTTCGCGAACCATGCCTGTCCACCGGCGGCAATCCGTTTCAAACCCTATTGTTCAACTCGCGTTAATTAAAAAACAATTCAGATGAAACTTAAGAGCCAGGCTAGAACGCGCTAGCCAAGCGCTAGCCACGAACTAAGAAGCTGGACCTGGCCAGAGTGTGTTTTGACTCCACGCTTAACCGCTCGTTTTCCCCACTTGGTCAAATTCCCCTTTCTCTGGCCTTCTTCTTCTTATCTGCATTGCTTCTCGATCCCAGCCATTCATTTCCGGGGATATTCCCAGTTCATTCATTTTCATCTCCACGTGCAGGTCCGCAGGTCCGCAGGTCCGCAGGTCCGCAGGTCCGGGGAAACACATTCCTTGCATTTGACGCTTCGACGCAGCATCCCTTTGTGGCACCCGCTAGTTGCAGCCCGCCGAGCCCTCGTGCGCCCTCCAACACCCCCTCAGCGCTTACGTCCCCCTCCCCCTTTCCTCGTGGGAATACCTGGTGAGAGATGACCCGAACTAGCAATTCGAGGAACGACTTCTGACCCGTTCTTACGCAGTACCGTGGTTGTTGACATCCCGCCGTTGCCGATACCCAACCTCTGCCAGCCCACTGTGCGAACGACTCCCGATTTCCATATATAGGAACCGCCAGGTCCCTCCACGTGTTCTAGACACGTTCACAATCTCAAAGAGACAGTGAACTCGACAATTAGTCACTCGCCAAAATGGGACTGATCGATAAACTCCAAGCCAGTACGTCGAATCTTACAACCATCACCAATACATCCCACTAACACACAGCAGAACTCGAGCTGTACCGCCTCGAGCAGCGCTACGCCCGCCGCAAGCACCGTACCACCTTCTCCACGGGCGCTACATACGTCGACGGCGAATACGTCTTCACCGGCGCCAACTCACCCACCAGCACCGTCTCCAAACAATCAACCGGCAGCTGGCGTCCCTCGATCGGACGCAGCGGATCGTCAGAATCGCGCTTCCGGTGATCGGCTCGCGTTTCTGCTTTCCGTCTTTGGTATCGGCGCCTTTGATATTTTACCGGATCTATACTGCGCTTAGCATTGCTCTTTGAAGCTTCGCATGACGTACCTGCGAAGATCGATGACCCTCTTGCAGTCGCCCGTGTCTGGAATTATTTTTTTTCTTTCCCCGTGGGCGGCTCTGAGCCAATATTTGAGAGTTTAGTCTCTGATAAACTTGGCTTTGACTGATATACGTCTACTTTACGCCTTCTCTCCTTCTCTCCGCCCCCTTTATCTCCGCATCGTGGTTTCGCGAGCATATACCATGTCTACTTCTCCTGTGCATTTTTTAACATTCGTTTTTGCATTCGATTTGCCTTCTCTGTTTATAACGTTGAAACTCGTTGGTTCTGGTGGAACGGTGTCTTTCGAATCCATTCACGAAGTACGTGTTTCGAAGCACTCGTTCCGATATTGGATAGATTAGAAGATAACAGAAAATGTTTATCCATTATCCAATTACATCATGTCCCGCCTTCAGGTGTGTCCCACTGGAACAATAGATCAAACACTACCAACAGGGTTGCAGCCTAGATTGGGAATGTTTCTGAGCTTAATCATAGAATAGCATTGCCCCGAGGTAAAATGCTTTTGTTTACATGGGAACTAAGCTATAGCACATACGGAGTAGCTTGTTTCGCAACGGAGAGAAATAATGAAGTGGTGGAACTGCTTTTGATTATTTCTCCCTGTACACAGGCAAAAGAAAGTTGTCTGGAATCATCGCTTCGACTTGCGTCCTCCGATGCCTAACCGGCCCAAATTCGGAAGACTCGATTTGTGCTTTTGTGAAGACCCTAATAGGGACGAGGATCCTACTTTTGGATCCAGTGCCCCGCGGTTTCCATTCCCTCCCAAAGCAGAGCCTGGTACACCGAGTCCGACACTAGGGCCAGGACCGCGTGGTGGGTCGGGGAGACCCGATCGGTCTCTGGTCCTGTCCGTAGTCGCAGCTGAGAGGGCGGCAGTGAGGGAGGGGCTCTGGAGAGTATCTGTGGGGTCGAGCGAATGTCGCTGCGCAGTTTGAGACCGGCGTGCACGTTCCTGAACGGCCTTGAATTTGTCGAGGAGCTCAACCCAGCGAATGTTGCCGTCTTCGCGTTTCAGGCGGGTGCCGGTGGGACGGTCGTACGACGGCGCTGTTTGGGCGGTGCTAGAGGATGTCAGTGTGGGTGGTCGCGATGACGGGGTTTGGCAAGTTCCATACCTGCGGGGCCCGCCGTAGAGAAATCCGATGTTGCTGACGCTGTTCAGTCGATTCTTGAGTGCGGCGAAGGCTGAACTTTGAGGGAGAAGCATGAGGACGCCGTATAGGCACTTGTAGAGGTAGGGATATTTTTCTGGCTCGAGGAGCTGGAGTCGGAGGTCTAGTAGGCATTGTTAGGACCGAATCGTTTTGGCAACACAAGGACAACAAACAGGTAAATACGGGAGATTCGAGTAGCTGCACCAGTTTATCGATCTGGATGAGCATGTTGACGGTCATTTCGAGCTCGGCGCTGGATTTTCAAGTCAGAACAGTTCATTGGCGGAGAGTTTGCAGGTTGCATCCTTACAAAATCTGGAGAAGATTATAGGCTTGTTCATAAGCCTGAGCAAGGAGACACAAGGAGAAAGTGGAAACAGCATTGTGGCACCATGACCGGAAAAGAGCGACGAAAAACAATTGCCCCTCCTATAGGGCGTCAGTGATCGATAGAACCAAGAGTGTGCCAAAGAAACGTACTGCTGAGTTGGGATTTCGTAAGCGCTTTCTCATATCGGACAGCTCGGGTGCTGTAATAAGGTTGTTATTCAGGTTTTGCACCATGATGCTTGCAAACTCAATGTCCTCGGAGATGTTAGTATTAGTGTTTCACCCAAGATACTCATAAACTCACTTCTTCCTTCTCGAGACAATCTGCAAGAGTCCGATAGATGCGTTCCGGACTCAAATTCAGACACAGCTGTCTGATAATCAGATTTCCACGGACCTCCAGCAAGTGCCGATCCGTTGAAAAGAGCTGTAACAGATTCACCATGAACGAAGTAAAGTAGTTGTCTTCGCTATTTCGCGAAATCTGCGACAGGAGCTGAAGGTCCTTGGTCACAACTGCTTCCGCAGGGTCCGAGAGAGTTTTCAAAAGAGCCGGGAACGTGCCATCGTTGAAAGCAACCACCTTGCGGGGAGCTTTACGATGTAACATGATAAGCCACGAGAGTGCAGCTACCCGAGTGGCTTCATTCTCATTAAGGAACTGCAAGGTAAGCGAACTAACAGCTGCGGCGTAATCGAGATCGGCCGGCTGAACAGGCGCCGAAATAATACTACCGCGCGGTGTTGCTGGCCTGGAGGCCTCTTTAGAAATCTCTGAAGACTTTCTTTCTATGCTTTCCTTGCTGGGTGCGGCAGAAGGGACTTTGGAAGCATTCCAGGCTGATTCGTCGGTTGTATCATCAGAAAGAGAGTAGATGTATTCGAGGAGAGATTTGTTGACTCTGTTTGCTGCTTGTCGCACCGAGTCCGAACCACTAGACATTGCCGGCAGCACCTGGGTTAGGAGTCGTGGGACAAAGGGAAGGATATCTTCGGGGCTGAATTCAAAAAAGGCGTCGACCCAGCGGAGTGCAGTGAGTTGCATTTCCTCATCTGTGGCCTGTAAGTTTCAAGACTCGAGGTATGGGGAATGGGAAAAACTACCATATGAGGTATCCACGAAGCTGACAAGAATATCCAAGATTTTTGGAAAGTCGATCTGCACATCCTGTCCCGGAATCCAGTCGCCATCGGTCTGGATCATGTCCTCATCAAAGAGTGACCCCGATGCAGAATCATCGACGGCTATATCATCCTTGGTCTCACCCGTCTGCTCGGTTTTGTAACTCTCAGTATCGCTTGCGGCAGAACGTCTCCTGCTCTGCTGTCCCTTTCGACCCTCCTCAATTCCTTTCTTTAGCCGAGTGATTCGCTTTATCTCAGAAAGGAATCGATCCAAGAGTGCCTGGGTAGCAACGTTCACGTCCCTATCGGGACCACCGAGGAACTTTATCAACCCTTCCAAGAACTCGGGCAGATAGGACACCAGTTCCAGGTCGGGGACGGTATCGAGCAAAGTCAACCACGAGACCAGGAAATTGCGAGTGTACGGCCCGATCACATGAATCCGATCCTTGAGCAAAGGAATGAATCTCGCGAGGGAGAAGGCCGTAGGCAATTCCGCGTCATCGAACTCGGTTGGATCTTCCTTCTCTGAAAGCTGTAGCACAGACACATACGAAGCTGCAGATTCAGCGACAATGTCCTTTACCAAACGGTCGAGAAGTTCCGCTCCATTTTTCACCGAAAGCTCCGAGTCGGACGCTAGCTATCCAGCAAAAGCAAATCAGCACCGGATACAATGATGAACAATAATATGCCCAATCTCACCTTGGCCAACGCATCGAAAATGTCATTGAAGAAAGGTAGAATCTCTCCCTTGGCCACCTTGGCAATGTTGTACATGCTCTCGCAAGCATAGTACCGGACTCGAGCATCTTGATCCGAGAAGCACGCCAAGACCGGAGGCACAATCTCCTTCAAATATGTTGCGACTCCTTCCTAAATCACAGGTATCAGCCCGAGCTCCCTCGCTTCTCTTTGCAGTGCCGTGACTCACTGATCCCAGGGCAATCGAGGCAGCGGCGAGGCCAATTAAACCACCGTTTCGAGCGTGGGGTTGGTGTACAGCGTATGCATAGTCGTGGCAGAGCTGTTCGACGATCTTTTGAATCTTCGCGTGTTCTCCTTTGAAAACGGCGTCCCGAACTATTTTCTCTAACCTGCAGTGTCGCGTGTTAGCAGAGGTTCACCGACCTCCACAGCTTCCAGACAACGTACTCCAAGGCTCCCTGCTTTCGCTTGTCGTAGAGCTTGTCATTGAGCAACCGCTGGATTGATTGATCCATCTCTCCAAAGTGCGGAGAAAGCTGTCCCGAGCTCCGATCATGCACTGTTCATGGCGGAGGGTCGCGTCGATCGGGGGTTCGAGTCACAGTGGAGGGTGGATTATTGTCGGAAGTTGCCGGTAAAGGTAGCTTGAGTGTTCCTGGAAGGCTGAGCTCGTTGTCTGCACTTCGAGAGCTCTAGGGAGGGGGAGGAAGATGCGTTGTCAACGCGGAGATGGGGTGCCTAAGCGCGGTGTGACGTATTGTCAGCACCGGGGCTCATCTCGGCCCGAGATACGAATCTACTCTTTCTTGACTGCGCAAGATGAGACAAAAGTTAGTAAACATTTATTTAGAATTGATATCTGGTTCAATTCTTTATTTTACGATTCCTCTCTCTGCATCATATGCCTCCATCCATCAGAAGCTACCTTGCGGGAAGTTGGATCCCGAACCACTGAGAAAACCGCCTAGGACTCCAGGTTGCATCAAATATGCCCAATTTGTCTGGTCATAGTTTCCAAATGCAGCTCCGTATATGTCAGTTGTGGGATCCAGAGCGGGCATCGCTATATTGTCATCAACAACCCCCTCTGAGGCCTGGAACATTCTTCCGGATCCAAGTAGTTGACTCCCAGGCTGGGACCCATGACCTTCATCTTGTGCAGATTGAGGGCCCCCTTGAGACGATTTCATGTCTGTATTGTGTTGGCGGTGCAAAGCTACCAGACTCGGTGGCTCGACGGACCTGCCAAGCCGAAGCTCAGCTTCCTCACGGGCATCCCAGGCTTTGATTGTAGCGTGCATAAACGCAACATGCATGGGGTTTCCTATGTTGCTCACAAAGTTTCGATGCTCATGGTTTTCGCTGATAACTCTCCATGCACGCTCGCACAGCTCGCCCGTCGTGCGCTGGCGCAACTCACTTATGAGAAAAATGTAGCCGGGCAGAGGTCCTAGGATCTGGGTGTACCACAAGAAGCCGCGGAGACTTTCAGTGGTATAGATCACATCGTCATACTCTAGCATCTCGATAGCGGTCAGAAAGAGAGCATCGCGTTCGCGACTGTTGAGGCTCGAAGTGGGAATCCCTCGACACATAAACTCGACGACGCGAAGTTTGCACAGTGCGCTCCGCGTTGCCATCAAAGTGAGGAGCTGAACGGGGATCTTCGGATCGCAATGCTTCAAGTAGACTGATTCAATGTAGGAGCAATATTTATCCAGATCATGAGAAGATGGGCGACATCCTTCACCAGTGGTAGTATCGGGAGACGACGCCGAGTTGCTGCGTTGCTGCGGGTTCTTGATAGTTGTGGAATTGGGCCGAATGCTGGTCGGATCAGCGGCGATAAGTAGCTCAAGGCATGCGAGACAAAAGAGCATCTCCGTTGGGCCGGTATAAGGTTTGGGTGGATCTTTAGAATGCAGATGCAAGTCCGCATCGTTTATGTTAAGAGGAAGGCGGCAATCTGATCCGCAGGAAGAAAGAGCTGTGATGGCGGAGCCCGTCATTTCCGCCATTCGTTTGTCTATTGCAGCCAGCTGCCACCAGAGTCGTCTTCGATGCTCAGTCTCAAAGGGTGATAGGCCGAATTGAGCACCGTCTCGATGTACACCCAGACGAGTTGCCATGCGCACGGCAATGCCAATTAGGCAAAACAGAGATCGAGGGTCAATGTTCCGACCAGCACTGCGCTAGATATGGAGAATTGGTAAGTACAGAGCAGAACGGCAAGAATCAAACACAAAAGGTATGTCTTACAAGATACAAAAAATAAGCCTGCAGTACCATGAGCTCATTGGATCTCATAAAGTTTGCATTGATCAAGGCTTGTTGCGAGGCTTCACTAAACCGACTCAGCACCAGAACCTTGGACTCGCCAAAGGTAGCTTGAGTCTCCTCATCTGTCATTGATTTGACTGCAATGAGATAGATGCTGAACATCAGGGCTTCGAGAGGCTTGGAAACTTTCGAAAGGTCGGCACTTGCCCCGACAATTTGAGGCTGCAAAGTGGGAACATGACTGATCTTCAGCAGTGGGTTTACGTTGCTGATGTAAATCTGCCAGAGTTGAAAGATCTGGATTGCCGATGGGTGCAAGTGGGTTATGCGTTTCGATGAGCCACCCACGCCGAAGGGAAATGAATCAATGTCGTTGGTGAACATTTTGTCAAAGGCATGATGAATTGGAGGCGGATCAACCTCTTCATCATCGGAATTTTGTAACAGGTCATATGTTGTCCGATATTCATCATAATATGCAAACCATTTAGAGCGTCTGTATAGAGGTAAGCTCGGTCAACGTACTTGAAACAGAGGACAGACGAACCTCTGACGGTCTTCGCGTTGGGGGGTGCGATTTTGAATACCGCTCTCTGGAGATGTCTTAAATTCCACGGTATTAGTCTCCAGCTCGGCGGCGTCGTCTCCAACATCGCTAGCAGAATCGAAGTCGACACCATGCTGGGTCATAAGCGCTTCATACTTCTTAAGCCGTTCGATTAAGTCTCGTTCGTGTTGTTTCTTCTTCCTCCGTCTTGCCGGCTGTGGTGCCGCCACTTTGCACTCCACCTGTGCCCTAACGCAGTTTGTGCACGGCTTCTGCTGGTCACAGCGGACCTTGCGCTGCTGGCATAGGACACAGGAATGACCTCGCGTCAGACTCATAATGAAGTATAATCGGGGCCTCGGGACCTCGAGGAAGAAGCATCCAAGAATATATTATAGATGAAACAGCAATCACTAATCAACCAGATAACTTCAAGGCCGCAAATTCGAGGATGTGAGGAGATACCACGAGTGTCGGGAACAGAATGATTTCGGTCCCGAACGACGTTCTTCGGTCCCGTCGTCATCCACTACGACCGGCGCTAAACCCGATGTGTCCGTTTCTGTACATTTCCTTCTCGGGGAATATCAACTTTTAAAAGAGTTTTGCACCTTTTTTACTTTTGAAAGGCGGGACCGAAAGCTCTCAGGTCTCTCGGAATTAATTTGACTAGCTCGTCAAGTCCTTAAATATGACTCTTCCACCAGTGGCACTATAAAGTCTTCCAGATCCGACACCTACTTCTCTTAATCTTCTATTTGGTATGATCATTCATACTCACTCCTTCCTTGATCGACTGGAGGCTCTGTCAGTTAATCTGGGCATTCAAACCACCAAAGTTTTATCATGGCTGGCTCTACCTCAATCAGCGATCAATCAACCCAGGCCGAAAAAACCAAGGAGATTGACCCAACCCAATCCGACATTGAGAAGCAAGATGCATCCTCAAAAGAAACAACTAATCAACCAGCTGGAAAACCAGGTCCTCCGGGGGGCCCACCAGGCATCCAGTACGCACCCAAGACGCTCAAATTCTGGCTGATAATGGTCTCCAACTTTCTATCCCTTTTCATCGTCGCCCTCGATCGAACGATCCTCACGACAGCTATTCCACGAATTACAGACGAATTTAACAGCCTCGGTGACATTGGCTGGTACGCTTCAGCATACATGCTCACAAGCGCAACCTCCCAGCTGTTGTTTGGTCGCATCTATAAGTTCTATAACATGAAATGGGTTTTCTTGGGATCAATGATCGTCTTTGAGATCGGCTCGGCTGTGTCCGGTGCTGCTCCATCCTCGAATGCATTCATTGCTGGGCGAGCTATTGCTGGTTTTGCATCGGCTGGTATTTTTTCTGGGTGCATGCTCATTATCATTCCTTTGGTCCCACTTCATAAGCGGCCTATGTTCCAGGCTGCCTTCGGAGCTGTTTTTGGCATTGCTTCTGTTATGGGGCCGCTTATTGGGGGTGGTTTTACTAGTAGTGTTACTTGGAGGTATGTTATGAGACGGAACTTTTCACGAATAGTGATTGACAGACTATGCATTTAGGTGGTGCTTTTATATTAATCTTCCTATCGGCGCAGCCACCTGGGTGTTCATGGCCTTGGTTTGGCATCCCGAGAAGGTCCACCGCGAACCCGCCCCTATCACAACACACATCAAACGCCTCGATCCTCTGGGTACCTTTTTCTTGGTCCCGGCGATTGTGTGTCTCCTGCTGGCCTTTCAATGGGGTGGCTCGACGTATGCTTGGAGCAGTGGCCGCATCATCGCCCTGTTCGTTCTTTTTGGAGTTCTGATAATGGCTTTCGCCGCCGTTCAGATACTCATGCCCGAGACGGCAACAATACCTGCCAGGATCATCACTCGTAGGAGTATCCTAAGCGCAGCCCTCTTCACGTTCTGTGCAGCGGGGTCCATGATGATGATGATTTACTACATTCCAATTTGGTGTAAGTGCCTGCCCAACATCAGTCGTTCATTCGCTAATTGCACCCAGTCCAAACCGTCAAACTGGTCAACCCTGTTAAGTCCGGGATTCATACTTTGCCCGTCGTGCTCAGTCTAGTCGTTGCAAGCTTTGTCTCCGGTTTCATTACCCAAAGGATTGGATACTACGTCCCCACAATGATCCTTTGCCCTTGTATTATGTCTGTTGGACTTGGTCTGATGTCAACCTTCCAGCTGGACACCGGCTCGTCACATTGGATCGGCTACCAGTTCTTATGTGGATTTGGCCTGGGTCTTGGAATGCAGACCTCTGGCCTTGTCGTGCAAAGGGTTCTCCCGTTCTCTGACGTGCCAATGGGAATCGCCCTCATGTTCTTCGTTCAGCAAATCGGTGGCTGTATTTTTGTCACTGTTGGCCAGACGATTTTGAGCAATCTTCTTGTTTCCGAGCTCACGGGTGTTCCGGGTATAGACCCGAGCCAGATTGTCAATCAAGGTGCCACGAAATTGGCATCTTTGGTTGCGCCAGATAATCTTGTTCTGGTTCAGCGGGCTTATAACTCGGCTTGTACGAGGATCTTCCTTGCTTCCATGGGTTTAGCCTTTGCTGCACTTCTCAGCTCCCTTGGTATGGAGTGGAAGAGCATCAAGAAGGGAAAGAATGGCCAAGATGGTGCAGGTGGATCTGATGCTCGCAGTGCCAGTGGTGAGAATGAGGACCAAAAGTCAGACACGTGCCAAGGAACGGAGCATAAGGACTCTTAGAGTACAAAGCGAAAGGAGCCTTTTAAGGGCGGAATGTGGGAAGAGAGCATATGGCTAGGGAAATGTTGATAGTTTGGAAGGAGTGCAACAGGAACAGCCTCGTCATCCGCTCATATGCTTAGGGAAAGATTCGCCAAACTCCTCACTCACCTGTACAATACAATTGAAAAGTTAACCTGAATAAAAAAGGATTACAATGATCATAGCTATACTCCATGCTTTTACCGAAATCTGAACTGGCCATGCAAAAATTGTCTAACTGCCTTTCTAGAGATGAGGGGGTATGGAGAAGAAAAAAAAGGTACGTAGAGCAAGTCTCGCCAAATATAGACCCAAGACGCCCAACATAAGATCAATGGCTAATGTACTGGAAAACAGCCGAAACATCCCTCTCGCCAACCTCCTGCCGCATCAACAAATCCTGAATCTGAGCCATGGGGCCTTTGTCGCCGCTATTAACAAAGTGGTTCCATGAACTCGTATCGCCATAGAGCATGGCCGGCGCCTTGATAAATTGGTTACCGTCGGGCCGGCAGCGTTTGCATTTGAACGTGTCGTGGGTATCGCTGCGGGTCTCGGGTTTGAATTGGAAGAGTTCTCGTAATGATTCTAATGAGAAGTGGCGCTCGACGTCTTCTGCTGAATCCACGACACACGATGAAAGGGATTGTTTGTGGGACTGTCGCTGGAAGATCTTTTCTTCGATTGAGCCAGTTGCGATAAACCGGTAGACGAAACAGTCTTTCTTTTGGCCGTCTCGCCACACCCGAGCCAAGGCTTGCTGGTCGGCGGCCGGGTTCCAGTCAGGGTCGAAGAGGACGAGACGATTCGCGCCGATCAGATTCAGACCGCATCCACCAGCCTTACTACTGAGCAGGAACACAAACTCGGGGCCATCCGGGTCATTGAACTTGTCCACCAGCTTTGAACGTTTCTTGATATTCATCGTTCCATCCAGTCGCAGACAGCCATATGCACGAGATCGGCAAAGCTTCTCGAACAGGTCTAGAGTCTGGGTGTAGTTGCTGATAAGGACAATCTTGTCATTAGTGTCTTGGCGAATTCGAGCAAGCATGCGATCTAGCACCATCATCTTTCCAGAGTACCAGCTCTTGACTTCTCGGTCACGGCCACGGGAGTCCGGGGGAGTAAAGTCCTCGGGGTAGGTGTGTTCGCATCCAGGAAGGTCTTTTTGCAAGTCGAGGAGGTCGGGATGATTGCAGAGCTTCTTCAAGATGCCAATGGCTTTCAAAGGCTGACTTCCCTTCCCCCGAAGCAAGCTGCGAATCTCGGGACTCTGGATAAAGTGATTGTAGAGACCCAGTTGGAATGGAGACATGTTGCAGAACACCACATGCTCGTATTTAACAGGTAAGTATTTCGATAGGATGTCGTTTGACCGGCGAATGATGAACTTGTTGACAATGCTGGATAGCTCCGCGAGACGTTCATCACCAAGCTTTCGGGACTCCTCAGTACCCGCTGCATCACGGCCGCGGAGAATGGGCAGTTCATATCGTTTGCGGAACTCATTCTGAGAGCCTAGCAAATTAGGATTGGCAAAGTGCAGGAGAGCAAAATATTCAGACAAGTCATTTTGAATCGGCGTTCCGGAAAGGATAACACGGCGGCTGACATTCAGACTGTTCAAAGCCATCCATGTCAAACTTTCCTTGTTCTTCAACCGATGTCCCTCGTCACACAAAAGTAGACCGATAGGCGTGTCCTTCAGCGCTTCCACGTTCATGCGGAGCGTTTCATAGGACACGATAAGGACGGGCCTGACAATTCCGCGGCCAGAGGCGATTGCCCACTGCTTGATTTGTTGAGTGAGCTCCGTCTTGGTTGCCTTTCCGTCTATCGCAAAAGGGGTAGTAGCATCCTTGCCAAGCCATTTACCTGCAACTGTTAATGTCGTGGAAGAGCAAGTGTTGGAAGTCACTTACCCAATTCGTTTGCCCAATTTCCAACCAAACTCGACGGACATGCAATAACACACTTCTGAATAGTTGTCGTCCCGGCCTCGGGGCCTTGTTTAAGTAATGTCCACATCAAGGAGATACATTGAAGCTAGTCGTTTCAGCGCCGGATTATTGTAGGAAGGCTAGGTTGTCATACCGTTTTACCCAGACCCATACCATCTGCCATGATGCATCCATTTGCATTTTTATCAATCAACCCTGTCGTGCATCGATACAAAAACTGTTCATGTCAGAAACAGGGCCCCAGGCTTGCAGCAAGGGCAGATCCAGGTTAACATACCTTCACACCCTCCACTTGATGTGGTCGAAGAACCTTGGCCAGTCTCGGGTCAATTACAACCGGCACCTTTGGCCGGCCCTCCACCTTCTTTTTCAGACCAAGAATATCTGCCAAACTCTTATGTACCAGTGGTTCTTTTATTTTTGGTTGATCTTCTCCATTTGTCTCTCCCGGCTCCTTCTTTTCAGGCACCTGCGGGACATCATCGATGGTAGGGTCGTAAAGAACAATTGCAAATTCGCCACTTGGATCGTGAAGAGGTCTGGCGACAAATGTGGCACCTTGCCGCAATCCCAGTGTCGGTGGTGGCCGGCCTGCATCGTATTCACCGGTTGATTTATTGATCAAGGGGATCCGAAAATGTGTCCTGAATGCGGTATCTTTATCTTTTGGCTTAAACACTGGAAATCGGTTGACCTCGCGGGTCGCCAGTGCAAGTCGGTCCTCGTTTGTGTACGGCTTCTCTGCTCCATCCTCGGTGCTGCCGTCAGCGTCTGCATAGTTGACCTTTCGTCTCTTTCTTGCAGGTTTCTCTGATGCTCGAGTCGGTGTCGCAGACCCGGGGCATTTAAAAGGCCTGGAGAGACGATCGAGGGAATTCAGGGATTTGGGTTGCAGTGGTGTCTTGACGCCGTCCGTCCCGGCCTGCTTGTGGCGATACCTGGGGAGGACGAGATGTTAGAGAAATACCTCGAGTGTTGAGAATCAGACACCCACATGACTCAAATCCAATACAATGTCTAATCCAACTCGAATCGGCTGTACAAGTCACGCTGTACAAGGTGAAGTGAAGCTGCTTGTCACCGACGCGTTCCTGCCTCGCGTCAGGCTACAACACCAAAGTGCCGCGGCCCCACGTGACCCTCCCCGCCAAAGCCGGGGATCCTCCAAGCTTCGCTGAAGTGGGACGCTGCTCTCTTTGACACATTCGAGTTATGACATCTGATTTCTGGGCTGGCTACATCAGTGGTGCCCTTGGGATCATCATCGGCAACCCATTGGACGTAATCAAGGTCCGGCTGCAAGCGGGCAATTCAGATGTATCTTCTCAACCACATCTAAGCCGCTTTGAGCGGGCCAGCTCTCTCGTTCGAGGTTCGTGAATCGATTGCTTTCCAAAATTATAACATTGATTGTGTTTTTAGGTGCGGCTGCTCCGATCTTGGGATACGGCGCTCTAAATGCAATTCTCTTCGTCGCATACAATCGGTCATTGACATCACTCGACAGCTCCATCACGGACCCCACCAAACCCGATGGTGTTGCTCTGTATAAAATCTGGTTAGCCGGTGCTGCGGGCGGACTGGCCAGCTGGACTATCTCCTCTCCGACTGAATTCATCAAATGCCGAGCACAATTAGATACCCGACCGGAGGTCTCATCGTGGACCGTTGCAAAGGATATATATCGCAATCGCGGCTGGAGGGGTCTGTACTTTGGGGGTGCAATTACAAGCGCCAGAGATTCAATTGGCTATGGGTTCTAGTATGCAATCTTCCCCGCATATCGATTTGCGACCGCTTATTCAAGAACTTGGTATAGTTTCTGGTCCTACGAGCTTTGCAAGCGCTGGATGATGACGCAGAACGAAAGTTCACACGAAGCTGCTCTCAGAGTACTTCTGTGCGGTGGCATTGCGGGCATTGTCACCTGGGGCTCGGTCTTCCCACTGGACATGATCAAGACCAGGCTGCAAGCACAGACGATGCATGATCATTCTTTGACAGGGCCGTCTGAGGGTCGATCTTTATTGCAGCCACCTCGGCAAACCTTGAACACCTTCCAGATCGCCCGAGAGGTGTATCGGGCCGAGGGCGTACATGCATTCTATCGCGGCCTCGGCATCTGCAGTGTCAGAGCATTCATTGTGAATGCCGTTCAGGTACGATTCCAAGGTTATCCATTTCCTCGTTTCTCATCCAAGCTAACAATGGTAGTGGGCGGCATACGAATGGCTGATGAAGACCCTAACAGCCCATGAGCCTCCTGTGGGCCAATACTACGTCGCATAGAAAGTGTGAACATTTTATAGCCAAGCCCAATGCACATAGACCGAAACACCCATTCAGGTTAGACTCCGATTATTTGGTATTGAGGGATTTCTATTGGAATAATTTTACCAAGGGGTAAATTTCGCATTTCGCCCTGGTTGAATGCCGCATCCGCCGAAGACCGGCGGTTTTGCGGTCCCGCAAACCGGCAGAACGGCGAAACTCGGCATATAAAAAAAAATGCCTCACGTGAGAGACTCCACCGGATATGCAGATGCAGAGCGTTGTGTAGACGTCGCATTGGTTGTTTTGGGGGTGTTCGTGTTCGTTCGTGACCGAGTCCAGATCGAGCTGGATGGCAATGCCATGTGCACTGCTCCTATTTCCTCAAGGCGACCGGGGAAACCGATTCAGTCTTGCATTTCGACGGTGTCGTCCACCGCGCGCTTGCCGTTGTCAACGGCTCCCAATCCGACCGCGGCCTCGGCGATCTTTTGGCTGTGAGGCTCTTCCTGTAGTTGACGAACCCTGCGAAAAAGTCAGCGAAGCCGTGAGGTAGCGGTGTTCTCAGGCCAAACTCACCTTCGCTTGTGGTTCTTGCCCTTGGTGTGCGCCTTCATGTTGTACTCGCTCTCGAACCACTTGGCGCATTCGACACAGTAGTGCCGACCGAGCCCAGGCAGATCCTCAGCATCCTTAGTCTCAATGTACTGCTCCAAATGGCGGGGAGAATCGATGTCGTTGCGGACCTGGTCGAAGCCTCTGCGGAACCGTTAGCATATCGCACAAATCTCCGTAGAGCATAGCACATACCTGGTCATACGCTTGCACTTGACTCTTTGTCTCCTGAGGGCACCCATCTTGTCGGCTAGCTCTCCGTATCAGCGACTATCACGAAGACAAGGAATGAAAAAAGGTTATCACCGATTTCCGGAGTGATGATGGGGCGTAGTGGAGAACGGGTCAAGGATTCGGGGCTCAAAAAAAAGATTGGAATCGAAATTTCCGCCGAGTGGGTCGGCACGATTGAAACGCACTCGCACTGATTGGTACCGGTAAAGAGCACGGCGGAAGGTCGGTCGGCACGCCTCGGCTTCACCCTGGTTGCTTCACCCTGGTTTCGTCACACCGGACGGTCTGTAATTTATGACGTCTTCAGTGCGGCATGTTGACAGGATTTGGTGAAGCTAATACCCCGGGACACATTGGGCAAGGTACTTATCCGGCTTCTACCTGGGTAGATGGAAACGGGGAGTAGGGCTACATTGTCCTTTTTAATGAGGATACTACGGTATTATTGTTGATATTCTAGATGATCATGATGACCAGGATCCATAATGATCCCCACGAGGTACCCGGTGGTCTCAAGTGCCACGGCAACCACATGCGAGACAGGAGTATCGAGACAGGTGCGGGTGAACGGGGTACAGGCCGAGCTACCTTGCACCCCCAGGTCGCACTGGCCGCACTTCGTAGCCTTTGGTCCGAATGCTGGTCAAGGGGAGTGTAATTGCAAATTCCGTGATTGGTGGCCGGATTCAACCCGTCACATGCCGCGTATTGCCATTACGGTCCCGTCTGGGACGGGCTCGATGCTCTCCCGTCGCACGTAGAGAACAGAGAAGGGGCTTCATATGTATCGTAGTGCATACCGATATTTGGTGAGCTCTATTGAGTAAATTCCGAGTTTCCCAGAGAAAATTCTCCGTTCTATACTCAATTTAGCGTGCAGCTCAGCCCCCCTCGAGCCGTCGCATGCGGGAGACCCGAACCGTTGCTAAACACAATACACGTACGGTATCGCCGTGGTAACGGCGATTACGGCTGTTCGGTCCCGCTTTCTTGCCCACTCAAAACCTCCAAGCTTTCCTTTTTCTTCCCTCTTCTTCCTCTTCTCCTTTCACTCTCCACTATCTATTTTGCTTCCACAGGTGAAGGTGGTAGCTTCTGCATTGGATGTGTTGTGCTGCCTCGTAAAGAGATAGCTTGCCATCATGATCACTTCCCGCCTTGTGCGCGCCGGTGCGCTGGTAAGTTGCGCCCTGCCTTCGGCTTCCTGATGCGCGACTGCGTCGACTCCGGTCCCAGTCGGCATCACCAATCGATCTGGATGAATTGATAGCTAACATGTTACTCCAATAGGCTCCCAAGGCCCGTCTTGTAAGCAGATTCAGCCCAATATCACCCACCTGCAACGGTCCCCGGATCACAGACTGGATGAAGCAACTAGAAACGTGGCAGCTACTAACTCTCGATCTTGTATAGTTCTTCGGGCCCCGGAGCTTCGCTACCGTTACCAATGACCCCCTCGATAAGAAGGTCGAGATGACCAATCACGAGAAGGGCAACTACATCAACTACAAGAAGATGTCCGAGAACCTCGAGATCGTCCGTTCTCGTCTGCAGCGCCCTCTCACCTACGCTGAGAAGGTTCTGTACTCTCACCTGGACGACCCCCACGGCCAGGACATCGAGCGTGGTGTTTCCTACCTCAAGCTCCGTCCCGACCGTGTTGCTTGCCAGGATGCCACCGCCCAGATGGCTATCCTTCAGTTTATGTCCGCCGGCATGCCCTCCGTCCAGACCCCCACCACCGTTCACTGTGACCACTTGATTGAGGCCCAGGTTGGTGGCGAGAAGGATCTGGCTCGTGCCAACGACATTAACAAGGAGGTCTACGATTTCCTTGCTTCCTCCACTGCCAAGTACAACATTGGTTTCTGGAAGCCCGGTTCCGGTATCATTCACCAGATCGTCCTGGAGAACTACGCTTTCCCCGGTGGTCTGATGATCGGTACTGACTCCCACACTCCCAACGCTGGTGGTCTCGCCATGGCCGCCATCGGTGTCGGTGGTGCTGATGCCGTCGACGTCATGGCCGGTCTCCCCTGGGAGCTGAAGGCCCCCAAGGTCATCGGTGTTCGCTTGACTGGTGAGATGTCCGGCTGGACTACCCCTAAGGATATCATCCTGAAGGTTGCCGGTCTCCTGACCGTCAAGGGTGGTACTGGTGCTATCATTGAGTACCACGGCCCCGGTGTCAACTCCCTGTCCTGCACTGGTATGGGTACCATCTGTAACATGGGTGCCGAAATTGGTGCCACCACCTCCATGTTCCCCTTCAACGACCGTATGTACGACTACCTGAAGGCCACCAAGCGTCAGAGCATTGGTGACTTCTCCCGTGACTACGCTGCCCAGCTCCGTGAGGACGAGGGTGCCGAGTACGACCAGCTCGTCGAGATCAACCTGTCCGAGCTCGAGCCCCACATCAACGGTCCCTTCACCCCCGATCTGGCCACCCCCATCTCCAAGTGGAAGGAGGCCGTCAAGACCAACAAGTGGCCCGAGGAGCTCAAGGTCGGTCTGATCGGTTCTTGCACTAACTCCTCCTACGAGGATATGTCCCGTGCCGCTTCGATCGCCCGTGATGCTCTCGACCACGGCCTCAAGTCCAAGTCTCTGTTCACCATCACCCCCGGTTCCGAGCAGATTCGCGCCACCATTGCCCGTGATGGCCAGCTTGAGACCATGGAGGAGTACGGCGGTGTCATCCTCGCCAACGCCTGTGGCCCCTGCATTGGTCAGTGGGACCGCAAGGATGTGAAGAAGGGCGAGGCCAACTCCATCATCTCTTCCTACAACCGTAACTTCACTGGTCGTAACGACGCCAACCCCGCCACCCACGCTTTCGTCGCCTCCCCCGACCTGGTTGTTGCTATGACCGTTGCCGGTACCCTTAACTTCAACCCCCTGACCGACAAGCTCAAGGACGCCAACGGCAAGGAGTTCATGCTCAAGCCCCCGACCGGTGACGGTCTCCCCTCCAAGGGTTACGACCCCGGTATGGACACCTACCAGGCTCCCCCTGCCGACCGCGCTTCCATCGAGGTCGCTGTCTCCCCCACCAGTGACCGTCTCCAGCTCCTCGCTGGCTTCGAGGCCTGGGATGGCAAGGACGCCACGGGCATCCCCATCCTGATCAAGTGCCAGGGCAAGACCACCACTGACCACATTTCTATGGCCGGTCCCTGGTTGAAGTACCGTGGCCACTTGGACAACATTTCCAACAACATGCTGATCGGTGCCGTCAACGAGATGAACGGCGAGGCCAACAAGGTTAAGAACACCTTCACTGGCGAGTTCGGCGCTGTCCCCGCCACCGCCCGTGACTACAAGGCCCGCGGCGTCAAGTGGGTTGTCATTGGTGACTGGAACTACGGTGAGGGTTCTTCCCGTGAGCACGCCGCTCTGGAGCCCCGTCACCTCGGTGGTCTGGCCATCATCACCCGCTCCTTCGCTCGTATCCACGAGACCAACCTGAAGAAGCAGGGTATGCTTCCCCTGACCTTCACCGACCCCGCCGATTACGACAAGATCAAGCCCGAGGACAAGGTCGACCTTATGTGCACTGAGCTCGCCGTCGGCAAGCCCATGACTCTCCGTGTCCACCCCGCGGACGGTGGCGAGCCCTTCGACGTCTCCCTCAGCCACACCTTCAACGAGTCCCAGATCGAGTGGTTCCGCGACGGTTCCGCCCTGAACACCATGGCTCGCAAGGCCGGCAACTAAACTTTCTCACGTCTTCAAGGGCTGCCGTGAGGTGCCCGTGTAAACTACGTTCTCTCTCCTGTGTTTAGCGCCCAGAAAAGAGGAACTGGGTGACAATTTTCTGATTAAGGATTCACTCATTGCGCGTCTGTCCCTTTTTCGAGCCTGGTATGAGGAGTTGCGCTCTGGGAAAAATTTACGATATCTTGATTTTCGGCCTAGTTGGCCTTGCGTTGGATTCCCTTTTGGGTGGGCTCAATGGATATAGCTTTTGATTTCAATAAATCATCGTTTCTGTATGTTCCAGGATAGCACGTATACCCTTTTTTCTGTATTCAACCTGTTCTCAGTTGTAGATTGTAGATTGTATACCATCACCAATGTGGCATGAAATCCAGCTGAGCTAATCTGCCGAGGCCCGTCGCTCCCCCGCGGATAACGAGAACAGAAGTCCTTTGCGATGCGCAATTAGAACCGGTAATTCCGTGACTACATCGACCAGAGGGTATGTGATCTCTCCGCTTACATAGACCTCACCCTCCCCGCAATCAACACCTCTTAATAATCGACGACCGAGGATTGGCTCAACACATCCTCCGCTACTCGGAGAATCTCGAACAAATGGCACAGCTCGTTCCCTTGCCGGAAATTGAGCGCCTCAGCGCGTCGGTAATCAGGATACTGGGAGGAAACCCAGGCAAGGTAAGCAGATACCTATTTGATCCAGAGTTGAGGCAACAGGTCGGGCTGACCGAGCACGGGCATAGTTTACACTGCAAGGTATGTGCCTCGATTCTGGCCTGTAATTCCCACTCACGTTTTATCAGGAACCAATACCTACCTCATTGGCCGCGGCCACCAGCGAATCCTCATCGACACGGGCGAGGGCAAGCCCACTTGGGCTGCTCGTCTGCAATCCGTGCTCTCCGAGGAGAATGCCACCGTTCACCAGGCCCTCCTCACTCACTGGCATGGCGACCACGTAAATGGTGTCGCCGACTTGCTCCGCATCTGTCCTAAGGCTACTGTTTTCAAGCACCAGCCGGATAGCGGACATGAGGATATCCGCGATGGACAGGTGTTTACCGTGGAGGGCGCTACTCTGACGGCGTGCCATACGCCGGGACATACGGTTGACCATATGGTCTTTATGCTCAAGGAGGAGGATGCTATGTTTACCGGTGATAGTAAGTACATCTTGTTTCTCTTGGACTTGGGATATCGATGGTAATGATAAACTAGATGTCCTCGGTCACGGCACGGCCGTATTTGAAGACCTTCATACCTACCTAGGCAGCCTCAACCGCATGCTCAACCGTGTGCAAGGCCGCGGGTACCCCGGACACGGCGCCGTAATGGAGTCTACCAACTCGCGCATTTCCGAGTACATCAAGCACCGTCAGCAGCGGGAAGACGAGGTACTACGCGTTCTGCGGTACAGCAAGCTCGATGTTACAGAAGGCGAGTCTGAGCCTGAGCGTAGAGGCTGGACGCCGCTGGACCTGGTCAAGGTTATCTATCGCGATGTCCCGGAGAGCCTTCATTTGCCGGCATCTCATGGAGTAGTACAGGTGTTGATGAAGTTGGAGAACGAGGGGCGGGTAGTGCATAATGGTGAGTCCGGGGAGTGGCGTTTGGGTGATAGGTCGGCGCTGTAACTTGTGAATAAGTGTATATAGATTGAGAGGTTATTCCCGGACGGGATATGACCCGTCAGCATTGAGTTCTGCGCACGGTGGGTCATCCGCAGTTAGCCTCGTGCATGTCCAGACCAGACCGTTCTTCATCATACTAGATGCTTCTATACAGTACCCGCACCCCGTCAACGATGGTTACGTAAGATCACTGGTCTCCGAAGACGTCAGCAAACGGTCATTTCGGGCAGCAACTCGATCACCTTGGCCAACTCATCGTAGTTACGCTCCGAGATGTACGTGAATGAATGCATGGCCTATACCAGGACGAACATAGCGAGGCCTGACTGGCTGGGTTGAACCAAGGTCCAATCATGAATCGATGACGGGTCTCAGCCGGGCGAAGCCTGGATTTGTCCAACCCCTCAATCAGTAGTACCTAAATAAAGGACGGGCCCGGATGTAGTGATCGGCCTAGATCTCTTCTAGCACGAAAGAACTATTTTAAACAACCGTGTCCTCTGTTCACTCAGACCGATGTGAGTGATATTGAGGAGCTCCACCATACCTTAAAAGGTAGCTGTTCCAAGTTTCGGGGCTCTGACCTCACTTGTCCCCCGCCCTTGCGCTTTTTATCTCCCTCTGCGTTCTGCAACCCGTGTCAAGCGTGAGCTTGGTGGATTGTTCTCGATAGACTAATTCTTTTCAGTCGGTCCTACTTCCTCTCCCCAGGAATTTTCCTGCGGGCGCTGACCATCGTTTGATCTGCAGGTGTTCCTGTTCCCTGTTCTTCCGGCGTCGTCTTTTCCCTCGATACACTTGTCGGTGTTAAGAGCATCTCCTTCGTATCCTTCTCGCCTAGTCTGATTCCTTCGCGACCATGCCTTCGATCGAAGAACCCAAGAACGAGGCCCGCCTGCTGCTCGTCTCCAACCGGCTCCCCATCACCATCAAGCGCTCCGAAGACGGCAAATATGATTTTTCCATGTCATCGGGAGGTTTGGTGAGTGGACTCAGCGGTCTGTCCAAGTCGACCACCTTCCAGTGGTACGGCTGGCCTGGTTTGGAGGTGCCCGAGCCTGAGATACCCGAGGTCAAGAAGCGCTTGAAGGACGAGTACGGCGCGGTGCCGGTCTTCATCGACGACGACCTGGCAGATCGTCACTACAATGGATTTTCGAGTCAGTGCTTTCTGCAATGCTGAGTGTCATTCATTATGCTAATTAGCGGGACTTGTCGCAGATTCCATCCTCTGGCCGCTATTCCACTACCACCCCGGTGAAATCACCTTCGACGAGTCCGCCTGGGAGGCATACAAAGAAGCGAACCGTCTTTTCGCAAAAGCTATTTCCAAGGAAGTTCAGGATGGTGATCTGATCTGGGTGCACGACTACCATTTGATGCTGCTGCCGGAGATGCTGCGCGAGGAGATCGGTGACACCAAGCAGAATGTCAAGATCGGCTTTTTCTTGCATACGCCCTTCCCCAGCAGTGAGATTTACCGGATTCTGCCTGTGCGCAACGAGCTTCTCTTGGGTGTCTTGCATTGCGATCTTATTGGATTCCATACCTATGACTACACTCGCCATTTCTTGAGCAGTTGCTCGCGCTTACTGTGAGTGAATCGACAAGAGGGAGAGGATATACATTCGGCTAATGGAAATAGGGGACTTGCTACGACACCCAACGGAATCGAGTTCCAGGGCAAGATTATTACATGCGGTGCTTTCCCGATCGGTATTGATCCCGAGAAGTTCAAGGAGGGTCTGAAGAAGGAGAAGGTCCAGAAGCGCATTGCGATGCTGGAGCAAAAGTTTCAGGGCGTCAAGCTTATGGTTGGTGTCGATCGCCTGGACTATATCAAGGGCGTACCGCAGAAGCTGCATGCGCTGGAGGTCTTCCTCAGTGACCACCCAGAGTGGGTTGGCAAGGTCGTTCTGGTACAAGTCGCTGTGCCGAGCCGGCAGGATGTCGAGGAGTATCAGAATCTGCGAGCGGTAGTGAACGAGCTTGTCGGTCGGATCAACGGCAAGTTTGGCACGGTTGAATTCATGCCCATCCACTTCCTCCACAAGTCCGTCAACTTTGATGAGCTCATTGCGCTCTACGCCGTCTCCGATGCTTGCATCGTATCTTCGACCCGCGACGGAATGAACCTGGTCGCCTACGAGTACATCGCGACACAGCAGAAGCGCCATGGCGTTTTGGTACTGTCTGAGTTTGCAGGTGCTGCCCAGAGTCTCAACGGCAGCATCATTGTCAACCCATGGAATACGGAGGAGCTGGCTGGTGCATACCAAGAGGCTGTCACCATGAGTGATGAACAGCGCGCTCTGAATTTCGCCAAGCTGGACAAATACGTGTCCAAATACACCAGGTATGATCATTCTATTCTAAGCTAGGAACGTCGAGCTAATTGAAATCCAGTGCATTCTGGGGCCAATCCTTCGTCACCGAACTCACCCGGATATCAGCCCACTCTGCCGACAAATTCCAGGCCAAGAAACTCGCCGTGGCCTCAAGCGAGAACGAAATCCCGGTCCCTGAGAAAGCCGCGTAATTGACCTTGGCGAGCTCGACACGCGTTGAACGAAATTAGATGCTCTCACGACATTAATATGGCGAACTGTACTGGCTTTTTCTCTCTTTCGGATTGCATGGGAATTTGTGTTTTTGCAGATTGGGGTTCTAGGATATTAATCTTCTCTCCTCCTTAGATGCAAAACGTTCCTTCGGTACCTGGGTACTCTGTACTACGATCTAACTATAGCTCAAAATACGAAGTTTTCAAGATTTACCGAGTAAAGCAGGAAATTTCAAGCCACGCCAGCCCGATTTACAAGTCCACTCCACTCCTTCAACTACTGCATAGCCCGTCTGACGCCATCCGTCGAGTCATCCAGTCCCGGCACCTCCTGTTCGATTGCTGTAGCAGAAAAGTTCGGTTATACGTGGCGTCTTCCTCTAGGAGCATCCCCCTCGTCAGTGTATTAGGTATTGGCATTGGGATTGAGTGCTTGGCTGCAGGCTGTGGTAAACACGCAGGCCACCGAAGAGAGAGGGTGGGGGGAGTTGTTTCCCCGTCTATCAGAGGCTTAGTGGCATCAAAGCCACAAACTTGCAAAGAGCTAATAGGAGGCGATGTGTTTCAAGTCCCGCAGCCTGTGGACGACGGTGGTGGAACCCCAAGTTCAGTGCGTATAATAGCCAGATGATCAACGATGTGTTGGTCCATGGGGAGTGTAGGGAGACGGGCGACTCATTCACCGAGTATGCTATATTAGACATGTTATGAATTACGAAGTAATGATATGAGTAAAGTGAGAATGAAAACCAATGCTAAGTGAAGTATTGAGGTCGTGTCCGATAGTTGTTGATGTGTGTGCAAACAGTGCAAACTCAACTCACGAAATTCTCAAGATTCAACGCCGCGTCTCCGCAACTTCACTGTTTAGTGCTCTTCCAATTCTCCCCGCTCGGACTCCTTTCAGCCCCCTGTCTCTGGTCTATTTGAAATCAATCCAGCAGTCAACTACAGCAGAGAGTCTCAATTTACCATGGCTCCTAGCCATCTCCTCCGGGCGGCCCTGCCTATGCGGTCAATGGCATCACCAATGGTCCTGACCCGATCAACGATCCTCACATCCACCCTCTCGATCCCACAGTCCATTCGAAATGCCTCAACATCTACAGAACCCGCACAATCCTCCACCCCCTCACCACAAGCATCCGGGCTCCAGCCGCTCCAACGGCCGGCCATGCTCCGCAACTACGCCTCGAGCCTGAAGACCGGCACCGTCGTCTCTGTCGGGCGCATGGAGCGCACCGTCACCGTCTCCTTCCGCCACAACTTCTGGGACAAGCGTATCCGGAAATACTATCCCAAGGAAACCCGCTTCCTCGTCTCCGACCCCCGCAACTCCCTGCGCGAGGGCGACGTGATCGAGTTCTCCTCCGGCGCCCCGAAGAGCCGCCACGTCCACCACATCGTCGAGCGTATCATTACCCCCTTCGCTGTGCCCATTGATGAGCGCCCGGCTGTTATGTCGCCTCAAGAGCGCCAGACCGAGCGCGAGAACCGCTGGGCTGCCAAGTATGTGCGTAGGGAGTCGAGACGGTTGGGGGAGGAGGTTGATTTGGCGTCGAGGGTGCAGATTAACCCTGGCGAGGAGCTCTCCCAGGCGGAGATGATTCACCGTATCCATCAAGGGAATGAGCGTGTTGGAAAGGTCAAGGCCTTGGTCGAGAAGAGGCTGGCAACACAAGCGCAGTCTGATTCTTGAGAGGCTTTGGGCTTGTCATTGCGCTGAGTTATGGGTCTTCTGGGCTGTCAATTTAGATATCCATGCTATTTTGCATGTCGGATCATGACCGGTACGTTTTTTCTACCTTTCTTTCTGTGCTTTCTGTTTCTTTTTTGGGGCTTTATATGATGATCCCTTCCGCTTAACCCAGCTCACTTTGACACGCAAAGCGTGCTTGATGTAAACGGCGAAGTCTACTCCTGATACCAATTGTTATTTTTCTGCACTGTTTACGATCTGTCGCTGTCAATTCGCTTACTGACTGATGGACACTAGGACGACCGTCGCGGACATGTGCTGTACTATACTATACTATACTATACAAACTTCCATTCGTCTACTGTTCTATCTTTGGCCACAGGTTGTTATACTTGGACTATCTCTATCGTACCATACTCTTTTGAAGTGTCTTTTAAAACGTACGGTTCATTGGTCAATCCCATGAAAATGCGGCATTAGAGAAATATGTACGAGAAAATGAGCCCGTTCACCTGATAAAAATCAAAAAAGTGTATACACCATGGGAAAAGGAAGTGACCTCTTTTTTCCCGCGGACGCGAGTCCAGCCCAATCCCTAAATCAGCAGTAAATGGAAAGCAAGTCACTGGTATCACGGAAGAGAAACCAACTCCTTTGCCCAGAAACGACAAACGGCCTTCTAAAACCCCAATTCCTCCTGTGCACCGGGCGACTGGAGTACCATTGCTTCGTAGGCAGGTTGATCTGACATGTCAGAGGATCCTGCACTCTGATCTTGTTGAGATCCTTTTGCAAGCTTGGTCCAGCAGCTTGTGGCGGTTCTCACGATGTGAAGACCCGGACTTTAAGATCCACGCTGCCGGTTGCGAGTACGCATCGAATGGACATTTTGCTCGCTGCGTTGGGGTCTTCTTTCACCCCATTTGAACCGGCACCTTCGGCGCCGTTGGCTCCGGCTTCACCATTGGCACCACTGTCCTTGATCAACGGAGGTGCCCATCGAATTGAGGTGATGAAGTGGTCATGAGCGGCGATGGTACGCACGCACTTGCATTCTTGAGTGAGATCCCAGCATCGCACAGTCTTGTCATCGGCAACTGAAAGAAGATATTTCCCGCCGGGATGGAAGACGAGTGCGCGCACCCAGTTGTCGTGACCGACAAGTGTCTTAATTAAGTTGCCACGGGCATCCCAGAGACGAATGGTCTTGTCACGCGAGCCTGTAGCCACAAACTCTGCAGAGGATGATGTTGGCGGCGGCTTCTTTTGTCCTGCGAGAGGTGCCAAGTACTGGTAGCTCGTCGGCGGAGCAAAAGTCACACACTCGATGACATGCTCGTGGCCTAAGAAAGTGGATTTGGTCTCTCCAGATGAGATATCCCAGAGGCGCGGGACTTGATCATCTCCGGCAGAAAAGAGAAATCGACCGTCCGGTGATGGTGCTACATCACGCACCCATGCGGCATGTCCTTGCAATGTCTTAACACAATATCCAGTGGTCACATCCCAGATCCGCAATGTCATATCACGAGAGGCGGATACCAGCAGGTTACCGGACATCGGTGAGCCCGCGGCCCCAGATGGGATAAATCGAACCGCCGATACACTGTGGTCATGGCCCGGTAGGGTGCGGATATTTTTATATTCATCGGCCGGGTCCCACAGCTTGATCGTGAGATCGGAGGAGCATGATGCAAGGAGCGTGCCCCCTCGCGGTCCTCCATAATCCACATCCAGAACTGCCCTCGTGTGACCCTTGATTGTCCGCTCTAGTTCACCTAGCTCCCAGTCCCAAACTTTGATTGTCGTGTCTTCTGATCCAGAGGCGAGCGAGGAGAATATAGGGTGGAAGGCGACACAAGTCACCGGTTGCCGGTGCGACTCTAGGTCGTGGCGTGGAGGGGCGCGCGGCAGCCAGGATGCCGGATCCTGATTTCGTCGAGACAAAGATGTAGGGGTTGCAGTGTCCAGTTCGGTTTGGAGAGAGGCGCATCGTGATTCCAAATCCATAATCTACCACGGCAATCAGTCTCCTGGATCTCTCAGGGCATCTTTGGTAGGAGACTCCCCACCTTCTTCTGTAATCGGACAACACTTGTCCATTTCTTCTCTAGTAGCCCCTCATATTTCTTCAGTGTGTTATCGTCAACCGTGATCGACTCGCCGAGTTCTTCTCGCAGCGCAGCGGAGCTCTGGGACAGGTTCGCGGAGGCCAAGTAGGCAATGATTGACTTGTGTCTGTAGTAGAAAACCCGTCAAGTTAGTTCCAGGTGTCAAGCCAGGTGAAATGGTGGCGCATACAGCTCCTCCGCCTGTCGCGCCGTGAGTAGCTGGCTCATGGTGCCGGCGGATTTGTGTGTTTCCCAGGCAGTCCTCGCTGCCCCTCCGCATGCACCGGAGGCTGTCGCTCACAAAGGAGAAAGGCTCGGACGGTATGCGCAAAGCAAATTGCGGGAGCGAATGATCTCAAAGTCGTAGTGTAAGGAGAGCAGAGAAGCAACAAAGTGAAGATCCACCGCGGGGTCACAACAAACCCTCGACACCGCCAAGGCCGCTTGTTTACTTCCCGATCTCCAAAGCCGCCCGCTGTTTATTTCTCCCCTCTGGCGCTGACCCGCTTCACTTTACCCCTCAGGTCGCTAGTTTGGGATTTCTAGTTTTTCTTGACTTCTGTGCTATACGCTCTTTCCATGAGACCGACGTCCCCTGATCGCGGACTGAGTTGATCTCGAATTCCTCCCGTCCATTGCTTTAGGCACCAAAACCCTCACAGTACGACGATCCGAGCCCGACGGTCCCTTAGGAGACCGTTCCCTTTCAGTTCTTCATTTATATCGCATACGCAGGGGTCTGAGTGCTGATATCGCTAACGTATGTACCTATTCCAGATCCCACCTGGTTGCACATCTCTTTGACCACTTAACCACCAAGCCCGTCGCCATGGCCGACGGCGAGCAAGATTTCTCCTCCTTGCCGCTACAGGACCGGTTCGCTCATAAGGTTCGCTATTCTCCCCGTGCGATCTCGAGATCACGTCCCGGTCGACGAAAGGAAGACTGACCTCGACTCGATCAATAGAACTGGAAAGTCCGCAAGGAGGGTTACGAAGACGCCAAAGCCCAATTCGAAAAGACGCCCGATGAATCAGACCCCGTGTTTGCGCCATTCCTGCAAGACCCCAGTTTGTGGAAAGGGGCAGTCGCAGATTCCAACGTTGCGGCGCAGATTGAGGGCTTGGGAGCATACTGTTCTTTCTTGAAATTCGGAGGCGTGCAAGCATGCGCAAGGTGTGTTTCATAATTCCCATATCGGCCATGATTTTTTGTTGGTTGCGAGTTGCTGACAGCTTCCCTAGGACTCGGGGGTACACTGTCGGGCCGATCGCGGAAAAGGGTCTCCCGTGTGCCAGACCGGCTGGTAAAGCCAGCGCTCAGGAGGCCCTCTTATTATGCGTCGAATTGGACAAAGCCGATCCGGTCCTCGAAGAGCTCCTACCTACACTATCACACAAAGTCCCTAAAGTCGTTGCGGGCGCACTCGCAGCGTTGACCGCCATCTACCATAACTACGGATGCAAGATTGTGGACCCGAAGCCGACTTTAAAGGTACTGCCGAAGGTATTTGGCCACGCGGATAAGAATGTCCGTGCCGAAGCACAGAACTTGACCGTGGAGTTGTATCGGTGGCTGCGTGAAGCCATCAAGCCTCTTTTCTGGGCCGATCTGAAGCCGGTCCAGCAGGGTGATTTGGAGAAGCTTTTTGAGGGAGTCAAACAAGAGCCTCCGGCGAAACAAGAACGATACACTCGAGCCCAACAAGATGCTATGGCCACGGCTAGCGCAGCTCCCGGAGGCGGGGACGGAGCCGATGAGGAAGCTGGTGAAGAATTCGTCGAAGAAGAGGCGGAAGTCGATGTTTTCGATCTTGCAGAGCCCATTGACGTTTTCCCCAAAATCCCCAAGGATCTTCATGACCAACTCGCTTCGTCAAAATGGAAGGACCGCAAGGAAGCCCTGGATGCTCTCTATAATGTGATCAACGTGCCTCGGATCAAGGATGGACCCTATGATGAAATTATGAGGGCCTTGGCCAAGTGCATGAAGGATGCCAATGTTGCTGTCGTGGCAGTGGCAGCCAACTGTGTTGACGTTCTGGCCAGAGGCATGCGCAATGGGTTCGTGAAATACCGATCCGTCATTATGGTACCGATGCTGGAGCGCCTGAAGGAGAAGAAGCAGACTGTGGCAGACGCGCTAGGACAAGCATTGGATGGCGTGTTCTCGTCAACAGACCTCTCTGACTGTCTGGAAGACATCCTGGAATACCTCAAGCACAAAAACCCGCAAGTGAAGCAGGAGACGCTCAAGTTCTTGATCCGTTGCCTCCGCTCCACCCGAGTTGTACCAGCCAAGCCGGAGATCAAGTCAATCGCTGACGCAGGTACGAAGCTTTTGACCGAGTCGACTGAAGTTGTTCGATCCGGTGGTGCCGAGGTTTTGGGTACACTGATGAAGATCTTGGGCGAGAGGGCTATGAACCCGTACCTTGATGGATTGGACGAAATTCGAAAGACCAAGATCAAGGAATACTTCGAAACTGCGGAAGTGAAGGCTAAGGAACGCCCTAAGCCGATTGCACCTCCTCCCAAGGCTGCTGCTCCCGCTGCCAGGAAGACTGTTCCAGGCAAAAAGCCAGCTATGGGACTCAAGAAACCGGCTCCTGCTGCACCCCCGGCCGAGGGTCATCCTGCCAAGCCAGCTACTAGGGGAATTCCTTCCAAGCTCGGCGGTATTTCAAAGCCTGGCAGTGGCCTGGCGCCTCCTGGGGCTGGTCTCAAGCTCCAGCGCAAGCTCGGCGGTCCAGGTGGTCTGGCTTCGCCGCAACGTCGAGCCGCCCCTCCACCTGCGGAAGATGATGCTCCTCCCCCAGCCGCCCCCAAATTCGGCCTCGGTCGCGGTCTTGCTGGCCGACCGATCGCGAAGCCATCAGCGCCCGAGGCCGCCCCGGCTCCAGCCCCAGCCCCCGCAGGAATGACCGCCGCGGAACGAGCAAAAATGGAAGAGCTGCGGATGGAGAAGGAGAGGTTCGCCCGCATCATCGAAGATATGAAGTCAGATCGCTCCAAGATCAACTCCCAAATTACCGAGCTACAGAACCAGAATGCCCAGTTGATTGAGGATCACACGAGAGATGTGTTGAGCATCAAGGCGAAGGAGACTCAACTTGTCCGCGCACGGAGTGATGCCGAGGCCGCAGAGGCAAACGTCCAGAAGCAGCAGAGAGAGATTGAACGGTTGAAGCGTGAGTTGTCTCGAGCCCTCCGCGCATCTGCTCTGAGCCCAACCACCGCTGGCTCCGACGCCGGCAGCATGGGCATGCCAGATGTCAACCCCACGTACCAAGAACCTGCCAGCAATGGACACGATGCAGCAGCCCGTTCCGGCCTTCACATGGGTTCTCGTTTCGAGAGTTCACGGCCCCGAAGCTACGCCTCTGCCAACCACAGCGAGGATGGAGAAAACGGTGGCCTAGAGTCACCGGGTTTCAGCAGCCGAGAGGGTGGCTTGGGTCGGCGCAAGCTGAGCCCGACATATGGTCTTTCTGGAATCGCCAGCCCGACTCGGTCGTCTGCTCGGGCGTCAGCCACTGCCACAGACGACGAGGCGCAGCCCCGGTCTGCAGAGCCTGCTGAGAACTGGAAGCGCGCTGCTGAAGTCACAAGCCAGCTTAAGGCAAGAATTGAACAAATGAAGGTCAGTACATCCATCTATAGCAACGAGTAACCTGCGGCTAACACCATTTACAGGCAAGACAAGGACTTTCACGACCCACTGGGACTCAACGTTAATGACGAATGACCGCGACTATGTTTATGCCTCCTGATTCTCTTCCGCTGTACTTTCTCCTTCTCCGCATGTCTTAGGCTGGGTTTCCTTGATGCTAGGTGTGGCATCTGGTCTTTGGGCGCGCTGGGGATTCTTGACTTTTGTAATTTTCCCACCGGTTCTTGCTTTGATCTTTCTTTCCTGTAGTTTTTCCATACCATCTTTTTTCCTTTTTCTTTTTTATTTCTTCATCGTTGTTCCCGAGCTGGCGGTTTCTCTGAACGGTTTGAATATCCCGATTTCATTTCCTGTGCCATACTGCCTTAGGAGGTGGACTGCTGCGGTGAATCCATAATGTATAACTCTAGCTTTCAAAGAAAAAAAAAGACTGTCAATTGGATAGCAGGCATTTCGATCACAACCCGTACAACTCCGCAAATGGATCACAACTGGGATCATCATGCCTCGTATACTCAATCTCATCTGCAATCCTCTTCGCCTTCTCCTCCCCAAACACACTCCCAATCCAAGCCAGCGTCACATCTATCCCCGCGCTAACACCAGACGAGGTCCAGATATTCCCATCCGTAACCCATCGCGCCCGCGATACCCACTGTACCTCCGGCCCCAGCGCCATCATCTCTTTCCACGCCATTTTGTTAGTGGTTGCCCGTTTGCCATCCAGCACTCCAGCCCGCGCTGCCAGTCCAGAGCCGGTGCATACGGTGATTACGTATTTCAGCCGCGGGTATGTGTCCTTGATGAATTTGATAGCTGCGAGCACTGTCGGCCCGGAACCCCGGGACCCTCGGCCGCCGGGGACGAGGAGGACGTCCAGGGGCGGTGGTGCTGCATAGGTGTGTGTTGGGAGTATCTCTTGTCCGACACTCCCTGGGTATTCGGGACAAGTTGTTGATACTGGGTCTAGGGTGGATGAGAGAAGTGATAAAGTGATGCCCTCTGTTCGTGAGAGGACGTTGATGCAGTCCAGTGGGCCGAATGCGTCTAGTGCTTGGAAGCCCGGGAATAAGAGCAACCCAATGCGCAGAGGCTCACCGGGTAATTGCATGTCTGGATTGTTGTTAGCAATGGACTCGGAGAGGATGAGGTTGTACGTACCGGCCATGAGACTGATCGTATGGGATTCTAGAATATAAAGGAGTCGATAGATCAGCTGTGGGAATTTTCAAGGTTCCCTATTCATTCTAAATCTCCCAAAATGCTGATTTGGCTCTAGCCGAGCTTGATGAAAGCGCTTTGCAATAACAGTGGAATAGTGAGGGGTTGGCGCGTTTGCTGCAGAGTTTATTTTCGGGTATCAACCAAAGGGCGCGAGTTGGTCCACAAGCTCCTCATTCCACTGTATGTCCAATTAAGCTTATTACCGGCATTTAATGTAACGACATGTCATGTAGTGCTGCATTGAAGCGTAGACCTAGGGAAACCAATATTGCAACCTACGCCACACAAAGCTGACCAGTATAAAATGACCTTGTCGATGTGTTTCGAAATATTTTCGGGTGTCTACTATATACAACCTAACAATGATTGGTGACGATACCATTTGACAACATAACTGAGACTGTGATCGATGGGAATCGTGCGGTAGATACAGTCTGGGTTGTCATAGGAATATCGGCCACCAGGGAGGTCCAAATCGAGCCAATTCCGCGGACCGGCATCGACCCAGTAGAGTTTTAGATGATATGCATCGGTGTGGACAGCTTCGTGAATTGCACTAAAAGCCAACTCGTCGATTGCTTCGTCGAGGCTTGAGGAGGCTTGGTCGCTAATGGGAAATCCATGAGCTGTTTTATAAGCTGCCTTTGCCTCGGCTTTGAGGACAACGAACTGTTTTCTTGGTTCAGCTGAATTATAAGAGCATCCAAATCACGTTTCAGAAGTAGCCAGGGGATTTCCCTCCTGTTTGGGTGCTGCACTAGTGCTGGCTATGAATGCAGTGACAGCAAAAGTCGAGAGAACGAAAACTTCGTGATGTACCACGTTTCTTTGGAAAGGAAGGACCCATAAAGGTATCAATGTAATGTCGTAACTTAAAACCCGTACACATGAAATGATGTCTTCGGCTGTAGTATGGCACAACGCTCGAGCGGCATCACATGTAGCATTGACTTCAATTTGCCGAGCCGTGCCAATTCAGACTCAATTCCATTGCCTACTGTAATGAATAGTGTGATTTGGGCACTATTTCATGTCAATCGATTACACTCTGTACAGTCTCTCTCACTCCACTCTCCCACCGATCCCACGCAAGACAGTAATTCACCGTATCCCTCCACACGTCTTCCGGATCACAGCCAGGAGGCAACTCCCTCCCATTCCCGATTTTACCCCTAAGCTTGCCCTTGACAAAGCGTATATGCCAGGGAACAACCCCAACACGCTCAAATCCCATCTTCTCCGCAAGCTTGGAGCTGGCCAGGTTAGTCGTACTAGCCCGCCAATCGACCCGGCGCAATCCAATACCACCTCGTTCTGGGGGCTCCAGTGCAAGCCGTAGCACTAACCCGACAGCACTCTTAGCCACGTGTGTACGCTGGTATGGCGGTAGGATAACGACGAATCCGACCTCCGTGCATAGGTGTATCGGTGATGTCCGGATGAAACTCACGGTGCCGGCGAGTTCACCTTCCGGATCTTCTGGTGATGGGTCTCGTGTCTTGTCTATAATAGTGAAAGCGAATGACTCGGGATTGGAGAATGAGATGATGCTGTTGGATGGACCGTCGGTGAACTCTTTTTTGAACTCGGTTGCCGAGTCCCATGGTCCTATGGGCATGTGTGAATATATTTCGGGATACGGCGAGGATAGATTGAAGAATGTGTCACCATGTCTTTCGGGGTCGAATGGGATGAGTTTAACGCGCTCATTTGATATCCCATAAATAGGGAATGGGAAGATGGAAGCTATGGCCATTTCGGATATTTTGGTATAGTTGGTTGGGCTTGGCGTAGAGTCGTCGAAATGGGGACTTTTCCTTGTGTCCGAGAGCAGGATGGAAGTAGGATTCAATTTGGATTAACTCAAGTCGGTCGACTATAGACAGCCCTATACACTTGACGTTGGGTTCTCTTAGACAGACCTGCTTGGGGAAGATGACTTCTTATGTGAGGTCCTTCAACGACTTGCGCGAGGCTTGGAAAAATCTCCGAATATCGGATTTAAGGTTCGCGAAATTCGCACACAGTTTCACCAGAACGATTTACCGGACTTCTGCTTTCAGACTTCTCTATCAGAGTTCTACAAGGACGTATACACATGCAGACTGCATAAACCAATCTCTAATTATCTACTTAAGGCCATATTGAACGGTAGAGAAATGGATTCATGGGTATCTGCGAGAAAGTGGTACATAAGGCCGTCGAGGAGTTCGTGAGAAAAAATTTTCTTTTTGGAGAAAATGGGGTTCAAAGCGCCCAAGGGCTCTTTCTCACCCATCTATTAAAGCTAAGTCATCCGGAGCCTTGAACACCTCGTTTCCCATAAGAACTTTTGTAGGAGATAGCTGGGGAGCGGCGATCCCAACCAACAAAAACTAAGTCACGGAAAGGGTGAGCTTAGACCTTGATGGCAGCCTCGGCAGCCTTGGTCTTCTTCTCCTGCTTGGCGTTGGCCTTGGCACCCATGATACCACCGCCCCAGTGGCGGCGGGTCTCCTCGTACTTGTCGGTGTAGCCCTCCTTGATGGCAGAGAGGAGCTTGGAGAACTCGGCCTTGTCCTCGGAGCGGGTCTCGGTCAGAGCCAGAACGGCAGAGGTCTTCTTGTGGACGACGGTACCGAGACGGGACTTGCCCTTGACGATGGCGTAGGGGACACCCATCTTGCGGCAGAGAGCGGGCAGGAAGACAACCAGCTCAATGGGGTCAACATCGTGGGCGATGAGGACGAGGGAAGCCTTCTTGTTCTCAATGAGGCCGACGACGTGGTTGAGACCGTACTTGACGTGGTAGGGCTTCTTGGAGACATCCTCCTTCTTCTTGCCCTCGGAGACGGCGGTGGCCTCCTGGACGAGACGCTCCTTCTTCTCAGCCTTGGTCTCAGGGCGGTACTTGGCGAGGAGCTTGAAGGTCTGGGCAGCGGTGTTGCGGTCCAGGGTGTTCTGGAACTGGGCAATCGCCGGGGGGACCTTGAGGCGCATGTTCAGAATCTTCTTCTGGCGCTGGAGGCGGACATATTCGGGCCACTTGACGAAGCGGGACAGATCGCGCCTGGGCTGGATGTCCTGGCCGATACCGAAGTTGCGGGTACGCTTCTCGATGAGAGGGTTCTGCGAACGTCAGCGATCTCATCTTCTTTTTCTCGAGCCTCCAGGGGAAAGAAACGAACCTTAGCGGCCTTCTTGGACGAGCCAGCCTTGCCCTGGGGGTAGGGCATAGCGGCGGTCTTCTTTCCGGACTTGGGAGGCTATCATTGAGAAAAGAAGATCAGCGATCTTGTCCACCACGGGCTGCATCTTCTTTGAACTCGTAAGGAGAGCGATGAGTCGAGGCCGTGTTACGGGCTCCGGCTCATGCTTCCAGCCAAATCATCGCCAATTGCCCACATCTCTTTCGAGGCTGTGGACAAAAGACGGAATTGCTTCGATTGCGAACAATCGGAAGCAAGAGACTAATGTCTTTACGGCATCGCTGCAGCAGGCGAAGCCTTTAAAAAGGCATTCAAGTGCTTACCATTGTTGTCGATGGGATCGGTGCGCTGGTTGACGATTGACGAAGAGAAGAAGAAAGAATGAAGCGGTGCGGATCTTATGAATTTCTCGTGGGTCGCGCTAGTGCTACCACGTGATTAGGGCTAGGGCTATACTACAACTTCAATCATGTGACTAAGTCACATGACAAAATATTCGGTTTCGAGCTGCTTGCTTCAACACTCATGTAATTGGGAAATTAATAAGAATTCTTCAAGTGAAATACATTCTGCCGGTCAATGAAAAAGTGTGGGACGTTTCTTGCCAACGGGCATTCCGAAAAGTGGAATATCATCACATCCGAACCTACCGCGCAGCAAGAACAGTAGAAGAGTCTATGTACAGTACAACAAAAACGCCGAGAGAAAGCCTGCCATGCAATATAACCGCCAGATCCATCAAAACTAAAAAAATAGAAGCCATTCGGGTGTCCCATCACCGCCACGCCCCCAACCCAGGCAGCGCTCCACGACCCAAACTTGTACTCGCCGCCTGAATAGCCTTATTCTTGCCTGCAGACCCTTCCTGGGTACGCACGCCAGCAGTAATCTTGTCGATATTGGTCTCGATCACGACACCGCCAACAATCATCTCGCTCAGCACGGCATGCATCGTCTCATAGCCAAAGATCAAGTCCAGCTCGCACACGTTTTCGAACATGCGATCCAATGCCTCCACGAACACCTGGATCAAATCGATGAGCGCAAGTGGTGACTCTGTAGATGTGGAGATCATGATGAAGGAGAGCGTTGCGTAGGTGCGGTAGGTGATCTGCGTTGGCGCATCGGAGGGGCCGGCGGAGGAGCTGGCGGCGCCTTGGGAGAGGATCGGTGGAAGAGGAAGGAAGTTGCATGCGCTTGATGGGCGCTGTGCGACGAGTTGGTATATTTGCGAGATCAGTGATTGCTGTGTTTGGGTGTCCTGATACTGTGTCAGTTGGTGCTGGTCATCGAGTGGGGTGGACTCACGAGTTGGGTGTAGAACTTGGTCAGCCGGGGCTGGCCATTGTTATTGAAGACGAGCACGGCGTTGATCATCGTGGGCCACCTGCTGCTCGAAGAGCTCTTTCGAGAATAGAGTTATTAGACTTGGTCGAGTCCAACGTGCAAGACAAGTTCAAGGACGAGGATCGCGCTTATCGGCGCCGATAGCTCGGGCTCGACTGGCCCGTGCGCGGATTTTCCGGAGAACTCGACGGACTCCATCGACACCTTCTCACACACGATCAAAGATGAAGGCGTGCATCTGCAGGGTATCAATACCTGCCAGACGTATATATTCGACATCACGAACAATACCGTCACCACAACCCCCTCCTCCACCGAACCCAAACAAGCGCGAGTTGAAAGACCTCACGCCTTCCGATCTCTGCTATTACTGGGACACGAAACCGCCCAATGCCGAACAACTAGCCTTCGCGGACAAGCTCTTCATACCGTCGCGCCATTCACCACTCAAGCTATGGTCCGCTAGCAAATTCCGCACGACTCCAATGTCGTCCATTGAGCCCGAAGTCGCATTCCTGGGCCGCTCCAATGTCGGCAAGAGCTCGCTGTTGAACGCGATCATGGGCCAAGATATATGTTGGACTTCATCAAAGCCGGGTCGCACGAGGGAGATGAATGCTTTTGGTATCGGAGGTACCAAGGGCGGCGAGCATAAGGTTGTGCTTTTGGATATGCCGGGGTATGGAAAGGCTAGTCGGTCTGAATGGGGGATGGAGATTATGAAATATCTCCAGGGGCGCAAGCAGTACGTCTTTGTCGCAGTTTCATTGGTATTTTATTCTAATACGCCATTCCAGACTCCGCCGAGCCTTCATTCTCATCGACAGCGAACACGGCATCAAGCAAAACGACGCCTATATCCTCGGACTCTTCCGACGCTACGCAATCCCGCACCAGATCATTCTCTCCAAAGTCGACAAAGTGCTCGGCAAGAAGCAAAAGCAGGTCAAAATAGGCGTGTCGACTATCGGGATTCAGCGCCTTCAGGATATGCTGCAAGGTCTGCGCGAGCATGTCCAACCTGACCCTCGTGTTTCAGAGGGGCCCGGTGCCCTGGGAGAGCTTATTACTTGCAGTGCAGATATAACTGTTGGGCCTGGTCGTATGCTGGGTGTCAATGCTGTGCGCTGGGCAATTTTGTCGGCGGCGGGTATTGACGGGAGCTTGGAGGGCGGGACCCTCGCTTCTGAAAACGTGTCGGCTGCTTCGACTGCGTTGCCCTGAAGTGTATGAGTCGAGGTACACTTGGACATTATAAATATAGTTCTTGGTATGCAAGGACGAAAACTCGACCCTAATATCACATCCGGTGCCCATGCGCATGCGGCGGGAACGTGGATTAGTTATGACACACCCCATCTGCATCGAGTGTCAGCAGCGAGTGACAATTTACCCATGAGGAAATACGCGCTCAGGTGTATCTTGCCATGTCGAATGGCCCTGGAGTAGACCACTCAGCGATGCGCTCGAATTCACTCGATGGAAACACACCAGGCTTCTTCCATCCAGGCTGGGGCTACATGAGTCCAGCATGGGACTGAACTACAACCATTATCATTCAGCTCCCAACCACCTTCTTGAACATAGTCATAAACAAAGTAAATGTATCTATTACCACTGAATAAGGACAAACTTAACATGAAAGAAGGAAAGATGACAAAAGGGAACCATTGGTGGCCCCAAAAACGCCAGTAGCCAGCGTCACGGAATAGACTCAAGATACAGGAATGCGAATGAATGGGCATAGGTGCAGTACAATGACAAAGTAAAGAAACACATGGTGAGGGTAATGCAGAAGGGTTTGAAGATCGGAGAAAAATGAAAAGATGGAAACCCCCCCCCCCCCCCCCCCCCCGGCGAAAAAGGAAACATCTAACGCCTGTCTCCCATCGTAATGCTGGATGACCAAAGAATGCCGACCGCGCTATGCAAAGGGTTATTTTTTCAAGGTAAGACAAGAGAGCCATAAGGATGGGGTATCGTGGATGAGTAATAATGCGAGAAAGAATGGGAATTAGTATGGCAGAGGAGTAAGGAGGAGTAAGGAAATGGAAAAGTCCGCCGGTGAATCGTCGGAAAGATCCAGACGACGTCATGTTAATCAGAATCGGAGTCGGAGTCCACGTTGCCGCTGGAGATCTTTCGTCCGCGTCGGTTGACTGCAACTCGCTTGCCGAGTTTGTTTTCGGGCACTCCATCACGAGCTGCACCAAAGTCAAGAACCTCGATATAAGTCAAACTATCACGCTGCACGGCAGCAACACAGCGCCGGTCGTTGAACTTGACCTGCCACACGCCGCTGAGGTCGGTGAGAAGGTCGCGAACACAAGCACCGGTACTCACATCCCACATCTTCAAGGTGCGGTCCGATCCAGAAATGACCTTTTGACCGTCGTGCTGGAAGCAAGTGATGGCACCGGTATGGGCACTCAGCATGTTCTTGCAGTGACCGTGCTCGGGATCCCAGATGCGAAGAGTAGAATCTGCGGCAGCGGAGACTAGGAAGTCATTTTGCAGGGCAAGTAGCCCGACAAGAGAGGTGTGGCCTTCGAGATTATAAAGGAGGGACCCATCGTCAAGCGACCAGACCTTGACCATGTGGTCCATGGCACCACTGATGCAGCGGTTGCGCTTGGGGTCCAACACCACACTATACACCTTCAAAGAGTGGCCTTGCAGGGTATGCAGAATCTGTCCGGTGGAGACCTTCCATACCCGTACAGTGCAATCGTAGCTGCCGCTCACCAAAGTATCACCATGTGCCGCAATTGCGCGAACAGAATGTGTGTGGCCAGCCAGCACTCGGACGAAATACGGGCAATCAGTATCATCCGCAAGAGGCCCGGTTGGATAATATACGGAATCTCCAGGCTTGGGAAGCTTCCAGACCCGCAGGTTAGAATCCCGAGACCCAGTGATAATCATAGGTTGCTTCGGCATGATCTCGGGCCGGCCATTTGCATCCCGTCCGACTTCGGTGGGAAGCACGATCTGCAAACAGCGCACAGTGGAGGTGTGGCCATGGAACACTTGAGTGCACCGGGCTCGTTCGATATCCCAAACACGCACCGATCGATCGGTAGAGCCAGAAACGAGTGTGTTTCCGTGGTATTCGAGAGCCCAGACACCACCCTCGTGGCCTTCCAGTGTAGCCTTCAAAGCGCCAGTCTTCGTGTCGTATACATTGATGTTGGTGTCATCACTTCCAGTCAGAATCTTTTCGGTATCAAATTGCAGACAGGTGACAACATGGCGGTCATGGGCACGGAAAGCAATGTGCTGAGGCTTGACCTCAGGCTTCATCCATCCTCGGCGAATGGCATGGTGCCGGCGATAGAGAGCCTTGTAAAGGTACAGCCCACGGAGAGAAGGGATACCGACCTCCGCATAAGGAACAGCTGCAGCCGCAGCGTTGGCCGCAGCATAGGGTGCTTCCGATGCAGCAATGTCTCTCTTCCAGTCCGGCTCATGGTAGTCTACACCACTTCCGCTTGAGGAGATCTTGCGTTTCGCCAGTTTCCGACTGGAAGCCCGAGTGTTCGCTTTCCGCTTCGGACGTCGTGGACCCAGAGCTGTCAGTGGAGATCTGTCATTAGCGGCAGAGGAGGATGGGAAGGGAGATGCCTCTTTGTCTCCTCTGGACGAAGTAGGCAAACTCAGATCTCTTTCGAAATCGTTGAAACTGCTGCACTGCCAGCCCCATCCTTCCCGGATAGCTCGTTCCAACTCGCCCTCGGAAAGAAGGTAATCGTCAAGGTCAAGAAGCTCTTTCCACGATTTCTCATCCGAATTGATGATATGCCGCCATTTCTTGGAGACTTGAGCCGCACGGCACATGGTTTGAACATCCAAATACTTGACGATGTTCAGGCTGAGTTCAAGCGGAAGCAGTGCCAGGAAATCACATTTCAATGTCGGGTTGACAATATCGGCTACGAAATGCAGAGTCGGCTTGGGGCATCGACGCAAAAACTGATACATCATATAAGTCTTCAACTCTTCAGGAACGGAGTCAAAGAACTCTAGCACCTTGGGCATATCCATAAGCGACGGAGCGGATCGAGAGGAAAGGCTCTTAGCCCGGGACGAATCTCCATCGTGAAGGCGAATTGCCTTCGAGTGGCGTGAAACATTGTGATCAAGGCTGGAATCGGTGTCCACATCGGGACCTTCTGATTCAAAGGAAGACTCGCCGTGAAGAGCGTTCATAGCGGCGACTGGGGACAGACTAGGGCTTGGCAAGCACATATCCTGAGCCATGGCATTGTCGATTGCCGAAAGCTGAGAAGTCAAATCAGGTCTTGGCTGCGACGTAGGCTCTGTCGAGGTAAAGGATGTGCTTTGGCCGGTCGATATTGGTTCGGGCCCGTGAACCGCATTGGTGTCGGCATGCTCGTTTCGCAACTCCCGGTTCTCGGGAAGTACAGCACTTCGCAAAGCCCCGGACGGGCCAATCTCAGCAGAGAGAGGCGACCGCAACAGAGTTTCTCTGCGTGGGAAGTTCGCACTGTGCATTCTCGGCCTCGGGGCCACACTTTCCCCAACGCTGCCCACATTTTGTTCCGTCTCCGGAGTGGCCAGACCAGCAGGCGAAAGATGGGTCGAGGTTGACGCTCCATGACGGGTACGTCGAGCCACAGGCTCAGATGGCACTCGGGATGTACGGGTCCGAGGTAGGATGGACAGGCGAGGGTCGGGATTCGAAACGGGAGAGACGGGTCGGTTGTGAGGATTCGGCAGACCAAGTCGAGTCATCGACCTAGGAGGAGCCAGTCGTCGAGAAGAGCTATCGTCTTCGGTGGAGAATGAGTTCACGGAGCGAATCAAACCGTTGGACGACTCGAGGGCATCGTTCCTTTCCTTGAGCTGGGGCAACGTTAGCACCTTTCTGGTTGGAAATTCGAAGACAGGGGACGGGTGGTAGTTACCTCGATCCTTGCCGCGGCGGCATCTTCGGGTTCATTGAAAATGATGGACTTATCGCCAACCTTGAACCGTAAATTCCTCAAGGACGCGGGCGTTGGTGACGCGGCGAGGGGGTACTGTCGGGCATCGAGGTCCTTGATAGCACGCGGGGGTCTGATAATCAGAGGAGGGAAGGAGGTGGTCGTGGTGGTGGTCGTGGTGACAACGGTGGTGCGAGTAGTCGGGGCGAAAGAAAACTGGCCGAAGGCGTCGTTGGAGAGACTTTGTCCGAGGTCATCCCTCTCACGGTCATCCATATCGCGTTGACGAGACTGAACGAGACGAGACTCGGAGTGGCGGGTGACATGGGAGGGAGGAGAGGACAGCGACGCGTCCGGGTCCGGGTCGAGCAAAGAAGTGGGTTGATCTGAAGCCATCATGGAGCGAGCTCAGGTGGGGGGAAGAGATCCAAAGATAAAGTTAAGTCTCGACCACCACACACTTAACCTCCGACACGGAAGGCGAGACCATGAGAATAGAGTGGTAGAGCGATCAAGACGAGGACCTGGACCTGGACCTGGTGCTGGTGGACATGAACATGGATATGGCAGGACGACAGAGACGCAAGGAAGGGTCAAAGGGGAGGAAAGGAACAGTGGCGGCTGACAAGGGCGAGTTGGGGCGGAGAACAACAAAATCGAGAAGGTGCACGATGTCATCAACCGGCGCTGTCTGTTTGCAACCCGAGGGGTTTCTTGCTTTCTTCCCTTGGATTTTTACTTGAGCGTATCTACCCCATAGATGATGGGACGCCTAGCCACTTAGGTCAGTGTCGGTATTCCCACTGTATTCCTCTCACGGTCGCCTCTTGTCTACGGTAGTGAAAACCTTGAACCCTGCGGCCACCACCACCACCACCACCACCACATGATTCAGTGGCACTGATCGGTCACTTTTCATATTCTTGCCTTCTATCTAGCTAGACATGTATGGAAGTTCTCACGGTATTTGAGATGGATACATCGCACAGGGCTCGTCGAGTCGACATGGAACTCGACGAACGCATCAGATAAACCTGTTTGCACGATGTGGAGGAGGTCGGGGTCCAGACGTCCAGACACGATGGAGCCCGGCTTGCCACCGGGTCACGTGGGCCCCGCCTTCCCTGTTTCCGCCACTCGTTTCTTGTTAACCAGTCGAATAAACCACTAGGCCAAGATATGAATCCACGAGTCTATGTACTGTAACAGCGATGCCCCGGGGTAAATGAGTTCACCCACGCCGCCCTGTATATTCAAGCAGTGGGCTCGCACTGCCCAACCCTCGCCAGGCTGTTGGGACGGTGAATTCACACACACGGGCCCCGGTGGATTCATACCCTCGCGTGATGTCTCGGTGTTCCTGCATCCCCTCCCTCCCCTCGGGCCCGAAGGCTTTATCACATCTTATCTTCTTGCATGCTTGACTGCGCTATAACTAGGATTTGAAAACCATGCCCAATCCACCAGGCGCCGCATCCTTGAATCCATTCTTGTAATACAAGCTTCGCCCAGCTTCATCTGCGAACAAAGATATGTAGGGTTTTCCATCTGACGGAGCTCCCTGGCTGATATGTTGGAGGAGAGCCTTCAAAATCACGTCTCCAAGTCCTTTCCTTTGGTGTTCAGGGTGGACAGCTATGTCTGCGATATGGAAATACCAGCCGCCATCCCCAATCACGCGTCCCATCCCGATCGGCCGTGGGTCACCATGCGTCGCGTCGGAGGTGATATAACAACCATACCAGGATCCCGTAGGAACGGCGGCCGCCTGGGACGGTGTTTTCACCGATAGGCCGGCGGCTGAACGAAGATGCAAATACTCGGGAATCGAAGGGTAGCCGGAGTGAAATGTGTACCCCGAAGGGAGACGCGGATCACTGGGAGAACGCATCTTGAAGAAGCAGGAATAGGAACGCTAAGATAACAGGAAACCTGGCTGCACAGTGTCTAGGAAACCCCTCCGCGTCCCCCGCGGGGCGAAAGTTACACTTGTGGCCTAAATTCTGGCTCGTGACACCGATCGAAAGGTGGGTCGATCAATGCTTCTAGGGACTAGTTTTGTCTTGGCAATTCCAAGGCCCGGCATCGAACAATTCCAATAACAAAGAGCGTGATGCTCGACGAAGTTTGGAATTAGCCGAGTTTTCCCAATCACCCGAAGGCCTGAAGACCAAGATCTCCACAAAACGAATTTTGCTATCTCATTGTGTTTTTAGGCATCGTAGAAAAGTGTGGATGTTAAGAATACGCAGGGTGGCGTTCTATTGACCAGATACTGTCACCTATGCGATTTTATTGATGGAATACTACCAGCAAGGGCTGCGAAGGCAGATCCTCGGGCTCAACTAAGTCCTCTACCAAATAGGAGACATGCATCCTGTTCTGATCGAACATGGCTGAGCTGAATTTTCAGCCCCGAGACCGAGATACTATCAAGCAGCTGAAAAGGAAGATTGTGTTCAAGGATTCTCATCATAGGTCCACTCTAGGTTCCTCAACCTCTGTGGTGGGCTTGCTTAATGGATCGGCAGATACGTCTACACGGTCCCCGTAGAGCGATTTCAATTGGGAAAGATGAAAATGAGAAGGCTGACTTCTCCCCCAATCAGACCGATGAATGCTTAGAAGATTGTCAAAATCTACCGATCGAGGGCCGATCTTTGTTTTGCATGATGGAAAGGCCCCGGCCCATCTACACTCTACCTTACTTAAAAAGAGTCTGGCCCAGTGAAGCCTAAGTGTTGATCGCCGTCTCTCAAATGAACTATCGATTCCCGGGTGGGTCTTGATCTACATAGTTATGTACAGCTCGCGCAGGATACAGGTAGCGTGCTAAGCCACAAGCCTCGATCCCTCCATGTTCTGTGGTGAGCTGACATTACACCGTTCATCCAGATTGTACATTCCGAATAATCACTGTATCGGATCAAACTAAGGATAGCTACCATAGCACGCTTTTAGAGCTAGTATGGCCCGCTTAGATCTCGAATTTGGTTGGGGCAGGAATGATCCGACCCTTGCGGTGTGGGTCCACTTTATGCAGTATCCAACCCCATTGGGTCCGCACGTCCCCAAACATCCAATGAGTCCTTCAGTGCGTGTTTTGTCAAATCGAGGGGGTTAGGAATGAAGAATAGCCGTGAAATTCTACTCATGCAGAAAACTGTCCAAATACGGAGTAGCTCGAATTGCTGACTCAATAGCATATCCCCATTCGCCGATAGCTATGAGTGGAAAGCAGGGGGTGGAGCGTAACGTACTTTCCATTGCGTCTTGGATTAATGAAGGCCATGCAGCGGCCTACTTGTCTAGGATGAAAGGTATAAAACCCGGTCTTGCCGTCCGCAGTCAATTCAGCTCCATCGTTGCTCTTTGCCTCATACTCGAAAGATCATCCGTCTGTTATTCTTATAACTCCCGTCAATATGCGTCTCTCTCCCATCGCCGCGATCCTGATTCTGGCAGGTGCTGTCAATGGCGCTGTCAATGGCGCCAACAGCGCCAAGCAGACTGTTTCCGATATCGTAGCTCTCACTGACCTTTCCTCAAAGACCGAGGATATTGCTAAGAGCATCCATGCTATTAACGTGAAAGTCAAGGCTCCTGTGCGTCCCTAAACTTTGGTATACAAGCGTTCTGCGATTGCTGACCCTCATTAATAGCAATTGATCAGCAACTTCAAGGAGATCAATCATATGCTCACCAATGAAATCTACCCGGGGTCCAAGCGTAACTTGCACGCCCGCGAGGAGGGTCTGAATATTGAGGATCCCTCCGAGGTTCTCGATCGTTGGGATGTCAAGAAGCGCCAGAGCGGTGCATACTCCGAACACGACCAGAAGGCTGTTTGCAGCGCCTTCGCGACCGTAATTCACCCAATCAATTTCATCCATGCATGTACAGTGCTAATACTTGAGCAGTTCGTGCAAGTCCAGCACCAGCTTCTGCGCACCGTGGTTGATAAACACGACTTGATAGAACTCACATCTGAGTATCGCCAGGTTGGCGGAGTCCTTCGTACCCTGGAAGCTGGGGTTGACAAACTTGTTCACGGAATCCTCGATCATATCCCTACTTGTGCCGAGGATGTTACTAAGAACAAAACATCCTTCGATGAGTCTCTGATCAACGCCGAGGACAAGTATTCTCGCTAGATGACCATCATTTTGTCATCCATGAACAACTGATATCCCAAGCCAATTTGGGTTTTATCCGTCTTATATTTCGGAAACCAACTTAGCTATAATACTGGAGATGCATCTAATGGCGAAAGGAATTTTAAAACTAGTTGAACGCTTGCCTATGACATGACAGCTTAGTCGGAGTAGACTGCGCCAAAGCCCGCAAATAAACCATCTTGACCCGAATTTACTTTAAATCTAGGTCTTAATATATAACTATAATTAAGCTTAAGCTTAAAGTGGTTTGTTGACTCGTTATATAGTCCATTAAAACTAGGGTGGTCAGCCACAATTTATTCATGGTGGCGGCAGCGCTGGTGATATTTGGAGTGATCTGGGCAATACCTTGGATGAGTACTATGAGGGGAAGAAAGATGCGAGGGGCATTTTGCGAGGTGCAGGATAAGGAGAAGGGATGGATCTCGATATCGTCTTGTTGATGGCTATAGTGCAAATGAAAATGTGTGATACCAACAGCATGAGAGGCAGCAACTTCTGACAAATGAGAATTTGAAAGAGTCAGTCAATAGACGCCCTCAGACACAACGTTGACATTGTATGATCCGGTCTGCCTGCATTCGACAAAGTCAACGGTGCTACTACTATTGTGCAATACAATGAACCGACATGTGACCCTGCCAATAGTCAATAGGCTCAAGAGAATGAATTGTTCAAGCTTGTTTTGCATAGTAATGACAGCGCTGTGAGTAGTCTTCGGACTTGGAGATTTACTTAAGTATCCCCTGCCATTTCTTCTTCTCACCTTCTCACCTTTCCCCCTCCTGACAACCACCATCACTCCTGCATTCGAAACACTTTATCTTTCGACCAATTATCAACATGTCTCGGTTGAGAAGGGAGAGGAGATCGAGGTCGCGGGCGACTTCGCACCGCTCCGGCAATGTGCCGCCGCCTCGTCGGACCAAGCCGGGGCACCGCCACCCCGCCTGGGTAAGTGTACATCTTAATCTAATTGCCCTTGACTGGCTGAAGACCTTGAAAAGGATACTGACCTCGAACAGGCCCAAAGCCTGGAGCTGCTGAAGATCACAGTGCATGTCACGGTGAGTGTACCATCCCAACTCAATGGATCCATCCGATCTAACAGCCCCTCCGATGTTTGCCTTTTATTCAATCATGGTCTTGTATATGCTAATATTTCGTTCGAAGATTGCATCGGTATTATTCCTGCGGTTGGTTTTCTTGATCCCCAATGACTCTATGAAGGCTGATTGAAGTTTCAGAGAGCTCCTGCCGGAGGAGGCATTCGGCGTTCGGTGCCTCGGCAAGGTGAAGCCCGGACAGATGTACTCGCATGAGGACTTCCTTGCGCGGCAACAAGGGACCCCTCTGGAAGGGAGATCCGCCTGCGCTCACGTGAAAAAGCAATTGGCGTCTGCCAAAACAGAGAAGCCGCACGCATCTAAGTATGCCGGGGTGAAAATAATCGAGAGAGGAATGGACGAGGTGGGTGATCAGATCCGAGATGCTATGGTATGTCAGTTCTTTTTGTGTTAGTCCATGTGCTGATAATTTCTCTTCAGCATGACATCTTCGATGGACTTGCACGACGCCGACTGGGATGCCTTCAACTATACATAGAAGAGGCGAGTAATGACGGAATACCCCCTCTTAAGCTCGAAACGTACACCATGAGCTTTGAGTATGGTGGCAAACGCGGCACGGCGGATGCTCTGGATGGCACGATTGACGCCGTTCTCAAACCGAGATCACTGAGAGATATCCAAAAGTACATTTACGACATGTCTCGAAAGTTGAGCATGCTCAAGGATGCACCCGCGCCTCCCAGTACGCTGGGATCCATTGTGCGATATTGAGTTGGTGGCTGATAATTTCAATAGGCTATCGATCTCTCGGAATCCTCATGGCGTACAATGAAGACACCCCTTCCCGGAGCGTTGGATACGGGTTTCTCACCCCCTCTGGCAGCACGGACAGCCGGGGTGTCCAGGCTCCCGAGTTAGACCAAAACTGGAGCAACATCATCCAACCGTGTGGAAGATTCGACGGTGGATATCATGTGTAAGTTCAGCTTGTCTTTCAGCGTTTGATGTTCCTTGACGCTGACAGTCAAAAGTACCGAACTCGAAGTGAGCTACTACCGGTGCCACGCTCTGGTCCCCTTCCGTCCCTCAGCGGAGCCTACCACGGAGAGAAACGCTCGTCATTCGGGACCATAGTGGATCCCAGCCGGACCAGACTGGAGCAAAGGATACACCCCAGGCTTCGCAGCTTTATGCACATGACATTGAGGGTGAATTTACGACTGTCCGAATACAATCCCAAGAGAGGCACCAACGACACTCACTCCCTTGTCCTCCGAGATAGGTACGAATCTTCACAGACCAAGCAGGGGTAGCAAGGAGTTGGAGTCCAAGTCATGATGCGCATGTCTGCGTGTGTGCCGAAAATGATGAGAGGATGGCGCTGAATACAATGTGAGGATCTGGGAAAAATTTCATCTGTGATGGATATGTTGAAAGTCTTGATCAGGCCGGCAGATCAAGACCATGAGCAGAAGCTTGGTGCGACGAGCTTTGTATGGTTTTAATTGAATGTTCAAATCCGATAAACGAATTAGAATTCATACACTCAACTTCTACGACAAGCGATCTAGAAAAAGCCGTTTTTGAGGATAGGATGATCTGCACTATTGTCTTCAGGTGGACTTCCTCAAAATTCTTCCATCAGAAAGAGGCAGTTAAGACAAGCTACAACAAATTTCGACCCCCTGTTGGTCATATCCTCACCAATACTGTCGCATGATCTGCAAATAACCCATTAAGGTAAATCATAACTCTGCAGAACCATGGAAATGTGTTCTACTATTGTCTGTTTTGCGCCCGCCTGCGCGGGTGGACTATTGAGGGACCATTTGCCGCTAGCTTCTCCGACCATTTGGCATACCCTACCCATCTTGGAATTGAGGGCCCCTCTCACACCTGTCAAACCGGCCTTTTGGGTTCAATAGTGTCACCACCGCTGTGTTCGTGCGTGTGCAACTGCCGGCTCTGCAATGTTCAGTTGTTTCATGCATTTCTTCACGTTTTCATATTTTCCGAACCCCGAACCTCTTCAGGATCTCGCATCCTCTGACCGAAGCAGCATGGCTCAGATTCGTCCGAGATTACGCAGAGTGCTAAGCACGATCGTCCCTCGGCTAATCGCTGGCGCTTCGACAGGGGACCCCAATCTCATGCCAAGATCATTGCCCCGGAGTGTTACCGCACCTTGTTTCCGTCACCCGTGGGTCTCAGACACGGCACACGGCTGGAGACGGAGCCACCCGGGCCAGATGATCTCCGTTGCGATCGACTTGCTTGGACCAGGAGGGTAAGACAAGGCTAGAGCACAATGTGAAAGCAGATCTCCGGTTCTTCGAGGCAGTATTGCTTCTCAGGCATCCCATTCCTGGCCTTTCCTCGAACAACACGTCAGGCCTGTCAAAACGGTCTTAGGGCCCAGGTTCAACGGGCGCGTCTTTCATTTTGGACACCAGAACCAACCAAGGGACGCGGGCTAAGTCGAGGATTTGAGTTTATCGACCAAACTGCCATGGGAATGGCGCCCAGTGAACCGGGCTAGGAGGCGCCCGGGAGGGCGATCATTGCCAATCCGTACCGAGTTACAAGGTCGGGGAGACGAGGCACAGTATTTGTCAAGAACGGGAGTGAACAACTTCCGCGGTTACGTTCGCGATCGGAGCTCTCGCACTGACGGGCAGGATCGATACTATATAAGCGATCGAGAAGATCGGCTGTTCCTGAAAAAAACAACGAATTGAAGCCGATACTACTGCGGTAGAGTCTCCAACGTTAACCCTTTTGGGCCAAGACGCGAATCCACACGGGGCCGGAGGGGTTGGTTCTAAAATAACTAGAAAAGCACAGGCAGGAAAGGGTGATGAAGACTGAGCCCGGATCATAGGGGGTGTAGGAGGCGTACGATAATAGATGTATAAATCACCGTCCAGTCCCCGGAGCGCCGATTACCCAATTTTGGAGTTGAAGTCGGAGGATTTGGAACGGGTCGACACGTGCAAACATTTAAGGTTGTCCCGCAGTAAGGGGTAATGATTTTTGCACGAGGAAGATTCCGCGTCCACCTGCGTAATGGTAGGGATTAGCTGTCCGCAATCTCCGTGTGTACATGAGTTGCGTTTCCATGGTCCATGGGAATCTGTGCGCCAGGAACCGGAGTTGGGCATGCCTGCAAGGTCTGGATCGGACCAATGCCGGTGTGCGCAGAGCATGGGGGAGTGGGTGCCTGTCGATACCTTCTATTCTGGAGGGAATACTAATCGAATGCAGCTCAGCTTGTCGATCCGAGCCCTCCAGTATTCGAGAAAAAAACACACCACAAGCCTCCAGGACCGGTCAAGCCGGTCCCTGGTTGACTGGCGTGTCAATGGCGGCGCCCCGCAGCGGCGATCCACCGCAAATGAAACACAGCCGTGCGAGCATGGATTCTTCCCCAATCGGCCAGCGAGGAGTCCACCCGGGAATTGCCCCCATCCCATGCCTTGGTGGGTCGCCCCTTTAAACGTGCCGATGTGATGAGGGGACTCGATCCTATCGGCTGAACTTTAGCAATTCATATTAGCTTCCCTAGTTCTCTCCGGGACTCCCCTTAACTTGCACAGTCCCCAAGTCCCCAAGTCCCCAATTCTGCACTTCTGATTTCCCGGTTCCCCCCCCGGGTTTCTTTCTTTAATACTTGATAGTCTTCTGATTATCGTTTCCGTGGTAAGTGGAGGCCCGAGACTCGCTCTGGTTCCGAACTGGAGCTGTACCAGAGAAGGGAATCGCTGACCCGGCAGTGGAGTAGATCTGGGAAGCGAAATTACTTGAACCGCGCGGTCTTCAACTCCAACTTCATCGACTAGCGCAACTCCACGTTTTTGCATGTCCGACTTTCCCTCTCTCTACACCGCATCTTTCTATGGCGCACCGAGACCCGTCTCCAGTGCATGTGCCCTTACGAACTTCGAGTCGGAACCTTCTGCGCTCTAGTGCGATGGAAAGCAACAAAGAAGTGAGCATGGCGGACCGCAGGACGTCCAAGGCGCATCGGATACTAGGGACCGAGCTACCTCTCCCCAACGGCCGGTGGGACAAGCCGCAAAAGCCACGCCGATCAAGCCTCCGAACCCCCGACGACTCTTCACGGCAGCAACGTAGTAGCTTCCTCCCATTCCCTTCGGGGGAGGCGGTTCCACCCCAGAATCTGCGTGTCCGCGCTTCGTCGCCGTTGCTGGGCTACGACTACCGATCCAATGATCCCGCTCCTCCGCTTCCCAAGCCCTCGAAGAAGGTCCATCCGTCCGGTTCTTCTTCTACGTTATTCTCCTACTTCAGCTCGAAGGAGAAGGATAGTGCCTCCAAATCGGTCAAATCTGGGAAATCTGGGAAATCCGCCAAATCGACTCCCACAACCCCCAACCATACCAGCCTTCAACCTCGGGTGCGCCATGAGCTGCAAGCACATCCCAGTGTGACATATCAGCATCAGCCAGCCCAAACACCGCCGAAGGAATCAAAGCGGAAGTTGCGCCCTCCGAGAATCGACCTTTCCATTCTCTTCCCGAAACCACGAAACCCCGCTCCAAGTCACCTCTTGTCTCCTCAGCGAGTGACCAGGTCGCCCTCCCCCGTTTCCACTGTCGCCTCGGATTGGCCTTCAAACAGAGTCGACCGACTTGGTAGTAACTCCACTGCGCGAAAGCTTCAAGTGGGAGAACCTCTATCTCAACGCACGTCGACTATCCAGAAAGAGGCTCCCAATCCCCGGAATGACCGATCGGATCTGTTGTCAATTCCCGAGATGAAAGATCGTGAGGGTTCACCGCGATCCTGGGGCAACCCGCTGGAGCGCACAGTCGGCACGAGCGAGATTGACCTTGCCCTGGACCGATATGCAGGACGCCGGTCACTTTTCAGCCGCTCCAGTGTTTACACCACCAGTCGGGAGCAGCTGCAGCCAGAGCAGCAATGTTTCAAGGAAACCATCCAGCAAAGGCGTGGGCATAGCCCCGCTAGTGGCCAATCCAAGGATCTGTATCTGTCTCCCACTCCCAAGCCCGATGAAGGCCGGGGCCAGAGCCGGAACCGCACGAATAGCAATACACACAGCACGAACACGACTGTGAGCAAGAAGAGCAGCAAGAGTACGTTGAAGAACAAGGACTTGCAGCAATCCAGCGTTCTCTGTCTCTCCTCATCTGAAGACGAAGATTCTGACCAGGACGTGACGCCCACGGAGAAAGTCACCAAAAACAAGAACTTCAGAGACAGTGTGGCGACTTATGGTGACTTCGAGCCTGAGATCCACACTGCTTCTACTGCTCAAGCTACGGTGGGCACGCCGACGTTGAAGAGGGTCGAACGAGCACCGTCCACCAGCAGCCGTGGGTCCAGTCAGATTCCTCCATTTCCTCAGCCTCAACCGCGCAGGCATACTTCCAATTCATCCAGTAGCAAGCCGCCCGCTGCAACACAGCGAAAATCCAGCCAGCCTCATCGGACAAGCGGTGTTCCCACTATTGCCGAGCCGGATATTCTGAGCAAGTTCCCGCAGCAGCGCCTGCGCACACCGCAGGAGCTGAAGGAGATGAACCGAAGAAGCAGAGTCATCGCGGTGACCCGGCAAGAGCAGGATCTTTTAGAGGCCATGCGAGTGCGCAAGGGCAAAATCACCCCGAGTATCTTCCACAACAACGGCGCAGCTCAGCCCGATCGCAGCTCGATGATCTCTGGACCGTCGCGAGATTCATTCTGCGGATCGGACACATCTTTCCTGCGCCTTAGCGCGGCATTCCCGCCTTTCAACACTCAGACAGAACAAGGTGCATCATCTCACATGGACAAATACGGTTCTTCCTCGCAGAGTTCTGGTTCTGATACTGAACAGAAGACTGGTAATTCGATTGCCTCTCCCCGGTTCAGTCTGGGCTACTCCGAAAGTCTTCCGTCCCCCGCTACCAGCGGTGCCTCACCTCTTACGCCAACGCTCCCCATTCATCGTTTCTCTCCGCTGCCGTCCCAGAAGCCGCCACCGCGTGGCCCACCACCGGCCATCCCGGAGGACCAGAAGCAGCACACTCGCCGTCGCACGGATAGCAGTGAAGCTATCATGCTGAATGAGAATGGCGAGCAGCGCAAGCATGATCTTCCTCTCTGGTCGTTTGATTTTGATTGGAATCAAGACCTCGCTAGCGTGGCTGCCGTGCATTAAGATCTGCATCTCCCTGGCTTGACTACCAACCTACAGGCCCGTTCATACGTTCACTTCCCATTTCCTATCTCAACTACCTTCAACATCCTGTATAAACATTTTTTTCCCGATCGGACTCAACAGTCCTGACCATTGTCTACGGACTAGACCATTTTTCTTACCTGGCATTTCTTGCATGATGGAGTTGTTTACTTGTTTCTTCTGTCCCCTTCGGGCATCCTGTCTCATGAACATCTTGTGTGTGACGCACTCAGTCCACTACAATATTCCTGAAGAACATGCACACATCGTGGGCTTCTAAAACCCGATTCTATCTCTTCCATTCCACCGTTCGTGTTTCGAAAGTCTCCCAAACTAGAATTCCCCGTAGTATCATTATTATTAGCAGTCCATCCAAAGTAACCATGAGCACGAAATTTGTGCGTTGTAGATAGATCCAGATCCCACATAGACCCCCCTGTTCCACGCAATGGCATTCCCAAAATGAGGCGCCAGCCCTAATCGTGTGGCTGACGTGCATAAGGGCAGAGCCCAATCAGAGGGTGGCTGGACGGATCGGTGTCGACTGGATAGACACGCAATCGACCAGCCAGAAAACACATGCACAAGTGGATGGCTATTGTCTCGCTCTACTGCATTCCACCGTCTAGGGGGCCGTTGGGGACGAATGATGAAATCGGAATGGGGCAAGGAGGCGGGCGTACAGCGTGGACAAGTGGGCTTGACGTCAGGCAATAAGCCCCTGGCTAGAGAGGCGCCCAAATGGCGCTCCAATGGGGCCTCCCTAGACACCTACAGCTGGTCTTCAGGTCGAAAAAGTCTAAAGTAAACGGCGATGGTGATGCCCAAGAAGTCACGAGTCCGGAAATTGCACCTCGTCAACTTGTAACTTGGAACCGCGTGATCCACACCGCTTGTCCGCGCCTTAAAACACCCTTCTATACCCCGGACTCTCGTTTCAACTCTAGTTCCATCTGTTCGCTCTTCAGGTCCCCTCAAGACCCAGGTGGCCGGTTTGTTTTGTTTGCCGCAAATTCGCTCTCGTTCACATCCCAGCCACCTCGCACGGAGCTCCGCCGTGATCGACCCCCGAAGCCCTGACGCCGGGCCCTAGAAGATCCTCGAATCCCTTGAAGTGTTGCGTGTGGGATTCACAAACTTCTCCGCAAGAAGCCGTCGACGGAAATTCAATCTCTTTGTCGCTCCTTGCTTTCACCTCGACTTTCCTCGCTTCAGCTCTCGGTTTGTTTTTGCTTTCGCCCCCCTACCCGTGTTGCGGAGAATACACCCACCCTCAGCACGCGAACACGTTTCGACCTTTGTCGCCATGGGGGATCGCACACAACGCCAGCCATCATGGGTGCGGGATGCGATGAGAAATGTGCCCTGGATTTTGGTATGCACTTCTGGGCGATCGCGTTTCTAGCAGCCCTGGAGATTCGCTGACTTGTATTGTTTTGTTGTAGCTGACGGCGCAGTCCACTGCATTCGTGTTGGTGAGTTATCTTGGACATTCGCGAGTTGAGCGATGGCTAACGATGACTTTCGCGCTTTAGTTGGCCCATTACTCCCGTGTTATGCCACCCACCGGTGGCAAGCGATACTTGACCTCCACCGCAGTCTTTCTGAACGAGGTCGTGAAACTGGCCATTGCTCTCACAATGGCTCTCTACGACGTCTCGAAAACCGCGCCGCCATCCCTCCCCGCTACCTCCCTCTTCTTCTCCCTTACAAACGCCGTGTTCTCGGGCGATAGCTGGAAGCTGGCCGCCCCTGCCTTCCTCGGTGTCCTGTCCAATTCTCTACAATACATTGCGCTGTCCAACATGCGGGCAGCAACTTTCCAGGTCACGTTCCAGTTGCAGTTCTTTACAACGGCGGTTTTTGGTCTGATGTTGCTAAGACGGAGCATTGCGCCGCGCAAGTGGGGTCTGCTTCTGCTTCTGCTGGTCGGTGTCGCCTTGGTGCAAATTCCCGATGCCAACTCCGAGCAGATGGCGCTTCAGGAAGATGGCTCTTCGCTTCACTTCCCCCGTTCTCTCGCGGAATGGAAGGCTGTGAAGGGAGGCTCTGGAAACCTGCACAAACGCTCCGCGACGTACGAGGGCATTGAGGAGGATATTCAGACGATTGATCCGAGATTGAATGCCGCTGTTGGTCTTTTGGCCGTCATTGGAGCCGCTCTTGCCTCTGGATTCGAAGGCGTCTACTTTGAGAAAGTGCTTAAAGATAGCTCGAGCCATACCTCACTGTGGGTGCGCAACGTGCAGTTGGCGGTCTACTCTGTTTTCCCGGCTCTGTTCATTGGTGTTGTATTCCGAGATGGTGACAACATCGCCAATGACGGATTCTTCCAGGGCTACAATTGGGCCGTCTGGTCCGCCATTGTTGTCCAGGCCCTCGGTGGTATTTTTTCTACCTTCTCCATCAGTCATGCGCAGCGAGACGTCAAGTCTCTGGCCACCACTGCTAGTATTCTCACGAGTATCGTGGGAAGCTTCTGGCTCTTCGACTTTGAGCTAACTGCAAGTGTATGTGACCCAGACCATCTCTGTCATTGTGAACAAGTTCTAACATGATAACCATAGTTCTTCCTGGGCTCGGCTGCAGTCCTGGTCGCCACTCACTACTACGGCAACCCTAGTTTCAGCCCTACCCTGGGCAAAATTCCGCCGCCAATCCGTGTGGACTCATATGAGAAGGATGACGGTCATGATGGATCGCCCATTGTCCCCTCGTCCAACGACTTCTCTATCAAGCTTCCAAGCAGCCCGTTCTTATCATCAGACGGCATGTCAAGCTCCCGACCGTCATCACCTAACCCGGGCCACACTCGCGTGAGCTCAAGTCGGAACGTGAGCGGGAGCAACTATTTTGAAAAGGAGTAATCATACAGACAGAAAAAGTCTTCTTCTGTCCTACTACTCTCTTCTTTACGGTGATATGATCTTGGATACCTGATAGATGCGGTCAAGCCAGTGGTTCGCTACCACGTAGGCTATGGTTATGCCCCAATGTTTGGGCAATTTGTTTGTGAGCGTGTGATATAACTGAGAAACCGTTGGGATTTCCGTCATGTATGCATATATACGAATGAATGAGAGGCTTTCAAATACCCCAATGGAACCCGATTTATGATGTTGCTCTGCTCTGGCGCGGGACTTCGTCCACGTGCTCCCATCCTCTCGTCAACCTCAATCCTCTACTCTTCACTCCCCAGTACTCACTTCTCACAATCCTTTGATCTTTGTAATTGTTCGTCATGCAAAGAATGCCGTACTCACAGTCCATTCCCTTCAAACCGCCCTTCAAGCAGCAACGGGTCGACATCAGACCTGCCAGCTCCCAGAGCAGCAGGATCGGGATGATCGACCAGAAGCTCATTGAAGGCTCGCAGCAGCCACGGTACCCCAGCTCATTTTCTCAAGAGGAGTTGTCACCTGAAGAACGGGACCTGCCTCTTCGTGATGAATATTCTCAATTGGACGCCTTTGGTGAGTAATTGTCCTCATACGATAATCACGGCTGCTGAGTGACTTGCAGACCTCGAATTGATTGCGCAGGAAAACGAAATCAGCAGATCGTATGGGCTTCAGCAAGGTATGCCTCGAGCAACACCTCGACAGGGTGCATTTGTCTCCTCTTTTCAGCAGCCCGGCGCTCCACACCAAAGGTCTCGTTTCTTTGATGGTGAGCTTCAATTACATCCTTCGGTTCTCCGCCATTGCTTTGATGCTGATGCATACCAGCAAGCCCAAGCTTAACTCCTCTCCACCCGCTGGAGTCTACTCCACCAGATCTGATCTCCGAAATACCGTCCAGTCCGTTGATCATGCTCAAGAAAAGGAAAGAAGAGACTTGGTCAGGAAGGGGTCAGCGAGAACGCCAGCAAGACATGAGCCAGTACTATACCACTCAGTCATCGCCACCGCTACCCTCGCCATCTAAAACTAGATCCGAATTATCCGTTCACGGCCGGAAGTATCAGGGTCCCTCTTCACCTTTTAGCAACATCCCACCCTCTGTCCGAGGGATTGTACTAATATCGAAGGAAGAACTACCCGAGTCGTACAGGCCCCTGTTCCCATTCCCGTTGTTCAACGCCATTCAATCAAAATGTTTTCAGTCGATTTACGGTACGAACGACAACCTTGTCCTGTCTGCACCAACCGGGAGCGGGAAGACCGTCGTCATGGAGCTGGCAATCTGCCGACTTCTCAATGTTCTGAAAGACGAGCATTTCAAAGTCGTCTACCAAGCACCTACCAAATCCCTGTGTGCTGAAAGATTCCGTGATTGGAACACCAAGTTTTCGTCCTTGAACCTCAAATGCGCCGAACTCACTGGTGACACGGACCACGCCCAACTGCGAAGTGTTCAAACCAGCCAGATAATCATCACGACACCTGAGAAGTGGGACAGTATCACCCGAAAGTGGAAGGACCACGGGCGATTGATGCAGCTGGTCAAGCTATTTCTTATCGACGAGGTCCACATCCTCAAGGAAAGCCGCGGTGCTACACTTGAGGCAGTTGTGTCGCGAATGAAAAACGTCGGATCAAATGTCCGCTTTGTGGCTCTCAGTGCTACTGTGCCAAACTCGGATGACATCGCTACCTGGCTAGGCAAGGACGCCACAAATCAACATGTCCCTGCGCCCAGGGAGCACTTTGGTGAGGATTTTCGTCCAGTCAAGCTGCAGAAATTTGTGTATGGATATCAGTCCAACGCAAACGACTTTGCATTTGACAAAGTCTGCGGCTCCAAGTTGGTCTTCTCCTGCATACCTCATGAGTTGGTATAGTGTGGCTAATTTACATGTTATAGACTTCCTGATGTCATCGGAATGCATTCGTGCCAGAAACCTATCATGATCTTCTGTTGTACTCGGAACTCCGCAGCCACCACAGCCAAAGACCTCGCTCGTCTATGGAACATAACGAACCCACCTTCTAGGCACTGGAAAGGACCTGGCAGGCGGATTGAGGTGCACAATGAAGATTTGAAGAGTATGCAACTTTCCTTTCGACAATATATACAGCTCTGTTAACAAGATGCAGCAACAATGTCCGCAGGAGTAGCATTTCACCATGCCGGACTCAGTGCCGGTGACAGACTTGCAATTGAAAAAGGATTCCTGGATGGACACATCAATGTCATATGCTGCACTTCGACTCTTGCGGTCGGCGTCAACCTGCCTTGTCAACTGGTCATCATCAAAAATACGGTGGGATGGCAAGAAGGTGGCTGCAAAGAATACTCCGACCTCGAGATGATGCAAATGCTCGGCCGCGCTGGCCGACCACAATTCGACGACAGCGCAACAGCGGTCATCCTAACCAGAAAGGAACGAGTAGTCCACTACGAGAAGCTCGTTTCAGGCTCCGAGAGTCTCGAAAGCTGCTTGCATCTGAATCTCATTGACCATCTGAATGCTGAAATTGGCCTTAGTAATGTGACGGATGTGGAATCGGCCACAAAATGGCTTGCAGGAACTTTCTTACTGGTTCGGCTCCGTCGAAACCCAACTTATTACAAGCTCAAACAAGGTGCGAGCCAGGAAGATGAAGATGAGCTTCTGCGCCAGATTTCCGAAAGAGACATCAAGCTTCTTCGGGAGTGCGGTCTTGTTGAGAGTGAAAGTCTCCGGTCGACTCAGTTTGGTGATGCCATGGCGCGGTATTACATCCGGTTTGAGACCATGAAGATTCTGCTCTCATTGAAGCAACAGGCGACGATATCCCAAATTGTGAGTGAACTTGCATATTGATTGTGTAGGACTTGGCTAACAATATCAGCTCGACGCGATCGTTCAAGCCGAGGAGTTCCGCGAGATTCGTCTCAAAGCTGGCGAAAAGTCACTATATCGCGAAATTAACCGTGATTCCGGTATTCGCTACCCCATCAAGGTCGACATAGCCTTGCCCGCGCACAAGATCTCGCTTCTTTTACAGTCAGAATTAGGAGCAATCGACTTCCCTGGGAATGACCAATTCCAGAAACACAAATTCTCCTTCCAGCAGGACAAAACCATGGTATTTAATCATGTGAACCGGCTGATCCGCTGTGTCATTGACTGCATGATTGCACGCGAGAATTCAGTTGGAATTCTGAACTCTCTGGAGCTAGCACGCAGCTTTGGAGCCAGAGTCTGGGACCGGTCACCGCTTCAAATGAAACAGATTGAGCAGATCGGAGTAGTTTCTGTTCGCAAACTGGCCACTGCGGGGATTGCGGATATTGAAGCCCTGGAAAATACCGAACCTCATCAGATAGAGATTATTCTCAGCAAGAATCCCCCATTCGGAATGAAGTTGTTGGCTCGACTGAAGGAGTTCCCCAAACTGCGCGTGGCCGTGAAGATGGTCGGAAAGGCAAGCTATCATGGCTCGAGGTGGTTAGAGCTACCTGCTAAAGGTCAAATTAGGAGACGAAACCTGAAAGTGTCAAAGTTCGCCTCAAGATTGAGGTCGCCTTCATGAATGACAAGATCCCGGTGTTCTACCAGCGGCGACCAGTCTATGTTTGCTGTTTGACGGAATCATCAGATGGTCGATTGATCGACTTTAGGCGCATGAGGTGAGTCTCCATCCATCATTTTCATCACTTGAGATGCTAAAAGATATTCAGCGCAAGCAAGCTCCAGGATGGGCTGGATGTCACTCTCCTGGCAGAGCTGAATAGTGCAGATGATTACATTATCTGCCACGCCATGTGCGATGATATCGGTGAGCTATCTATTGTTGTTAGATGGATTATACTCATCACTTTGTAGCTGGTACTGCAAGACAGGCTGAGGTTCATCCTGATGTTCCATCTCACCTTTTTCCGGCCAAGCCGAAGGAGGCAAAGAATACGGGCAATGTGCAGAAGCTCCCAGAAGATATTACCCAGGTACAGAGCCAGAAGCTGTTTGAAAACAATCACAAGAACCGAAAAGAGTTTGACGATTTCGATGGAGATGATTTGCAACTCGATGACTTCCTGACCGCAGCCCAGCGTCGGGAAAGAGCAAAGAAGTCTCCTAGACCAACAGAATATCAAGTTGATGAAATGGACTGGCTCTCCATTGGCAGCACTCCAAGTCCTCGGCGTCTTCCAGAGACTAGTAAAGCCAAAACTGGCGACTGGATCGCCGGCATGGGTTCGCTGGATGAGGAGGAGTCCGGACCAGTTCGACTTCCGAATGGGAATTGGGCTTGCAACCACAAATGCAAGGATAAGACAAGGTACGAACACAATAAAGATCTTAATAACTGTGCTTATACTAATAGCTGCAAACATTTCTGCTGCCGCGACGGTCTGGAGAAGCCACCCAAGCCCAGCAAATCGCGTACCGTCCCGAATGATAAGTCTCTTGGTCTCAATCAATTGACTCTACCAGCGACCATCAACAAACGAGACGCCCCAGATGATGCACTCAAGAAAGGCCAAGCATCAAAGCCAAAGTCCGTTGCGAAGAGAAAGAGTAGCAATCTGTCGGTAACCAAATCTTCCGTGGCGCAAATCGGGCGTAAATCGTCGTTTCAAGGTCAGCTGCGTACCAAGCCTACCAGCAACAAAAAAGCTCCAACTATCGAGAAGAAGCGACAACAGAGTCCTCTCAGGATTAGCTCCAGTGACTTTGACGATGACAGCTTCACTGATCTACCATCTCCATCGAAGCTTCTGGCAGGCAGTGCGCGCAAATTTGCGCAGTCACCTTCGTCGAAGACGGGAGCAACTCAGCCTGGAGAAACGGACAATGCTTCCATCGGCCCCAGAATACTCTCTACCAAAGGAAATGACGAAGGTGTGATCTTGCATGACCCAATGAGAACAGTCTCTGTCGCACTCGATGATGCGACCGCGGTGCACACAAATCAAAGCATTCGGCATCCTCGTCCTCCCAAGCGCCCATACACTTTCGATATCTGGACTGACGACATCTCTGACGTTGAAAATGATATCTTCACAAACACAAGTATCCTTCTCAACAGCTCCGCTACAACAAGCGCGCCTTTCGCCCTTTCCTCTACAAACACAACCCGCAGTTTGAAGCGCAAGGCCCGTGTTCTCAAAGAGACCCATGGAAACACCCAGGCACAATCCAGCCTCCAGTTATCCCCGGAGACCACTCAAGGATTGAATACCTTAGCAGCACAGGAGTCAATCCCGAGCGAAATTGAAGCTCACACGCCTTCCACGGTGGAAGATGCTCCTACGGGCTGGGAAGATGTCGACAGACTTATGCTGGAGGAATATGGCCGCTTTATTAATTTTACTTAAGCAACAATGGCCTCCATTATTTTTACGAACGAGTACACTTGATCCAAGCAATGTGCTACGGATGGATTATCGAAGGATCTGACGGTGATGGTGTTTTCAGTTATTGACACTGGATATCTTATATGAAGATGGATGCATGTGTTAGTGCCTATAGCATCATATTATACTAGCCTATCTTAGACTTATGCTGGAAATTATCTATTATACAATTGAGTTCTTTAATCGGTGAGTTCTTTAATCGGTGAGTTCTTTAATCGGTGAGTTCTTTAATCGGTGACTTCTTTAATCGGTGAGTTCTTTAATCGGTGACTTCTGTAATCGGTGACTTCTGTAATCGGTGACTTCTGTAATCGGTGACTTCTTTAACCGGTGACTTCTTTAACCGGTGACTTCTTTAACCGGTGACTTCTTTAACCGGTGACTTCTGTAATCGGTGAGTTCTTTAATCGGTGACTTCTGTAATCGGTGAGTTCTTTAATCGGTGAGTTCTTTAACCGGTGAGTTCTTTAACCGGTGACTTCTTTAATCGGTGAGTTCTTTAATCGGTGATCAAGTCCGACAACTCTTCTCTGACGCGCTAACCAGAATGCATGAAACCCAAGCTATAAGTATCATATCCTTGGGGATCTGGGCCTAGCTCCCGGCTCGCCCAACTTTTCTCTCCCACTACTACCGTCCCCCTGCCACCTACTGACAATAATTCAAGGCTCTCCGCATCCATGATTGCAAGAAGATTTCTTCGGATTCCTCATTTATCTAACCAACTTAGCTTTTCCGTCCTCCGCAGTATTCGTTTCCCTGCTCACATCAACCGCCTTTGAGTAGAGAAGAGAAGAGAAGGCGGAGGTGACTATGATACAAAAATGCTCTTATGAGCGCTACTCGCTCTTTTCTCTATGAAGATAGCCTCAGGTAGGCACCGACACCCGCTACCATGATCCCAGTAAAGCAGGCCCCGAAGATAAGCATGTTCCTAATAGCCCGTTCGTGATGAGCTTTCATGGTACGGGAGATTCGTTCTGCCCAAGCTTTTGGTGGATTGCCATCAGGGAATGCTTGCTCCGGAACGCTTTTGCCGAGGAATTTGCAGAGCGGCTCCCAACCGTCCTCCACAGACCACTCAAGCAACCTCTCTTCGGGTAGGCCTAGCCCCTTCACTAAAGCAACATGCTGCTCGTGGACCCATTTGCCATTAGAATGGAAACTTCCGCGAAAGAATCGGGGCATCATCGTGCGACACATCGTTTGTCGGATCCAGAACAGCTCGGCGCTAAACCAACTCTTAAACCAGTCCCAGTCGATTGGATTTTTGTCGAAATAGCCCATAGTTTGCTGCATGCTAGAGTACCAGCTGTCAAGGTCTCGACGAGTGTTGAGAATAACCTTGGCATTCGGGTACGCCGCAATGAGTTCGGGCGCGAATTCTGCCGCCATCAGATCACTGACACCGACGCAGTCACTCAAAATTGTGTCAAAGTCCTCGGCGGTCAGTTTCCTTTGTTGACCAAGGACTGGATCTGTGTTGTACTTCTTCTGCAGAAGGCGGTAAGTACCTTCCAAGGATGACGGAGGAAGAATGGTATCAAAGCCATGATGGGTATGCTCGAATCCTAGTATGTGTAGTGCTTGGCGTAGTGACTCTGTTCCAGACCTAGAGATTCCCACAGCCAGAACCTGCATAGGCTCCTTGCGTTTGTTCAACGTTGGAGGAGGGAGACCGTAGAGGTAATGGATGACTGGGTCAGGGAGGAGGGTCATTTTGGAGGAAGACAGGGGGTAGTCAAATCGATAAATTGTACGGAGTAAGCCACTGTACATTAATATTTGAAAAGCAGTTCAGAACACGTAGCTTTATACCTCAATAAGTCTGATGCGCCAAGAGCGCCCGTGCTGAGCGCATCAAAAGGCCTATATAGGAAAGTGATTTTAGCTGCTGACTGTGTCGCAATGCAGGCAGGGGCAGGGAACAAGCTGTTTTGTTAGGGGCGGGGGAGGCTTTAAAGATGATTTCTATTCGTCATTCTTAATTATTTATGGTAGACGCCCTTTTACGGAAGTGATCAGAACAATTGTGGGAACGTCCATCAAATCCTGAGAGACAATGCGCATATTCAAGTGGACAGGCGATAGCCCCCACTCAATGGCACCGTAGCACAGACCGCGTCCCCAAGAAGCAATTTCAGCAAAGCCCCGTCCCCACGGGACCCCGCAGATCCATCCAGATTTGTTTGGTCCGAGGAGCTAGGATAGCCCTACTCCTAGCCACCCCCTCAGCTGCCCGGGAGACGTCTGGAGTTCCCTCATAGACCGTGAGGCTGACAGGAATAATCACGACTGCGCCACGTCAGGCAGAGCAAGGCAGAGCAAGGCAGTAAGGTAGGGATCAAATAAACCCTTCCTAGCTGCATACTTTGTGATAAGATACATTCTGAATGACATACACGTTAATCAGTCTGTTCACTAATGTATCCGAAAGTCTCTGTGACCCCACAGAAACGACACATTTAAACGACAGGCAAGATGCATGATGACCACACTTCTTCGACAATTCAACTTCAAGATATTCAATCCAGAGAAAGGTTGACTGAGACTCCGGCTACGATTTCTGCTCCTTCCACGTTTGGTACTGAGCCTCATTCAGAAGATGATAGCTTATCCACCCAGCAATGCACCGAGAGCAACTACGAGCCCAAACCGCCGAAACCATCTGTGCCCCTACGACGAACCGTGTATCCTGTGCTCCTCGTTTTACTGTACAGCGGGGCAGCACTTTACGCTTGGGTTATCATCTGCATCCTCACTCATCGCCCCATTGGTGGAATAAGCTACGGACCCGACCAACTCAACAGGACTCTCACACACTCGCCTACAGACATTATTGAGCCCCAGTACCTCAACAAAATCTTTGACAAGAGTGAGAGGTATCTTAGGGCTGCGAGAGTTGTACAGTCTCTTGTATCCGTGGTGACTATCCCTTTAACCTCTGCCGTGTGCTCGCAGGCAGCTGTGGTTTATATCCAGCGGAAGCGATGGAGAAATGGCCCGACCCTCCGGCAAAGCATGGCTCTGGCAGACAAGGGATGGAGCGACATTGACCTCATAAGAAAACTCATTCTCGGGGGTTGGAAGAAGTACAGCTCCCTGCTACTTCTTTTGGGCTTGTTTCTTCATCTTCTAGGTGGGCTCATCATCTAACATTGCTTGCACTAAGTCTTCCTACTTACCATTTCGCTTCTTCCAGGCTTTACAATATCTCCAGTGCAGCAGCTCTTTCTCTCATATAAGTCCATCAAGCGTGTCCGGTCATTTCCCTCTGAACTCGGCCCTATCAACCAAATCTCTGATCTTTTCCCTTCCGGTGACGAAGGTGCCGATGTTGACTTGAGTATAATGAAGCTGAGGTCCAATTTGGCATCGGCCATCAATGATGAGGTTCAAATGAGACTCTGGTCGCGAAATAATGACACCGTTTCTTCAGAAGATCGTGTCGAGAATATCGAGGCTTATTCGCTGGTAGAAACAAAAAGTCAGAACACACTCGCCAATTTAAGCACTATAACAGACCCTTTTTGGGCTGAGCTCCCCTCCAGTACGACGACTGGCTTGCTGCAAGAGTTCGCTCCTCGAATCAATTCGACGGCCAAATGGGAGAACAACTCGGATGCTACGCTTCCCGCGGACTGTCACCCATCGTCTGATGCCTTCTACCTCCACTATATATACCACTATGACGATATATTCGGATACGACATTCAAGTCTGTATGCCAGGCAATGTATCGAAATCGCCGTGGAAGAACCAGAATAATCGACAAGACATTAGCGAAGAGTTGTACCTTTCGATGAACTTTTCAAAGAGTAGTGAATCTTCAGGGCTCGCTCCAGCAAGCGTCAATCCCGGAATGTATTCAAGAAAGCTGACACTCCAATCTACGATGGGCTACTTTGAGCTTCCTAACTACGCGAATGGCGGACTCCCCGGGCCATTAATCGAAGGAGACCCGTCCAACAACAATGCGGAGCCAAATTTGCGGAAGAGAAATACGGACAATGATACAGCATGGAATATACTTAATTCTACCGAAAAGTTCGACATTTCCAGCCCTAAAGGCCCGCTACTTAGCATTGCCTTGGCTTTGTTTGGAGAAGGCTCATTTGTCGATGTACAACATACAACCTTGTCAGCATACGCCAGTTCCAACGTCTCTTATCCTGGTTGTATTGCGTTAATCCCCTTCATTTCACTTCTTCATGAAACCGACGTTTCCAAGGCCCCGGATCTGTTGGATCCCTGTTTAGTGGGAGAGGTCGTCCAGGGTGGTACTAGTGCATATGATCTCACAACAAAAACCATCTCGATGCACTCAATAGTTGCAGCATACTTTTTCCTTTTCTCTGGGGACTACCCTTCGGCGCCACCGGCGAATGTGGTGGAGAATGCGTTTGCGGCATCGGCATTTCTGGCCAACGGTGCAATGATGGCGGATGTGGTCTATCCGAGTCTCTATGTATCATACTCTTTGGGTGTCGATATGCAAATACCGTCAGTATCCCGGGAAGGAATCATCATTGTCTCGGTATTACTAGGTCTCGACTTGTTTTGTCTCTTGGTGATGGCGATCTACAGTGCATGGATTCCTCGCTGGACCAAAACTCTTGACTCCTTTGCGATGCTGCGGATAGGGGCTTCTATACCAGAAAAGGTCCCTTTGCTCGCCACAAATCATGCTGAGTGCATCAAGTCTCTTGATGAAACTCCCGGTTGGATAGGGAACGAAGCTGAAGGCAAGATAGGCCAGCTATGCTTAGGAGGGCAACGGCCACTCAAGAAGACGAAGCGTTATACCGGCTACGACACAGATCAGAAGGCTCAATCATCAGCGACCAGGGAGGCTTCGAGAGCTATCAGGCGAGAGGGCTACTCTTTAGCTCCAGAAGAAAATTCGCAGCATTCAAGCCATTGAATTGGGGGTATGGAAACAACATCATCTCAACTTTAATCCATTATCTCCGTCTCGGGTACAGCCGCTAAACACGATTCATATATTTCCTGGGTATAATTGGTGGCCTGCCGCACACATGGGTAGAGAGGGCAGCTAGTCCAGGTAGCAGCAGATTTGTCATGTCCGGTGTGGATAACAGTCAACCGGTTTCTTTATGCCTGTGACTATAGTAGAACATAACTGGAGAACTCTGTTTTATCGTGATGACTTCCAAGCAAACGGCCTTTGCTTATTTTCTCCTCCGCTCACCGACAGACAGAACTCCATTATATGCTCTAGTAGTAACTAGACGCCAAAATGCTGCCAGATTCTAGTTCTGAGGCTGTGAAATTGTTCGTGTTATGCATACTCAGCCCCGAGACGATCATGGAAAACCTCCATTTACCTAGCCAATTTGGGAAAGATGACATCCTAATATTTCCGGGGGTGTCGAAGGTAGATTTCTAGTCCGAGAGCACTATAGGAACAACTCGGTCCCTCGCATTCGAGAAGATCCCTGCCTAACCTGCCTTAGACGAAATTTTACTGTTCCGTTATGCTTTGACCCTTCGGCTAAGAGGCTTATTCTCAATGGCTGGATCTCAGCCTACCGAATGCGCCTTGTCGCAGGCACCCCCTGGATTTCGCCGTGCCAATCGCCTACACGTTATGACCCCACTGACCTGAGGGGCTGAGCGGTTATAAGGGATTTGCAAGGATGGGAAGCTAAGAGCAGCCAATGTATTGGGCTGAGCTAGCGAAGCCTGACCTTGCACAGCCTGAAGTCCTATAATAGTTTGATTCTAGTTTCTCGCCGCAAATAAAGCACTCACAGCGCAGGCTATTAAGGAATGGTTTGATATGTCTATTAATAAAGTGTAGGGCGAGAGAAATAAGATTGTGGGCCATTCCGTGTCGTGTGCGTCTCGTGGTGAGGCTGTTTATAGGGAAATCTGTTTTCGAATTTAACTATACACTATTTCCGAGAAACTGTATCACCTCGTACACTCTTTCATAATATCTTGAGATTAATCTTTATTAACACTTAGTCATAGCTTACTGGCCGTTGATGATCGCATTCCAATCCGGCAAAAACGGAATCTCCGGCATCAACAGATTCAGAGATGAAGAGACACTTTGGTCAGGATTAGTAATAAATTCGTGATCCCACTCGGGGAGGATGGGTGTCCCATAATCTGCTACTGTCGTGCTGGTGGGCCGCGGGATCTCGGCATCTGGAAGAAGCTGAGAAGTAAAATACCTCCCACTGCTGGACAGCCGAGCCCGGTTATCTGCTGTGGCCGTAGATAGCTGGGCATTCTGTCTCAACGACCAAGCTTGATGTCGAAGCAGTTTCAGAAGCTTCCAAATCCTGCTGTGCCCATGTTCATCATGGATTGCCGCTGGATTACCCTGCTGATTCGTTCCGCAAGGGAAAAGCCCTTCAACCAAAGCCCAGGCACGGTCTGCCTCGGACCCACAAGGGCTGCTATGGAGACAGCGCAGAACGTAGGCCAGGGCGTACCATTGCGTGTACATGTTGAAGAACCATTTGAACCTCCAGGCAAGACCCTCCTTCAACAACACATGACTGCTTTCCAGCCCGTCACAGGCCAACTTGAAAGAAAGCCTGAGCACGTCGGGAGTCGCATCATTTTGCGCCTCGTTTTGTTTTCGCATGCAAATCTCCTCTCGTAGTTGCAACACGAATTCCATTTTCTTACAGGCAGTGGTGACATGTTGAGTTGCAATGCGCGGCAGATCAGTCGGTGTTCCCGACCCGGGAGAAATCCCATATTTAGCTGACAGATATTGGCCAGGGTCTTGAATCATTTTTCGCTTTTCTCTGATATCAAGAAGAGCGTCTGCGAAATGTTGCTGTTGAGTGTCCAGGATCGGATGTATCACCCGACACGACTCAGTTTGGATCAGGAAAAAAGACATTTCTGTCCAACCATTTGACTCCGCTGGAAAGTGTGTCATATCTGGATAGATTTGATCGTCATTCACATTCAAGGGAAGCCGTACTTCTTGGTTCGTGAGATCAACCGTGGGTGGAAACCCCTGATCTTCTGGGGCACGAGAGTCAAGCACACATAGATGCCACCAAAGACGAAGACGCATCTCCGTCTCAAAGGGGCTCAGTTGGAGGGAGGTACCGTCTCGGTGCAGGCAAATCGATTGGGCGAGCCGGATTACTAGCCCAGTGAGGACCCATACTCTGCGGCCAAGTTCATGAGCCCGCAGGCAGGTCTGGAGAAAAGGTGGTCAGTTAGATAAACCAACCAAGTAGGAATACATGATCGGTTATAGGGCCAGCCTCGGTACTCACCACATAAATTGCGAGAGCCTGTAAGCCCGCTATTTCAGGTCGAATCATGAGATCGGGCGTCAAGAGAAGTCGGTCCAGGGCAGTCTGATAGCGTTTCAGAAGGACTGATTTCTCCCACGGTAGGTCAACAGACTCGTCACTATCATCGTGACAAAGGGCCGTGACGGCGGCATAATAGATGGCAAATGTCAACGCCACCGTTGAGGGTTGTGCAGATCTGGGGTCCAGAATCGTTGCCACAACAGTAGACTGCACCGTCGGTATATGCAAGATTTTAAGGACCGGATCGACCGATTTGACGTATACATCCCATAATCGGAGGGCTAGTTGGGTATCAGGATAGAAATCCAATGGCTCGGAGTCCCTGTCTAGAGGAGCACAAGGACCTGGCTGTGGAGGAAGTCTGTTATGCGCTGTTTTATTCACCCGAGGGTGCGAAGGTGCTGTTTCTAAGCCAATAGACTCCTGGTAAATGCATCATACATTAGCTTAGCCGGGTTTGGCATGGTCTCTTTTTAGAGGAAGCAAAATCCGAACAACCATAAGAATAAATCTAGGCTTACATCTTGTAACAATGGCTCGATATCAGAGTTGTTCAATAATATCTCCCATGTTGATTTGTTTGGGGGTTTATCGGATGGATGCTGACGAGCCGTTTCAACTGCATTGACATTTGCACGAGGTCGAGCCTGGATTTGAATTTCGGACTCGGCGCGACCGCGATCGCCACCATCATCGACTGCGGATATCGTAGGGACTTCGCTACTCTCAGCAAGTGGTGAGAGCAAAGCTTCCAGTCGTTTTAGACAGTTGGAGATGTCTCGGAGAGAAGGAGTTTTCCGTGCCCCGTCTGGGTCCCTTGTAGGGTACACGCAGGTCAAACCATGCCTCGAACAATTGCTGCACGGCACTCCACGGTCACAGCGGACCTTTCGCTGATGGCAGCCTTCACAGGACCGCGCCCCTAGTCTGTAATTCCGTGGGACCGATTTCCGGGATGGGCGTTCCGTAACATCGTCATCGGCGAAGGAGGCAGACCTTTTTGGTGCGTTAGCCATGGTGATTGATGTTTGATACTACACAGTGCTCATAATCCGGAGGAAAAAGGAGTTTGATTCTCGCAAGACAATGTTGGGAGACCATGCTGGCAGGCTCCTCGGCTTCTCGGAACCGAGGGGTCCGAAACGGTATTAATGGTGGTCAAGGTTGGCATTGCATCCGCCATTACGTGCTGCACCCGAGACCTGTCCACTCCCCGCAACCCAGACACAAGGACCAGCCGACCGGGGTCTCGACCGCCCATCATGGCGCTCTCTGCCTTACATTGAATGTTGTGGCGGATCAGGACTAGCGGCATCTGCGACTAGCTCCTCGGCTTATCGGGACCGGGAGGTCCGAACTGGTATTCAATGAGATCTCGTGGGCCAGGTAGATCCTCGTGATGGGTCGGTTCAGTCGCATTGTCTCGGCCTCACTGTGTCTTGACCACCGAGGAGCCGATCTTTGGTGTAAACTACGAGCGGCTGGGCTGGCTTGAGCGAACGAGCCCCATGTTCCGAGATGCCGACTGGCGCATGTCACCTTGGAGGGCCGGCATTTATAAGTCCTCCGTTGCGCCGTTGTCGTCGTCCAGCACAGGACGAGATTCTGCTGCGCGTAAATAACTTGATATCGACACCGTTGTTCGAAGCACGAGGCTCTTGATCGACATCGCCATGGAGAAGAAGAATCCTGACGTTGCCTTTGCACCAGGCACAGACTCCACGGCCGGTCTGAAACACGAAGCGCAGCCTGGATTCAAAGAGACCACCGTGCCTGTGGTGCGTTTCTGGATCCTTAGCGTCGGGTAAGTCTACCCTAGATATTCAAACACCCACGAGACAAACTACTCAACGTCTTCAAATATCCTCTTCAGAGTCTGTCTTGGGCTCTTCCTCTCCATAATCGATACTTCCATTGTCGCCACTAGCATCTACAGCATCGGCGTCGAGTTCCAAGACATCCGCCGCGTCAACTGGGTCGCCCTGGCCTACGCGCTTGCCTATCTCGGCTGCGCTGTGACCTTTACTCGCGTCTCCGATGTGGTGGGCAGGCGGAACGCCTTTGTCGCTGCCTATATTGTCTTTTTCGCTTTTTCCCTGGGATGTGGTTTTGCGCAGAGCCTGGACCAGCTCATCGCTTGCCGGGTTCTGCAGGGGATAGGCGGCTCTGGTAGGCGATGGCTCATTTTCTGAGGCCGTGGCCGTGCTGATTTTGACCAGGTCTTTACTCTCTTTCCATGATAATTTTGCCCGAGCTCTGCCCCGATAATCTTCGGCAATATATCGGCAGCGTAATCGGCCTAGTCCTCGCCGCGTCGGGGGCCCTTGGGCCTGTTCTGGGAGGCATCTTGACGCACTACGCCACCTGGAGATGGGTCTTTTGGATAAAGTATGTTTCCGACCATGCTCCCTCATTTGCAGCATCGACATGTCATTGACGCTTCATAGTGGGCCTATTGGTTTCGTCTCCTTGATCATCTTCTTTCTCTCCTGGCCGAAAGCCGAGCATCTGCCTTCAACGACAAGACGATCTTGGAAAGAATTTGACTATGTCGGCTCCTTTCTTATCATTGCCGCGGCTGTTCTGGTCGTCTTCTCCTTCCAGAATGCGGGTGACTCTCCAGGCGTGACGTGGGGCACCGCCGTCTTCATCGCGCCCTTGACCGTCGGCCTTGCCCTCTGGCTGGCCCTCATAGCTTGGGGATACTTGGCCGGACGTGTCTTTGAGGGTCGCCTCGCTTCCACCTTTCCCATCGGCCTCTTCCGCAACAGAGCATACGTGGCCGCTGCGATATCTACGTTGTTCCTTGGTTACCCTTATTTCATGATCATCTACGCTTTTCCGCTCAGGGCCCAGGTCGTGGCCGACAAAAGCCCGTTGTTGGCTGGTATCATGCTGCTCCCCATGGTGGGCTCCACGGCTGAGGGAAGCATTCTCGCGGGAGCCATAAGCAAAACCAAGAATTATCTTTTCGAGACGATGCTCGTTGGTACTTGCTTGATGACTCTTGGGGTCGGACTACTTACTATCGTTCACGACTCCGGCGACGATGCCAAGGCACTCGGTTTCATTGTCTTTGTTGGTCTTGGGTTTGGATTAAACGTCGCATCCGCAACGATGCTCACGACGTTCGAAGTACCCATCATAGACTATGGTAAGTTTCACCGACGCCCTCCTAAATCTGTCAAACTATCCCGGGCTAATCAAACGTAGCACCCGCACAGGGCATTATAGCACAACTGAGAATCCTCGGGGGCAGCCTGGGCATCTCCACCTCAACCGTCTTCCTGAACACCAAAACCAGCGAACTGCTCTCGGGGCTTCTGACGCCACAGGAACAAGCTACACTCGGTTATGGCAGAGCGACGCTTTCGTCAGAGCAGCGCAGTGCAGTGCACCGAGCCTTCTCGGAAGCTTTTCACAATGACATGGTGGTTGCAGCGGCGGTATCAGGGGCGGCCGTCTTGGTTGTCCTCGTCGCATATCGTCGCGAGCGGATGCTTGTGACGGATCAGAAGAAGGCCCGGGTCCTAGAGGAGATAGCGCGCAGATCGGGACAGTAGAAAGCTTCTGGGAGTGATTCGGCGTTGCGGACATGATCGCATGGGTCTATTGCTATACGGGATAATTCCGCTAGTGTTGTAGAAGTCCCTCAAAAAAATCTTTAAAGAACAAAGCATCTGTCGAGCCTTGGAAGACACGGGAGAGTAGGATCCCATCTTGTGTATATACAGGGAGAATTTGATACGGTTAACCGCGATCGACTTTCGACACTTACACAGATGTCGTACCAAGAGGAGGCCTACTAGTTCATTTGTAGAAATATCTGAAGGGACAAGGGCTTGAAATGTACAAACTTTCCCATCTCCACGGGCCTCTTGCGCTAGATCAACCTACCGCAGTTTCTGAATTTCCGAATATCGAGAATAATACATATCCCAGAGAATAGAATCAGTCATATAGACGAATAACACCTCTACACCACGGTAGCGCACATTCATCCAACCCACATTATGTTCGGTACACCCCTCCAGTGGCTCCTCCTCTAGATCGGCTCCATTGCGTTCCCTAAACTCATCCTTATCTAGCTCCTCCGGCTCCCATCCCACTTGAACTAGACGAACAAATCCCTTGTCCTCGTCATCATCAGGGGTGCTTAATACCGATTCTAAGGCCTCTTGGTCCACCATGACGAAAAACTGGTACCGGCTGGCCCGTCCACGGTTACCGTTCTAGACACCCTGTTCCTCTCGTAGTGCCGTCGTCGCCCACTGATTGAAGTGGTCGCGGAGAACGGCAACTGTCCTGCCCTCAAAGGAGCGGTCTTCTTAAGACCGTTGGAGCAAATTTGTCGAGGAGGTCTAGACCATTATAATACTCGAGAAATTTCGGAACGGGACGGAGGAAGCATCTGCCCTAAATAACTTTCAGGCGTGTCCTAAATAGGTAAAGTGTGTCTTATGCGGCTCTTTCCAGATTTCCCTTCCTCCGCTTCTTTTCGTGCAAATCGAGATGCATTTCCTTGCCGCCGGACCAGACCGAAATGATATCTTCCACCGATAAAGAATGGCTGGAGAAATGCCAACCCGAAGCTCTGCCTGTCCCACCGTTTGATCGATATGTCTATATGCTTGAAGGTTATGTCGTGAAGAAAAGTCTCAAGCCTGGTGAGCTTGGCTTTCATGGTTACCAGCCTGACACCTCTACAATCTCACAGCGTGATGAAAATGAATTACGAACCCTGGAAGTTGTTCGTCAGTCACGAATATTCCAGTACCAAATCTCGTATACCAAGGGAACGGGTAAGTAGCGATTTAACACCGTTTGCAAAATATAACTAATGAGTGTAGGTTCAATGTGTTTGAGCGAATCCCAGGTATAACAATACTTGAAGGTTCTGTATGAAATAAAATTTCCCCTCGCCAACAAGAAGGCATCAGGCTCCAAGTACAGAATTATATCAAGGAGCTTGCGAATGTCCCCAATGACGCTGGAGGCGTGCGATCCTTAAGTGCTTCTGGAGAAATTATTCACAATCAGCTTCCTCGCCGTGGACCTTTCGTGTCCACAAAGGATTTTCTCCGGTCATACGAACACGAGGATGTACCTCTCATCCATCAAATCAATCCTTTCAGCCCTACCAATTTTGTCACATATGGATTGGGATCTCTCAAACATTGTACTGCATCCAAATCTGGATGCAGTTGCTGGGGTTATTGATTGGGAAAGAGCAGCTTTCTTTCCAGAGGGCGGGAGAAGTATTCATCGCATGTGCCATCAGTGGCGTGGATGGGAGGCCCTATTTGATGGTATTCAATTTCCAGTAGAAAGTTGAGCAAACGCCCTCAAGCTTATATCCTAATTACAGTAGCAGGCCCCGCTGGAAAAACCAGGAAATTTCAAAAACTATGTCAATAACTTACTGTCCTCCGTTTTGGGCGGGGCAGGCCTACATCTGTCCTGCCTCCCGGTCATAGTCCTTCCATCTCACCAACCCTCTCTTAACAAACATTTCCCTTTTTTCACTTTTTGATGAACACTAGATGAAAATTTCCTGTTCAATCAAGCTAATCAACAGATGTTGAAATATTGAGTCAAATATCGTATTTGCTATGGTGTTTAGGTGGGCGGCTCGGTAGTGAATTACATTATCATGCTAAACAACCGCAGTAGTCTTCCCATCTGGCCAGAATGAATTTACCCTACCTCTCTGCAACAAAAGTCTAACCTAAATCCAATCATGTCTTTCTACCCAGAAGGCTGGACGCAGACTTTCAGTCGAGCCCTTTCCTTTTTTTTTCCATCTATTTATCGGGAAGCTGCTGCACCCAGGCCCTGCTTTATTATTCACTTCTTTGGGTTTCTTTGACCTTTCCTTCGCTGTCATACGCAGGTTGGTGGGCAAAGTAAAGATTCCATAATGTACAATGCGGCAGATTTTTCAACCAACCAGCATCAATGGTGTACCGGTAACATTAGCGCCTTCCATTCTATGATAGCGCTAGCACGGGGTTCGACTCCCCGTTGATGCATTCTTTTTTCGCTATCTTTTTATAATTCTAATTTTCAATCACCAAGGTTCCCCACCATAGCCTATCCAATTTGTCTTTTTTTTTAAAAGCCGCCAGCTAGGCTTGAATTTTGATGGGTCTTTCACTTTTGATGTGCTAATAATATCTCCCGATATCATATACCATGATCAATATTCTATACGCGCTCTTAAATAATGTTTACTTATCCGGGTTTTCGGGTGTTAATTGGTATTAGCGTGCTAACATCGAATAAATAAAAAAGCGACTAGACAGGATGAAAATTGGGACGAGAAAAAGTACCATCTCGAGTATATACTGGCAGTGTTTGATAGCCTTGGTTCCGATGAAATTTAGATACCTGCACTGGTGTCACACCTAGTGGTGACCAACCAGTCCGCCTATGTCCCACCCTTGTATCACATCCGGATTATTAATGAAAATAAAAGTGTACGAAGGAAACTCAGGCAATTTGTGTTTATGGAAATCTCGTAGTTGAGGGTTCTGTTCTTTGGCTTTCTGCTGGGCTATTTTTTGGTCCAGCCAGCAATGTTCTATCACAGTAGAGTCGCTTTAAGAATAAGAATATCCATCCTGTTCCAGGTCGGGCCCTTGATCATCACCTTTCCTTGCCTGGGTGGATCACTCTTCTTTTCAATTCGACTTAAATTCTGTTAGCAAAGAAAGATGCCACTATCTTGTATTTACCTATTCAGCTAACCTTACTCTTTGTCTTTTTTCCTTATACTCTGTCACGGTCTTATGGGGTGCAATTTTTACCGATCTGCCTAGAAGATTAGTTAGCTTGCCATCTCGGTAGGATATGTCAATTATCTGGCATTTGCCCCACATTTGTATCGCTTCCCGACCGATAAGATCATTTTTTAGGAGCCTCAGCGCGTCCCGTGGTTGGTCGCTGACAGCCTATGAGCAGAGGAAGGGGCCAGTAAACGTAAAGGGTCGAGCTGAGGTGCACATATGTCCAGTTTAATGCAAGGACTTCGAAATCAACCATTTACAATGAAGAGGTTGGGTTGAATACAATTTAATGATTGAAATGATAATTTAAAAAAGATAGCGAAAAAAGAATGCATCAACGGGGAGTCGAACCCCGTGCTAGCGCTATCATAGAATGGAAGGCGCTAATGTTACCGGTACACCATTGATGCTGTCAGTGGCAAGAATTACCCAATTTTGACCTGAGACATGCATTCCGAATGGCAGAAAATGTACATTGCTTACCAAAAGTCTGGCTTCCTCGGCACTGAAAGACAAGTTATTCCTTTGAGGCATAACATCAGAACTAAGATGTTCTAGACTACCTGCTTGTTGCTTCATCTGAAACGAAGAGTAAGTCCTTGCTCTTCTTATATTACACCTCCTATCCATGTCCTCCTTACAAGGTCAAGAAACGTGATAAATCCCACTTGACAGCGTAGGCACATTCACCTTTTCTTTTTGAATTGGGATGGACTCGATTATCGGATGACTGACTGAAATTGGATGTCGTGGTTGGTAGGTAGGCTGTTCATCTATATATGCATTCCTTGCACGCCTACAGTGGCGGTGTATCTGCTAAGATAGTGGCCATCCTCCTATGCTCCCAGTTAAATCTCCATATGACCAAAAATAATAAGGAGAGAAAATTACGCAGCAGAGTACCGAGTACCTTGGAGTCGCATTTGCTCCACCAGAGTCCTAATACCTTGCACTTCTTGGTCACTCAACTGAACCAGCGCAGAGGCCGCATTTTCGTACGTCCTTGTGGTCGACTTTGTACCCGGAGTAGGGATGATATCCGGTCCTTGCGCCAGCAGCCACGCAAGAGTGACCTGTGCAGGGGTGCTTCCATGGGCACAGGCCACGTTTTTCAATCCATGCACCACCGCCAAGATCTTAGGGAAGTTATCCTTAGAGAACTTCGGCAACATACGGCGCAAGTCGCCCTTAGAAATGTCTGCATGAGATTGGAACACGCCCGCGTAGAACACCGCGTCCAATAGGGCTGAATGCCACGACAGTCGCACCCAGCTCGCGGCATGTTTTCAGAATCTCCGAGGTGGATGATTTGATGTCTAGTGTAAATAGGCTATATTCCATCTGCAGAGCGGCAATGCGGTGGACGGCATGCGCACGACGCAGCGTGACTGCTGAGACCTCCGACAGACCGAGATACCGGATCTTTCCTTGACTGTAACCACGGGAGGTTAGAGATCATTTGCTTTGAATGTTATTTGAATGTTATTTGCAGATTTTTACTTCTTCAGCTCCACCAGGGCTTCGACGGTCTTTTCAATTGGCCTGACCCCATCCACCCAATGGCAGTAGTAAAGGTCAATGGTGTCCACCCCGAGTCTGTGGAGGCTCTTTTCACATGCAGCCTTCACGTACTCAGGATCAGACCAAAATTTGTGCATTCCATTAGGCTGGCGCTGGAGCGCAAACTTAGTGGCTAGGAAAACGTCATCGCGCTTGCCAGATCGTTTAATCCATTCACGACAACAACCTCGCTGTCAGCATAAACGTCGGCCATGTCCCAAAAACGCAGTCCGGTGGCAAGTGCATGTTCTAGAACGGCCAATTTCTCATCGAAGGTCCCAGCTGGTCCGTAGAATCCGCCGAGGCTTCCGAAACCGAAACCGACGGCACTGACTTTGGGGCCATCTCGGCCGAGGACTCGGAGGGGAAGAGGCATTTAAGCCGAGAGGCGTTGAAAGAGATAAGTGCAGAGGAGATAGCTTGTGCTAGTTAGAGCAATACAGATGATAATTAGAATATAAATGGGTTTCGAATGCCGACTATCATACTAGCTATCGCCTGTCATGAGCTATATCCGCTCGGCTCCCCGACAATCGCCCCTTTAGGAAAGGATAATCTACCGACCGATAGCCCCCGCGATAAAAGTAGCTTAGCATATGTTAGTTGATATTTCAATTTCTTGATTGATGTTCTCGAAATATAACTAGAAAGATATTGATTTTCTCCTTTCGTTTGATGTCCTTGACCGTAGCAACAAAATTGTGATGTTGGTTTGGAATACCGGATATATACTTTGGGCGACTTTGTATGACCAGAATTTGCGCCAGGTCCCCCCTGCGCCGTGCTTCGATGCTGCAACAGAGCATGAAACAAACACGCTCTTTATGATCTTCGGTAGTGATTTGGTTATTAGTGAAGATTCAGAACGAAAGATTCCAGTCCTGTAAAGACAGAAGTCAAGAGATTGAAGAACAATATGATTACTAAGCTATGCTTGACGCCAGTGGGCAGATTAGCACTCTAGCCGAGCCAGACGTGAAACGGCGAACAGACCGTAGTCGGGGCAGGTAGGAATGTTAGCGCGGTACTTCCACCCCTGTCTCTTGCGCATCCACCCTTTTCACCTACGCTAAAGCGGCATCCACCTACTTTCACCCCGTCTTTCTCCCTTGAAACACTATATATTTTATTATCTTCATAAGTTCAGTACATACGACCATAGGGTGTGGAGAACAGGGCTTCCCGTCCGCTCAGCCGTACTTAAGCCACACGCCGGCAGGTTAGTAGTTGGGTGGGTGACCACCAGCGAATCCCTGCTGTTGTATGTTTTTGTTTTCATTTTTTCTCTTTGTTCTATTGGGAGAGATTCGGAGGTCTAGATTTTCCTTAATATCTTGCAGAGGCCAAAAGTATCGAGGTTACAGTGAACCCTAACTAAACCTTGGCTTCTTCTTAAAGGTCAAGGGAAACTTTTATGACGACGGGAAGGGGCCAGGATCAGACGAATATCCATATTTGTGAATAAGGTTCAGCTTAGAGAGTAGTTTCTGTGAGCATTTGTTCAAGTCTTCCGGTTTGTATTATTTTCAACGAACCGTCGGTACTGTCAAAACTACCCTCAATTGGTGGTTTCAACTATGTCGCGGGCTTGTGTATGGCCTTAAACCCCGATCGGAACAACCCCTGAACGGCGTGATAAGTTATCAATGTCGGCTGACCCACTAAACATGCATCCACGTGCTAGACTACCGTGGCCACCCTTTCTAGACATATTTCTAGAAGACCATGGATTTCTTCGGCCCTTCTAGACGGAACTCCTATGGTATTCCGACGGGAGGCGTTCGGGGGGGTGTATGATCCCATTTCACAGCTATCAGTAGACCATTGTAGCTATGATCAGCAGGTATAGGTGAGAATTCGTGTTTGGGAAGGGGCAGAGTATTGGATAACACCCCTGTTCTTCAAGGATCGGACCCCGGCTTAGATTGTTCGGCAATAAGCAAACGAGACTCGTTTAGATCTCCGCGAATGGTTACTGGCACTGTGGATCGCGTTATCACCGGAATACCGTCGGTATTTCTTTAGCCCTCTCTGTTTCCCGGACTCTCGATCACCTGGATGGCATTGAATCTCAAACGGGAGCGCCACTATGCCGATCAGACTCTAGACTTGGACCCTTGTTCCTCCGATTGGGCCGCTTCCCCGCTTCCCAGGAGACTAGCTTGCCAGCCATCACGCACGATGTCACCTCTATTGCAATCTTTGGATTCTGCAGGTTTGTCATAGAGATAACGAAAGATAGTCCTGAAGCTTGATTCGATATTTCTCCACTTTTTCGCGATTTCTTTCAGCACGGATCTCGCTGGTATCCACCAAATTCGGCAATGCGCTAGATCGAAGTATTCTTCCTCCTGCCTTGATCCCTATATGCTCTGCGGAAGGGCATCTCCATGTGACTCTTCTTACCTGGTAGCCAGTCCATCCAAAGCCACCTTCAAGTCCAAGCGCTTTTAATCTCCGTAGTTTGCAGATCAACACTTGAGATTCCCTAGAATGGAAACAACCTGTTCTCAATTCACCAGATGATGTGATAGGGACTATATTGCATCCTGTTCATTGCCTAAATCCTCCGAATATGGCGAAGCATGCAAAAACAAGTATAAATAGCCCGTCGTTGCCGGGCTTCTTCTGGTTTCTCACTTCATTCAGCATCATCTTCCCCCTTCTCTTCTCTGAACAGTGGTTCTTCAAGCCTTCATCATGGTTTTCATTAACAACGTTGCCATTGGCCTCGCTGGTCTGGCCTCAATTGCTTCGGCTGCACCCGCAAACAAGGCGACTAGCAAATTCTCACTCCACCAGGTTGCTCGTCCGGCTACTAAGACCGCCAACTTTGCCGCCAGCTACGGCCATGCTCTCGCAAAGTATGGTGCCAACGTGCCTTCGCAAGTTAAGGCGGCCGCTGTAGCTAGTGGTGTTGCTACTACTACACCCGAAGCCAATGACGAGGAGTATTTGACTCCCGTCTCCATTGGAGGCACTACCCTGAATCTGGACATCGACACCGGCTCAGCCGATCTGTGAGTTGGCACTTATCTCCAAATTATCGAGCCAGGCTAATTTGTTCAAAGCTGGGTCTTCTCCACTGAGCTCCCAGCTTCCGAGCAGTCTGGCCACGCCGTTTATAACCCTAGCGAGAGCGGGACCAAGATGGATGGCTATACTTGGGATATCTCGTACGGTGACGGTAGCAGTGCTAGTGGGAACGTCTACACGGACACCGTCACTGTCGGTGGTGTTACTTATTCCCAACAAGCCGTCGAGGCTGCCAAAAAGATCAGTGCTGAGTTCCAGGAGGATACGGCCAATGACGGTCTGATGGGCCTAGCTTTCAGCAGTATCAACACTGTTTCGCCCGTGCCCCAAAATACATTCTTTGCTAACGTCCAGAGCTCACTGGCTCAGCCCTTGTTTGCTGCTGCGTTGAAGCATGGAGAGCCCGGTGTCTATGATTTCGGTTTCACCGACTCTTCAAAGTACACCGGCTCCATCGTGTACACCGATGTTGACAACTCGCAAGGATTCTGGGGCTTCAGCGTGGATAGCTACACCGCTGGCAGCAGCTCGGGCGATGGTTTCGCTGGTATTGCTGACACTGGCACCACTTTGCTGCTACTCGATGATTCAATTGTCTCCGATTACTACTCGCAAGTCAGCGGTGCTCAAAACGACAACAATGCTGGTGGGTACGTCTTTGACTGCTCTGCCGACCTTCCCGATTTCAGTGTCTCCATCAACGGCTACTCTGCCACAGTGCCTGGCACCCTGATGAACTACGGCCCCTCTGGTGATGGTTCCTCCTGCCTTGGTGGTCTCCAGTCTAACGATGGCATTGGCTTTTCTATCTTCGGTGATATCTTCCTGAAGAGCCAGTACGTCGTGTTCGACGCCAGTGGTCCCCAGATTGGCTTTGCTGCCCAGTCCTAAGTTGATGCACCTGAGACATGCAGCGGCCAGAAAAGTGATTGCTCACTGGGCACAACAAATCGACTTGGACCTGAACATATGCACCTGGATATAAATATTACCTTGGTATGAAATTCGCCACTTATTGTGCTCAGCTTTGGAAATAGTTTTTGGTCAAATGAATATATTTTGCATATGACATCCGGTCAGAAGTAGTACAGGACGAAGTCCATTTTGCTGGCTACACCTGAGCATTTCAAAGTAGGCATTGAACAGATTAAAAGGGTAAAAGCCAGGAATTTTCGCTATATCAAACATCTTTTCTCGTACGGGGCAGCAATAGCTCCAAATAAATTACAAAGAATCAAAGACCCTATGAAACCAATTTCACCGGACATAATAATGAGTGCTTTCAAACCTGCTTTCAACTTCAATCTCCTGGGTCTGGACCAGAACCTCATCCTGCTTCGTCACGATAGTGGAATGACGGGGCTTCACCACAACTGAAGGCTGATAGCCACACTCTAGGACTGTTTTCAGGGCAGGTGCAACTGGCTTGGCCTCCTTTTCCGTGGGCGGGACGATAGGACGGCGAATACCCTCGAAGCCGGATTCGTTGTCCTTCTCCAACCGGTCGACATAAGCAAATGCTGAAGCTCCCATGATGGCCAATCGCTCGTAAGAGTCTGCCCCGCCCATCTTCCATTCCTCAACAAAGCGCGAAGAGCTGCCAATTCTGTACTCGAAATACGGCTTTCCATTGCTGTCCAATCTCGGCTTGCCATTCTGGTCGACGGCCGGACGGCGGACATACAGGTGGTCGAACTCTTTGCCGATGGGGTGATACAACGGGTGCCCGGGCTTTTCAGCGTTCAAGACCTCGAATTGCTCGCGTCTGTAATTCACAATAGGGTGGATAAACTCGTGAGTGTTGCCGTAAGTCACGGTTTTTCCCTTCCTCTTTTCCTCAACACCTTTGCCGGGTGCGCGATTGGCCTGTCCATTGGCCCAGTACATCTTGGTATAGCTGTTTATCATTTCTCCCAGGCCCCACTGATAAACACGACGTTTATCGAAAGCAGGCTTGGGCACGTCGGTGCTGGGAGTGAACGGGTGCACGATGCTCGAAGCCGTTGAAATTGCAACACGCGAGCCCCACTCGCCCCAGGATTCGTTCGCGCGAGCTGTAGTCTGAGCTTCCCAACTCTGAAGCTCCTTGTTGTACTTGGCAAAGTTTGCTTCACGATCAACATAATCCTTTATAATGAGGTCTTCATTGATTGAAAGGTGCGGCTTGATCTGATCAAGCATCCAGGAGAAGGCGATATTCGACATCTCCTCCATGTCACCTTCATTGTGGAGAGTATCGCTAGAGCCTCCACCAATGTTGACGTGATAGCCGGGGAACCAGACTTGCTTCAACTCTGGGTGCTGCTCCAGTCGGTTCTGGTACTTGACGCGTTTACGCTGAGCTCTGTTCCATTCTTTAGCGGCCACGTTGGCGTCGTGACAGGCCTGGTTGACGCGCTCATTGGGTGCGTTGGCCGCTTTGAGTGATTTTGCGTAGTCCAATTTCTGGTTGTATTCGTCTTTAGCCGCTTTCTCGGCGTCGAGCTTGCTTTGCACATCGCCTTTGGAGACTCTCAGAGTCGGGATATAGAATAGAGTTGGTGTGAATGCCCTGCGCGATTCGTCAAGTGACAGAGCGTGATAGGCGTGTTTGATGTCTACGGATCGCCCAAATTAGCATCATTCTTGCATATTTCATGACAGAAAGTGAACTTACTGGCCGAAAGTTCTGTGTTTTCCCAACCGCCCTGACCAGTCCAGAACAGAAGCTTCTGGGGCACTTTGACACCGAAGACTTCGGGCATTCCCAAAGCAGCGACGGTGTCATAGACGCCCACAACCTCCACCTCTTTTGTCTCGTCCGGAGACCATTGACCCTGCGCCTCCTGGGTCCACCGAAGCTCCGTCTCGTTCGGACCTCCCGCACCTTGGTTTTCATCCAGCTTCCCCCAAATCCATTCATACCAAGCATCACTGCGGTGGAACCGCTTTCCAGGATGACCCTTGCCGTGTTGCTTGTATACTTTCCACAGGTCGGGGAACTTGTTCAGGTTGCCTTGGTCGCAAATTCCAATATCGGAGATCAGACCAGCGATAGTACGAGCAGTAAAAGCTCCACGGGAGAATCCAAAACACATGATCTTGTCGCCGGGGTTATAGTTGAGCACGCAGAAGTTGTATGCCTCGATGACGTTGCCTTCGACACCTTCGCCGAAGGCTCCTTCGACTGCATCGCCCAGTGCGAGCGCGGTTGTACCCACGCCAGAGTCATACCAGACCACTTGCTGCCATACCCTGCCGTCCTCGTCGGTGCCGACACGATTCAATGCGCGGCAGAGCCGAGTGACATTCGATGGGACATTCTTCTGCCCAGAGACAGAGGACTGCCAGGTCCCGTCGCAGCAGATGACGATGCGTTTGGGTGCATAGGAGCGATCGATGTCTTTCTTCTGTCTCCTGCGGAGCTCATGCTCGTCGCCGTGGAGATGCTCGCCTCCAATGGTGACACAATAGAGATCCAACTCCATCATTAGAAAGATTAAGGAGGAATAATAATGTGAGAAGTTGAGATGATAACCTAGAACAAGACTGCGCGGATCAGGATGGTGCTTTTATATTATCACGAGGCTGTGCTATCTTCATATTACAGCCTTCATATCGCTTTGAATTGTCCAATTTGTACATTCCTTTCAGCATAAGGCTGTCGTGGTCTGACCGCATTTTGGCTCGTTTAACTCTGCCACGGCATTGCCGGCGCTAAGCCTGTTAAGGCTCTTCAACTCCCCCGTAATTTGAGTTTCTGACTCTCTTCTTCAGCTGCGGAGTCGGTGGTGGCACTGCTTGGCCTGGCTTCAGCTGGGCTTAGCGTGATGAATAGTCCAATAGCGACTGGCGAATCCTAGTTATATGATATGATAGTTCGTGTCGACCCAGGCATGGACGCCTTAGGCCCTGAGAAATACGCGGAACCAGCCGACGGCGACGACCCACACTAGAATCACCACATGGCTCTTATCACGCTCAAGAGACAGCGACAAGATAACTTTAACCGAGTCCGTCAACTTCTAACATAGTGGGGATGGTGTCGAAGCCAAGTTCCACGGACCACCACGAACTACTGCGAACCACGGATGGGTCTCGGCTATTGTGGAACCTTTCCGCTGCGCTGTCACAATCACATCGAGTGGATAATTGTGATTGATTCGCGATAGTTTTCTGTCTTTGGTCGCGATCGCGCTCCAATTCCAGTCTCATCATCGAGTAAACTTTCCACGTTATGGAGTATATTAAATTTTTTTGGAATAAAGGAGGAGAACTAGAAGCGATTGGTGTAAACGTAATGCTTCTAATCAAACCCAGTTAGTCTAAACATCGGACCTCTCCTATTCCCGTGATAAGAGGCGAAAGACCTGGTAGCACCTAGCCCCGGATTTCTAACAGTTTCACCACGAGGGAAGAAAGAAGCAAGACCTCGAGTCCAAGAAAGATTGAGATCATGACCAAACCATGTCTTTTACACACCCTAAGCTTTTACAGGGATCTGGGCATTGGTGCCCAATCGGAGCTCGCACGACCAATCCGAGACCAGGGCAGAGAGAACAATGCGTCCATTGACTCAAGGCTCCGTCCAGCAGTCTCGAGGACAAAGAACCAAACCCAAAGTAAGCCGAGAACACAGACTGCAGTGCAAAACACGAAGAAGCCATAGTTGGTCACAGCTAATAGCATGCTGAGAACAGCTTTGGTGTTAACGAACTGGTTGATGAAATGAATACACAGCACAAAGGATGAACCCAGAGCGCGCAGTCGGAGGTGTTAGATCTCTGCATTCACCAGGTATTGGAATGAGTTCCAACTCATTGCCCAACCAAATCTGGAGATATAGAGAGCCGCGATACCGCCAATGGCAGCGCGTTTGGCCGAGCCTGTAACGGCAGCTGCCCCGCTGTCGGCGATGTGGGCAGAGGCAGGGACCTGGGCCAGGTAAATGGCAACATAGCAAATAGAAACTGTCTGCAACATAAGACCGACACCCAGGATACAGATGGCGAAAAGCTTCTCGCTCTGCCCGGTCTTTCCTAGAGCTGCATTCGTGATTTCTAAAACCAGGTCAAAGTAGGTTTCCACCGGGACAGAACCCTGGAGTCATGAGGCTTGGCAAGGCTACGACACGCATCGCCGAGGCCGTTCCTGACAGACTTGACGTATCCCTGAGATTGCGACCGGCTGCAAAATACGGCCAGCTGTTTGGAAAGACCAGAAACCATGATTCGACGTTTTGAGGTGTGAGAGTAGACCGTCGTGGTAAGGAGAAAACTGGCCGAGTCGTAAGCGTTTGGTGGGTTCATAGATAACCCCGGTGCCTACCCCGGAAGGGCCCAAGGGTCCTTGCTGTCGGTTCGTGTATTCTCTAAAATCATCTTGCTAGATATTTCTAAGTTATGTTCCAAAGAATTCCCTCGAAGAAAAAGATGGAGAGGTAGAAGATAGAAAATAGTTCGAGCTTTGAAGAATAAAGCTCCGCGGATGGCACGTGCGGGGTTCGCCTCCCCGCCTCGAAACTTGAATACTTGGAATACTCGGACTTCCTCAATTTTACTTGCACTCTACGCTCTTTTCCCTGCCGCAATTCTTCCGCTCATTGCAAACGAAACATGCTTCGAAACAAGCGCCAGAACACCCAACCGCTGGAGGACACCTCCGTGGCCCCCGCGACCTTCACCGATGGCCTTCCTCTCCCCAAGCTGATCGTCTTTGACCTCGACTACACTCTGTGGCCATTCTGGGTCGACACACACTGCAGTGCCCCCATCAAAGCCCGCGACAACAACTCGCGCGTCGTGGACCGGTATATACCCCTATCCATTCGTCGTCCGCGAGGAATCTAACATACCTCAGATGGGGCGAAGCCTTTGCCTTTTACCCCGCCGTGTCCTCGATTCTCTATGCCTGCAAGGGCCGCACGATCCCACTAGCCGTCGCGTCTCGATCCCATGCCCCCGAGCTGGCGCGCGACATGCTGAAAGCCCTGCACATCATCCCGAGCTTCTCGGATAACCCCGCCGCCAACGCGAAGACTATCCGCTCCCTCGATTACTTTGATTTCATCCAGATCTTCCCGGGCACTAAGACACAGCATTTTGCGAAAATTCATCAGGCTAGTGGTGTTGCATACGAGGACATGTTGTTCTTTGACGATGAGGCGCGCAATCGCAATGTTGAGACGGAGCTTGGGGTCACGTTTTGTCTGGTGCGGGATGGTATGACTTTGGACGAGATGGATCGGGGGGTTTGGGCTTGGAGGAAGAGGAATGGTATTAAGAAGGCTGTGGAGTGAGATGCAAACTCGGGGCATGGGCGTTTTATTTGTAATTTTAGACCAGAAATATTAGATACCCAGTGGAATTGTATAGAATTGTAACTATTTAACTCGTCATCGACTTTGGTGGATATCAGATCAGTTCGTGCCGAGTTATGGCGCACTCTCTCCCAAACTCCGCAATCGCCGACCCCCAAACATCAACTCACCAACCACGCCAATGGCCACCCTCAAACCACCAACCGGCCGACCATCAACGACCGGACCTCCAAAAGCACCCCTCAAAGCCGACGCCACGGCCACAATCGCCGACACCGCAGTCTTCCAGGGCACATACCCCGTAACCATCGGCGCGGGCACCATCATCCACCCACGCGCGCACTTCTACGCCTACGAAGGCCCCATAGTCATCGGCGATGGCTGCATAATCAGTGAAAAGGCCGTGATCGGCGCACAGCCGACAAAATCCACCGGGTCCAAAGAGATCGCAACGCGTCTCTCCTACTTCGTTACCGTCGGCCCGTCATCTACCATCCACCCCGGCGCGCACATCCACTCGTCTGCGACGATCGAGGCTCTCGCGACGATACATCGATATGCGGATATCGGGTCACACTCTAAGATCTGTTCTGGGTGTGAAGTCTCCGCTAATGGGAAGGTGGATGAGTGGGTTGTTGTTTGGGGGTCTGGGCTTGGACAACGCAGGAAGAGGGCTCGAGAGGCTAAGGAGCCTGGGCCTGCTGTTGTTGTTGCGGCGCAGGTTGCTCAGGTGCCTGTGCCTGGACCTGCGCCCGAGGGGAAGGTCATTGAGGATGCAAGGTTGATGGTTTTGCAGAAGGAGAGGGAGGTTTTAGCGAGGATGATTGTGCCTGCAGGGCCGAAGAAGAAATGAACTTGAGAGCTACATGCGATTTTATGGCGCTTTGTTTTCTGTTGATTGGGTCCAGGATGGTTGACGATCCAGTGGGCTTGTTGATACCCCTCGTTGTTGTTTTTTAGATGTGATATCCTTATCCAGTTCTAACCCCGGTAGCTTCAGTGATGTCTGAAGTCCCATTGTATGCATGAGCTTTGATGCTCAAATAAAACGTGAAAAGAACATAAATTTTAGTAGAATCCATATTGGGCCACGTTGGATTAGGCAAGACATCACAGTCCCCGAAACGCCATACGATCAATAGATACAAAAACAAAGGAAACAAGATCATGGTCTTGACTTTGCCGAATGCATGGCAAAGAACGAATAAAACCTCGAGACACCATTTGCCTCCTATGGGCCAAACAGAATACATAAGCAGAATATAAAATGATACAGGAAATGACCCTAAGAGGAAGCTCCTCCGCGAGCTTGTCCTCCGCCTCCTCTCATTCGCTTTCCACCGCTTCCGCCGTCATTGGTGGCATCGGAGTTATCGTCACGGCCTCGCTTGTTACCTGGTTGAGGAACAAACTGCTTGGCCTGGACATTCAAATTCCCGCGGTTCGCTGCGGGTGTCTGGGCTTGGTTCTGAACGTTGGCGGTATTCTGGTTACCACCACGGCCCTGGCCCCCTCCTCTTCCACCCCGTCCTCGAGGAAGACCAGTTCCGCGCTGGCTTTGCGCTTGTCCCTGTTGCTGGCCCTGCTGTTGTTGACCGTGGCCGAAGGGATTTTGTTGGCCTCCGCCACGCGACGCGTTACGGCCACCTCGGACGACTGGGAGACCCGATTGGAGAGCTTTCAAAGTCGCAGGCGCGGTGCCAGCAGGTGGTTTGCTGGGCAGCGAAGAAGGCTGACCGGTCTGGTTGTTCTGCTGCAGTTGGCCGAATGGGTTGGCTGGAGTGGTAGCCGCCCCAATCTCGCCTTCTTCAGTCAGTCCGTCCGTCGTGGTAGACTCGGGAACCGAAGCGTCTGCGGGGTTTGCCGCAGGGGCAGGGGCTTGTTCACCAGCAGGAGCTGGCGCTGCAGGCGCAGGAGTCAGTGTGACAGTCGGTGCAGGCGAAGGCGCAGCGGGGGCAGCAGGAGAGGGCGATGGAGCCGCAGCGGGCTTTGGTGCAGCAGCTGGTGGTCGTGCTGTCTTGGCTACCTCCCATACCTCGACAACAGGCTTCTGCGGTGTCTCGCTAGCGGCTTTCTGGACAACTTCAATCTTGGCCTGGGCAGTCTTGATTCGAGTGTCGAGCATGCTGATGCGGGCAGCAGATTTCTTATCGGAGAGTTCGCGGGCGGATTTGACCTTCTCTTCTAGCTCTGCCTCGTGGGCTTTCTTGAGAGTTTCCATTTCTTCGTTGAACTTCCGTTCAATCTCCGCGGCAGCAGCACCGTCATTTGCAGTGGAGGATGTCTGAGCTTCCTGGATGATCTTTTCCTTTTCTTTGGCAATGTGGCTGCGAATGTTGCTGCGCACAATGGTGCGAATCGTCTCGTTATGTAAAACAAGCTCGCGCGCTTGGGCATCGGTCAACTCGGGGAGGATAGAAGACTTGGAGGGTGTCGCAGGTGCCGAGTCGGTGACCACGCCAGGTGTCGCAGGCACGGACGCTTCTCCACTCGACAGCTTCTCCATTTCTTGGCGATGGGCAGCCCTGATCTCAGAGAGCTTATTGTTGAACATCTCCTTGAGTCGGTCGGAGCGCTCCTTGATCTTAGCCTCCAACTCAGCATCCTTGGCTGCCAGAAGACCATCCTTCTCAGCAAGAGCGGCCTCGAGGCGCTGGATCTTCTCTTCCAGCATCTTGATCTTCTGATCGTCGCCCGAGGCGATAACCTGAGTAGTCGAGGTGGGGAACTGAGATGCCGGTGTTGGGTTCACGGCAGCGGATTCTGGCACAACAGGTGCAGGTGCAGGCGCGGTGACAGGAGCAGTGGCTGAAACGGAGCCACCGGCCACACTGGCTTTGAGAGTCTCCAACTCAGCCTTCGTTGTGTTCAGCTCCTCCTGGATCACTTCCTTTTCCTGCAGAGCCACATTGAGTTCCTGCTGCTTGCTGTTGATGCGTCCCGAGAGCTCCTTAGATCTACCCTTGAACTGATCGGTAAGTTTAGTGCGCAGTTCACCAAGTCGGGTCTCCGCGTTCTTCAACTGTTCAGGGAATGAATCGGCTTCGGCCTGCAAAGCGTCGCGAGCGGATACAGCCTCATCCCGAGCAGACACCGCCTCATCTCGCTCCTTCTCGAGGGCCGCGATCTTCTCATTGAGGGCTTCCATCTCAGCAGGATCAACCCGGTCGTATTTCTGAAGGATATTCTGCACACGCTGCTGGTACCGATCTCTGTCGGCTTGCAAGATCTGCATCTCTCCATCCTTGCCTTCCACGATATTCTCCAGTTCAACAATCTTCGTCTCCAATGGTTCAATCTTCAGGCGAAGTTCATCAACCAAGGCTGATTTTTCAGTCAGAGTAGCCTCCGTTTGCTTGACTTGGCTGCGAAGCGTGACATTGCTCTCGCGGAAGAGGTTGAGCTCATTGAGAGTTTCCATAAGCTTGTTGTGGTTGAGAGCATTGTGATCACTGTCGGCGGCAGCACGCCGTTGCTGCTCAAGTTTAAGTCGCGTCTCGTCGAGCTGTGACTGGGTGTAGTCAAGTTGCTGCCGAAGTCGTCTGCCTTCTTGTTCGGACAAGTGAAGCTGTACATCTACAATCTGCTTCTCTTGACGCAAGAAGTGGATGACCTCCTGGAGACCCTCTAAGTTGGAGCCCGTCTGTTCTCCTTCCTGGTCATATGCTTCGGGGACGTTGGCACGGTCACGTTTCAGGGACGAGATCTGAGTAGTGATGTTCTCGAGTTGTGTGTGCAGCAAGGAGTTCTGGTGTAGCACCTCCTCACGGCGTTTATGCAACTCAGCGAGCTCACCCTCGTACCTAGCACGCTGTTCAACCCAACTCTCCTCCTTCTGCGCCAGGTCTTTCTTATAGTTATCCGACTGGGTTCTCAACTCGGCCAGGTCAAGCTTCATTTTGTTCGCGTCCGCACGAACAGTCTGCAAGTTTTTGGCGGCTTCGGCGTGTTTGACAAGTTCTGTTTCGTAATTTTGCTGGGCGTGCTGAGCGATCTCTGCCTGTGCCTTGAGATCTTCTTGGTGGAACTGAGCAGCGGCGATGTGTCGTTCGTTATCGTCCTTGAGGCGAGTGATCTCGGACTCGAGTGTATTTTTCTGCTCCTCAAGGTGCCGTGTTGCTTCGCTGTGCTCATCGCGGACCTTGGAGATCTCGGCATTGGTGGTAGAGAGCTCTGAGGATATCTCTTCAACACGGGCCTCGAGATCCTTAATCTTCTTATCCTTCTCCTCGATAAGTCGATCGGTCTCCTCGCGGTACTGTGCGTTGGTCTCGGCCTCCGCCTCCATGCGCTCCTCGGTGGACTGGCTGATGGCCTGGTATTCCTGGGCTTGCTCTTTAGCATGCGCAAGCTCGCCCTTTGTCAAGTCCAAATCGCGTTTGAGTTCCGAAACCTCGATAGCCAGTTCTTGTTCACGACTGAGACCACTGTCACCTCCTGCTCCCTGGACATCAGTAGAATGAGCTTCTGCGGAGTTTGCAGACACGCTAGGCCGTGACTGAACGACCTGCAATCGCTCCTCCGCGCTCTTGAGCTCGACGGTAAGCTCATCTACACGAGATTGAAGATGATCCTTAGTAGTCTTGATAGCAACCAACTCTTCCCGAACTGAGCCCAAGCTTGTCACCAGATCGTCAATACGTTTCTGGCTCTGTTCCTGCTCGTAGACACGGCGCAAACTGGCCTGCTTGGACTCCTCCGTGATGGTGTTAAGTTGGCGCTTGGTGGACTGGAGCTCGGACTCGAGAGTTTCAACACTTGATTGAAGTCTGCGACGAGTCTCAGTATCGGTGTGCTCGCGCTCGTTCAGCATCGTCTGGAGGTTGGCATTGTAAGAGTCAAGTCGGGTTCGCTCGTTCCGCAGGTTTTCAACATCCTCCTGTAGTCTCTTCTCAACACTCTTCCAGAGATCCTTTTCGGCCTTAAGGTTGGCATTTTCGCGCTGAAGACTCTCCGCAAGTCCCTTGGCTTCGACGAGATCCTCCGCGGCTTGCTGTGTGCGAATATCTTGTCTGTTGGCGTTCTCGAACAGGGTGGAATAGCGCTTTTGAAGGTCACTGTTCTCGGTCTTCAGCATATTGAAGTTGCTTTGAAGAAGATCAGCGCGCTGAGAAGCGCCCGCAAGTTGACTGCTCGACCGACTGATTTCGCTGAGAAGCTCGCTGTTCTTCCGTGACAGCTCATTAATTTGCTGGCGAAGAGCTGCATGATCAGATGCCATCTCTTCTCGGTACGTATCGTATTGAGCTTGGACACTTCGAAGCAGTTCAGTAGACGCACTCGCGTCACCTGACTGGCTGCTAGCTGCTCCAGGGGGAATAGCGCCCAGGGGCATTGACTGCGACAGAGCTGATGGGTCCCCGATGGTCTGTCGGCGATGGCTCAGCATGCTCTTGAAAGTGTCACGCTCCTTCACGTAACTCTTAATTTGAGACAGCAAGTTGGCGATTTCATCGCGGTAGGTTTGGCATCGGATGCGCAGCTCCTTTAGCTCCTCCTGCTCCTGCTGGTGGACGGCGGATTTTTCGCGGGCCTCCTCACTCTCCAGCTTGTCACCGATTTCACGGAGCATGCGCCGAAGGTCAAGGTTCTGCTGTTGTAAATCATGCAGGTTCTTGAATGTTGTCACATTTTCGCTGATCCAGCGACCAGTGGCGTTCAATTCGGCTGAGTTGTCCTCCACTTGCTTCCGAGCGATCTTTTCCAGCTCCTCACGGTCATAGTCTTCCCCATTTTTGGCAAGAGCCACTTCCAGGAGAAGGACCTTGACTGTGGCACTGATGTCATGCAGCTGCTGGCGCAGAATGCCGCCCTCGCGGGCCAGCCCGTCAACTTGGCCCTGCCATCTCCGTGCCTCTTTCGTGGCGTCTTCACGTTCCTTGTTAGCGGTGTCAAGGATATTAGACATTTCGATGACGGCGTTCTCAAGGCGGCTATGGTCTGCCCGCAACTCATCAATCTCGGGCTTGCTGGATTCCAATTCCTGAACCATCTCATCCACGGTGGACCGAAGCTCCTGGTTGGTTCTCTGCTCTGAAGAAAGTAGCATACGCATCTTGTCGTATTCAGTGTACATCTGAGTGAGAGTAAGACCGCCCTTGGTTCGAGAAGCCCGAGGGGAGAAAGTGCCGCCAGGGGTTCCCGGCCGCATGGGGGTACTGGGGCCGAGGCCATTGAGCGAGCGCGCTGGACTCATGGACCGATTCCGGCCTCCGTCAGACTCCAGTTGTGAGACGGTTACTTCAAGCTCAGCAATACGCTTCTCCGCAGCCGTCTTGTCCGCATGCTCAGATTCGACTTCAACACGTAAACGAGATAGTTCCTCCGCCGCGTCATCCTTGGCTTTCTCGAGTGCGAGCTGGCACTCTTGAACGCGTTGCTTGGCGGTTTGCGCAGCAGAACCTTGAAGCTCAGCCAGTCGATTGGCGCTGTCCAGTTCGATTCGGAAAGACTCTGAAGCCTGGATCGCATCTTCCTTCAGCTTGGTGATACTGGCGAGCGACTCTTCGTATCGCTGCTCAGTCTCATCAAGACGGCTTTTGAGAGAGTTCTCGGTGCGTCGCAGAGTTTCAATCGTTGAGTTCGCCTCCTCATTCTCACGTTGAAGCTCAGAGATACGAGCACTCTTCTCCTTCCGGAACTTGCTGTGTTCGGCGCTCTTTGTCTTCAACTCAGTCTCGTACCATTCGTTGTTCTTCTTGGTGAGTTCCAGTTCCTGCTGAAGGTTCTGTTCCCGGAACCGTGCACTCGCAGACGCGGAATTGGCGTTCTGGATATTTTGCTCTGCGGCGGAAAGCTCGCGCCGCAGCTCAATGGTCTTTTTGTGTTGCGCTGACAGCTCTTCTGCAAGTTTGTCGTGGGCGGCAGACTTGGATTCAAGTAGAGCGAGAGTATCCCGATTCGAGGCCTCGAGAGAGGTAATGCGCGACTTCAGTGAGCTCACCTCGGTTTCGTTGGTAGTGGTCGATGACTTGAGAGTAGAGATCTCGGTTTCCAGAGCCGAGCGTGTGTTTTCTGTAGGTCGTCAGAGAAGAGTCAAATTATCAGCAGGAAGAGTTGAGAAGTACCGGATTCATGCAGCTTCTTTCTCAGATCTTCAATCTCTGAGTGACCTTTCTCCACCGTTCCTTTCAGCACCTTGATCTTGGACTCGTTGCTGCGAACAGCATTCTCGAGTTCAACCTCCAAGCGGAGTTTGTCTGATTTGAGTTCATCAAATGCATGCGCTTTCTTGGTGATGGATTCAAGAAGCTGATTGACAAGATCCGCAGTTGGCGTCTGAGTCAGGGTTCTGAGAGTAGCTTCGGGGATCGAGTAATGAGAGGCCAAATAAGGCAGCTCGATCGCTGCATCCGCCATGATATGCAGCAGTACCAGGCAGTAAGCCTGGGGAAAGATTGAAAGAAATGAAAGTCGGGGTGCAGGAAGCTCGAGCTCCGCTGCTCCAAGTTCCGAACGCGGTGTGCACCAGGTTCACGTACACACGGAGTCGAGGAACTCAGATCATGACGATTCCTAGAATTAAGAGAATGTCGCAGCGACCGAGGAAGCGACAATGGTTGTAGGCGGATGAGGGGTGGGAGGGAAAGGTGTAGGAGTTCAAGGGCGAGTTCTTTCTGCGCTGTTGCTTTCGTCAAAGACGGCTAGCGCCGTGCCACGTCACGTGACGTATCTCCAGCACTTCTGCGGCTCTTACAAGCAACTTGAGACCTCTTCACTTGGACAGGGCGATCTCTTTCACCCCACGCCCCTAGTGTATTTTTGCCCTCCCTCCCGCAGCCCATGGTATTTGACGCCGATATATCCTATGATCATCGTTTAGGTCTCTGAGCTCGCCTCGGCTCGTCAGCTCCAAGCACAAAAACACCTGCCCTCCGTTCAGCTTCCCTTGGCTTCTCCTCTCAACTGTGCAGTCGAAGCATCGTCCGATACCCGTCGCAGCCATGTCTTACCTTCAGAATCAACTCAAGAGCTTCAACGCCAGTGTGATGGAGTCGGCGAACCGCATGCCTCAGCAAAGACGTATGGCCAACAACGGTCCAGCTTCCGCCACCAGCTCGCAGGTTCCTTCGTCTGTTCCGACTCCATCCTCGACCGCCGATCCGAAGAAGAAGCGCCATGATGTGGACATTGTTTACTCCCAACCGGCGAACACGGGAACCGGAAAAGATATCATGACCCAGGTGCTTTTCGCGATCGAGCACATGAAGACAAAGGGCATGCCGCTGAAGTTTGCCGACATCGTGTCCTACTTGTCCCTTCAGCATCGAGCGAACGACCCAGGCTATGTCCAAGCACTTCGGCGAATTCTCCAGAAGCACGAAAAGGTTGACTTCGACCCCAGTGGTGCAGGTGGCGAAGGCACCTTCAGCTTCCGCCCCCCACACAATGTGCGCAATCCGGAGCAGCTCCTTCGGAAGCTCCAGTCACAGACCACTGCTACTGGCATGAGTGTGCGCGAGCTGCGGGAGGGCTGGCCGAATGTCGAGGACGCCATCAACCAGATGGAAAAGGAAGGGAAGCTTCTGGTGACTCGCAACAAGAAGGACGACCATGCCAAGATGATTTGGGCAAACGATCCTTCACTAATTGAGCATTTCGACGATGAGTTCAAGCAGATTTGGGACAAGATCAAGATCCCGGACCCGCAGGCTGTCAAGGAGGCCCTGGAAAAAGCTGGCATCACCCCCACGAACAAGAACAAGGTGGTCAAGCCGCGAGTCAAGGTGGAGGCGAAGAAGACCAAGAAGCCACGCCGCAGCGGCAAGACGACCAACACTCATATGATGGGTATTCTGAGGGACTATTCGCACCTCAAGCGGTGATAGGCGTTCAGTTTCTTCTATTAAACTGCCTGGGAGGCATTATCTGCATTGCACTGGCGTTTGAATATTTTTGTTTGAGTTTTGCATCTTGGGCCTACATTGAATTCGCCCTTTACTCGTTCACTGTCCTCGAAAATTGACTACATTGAACATTATGACAAAATTATAGATACCCAGATAAATTTAACAAATCGTTCTCTACAGGCTGCTGTTTATAATATTCCACTAACTCGAATGACCAAGGTCTAAATGTTTTTTGTCCATTCATCGAAATGTATTCACAGAAGACAGAGATGTGCATAGACACACAGAACCAGAAACGGATGTAAAATATAAAGCAACCAAAACGCAATCAATGCCGCCCATTCACAACACCCTCAGTCTTCTCCAAATACTTAATTAAATCCTCAATCGTACACACCTTAATTCCCCACTTCTTACCAAACTTCAAGCATCCATCCCTCCGCATCATCCCATTCTCGCCCCGAATCTCCGCAACACCCTCGACAACTTCACCCGACTCAACCAGCTCGGCAATAACACCCGCCGGAGCCTTCCCAGCGAGCTTACAGAAATCAATAGCCGCCTCGGTGTGTCCTGAGCGCTCGCGCACGCCTCCAGGACGCGCCTGCAGCGGGATGATATGTCCGGGTCGTCGGAAGGAGTCGACCTGCGCGTCTGGCGATGCCAGCGTGCGGCAGGTCAGGGCGCGGTCTTCGGCGGAGATTCCAGTTGTCACGGAGGGATGGCTGGAGTCGATTGTGATCGTGTACGCAGTTCCTTTCGGGTCGGCGTTCTCGACGACCATTTGCGGGAGGGCGAGGCGGGTTGCGAGGTCCGGGGTGATGGGTGCGCATATTAAGCCGCTGTTTTCATCATGGTTAGATCTGTAAATTCATAGGTCACTGGGGCCTGACGGGAGTAAGAGTCGCTCTGGTAGAGAACCCATCTTGTCCCCGGCTAGGTATGCCATGGTAGCGTGCTCACCTTGTGTAGCGCACCAGGAACGCCATCTGAGCGGCGGTGATCGACTCCGCTGCAATTATGAGGTCACCTTCATTCTCGCGGTCTTGTGAGTCGAGCACAATGATGAATTCGCCATTTTCTGTGGTGAGTCACGGGTCAGTCGGGCTGTTCATCGGAGGCCCTACGAGTAGGAACAGAGGAGTGATTGTATGAATAATCCACCACGGAGATAAGTACTCACTGAATGCGGCGATCGAGTCTTCGATCGAGTCGAATTGCTGCGCAATTTCCGTGGAACAGGGCATCTTGGGCAATAGAGTATCGGCGCAGTTATTTTTGCCCCTCACTGCGCAATTTGGATATTGATCGAGTAATGAAGTGGAATCGAGAGCCCTCGGATGGTGTATGTCCAAGTCGAGGTACTCACGAAGTCACACAATCGGAATGTCACAAATTGTTTGAGAAGATTTGTCTGAAAGTCTGTAATCGCTGACAGGTGCATTAGAAATGCTCGTGATGCCCCGGGCGCGGGGAGCCGGGCGGTGAGTTGTCGCAAATGCCGAGGCCCCGTGCAGTCGGTTCGACGTCCTTCTTTTGGAATCTGTATACTTTCGTATTTTCCTACCTAGGCCTACCTAGATAGGTATCCCCAGCCATATGAAGAAATTCGCTCGCACTTGAGTACTTGCATTCTAGAGCTTATTATGGAATGGTGCACGAGTATCGAGAATATATTAGCTGCTCAATCGACATTATGCAATTTGACACCAGGTGCCAACTCTTATCTATGCACATGATTAAATATGAAACAATGGTCGCAAAGTCATGAAAAAGGAGTGGGTATTCGTCAAGGAGGGCAACAAAAGTACCGCGTGAATCAGACACGCTCAGCTCATCCCGTCCGTTCCCATCCATCGCACCTCGTCCGCTTGTCTCTCCAGTGCTTGTCGCATGGCTTCCTCATATCTCGTCTCCTTCTCCCACTCGTCGCGATGCTTCTTTCGCATAGCTTCCCGAGTCGCCTCGTCGACTTCTGCATGCATGAACAAGTCATCTTCCTCATCCTCATTGCCAATATCCTGATCTGCAGGAACGGAGAATCTGATGCGCCCAATGCGCTCTCCTGTCCAAACGAGCAACTCGTCACCAGAAAGGTTTCCTTCAGTAGGGAGGATTTTTCGCGCCACCTCGTTGCTCTGGTTCTGCGGTCCAGAACTTGGCCACAGACCGCGCGGTTGTGATGGATCGTGTGGCTGCGAAATATTGAGATTCCACCGGCGTACCTCTGCTCTGCCGTTTCGCTCCACCCATTTGATATTCCCCTCGGAGTCGGAGTAGACGAGGCGATTGCCGTGGGATGCCACAGACAGGAGCTTGGAGCTAGCCGCACTTTGTCGATTCTTATACGCCGGGGTCAATTGTGATGATCTCGCGGATGGGTTGCGGTTACCGCTATCTTTGGATGAGGATTGAAGATTGTAAAGTTCAAGGGAGCCTCTGCCGTTGTACTCGCCGCAAGCCACTACGGCGTGCGATTCTGGGTAGACGGAGTCTGAGAAAACGGGAAAGCGGGGCCCAGGAGCAGAGGCAAGACCGCATAGGCGGCCGCCGGAATGAACTGTGCTTTGCAGGCGAGGGAAGAAGCGGCGGTCATAGCAGAGAATGCTGGGGAATCTCCCAGCCAGCAAAATGGTGTTTACATGAGGGGCGGGGGGATGCAATATAGAAAGAGGGCCGGGCTGGAAGAGCGGCGCATAGTTTTCTTGCTCAGGACCCGGGCTGCGGATTCGACGTGGAGGCAGACCGTTCGGTTGTAGTTGGAGCTGCGGCGAGTCGTAGTGTGGAAAGATGTCCAGCTCTGGAACCAACGGCGCGGAGTTCTTCTCGCATCGCAAGCTGATTGCCTCCTCTTCTTCCGCAGCCGACAATCTAGAGTCATGGATCTGCAGGCTAAGCGTAGTGGCTAGCGTTAGTGGCACTGAATAATCAGTCTCTTGAGAAAGCGCGAAGATGGACCAAGGATAGCGCTGTTGTGAGATAACCCGGAGGGTCTCTAGATCAACCTCATTGAGGACATTCCCGATGGCAAGGTAGGCTCGTCGCCGAAACGAGTCTACACTGACACCCTCACCGAGGTTGATGAACTCCAAAGGAGATTTTGAAGGCGAGCGCTCTCTTCGCCCCGAAAGATTCCTCATGAGAACGCCGGGCTCACTCGTCCCAAGAATCCTGCCTCTCCCTGATTGTGAAACGGCGGAGTGAGAATGGTTCAAATCCCAAATACAGACGCTGCCATCGTCGAGCGGTGCAACGATCTTATTTTCTCGTGCAGAGCTCCAGTCTTTCAGCAACCCCATGCCCTTGATCTCGTAGGGCTCGCGCCTTCGTCCGTCGCCCTTTGAACGTAAAGGTTGCTGCACCCATGAAAAAGATAATGGTCCATGGCGAGCAATATATTCCGAATACCAATCCACATGTTCTCCCTCTGCAGACGAATCCCACTCCACCGCTGCCCTCGCTCTCGCGCTCAGAGACAACCCTCGGTGACCCTCGACACCACCATCTTCTGGTCGTGGAACAGCGGGCTGAATGAGATCGCGCAACGAGTTCTGCCCCAAGGTGCTCAGGGACGCGGTCTCATTCGTAAGCAGACTCTCCGAGTTCCGGCCAGAGGGACGGGAAGCCTGCAAAGCAGCCCATGACTGCTCATAGCAGTGTAGTTTCCAGAGATTATTATCGCGGGCTAGGTCAAAGATCTTCTTGGAGACCAATTGTAGCTGAACCTTCTCACGCGGGGTGAGAACTGGTTATCGGGCACTTATCAGCGTTCGGGCGTTCTGCAGGAAACGATGCGGAGAATATTCGGGGGAATCGGCGGCGCTTACAGTCGATGATTTTGGTCAGGATCTCTACCGGCAGCTTGTCCATGAGGAAAGCGTCGGAGGCTCTAGCATTGGGGGCAGATGGAAGTGTAAGAGGGGTTCGAGGGGCAGCAGCCCGATATGTTCTCTCACCCCGCGATCTGCGTCGTCACGTGGCCAGGCCAACTTGCGTACATCGAGAGGATGATCCTCTTAAAAACAGGATATAGCTCTGAATGGCATAGATTCACTCCATTTCGAAGTGACGGGTCCGTGATGTGAAGTTTGGGTGGATAAAGTATAAAGATCTGGGATGAACCAGTCCCCGCGGATGGCTTCCCGAATCGCGAATAGAGTGTTTCGCGGCTCTGTGAATGCCGGGCACATATATACATTTTGAGACTAAATTGATTTGAGCATTTGGCTGGCGAATGAGGCCAGGAATTTCGACCGCAAACGCCAGTCAACCCAAATACTCCATCCTGTGTCGTAAGTTATAGATTAGGTACAAAACATGACAAAAAGGGGCGAGCGAAGCAAAGAAAGCCAGGAGAGGTGCAAATATATAGACGATTAGAGAGCATCGGGCTATTCGTCTGGTTTGAAAACTGCATCCTTGCAGAGAATGACCACTTTCTTGAAGAATCGGCGCCATTCCAGGGGATCACCCTTGATCTTGACAAACTCGGCTTCTAAAACGCCATCGGACACGCACTCAATAAGAACTTTTCCCTGGAGCGGACACATCCGGCCATCCTTGGCAACAACCCGAATCATAGCATAAGTGTCGCCGGCGCTCACTGCAGGGACCGACGGGACAGGAACTCCCAGTCGGTGGAGAGCTTCACAGATCAACGGGACCAGAAGCCTCAATTCCCATGCGGAGTAGAAGCGGGTCATCGGGCGAGAAGGTACAATATCCTGGAACTTCTGAGCGTTTTGGGTGCGGCTCACAGGCACAGATGGTTGTTGCGAGAACTGTGACATCGAAGGTTCGTCCTCGAGGTGACTAGCCATTGCAGCGTCTTGAGAAGCAAATTGCTTCCCAGCAGGCTGAGTGGAAGAAAACTCCGAGGCCAAGTGTGGTGTGTCCCAGTCCATCACTAGGCCGCCTCCAACCTCAGGCTGTGTGGATGAAAAGCCTGCCGATGGCTGGTCGACGTCCATATCCATATCCATTGCATCGAAACTTCGGCTGGGACCCTTCCGCTTCTGGGAAAGGGGGTCCTGGCTAAAGTCGATGTGTAAGGACTCAAACATGGAGGTAGCGAGATTAATAGGATCTCTCAGCTTGCGGTCACTTGCAAGGTATTTGTTCGATCGTGTATACCAAGGGTGTCTCCGCACATCTTCCAGCGAGAAGCGATTCTTGGGTTCCACGGTCAACATACCGCGCAGTAGTGAAAGTGTGGCAGCTGGCAGCTTCTGCCACAGCTCGTCAGTGGTCCGCGAATTTTTCGCAACATATTCGTGGAATTCGTAACTGTCATCCGTCGGGCTATCCCACGGCGTATTACCTGCCAGGAGAACAAAAAGAACAATTCCACAGGACCAAATGTCCACCAAGTCCGGGTGGTACCCAGACCCTTTAGTCTGACCACGCGTACTGCTGGTAATGACCTCGGGCGCAATGTATGGCGGACTACCACAGAATGTTGTAGAGAGCTTCCTGGTTCCCTTGTACTCGAACAGTGCGGCCAGACCGAAATCCGCAATCTTCAGGTTTCCATCCGCAGTCAAGAGCATGTTCTCAGGCTTGATGTCGCGATGACCGACACCCTTCGAATGCATGAAGCTGACGGCACCGACGAGCTGTGAGAAATAGACATGCGCGATATCCTCACCCACACCCTCGTCAGCCTCGATCTTGTCGAAGAGATCGCCACCTTCCGCCAACTCCATCGCGATCCATCGCCAGATATCGTCCTCGCCGGTTTGGTAGAAGCTGATGATATTGTTGTGACCCGTAACGTGTCGATGCACCGTTACCTCCAGCTGCAATTGTCTGGCGCTGATCTTGCCATGGCGCGCGGCGTAATCCTTGTGGATGTACTTGACGGCGAAGACGGGGTTGTCCGAGTCCAAAGGGCAGGCTTTTTTGATACTAATAGAGCGAAAACGCGTCAGTATTACTTTCCAGAGGATGTAGGAAGACCCATAGCTCACCAGGCATACGCGCCTTGACCGATTGTCTTGGAGACAATGCGGAAAGGCACGTCGTTCGGAAGCGGGGCCAATTGCGAATGCTGCATCGTGGGCTCTGCCTGGAAAGAGGCGAACGAATGAGATATGCGAAAGGTATCAGACGAAAGGAACGACTATAAAGACCCAGACATCACGAGGCGAGATGGAAGGCGTGACGGGATGGCGAGGTGATAGGTAAGGGCGAGGCAGTGGGAAACGCGGGTCGCACACGCGGGCCACTTTATCCTGTTCGGGTAGTGTGTTGATACAAGCGTGGAATATCATTACGGGCAGGATTACTGATCGCGATCGTATCTAGGTGGGCTAGGAAACCTCTAGGGATGGGTAAGTATTCAAACAAACTTGTTTCTTTATCCAGGTCTACACATCTGATACATAGTTGCCCCTCTTGTATCAATGTGACCCGCCGGTGATCGCACTAAAAAAGCTCCGGATTTAGATCGATCGGCCTGTGCTTTCTGCTCGACTCGGCCATTTGTTTTCATAATATGTATATTGGCTATATCTAGTTCCTTTATTTCCTCGAGGAGTAAAGTCCTTGATTGTTAAATCCAGAGCAACACTGATAGAGTGTTCATGTTCCAGGGTTCCCCCGTGTCGCTGGCAGCTCTGGCGGGGCGATGGTTGCCGGGGGCGCGCGTAAACAAAGCGCTTAGCCTCCTAAGTTTCTGTCCCACTTCCTTTTGATCTTTTCTGACCTCGCGTTCTTCCTTCCCATCTCACAATACCTTTTTGCTACACTGTCCACCATCCATACCCTCTTTTTAGATTTTCGTTACTGCATTTGGTCGTGGTGGGGCAGTTGTTCGGATCCGTCGTCATTCCATCGCAACCCTCGTGCTACTGTAACCAGCATTCCAGGCACGGCCCAGGAATCTGCAGCCTTCGAGATCACTTCTCCTTTAGAGAGCCCTCTTCTTGCATCTTTCTACGATGGACTACACCATGGAAGACACCCAAAACTCGGCGCTTGATGCGCTGGAAGCCTCCAAGCTCAATACCTCCGGCCAGCGCAATGAAACTCAGAGCGTCACCAAGCGGTTCGTCTAGCATCCACGAGCTTTCCCTCTGTTTAAAGACGTTTTGTACTAACTTTTTGTCATGCATATAGCCTGCAGGCCGAGTTGATGCAGCTCATGATCCAGCCCTCTCCCGGCATCTCCGCTTTCCCCGACGCCGACGGCAACCTGCTCTCCTGGACAGCGACCATCACTGGCCCGACCGAGACACCTTACGAGGGCCTGAACCTGAAGCTCACCTTCGCCTTCCCCAACAACTATCCCTACTCTGCACCGACCGTCCTCTTCAAGACCCCCATCTACCATCCCAACGTTGACTTTTCCGGCCGCATCTGTCTGGACATCCTCAAGGACAAATGGAGCGCCGTTTATAATGTGCAGAGCGTCCTGCTGAGTCTGCAGAGTCTCCTGGGCGAGCCTAACAAGTAAGTAATGCCCCCGCATGAACACACATCTGCGAATTCTGACAACGACAACAGCGCGAGCCCGCTTAACGCCCAAGCCGCCGAGCTCTGGGATTCCGACCAAGAGGAGTTCAAGCGCCACGTCCTGGCTCGCCACCGCGACCTCGACGACGACTAGACACTCCCTGCGTGTGGAGTCCGCATCGGCGTCCACCGTTGCTCCCTGCCCCGAGATGGGGACGTGGAGGCACGGTTTCAATGCATAGTGGCCTGGTTCATTGGGTTTGGAGTTTTTGGCTATTTGTGGTTTTAGTGTTATCTTTATCGCACGCATTCACGTACAGGCGCGTGTGGCCCTGGCTCATTCTGGGTGCCTATTTTGATAATCTCATCGCGGAGGTGCAATCATTGCCCTTTTCACGCGTTTCCCTCTTTACAGTCCTCCATTATATCGCTATAGATCGGCAACTATCGCAAGCAGGTGATGAGGAAGTTTCAGGTAGAAATCTTAGAGTATGGCTCTTGGTAGGATTCATTCAACATATTGGCTTTATAGAACCAACTGACTAATATGCAGATAAAACTACCGGCAGGCTTGCAGAGCTCTCGGATCAAGAAGAGAAATACTGTTTCTCGTCCGTAATGAGCAACCCAGCAATACTGGCACTGGTGAAAGTACTAATGGCGCCCGTGAGCATAGCACTGACTGCAACACGCGAGACGTCCGCACTACGACCGGGAGAGATCTGCGCCAGCACACCGATCTGGTTACCCAGGGAGCCGATGTTGGCGAAACCGCAGAGAGCGTAGGTAGCGATAAGACGGGAGCGGTCGGAGAGGTTAGCGTAGGTGGCGTCGTTCTGAAGAGCGTTGTACGCGACGAATTCGTTCTAGGAAATGTGAGGTCGATATTCGAACATGAAGGTTAGATGACTTACCGAGATGATCTTGAGACCGATTAGCTGGGCCACCTTGAGCAGGTCGTCATCGCGGGACACGCCAAGAAGGGCAGCGATTGGGTAACAGATGTAGCCCAGAATGAGCTGCAAGGTCAATGGTGGGTCGTTGATGCTCAAGTAGTGGCCCCACCAGGTGAGCAGGCCGTTGACGAGACCGATGAGCGAGATGATGCAAAGTAGCGTGGCTCCGATCATGGTTCCGATCTTTAGACCCAGCCAGGCACCAGTTGCGAAAGCGTGCAGGGCATTTGCGGAGCGATGCTCCTCGTTATCCGGTACGACGACCCGACCGGCTGTCAGGCTTTCTTCTTCCTCGGGCCAGCGCAGCTTCGAGCAGGCCAAAGAGGCGGGGATACTCATCACGCAGGAGGAGACCAAGGCTTGCGGGTTGACGCCCATGGTGATGTACGCAATCAACACACTACCTGCGATAGTGGCGAAACCAGAGCACATCACTTGGTGCAATTCGGCCATGGTAAGATGCGGGACGAAGGGTCGAATAAGCATAGCTGACTCTCCCTGTCCGATGAAAGGCGAAGCAGCTGCTACCACAGCTTCGGCACCAGAGACACGCATGCACCAGAAGAAGAACACGGCAAACTTGGTGACGAACCACTGCAAGATATTACTATAGTAAAGAAGTTGAACGATCGAGACGAAGAAGATGATGGCGGGAATCACGCTGACAAGGAACCAACTGCCCGGGGTAATGGGTGTTTTCATGTCGTAAAAGTTCTCGGCCGTCAAGAAAACCACACCTTCGCCGGCAAAACCGAGCAGGTCACGGGCAAGCATCGAGATAAAGTTGAAGATATCGTAGCCTGCTTTGCTGCGCAGCACGAACACCGCGATGATGAACTGAACCAGCATGCCCACAATAACCGTGTGCCAAACGATCTTCTTGCGATCTCGCGAGGTGAGCCATAGCAGTAGAAGTAAGACTGCAAGACCGCATAAACTGACCGCACGATCGCCGCGCGAATTGTCGTGAGTCTCGGGAGAAGCGAATGCCCCGATGAGAATCACTCCAATGGTGAAAAGGGCACCGAGAGGCAACCTCAGCCGTTCGGGGATAATCCGCACGAATGGACGAGCGGTATGATTCCAGACAAAATGCATCGGCCTCGTCACGATGGTGATGGGCACGTAGAAGAAGATGAGGCGCAGCGTGATGGCGAGATACAGCAGGAACGGGATCAACCATCCCAAATCATGCCGGTGCAGGATCAGGCCCGTGATCCACCAGCTAAAAAGCGCATGAGTCTCCGGTTCCTAGCAATGTGGTGTTCATTGCGAAAGAGGTCTTTTTCAACTCACCCGGTGAACAGGAGCCAGATCACGGCGTGGACTGCTTTTCGCCAGTGCCTCAGCGTGCGTTGCACCCATGGTCGCTTTGCGGGCTGGCTCTCCCCCGTTTCTTCGTCGCTTTGGCTGTGGCTTTTACTGGCGTGGTCCAGCGCCGTCGGTTCTGGCACAATTCCTTTCTCGAATGCCGTGTCCTTGGAGTACACCACTTCCTCCTCTCGGCCCTGCTCCGCAAAGGCTGTGTGGTGGTGATGAGCGTGATGATGCTGGTGTTCCGGCTGCAACGCCGGATCTATTTGGTGGGAGTCCCGAGTGCTCACGTCCGCGGACGGTTTGGACTCGGTGTTATCGGCCATGCTGTTCGAAGAGAAAGATCGATGTTGAATCTTCGACGTTCTCCTATCTCATTTTTTCATGAGGTCTTCCCTTACGACGCTATTGCAGAACCCAGGAATGAAGATCGGCTCCAAGGGCGGGGAAGAGGGAGTTTATAAACGCGCAAGGTGCAGGAGCAGGAGCGGGTTATCAGAAATTGAAAAGATCCATTGTGGCTGGCTTGGTATTAAGCATTCCTCCATTGGGGCGAAGGGGGCAAAAAAATTACCTTATCAACCGGGTTTCTGTGCGGGGAATACTCTGTGCTTCGTGCACTTTAGCGCGAGATAAAGAAACTCAACAGGGGTTTAGGTTACCCGGTCCGCGAAAGTCTCGGTACAAATCCCTGGTTGGTTTCCACTATTTGGCCAGCGGGCTGGCCGACGGGCCTCCCGTCTCACCTGAGAGGGGCGCACGTAACAAAACTGAACCGGATGAGCAAAAGATTGGCGGTTGCACCGCCAATCTCTGTGATCTAGCTCGGTTCAAGTCATTATCTTGCCACCTCGGCCTCGTGATTGGTGGATGGTCACCGACTCTAACCTTGAAAAAGGAATCTCCGCACCATGAGGCTGGTGGGGCGCGTCCGGTTTTTTTTTTCGTGGCTTGAGTCGTGTGCTCTCCTACCCTTGGAAGTTTTTTTTTTTTTTCTAATGAAAATCTTTTCGAGAACATCTTGAATCCATGGATGTTAATCGCCTAGCCCTATAGGTAAACACCTCCGAAGTAAAGATGCCTTATCTCTTTAAGGTACCGCCAAGATTCTCAGCGACACTTAATCTCGGGCTCACCGTAATTAAGCGGTCATAACTATCTGTCGGGAGGTTTGAAAAAGACGTTACGAAAGGTACTTTGGAAAATGGAATCAAAGGATGCCAAGACAGACGTTTAAAAAAACTCCCAGGAGGAGATTTAGAAGGGCTAAGAGAATAAAGTCTTAAAGCCCATTTGTAATATCTTCTTGGTCCGGCTGTACACCTGAAAACTTCCTTCCTTTGCGCACGGGCAGACTTGAGATAGGCGACTTCCGCCCCTGTGAGAACACGCGTTGGCACGAGAAGTGCATACGCTGGCTGTGGGAGACCTAAAGGGGGATCGCAACATGTGATCATGTGTCCCCTTGGCAGGTCTTGGAGACGGAGTCTCGGTTAGCAGAGGAACCCCCTCTAGGCCCGTAGCACAGACCTTAATCAAGAATTGAGAATTGACTGGATAAAAATCGAAAAAGATCATGTTGACAGGTAAGATCGATCTACCTACACTAGTACTTCGGTTTTACCTTATTCTACCTATAGTAGTACTCCTTATACTTCTGACCACGCAATGCATTCGTAGGCCAAATAGAAGACGGGCCCTCGAGTGGTCAGACTATTGACGTAGCAAACCTCATCGGGACTCTTTCATCCAGTCAGTTTGCCATATCTCACTCTGCATTACGTTATCTATCTCAAGAGATCTACACACTAGAAATGGATCGCCCACTGCAGCCAATACATCCTGAATACCAGAATGCGCCTTCAAACCCTAACGCTACATTGAATTCAGAGGGGTCTCTCTTGCTCCAACTCTTGCCCATCTTCCAAAAGCTCTTCCAAAAGCTCAGAAAGTAAAGGGGACCCTTGATCGTCTCCCCCGTATAAATTAGCACGAACTCTGTTCCTCCCGGGTGCGACAGGTACAATTCTTGGAGGACTTTAAGCTCCCAGAAGCCGATAGCATAGATCCTAAAAGCGATGGTTGAACCTTGGAGACGTTGAAAGACGAGAAAATGGAACTACCCGTAGCAAGCAAACCTGCATGGCTTCCGCGATTTTATATCTCATTCTTTTAGTCGTTCGACTGATCTAAATTGAACCAATTTTATTGGAGCCAAGGAGGGCTCCTACTCACACTTGACGCCAACATAATAGTTCAAGCTGAGTAAAGGCCATTGCACCGTTCTTGTGCCGCTATAGAAGGTCCATTTGCTGAGGTCCAGGCCGGTTTCATCCAAGAGACTTCGAACTTCCTCGTTCGTGCGTGTTCTAAGGCAGGATATGAAGCCATCAATCCAAATACCTAGGGGCGCGACGGGCAGAATAAACGTGAAGAAGATATGCACGGGCGAGTTCCAAAACCAAACGAGGGTTACAAAGCAAGCCCAAAAAAACACCAATGGGGAGCATATGCAAGTCCCAACGTCCCGTGTAGTGACTTCAAATATTCTGGATAGACAATTAATTCCATTTTGCTAAAAGAATATTCACTCAACTTACATAAACGAATCCGCGGACTGAATTGCACTCTTTAAAATACCCGTAGCGTCTTCATCATTGAAGTGGTGGAAACAGATATTGAAAATTCGGCATTCCTTCTTTTTTCCCATTCGAGGAACAGCTCGGGCGTCGACTGGGGTCTCAATGTACGAAATGTTTTGCTGTTTCTTCGAAATACGCTCCCATTCTTCGACGTGTGGATCGAGATCGCTTAATATGAACTGAATAGGGGCTTTGCCTTTGGCCTCGAGCTCTCCATTGAGTTCGGACTCGAGCACCGGAGTAGGTCCTCCTGAGCCGGCACAAATGTCGAGAACCGTGTATGATGAAACATTGGGCAGATGCTCCTTGAATATCTTACATGCCTGCGTTGCAAGACTCCCGTGACTCCAGAATGGGACTTGCAGATTCCAGAGCTTGGTGAGGGAGAGTTGTTCGTGCTGGTGAAGCCAGGAGGGGCACCATGGTTGATCTCCAATTTCCAGAAGCTGTAATCGTGGCCAGAACATGTTGTAATTCTTGATCTTCAATCTGTCAACAGCTGGAGAATGTACCGACCCGACAAGGTATGAACTTTCGGATGTAGAGCGGCTCAAATGATTGAAATATAATCGGGGCGAGAGAAGTAGGGGGCATGTTATGAATGGCTAATGCTCAGATTTGTGTTGGAAGAGGTGAAAGTATGCAAGGGATGAAAAGGGAGGGGCTTGGATGACAATAACCTCGCACGGATAGTCTAATCAGTCCCAAGATGGCAGTCGTATACCGTGTGCAGACACACCCTGCTCTGTACAACTGACGAAGACTGTGGCGCATGAATTCGAGGGCTAAATAGGACTAACCCGATCGAGACTAGGGCATGCCTGTATGGACTTATGTTTAGTCGCACGCGCAGACTTAGTTTCTCTTGCGGAATTTTATTTTTATTTATGCTGCGCGGTACTCTTTCGTTTTGAGTTGTAACAAAGAGTGAGTAAGTTCAGTTGCTTATACCTTTAAATTTACAAGAATGACTACCTAAGTTAAGGAATGACGTGCGGACAAAATCAAAATAGCCACCAAGAGGGGATGTCTCATAGATTGAATGGTTTCCAGCGAATTTTTAATCCAAAGTTTAAAAAGAAGTTTGTATCATTCAGTCCCGCCAGCATTAATTAAGTACTTGCGTACTTGCAGGGTGCCCTTGTCCCTTGTACCCAACTGCAGATTCATGCCCAGTGGAGTCTGACCGGCAAGATTGCGGGAGTTAACATCAGCCCCATGTTCGATGAGCAGCCCGATTATCTCACAGATTACATGACTGCTAGATCCAGCTATTCGCGTTCTGGTGGACCAATGTATAGCGGTCATCTCTTCTTTGTCTGTATTGTGCACGTTTGCACCATGCTCGAGGAGCATTTTTGTCGTCACCGGACACCCGCTGCTAGCAGCGAGGCAAAGAGGGGTTTGGCCTCGACGATTCTCGTGGTTCACATCTGCTCCAAGGTCTAGGAGGGCCTGAATTATTCTAGGAGTTTCTTTCCAGGCTACTTGTGATCCGATGGCCGTGAACAATGGAGTCTCGTCATTATCGTTGCTCCACTTCACATCAGCGCCTTGTTCACAAAGCCATGTCACCATCTTCACCGACATTTGTTTCGCAGAGTAATGGAGCACAGTACATCCCCTCTCATCCCTAGCACATATATCCGCACCATTCTCTAGTAACACTTCTGCTGATTCCCGACTCCGCTCTCCAACGAGAAATAGAGGTGTGCGCTGACGGAAGTCTCTAGAGTTCACATCAGCTCCGTGGTCAATAAGTAGTCTAATTACCTCACTGGCTCCGCCCCAGCTTTTGCAGGCGTAGTGAAGTGCAGTTTGTCCGCCGTCGTCTCCGGTAGGCGTCCGGAGGTGAACGTCAGACCCACGGTCCAGGAGCATCTTCACCACATCGGAAGACCCGGCTGTTTCGGCTGCAAAATGTAACGGGATTCTTCCATCTTTGGATTCCCGAACATGAACGTTGGCCCCTCGAGCAAGAAGCAATGCCACTCCTCTTGAATTGCCAGAACTAACAGCAGTGAATAAAGGAGTACGCTCTTGGTATCCTTTTAAATTGACATCGGCCCCATAATCCAGCAACAGTTCTATCATATCATCCCCACATTTGTTCAGAATGGCAGTTTCCAACGGGCCATGTTTAACATTATCCATGAAATTTGGGCATGCCCCATGATCAAGGAGGATTTTAACGAGCGTTGTATGGTGCCGGCTTATAGCGAGCAAAAGTGGGGTTCTGGTGCCCCAAAGCGGCCCTCGAATGTCGGCATTGACCCCGGCAGCGAGCATATGCTGAGCGGCAGAGTCATAGCCCCAGTTGGAATAGAACAGCAAGGCGAGACCGCCGGTATCGCTAATATCTCGTCTGTAAAGTTGTCCAATAAGAAGGTTGTGTATGAAATGATTGACCAGTAGAAGTCGGGAAAAATCACTATTGGAATCCAATTGGTCGGTAATGAGCAGAATAATCTCTGGTGGCAATGAAAGAAGAGGCATCGCGATGAAAAAGAATGGTGGTGCTGTTAAGGCAATTGCGGGACACTATCGACGTGGACTCATGAGGCTCGGTCAGATTCACGTGGTCTCTGCTGGAGCCTAATATCCACCACTCAGGCACCAAACAACGGCCCTATCTTCACCTACAAAAAACATGCTCAAATTTTTGCTTGCAATTGGAGCCGAATGTCAGAGCTGAACGTGCCTAGAAATAGCATAACGAGATACCCTTTTCAGGGTCAATCACCCTAAGTTGGATGTTAGTAGATGAAAAGTGGGACATAGTTTCGAACAAAAAGTGATTCAGGAGGCCCGAACTACGATTCAATTGTTGAATACTTCCAGGAATTATAAGTCAATTCCAAGTCTAAGTTGTGGATCCGTCCCAGAGTTTCACGTTGTCTTGAAAGTTCGGCTTGCTTTCAGGGTAAATCAGGCTACTCGCTACTCCGCCTTGGTTTGGTTGAACAAAAATCAAAGCCATCGCAATACCTTTGCACCCAAAGAAAAAATTTAGATTTTTTAAAAAATTGAAATCTAACTGTAGAATTCATCAGCTGATTTGATTTTAGCAGAATATGATTCCCGTAAAGTAACGCTTACGGACTGTGTGAAGTAGTCGCGCGCGCTGATGTGACATCATCGGAGATTTCGGTCAACACTGTTGCGATCTAGACTATGACGTTGCAGCGATCTCTTGACTATACACTAATACTTTAAATCAGGTACACGGTTGGTTTTGGCACAGGGATGAATTCACATACTCAATTTCAGAGCCATTTCCTATCTTCCCGTTAATTTTCTCAATTGTTTCTTTTTTCCCCTATGAATTCGCTCACTTGATATTCCTATGGCAACCACAGGAAAAGGCCGAGAGACAGGCCCACGCAAATATGCCTACAATATTGAAGCCGCACGGGAGCGAGAAATGCACCTGTACAATACCCCAATAATCTTGATGCAATTGACTGCCACTGACATTTCATACCACTTCCAAAAAGATATTTGCCATACTGGGGCTTCTCACGCTCGGAAAAGTTCGCACAGGAATCAGTCGGACATCATCCTAATATCTCCCGTGACAATGTCTTGACCGTTTTCGCCCAACTAGCGAGCCTGCGGCTGAACACAAGCCGAGCTCTAATATCGCTCTTCGATCGCACGACGCAACATGTTGTCGCCGAAGCAACTCCTCAACTTGGTCTCCGCACCACCAAGAGCGGCGAGGGGCCGGATGCCCTATGGCGTGGTGTACAGCAGCTTCCCCGAGAAAGAATCCCAATGTGCAACCTAGCCATGCGTGATTTCACCGACGAGGCAAAGGAGACGTTCATGGTACCTGACCTCACGAAAGACCCTCGCTTTCGTTCTGCCTCCTTTGTGACAGATGCTCCTTTCCATCGCTTCTACATTTCTGTTCCGATAAGATCACCTGAGTCTTATATCATTGGGAGCATCGCCGTGTTGGACGACAGGCCGCGAGATGGCATAACGGAAGAACAGAAGCAACTCCTGCAAGAACTTAGTGTCACCGTTATGGAGTACTTACTGTCTCTGCGGGCGATGCGTGAGGAGCACCGCGAGGAGAGGATGGTACGTGCTCTGGGGGTTTTCGTGCGTGGCAAGTCAGACTTGAGGGACGGCATGGATAGCGACGGTTCGGCTGATAAAAAGCCCGATGAGCTTGCTCAAGTCAATCGAAAATTGGAGGAGGTCCAGATATCCCGCCGACAAGAGGATTCGGAGCAGGGAACCGGACAGAAAAGATCGCCCCGAATGCTCAATGATGTCACCTCGAGCCATCAGGAATCGCCTGGGGAGAAGGAAAGGCAAACACGGTCACCTGTACGGAAATTCAAGACAGAGGATGAGGGAGTAGAGTCCGAAGTTGAGAGAGAAGAGAATGAGCAGCGGCCTTCACTCACGCCCACTACAAAGAAATTGCAGAAAAATCTCGCCCCTCACAACGTTCGGTCTGTTCTTAACAGGGCGTCCTGTTTGATGAATCAGGCATTGGACATTGAAGGAGCCATGTTTATCGATGCCAGTGTGTACGCTCGACGACAAGTCATCGGACCGGTCAATAATGGCAAAGAAAATGATAATGACTTCAGCACCAACCGAAGAGATAGTGATGATTATGAAATGGACTCTCAGGAGATACCTGCTACTGGTGAAGATACTCAGGGCCCCAGAAGCTTGGTTCTCGGTTATTCGACAACTTCCGCTTCCAGTGGGAAAAGCGGCAAGAGCGAGAGCCATTATATGCCATTGCCAGGCAGCTTTGTGAATCATTTAATTGATCGATACCCGAGAGGAAAAATCTTCCATATTGAACAGGATGGCTCAATCGCATTGAGTTATGAAGGACTGGCGGACGATGTCAGCCAGGCATATATCTCGAAAGAAAAAGAGATTGAAGAGGCATCGCCCAATGCCGAAGATGTCGAATTCGAAACGATGGAGATCAATCACTTCCATAAACTCTTCCCTGAAGCACGATGCCTTGCAATATACCCCATTTGGGATTTCCAGCGCAGTCGATGGTTTAGCGTGAATCTCGTCTGGACCAACGATCCAGGCCGCGTTTTATCGGAGCCAAAAGACCTGACATATATGGCGGCTTTCAGCAACAGCGTCATGGCCGAGGTATCGCGCATGGATGTGGAAGCAGCCGACCGCGCCAAAGGTGATTTTATTTCGTCCATCTCCCACGAGTTGCGCTCTCCCTTACACGGCGTTTTGGGTACTGTGGAATTACTTCAGGAAACAGCCACTACCTATGCGCAAACAGGTTTGGTGGAAACCGTCCACAGCTGCGGACGAACCTTACTTGATACCCTCAATCATCTGCTGGACTATGCTAAGATCAATACGCTCGCCGCACCAAGAGCCTCGATTCAGTCTCAGAGCTCCCATGTCAATGGTGCTGGCGATGGCGCTCAGCCCAAGGTAGCAGTCCCGGGAGTCGTCCAAGATGAGGATTTAAGTGCATTGGTGCAGGAGGTAGTGGAAGGTCTGCTCGCTGGTGCCGAGTTCTACAGTCGGGAGACGGACTCTGCGCCCGAAAGTTCTAGACAAAACGGCAACCAGACTACCATGTCCTCCAGAAAGGGTATCCTCAAAAGCCGAGTGATGACCATTGTGGACATTGAATGGCAGGATAACTGGTGTTTCCCCGTGTATTCGGGTGCTTGGCATCGAGTCGTCATGAACCTTTTTGGTAATGCCCTGAAATATACGCAGACAGGGTACATTCGGCTGTTCATGAAGAGAGATTCCTTGACCCTCGAGAAAAACAAATCTGTGCCCGCAGTGCGAATTACGATCAGTGACTCTGGCCGCGGCATGTCTCAAGACTTTATTCTTCACCACATTTATACCGCCTTTGTTCAGGAGGATACTCAATCACCGGGCCTTGGAGTGGGTCTCCATCTGGTCCATCAAATTGTGAAGTCCTTAGGTGGGAAGATTGAATTCAAGAGCAAGATCGACCAAGGGACAGATGTTGATGTGATTCTTCCATACACAAATCCTGCATCTACTCCTCCTTTAGAATCATCACATCATGCATTACGGAGGAGACTGTCCGGCATGACAGTTTCTTTCTTCACGTGCAGCTCCCAGCGTGGCGATTTAGGCATAAAGCCGGAAGTATTTGATAACATTCGGTTTAGCCTGGGCCGAATGGTCAACGACTGGTTTGGGTTGACCGTTTTAAGTTCGAATGAGCTTGAAATTCAGACAGCTGACTTTTTGATCGTGACTGAACACGAGTACCGAAAAATGGCGTGCGATTCAGATGAATCCGATATTCGGAAATCTATTGAGTCGAAGAGTGGATTTCCCCTCATTGTTCTCAGTGAACGAGCTAGCAGCTGGAAGGTAGCCAAGGAGAATAACAAGGACCATGCAATTTTTTGGCTCAACCGTAAGTATCTCGGTCTCGAGACTGATTCTTTGCTTACCTGCTGGCATACAGTGTAAGCCCCAAAACACTGGCGACTGCCTTGGAGCATTGCTTGAACCCGCAAGACACGAGGCAACATATTAGAAGCGAAATTTCACCAACGGAAGATAGCGAATACGTCGCAAAGGATCAGGGGCTGGACGACGATGAGTCTGAAGGACATCACCCAGACAAAGGGGCTGTTATTCCACGCGAGCAAGGACCTGGAAAAACTGCCCCAGAGGTGCTTCTTGTGGAAGATAATGCTGTTAATTTGAAGGTGAGGTTTGACTCTGACTATTTGCCCAACCCCTGTGACGCGAACTAATATTTGCGCATCTAGATTCTTGCGGAATGTGTAAAGAACACTAACCTCGCCTACGAAACCGCGACCAACGGTCTTGACGCAGTAGAAAAGGTCAAAACTGGAAGATTTGACGCGATCATTATGGGTAAGTCGCTTGAGATTCCCGGATTGGGAGGCCAATTTGACTAATCGTGTGTAGACATCTCCATGCCCGTGATGGACGGTCTTTCCGCGGCTAGAGCTATGCGGAGCTTTGAGAAGGCCAATGGCCGCTCCCCCACCTCTATTATCATCTTGACGGCAGTTTTATCTGCCGAAAAACAGGAAGAAGCAAATATCAGCGGCGTGGATGTGTTTCTCACCAAACCTACCCCGCTGAAGCAGCTGAGCCAGATGCTTCGCAATTTGCCAAGCGTGAATCGAGCCAACTAGACCAAATAAGGTGTACTCTTCAACGCAATCGATCTCTGTCGGCTGACCCTGACTGGTCAACCATTTGTTTAGTTAGCTCCCTATAGTAGACAGAATGGGATGCTTAGTCGGTTCTCTAGATGTCTTTTTCTCCAAAATTTCTCTCGAATGCTCTATCTTTATTTCTGCCTATTATGCCTACTCTCCAGACCTTCGAGGTGTTTTCTGAAGATCGATTTGGATTTTCTTTGTTCTCGTCGATATGGAATCAAGAATTACATCACTTCTTGCTCGAGATGCCGCGGGCTACCCCCGGCACTGGGTGAAATTGCTGTGAATGGAACTTATCGTCATCACCAGAATCTTGAAACATAGATATATTAGTCGTGGATAACCTTGGCTTGCGGTAACCGGTACTGCGTACTATCGGTTGGGCTCGAACGACCGCGACAGAAGCATTGGGGATAACAAAGGTGATGTGCTTGATCACTTTTTTATCATCATCAAGCTCTAGCCAGAGCTTAACATCTTTGCACCTTCCCCGCGGAGGGAACGGGGCAAGCTTAAACTGCTTCTCTGTCTACTTCCACACATACCAGCCCCAACATAAGTCTGAACATATATTTCTTGCAAAGCGAACGCAAACTTAATACAGCCACCATGGTACATTATATGTTCTTAAAAAATCATCCAATTATTCCATTACATACCAATTATAAGTATTAAGCAGCTCGGAGTTAAGTGCTGCGTTATTAGAGTCCAACTAACAGTATTTTTTCAAAGTGATTGTGAGACTAGAATAAGAGATTGTGGTCTTTTCGCTGAAAATAGCCCCGCTAGCTCAGTTGGTTGTTCGTCTCCCCAATTAACCTCCTTTATGAATCTTACTAATAATTTCCCAGAGAGCGCCAGACTTTTAAAAAAAGGTATCTGGATGTCAGGAGTTCGACCCTCCTGCGGGGCGACATTTTTTTTTCTTTTGTTCTTTTTTTCTGATTATCTTTTCTTGTCATTTCCTTTTCATCGCATGCCTAATAATTTTATATCCCTTGCTTTTTTTAAAACTTAGTATTGGCAAAACCACTAATGCTCCCCTCAATTCCAGGGAATTGTTGGAGCACCTCAACCGAGATGGATGGTGCGCCTATTGTCGGGCTCCTGAACGGGAAGCGGTAAACCACATGCGGGGCACACCTCTGGGTCCAGTCAAACGCAAATCCCTCTGGTAAACAACACCTAAATAAAATGACTAGCGATAATTCATGGGAGCTGGAGGAGGGTATCCCTCAGTTTGAGGACCCATTCATCCAGCAGTATCTGAAAGGACGCGACTCCCTGATCGCGGAAGAACAGAAGAGACGTCATGGTACGAACACATCCAATACCCCCGCCGAAGAACTAGCAGGCTGAACTTCTGCACCAGATGCAACATTTCGCAAGACTCTTTCCCCAATGGCCGCCCGTGCTTGTAGAATCGTTTCCCAGATTCGCTCCCGCGAGCACGATGAAGTGTGGACCACGGGACTCGACGATGAAACCGCGCATCAGTCAGATGAAATCCTCTATCCGGGCGTCATGTTCCACCATGCCAAAGGCCGCATGGAAAAGACAAATCTGTGGAAAATTGTGGAGAAGATGCCCAAGGGATCCCTTCTACATGCGCATATGGATGCCATGTTCGATATCGACTTTTTGATCGACCAGGCTTTTTGCACCCCGGGGATCCACATGTCCGCACCCAAGCCGCTATTAACACCGCATGACTATGATACTGCGCCTGTATTCTTTCAATTCTCATCTCAGCCTAGTGAAGCATGCAAGGATAAGCCTGCTGTCTGGTTGGAGGCGTACGAGCCCTCGTCATTGATTCCGATTCAAGCAGCCGCGGATTCTTTCCCTAAACACGGCGAGGCTGGATTCCGAGAATGGTTGAAGAGCCGGTGTATGTTGATGCCGGAGCATGCATACCACCACTACCACGGGGTCGACGCGATCTGGGCAATCTTCACCAAGACTTTCCCCGTAATCAATTCCATTCTGATGTACGAGCCGATTTTCCGCGCATGCTTCCGTCGCATGTTGGGACAGCTCGCCGCAGATGGGATTAGATATGTGGAATTCCGCATCGCGTTTGTCTTTCAATATAGGAAAGAAGGACAAGACAAGATAGAAGAAGACTACCACGAGTGGTGCAGAGTTGTGGAGGAAGAGGTGGAAAAATTCAAAGCGACTGAAGAAGGAAAGAGTTTCTACGAAGCGCGAATTATCTGGACGACCCTACGGATGCTGCCCAACAAGGACATCGTTGAGAGCATGAAGCAGTGCATCGTATCCAAGATGGATTTCCCTGCCCTGATTAGTGGCTTTGACATGGTCGGACAGGAGGACAAGGGCAGAACTCTCGTGGATCTTGTGCCACTACTATTCTGGTTCCGAAAAACGTGTTCGGAGGAACAGGTTGACATTCCTTTCTTCTTTCACGCGGGTGAATGTTTGGGCGATGGCGACTCGACCGACCAAAACCTCTTTGATGCCATCCTGCTGGGCACCCGACGGATTGGACATGGGTTCTCTCTCTACAAACACCCGCTACTCATTGACCTGGTCAAAGAGAAGAAGATCATGGTCGAATGCTGTCCCGTCTCCAACGAAATCCTCCGGCTGGCAAGCTCCATAAAGACCCACCCGCTGCCCGCGCTGCTAGCCAGAGGTGTGCCCGTCTCGCTCTGCAATGATGACCCTGCCATCCTTGGCCAGGGTAAAAATGGATTGACGCACGACTTTTGGCAAGTATTGCAGGGGTTGCAAAATGTCGATCTTGTGGGCCTGGCGATGATGGTCCAGAACTCTATCCAGTGGAGCTGTTACGAGGACCAGTCAACAGCCGAATGGAAACGTGGAGTCGAAGAAGGCATCCTAGGGCAGGGTCTGAAGGCGACGCGTCTGCGCGAATGGTGGTCGGACTTTGAGAAGTTCTGCGAGTGGGTGGTCTTGGAGTTTGCGGAGTTTGACGAGGACGATTGAAGGTGCATCTGAGCAGACGTCAGCTTTCTTCTAATACATGCAAATGAAACAGCAAAATATGAATCATGTAAAACATCGAGACGCATAGGGTGTAAAAGAGCGCAAAATTGAGGCACGGTGGTGTGTGTTGGTGTGTTGGTGTGTTGTCAGGGGCCCGCCAACCTTCCGCCTGACTCGGAATCACTTATCGCGCCTTTATCAGGTGCCTCCTGCTCCGCACGTCATTGTCAACGTTCCCTCCCCCAACTCCCTCTGCCCGAGGGCTTGCGCTCTTTCTTTCTCTGACGATTGTTATCATGTTCCTCCTTGCTTGTGTATGACTGAGCCATCTGCTCTCTCAAGATGGCGTACTTCCTGCCATCGTTCTTTCAGAAGCGACTGCTTAAATATGCCTTATCTCGTCTGGGCCTCGTCGATACGGAGGCACTGGATCCGGACAGCTTGGGAATCCGTTTCGGACAGAGAAGCACGGTGGAGTTGCGAGATATCGGCCTGAAGCTGGAGGTGAGTGTCCTGGCGACGGCCCTGAGATGATGCGGGGCGGTCTGCGGCTCGTTCCAAGCTGCCAAGCGGTGCATACTGACATTCAGACGCGTTTCCAATAGAAACTAGCGACTCTCCTTCATCTCCATCCAACGTGCGAGCTTATCGCTGCGCGAATACAGTTTCTTCGAATCACCGTTCCCGCCGACATATACAGTAGCGGCATCATCTGCGAAGCCAGCGGTATCCACGTGCATCTTCGATTGCTATCGGAAGAACCAGCCAAAGGAAAACATGCAAGGCCAAAATCCCGTCCCAGCACCGTGTCGGGCGCTTCGGGCCCCGATGTTCAGGTCCTACCCACGCCGTCCAACCTCGCCGAGTCGTTCTTAGAGACCGAGCCTCAGGAGGAGAAAGAGGAACTACAAGCCGCCATCTCGTCGCAATCTCATATTCTACAAAAGTCGTCTTCATTCGCCGATGAAGAGGACGAAGAGCTGGGGCTGGGAAGTGATAGTCTTTCGTTGCCGAGTTTTGTTGCGGCCTTCCTGAAAGGCGTGGCGGATCGGCTCCAACTCAAGATCAGAGACGTCATCATGCGGTTGGATATGGAGCTGAAACAAGATGGCCCATCCAAGAGACAGCCCGAAGATAAGCCGGATCTTGTCGCGGGCTTGTTGAGCGTACGCGAGATCGATGTTCATGGGGTATCAGAGTTCACTGCTGGTCCAGGTGAAGCAACACCTTTCCGAGAGGGCAAGAGGATGGTCTCTATCGATGGTATCAATTTTGGTCTCGTATCGGACCCGGTTGTATTCTCGAACTATTCGCGGTTCACCTCTCCTGCGTCTCCGACAACCACGATGCGGTCGAAGGGAAGCCATCCATCAAGCAGAGCACCCTCACCTCATCCGTTGGATTCATCTGGCTCTAACCATGGCCTTGCTATGACGCAGTCCACTATTTTCGGGCCATCTATCCAGTTTGGCCATGAAAGTGTCAGCGATCACGGGATGGAGGAATCTACAATCTCTCACGGTGGTCGGTTTTCCGACGCGGACTCCGAACCGGAGAGTACGCGCCATCGCTACCTCGAAGACTCCCAGGTATTTGGGGACGATCCATTCCAAGACAATCCAGGATATTTAGATTCGGTGATCGATACACAATTTGACGACTTTGACGATGAACAACCCGCATCAATGCAATCACAAAGACACCCTATGGCAGAAAGTGACGATAGGGTTTCCCACCAGGACCTCTCGTTGCGGTCCAGTGGAATAGTGGCGGAGTGTGAGGATCCTGAACCTGACGAAGGAGGATCGATGCCACTTGAGAGCACACACGGGTTGCAGACTAATGAATCACAGCGTGAAAACCAGGTGGACCCTGAGGCGAATGTTTCTGCACGTTCTGCTCAATATTCCAGTCACCTTGAGGATCCTTTTATACCGCAAATGGGTGCTTCGCAGCATCTATCACAGGCGTTTGCACCGCCCTCCGAATCTGGCAGCGCAAATTCAGGATCTGCAACTCCCGATGCAGAACTCATGGAGTCAAAGTACTTTTCGCATGACGAAGCTCAGAGCTTGTACATGAGTGCTATCAGTCAAGGAAACGGCGGAAGCTTCATTCCGAACATGCCTGGAGCTTGGGACACTTTTGCCCCTAGCAAATCGTCAGCAAGCGCTGCCGAAAATCTAACAGAAAGGCCCGATCCGACCGAAGACGCTCAGCCGGATAAAGAAAGTTTTAGTGAAGCTTCTGCTTCCACTCCGAAGTTGGCTGGCCAATCTGATTCTTATTTCGGCGACCACCAGTCTCTAAAAAGTAGTCAAGCTCAGTCCCAGTCTGCATCCACTGACAAAGCTTCTACTCCACCATCACCTACTCTGCACAGAATGAGTGAGATGCGAAAACCTATGCTCAGCATTGACAAGGTTCTCGTTTGGTTGCCATCTACTCCCGAGGAGACCATCACCTCCGAGCACGCATCACCGAAAATGAACAAAGCAGACAGTAATCTGAAAGAGTCAGAGCCTGGGCTGAACGAATCCATAGTCGACGAGAGCATGTTTGCTTCCAAGGCCTACGCTTCTACTAAGTTCCCAAGAGGCACAAGCGAGCCCCACGATTTAACCGAAGCGGATCGAACGGAGAAACAGCAGCATACAACTGGTAGCAAACCGCAGGAGCTTGAAGTGGAGGTTTCCACGGTCGCGATCCACTTTGACATTGCGACTGGCTGGCTTCTGACTAAAGCATGTCAGAGGCTGATGCAGGTGGTTCCTCAAGAAGGTCAATACAAGAAGCAGCCTCCCCCAGATCAACCAGCTCGTCAAACATCCTTGCATCTCGTCATTCACCAGCTTTCAGTCAAGTTCATTGAGCACGTGGCAGGAAGTGCCCATTCTCCTGGAAATGACGGTATTCCTCCGGCTCCGCCATATTATTCCATGGAGGACATTGTTCTTCAGATTGCAGCGTCGGGTTTGAAAGCCCGGGTTCTGGCAGATAAAAAGCGGAACAATCTGAATCTTGATATCTCCAAGTTTAAGGTTGGGCTTGCCTCTGACGACCTGATCTCGTTCAACGAGTCCTTGAAGATGCGCGAATCTACCCGGGACATTATGACTTCTACTCCACTTGACATCTCTTTGTCATTGAGCAAGTCGTCCGATTCTGCTAAGCTTGAAATATCTACATTACCTCTTCACCTCAACCTTAACATTCAGCAACTGGACGAGGTTCTGGGATGGATGGGTGGTCTGAGTACCATTTTGGAGCTGGGAACCTCTATTTCCTCTGCAGCTACCATGAAAGGGGGACCGAAACCTCCAAAGAAACGCCCTCGTGGTGTTCATTTTGAGACACCGAACCCAGCACCTGACAAAGGCAACACAATCTCTACTCCTTGGAAGGCGAATGCTCGAGTTGGTGGTATTGTGCTGGATGTCGTCGGCGAAACTCACTATCTCAAACTCAGCACAAGCGCGGTCAAAGTTGTCAGCAGATATGAGGGCATTGGTGTCCAAATTGACAAAGCGGAATTGGCAGGTCCACTACCGCTCGATGACATTAATGACGCGCCTGCCAAGGTTGCTTTGGATAACATCAGAGTCGAGTTACTATCTGTGCCGAAGGAGAACGATATCGATCGGCTTCTGGCCTTGATCACACCGTCAAAGGACAAGTATGATGACGATGACGATATCATGCTTGATACGCTCATACGACAGCGAAGACAAGGCTCTGTTCTTCGAACAAAGGTAGAAGTCATGGAGATATTCGTTTCAAACCCCAGTGGCCTGACTCCCCTTTCGTCGCTTGCTGTTGAAATGAGCCGCCTGTCCAATGTCACGAAGTATCTTCCCGAAGACGACCGCCCTGGCATTCTTACTTTGACAAAGATTTGCGAGCTTGATGTCAAAGTTCAAATTGGTGGAGAGGTTGGAAACTTGAACGCCCGTCTGATGGATTTGGAAGCTGCCTGGATTAGCATGCCCTCCTTAATTGCGACTAAAATCGAAAGCATGACCGTCATTCGAAAGACCAAGCACAGCAATGAGGAACTCGTTGGTGAAGCTATACGCCCCAACGCCCAGAAAACACAACAACCAATGTTCATGGCTCGATTCATTCCCGATGAATTGGATCCCACTTTTAAGATAAAGTTACATCGGCTTCGTGTCGAGCATACGATTGCCTCGACCATGGCCTTCCTCGGTCTAGGCCGAAATACAACAGGCGGAGAACTGGCTGGTGAGATGGCAAGTTCCATTGCCAATCTCGCAGAACACTCAGGTCGAGCAACAGATCCATTGGCCTTTGCTGCATCAGCATCCGACACCTCCGGGGCCTCCACAAAACCCACAAGGCTGGCAGTTGTGCTAAAGGATTGCGTTCTTGGACTCAACCCTCGCAATTCTCCATCAAAGGGCCTTGTAGTGCTGACGAATGCTAAGTTCGGTGGTATATTGAATGGAGAGGAATCCTCGAAGGCCACACTGGACATCCGAAAATCTTCGATCATGATCATCGACGACGTGGCCAACGATGGCTGTACCGGCAACCTTCATCAGCGAACATCAGCTGTTGTCCAGAGTAACCAAGTCCAGGAATACATCGACAAGGGCTATGTGCCGGTCTCTACAATCTCATCTGCGACGGCTGTCGTCACAATGATGAAGCTGGCCGAGGACGGAACGAAGTCGTTGGATGTTGAGCTTCGACCTGATTTGGTGATTCTCGAAACTTGCGCGGACTCCACGCAGACCCTTATCAGTATTTTGAATGGACTTCAACCTCCCACGCCACCCAGCGTCGCTGTGAAGTATCGAACAGAGGTCATGCCCCTTCAGGACATGCTCGCCTCCTTTTCGGGGGATGCATTTCCAGCTGACCCCAGCTTACCTCCTGACTTTGAAAGCGAGCTAGAGCCTGTGGTCGAGGAACAGTCCTCAGAAGATCAATTGAGTGACGAACTTGAATATGTCAGCGATTTCGATCCTGGAAGTCAGGGTATTGAGACTATGAGATCGAGCGGGGGCAATGATCTTCTTGACAGCTTCCATTCACAGTACCAGGTTTCATCTAGCATCGCGGAGCTAGACTTCCAAGAGGACCACTTCGCCAAACAATCTGCAGTTGGAGGTACTGCACACCGATGGGACTCCACCCACAACACCTATGGTCTTTCCAATGACGCGAAGCTCCAGCGGAGCCCACTTCGAGTCAGAGTTCGAGAAATGCACTTCATCTGGAATCTCTTTGACGGGTATGACTGGCAGCGTACCCGAGACGCCATCTCAAAGGCTGTCAAGGATGTTGAGGCCAAGGCCACCGAGCGACGCGCCCGAGCCTCGCGCATGGCACCTTCCACCGAAGATGAAGAGGAGTCGGTCATTGGCGATTTTCTGTTCAACTCCATTTACATTGGCATTCCCGCAAATAAGGATCCGCGTGAGCTCCATCGCGAGATCAATCGTGACATCGACGATCTCACCAGCGAGACTGGAAGCTATGCGACATCGACCACGGTCACCGGTGCCACCAGTCGACAAGGACGACCTACGTCCACAAGGGAGAAGAAACTGCGACTGCACCGGAGCAAGCATCACAAGATGACCTTTGAGCTCAGGAGCGTCTGTGCCGACTTGGTTGTCTTCCCGCCCGGATCAGAGGAGACACAGAGCTCCGTAGATGTGCGGGTTAAGGACCTTGAGATCTACGACCATGTGCCTACTTCGACATGGAAGAAGTTTGCTACCTACATGCATGAAGCGGGAGAGCGGGAGAGCGGGACCAGCATGGTCCATATTGAGCTTCTCACCGTGAAGCCTGTGCCTGAGCTCGCTGCATCAGAGATTGTTCTCAAAGTACGTTATTCAATTATTTATTACTCTGGATGTGACTAACGGCTTCAAGGCCACTGTTTTGCCCCTCCGGCTACATGTTGATCAAGATGCTCTGGATTTCATGAGCCGATTCTTCGAGTTCAGAGATGAATCTGTTGAAGAGTCTACTACGCCGGGCGACGTCCCATTCCTGCAGCGAGTCGAAGTCAACGCCGTGCAAGTTAGACTGGACTTCAAGCCGAAGAGAGTTGACTACGCCGGTCTCCGATCCGGTCGCACGACGGAGTTTGTGAATTTCTTCGTGCTGGACGGCGCCGATATGGTCCTGCGACACGTTATCATCTACGGAGTCTCTGGGTTTGATCGGCTCGGCAACACGCTCAACGACATATGGATGCCCGATGTCAAGCGAAACCAGCTCCCCGGTGTCCTCGCGGGATTGGCACCTATCCGGTCCCTGGTGAACGTGGGTGGAGGTGTGAGGGACCTCGTCCTTATTCCGATGCGCGAATACAAGAAAGACGGACGAATCGTGCGCAGCATCCAGAAAGGAGCCATGGCATTCGGCAAGACTACATCCAATGAGTTCGTGAAGCTGGGCGCCAAGCTCGCCATCGGTACCCAAACGGTCCTGCAGGGAATGGAGGACTTGCTGACGTCGCCCAACGCTTCCTCGGCGGCCTCGGAGGAGAACCGGGATGATGAGGAAGAGGCAAAGAGGATCTCCCTCTATGCCGACCAGCCAATGGGGGTGGTCGCGGGTATTCGAGGCGCATACAGCAGTCTCGAACGCGATCTCCTCCTTGCACGAGACGCAATTGTGGCGGTGCCTGGGGAAATCGTCGAGAGCGGAAGCGCCAAAGCAGCGGCCAAAGCCGTGTGGAAACGTGCGCCGACCGTCGTCCTTCGACCAGCGATCGGCGTTTCCAAGGCTGTGGGACAGACCTTGCTGGGCGCCGGCAATACATTGGACCCGACCAATCGGCGTAAAATGGAAGATGTATGTGGATATCCGACTGCCCCTGATTTGATCTAGACTAACGGCCCTCCAGAAATATAAGCGTCACTGAAAACGAAGATCTACGAGTCGGCTCAACGCTGTTTGATTCTTTTGCATGAGCCTGGATATACACTGCTTGATTTTGCTGCGATGATACCACTCCGCTCCTTGATGGGATACGACAATGCATGTAAAAATTGCTCATGATTCGCATGATTCGGGAGTTGCAATTTTTTTTTTTTTAATTCTGTGTTTGATATTCTTAGGCATGGATTTGTTTGATTAGCCGTGCTAGGTAGATTGAATCAGCTCCAGTAGCACGTTCATGCACGAGTCTGCATATTCGCCACCTGCGCCCAGCATGTGAAACCACCACACACCACAATTAAAGTTGTTCGTTGCCCGACGGCTATGGCCTCGAAGATCTTACAGGGGTCTCGTCGCTTTGCATTCCCCCTTTCATGCAGCCATGAATCATGCATTTCGCAGGTACGAGACTGAGTTTTGCGTCGTGAAGGGGCCCCAAGGGGATAACCATGGCTCGCACGTTCGGAATTGTCGAAACCGGCCAGCCTCCGACGGTTTCCCCCTTCTGCTCGGTTATGTCCGATTGTGCCTTGAATCTCGTGGTGTTCGAATTATTCTCCGAAATTGTACCTTGCTACATAGAGCTCTCGATTTCCCCGATCTCGTGTGGGTCAGACGAGATCTCACGCGTGGCCCTGCAAAATCGGATTCAAGCACGAAGTTTCTTTTGTCTTCATTCACGGCGATCTAGTCCCACCCGACCGTCATGGATCCTGAAAAAGTTCTGAGATCCCTTCATGTGGGTTGTGTTGTCCTACAACAAGAGTACGGATTACGGAGCCCTCTAGGAAGGGTGAATGGAGTTATTTTCGAATCAAATAAAATCACTAGGATGGACGGAGTAGCATGTGGTTAGATATTATAAGTCGCATGCTGTTCCGATTGTGTTTTGGCTGCATAAACGCATACATGTACAGTGAGACCGGTGGGCGTGAAGGGCACGATTCGCCGGTAGACAACGCGTAATGTATCGCCCGCCCGCGTGGCCCTGCATTGCCACCGTGTCCAACCTTCTCGAGCACCGTCAGCCAACCAGCCACCCCTCGATGTTTCTGCCCAAGTCATCGCCTTCTTTCAGCCCCAGCCTTAAAATGGCCACGGGCTAGTTCCGGGCCCCGACTGGTCCAAGGTTGCGAGGCCGGAGTGGGTCGGGTTCAAGTCATAGTTCCTCCATGGACTACGATTGGCCCCCCGGGAAACGGGAGGGTGTGCGACTAAGCCTCACTAGCATCACGCTAAGATCATGAGGAGGAGCAGGGCGATCGCTAGGGCCATCTGCATGTCATTTTATCCATCATTGTGATGCATCCCACATGCCGGTACCTCTCCGCAGACTGCCCAGGGGTAAAAGTCTGTCAGACCGACTTTTCGCCCAGTTTCTTATGAACTGCCGAAAATGGCAGTGACGTCGACGAGTCGCACTACATTATTTAATACAAAGCGGCGCACAATCGCATTCGAATTCCCCGTTATGTAGTTGACCCGCCGGTTCGCCCGCCCGCGACCCAGCGTCCCTGGGTTCCAGACCGCGTCGCCTCCCCTGTGGATCGTGGTGGATACCCGAGGAAAAAAACGTTCTTGTTTGTTCCCAGGAACCCCCCCGGGTCCGACGTCCTTATAATACTCTCGTTTTCTCGGGGTCTGGTACCTTGCAATTTTATGTTGAAATTGGTTGGCAGATCCTCTTGTCCCTTGCAGTTATTCGTTCTGACGAATCAGATATAGAACGTCCGGGCGTTGGATTGATCTCCCGATCGCCGTCTACAAGAGATATGTCAATTCACTAAGGTTCGACCTAGAGACGAACCCCTCAAATCACTGCAACCTCGAGTGGACCGCTTCGCACCATGTGCGAACACTCAAATTATTGTGCCGACTCCAGCGGGGGCTGGCGCGACGAGCTGCCGGATGGCTCGCTAGTATGCTACAGATGTCTCGAGATCCACCCCGTTTATGCATCCTGCACTCCTTCGCCCCTCCCAGATGCGGTGTCACCCCCCCCTCGTCTGAAGTCGGGAATCACTGGCTCCTTGTCTCTCCATGATTACCGAAAGTATCTCTCCCAGGAGTGCACCGACGATCCCGTCGATCGGTCAGAGAAAAGCCTCAAGCGCAAGACTGCCACATCGAATTTGAATCGACCGCCGCCGCTTTCTGCTGTTCCTTCTTGTGCAGTCTCGGTGTCCTCTGCGCCATCCAGTCCCCCGCCTCTGTCGCCTTCCTGCTCTCATAGTATCATCTCCCAGCGGAGCGAACAGGATTTCGACTCCCTAGAGCTACCATCTGGTGCGTTTTGCCCTGAATCCTTATCAGACTAAAGCAAAGCACTGACCCTATTGCAGTTTATTCCCAGCGCCCACGAGATTACCTTGTCTCAGAACATCTGATACGTCCTAGACCCAACAGGAAGCGATTGGTGAGTGGCCTGAAACATTAATAAACACTCCCTCCCACCTGTCCTAACAATGTATTCTAGAATACTTTCCGTGAGAAGCACCGGAAAAACGTTCAGGCTCGGGACCAGGCTCAACGTTTGCCTACAAGTCCTCAGACATCCGACTCGATGTTGGCCACCACGCAGGCCGTTGCCACCGTCTCGCATGGCGGGGCCTCCTTCGAGATTCTCAATCCGCGCAAGTCGCTGGATATTGCGAGAATCGTCTCCTTCATCGAGGATGTCGATGGCTGCTCGTTGCCTTCCCTAGATCCCATCCGGGACTCCAAGGTCTCCGCCACCACTGTGGACCTGGGACTGGACCGATGCTCCCTTTCTCAGTTCACTGATGCTTCCTTGCCATCACACTACTCTTCACAATCCATATACACTCCTTTAACGAGATTCTCCACGCCCAAGCGGCAAACCACCGATACCTCCTCCTCGTCACCTGGTGTGCACGGGCGAGTTCGCTCCCTCTCCGACTACTCTATCCACGAACACAACCACTGGGCACAGAACCAGCAAAATGAAAACGACCCACACGAGGAAACCTATCCCGATCTGATCGGGGACTCCCCGAACCAGCAAATGACCTCGATCTCCGAGCGTCTCGAGGAACTAGACGAAGACAACGATGAACGCCAACGTGAATCACCTCGGTCACCATCCTCCCAAAAGACCTTCTACTCCGACGATGACAGCGAAATCGGCGAGCCGGGATCCCCTGTCTACGCAAATGGCGAGTGGGCCCAGGTTGACGAGCGCGACCGCGGCGTCCTCTTCGACGAACCCTCTTCCCCCTACGGCATATACTACGAAAACACAATGCCCGACTACAACTACGCCAAAATCCACGACCCCTATGATCTCATCTCTCTCGATCCACATGTTCAATCCGTGCTAGCCGCGGCCAACGCCGAGGACATGGGACTGCGCGGACATCCCGCTCGCGACCTGGATGACTTGCAGCGCAAGTCGAACGGGAAGGTCGATGACCGCAAACAGGCTTTTTCGCAGAGAAAAAGGCTGCGAAAATTCTTCAGCTGGCGGTCTGGGAACTGATTGGATCCTTGATGAGGTCTGATACGATATGACGATGGACATGTGGCGAACCTTTTCCCTTCTCCTTTGCTTTCCAATTCTCTTCGCTTCTTCCTTGTATTCTTTATACCTTTACTTTAACCCTTCATATCTTCCTATTCTCTTGAGTCTGAGACTCTTGTTTCATTATCAAATATCTCGAATCCGATACACGGGGATGTCAATCCTACACTTTCTTCTGTCAAATCTTTTCTTAAGATATCCGATATATTAATAAGCGTCATCCGTCAGAGACGGTAGATATACAGGCATTGGGAAGGCGAACCCGTGGTAGACAGTAAAAGGCTCGCTGGTTATCTGCAAGCGGCGGCATATCAGAATCTTGTTTAAAAGTTGTATCTTCAAGTTGATGTATTGTGATGGGTCGGGTATTAAACCACCACCATGACAAAATGTCGAGAGCGTAGATTAAGCACGTAGCCCATTCTGGATAATCTACCCTAACTCCGCGGCATGACTGACAAGAAAATAACGCCACACGATGCAGAGCGATATCGCCAAGGCAAATCCCGACTAGCAATGCGCTGCCATATATCTTCAGGCAAATCCCGAACATACTTCGTGCCCGCTCAACAGCGCACGTTGAGCTTTGCTAGGCATTTATTTTGGTGCTCAGACACCGACTACAAAATAGTCAATTCCAAATACGAATAAGCGCTAGTGCAAGGCATTTTCGCTTTTGGCATCCTACAGCTACACTAATCCTTCTTATCTCAAAACTGATCAGAATTACTTCATTACCTAGAGTATACTTAAACATTGTACCCTTTAGTCACGGGATATCCTTTCGTCTAGATAGAAGAGGGACCATAACTATATAACCCCCTAGGTATCCTGGATAAAAGGGAAGACAGTAAAGAAGTCTTTTCTCATTTTAACCCGTCATTTTCGATCGACAGCCTTCCATGATGCCTCAAATTCGGCCCCTAAAGGTTGTCCTGAGTCCTACTTTTGGGGAGAAAGCAGTGCAGCCACGACGACGCCACATTGTGATGAATGGAAGTACAGAATAGAACGCGCACTCCTCCCTGACTCAACTCCGCAGAGCTGGGAAAGAGTAAAACAGTCTGCATTAAAGAAAATTAGAGAAGTTTTCGATTCTACTTCACATGCTTCCAACGAAGATGCAACAGTGATAAGGAAACTGGTCCTTTCCGAAGAACTTCAGTCGTGGCGTGACAGTGAACATAAAGCGGGTCGAAAACTTGCACCAAAAGGATACGGGCTCTGTTGTATATCGGATCAAGTCATCAATCTACTGGGAGCTCATGAGTGGGCTGCACCCCTTCTCACGCGTGCTGCCTTCAATGGAGTTGGGATTATGAATCTCCTAATTGGCGCCTATGACGCGTCAACACTCTACTCCAACTACTGTACGGATATGTGGTTCTACTACGAGCACGGATATCACAAAGCCTTTCCGGGATTCGAGACTGTGCTGCACATGGCTAGTGCAGATCCTCATGCATGCGAAACTTTAGGTGGCAGGGAGTGAAGAGAGGCTGTGAACATTGGCCGCCAATACATCCAAGAGAAAAGCCTCGCTGAAGAATGCCACAAAAGCCATCTCGCGAGGCTATCGGCAAAACTTAATCGTGAGGAGCTTCTGACGGTCTCAATCTGTGAAAGCAGTCTCGCCGGAATGGCTGCCGAGGCTATGGCGAGGGGTTTTGATCCCGGTGCTGTGGCCCGTCAATTTGCATTTAGCGCGCCAGGAACGGATGTGGTGGATGTCGGGACTGATTTCTATAATTCAGAGCTCTTCAACAGCTTTCTGAATTCGCATGATATCATGAGCACCGGCAGCATTTCAGAAAATTCTCTGAGGAGAGTCTATGATGCATATGCTCATATTGGGGCCACGATATTCATGGGAAATTGGTCCGATCCAGGATCCATCGTGTGCGCAAATCTATACAGCTGGCATATTCTGAATGACCGGCACGAATTCCTGAGACGGGCAGTTTTGGGGTCTTCCAAGATGCGAACTGGGCGGTCGGATCAAAGATATGCAGAGTGGGACGAAGCGTTTGACGAGGATGGCCAGACAACGGGATTCAGCCGGCCACTTTCGAATGCCTGCAATGGTTTTCCCACCTGTGATCAGATTGAAGCCTTCCTAGAGCGCTCTGGTAATAAGGAGTTGCTCGAGAAGATTTGGTATCTCCTATCTATCGGGCCAGCAGAGTATGTTTCTCGGGGGTTAGTGGACGAGCTTAAGGAAAAGAACCTCGTTGACACGTTAGAACTGGCTATGGCGAATGCATATTCCTACGGGTTGGTGCATGAACTTCGTTGGTTGTTGGCTCATGCTTCTCATCATGCCTGGCAGGTGAATTACGTCTTTGAGGCCGCCATGTTTGGGAGCTTGCTGGATGATGGTGGTTTGGAAGGGAAATTGGACCGATATGAGTAGTAAAGGATATGAGTTGCCATGGGATGATAGATGGGCTGAGCAGGCGTTTGAGATTCTGCAATTGAAATGCCACTGAAAGGGCTCTTCGGAAGTTATAAATTTCGTCTGGACTGCGCTCTAGATGGGCCACTTTGGGTTGAATTCGGCTTGTGTATGTCAACATAAGAGCCTAAGTATGGCCCTGCCTTGGAATTCTTTCTAAATTGGGTATCAATTAAATTCAAGTATATACATAAAGGCAGAAGGCCTGTCCCATGAATGCATTAAGACCGCTCCACAACAGATGCCAGCGCCGCACTGACCATGCTCTTGCGGCGGAGTCCCTGCTCACCCCGTTTGGAGGATTCTCGGGTGGTATGAGAAGGATAATGGCTCTTCCCTACCCGGCGAGACTGCGCTGGCCCGGTGGCACTCTTCCTCCGCCCACGGGCCTCGGATGCGTAGGAATCAGGCCCGAACCGGCTGCGGTGCAACGTGAGTGCTCTTCGGCGTGGCGATAACCGCGGCGGCAGGGAACTGGGGTGGCAATCGTCTTCGACCGGGACGTCTGGTCCAGGCCCGTAGGGTTCCTCGGACATGACCGTTCGACGAATGGCCTCAATTTCACCCTCGTCACATTGCAATTGCGATATTTGTTGCCTTTGCAACCGGATAGTTCGATGGTCCGGCTGCTTGGGGTTGAAGTTCGAAATCTCCGTGCTGTCTAGAGAGGGGAAGTCGTATGGGATAGACGTCGGGCTTGAGTTTGAGCCCAAGGACGGCGAGGAGTCGTAATGTCCATCCTCGTCGTGGTCTGTGTCTGGTGGTGTAAGGATATATCCAGAGTAGCGATTACGCACTCGGCTTCCGTCGTGCGCTAGGCGCCCCTGTTCAGGGAGTCGCTCGCCTTTCGGGCCCTGGAGGGTATGTTCATGCAGTTTCTGCGTGAGGGTTGAAATAGAAAGACGTTTCTGTTCGTAAGGAAAGGGCACTGAGGTCGGAGGAGGCTGCTGCTGCGAGCGAAAGAAGGAGGATCTCGAGCGAGAGAGTGTGCGGAACCGGTCTGAGGGCGATGGGCAACGCGACGACATTGGCGAGATCAGCGAGCTATCACAGTCGACCATGAGCCGTTCTTCTGCATCGATTGCTAGACGAGCCGGCCGCGAGGAGGGCGACGAGAAGGAGAAGTCTTCGAACATGATGGTGCAAACGCTCGAGGAGGTCGGTCTCGAGGAGGGTTGGGGTTGGTGGTTCGGAGTCGGAGAGTCAGCCTGCGCCCGATTCTGTGCAAGGAGCCTTCTATACACTGATCGAGGCAAGGCAGAGAGATATATCACACCGGACAGGAAATTCAGGCGATTTGCCGCTGCGAAAAATCTTGTCCGGTCGACCAGTGGTTGAGGGGAGGCGACGCCACGTGATCCGCGGCTCTGTGGAGGCCAACTTTATTATCGCAGTGTGTATTCCCCTTCAAATGGGCCGTTTATTATTGACATTTGAAGAGCCGTAGTCTTGTACAATAATGGAGTGGAATTAGGTATACGAATGATCAAGGTGAGGCTCAATCCTCCAACAGGCCGGCCCTGCCGCAGATCGACCCAAACACCCCCACAGTGTGCTTCCACACTAATTTGCCAGTTTCATTCTCACGATAATCCTGCAAAACCTTCTGATTCCCAGCAGTAGACCCGTCCCAATGCAAAAGATACGCCCCGCTACCCTTGGCTCCATCCGCACCGGGCGCAACATCGCCGCCACCATTGGAGGCCCGCGGCGGGAACCGCGGGCTAGTTGCGGCATATAGATGCCGATCACCGCTCTCGTTCAGAGGCACCATCCAGGGCTTGGCGAGAATAAACATGGCGCTCATTGCAACCCGGGTAATGGTTCCGAATTCACGCATGATGCCGGTCTTGACGACTCCGGGATAGGCATGGACAAACGATACCTCCGGATGAGAAACGGCGAGTTCCTGCATCGACAGGGATGTCATGGTGATAGCGTGCTTCGCAGCGTTGCGGAGCGAGTAGGTGGTCTTTAGAGACAAATCGTCCAAGTTTATCGGAGATTCTCCGCCAGCCTCGAGAACGGAGACGGCGCTAGCCAAGTTGCGACGCAGGCCGGGTTTGGCTGGGGTCGAATCCTCGGCCACGGTTCCTGCGTTGGTCAACTGCGGCAGGAAATTGTTGATGAAACGCATTCGGGAATAGTAATGCAGGCTGAGCTTCTTGTCGAGTCCCTCGTCGGTTTCTAGCGACTGTTAGTAGACGCTCATGGATTTGAGGATTTCAAAGTCGCCGTACCATCCCGTCCCTTGGTAGTCAAAATTCCAGCACTCAAGAAAAGAAGGTTAATCTTCTCTTCCTTGGCCTGAATAACTTTGCATGCTTCATCCACACTTTGTAACCGTGCGGCGTCGCACTTGACGAAACTTAGCTGGCCCGCCGGGTTAAGCTGACGCAGCTCCTCGATGATCTTCGATGCCTGGGCTTCATTACGCCCAACTAGGAATACCCGTGGGGATAGCGTGTCTCGCACAAATGCTCGGGCGGTTGCTTCGCCGATCCCGCTGGTTCCGCCGACTTGAAGCATCCATGTCAGTGAACCGACCCCCAGAGCACGTAACTATCAGGGATGGGAGTGGGAGATAGTACCGAAGACGGCCACAAGGTTTGGGCCGTAGTCTTTCAGACTGGCGTTGTTTTTGTGTACCTCATCGAGTGACACCATCTTGTTTTGCTTGTCGGTGGTTTAAGTCAAATCGGCACTGAAGGCATATGGCCCCGTCACACGACCCGACAATTCGATTCAAGGGAGTCCAGAGAAGTTATTCCACAGTGCATCCATCGAGCAATTCCCTCCACAGGCTTTTTGTATTGGGACTACCACCAGGCTACGACGCTGACGTTGATGCTGACACCGGCGTAACGGGATTAGGATTTAAAGACCCACATGCCATATCAAAGCGAGGATATCGATCAAACGTCACTGATATCCAAACCCATGCAAAATCCCGAGATGACTCCCTTGCAAGCACCAGGGTAACGAATTCCAATCCCCATATTATCCACACCATATCCATTCGGAAAGAGACGATCCTGATTGAATCCGGATTGAACCCCCGTGTTTATTAGCGATGTTCTTATCAGCGTTGCTCCCCGCATCCGCCTTCGGAGCGACCGCCGGGAGCCGGAAGACCCCCGTTAATTATTACTCAACTTCTCCCGCGCGCCTCCAACTTCTCCGACACAATTCTGTAGAACGACCATCATGACATCCTTTCTGAAGAAGCCCTTGAAGCTGGCTCTAGTCCAGCTTGCATCTGGTAATTGATCCACTCAACCCTCGGCGCAATCTCCGACTAACGCATCAGCAGGCGCGGACAAGGCCGTCAACCTTTCTCATGCTCGGAGCAAGGTCCTCGAGGCCGCACAGGCCGGCGCACGCCTGATCGTCCTCCCCGAATGCTTCAACTCTCCCTACGGCACTCAATACTTCCCCAAATACGCCGAGACCCTTCACCCTTCCCCGCCGACGAAGGAACAATCACCCTCGTTCCACGCGCTGTCAGCGATCGCCGCCGAGGCAAACGCATACCTGATCGGCGGCAGTATTCCCGAGCTGGAGCCGGAGAGCAAGAAATACTACAACACGTCGCTGGTCTTTTCGCCGACGGGGGTTTTGATTGGAACCCATCGCAAGACGCACATGTTCGACATCGATATCCCGGGCAAGATCAAGTTCAAGGAGAGTGATGTGCTGTCTCCAGGCAATGAATTGACGGTGATTGATCTGCCGGAATACGGCAAGATTGGATTGGCGATCTGTTACGACATTCGATTCCCCGAGTCGGCTATGATCGCAGCCCGCAAGGGCGCTTTCCTACTGGTTTACCCGGGCGCATTCAACACTGTTACCGGACCTCTTCACTGGTCACTCCTGGGACGTGCTCGTGCTGTTGACAACCAGACGTATGTGGCCTTGTGCAGTCCCTCGCGTGACCTCGAGTCGACCTACCATGCCTACGGTCACAGTTTGATCGCGGATCCCAGCGCGAAAATCCTGGCCGAGGCCGAGGAGAAGGAGACCACCATATATGCGGATCTCGACAATGATACCATTGTGAACACTCGCAAGGGTGTTCCGATCTATACCCAGCGCCGGTTCGATGTTTACCCTGACGTCAGTGGAGAGAGCTCGAAATAAGGGGGAGCAAAACCATAGCATAGCCATCTCATGCCAATACGGCAATTGGATACAATACTGTATAGACATAGAACGGGGTGAAAACCAGTTTCCAGTAAAAACGATTGTGAGGGAATCTTAGTGTGGCCTTGTTGCCTTGTGGCCTTGGGACAAAATTCCGCCTCAGGCGTCAACCGTGAATTGCTGAGTCAAGCCACCCACCAATCACGGGGCGCACACACGATAAGCGAGCCACACTCATCCACGGGCCACAAATTCGGTCACATTCGTGATTTTCTTCATCGACCCAATCCGCCCACAGTCGCCGACCCCAACAGTCAGTCTTTCCTATCGATTCAACCCTCCAGAACACCATCTGACACACAGCAGAGATGTCCAACGTCAACTCTGGCAAGCAGCGTTCGGCTATCGCCGACGTGGTGTCGCGCGAGTACACCATCAACCTCCACAAGCGCGTATGTTGAAAACCCCAATCTCACTCGAGTTCCCCCTTACCTGCGACGATTTGGAAAACCGTGGAGGCAAAACTGGACAGAGAACACACAATCCTGAAACATGGAACTTTTTCTTTTGTGTGTGTGCGTGGGAAGTGGAACGAGGACGTAAAAAATCCTTCGACCGCCTCGCCCTCGAACAGCCGTTGGCAACCACGGCTAAAAGTCGTTACTTGTGACGGCTCGACGGCTGCAGATTCTCCGGAGTTTTGCAGCTGGCATACACCTCCCAACGGGGAACAAAAGAAGAAGAATTAGTTTGATGAAGTCCACCTCTATGGCCGATCCAAAACATCGCAGAGTCCCGACTCTTACCAGATGGCATTCGGACGGAAGACTAATTACGACTTCTTTCGGAATACAGACCCACGGTGTCAGCTTCAAGAAGCGTGCTCCCCGTGCCATCAAGGAGATCCGCGCCTTTGCCGAGCAGGCCATGGTAAGTCTCGGCTCTCCCGGCGCACGCCGGAATGATTTCGCTAACACTGTACACAGGGTACCAAGGACGTCCGCCTCGACCCCGCCCTCAACAAGAAGGTCTGGGAGGCCGGTATCAAGGGTGTCCCCTTCCGTCTCCGTGTTCGCATCTCCCGCAAGCGTAACGACGAGGAGGGCGCCAAGGAGCGTCTGTACTCCCACGTCCAGGCCGTCAACGTTAAGAACCCCAAGGGTCTGCACACCGCTACCGTCGATGACGCGTAAGTGTGTTGACTACGTCTATGTCTTTGCTTCTATGATTCCATGTTACACTTGGGGTTCGGTCGGGGCTTTTTCAAAATAAAATACCTTTTTACCCATGTCTTGGTTCTACCGTGTGTGTAGTCTTCATCCGTAGTTTGTCTTGGAATATCGTACTTTTTGAGTCCCGAGGATTGGGAGTCGACATGGCTCTCAGCCAGAGCGAGGTGGAAATAACACAATAGGCTCGTATGCTGTACTATGTCGAGTTGAGCTTTGGATAACAGGACGGCAGCAAACCGGCCTGAGCAAGGCTCTTTGGCAAAAAATACGACGCAGAGGGTGAATACAACATCTAATCGCCTTGGGTGCGTTTCAATGGAAGATATAGTATGGAACTGTAGCCCTTGGAATGGTTTATGGTAACGAGTACACAGACATGAGAATCAAAGGAAAATTAAGGAAAAGGCTGGATGCACCGATCGACGTTTTCGCCGAAAGTAATTTAGCAAAAATGCAAATAAGAACACAAAATGTAGAACTCCATCAATGTTATATCGTACAGTTGGGGTGGATAAAGAAAATAAAAGAAGCTTCCTCGCACGAAGTTTTGAAACACCATACCCTACCTGTACCGTCATGATCATCAATTTAACCCAACCTTAGTTCTTGAGTTCCTGGATCTTGTTGTGAAGACCTTCAATGGACTCGGCCTTGACACGGATGGCCCAGTGTTCAGGCTTGCCGTCGGGCTGTGGGACCATGCACTGCACACTGTTGTTCATCTTCGCATAGTCAAGCTCCTTCTGGAGGTAGGTGTTCAGGATGACGTTTCCACCGGGATCACTGCGGAGGACAATTCGAGAGCGGCCGGTTTCGGGGTGCTTGAGGAGTCTAATGATGCCAGTGCCCTGAGAAGTCCAACCCGTAGCCAACTTGAATGCACGAGCCCGACATTCAAATTCGACCTTTTCATCCTGTTCGCCGTTGACTGCATTGGACAGGTCAAAGATAGCACCAGGGGCGGCCTCTTCATCAGGTGTGGCATCCTCGGAGGTGCCATTGGCAACGCTGGAGGCCTGGGTAGACACAGGAGTAGGCGCAGGGGTTGCAGTTGAATCACCGAACTTAATGGGCATGTTGGGCTTCCAGGTGTTGTCGGCAGGAGAAGAGTTTGTCTTGGCAAAACTGGCAGAGAACAGACTTGATGTGGCGCTAGGAGAATCCTTCTGGGGCGCCGGTGACCCGATTCGAGCAAACAGACTGCGTCCAGCAGCAGCGGTCGGAGCCGGGATGGGTGTGTCCAAGCTCGACTTAGTCGTCTCAGAAATCTCAGACGCTTTGTTTCGCTTGGATTTGCGGGGAGAATCGTCCTCATCTCCGCTGGCCTCAGAAGCACGACGCTTGGGAGAGCCGTCCTTGGCCTCGTTGTCGGAGTCGTCACTATCCATTGCATTATCGGACGGCTGTGGAGTTGCAGAAAGACGACCGAAAATGTTCTGAGAGTTGGAGAGAGGGCGACTGGACGATTCAAAAATGGAAGTAGTAGATGGGGCAGGAGAAGCGGCAGTCAAAGGGGACTTCTCTGCAGGCTGAGAAGCACTGGCCCCAGAATCGGATGGAGATGGTTCATCAGCATCGATAAACTTGAACCCTTCCCCAGGGACGAACACGGATTTCTTCGTGGAGATACCCTCAAGCTTCGCACGCTTTTCGCGTTGTTTCTCGGCATCTTTGCGTTCCCAATCTGCTTCGTCATCCTCGTCCGAGTCGAAATCTTCCGCCTTTCGCTTAGCCTTCTCTTTGGCCTCAGTTTCCTCTGCCTTCTTCTTGAACTGGGCCATGAAATCGACACCAGCAGAACCGTTACCGAATTTCGGAAGACCAGATGTAGCCTGAGTACCTGAAGGCTTGGGATTGGCAAACATGTTGCCAGCCAACTTAGGCGCTCCAGGAGCAGAGGCACTTGGTGCCTTCTCGGCTGCGGTGGAGGCATTCCCAATAGAAATATTCGTAAAAGGATTCTCCTTGGGAGCAGCGACGGCATTCCCGTTGGAGAGAGAGGCAAAGGGGTTTGCCTTAGGCGCCGCAGCTGCAGAGCTCTTCGCCTGCAACGGCCCATCGGCCGACTGAGCCGGGTTGCTGGCAGGAGACGAGAAAGACTGCGAAAACAAACGCGCAGTGTTTGAAGAGTTAGCATCAGCAGTGACTGCTGGCTTTTGTGCGTTGGGAGTTAACTTCACTGAGGACACATTGCCTTTCAGCTTGACCGCACCCTTGGGTTTGAGAGGGGCACCCATGGCCTGACGGGCCTTCAAGTAGAAGAGGACCAGGTTGTCAAAGGCATCGCTTCCAGGCTCGCACTGGAGCAATTGCTGCTTGAAAAAATGATCAAGAGACTTGACTTTGAAGAATAACTCCGAATTTGGAGTTACTTCGTTTGCACCGGTGGGAAGATCAAACTTCGGAAGTCGGGCCGCCGGATCCAAGGCAGAATTGGCAGGAGAGCTGAAGAGGCCTGGGGTACCCAGTGAAGTTTGCGACTGGTTAGATGCAGGTGCCGCGGTTTTTCCACCGAACAGGTTGCCAGACGGCTGGGTCGACGAGGGCTTGGCAGGGCTCGTGGATGTTTGCTCTGTAGCTGGTTTTGATGCGAAAAGACTGGGAGCCGCGGTAGGAGTAGGTTGAAGGTTCTTGGGCTCGGATGAAATAGGTGCAGAAGTGACACCGAAAAGAGACCCGAACGGGTTAGCACCTGCGGGTTTGGGTTGTTCATCGGCTGGCTTCGGCGCAAACAAGTTCTGAGCAGGGGTTGATTGAGCTTTCTCAGGCTCGGAGAACTTGGGTGTGGCAGAGTTGGCGCCGAAAAGTGACCCGAAGGGATTAGGGCTCGCGGGCTTCTCAGACCCTTGATCCTCAGTTGGCTTGGGCGCGAACAAGCTTGCAGTAGCCGAGGGGATGGACCCCGGCTTCTCGGACTCGGAAGGCTGGGACATGGTAGAATTTCCACCAAAAAGACCCTTAAAGGGCGAAGGTTCGACAGGCTTCTCAGAAGCCTGATCCGTCGGTGCCTTCGGAGCGAATAGATTCGTGGCCTCATTGGCAGGCTTCGCCGGGGACATGTTACCGAATGTAGGCTGCGAGGAACCCCCGCCACCGAAAAGGATTTTGAAAGGTTGCGCGTTGTGGGAGGCAGCAGCAGTGTTTTGTTCAGATGCCGTCTTCGGAGCGAACGGGTTGCTAGGCGCAGGGATTTCTGCGGCTGGCTTTGGTGAGAAAATGTTGTTCAAAGCAGGCTTGGGAGCATTCGCTTTGTCGGAGTCCGAAGATGCCGGCTTGGGGGCGAAAAGATTGCCGCCTACAGGTTGAGAGGCAGGCGTTGATGAGAAGACGCTTGGGGTGCTCGCCTTCTCAGGCTCCTGAGTAGACGCAGCAGGAGTTGCTCCAAAGAGTCCACCGAATGGCTTGGCCGGTGTTGTTTGAGTAGTCGATTGCGTACCAAAAGCAGGCTTAGCTACGAAGCTCTCTGCCTTATCGCTGGAGGGCTTGTCAGTAGTCGGAGCGGCATTCAAACCTCCGAATGGATTGCTGGCCGGTGCAGCAGCAGGCTTGGGCGAGAACAAATTCGAAGCCCCAGACGAGCCCCCGCAGATTTTCTTTTGGGGATCAGCCGAAGAGTTGCCATTGAAGGAAGGCGCTTTGGGCTTTGCGTCGGGCGACATTTGCATGGATTCTGAAGCAGGGTTCGCGGGGGAGCCTGTAGCTGCTTGTCCGAAGACAGGAGTGCTTGCCGGGGCGCTTGCATTCGGCTGTGCTCCGAAGATGCCGTTCGAGAAAGATGACTGGGTTGTCGGCTGAGTACTAAACCCGCCAAAGCTCGTGGATGCGCCGGGTGTCGACTGGGGGGCAGGAGTGGCCGCGTTGAAAGAAAATGGGTTAGTCGATGGAGCAGAGCTGCCGAAGCCCGAGGACGAGAAGTTGAAACCGGTCGAGCCACTATCGCCGAAGGAGAACGGGGCCGATGCAGCTTGAGCGGGCTGGGTGGGCCCTGAGCTAGCGCCTGGGAAGCTCTGGCTCTGGCCTTGTCCGAAACTAAAACCAGTCGAGGGTGCGGAGTTGAATGAGGTGGATTGGAACGCTGGGGCAGCTGGGGCAGAAGACAGGGACGAGAAGGCGCCGCCGGAAGGCGGAGGGGGAGCTGCGCCACCGGTTGGGGTGCCAGCTCGAGGACGACGGCGAACGTCCTTGATTCTGCCGAAGCAAATTTCCTCGTCAGTTTTCTTGTTGCCCATCTTGAAAAAGCGGGAGAGAAGCGAAAGACGGAGTCGAAGAGGCATGAATACACCGAATGCAGTTCGAATAACGATAATGTTTGGGTAATAATATTGGAAACGAAAGAGATGTGGAGGAGGAGGAGGAGGAGAAAGAGAAGAGGTGAGGATGGTGAGGAAGAGGAGTGGGATATCAGCATCACGAAACACGTCCACAACACGCTCCCAGATCGAAGTGGGAAGGGAAAGTACCTCCCAACCAACTTAGGCTGCCACCCTCCCCTAACAGCAGTCTCATATGGGATCGAAACAGTCTCGATATGTGATATCCTTCCATCAATTCCAAGACATTCCCCCCTCCAAAAAAAGAAGCTCACTTACTTTCTGCTTGCCATCTGGGCAGCCGTCGCCCGCTGGGGCTTTTCATCCGGAGTGCTCGACATCGCGAATGCGTTCTCGTCTTCTTTGGACCCTTGAGGACCTTGCGCCGTGCGTTTGGACATCTACGGCGTTATTGTCCACCTTGATATACACCCAAAGCACTAAGGTCGATGCTTGCGGGTGGCGGAGACGTTTCAACACCCGTTTCGAAGGCCGACAGCGATATATAATGCGAGCGTCCGATTATACACGATGGGGCGAGCCTCGGTCGTCGACGTGAAGCGAAGTACTCGAGTACCTCACGCGTGGGGGTTCCTAGTCGAACGCGGCTCTTCGATACCCTGAATTAAAGCTCGGAGCGATACTTCTTTAGCTGCCACAGGTATCTCGTCTTTCACTCAGAGAGCAAAAGTCAATTTGTCTCTGGGATACTCGAGGCGGTGGTTGGCGGTGTCTCGTTCCGTGACACGACCTTGTTCGCGACCCGTCGCGCAAGCTGACGAACCACGGGTTCACCAGGGTCAAGACCGATAGAAGGGTGAGTATTAGGAGCTGTCTCTCCGATGGAAAAACAGACTAGTCGGATAGCCGGGGCAGGGAGGATTGCGGTTGACCCTGGTATTTTTTTTGCGCGGAGTCTCGAGAGGACGCAAGAACAGCGAAAAAATGTGGTCACGTGTCTCCGACACGTGATCAATTTTCGATTATCATGTTTTTTTCTAGAGAGTCATTTGCTGGAAATTAGCTGATGTCTATAATGGACAGCGGAGTCAAATATTGGACTGCTGGAAAAACCCGACCATGACGTCGCCTGGAATAAAAGTCCGTCTTAAACCCGTCTGATAAATGGATCCTGGATCATGCACGGTGCACTCGGAGACTTGTTCGAGTGATCGGTGTAGTAACTAAAGTCCTTGATGATATGGGCTCATCCGATCCGTCTTGCTACCGTTCGGCATATCTTTCTGCCCGTCAACCTTAACGCCAACCCCTACCGTTAACCGCCGGTTTCATGCTGTATCTCACTACGGGTTCCTTACCCCTGCGGACTTTGAGAGATCGAGATAGGCTTCATGTCGAAAGCCACAAGCGCCTACAAGGACTCCATGTGGCGTGGTAGGACCAGGCAGGGTTTCGGTCTGGGACTACGTGGCTGACTTCAGACTAGTGCCGGGACTTGAGGGAGGTAGATCTGGAACACCCGAATACATCGGTCAAGGTCACAGGGGGTTACCAGGAGTGCGGAGTGTTCAGAGACCATTAGGGCCTTGGCTGAAGACTAACCTATAGTTTATTTCTTCCTCGTGCCAGGGTCAAGGGACGTACTTCCAGAAAGTCTTCTGATCTGCTGCACATGTGTACACTATGCGATGAGAGGATATTAATCGTCATAATGTACGAAACAACAATTTCAAAGATCTTTTGGAGGACAAAGCGACATTTTTGGGCTTTTGCCTTCTTCATCCACAATCCCTGTTGCACATAAAGCATGACCCCTGAGTCACATTGCCCTCCCAGAGTGGCGGCAATGTATTCTGCAGCTAGTCACATTCCATTCCGCTTTTCGATGTAGCACGTCAGACTAGTCCATTTCATCTCCCTCACAATGTGATGTGGTCGCCTTATGGCTCCCTATTGGCTCAGCCAGCCAGGGGAGAATATTCCCCCATTGGGCTCGATCGGCGTGGTCGGTATCCAATCTCTTCTACTCCGTACTCCTCGATCATGAGGCAAGACGGCCATCGTGACAACCTGAAGCTTAGCGGATGATGGCTTGGGTGCTAATCCTATTTTTGCCCAATCGTGACCTGATCCAGGTCATCCGCAATTTAATTCCCCGTCTCAAGTGGTACTCCGGGGTAGGATTCATTGACCAGCATGTTTGGACAATGTTTGGGAGTGTGGAGGGCATTTGAGTCTACCCCTATTCTATTGTCATGCGCGTTTCATGCAGTATCTCGATAAAAGTTGCCGAAATAGAGTGCCGGGTGGGTATATAAGGAAGAGCTCGTCTCACACGCGTCACCAGTGAGTAGCATTCTTCTCGGCCTGTCTTTCATTTCAACATGCTCTTTGCTACTGTAATCAGCTGCCTCTCTTTTATAGCATGTTGCCATGCCAGAGCGCTGGGTAGCTCGGCCGTAGCTGGGGTTGGCTCTACCGAGAAGCCTCTAGCCAAGCATACGTCGTCCCCGAGCCTTACCAGCGTCTCGTCACCTCTCTGCCTCGGGACACCGGCTGTCGATGTACAGGCTATATCTGAGGCTTCAGACGACCCGTCATACTGGCTGGCAGATATCGCGCATCAAGGAATCGCGGCTTTCAACCCGAATCCTTCCACCTACAAGGTGTTTCGCAATGTGATGGACTATGGAGCCAAAGGTAATACTCGGCAGCACATTCCCCATAAAAACTATAGGCATCTAACATGTCTATAGGTGATGGTGTAACCGATGACACTGCTGCTATCAATGCCGCTATCAGTGACGGTGGTCGTTATGGCCCAGCAAGCGGAGAGACCTCTACCACGACCCCTGCAATCGTGTACTTTCCAGCAGGAACTTACCTGATATCGACCTCTATCATCGACTACTACTTTACACAGCTTATTGGCAACCCAAACTCCATTCCGGTGATCAAAGCAACTGCAGGTTTCACAGGGCTGGGGTTGATTGATGGGGACCAGTACCAAAGCAGTGGCAACCAGGGCTGGACCTCGACAAACGTGTTCTACAGGCAGATTCGAAACTTGAAGCTAGACTTGACGAACATCCCAGCTAGCTTAGGCGCAACAGGTATTCACTGGCCAACTGGGCAGGCCACGAGTATTCAAAATGTGGAAATCGAGATGAGCTCAGCTTCGGGGACACAGCACCAGGGCATCTTCATTGAAAATGGTGAGACACACCCTAACACCCTTCGACACTTTCGCTGGAAATGCTAACTGTTTTAGGCTCCGGTGGCTTTTTGACCGATATCACCATCACTGGCGGTTTGTATGGAGCCAATATTGGCAACCAGCAATTTACCATGCGCAATTTGGTCATCTCGGACGCTGTAACCTGCATTTCCCAGATCTGGGACTGGGGCTGGGCCTACCAGGGTCTCAAACTATCAAACTGCACGACTGCTCTTTCAATTAACAACGGCGGTGCCGGCAACCAGCTCGTTGGCTCAGTCACTGTCTTCGACAGCACCATTCAGGATTGCCCGACATTTGTCACCACTGCTTGGGAGACCTCTACCTCTTCCAATGGAAGCCTTATCTTGGAGAACATTGTTCTTGAAAATGTCCCAGTCGCGGTGGAAGGCCCTAGTGGAACCGTTCTCGCTGGAGGCACAACAACCATCAGTGCTTGGGGTCAGGGCCATAAGTACACCCCGAACGGCCCTACCAATTTCCAGGGTACTTTCACTGCACCGACACGCCCAAGCGCATTGCTTGCTAGTGGATCTTCCAACTATTATACTAAATCAAAGCCCCAGTATTCGGCCTCGCCAACATCTTCTTTCGTCAGCATCAGAAGTGCAGGTGCTACAGGAGATGGCTCGACCGACGACACATCTGCAATCCAGTCTGCGCTGACTTCAGCGGCATCATCTGGCAAGATTTTGTACTTTGACGCAGGAACTTACAAAGTTACTGACACTCTTTACTTCCCTCCGGGGTCTCGGATCGTTGGTGAATCATATCCCGTGATAATGGCCAGTGGAAGTGTCTGGTCAAGCATCACCAACCCTGTTCCTGTTATTCAGGTTGGCAAGTGCGGGGATACTGGCTCAATTGAATGGTCTGATATGATCATTAGCACCGAGGGCTCCGCGCCAGGTGCCACCCTCATCCAATGGAATCTGGCAGCGGAGGCTGGCTCAGGAATGTGGGACGTTCATACCCGAATTGGAGGCTTCACTGGCTCGCAACAGCAGGTTGCTCAATGCCCAACTTCGGCGGCCGTCTCGGCAGCCTGTGAGGTCGCTTACATGTCCATGCATATTACTAGCTCCGCGAGTGACGTCTACCTTGAGAATGTCTGGTTGTGGACGGCAGATCACGACCTCGACAGTGCGGACAGCACCCGGATCTCTGTATACTCTGGCCGTGGAATGTTGGTAGAGGGGAAGAATATTTGGCTGTGAGTGAATCTCAATATTCAAGTGCATTGAAGCTAACTCCTTCTCAGATATGGAACAGCGGTTGAGCACCATTCACTATACCAGTATCAGTTCTCTGGAGCCAGCTCGATTGTGGCAGGATTCATCCAGACTGAAACACCGTGAGTGATACTCATCACTATCAGCAGGACCATGCTAAGTTTAACCCTTTTAGTTACTACCAGCCGAATCCCAATGCAGCCAACGGACCATACCCAACCAATTCCGCCCTCAATGACCCCGACTACAGCAGCTGCCTCTCTGGTAACTGCGACGCACTTGGGCTGCGCGTTCTCAATACCGATGACATCACTGTATACGGCGCCGGTCTATACAGCTTCTTCAACAACTATAGTACTGAATGCTCTACTTTCCCTACTCCGGAGAACTGCCAGAGTGAGATCTTCAGTGTCGAGGGAACCACGAGTAACCTGGTGGTCTACACGCTAAGCACTGTTGGCACTACAAACATGATTGTCAAGGATGGGACCTCGTTGGCAGTTGTCAGCGACAACCTGGCAACATATGCCGCGACCATTGCATATTTCACCTTGTAATATGTCTTTAGAGGTTGTCTTTTTAGCACATATTTTCTCTCAAATATGATTATCATTCGACCTCAAGATAAGAACATCTATCAGTCTGACAAAAGGTATACTCCAACTTACACATCTATGTTTATCCAACTGGCAAGCCCGAAGCCACAAAATTCCTCAACACAAAGTGTAAACGAAGCGGCCTGGGAAGCCGGCCTTTTACCTAGGCAAAAGGGATCGAACAGGTGAGCCGCTATGTCAGTGCAACATATGGAACTCGCCCTCCCGGTAGTCATTCGCCTATTTATGCTGGTCTAATCGACTGTCGCTTTCGCTGATGTCAGCACCGTTATTGCTGATAGTGAAGCTTGTCAAAGTTTCTTTAATAATGAAGAGTTTGCACCAGAGACAGACAATTCTTACCCATGCGGCGGCTGGTGCCACTGGTTCAGCAGCAATCCAGTTTGCGAGATATCTCGGCGCTGAAATATTCACCACGGTGAGCACAAATGAGATGAAGCAATGGTTGACCGAGAACTCATTTTTCATAGCCGCGATAAAGATCTTGCAAGTCCCATTCGACCAGTTTGCTCTGGTACCCGTCTGATCACGACCCATCTAGAATGGGAAGAGAAGAGACCTTTATGAGCGGAGTATGGGTCTCTGTCGGTATCAGTATAGCGTTGGTGTGCTCGGTGGTCCCTGCACCAGTGCTCAACACAAATAAACAACATTCAATGTTAAAGTAGAGTTGAATCTCCACTGAGACAAGTTTATTAGAAAGGATTTAAAGCAAATTATAGATTATTGTCATGAGTATACCCGTACATACGACCATAGGGTGTGGAGAACAGGGCTTCCCGTCCGCTCAGCCGTACTTAAGCCACACGCCGGCAGGTTAGTAGTTGGGTGGGTGACCACCAGCGAATCCCTGCTGTTGTATGTTTTTATTTCGATAATATTTTCCTTGGCTGTCCCGAGTTAATAGATCCAACGCCCTACAAGGCCAGCGGTATGCAATATAATGTTTTGTTGGATTATTTTGCAAATGAGATCATGAGAGCCACTGAGGACCGGGGAGTGGATGTGGTCATACAATGGAAATGTTGAAAGTTTTCATGTAATTCCCTTTGCAAATTAAACGTACAGTGTAGCTGGTCCATCCACATCAGAGATAGAAATAACGACATTGCCCAAGATCCCTCACCCAACCAAAGTTTCATTTCAACATCAAATTCACTGCCCAGAATGCTCGAATAAAGGAACTTACCTTCCACTTCCGTTCTTTTGCTCCTTTCTCAGTCGCCACAGAATCATCCTCCCTCTCTGGCAATGCCAGGAAATTCAACCTTGGTGCGCCAATATCACAAACACTGACAAGATCCGCGAAAACACCTCCGATGTGGGGCGAAATGTACAGCGCAGCGAACTTGAGCGGCCAGTTCGCCAGCGCCTCTAATCTTGTGAAAGTAGCTCCTGCATCGCAGATTGCTTTCGCTCTTGGTCTTAAACCCGCTGCCCATTTCGGGAGTGTCTCAGTGATATCAACCGACGATGGCATACCACTCGTGCTGTTGACCATAGACACAATATGGTTCGCTAGTGATGCGGCGTCCTCGATGGCTAGGCTGGCGCCTTGACCTATATTGGGCGTTGTCTGTCATAATTGGCATATGATGCTATAGTTGGCGGGCAAAAGTGGAGGACTAACCTTGTGAACCGAGTCCCCCAAACACGCAAATCTACCCCAGGTCCACGACTTACAAGTTCCTTCCTCGAGTGGAACAAACGCACTAGTCGTAACATTCTCATAGACCGATTCAAACTTGATACCCGCACCGACATGCGTATCCAGAAACGTCTTAACCCGCGCATCTAGTTCCTCTCTCGTGAACTTCGGTACCCCGGGATATTGAAAATTGCGGTCCATCTTGGTGAAGATGAACCAGAAGACCTGGTTTCCTTTCCCGACGTTCACAAAGGTTGTGAAGCCCTTACCCCAGGTCCGATGGATTTCGCCCGGTTTGAGACCCTCTGTCGGACGAGATATTCCCAGAATACAAGCGTATTCAGCCGTCATAGCTATCGACCACATTAGGTCTGCACCTGGAACCTCCATCTTGTCAACCACTGTAGAAGGGAAACATACCTTTCCTATCTTTCTTAGCCTTGATTTTCCACTTCTTGCTCTCCTCCATGTACCTCCACATCTCTCCCCGAATCGTACTATGAATCCCATCCGCACCAGCAATCATACTGCCGGCGTACTCACTCCCATCCTCACAACGCACAACAACACCCTCATCTGAATGATCAACACTCAAAATCCTCTTATTCACCAGCACCTTGTTCTTGTCCGGTACATGTTCATACAATATCCTCAACAGTTGTTCCCTCGGCAACCAAGCGACGGGATAAAAATGTCTACTCTGCCATCAATATCCCCTCATGTCTAACACCAAATTTGGTGAAGAAATTACGTACCGTTTCTGCATGACTCTTGGCGTATCCATCTTCCCTAACAATCGCCCATCCTTCAAATATGTGTATATATCCCCTGTCGGCTCGAGGTATTTGCTGATATCATCGTAGATACCCATTTGATCGAGGATTCGTAATCCATTACTGACGATTGTCAACGCACCACCAATTGAAGCGTCGATACGGCTGTGGCTTTCTAGTAGGAGAAAATCAATATTTGCGCGGGCGAGGGCGTTGGCGAGGGTGAGGCCCGCGATTGAGCCGCCGGCGATGAGAACTTTGAAGGGGGGTCTTTTTTCGGTCTGCATGGTGGGATTGAGAATTGCAGGACTGTACGATAAGAAATGGGTGAAGTTGGGTTGGTTGGAGGTAGGTAAAGTCGGTGGCCTGGAGATTTAAACAAAATACCCATCATTTATGTACGGCACTTCAAATTGAACCTAAGCTCATAAGCCAATAATCACTTTCTCGTACTAGCTCAAGGAATAAATTAACCCGTACTAATAATCATGTCGGATTACGTACTATCGCTATTATTACGAAGTACATGCGGAATAGATAGCGTGCCACCATTTCCGATGGGCAATACATTAGCCCACGCTGAGATATCAAACAAACCTAAAAACCTGTTACCCAGGAGAGTTGTGTATTTTCTTTTCCAGCTTTCTTCAACCCTGTCAATGCATGCATCCTATGGACTTTGAAGGCTGAAAGTCTACAGCAGAGTGGGGACGAGCGGGAAGACACACACGCACTATTGCTGACTGCAGTGGATCGACCCACTGTTGGGCAGCCGATATGCCTCGAAAGGTACTCGACAGGATCGGTCTGCCGCTGCTCTATACGGTATGGTGACTGAATGAATGACTAGGTCTGTGGGACAGTTTTTATTTTGATACGCGGCAGCACTATTGGCCCCCTGACGTTGAAGGCTGGGGGCTGAGGTACCCATATCTGACACCGAGAAAAAGAAATTACTGAACTAAGTTTGGCTGGCTTATGCATAATCACCGGCAAAAGTACGCCTAATTGAATTTGTAGAGATTGCCGAGGAAGCTCAAATCGTAGTGATTAGGAACAACAAACATTAATCGATAATAAACTCCTTCAAACAGATAGAAAATAATACCTAAACCCCCTTGCACGTACATCGAGTTCAACACATTACCGAGCCTTGGGCGGCTGTACAGTGGTGATCAACATCTTGACCATCTGTCGCAACGCAGGGTTCGACTTCCCCGTGGCTTCCTCCAGAGCCGAAAGCGCCATACAAGTCTCCTTATTCAAGCTTTGCAACAATTCCCACGTAGCCTGGAATGCCCCCGAGAGTTCAATCAGACCCAAGATGTAAATCTTCGTGTTCCTGGGCAGCGCACTCATAGCGGGATTCCGCTTCTCTCGGAAAATACCCAGAATGATGTCTCTTGCGACGTGATCAAAATCACAGCACACGATGATAGGGTACGAAAGTTTGCCCTCATCCAAATCTTCGCAGAACCCCTTGTGCTCGGTGTATGTGTCGTCTTGGAGATTCTGGTAGTCGTCTCGCAGCTGGTAAAAGCGTCCGAGAAGGACAACCAGTCGATCGAACAGGGCGATAACACTGTTGTTGTGACGCTGATCAGACATGCTGTGCATCAGATAGATGATCACCTTGAGCATTGCACCCGTCTTGCCATCAACCATGGCCATGTATTCCTCCACAGACGGACAGTGGATATGGAACTTCCATTTCAAATCCCAGCTCTGGCCAACGAACAGCTCTATCGACCCCTTTAGCAAGGCTTCCATGGGAGCTGGGTCCGACAGCTGTAGATTTTGTAATTTCAAACAGGTGTTCATGATCATGAACGTGGCACTGTTGATAGCCTGCGCATTTCCAAAGATACAGTGCGTTGCTGGACTTCCGCGGCGGAGCAAGGAGTCATCCTGAATGTCATCTAGGATCAGGGAAGCGTTGTGGAGGTCCGAGACAATCTCGATAATGACGGTGGTGAGGTGTTCGGACAGGTTGAACCACACGTTGCAGGCTTGAATGACTTTCCCGCGGACATTCTTGGAAGCAAGTGATCGGATGTAATCGCATGGTGCGCTCACTGCCGAATCATCTAGTCGGCTCTCATTATTTTCTGGATTGGAGGAGCTGCTGCTTCGAAGGAATTCGTTCGGCGAGGAGTCTCCAACTGCTGTCTTTTCTTCCGAATCGCGAAGTGGACTTGGCTTGATTGGTGATAATGCTTCGCTGTGAGGATATGCCTTTGAAATGGTCATCGAGCATTGTACTTTGGCTGTGGCGGTTCTCCGGCGAAATAGTCTCGTCTCGCTCGAGAAGATGGCCATTCTCATGATGCAGATGAGCGTTCAAGCGTGACACAATTCTGTCGAGTTCAGTGATTTTGAGAGCTCGAATCTTGGCTAAGGATCTCTGGCTCCGGTCCGTACCAATGACTTTTTTAAGCATAGATGTCATCTACTGACCGCTTCCAAAGCTTAGCTGAGCTGCATCAATACCATATACCTCTCCTGGCCGATTTATTAAAGTGCTCACCGGATGGTGACGTGTTTTCCGGGACCACTGTTCGGTGGGTGCAGCAAATAGTTCGGCAGGGAAGGTACTGCTCACCGTTCAATAAACAGTCCACGGCTTATAGTGGGGGCTTAATTCATTGTCCGTGCGCTGACGATCGACCCGAAGATCTTAATGTGATCGGCACTCGGTGCTCCCTACGGGGTGGAGTGATTGACATCTGACGGGTACCATGAGCTATCAAACGGCTTAGCACCAATGGGTGGAGCTCTCATTCAGCCTCCCCCCACCTAAAGAGGCCCCAGATACGAGAAAACAATGCGACCCATCTCAAAAACACCATCTCTATTCGCAACCACAAACCGTCGCGTATGGTATCGTTCCCCACCAACCAGCTCAAAGCCCCAAACCTACATTTGTAAACAATGAAAAATTAGCTAGCTGAACCGACCCGCTCAATGCACTCCGCACAACCCGTCAAAAAAAGACGCCAAGAAGAAAGGTTCTTACCTGCTCCACAGTCCACGTCCCATCCTCCCGAGAATCGAAACTATGAATCCAGAGCCCCGGATTCTCAGCCCCTTCACCGTCACCCTCCACCAGAAACCCACTTCCATGCTCCTGACCAGGGAGAATCTCCCCTCTCAGCATCTGGCCAATCAACTCGTCATTAATCGCCGTCTCGGGAACAACATCAGGCACAATACGGCCAGACAGCCCCCTTTTACCAGGGACGAAGCGATTCCGAGATTGGCGGGCCCCAAACAAAAAATCTCTCAGAGGCGCCCGTCGATCCCAGTCCAGGATCCTCGTCTCAGGAATTGGTGCCAGCCCCGCGGTGGGCACTTGCAGAACTGCAAGATACAGTTCCTCCTGCAAGGGAAGCTGCGAGCCAGTGGTGTTGGATAAGTGGCTGGCTGAGGGTGATGAGATGGAGATGTGCAGGGTCACCACAGCGAGAGCCACTGCCTTGCGTAGAACCCAAGTGATTCCTTGCTGAACCGTAGTGTTTAGTAAAGTGCCTATGCGTCCAACTCCAGGATGGTAGTCCACATACAACTTTTAATCCTGGCTCTGGAGAGGGTGAAAATCGTTTGTCCTAGAGGTGGTATTAGCTGTCATGGTTTATTAAGTAGGTTTAGTACTGCCGGGAACGCACAATCACCCATTTGCCCGTGAAAAGGCCCTTACTCATTGTAATGGTCGATGGGGTAGCCATGGTCCAAATTGGGGGGAATTCGGCTTTCCAATTGCAGCTTATCGTCTGGAAGGAAAGGATGGGATGTGGAAGCTGAACAGCATGAGATGCGGCCAGGCGCGAAACAATTTAACCGCGTACACTGCCAGTAAGTTGTCAGCAGTGGGTCTAGAGCGGGCCCATATGGATCAAGGGAGTTTCGGGCTTCCAGAGACTGGCTGGAACGCATCCATAGTTCGAGTGGATACGACTTCCGTGGTGTAAGGATGCCCTGATCCGGGGACGCCGCAAGCTTGGCCAAATACGAGAATTGAAAACATGATAATCGGTACCTAGGTACTAGTCTGCCGACAACTCACTCCACAAACTGTTAATCGTTGCCATTTTCATGTTCCTGCATAGTGGGGCGTATATCGTGGCGTTGATCTTAGTTAGCTGCCCTATTTCGGTAATTGGTGATGGTTCGTGAGAACTGTCGGGACGCAGATCGCACCCTCCCTTGGTATAGCTGTAATTTCTCGTCACAATTACGTTCTGATCTCGGAGGAAAATGAGCACTCTTTTTTGACTTTCCGATCATTCCTCGGTCATCACCGCTAAATAACAGAATGTCATCCCATGTATCGTTACGTTGGTTCTCACAAATTGCTGTGACACATCTGTCAAACTATAACTGCCACTCTGCAGGTGCGGTGGAGGTTCCGAATTATAGCATCGTGTACTGGAACAGGTCCATCAGGGTTCAAACATCGATTCAACGAAAATAATTACGGCATACTCGTTAATCGGTGTCCTTCGGTGCAAATGTTAAAACCAGCACTCTTTTCCGCAGTGGCAGTGTTCGATGTATCCTGATTTCATGTTCTTGTCTATGATTACATATATGGCAGTGGGTGGTCAAAAGAAAGAAGCTTCCCATGCCTCGAACGCTATTGAGCAGTCTTTCAACACATCTAATCCGAGAGATCGTCTCTGTCGAGAGGAAGAAAGCCAAGTCCAGTCGCTCTTTCGAGTAACGCCCGCGTATCGTAAAAGAAAATCTCGAATCGATCTGAGAAGTCCGTCTTGCAGATGAAAAAGCTTTCGATTCATGATCGCCGCTTGAACACTTCGCGTCGTGGGCGCCTTGCGAATCTGCTCATAGAGTTTTAGCAAAGATATGAGAGTTTCCGGGGTCGGCTCATTGTCCGACAAGGATGGATCTCTCTCAAGCTTGCGGTATCGGGCCTGCAAAAGACCAAGAAGCTTGCCGATAATTGCCCCATCTTCGACTGCCATTGCGGCTCCTTGGGCTTGGTATGGGAGAGTTGGATGACAAGCGTCTCCGAGGAGAGTGACAGTGTTCTGTATATAACTGTAATTAGCATGACTGAGTTTGGGAGACAGATTAAGAAAATGACTGACCTTCGTCCATGACGGCAGTTCAGGTAGATGTGTTAACTTCCACTTGTCGATGGAGGGCACGCATGATATGATCTTCTGGAGTCTGTCAAGGAGTCAGTCAAGGATCATAAGTTGTGCCTGGGCTTTTGTTGAATTACGTTTCATCCCAGCCTGCGTAGCTCTCCCGCATTTCCTGGATATCGCCCTTCTCCCGACGCGAACCCTGGGTCAAGTTATCGGGTCGGAGAAGAACGAGATTGAACTCTTTGCCGCCACGGACAGGGTAGAATATAGTGTGCTTGTCCGGCCCTAGCCAGCTCGTCACGCCAACTCTTTGACATAAGTCATTGACCTTATCGTCACCGAGGGCTTCTAGCTGCTCTTTCTGGAATGTTGCCCGGTAGGCCAGATCACCCGTCTCTACCAAAGAGACAGTGTCGTTAAGAACGCTGTGTCTAACAAGAGAGCCGATGCCTACTCCGATTAGAGGAGACCTTGGCGTTGGAAGGCTATGTAACCATACTTACCATCTGCTCCAACCACGATATTCCCAGACACTCTTTCACCTCCGGCGAGGATGGCTTCCGGTCCGTCGGTCAGGACATGCTCGACCTCGACACCGAATCGAATGTTGGCTCCAAGCCGAATTGCTTCATCGAGAAGAACTCGATAATAATCAGCTCTATGAATAATTCTAGCCAAAGTTTTCTTTAGCAGGAATGATCGGAAATATTAGTGAATGACAAAGAACGTACATCCATGGAGCGTCATACTCTCGCGTGATATCGTCGCCAAATGGCATTGAACGCAAAAGATGACCATCTTTATATCGTCGAAAGTCCACCTGTTGGACTTGAGACCCTTGGTCAAGCAGCTGGGGCAAGACTCCCAGATCTCGCATGATGCGGCCGCCATTGGGAGGAATCTGAATGCCCGCCCCAACCTCTCGAACTTCAGGCGACCTTTCAAGAACAACCACGTCAATGCCCTCACGACGACAGGCGATGGCACAGGCTAGACCACCCAGACCTGCGCCCACAATAACAACTCTCATATTTGCTGTGCTGTATTCTGCTGTTCGTTCAATTCTGTCAATTGAAGGTGTTTGAAGAGACTAATGTGCCTCCAAGTTCACACAAAAAGAAAATATGCAAACCCGTATCGGCCCGATCACACTGCAACAAAAGTACCCAATGGCGCCGCAGTGGGATGCTCTATCTTCCCGAAAGGATCGAATTATTGAAATATACTAACATTTTAGCTGTAAATTATTTGGCCGGTCCGAGCGGATCCATATGGCGTTCTCATTACGTGGATCCGTCAGCTTAGCTGTCCTAGGGTACCCACTAATGCAAAATAAGGCTTGCGATTGACGCCATGCATACGACCAAGTTTGCTCGTCAACGCTGCATCTTTTTCTTATGGACCCTCAGGGAAGGCGAGTATATTATTCCTGAGATTATTGGCTCTTTGGTGCAAGGGTTGGGTCTCAAGATCGGCATCTCTCCAGTCCACGCGAGGAACGTAACCGGTGAAGGAGAAAAAGAGTCCCTTTGCGCTATGCAGCCAGTAGTATGGCTGCGAACCTAACACGGTTTATAAAAGATGTATGTTGCATCGCCGGTGTCCAGCAAACCCCCAATTTACCGTCTTATGAATCCAAGCTTCTATTTTTCCCCTCTGAAATCAACTTGAATCTTTCTTCTCCCAAATCCAACAGCCACAATCATGAGCAAGCCGGAATTCCAGCCCACCGTATACAAGCGGCCCACAAATTACATCTTTCCCTACCTCCCGGCATCATGGGTCCCGTACGCAGAGCTCATGCGTATTGATCGACCAGGTGGTTTCATCACCTTCTATGCCCCCTGCCTTTTCGGCATCAGTTATGCCACCTCTATAGCTGCTGTTCAACCACCGATAGCTCTCATCCTCGACCGCAGCATCACCGCATTCTTGTGCTGTGTGCTAGCACGCGGCGCAGCATGCGCATGGAATGACAGCGTAGATCGGGACTTCGATCGAAAGGTCGAGCGGTGCCGGTTGCGGCCTGTAGCGCGAGGGGCCGTGACACGCTTCCAATCGCATCTATTTGCGATTGGGCAAACTGTTGTGATTATACTGCTTCTCGTCCGCATGCCCATCGCCCTGCTTCGCTACTTCGGTGGCATCGTGCTGCTATCCACGCTTTACCCCTTCGCGAAGCGCTTCACCTATTATCCGCAGATCGTGCTGGGTTCGACATTTGGCGTGGCATTTCTCGCATCCGCTAGATCAGTGGATGTCGACCCTATGGCAAAGGAGACACTCATCCCGTCTATCTGTGCCTTCGTGGCCAATACCCTCTGGAGCATGATCTATGATACTATTTACGCGCACCAAGACGTGGCGGATGATATCCACTCGGGCGTGAAGAGCATGGCCGTCCGATTCCAGGATTCAACAAAGCTTGTCACGTCGATACTGGCCATCGTTATGACTGTGATGCTCGCTATGACGGGTGTGCTGGCAGGTCTGGGACCGCTCTACTTTGCTTTTACTGTGGGTGGAGGAGCGGTTAGTCTGGCTGCTACTATCATATCCGTGGATCTTAAGGACGGGAGTAGCTGTTCGTGGTGGTTTAGTCGGGGATACTCGTTTGTGGGGGCATGTATCCTCACCGGATTCTTAGCGGAGTCGGTGTCGAAATCGGGGCCAGGATTTGAGTATATGGGGCTGGCGAAAAACGCGAGTTGGATCCATACCGAACTGTGAGATTGAGATAGTTTAAATTCAGGAGAAGAGATTGTAGTTGCAGGAGGGGTTTAAAGGGTCCGAAAACAATATCAAGCGATTTACTCGGCAAATTGGTCGCAAACTCCCTTAGGCCATGAGAAAATTTTCTGTTCATTTTTTTCCATAGTTGATACAAACCGAGTCAATTCTCTGCATAGACTAGCTTTGTCGGTGAAAAAAGACCTAGTCCACGAAGATAGTGCATGTTTCTATGCCTTTTTTTTTCACCAAGTTTGAGGATAGCTAGCTGACTACTGTGAGTGAACGGTGAAGGTGACATATCACAATAGGCCTGACTTTTAGTTGAGGTGTCTCATTTCCATTCCTGAGGGCTCGGAGAGTATTGGGACCCGCACGTGATCAATATACCGTATAACTGTAATCCTGCGTCCGCTACAACACGTGAATTAACTAGGCCAAAAGGTCCGATCAAACTTCTGACTAGTCAGAAGTTTGATCTAGCGGTTTTTACCATAGTTTCCACATAACTTGGAGCTCGGCGCCACATTGGTGGCCCATCCTAAAATTGTGGAGGTGTTCTTCAGCTGAGTGCGGGCCCAGCCCACCTAGACAACTGGGCATCTCGGGTATCAGTATTACCGAAACAAAAGCTTGGCTGGAGAACTGTTGTTCGTCGCTTGTATAGTGGGTCCGATCTACATAGCATCCCCTTGTCTTGAGTTAGTTGTGACAAGGCGGCTGATCCTGTGTTTATTATTTTTATTATCTATTACTCTTTTTTCCTAATTTTTTTTTTCAACTTAAGATCAGCATAATACGGTTAGAGAACTCAAATCTGAATTCAAATCCGGAGACAGTGCCAGTAATCAATAGCTTCACCGAGCCCGAAGACGCCAGGTTTTTCTTCCTCTTTTTTTCTTATTTCAACTAAGATCAAAGGACGAATCACAGATCCGAGATAGTGCAAGTTAAGGCAATAGTTGGCCCCTTACCTACTCGAAGACGCCTACGTTTTCAGCGATCTAGGTTGAGGCCATTTTCAATTTCCTGTTTGATTTCCAGGTCGCGATCACCCGGAACCATTTTTTCATATTTACAGTTCCTCACCTTTTCACACAGTCGAGTCGACACACAATGGCTCAGGACAATCAAGCGCAGATTGTTGAAAGTTTCAAGCATAACGGGGCCGCAGAAGCATCGATACTTAATGCCCCAGAGACAGAATGGAAAGCAAGCAAAGAGGTGTTTCAAGTCCTCTTTTGCCTCTCAATCATCGGTTTGATGGCCTCATTGGACATGACCATCTTCCTACCTATTCTTCCAGTCAGTGCCTTATCGGTCGTACCTGTCTCCATCAATCAACTGTTCGCTGTAGGCTAACCATGGATACAGCTCATAGCCAAAGAACTGAACGGTGATGCCACCAGCACTTTCTGGGTAGGTAGCGCATATTTGGTACCCTGCGCAGCTTTCCAGCCTATCATGGCGTCGCTTTCCGACATCTATGGCAGGAGAAACATGCTCGTTGCCTCCCTGAGCTGCTTCGTGATCGGATCCATTGTGGGATGCGTCGCTCACAATATGGCTACCCTCTTGGCCGGTCGTGTGATCCAGGGTGTGGGAGGAGGTGGACTCATTCCACTCTCAATGATTGTTCTCACTGATATTATCCCCTTGCGTCAACGGCCCAAGTTTGCTGCCATCGTTCAGTTGTCCATGGCACTAGGAACTATCCTTGGGCCCCTAATTGGGGGCTGCTTTGAGGACTATACCAGCCGCTCAACTGGATGGCGCTGGGTCTTCTACATTAATTTTCCGCTCTCGACCGTGGCAGGATTGATGCTTTTCACGTCGGTCAGGTTCAAAAAAGGCGCGGTGCAACTTCGTTCGGTCGATTGGATCGGCCAGGCATTGTTTATTACGAGTCTTTCCAGCTTCTTAGTTGGTCTCTCATGGGGCGGAGTGCAGTATTCCTGGGGGAGCTATCACACTTTGGTTCCACTATGCCTCGGCGTGGGTGGAATCGTCGCAACAGGATTCTGGGAATTCCTGGGGACTAATCATCCGTTTTTACGTCTGTCGGTACTTACGGATCGATCCTCCCTGGCCGTGTATGCTGCCGCTATTGTCCAAGGAATTATGGTGAGATCTTTCTGTCCGGTCTCCTGTGCATTCCAATAAAAGTTGGACAACGACGCTTTGCTGACATTCCCCCTCAGATGTACGGTGAACTGTATTACATCTCTCTATACCTACAAGCCGTCAAACTTATGTCTGCCGTCATGAATGGAGTCGGCCTGTTACCCGTCTCTGTCTCCCTTATGCCCACGAGCATAGTAGTGGCGGTCATTATCTCCAAAACCGGGCGGTACCGCTGGGCCCTCTGGTTCGGTTGGGTCGCTACCATCGCAGCTACCGGCGCCACCATCATACTAAACAAGCACACTAGCACAGTCGCCTGGATATTCATGTTCGCCGCTGTGGGCCTTGGCCATGGGGTCCTATTCAACGCTCTTCTGGTCGCAGCGCACGCCTCCTCGCCAGCCAAAGATGTGGCATACGCCGCTTCACTATACACTTTCTTCCGGACGCTGGGTTTTGCCATCGGTGTTATCATAGGTGGGACGGTGCTGCAGAATTTCATGGCAACAAAACTAAGTGAATTGGGACTTCCGAGTACCATCGCCTACAATGCAGAAGGTTTTGTTGCCACCCTTAAAACGTTGCCAGTTGGGTCTGCGGTGCGCGAAGGGGCTCTAACTGCATATGTGTATGGCCTGGACGGAGTCTTTGAGGTTATAACGGGCATTGGAGCTCTGGGTCTTTTAGCTACGCCATTTGTTGCAGGACGAACTATGAATACACCTTTGGAGTCTGATCATGTCTTGCGAGATGCAAAGGATGGGGCATGAGGTGAATGTACCCATTTGATGATGACTAAACAAAGTGTCGCATGCCCTTCAGGGGTTTTCGTGCTGGGAGGTTTCTCTAATTTTCCCGGACGCGGGGATAGAGTACCTCTAGGTTCGAGTTGGTGGATCCTGCGTATGCTCAAGCCCGTTCCTTTAGATACTTAGATTAGACTACTCTTCCTCTATCCTTACGACCTTTTTTCTGTATTTTTTAAAGTCTCAGTTAATAACTTTAGAGTCAGTGAGCCTTGTTTTCTCCGCAAAAAATTATGTGTAGCGTTCCATGATCTTCAACTTTAACGCCTCCACAAGCGATTAGAATATTAGAACCACGCCTAGTCCTGTGGGGTTTAGTAAAATATAAGTGAACAACTCCGATGATTAGCCAGGTGCTAGAACTAGGTGCTAAGATGTGTATTTAGACTAATCACTGGCTATCTCTTCTCGCGCCAGCGAGGCTTCTTATCCTATATGAATTGCTAAGCAAGGTTTGTTGAATATTGGAGCCCCCATCCTAGAGCGCCAACATCGGTCGGCATCTCTCTGCCCGATGGCTGCTGATTGGTCAGCTAGGTACATGAGGATAGTTATTCGAAACTAGGCCGCATAAGCAGCCCGTATATGCAGTTTCCTCATCTACATCACCTTCTCTTCTGGTTTCCTATCCAGTTCGTTCATGGATCACCGAGTAGCGGTGTGAAAGAACAATTTTGTATGCATTTTCCATAGAAAATAATTCCCAGGAAAAGGATGTAAATATCCCCCTGAGAACGAGCAGAAAACAGTATCAGAATTTATTATCAATTACACGTCCGTCTTCTTTTCGTCTGATCTCCCCTTCATTTCTCAACAAGGTCATATGGTTGGGGTCCTGCTAGGCAGAGGGACCTATTGTGCAGCTCCAGTGCTGGGGGTTGTGACAATAAAGAAGAGATACTTTTTAGAGAGGAGAAAATATACCACGGGCTAGGGTAAAGTGTAGACGCTAAACTATAGATCTCCTTATATCATACTTGACTTTTTTTTCATCCTTATAATAGATCAGATAGAAATATTAGTGAATAGTTGTCTATGACTCTAGTGCTCACTGTAAGAGGGCATCAAATGCACTAATTCTCGCTGGCCTGTCCCGGGCCGGAACCGGGGCTGATAGCCCGAGCACGAAGCTGGCCGTCCTACTTCAGCCTCCTGGAAGAAGAAGAAGAAGCGTATTGTCAAATATTTCCATTTTCTGGTCCCTGTGTGACACTGCCTATCTGCAAGGGTACTTAAAATGCCAGACGTTTCCAAGTACGAGGCGATCCTCCAGGGCCTCAAAAACGGCACATACCGCACTCTCAGCTTAAGCCTCAGTGCGCACAAGGTCGCTCCAGGGGAGAAAATTGCCAAGGGAGGTAAGGCAGTCCCTATATCGTATGATAAAATTATCATGATATTCGAATAACACTCAAAAGACACTCAGTCAACTCCGACGCTCTTTGCACCCCCAGGCCTTCCCCAAGGCCCCTACACAATTATCTCTGTCGACCTAGACGGGCCGTTCGTGTCGTGGAACGTTTGCAGCCCGATCGCTCACTGGATTCAGACTGGCTTCGAAGTCGAGCAGTCAAACCAGGAACTCAAAAGCGACGAGCCTGCGATTGCGCCGTGGGCTGCTGCAGGTCCACCCCCTGGTGCCGCGCCCCATCGTTATGTGTTCCTTTTATATAGCCAGAACCCCCTTTCGAGCATTCCGCCAAATTTAAAGGAGAAACCGATTGGCATATTTCAGCGGATGAGGTTTGATATTGATGCGGTGGCAAGGGAGTTGGGCTTGGGCGAGATCGTGGCGGTGAGTTATTTTGTTTCGAACTAGTCTTCTAGTCACTTGTGGGATTGTTGCGGGGATCCGAGCCGAATTGTTGGCCCCCTGGCCATCAAGTACCAGATAAAATATGTTATTAGAAAGGGAATAGTAAAAGCTCTTCAACCAAGTAACAATCTCATCTCTGCTCCTTAGCCTGGTATTGCCATGCTTGGTGAACGGTGGTTCATTGGGCATCTTCAATTAGGGATAAGCTAATCAAATAAGAGAACTGAGTGCCCGAGGGCACTCAGAAAGCACCAGTAGGTCCAGAATTCCTGTAGAGATATGCCTTGCAATTTTAGTTGAAGCTCAATTGATACAGCACTGTATCCAGATATCTATGACCCACCGGAGGAATGTTGTTCCCCAGCCCCGCTGAACGAATGCAGCACAGCGCGACACATCACAACTTGACGACAGATTGCAGGAGAATGATTGCTGACTTATCGGAGGGATGAATAATGGATCAAATCCCTCTCGTACACGACACTGAGCGGCTCAGCTGTCATCAGTTCTGGGTAAGCACCTCCTCGCGTCGATAGCGCAGCGAGCTGACCAATCCAGGACCCGGACAATGCATGGTTATCACCCTGTGCATTACCTTATCTCGTAATTGTGCCGGCGAGTGTGGTTTTCCTTGTTGCGCTGTGCCAGTCAGTGGGCCCTGTGCTGCGGCGATGGCGTCCCAAATGGACATTTCCCTTCATCTCGGAGAAGGATGAATATCAAGAGTTTCCGCTTGAAGAGGTGAAACAGTCTCTTCAATGGACGTTTGCTCTTCTCGCATTTTCGGCCATCGGATTTTCAGCGGAGATTTTGCACTTCTTCCCTCCAAGAATTGACCTGCCCTCTGTCATTCTCGTGGCCTCGTGGGTAAGTGGCGTGAGCCATTTGAAGCGACAGTTACTGACGGGGACCAGGCTACAGCAGCCGTGTTGATCGCGATTAACCGACCAAGGTCATGTTCACTATCAATGCTAGTATTCTTCATCTTGACCTTCAGCGTTGAGATCTCATGGGCCATGAGCTCCGGTGAAAGCTCAAAGGTCAAGACAATCGCCCGTTATGTTGCTGCGGCTGCTAGCCTGGGTGCTTGCCTCACAATTTTCCTGATGCCATTTCGAAAGCCTTCATTCCCTGTGTTTAATATCAGTGGGGTCGGTCAAGCACCATGCAGTGACTTTCGCAGCCCGGAAGATAACCTACGACTATGGCAGTTTTTGACTGTGTCTTGGATGGCACCTCTTATTTCCATTGGACGGCAAAGACAGCTGCATGAGCCAGACGTGTGGCTTCTAGGGTATGAATTTCAGCATCGGCGGCTACATGAGAAGTTCCGTCGCATTCGCGGCGCTGTCCTTGGTCGCCTGTTGAAAGCGAATGGCCTCGATATTATGATTATTTCCGCTATTGCCACTGTCCAGATGTTTTGTGATTTCTCTACGCCAGTCCTGCTTCAGCAACTTTTGCAGGCCATGCAAGATCCGACCAAACCAAAGCGAGTACCATTGACCTACGCGCTTCTGTCCTTGGTGCTCCGCTTTGTGGCAGCTCAGTCCCAGGTATTGAATCTTTGGTACGGCCGACGATGCTACGAGAGGTCTAGAGGAGAGATGGTGATGATGGTCTATGAGAAGGCCCTCTCCCGGAAAAACATCCTCGGGGCAAGGAAGATCGATGGTGAGCAGGAAATTTTAACTGAAGAGGGTGAAGGCATGAATGATGATGCAGCAAGAGAAAGGCTGGAAGAACCTCCAGTGAAAACTGGGTTTTGGAATCGTCTTTTTCCTGAACGCAGAAAAGTTAAGCCGGTCAAGACTAAAGAGGCTGCATCTCTGGGCAAAATTTTCAACCTCCTCCGAGGAGATGTTTACGACGTGGCTCAGCGATTCTGGGAGGTTGACGTTCTAATTGACAAGCCTTTGGGTCTGATCATTGCCATCTGTCTGGTTTGGACTTTCTTCGGCCCATCCTGCTTCCTTGGTATACTAGCCGTTCTGGTTGCGCAGGGGGTTAATGCCATTATCACCCGAACTCTTCTCCGATGGGAAGAGAAAAGGCGAGCCGCGACTGATTCTCGTCTGCAAATCACATCCCAGTTTGTGGAAGCAATCCGTCATCTCCGATGGTATGGTTGGCAAGGGCATTGGCTTCGACAGGTAATGGAAGCTCGGCAGCATGAGTTGAACCTGCGGATCATCACTAGCTTATGGAATATTCTGATCCGTTTTATCAACGCGTTTGCCAGTGGTGTATTCCCAGTCATTGCTCTCTACGCCTACACCGTGCTAGCTGGACGTGACCTACGTATTGATATCATATTCCCCGCGCTACAACTCTTCACCATGCTCGAGACTCGATTGCGAGATATTCCTGGTTTGATCACGGCTTTCATCAATGCGTCTATTGCCCTCGGGCGCATTGAAGACTTTATGGAAGAGCCGGACAAAGACAAACTACCCCTTGACGATCCCACAGACGAAACCCCTTTCAAGTTGGAGTCTTGCTCGTTTGCATGGCCTGGAAAAACAACACCTGTACTCACTGGTATCAGCGTGACCATTCCTAAGGGAATTACTGTTGTGAGTGGCAAAGTCGGGGCGGGGAAGACCGCCTTTCTCCAAGCTCTACTCGGCGAACTCGACCGGCTAAGTGGTTCTTATCTCGTTCCAAATGAGATGGTGGGCTACTGCGCCCAGACACCATGGTTGCAAAGTATGAGCATCCGTGACAACATCCTGTTCTCTGCCTCATATGACGAACAACGCTACAAACGGACGCTTGATGCCTGTGCCCTACTCCCAGATCTCTCGAATTTCAAACATGGCGATTTGACGTTCGTGGGTGAGAATGGTATTGGTCTCTCCGGAGGCCAAAAGGCTCGTGTGGCACTTGCACGAGCGGTATACAGTGCCTCCCGTGTTCTGCTGCTGGATGACCCCTTATCGGCTCTCGATCACAACACAGCTGAGTTCATAGTTCGCAAATGCTTGTCTGGTCCCTTAATGGAAGGCCGCACAATCGTTCTCGTCACGCATCGCACTGCACTAGTTTTCCCCATTGCCTGCCAAATTGTTGAAATTGACGAAGGGCATGGTACAGTCCACGACAGAGATGCCATTATTTCTTCAACTAAGTTTGGAAAGGAGTCTACATTACCGTCGATGCTGTCGACGGATTCTGAAACAGAGACGGAGGGAGAAGTTAGTCTCGAAGATGAGGCAACAGCCGTGCCAGACAAATTCATCGAGGATGAACATCGGGCGGAATGGGGCGTCAAAGCCCGAGTTTATTGGAACTACATAAAAGCTGGCAAATATCGTTGGTGGCTCGCACTCGTCTTGGTCCTGACTGTGTATCGTTTGGCATCTGTTGGACAATCGTGGTTCCTCAAAGGGTGGGGTGAGGCATACAATACGAGCTCATCGGTTTTTGGAAGCCAGTCGAGCTGGAGAGGAGGCTCTCCTGGAGATACAATGTTGGTTGCGACTTCATCCATGGACGCATACTTCGTGCCCTCCAACCCCATGGACCAATTCCCACCTCCGCATGATGATGTGCGGCCATGGCTCTGGGCCTTCTTTGCCATCGTCTCCTTCCAGGCAGCCGCATTGCTTATAGCACAGTTTATCATGCTGGCTATCGTTTACTTTGCTGGCAAAACGCTGTTTAAACAGGTAATGGTTCGGGTCAGCCATGCAACCTTCCGATTCTTCGATGTCACTCCCGTGGGCCGGCTGATGAACCGCCTAACGTCGGACATTGGCGTGGTAGACGGCAATATTAGCGAGCAGTTTCAGATTATTGCATTTCAAGCTATTACCTGGATCTCCTCTATCTTGGTAATTGCCACTGCAACTCCGGCATTTCTGGTCCTCTCGTTGGTACTGACGGTGGCCTTTGTGCTCATCTTCTTACAATTCCTCCCAACATCGCAAAGCCTCAGGCGCCTCGAGATGGTTTCTCTGACTCCGCTGCTCTCAAATTTCGGGGAGTTGCTTCACGGCCTCACGACGGTCCGTGCCTTTCGCGCCGAAGAGCGCTTCCAGAGCCGCGTTATCTCCGTGGTCGACAAGTTCCAGGGAATGGACCACTTCTATTGGTCATTACAGGCATGGCTTATGTATCGCTTTGAAAGCTTGTCCGCATTCTCGACTTTCTGCCTTACTGCTCTGGCTCTATACACAAACATAACCCCCGGGCTAGTGGCATTTGTGCTCATAGCTGCGAATAACTTTGTCGAGTCCACCCATACTCTATGCAAACAGTACGGTCAATTACAGATGGACTTCGTATCTGTGGAACGAGTTGATGAGTTGCTTCACATCGAAGAAGAGTCGCCCGGAACCATTGAGCCCCCGGCGGCGTGGCCGACCTATGGAAGCGACATCACCTTTCAGGATGTAACAATCCGCTATGCACCACACCTCGATCCTTCATTGAGGGACGTGTCTCTTCGGATCCCCGGCGGTTCTACCACTGCGATCATCGGTCGGACAGGTAGCGGCAAGTCTACGTTGGCGGTATCTCTTCTCAGCGTCATTAGACCAGAAACGGGCCGGATCATAATCGACAACATCGATATTGCCGAAGTCAGCACTCAGGCACTGCGCACCCGAGTCACATTCGTCGCCCAAGACCCGGTTCTATTCCCTGGTAGCATTCGCCTCAATCTTGATCCCACCGAGGATTTCTCAGATCAGCAGTGCGCCGATGTACTGGGACGACTCTGCGGCCGCCATGGCTGGAACCTTGATACGTATATTGAGGCTGGTGGAAAGAACCTCAGCCAGGGCCAGCGACAGCTCATTGCGCTCACGCGGGCAGTCCTTCGACGCAGTCCGGTTGTCATTCTCGATGAGGCTACTGCATCTATTGATCACGAGACATCTCTCGATATCCAGCAGATTGTTCGGGGGGAACTACAACTTTCGACGGTCATCACGATCGCACATCGCATTGAAGCTGTCAAGGATGCGGAGTACTATGTAGTCCTGGACCAGGGACGAGTATCGCGACAAGGACACGTTCGAGACCTGTAGGCTTTTACATTTCAGAAACAGAATAGAAGATGAAAGCGATTTCCACGCATTCAGAGCACCGAACCACTACATGGCCAGTCCGTAACACAAGTGAGAAAGCAAAGATCACCCAAGGGCGTATTCATGTACATTTTCTTGGTAAGAATAAAGGGTATCTAGACTTTACAGCTTGGCCTTGCCGCCCTGAGCCTTCTTGAGGATGGGCTCCATCTTGGTGGCCTTCATGATGTTGCCCTTGATCTTGAGCTTGCCACCCATGAACAGGCGCTGGGCGTTGGCCTTGCCGGCCACGAGCTGGGCAAAGTCGGCATCGGAAAGGGAGAGGGTAACTGTTTACACATCGCATTAATATGGCACCAACCATGATAGGATGTAGGCCGGACTCACCATCAGCCTTGCCGCCCTCGGGAGCGGCACCCTCACCAACCTCGCCCTTGTTCTTCAGGTCGAGGTACCAGCTCTTCTCCTCGCCCTTCTCGTTCTTCAGGTTGAAGGCGACGATGGCCTTGGCCTGGTCGACAGCATTCTTCTTCTCGTTCTGGTCGGCCTGCAGGGTCTCGTTGATCACGTCGAACGCGCCGGAGGAGGGGAAAGAATCTGGGGAAGCTGTCAGCAATGTAGTTCCAAGATTGCGATGTGTTGCATGCGCCCGGGGAGAATTGAGAGGATGCGCAAGTAAACGTACCGTTCTTGAGAGGCATGATGGATATGATGACAGAGTTATTGGTAGATGTAAAGGAGGCGACAGAAAGTGGTTCGCGGAGCTATATAAGAGGGAAGGATGATGAAATGGCCGTGGGCCAACATGTGAATCGCCGGAAGTGCCGAGGCCCTGTGAACCCGCGCTTCTCCACACCGAGAGCTTCACACTTGTGTCTACACAATTTCTTGTTCATGGCACGCGCTTCTCTACTGTATTACACTATTCTGCCGGGTCGATCCTTTCCCGATTCCCCGTGCTCTCCAGAAATCCCCGTGCCCTCAACTACCCCCAGAAAAAGGGGACTCCACATGGTCCCGGACCGTGGCCCTTCATGGACCTTGAAGGGTCGCACAAATCCGGTATCCATCGCGACGCCAGGGACAATCCTTTCCTCCCGAGGACGAACGCCCGCTCGCATGCCCCCAACGCCTCCCTGACGCCCCAACGTCACCGCCCCTAGCTAAACACCGATGACGGTGGCAGCCGCTTCATATGATCGGGCCTCCCCCAGACCCTCGAGTGTCCCCGCGTCTTGGCGCAGCTGCGAAGCCCGTCTTTCTGTCGCCGCATCGCACCGAGCACTCGCCGTCATTGCTACTGACAGACTCCAGACGGGCTGAGTACGATGGGCACAGCGACGGTGCTCTGATGTTTCTGCTTGTCTTTCAATTTCTCGCTGCCGCTGAGCCGGGTTAGTGGAGCCAGCGGGTCGTCCCAGCTACCTATTCGCAGAACGATGCCTTGAAGGTTGAATTCACAAAGCCAAGAACGATGGTCCATAATGAAGGATGCTATCTGGGATTCGTTCATGGTCGCATTCATGAGCTCCACCTGCCGCGGAGTGTAACTTCAGTGGCCTTAGGGATGGCCCTGCTCCCTAGCGACCAAATTGGTTTACTGCGATTATCGGGGAGCTTTGAAGATATGGTAAGATGTGGGATCTGCGACCAGCGTTTACGGGACACGACCGGTGGACCAAACCCCAAATTTGGCTGCGGATAGAACACAGCCGCCGGGTGGATCGAGAGAATGGACATACTATTCAAGTACCTCAGCGGAGCGGTCGAGTTCGGACAGACGGGTTGGCCTGTCAACGTTCGACTGCGGAATAGGATCGTGGTGTCCGCAAAAAGAAGTGGTGCTAACTGGACCGCGAAGTCCCGACGAACTAATCAACATGATGACAGGTCTTTGTTGGTGGAGTGACATGTCAAGAGCTCCTCTCGAATCAGTGTGTTCCGATGGCGTTACCATGGATATACACTTCAATGCGGATTTTCATCTTTACATTTATAATAAAACCGTGGTGCTGTGGTTCCATAGGCAGGAGACATTGTGTTCTCGTCTTGCTGCTGTAGCTATTCAACCCGACTGTAGATCGGAGCCAGCTGCTGGCCAATCTGTACATTGCCATCTGCTGTACTCGGTTTTCAAGTCCCTCTCTGACGATTGCCTTTGCAGCTGCCCACAATGAGTCATTCCAAGAGCCATGGCATTGAAAATAGCAGTCATAATGCAATTGCAGCGGCCAAGCGCCTTCCAGGGCGTATTCACAGGAGAATATACCTGTCCCAAAGCGCTGCATAGGGCCAGCCCTGGTGTTTGCACCGTTTGTCTCCACAACGCGTTGGACGCGTCCTCTGCCCGGACACCTGCCGATAAGGCATCGTTGAAATCCAGGATGGTGGAGAGGGTCGCAATCGATGCAAAGGTATATAGAAGACAAAGTCCATCATTGCGTGAAAGTAAAGTGGATAGACCACATGTGCACGGAGCTTAAAGGGATCCTTGTGGTGGCCTGATCCTTCAAACATTGAATGTTGGGAGAGCCGCATAGGAGACGTAACGTATCTTCATCCGGACACCGTGGCGAGGCTCAGGATAACATCGTTGCCCAGATTTCGTCAATGAAGTGAATGGGCTCTATTACGGTCTAGCAGGAACCGAGAACAACTAGGCCAACCTCTTGAGACCTTCCTTTATTATCGGGGCAGACTGCACGGGCGCTTTCCCCGAGTTCTCCACCTCCGCGACTACGACTCCGCCAGCTGATAACCCGCCTAGAACATCGTCTCTCGTTTCCTGCCACGGGCGAGATCTCTCCGTCGCAGCGATAGGCACGGAACCCGTGGAACGTGGGCGTGTGCTGCCTTTTGCTGTTTTTATTCCGCGTTCTGCCTGGCTGAGACCGCTTTCTCGTTTGTCGCAACCTCTCTTAAGGCTGAAGAACCCGGCTGATCCACCTCATTCTCAGCTTTGATGTCGCGGGGTTGCTCCCGTCCATCTTCCTTCCAGGCGTCTAACCTGACATTAGCGTTGCTGGAACTCGTTTTTCTCCCTATCAATCGAGACAGAAGTGACCTGACACTCGCTCTGAAGTGAGTTGGCAGAGATCAACAGATTCTGCCCATCCAAAACACCCAGTAAGTATCAAGATTCTACGTATCTCGCCTGCTGTTTCGCCTCATCAAAATACCTCACCGCATGACTTTGGTCGTCTTCACTCGAGGCTCGCACGTTTCTTCAAGCAGCCAATTAACATAAGATTAGTCATTTTTCGAGCACCCCAAATCTGAGGTACTACGAGTTTTCCACGACTTTTCCATCAAAATCATCCATTCCATCGGATCCTGGGTTTTCATACCGGATCTTCCCTTCATTTAATCTACACTTGAGGGAGCATCTATTCGCTCTCTACGCCCTTCAACTTCTTCCTACTCGTAACGAACCAAACCTTGTGCATTTTACCTACCTGGACACCAGGTTCATCGAATCAGGCCTCTTCATATTAACTTCGGCCATTTTCTTCTCTGTCTGCAGCCATGGAGGACGAAGTCAAAGACTTGTTGGAAGATCTGGACCTACAGACCCTTATCCATGCTGATCTTCGGGAGAACCGACCTGATGACAGTTTCGCTATAGCGGAGGCTGCTGACAAGATCAAGGATCTGGAAGCCCAGGTCGCTCGGCTACTGGGTCAGGAAGAACCGGCTGCGGCTCCACGGACTCCCCCGGTGCCCAGAGTTGATTACCCTGGTACACCGGCACCTGCGGCCACTCCAGATGTTTCTCGCCACTCGTCCTCGGCTGCCCGTGGACATCATCGTCCTTCCTACAATCTGGCTGTTTCTCCCTTGAGACCTGCTTCGCAAGACCGGGGTGGAGATCCTCTGTCTGCCCCGCACTGGCCTTCCTCTGCCCCTTCTCCCTTTGGGGTTGTATCCAATCGGCCTGGACTACCTCTAACTAATCCCTTGACTGCGCCTCGCAAGCGACCTCGGCAGGACTCATTCGGCTCGTTGGCTCCTGCACAGACATCGAAACGGGCGGTTTTTGACAACAGCAGATCTCGAATGGCTAAAATCGATGAAAGTATGGAGACACAGCTAGTTCAGAACCGTCAAATTTATGAGGATTTGCTAGGAGACGAGAATGTGCAATTCATGGTGAACACGGAAAATATGTCGGAAGAGCAGGCTCGCGAAAAGATCCTAAAGGACCGAGAGGAAAGTGAGCGAGAAATCAGACAGCAGTTCCAGTTGGAAAAAGATGGGGAACTTGCTCGACTTTTGCAGGCACAGCAGTATGAGTCGAGTGATGATGAACGCGAGTTTTACCGGCGCCCTGCACCTAACCAGCTGGGTCATGTCACTTCACCATCCACATTCAGTCCACCTGGTCGAACTTTGCCACGGCCAATGTACAACCTCCCCGACCGAACCCATCTCAGTGGGCCTTCGAATGGCTTTTCGAATATGGGAGAGTTGATGAATCATACCGATCGCAATAGGTTTGACTTTTCTTCCAATCCTCCAATACCGATGCTATCGAGGGGCGAGACGGGGCATTTCCTACCGACGGAAGATTTTGGTGCTCCAATACCGACGCCATGGCGGACGCCTCACATACCTACAAGCAATTTCGATGATGATCTCCAAGAAATCTCTCCGGACTATTTTCACTCCCGGGTTGGAGATCTGCTCCGTTTCGGTCCTCCGGCCATGCCTGGCAGACATCTTCCGTGGATGCATGAGCCCGATCCTCGCGTGCGTGACATATACATGCGTGACCCATACATGCGTGATCCGAATGCCGTGGGAAAAGCCATGGAGCTGGTCCGTGACCAGGTGGACCTGGATATGGATGACGAAGACTTAGTGTACGGATTCTTTCCCCAATTTACGCGTATTCAAACATGGTTTGGCCGAATGCTAACTTCAATTCTTGCAGCCGCTATGAGGAGAAAGACTTCCCCCAAGACATCAAGAACCTGATTACCGGCATCAAGGATATTCGCGATGCTACAAAGGCAGACAAAGACGACACGCCAAGCGGCCTTAAGGTGACACTGATGAAGCACCAAAAGATCGGGCTGGCCTGGATGAAGGCCAAGGAAGAGAGCAGTCACAAAGGCGGAATTCTCGCGGACGATATGGGCCTGGGCAAAACAATCCAGGCCATCGCTCTCATGGTGGCTCGTCCATCAACAGACCCTGAGCGACATCCCGTTCTTGTTGTATGTCCCAAAGCTCTCATGGACCAGTGGCGATTAGAGATTCATCGTCACGTCCGGCCCGGTAACGACCAGTTGTCTGTGTTCATTTTCCACGACAAACAACGAAATGCTCCATGGAGAGAACTGAAAAACCAAGACGTCATTATCACAACGTTCGGTACGCTGACTGCCAACTTCAAGCTGATGCTCCATGCAGAGAAACTTGAGCACGAGGGCAAAGACGCAAGCGTGGTGAAGAAGATTAAAGAACAGGCCACTCTCTATCTTCCAAACAGCAAATTCCATCGAGTCATCGTAGACGAGGCTCAGAATATCAAGAATCCCTTGGCAAAATCGACCAAGGCTTGCTCCCGCATCAATGCCACCTATCGCTGGTGCTTGACCGGAACACCCATGATGAACCGACTCGAGGATTTCCAGTCTCTGCTGGGATATCTCCGGATCAGACCTTACAATAACAAGGACAAATTCAGGAGTGTAAGTTCTTCATGATGATTTAAACCATCCTCAATGCTGACTAACTCGACTAGACCTTCGTTCGACCGATTAAATCGGGGGGAGGAGGAGGTGAACAGGCGATGGCCCAACTGCGCGTCCTCGTCAAGTCCATATGTCTTCGGCGCACAAAGGAATCCAAGATTGACGGTGAACCGATTCTCCAACTTCCGCCCAAGGTTATCGAACAGGTGCATGTTGTGTTCAGTGAACATGAGCAACAGATGTACACGACTCTCAATACCAACACGCAGAACCAAGTCACCAGATACCTCAACGCCGGTACCCTGGGGCGGAACTACAGTCATGTCCTGGTACTTCTCCTACGACTGCGACAAGCGTGCTGCCACCCTCACCTCATGCAGGGGTATAACGCCGAGCCCGCTACGACTGTCTCAGGTGTGGACCTGATCGCCAACGCAAAAATGCTGACCTATGAAGTCGTGAGCCGTATCAAGAACAGCGAAGAAGAGGACGACGGCACCTGTCCCATTTGCATGGACAGTGTTGGAAATGCCGTCATCTACATTCCGTGCGGTCACTCCGTGTGCTCCGAATGTTTTGCCCGCATCTCCGATCCCACAGTTCTGGCTCGTGATGATACATCCGGCCTGATCAAATGCCAGAACTGCCGTGGCCCAGTCGACCCTGCTAAGATCACCGATGTGAACTCGTTCAAAATAGCTCATGATCCAGACGCCGCGCCACAAGATACTACTACTACTGCTGCTGCTGCTGCGGAAGAGACAGAGCAGTCCTCAAACTCAGATTCGGACGATGATGATTCTGACACCTCAACCGACGGAACAGCCAGGAGGCCCAAGAAAGTCTCGCTGGCCGAGCTCCGCCGGGCAGCCCAAAAGAACAAGCGCGAGAAAAGGAAATACCTCCGCCGCTTGGAAAAAACCTGGGTTCCCAGCGCCAAGATCGACAAGGCCACCGAGATCCTGCAAGCCAACGAAGACAGCGGCCGCGGTGAGAAGACCATCGTCTTTAGCCAGTTCACCTCCCTTCTGGATCTGTTGGAAGTGCCCATCAACCGACGCGGCTGGAAGTACGTGCGCTTCGATGGCACGATGAACATCGCCGACCGCAACGCCTCCGTGGCTGCATTCACCGATGACCCGGACGTTAGAATCATGCTCGTCTCCCTCAAGGCCGGCAATGCAGGTCTGAACCTCGTTGCCGCGTCGCATGTTATCCTGTTCGACCCATTCTGGAACCCTTATGTCGAGGACCAGGCTATTGATCGTGCCCACCGTATCGGTCAGAGGAGAGATGTATTCGTGCACAGGCTGCTGATTGAGAATACTGTCGAGGATAGAATCGTCGAGCTTCAGAATAAGAAGCGGGAGTTGATTAGTGGTGCTCTCGATGAGGGTGGCTCGTTCAATGTGTCCCGCTTGGATACTCGGGAGCTGGCCTATCTCTTCGTAAGTGTCTTCTTCTTTCCATATTGTCTTTGTTCGTTGATGCTAACATCTTTTTCTAGGGCGTGCGCCACGACTGAGCTAGAGATGGCAACTAGATCATTCTACTTGCCGGGAGTCTAGCCCCGGTGTCTTTACTTTTCCGGATGTAGATGGGTTTGGGCAGTGTGATGATTGCTCATCTTTTCGCTTCATTGCACATGCTACATTGACTCTTTATGTTTCGCGGGTGTTTTCAGGCGCAGGCAAGATCTTGCTCATTTTGTTCCATATACCCTTGCGATCCCACAATTCAAGACAGAAGCCTGCAATGTTCTTTCTTTTCTACAGTAGAGATTGGAGTATTCATATAGTCAAGATTAAATTTACTCGAGGCCCAGTGTCATGAGATCATGGAAGAAAAAAAATTCTTTTAGGTCTTGTTGAAAGAGAACTTGCTTTTTGTGCAGCGTGCTCGTTTCGGGGAGAGAAAAAAAGCATTGAGATGATAGGGGTCTAAGCTACTAAGGTTGGGGGGAAACAAAAAAAAGAAATGCATAATCGTGCCGTCCCTTTCTTCAAACCGCCACTGCCCCAACCGCTTTCGTTGTATCGTGATTCTGGGAATGGATTTTGTTTTTGCGGGGCAAAGTCAAAAACATTTGGTCGTGGAATATACCGTCCCCCAAAGGACTGGTCGTGGAAGATCGCGCCAAAAGGGGAGGGCTGGAAAAGTCGTGGGCCCGTGAGTTGGATGCACCGCTTTACAGGTCGGCGTCGTCCTCGTCGGGCAGGGGCTGAGACACGGCAGCCTCCATCTCCTGGCGGTACTTCTCCAACTGGGCCTCGTCGACCTGGACCTCGGGGGGAGCGAGGGCGGGGGCGGCAACGAACTCCTGTAAGAGTGGGTCAGTAAGGGGATGGACGGAAGACAAAAGGTATCTCGGGAGGATGTACGCACCAGCTGAGGGTTGCCAACAAGCTTGCGGGCGAGCCACAGGAAGGGCTTCTCGAAGTTGTAGTTGGACTTGGCGGAGATGTCATAGTACTGGAGGTTCTTCTTGCGGTGGAAGGTGATGGTCTTGGCCTTGACCTTGCGCTCCTTCACATCGACCTTGTTACCGCACAGAACGATGGGGATGTTCTCGCAGACACGGACGAGGTCACCTGGAAGTGGTCAGAAGCGAACAGTCGATGGATTCGCTGGAAAACTTACGGTGCCAGTTGGGAACGTTCTTGTAGGTGATACGGGAGGTGACATCGAACATGATGATACCGGCCTGGCCGTTGATATAGTAGCCATCACGGAGACCACCGAACTTCTCCTGACCGGCAGTATCCCAGACATCGAACTGAATGTCACCCAGGTTCTATCGCTTCGAGTTAGTCGACCGAGGAAATCGGAGCGGGGTTCGGCGGGGCATAGCATACGGTGGTGAACTTCAGCGGGTGAACCTCGACACCAAGGGTGGCAATGTACTTCTTCTCGAATTCACCAGTAAGATGGCGCTTGACGAAGGTGGTCTATCGTATTGGGTGCGTTAGCGATGGCGTTGCGGCGACGAGGCGGACGGTTGGGCAGATATTTTCATTTTTGTTGACAATGGCGGGGCAGGGAAGGAGGCATCGTAGCAACGGGGCTGGCGGGCCCGCCATCGGGTGTCGATGACTGCAGCTAGCAAGAAGATGCCCCCCTGCCCTGCAATCGATGACGATGAAGTCGGAAATCGAGCTTACCTTTCCAGTACCACCGTCACCGACCAAGACGAGCTTGAAGGTAGGTGGGGTCTGAGCAGCCATGGCGGATATCAAAGACGAAGTCTGGGAATTAGATAGGAATCGCGCGCCGAAGATTCAGCGGATGCGTTTTTTTTTTCGAGGTGGGTGGAGGTGGAGGGTTGGTGGATGCGGTGAAGGGGGAAAGGAAGGGAGTCTGAATAATGTCGTTTGGAATTTTTGGCCCGGTCGCGCGGGCGGGTCACGTGTCTGTGTGCCTGAGGGCCTGACGTAGTGTCAAGCGCCGGTCTTCTATGCATTCTACTTTGTATAACATCATGTTCTGTAGACTAAAGGAGTTCTCCTCAAACTGACTGGGTTTCCATTCCCTAATTCTTCAGAAAATAACTTTCAGGTTCTCGAAGCCATGGACTCGTGATTCATGAACAAAGCGCATCAATGTACAAAGATGAACGGCTGTTCGCCCGGTGATCACCCGGTAGCCGCGGCAACAACAGGCTGATCAGCGCTTTTACAACGGCACTATATGACAGCCCAGTAGGCCCCGGCCTCCCCAATTGCGCCGTGGGGTGAGTTGTAGATCCAACTCCGTTGTTCCCGATCCACTCTCGTTCTTCCGTGTCACTTTGACCGTCAGAGGACGCTAGATTGAGAGTTAGCTTGAATGTCGAATGCAGAAATCCAGGAAAGATCTGAGCATACCCCTTCGTTCTGTTGCACAGCCTCCGCAACCTTCGAGAGTCGCTCGTGGTTCAACCAATGCACACTGCCAAAGCCTCGAATTGAATCTCCCATCTTCAGACCTGCCTGGTGTGCTGGACTACCTGGCTCCACACTGTTCACACGAGCAAATGGTGTCCCCAGCGTGCCCGTATCCGCAATACTATTGTCCGTGACAGAGGTGGGCGCAGAGGATGGCACAGTGGTACCATTTGCAGAGGTGGCGCCTGGCGCGTTCTGTAGCCGGGCAAAGTGGTCGTGCAGGCCCTTCTCGAGATGTGTCATGACCGCCTTGTGGTCATTTCTAAGGTGGATGATTCGTACTCGCGTTGTTCGAACTAGATCTTGGTCTCAGCGCATTGAAGTCAGTGGCTGGTGCCCGGTCGTAGCGTACCTTGAGCAATGTCGATATCGTCGCGTGGGAAGCCATCGAAAGTGGTAAGGGACGAGTTCATGTTCACTCCATGCTAGCAGAGCGGATTCATTAGCGACAATATTCTTCGGGTGGCACAGGGCAACTCACCGAGTTGAGGACGCTGCTCAGTGCGGATAGCTCCGCCTCGATCCGTTCCTTCTCCTGCATGAGGTCGGGCATCGACACCTTCGAAACATCGCGGGGAGCAATCCCAGATGACAGCCCAGAGGCGACAGTTGGGGCGTGAATGTCGTCCATTGGAATGCCCATAGTAGAAGGCGGGGAAGATCAAAGCATCGCGGGCGTCAAGGGCGGTGGGGCTGCTTTTTATATAAGCGCGCGGGCGCGGCTGGTTTGTCCCGGGAAGTATATACATTGTACTCAAATCCTACCCTCATTTTCGCATATTCGATGACGGAATGAATAGCAATAACCGCTACATCCCTGTGGTCCTGGGCCTGCAGGATTTCAATTCCACCTGTTGAGCTGCCTCACGTCATGACATACCTTCTGGCACATTTCCAAGCTAAGAGGTATCGCGATGCAATAGAAGTCCATGAGGAATAGCTTGATTCTCAGGTAGACCTTGACCATGTAGTCATTAAGACATTCGATGGTGAAGGTTTATTCTCTCAGTTGCCTATTAGGTAGGCATTGTATGCATCGTTGGTATCGTAGGCATTGAACGTCGCTCTTTCCCTAACCAGGTGGGTGCGCACTTCCCTCACTTGACAATTTCCCTGGTTTCGTCTCGCTCCCTCTTCTTCCATCTCGTCTTCTTCCTCCTGCACCATTCACTCAACTCACCGTCGTAATGTCTACGCCTACACCAAGTCCCATATCCTCCACCAAAATGGAAACCAAGGTGACGGCTGGGAGCTGGGTCGCGGATGTACATGCCGGACCAGGACGCACAATCTATATTACCCTTGTGCTGGTGATCATTCTCCTCGCGGCACAGCTGATATCTTCTTGGAGCGATTTTCACAAGCAGAAGAAGCTTGAGCAGAAGTAAGATACCATGATCCCATGCAGAAGAAAAGCAACAGAATCTGTTCAGTCTCATTGATACCAGACAAATGCTGACAGGTATCATAGTCGTCGCGCACCTTGCAGCACTTGCCGTCGCTGCCACCACGACACCGCTGGTGCAAATATCGACCGCGCCGCCAACGCGGAGGAGCGCGCCGTCCTGGCTGAGCGGCATGTTGTCCAGCTCGAGGAGCGTATGACCGCTGCCACCGAGCAACTTGCCCTCGCCGAGAATTCCGCCCGTGAGGCCAACCTGCGCCATAGTGCCGCTGTACGGCGCGCCAACTCTTCCTCGAAACATGTCGCCAGACTCCAGCTCGAGCTCCAGCAGCTAACCTCCGCTTCCGCCTCCGCTCCCCGGCCCGTGCCCAACCCCTCCCCCGTCGAGATCGACGACGTGAACGAGCACGCCGACGGCGCGCACCAGACCAACGACGCCCCTGCGGAGGGGTCCCAGCATGGCGGGAGTTCCAGTATGCCAGAGCCGAAGAACATTGACTCTGCGCATTCTAAAAAGCCCTCGACTTTTGAAGAGAGTGTAATGGATTTGCACAGGTGGGATGAAGACACTGTGAAAAAGCCGACCGAGGGCAAGATGGAATTCCGCGCAAAAGGGTTCTTCAGCCGCAAGCGCCGCGATAGAAGCACCTGCGAGGCGCAGCCCGTTCGTCTTCCAGATCAGAAATAGTATGGCAACCTCATTGCCGCGTGCCAGCCCTGGATATGGCCAGAAGGCACGAATCGCTCATCTCATCCTTGGTTCAGGCCTTCCTCCCTGTCCGCGTGCCAGCCCTGGGTTATGGCCAGACGGCACGGCTCGCTCCTCTCATCCCTCGTATAGGCCTTCCTAACCTGTTTGTTATGTCAATCATGATTCGTGGCTGTATGCCTCATGCTCTATCAAAACCAGAAAAGATCCCTGAGGGTTATCAACCATTTTTGCTTAGTGAGACCCTATTTTCCGTAGTTATTCGAGAACCAAGCGTCGAGTTACCCATAAGCAACGGAAGTCGGATATATAGATTATCCGATAGAAATATCTCTTACATAATAATATTTGCCCGATTCAGATGCCTGCGCACGCGATAAGAGCAGCAACGGACCGCGACGATGGACTCGTCGAGTTCGCAGGCGAGTGTGCTTCCTTATCTTGCTTGGGGTGTACATATTCTGACCTCCAAATACAGGACAAACAGTCCATCCCGCGGTTCTCTAGCTTTAAACCTCCCCCGCCAGCTCCGGAGGCTGATCGACCGACTGATTGCCGTCACGAAATATCTCTACGAGACGACCGTGATTGCCGCCGGTCACAGCCTAGTCAAAGTGACCGTCGATCTCGCTCGCCACGGGGCTCTAAGCACAATGACCGACATCGATCCTCGGACCGCTATTCACACACAAAGCGAAGGCGTCGCAGTGACTCTCGAGATCGGCGCAGATCTAAAGAACGGCAACAATCGCGCGACTACCGTATATTGCGGAGCAATAATGGCCAAATAAAAGATGAAGCTCGTTCTTTGGGCGGTGTGAGTGAGGTCAAAAATCAGTATGACACTGGTGAACCTGACCTCTTCATTATCGACCGGAGAGGCGATCGGCACAATATCACCTATGGCGCCACACACCGGTATGCCGTCCCCGCGTTTCGCCGGGCTGGTAGTGGACGAGTTATTGGCATAAACACGACATATATGATCGATCGTGAACACCGAGACACCGACAGTTTGATTTTGCGGAGCAGGGAGCAGGGACTCGCAGACGGGGCTAGAGTCAAATCAACCAGGCTTATGTCCAAAAGTTCCGCCCAGCCGACGCGGCTGTTTCGCTTACGACAGGATAACACTGGCAATGCGGCTCTTGAGCATATGCAAGACTTCATAGAATTCGATTCTGCATCGAAAACCAATTTTAACGACAATAATGACTCTGGCGACGAGCGTCACGCTTACCGATCGATACATGGAAAGGCAAAGGACGAAGATGTCATTCCGGGGGAGTTGGAAGCACTGCCTGATCCCAAGTCTCTGGAACAAGATATAATCGACATTGATGCGGACAGAAAGGCTCGCAATGCCGAGCTAGCGCGCGCCATAGATTCCAATCCTACGGACGTTGCATCATGGCTCAAACTGATTGACCACCAGGATATGCTGATCCTTGGTACGCGCGACGAGTCTCATTCGTTTACCTATGCCGATCGACAAAGTTTAGCGGAAGTCAAGCTATCTCTTTATGAGAAGGCTCTCAAGAAGGTCGGGGAAAGTCATCACAAGGATCGTCTTCTCCTGGGCCGATTGTACGAAGGTGCAAAATCCTGGGATGCCGACAAGCTTTTGGGTCAGTGGAAGGACACGCTGAAAAAGAACTCAGCGTTTATCAGTCTGTGGGTCAAATACCTCGATTTTCGCCAGACGGATTTCCGTGACTTTGCTTTCGAACAATGCATGTCAGTCTTTCTTGAGTGTCTGAGCCTCAATGCATCTAGCGCAGCAAGTCCCCACAAAATCCAGGTTCAATGTTACTTGTTTCTCCGGTTGACCCTTTTTGTTCGCGAAGCTGGCTATGTTGAACTCGCCGTCGGTCTCTGGCAGGGTGTGTTGGAGTTTACCTGCTTCATGCCGTCTTCTTTTGCTGAAAGTAACGACAAAGAAGGCGCTCTCTCCTCCTTCGCGCAGTTTTGGGAGTCAGAAGTGGCCAGAATCGGAGAAGTCGGCGCGGTAGGCTGGCGAAACGCCGCAAGCTCCGATGTTGTCCCAACAACCCATGCATACAAGACGAGAGTTGAATCCACGGACCTTTTGACCTCCTGGGCTGCAGCCGAGAGGGAACGGGCAGTAGACTGTCAAATGCCATCGCGGAGTATAGATGAGTTCAAAACCGGCATGGACGACCCATATACGGTAGTCCTCTTCTCGGATTTGCAGAATGTTCTGCCATTCTTCTGGGGATTGAACAACTTGGATGAACTCATTGACAGCTTCGTATATTTCTGTCATTTGCCACATTTGACCGTAACTCAGAATGCCCCGACGACCCGGTTATGGAGTGGAGACAATTTCGTTCGAAATGAATTCGTGGACAATACTCAAAATAACCTGTCTCTCTGGATCTCCTCGCAGTCGGATAATCCACAATCTTCCAAGTCTCCTTTCTGCTTTCCGGTCCCCAACTTTATCCATACCACGGATATCATGTTTGCAACACCAAAGAAGTGGTTTTCATCATTCCAGGCATGGACGGATGACATATCGAGCGAATCATCGATCATCAATCATGGCTGGGTGCGGCAGACCCTGCGCTCGTTGGCGGAACTATACACGGCCGATAGCGAATTGGCTGAATACGCCTTGGCAGTTGATTTTGCCTGCGATCGGGAAGCAGCCAAGAAATTTGCAAAGCGGTTGTTGAGGACAAGATCTTCGAACTTGAGACTCTACAACTGCTTTGCTCTGATGCAGTCCCGTACTGGGGCCCAGTCGACTGCAGATCATGTATGGTCCACTGCCCTGTCGATGAGCAAAGATTTCGAAGATTATGACAAAATCGACTGCGGCCTTCTTTGGAACTCCTGGACGTGGGAATTCCTTCAGTGCGAGGATTTTGGACGAGCCTCATATGTCCTGCATGCAATGTTATCACAAAAGATTGATCTCGCTCCGTTTTCGACGGCTCCTGATCCCGTCCAGTTCAATGCCACCAGCAAACTGCGCGTCCAAAAAATATTGCGCGAATCCCAAGAGAAGGCTCTTGCCTACAGGAAACTTCAAGTCTATGCTTCGTACACAGACTGTCTCGCCTTACTTCTTTATATCGTGGAAGGCTCTTTCGAGGCCTCCCTTGGTGTCTATGCATCAGCAGTCTTGAAACTTAGGGACCTACCTGTGCAGGAGGAGAGCACGAAAGCTTTTACCGCAGAGTTGATACATCAATCCCGAGCAAGACTTATTTATTTCCATGTTGAACGGCAAGGAAAGTTCAAGCCGGTCCAGATCCACAACCTTCTCACAGAGAGCATATCACTCTTCCCTCATAACACTCTCTTCCTCTCACTCTTTATGTGGAATGAAGCTCGCTTTCCAATTTTCGATCGGATCCGGGACATTCGTGCTCTCACCAAAAGTACAGACCCAGACAGTCGGTATCGACTGGATGGTGACTTCGGCCTACGGGGCATCGCTTCTCAGAGTACACCGATTTCCACTCATCTCTTTTCCATTTATAATGAACTTTGCCGTCCAGTATTCACTGGCGGCACTGCCCACTCCACTCGAGCCGCGTTCGAGAAAGCAATTGGCGAGCATTCAGCCTTAGCTTCAATAAAACCGGGTGACAAGGATACGCACCACAGCTTCGACGTCGACAGTGCACGATCAAATATTACTATCTGGAAGCTTTACATCCTCTTTGAGCTCCATCAAACTCGGGACATCAATTCTGCGAAAGCCGTGTTTTATCGAGCCATCCGTGCCTGCCCCTGGTCCAAAGAGCTTCTCATGCTCGCCTTCGAGCAACTTCGAGATGACCTGGTCCAACGTGATCCCAAATTCCGCGACAGGAAGCGGTCGAAGCACACCGGCTTTGAATTTGATGATCTCTGTCAGATATATAATGTTTTCATTGAGAAGCAACTGCGGATCCATGTGAACATTCAAAACGATATTCTTGATGTTCTCGCTCAGCGACGTGGCGCTGCGGAAGTACCCGAAGATTCTCCATGAGCCCAAACGAGGTGAGAGAACCCCAGCAGTTGGAAGAAATGGTCACCTTGCTCTCATATCTGTACACTACTAGTATCAAATTAAACAAGAATCACTTTATGGAAGGAGATGGTATCACTTGTGAATTCAACAAGTATGTCGCGGTCATCAACTATAGTACAGGACAAAGCTGTCCGACGTATGTATACTTCAGCGCAAACAGAGCTGTAAGGTCCACCAAAGGACAAAAGCAAATAGATTCATAGCTCATCAAGTCGTATGCGATCGAAAGCATCGCTGTCAAAAAGGAAATGCAAAACTAAAAGTGTTCCTTCCAGAACTTAAACTTTACGTCCTTCGTAGACGAAGACTTGGCCGCGTCGCTGATATCGTTCGTTGCCGTGTTAGGTCCACAGAAGTACACACCAATCTCTGTAGCCGATGCGCTCTGTAGGCCTCTCATGTATGTCTGATCATGGAGACCGATCTGCATGGCAGTGAACAGGCGTTTGAAATCCGGACGGCCGAAGTTCGTTTGACTTTTCAATTCAGTCAACGGATCCAGAGCCTGGCCAACCGAGTTAAGATAGATATTCGCAGCAGTATCATCATCCAAGCGTTGGGTCAGGTAGGTGTGGATCCGCAAGAACTCGGTGCTGCCCTCGTAAGCGGCAGCATTGGCGGATTGAGCTTCCAAAGACGAAAGAAGTGCCTGAAACCATTCAAAGGATGAGGTGTCTTTGCAGATCCAGATGAACTCGACACGTCTCAATCGGCGAGGGGGGTTGGGGTTGGAGCGCAGATGCCAAATGTTTTTCAAGATCGAAGCCCAGGGCGTGACACCGATTCCGGTTCCGATGAGGACGGCAATTTCATTTTCGAACACGTCTTCGGCAGGCGCACCGTAAGGTCCATCGATGCGAAGCTTCGGCATCGTCTGTCCGTTCTGAAGTGCGACTTCGTACATGCCTAGCGGGTCGAGGCCTTCGAGATCCTTTGCTTGTGCAGGACCGCATCCCAGTACATCTCCGAGCGCCCGGGTAAAGTCGCCCACCTGGCGAACATGAATACTGATGTAGGGATCAAATGGGCAGGAGGTGATGGTAAACGGATGCCACTGTGTACTGGAGACGTCGGGAACTTGGAGGAAGATCCATTGTCCGGGTTTATACTTCATACTTGGCTTGTGGAACTGGATTTCCATGGCGGCTGTTGTTCATCTGTTAGAACCATTCTGTTATACATGCGTCCATTGACTTACCATATGGGTGGCGGATGACCTTGGTAATCATGGTCTCGCGTCGGGATCGGATCTCGCGGTACAACCGCTCGAGGAGATACAGAGAACCTGCAACAAGCTCCCATCTCCAGCCCTCATACCCTAGACAATGGTCCCAGAACTGTTTGCCCGCGAATGGTGAGAACGGGTCGGTACTGTCTCGAACGAAGCACCCAGTAGCATGGGTGTAAAGAGCCAGTATAAATGGAATAAAGAGGTGATGCGTGTACCAGAACGTTTCGTATGCCTGCTGTCGGATACGATGATGAGAAGTGGTGTACATCAACATCATGCACAATAGCATGACGTGGCCCGTGATACCACCAGCTCGGGTGAAATGGATTTGAACAGCCAACTCAGGGCGGATTTGATCTTTTTCGATGTTGTAGAAACTGAGGTTCGTTAGCACGGCCGAATTATGCGGTCCAAAACTGATACATACTTGACGTAGTGGGCGGCTGTGTGAATCGCGGTGAATACTAGCAGAGCGTACGCAATCTGACGATGGAACCATGCTGATTCATCGAGTGGCAGCCATCTAATCTGCGGTCTGAGCCATCGTAAAACATTTCTGCACATGGGCAGAAGGATCAAGGTTGCATCGACGGAGAGGGCAAGCGCTGCACCTCTCGAGATCCAGACGGAGTATTGGAGTGCATTGAGGGCGACAAGCCTCTGGTCAGATGCTTGGATATACCTGTCTTCGTGTCAGCGAATGTTCCGGATTCCTGGAGATATGGCGTACCATCCGACCGCGAAGATACCAAAGTGCACCCCCCAGAACATGAAATAGAACAGAATTTTGGATGGGGTGCGAGTGACTCCCTTGAACCACGAATCATCAGATAAACCCATTTTGCCGTGGAGTTCTAATGTCGACCAGCGACTGTGTTACGAGGATCAAAGGAGCGACGAGCAACGTAGGTTGTTCCAGCAACCTGAACGCTTTGTGTTAGGGCCTCAGTCTTTGACCCGAAGGACTGCACCAGAGTTGGAATCAGGAGTACAGTGGTTTGAGACGTGAGAAAATGACAGTTCGTTTGCGTCGCTTCTCCATGAACCTGGTCTCAGATCACGACCATCCCCGCCGGCCAGGGGGTTTTCTCGATCGGAGAGATAGAACAAAGGCCTCGCGGGTTACTTTTCGAAGAAAGAGGATTCAGGCTTCTTCGGAAGCAAGGAAGTGATGCGCCAGGACTCGGAGGTGTTCGTCGCGAAAGCCCGGTTTCCTGGTGTGTTTCCCGCGTGGGCTTCACGAAACAAGCCGCTAGCAGTTCTCTGGATGAGTCACTGCGATGCTAGACGCCCTTGAGACAATACTTAAGATGCGTGATCCTCAAATCGAAGCGATCATAGTCGGCCGCAGGATGGATGGAGGTGGAACAGACGTTGAGAATCCCAGCATTATGGATTTAGCTGCAGGGGTGAGGGGGAGCCGATCTATAATTACACCCGGCCACAGCAACCGACAACGAACCGAAGTGTGGGCTCTCGCCCAATGGAATAATCTCTCCGTCTGTGCTTTACAATTCCCGATGGCAATGACCTTTTCCGTGATGTGACAGGTATCGCCCCGTAGGCTAGAAACCTTCCAAGTCCGGGGGCTGGTGTCTTACGCCGTGTCGTGATTCTGAGTTCTCGTCAAATCTTACCACGTTTCGACTTACGTCGCCTTCACCTTTTTCAAACTATCTTTGGCACGATCGCCTTGGCGTTCGGACTGGTCTGGGCAAGAGCACATGGCCGGTCATGGATCACGGATTTGTTACAGTATTTGGTTAATGCACCTTGATTCTGATCGTCATTTCTGCCACTGAGGAAGCGAATCCAAAGACAGAGGCAGGATTCGTGCTTGCGTGGAGCCAAGCTACGGCCCTTTCGGACAGTCACTAGGCCGGAAAGACACTTGAATGGCCTCTGTCTGGAAATAACGGGGAGAGCTGTCCAAAAGAGGGCGACGAGGAGGCTGGTGAGTGGCCAGCGCCAAAGAAGCCAAGGCAAAACGTTACTCTAGGGCGGGCCTATAACGTGCATTCTGCAAGCGCTCATTGCCCATCACACGGAAACTCCGGAGCAGAGTCGGTGAAGCCCGGTCCCTGTCATTCGGCTCCGAGGTCCTCCTTCCGACAGATCGTGGCTCTCGAAACAAAAAATAACCCATTTGCTGCGACTCGTGCCGCTATCTCTATGTCCACTCCCCACTTGAATATATCGTCCGGGCCCATATGTCACTGTAAATCACAGTGATCACAATTCTGACCTTCGTAAATCGTAATCCCTCACGCAGACCGAGTTGTAGAAAAAGAGGGACGGGTGTACAGCATCAAGTCAAAGCTGGGGTCATCTGATCCGATGGTTTGGAGACAACCGTGTCTCTGCTACAATGGTGGAAGCTCGCAGAACAACCCACAGCTTCCGGCAGAATACAATTGAAATGTGGGTGAAACTCCAGTCCGAGCAAAGGGCCGTGGAAGCGTGCCACGAGCTGCATCTCATCACGCCAAGTCCCGCCGCTGGAACTTCTGATTTGTCTACACCTGCATCACGATCCGCCCGTCACATCAACGCCCTCCCCAATCACACCGCCGCGAGGACCACTGAAGAACCCCACAATGAGGGGATGTCAAGGACTCGGTCCCGCCCAGCTTACCGATTGGTTCAAGGCGCTCGAGTACATCCGTGCGGATCACGAGCGCTACTTTCTCGAGATGCATTGGCATCGGTCACCTTTTTGGCGCCCAAAGTCTCCTCTCGTCGATGCGAGTTGCCAGGTGGATTGACTATCTTCCTGTCTAAGTATAGAATGTGTAGACACCCCCGCATGTCATTCGTATCCCCTACCAAGTTTTCCTCGGGTCGATTCAATCATGTCATCGCGATAAGCCCTCGAGGCCATCAGCTTGCTGTACCCCTCAGTGCGAACATTTTCACGCATTTCCTCGCAGTGACTAATTGAACTCCCCATGCGTTTCTGAAGTCACTCGACGGAGTCCTGACAATCCAGATATCCGCGCAGCCTGCAACCACTGCGCTGAGCTTCGCCGGCGTCACTCTGGTTGAATACGTTACACCCACCATACGACATAATTCGACGAGATGGGTAGGCTCATCAAGAACCACTGGGGAAGGTTGATCATCCTCACTGCCTCAGCTTGTATGCGCCCAACCCAATCCACAGCTCATGAGCAAGGACTAACATGTTTCCAATACAGACCAGATCGCGAGCGCAATCGAAGGCTTCATCTGGCCCAAAGTCTTCTGGGACTTCATCTCCAAGAACTTGGACGCCGCCGTCGACCCGATCCCCGTCCTCCAAATCCTCAACTTAATAATGGGCCTCGTCGGTTTAGCCTGGGAATGGCCACTAAAGCCACTAGCAGGGTCTTTGCCACATCGCAGCATCGAAATCCGACTCATCATATACCCACTCAGCGCTCTACTTGCGGCCCTACTATATCAGGGCACCGACCCTGCGATATACTACCTGGTCGGCATTGGTGTGTATTTTTGGGCCTACAGCGAAGGCGAGGTACGTTGGAAAACATCTGTCCAGACGCTGAGCCTTGCTAATCTTATTTATAGGTTGTATGTCCGGAGCCTTGGACATTACCAAAGAGGTCAAGGGTACTAAAAGCATAACCTTTTTTGTTCGGTCTGGTGCATTGAGTGCATCGGACGCAGATCATGTACATAGAATATAATACCCCGAACATGAATGAAATGAATATTCCAACTTACACATCTATGTCTATCCAGGTGGCAAGCTTGAAGCCACAAAACTCCTCATCACATAGCGTAAAAGAGGTGGTCTGGGAAGCCGGCCTTTGACCCGGGTCAAAGAGATCGAACCGGTGGGCCGCTATCTAAGCGCAACCTATGGAACTCGCTCTTCCGGTAGTCATTCGGCTTCTTATGCTGGTTTGACCGACTATCGCTGTCGCTGATGTCAATATCGTTATTGCTGATACTGAAGCTCATCAAAGTTTCTTTAATAATGAGGGAGATTATTCTCTCATATCATTATGTTGTACTTTCTAGTATACGTTTTTTAAACTATATACTATAAACTTAGGAAGCCAGGTGCACGTGGAATAAGCAAGTGGGCTTTTGAATTCGTATATAAGTGCGTGCAAACATCTCAAACTGATTATCAAGTCGGAAGCCCCTAAGCTACATCCTCATATGCAAGTTTCAATTGAAACCTCAAAGTTTAAACACGCTTTTCAACTGCTTTAAGTGCCACCCAACATTCCTTTTAATGGAAAAGCCCCTAGGTCCAAACAATCCCGGCATTGAGAAGTAGGCCTCTGCCATTGTTAAAAGATATGCAGGGTTTGGGGAGCGAAGCGCTTCAAATAGACCATCCCTAATATCTGTTTGCTCTTCCTCTGTAAATTTAAATCCTCGGTGGACTGCACAGCACCCACAATATGATGTGCAATGTCCGGCTCCATTTCTTCTCACGCTGTTTAGATGACGGTGTTCACAGCATCTGCAGCCTCGGCTACAACAGCCACCGTTCGCTATACAATCCTGGACAAGCTCTTTTTGGAGATACCAAGTAGGGATCTGGCGTATCCTATCGTATATTCTCTTCAAAGGTCGTCGAGGGAGGTTCGACTCAAGGTCATAGAGATGCCGCCCGATGCGGTCGGTAGTTCTCCGAAGTTCTTCGTGATATTCCTCTAATTCACCAAGGTCGTTCAAGTAATCCTCATAGGATTCAGTCTTTTGTAATCGTCGATATTCCCCCTCGATTTGCTCCTCTTTTTGCATAAGTTCTCGAAGCATATACTCAGCTATAATAATGTCGGCAAATATATCTGAGGGACATTCAAGGCCTTTGCCGTAATAGAAAATCCGGTAGTATCCTTCTTCTTCTCCATACCCCTCGGAGGGTTTAAAGGTTTCGAAGCTCTCGAACATCCGTTGTATATGAAAATCTTGAGCCATAGGAGCCGTAGTCTAAGCTATATTAGCATCATATATAGAGCTCAGACTAATGAAGCCGAGAACTTACCGCAAATTTTACTTTGAGCCTTCAAAAAAGTGATAAAAAAGTTGGGTGAAATGAAAACGAGTTGAAGTTGAGTTCCTAAAGTAGCGATCAAGGGGAGCAAACCGAGAACCCTACGTGAATATGATGTCTGGGTAGGCCGCCGCCAAAGAAAGCCTAGTCACAAGTTTGTCCCCAAGTGTTAAACCCGAATGGATTCCTATGACTCAAATTAAAAGCTTGTTTAATTTATTATGGAGCATGAAGTCTAAACATCTGATACTTCTAGTGCCTTCAAAGTTATCGCGTTTTCGATTCTTACTGTCGATAAGTCTATAGGAGAATAACGTCGACGTATGCTTAGGTCCCCAGTGAACTTCGTCCTATCTAGGTCTACATAGAGTATAATGCCATAGCAATAAATGAAATGATCTATTTAATGGAATGTCCCGTCGATGCCTTGATTTTATACACCCTAATTGATGCCTTGGGGCCGTGTCTCAGATCAAATATACCATCTTCTTTCAGTCAGGCCCGTTTGACCTCTAGTCACCCACTGGATATCAGACACACGATGTGCAATAAGCCAGATTATTCGCTGAGAATTGATGATGCTATTGTGACAAGCTAACTTGGGAAGCTATGTAATGGGGGCCACATGACCGGTACGGTAACAGTCTGCTTCCCTAGACACATCGTCCGTAATATGATATAAAAGGCGTCGTGATCGCCAAAATTAAAGCATGGAACATCAGAACCTTGACGTCCCGATGGCCTCGGCGTTAATTTTAGAAAAACAGGCACGATGCGTTACTTGGTGTTAAGCCCATTAAGCGGGCAAAGTAGCTGGGCTTTGGGGGTTGGCAAATAGTTAGGCTATGGTAGGGAGCAGTTAGAGAAGTGAAGTGAGAGAAGTAAGAGAAGTAAAGTAAGAGAAGTAAAGTAAGAGAAGTAAAGTAAGAGAAGTAAAGTAAGAGAAGTAAAGTAAGAGAAGTAAAGTAAGAGAAGTAAAGTAAGAGAAGTAAAGTAAGAGAAGTAAAGTAAGAGAAGTAAAGTAAGAGAAGTAAAGTAAGAGAAGTAAAGTAAGAGAAGTAAAGTAAGAGAAGTAAAGTAAGAGAAGTAAAGTAAGAGAAGTAAAGTAAGAGAAGTAAAGTGTGAGAAGTAAGGTGAGAGAAGTGCCTATTATACGTCATTTATGGATAGGAATCACGAAGTGAGGTTAGAGGGATAGGTAATGTGGTGAGCAGGCGAGTGGTGGGAGACGAGAAGACATATGAAGAAGGGAAGAATGTAAGTGTGATAGAAGGGAAAAAATAGTGAGAGGAAGAAGAATAGATTGCAGTGATAGGAAGAGACTAAAATTGAGGAGGATGCTGACGCTCCTCAAATTTCTTAATGAGTTTCTCGTATCCGACTGCGTCGTTGGCAGTGATCTACTAATTCTCCTTGGTTTTATTGAAGCTTATTACTGCGTATTGTTTTTAGACACCTATAATACTTTCGGTGTCTTCAAAGTTATCGCGTTTGTGATTCGTACTATTGATAAGTCTATACGAGAACAATGTCGACGAATACTTAGCCCCCTAGTGAACTTCGTCCGATCTAGGTCTACAGCACTCACAATCAAACATCAACGGCTAATAAATGGATCTAGAACTGGCCTCATTCAAAGAGTCTCGCGTCCCTTTAACCTTTTAAAATACGCCACGGCGATTTGATGGCCTCTAGACGGCTTATATATAAGCCGTCATTCGCTGAAACCTCATTCACCACCCCTGGGTCATTTGACATCTAGAAAGTTGCCATTTGTCCAGTTTCCAACAAACCGACTGCCGTTCTGGGAAACCTCAACTTTGTCTCTACTTTGAATAACGATGCCTCGGCAGCAAGGCCAGAACACGGCCCACGTGATCAACGGAGGAAAACATGAATGGCACTGCTTTCGTCAGCTTTACACCTCTGCACACTGGGTGAGATCTTTACCAGCGTCTCTTAATAGTCCTACATGCAAGGGAACAGTTGAAACAAGACTAATGAAATATACTGACTCTAGAACGACTTTTCTTCGAGCAGTTACGGGAGAAGCATGTATGGCTTTGAAGCCTCTCAAGAGGACGCCTTCGATCCAAAGAAGGAAGCCATCGCTGGCATGATGCTAGAGCCTATGCCTGTAGATAGGGTTACCAGCTTCAGCGGGAGACTACATGGGTTTGCCCACAGAGGCGATGCCGCTAAACCGGAATCCTCTCTACGCGACGTGAAAGACGAACTGCCTTTAAACAAACCCGCCAACGAAACCACCGGCGATGCACCTAATGCGCCCGGCCCCATCAGGAGTCCCAGGCGAGGAACGAGGACGACCACTACCACCACCACCACATTTTCGCAGACCGCATCATCGACGACCCGCAACCGTATACCCTCACGAATAGCACGCAGCCGAGGAACCCCGAGTTCCTTGGAAGGCTCCAAACTCACCGACACGATACCCACCAACCTGACTCTCCTTCTAGTTGGTGTGAATCCGGGGATCATGACCGGGCTCACGGGGTATTCATACGCGCACCCAACCAACCAATTCTGGAAACTGCTCTACTCATCCGGGATTACAACGAAACTTCACCCTCCATCGGATACCTACAAACTGCCACAACTATACAACATCGGCAACACAAATGTCGTGGAACGGCCCACCCGCGACGCAAGCATGCTTAGCAGGCAGGAGATGCTCGACGGAGTCCCCATCCTAGAGGCTAAGATAAGAGACAAACGGCCGCAGGCCGTGTGTCTGGTCGGAAAGGGGATATGGGAATACGTGTTCCAAGTAAAGTTCGGACGACGGATTCGGAAAGAAGAGTTCAAATATGGTTGGCAAGACCCCTGGATGATGGGCGACGATTCAAGCTGGGGCGGGGCGCGGATCTTTGTCGCGACGACGACGAGTGGAGTGTGCACGGTTTTAACGCGTGCGCAGAAGGAGGTGATCTGGGATGAGCTGGGGGAGTGGGTGATAGAGAAGAGGAACACTCAGGCATTCCCCTCTTGAGGGGCCGAGTACGTCTTCGGGCGTTGAGCTCGCTTGTCACGGCGATGCTTTCCTCGAGGGTTATGACTTTCTTATCAGCGCAGGCTGTGTAGATGGCTATCCTCTTATCACGAACCTGTACGTTAGATACGATAATTTACCGGGCAACACTTTGCTTAATGGATCTTCAGATGGGATTTTGAACGAATATGGTATTTGTTTGACGAGTTTCGTCTCTCGTTATCTCGTGATATCAGGTAAAGAAGCCTGTCCACAGCTTATGCAACATGACCCAAAAAGAACACTCCCAATATCAAACTTCCCTCCAAACCCATCGGCCGGTCGACAATGCTCAAAGATCAATGCAGATGAGATGATAAGACCGCAACGCCGACGTGGTAGAGAGAGCTCGGGGAATGGGCACAACCGCGGAAAAGGGAGGACGGATTCAGTGAAGACATCCGGGGCTGCCCGGCGTGCCTCCCGTCATCTTTGAATAGGTTGAATTTACCGGCCGATGGCCATGGAGCCCTTGGAGTCGTTCTTACTGCCCTCGCGCTCGCGGGCCTGCAGAGTGTTAGCGTAGCTCAGTAGAATGGCGTTAGGATAATACGAACCGTGTTGGTCTGGAACTCGCCGCCTTCAAGGATCTTGATCATGCACTCGTCCTCGTTCTTGGTACCGAACTCGTTCTCCAGAGCGGCGTTGCTGGCAGTGTCCAGGACACCCTGGGCACCGTGGCTAATGCAATGTTAGACGAAACCGAGCACGTAGACTTGAGAAAAAAAAGACTCACGAGTGAGTTACGAAGATCTTCCAGCCGTTCAAAACATCTGCGAGGGCGATGCTGCGGTCGTTTCTCCACTTCTTCAGGATCTCCAGGTCGTCGACAAAGACAACGAAGTCCTCAGACTTGCCCTTGTAGAAGATTTTGGAGGTAGTTTCGTTGGCGCGAGGCATTTTGGATGTTTGGTTAAGAAATAATTAAGTTGGTGAGTGAAAGAAAGAGGAGCGGAGGGGGAGTTTTAAAGGTGGGATGATGGGGAGTGACGTCACGGCCCGTTGCGGACAGCAAATGCTCGTGTGTCATGGAAGCTTTCCTTGCTGCTCTCCCTTTCGTCATTTATCTGCTGGGGTGGGGCCCCGTGGAGGATATTAAGTGGCGCAATGAAGTCAATTGCTTCCATTGCTCACGGCCATTACGTTTTGCCAAGCTAATAACAATGCTCCCTTTGCCTTTGCTACCCCGCCATCCATCGGCCACAGCTGACGATGGTCCCCACCTTTAATACCCCGACCCTGGTCCCATAGCTGGCCGAGAACGCCTCAGATTCTTCGGTGAAAGCACATTGAATAGAGAGGTTGGCGAAGTCCACTTCTTCCGCGGCGCAGACGTCTCGGGATTGCTGTCCTGGCTCGAGCACTTCTCGCTACGCGGCGAGGAGAGAGACCCCGCTGACCTCATGGGTGTTCGAAAGCGGAGAGTTCGTGAGCGCTCCAGAGTGGATGTGGGAGTCTTGGGCGATTCGCACTCTGTGTCGGGCGACCGTTGTTGATCAGCGAACCCGTCACGGTTCGCTACCGATTCCTTTTCCTCGCCGCTATATTCCTCGACCGATCGGCCATCGGTGACCACTGGGCCTGAATGACCGGTGTTGACAGAGCTAGACCGATTTGCAAAACCGACGTGGAGACTTAAGCGTCTCATGATAGAGCCCCGCCGGAAGAGATCCCCTCGGCCAAGCACCATGCCCGGTAGGGGAAGCACGTCTCGCGTGTAGACGTCTGCGACCAGTCGTTCCAGTCGAATTCGATCAATCCTCTTCGCAACCAGAGTCAGTGCCCCACGCACGACGGGTGTTTTCGGCCGTTCAATCTCTCCCTCGCCGCCTAGCGGACTCGCCGCTTCCTCGGACGTGTGCGGACAATGTGTCTTCTTGATAATGACATGTTGAACGTTGGCTTTTCGTAAGACTGCCAGGGAATCCATCGAGGATCTTCGCGCAACGGAGGCCGCTGTGTACTGAACACGGTCGAGGGGTAGTAACAACAAATTCACAAAGCAATACTTCCTGGGGTCCATTGTAGGCCCTGGGTTAGACATCTCGGATAATGACACCGAGCATTTCAAGATCTCTGTTTTCCAATGTTTCTCTTCCATCGCAGAGGATGCGCTGAGGACAAATTCATGGCTATCTTCTTGGTCACGGAAAAGAAGCTTCCATGAAAAGGGGCATCCGTAGCAGTAGAGCCCTGGCTGGTCAGATATATTGCCAACCAGAATGAGCTGAGCCTTACTTACCTCGTCCGTTCTGAGGCGTGTCCATCCTCATGTCACCCAAATAAATACACGCAACCGCCCCCAATCGACGAAAATCCTCAAACCCTTTGACAAGAACGAGATAGCAATTGAATAGCACACATACCATGAACTCTCCAATTAAGTGTTCTGGTGTCTGGTATGTAACGTGAAGAACACCACAAAGGGTCAACGGACCAAGTTCTTTGTATATATCCTGAAGTATAAACTGTTCGCAAATAAGTTAGCGTCAACAACACGACATTTCAAAGGTAGGGAATGTACTGATTCCGAGAAGTGAATCTTCCGTTGAAGAAGAATGGTCTTTTGAATGCGATCTTTGTTGATTGGATTGCCAGTCGCCGAGTTGATCCGGGCCACCAGAATGCGGAGAGTTTCCAAAATGTGCCGTATTGCATCGTGGGAAGAGGGACAGTCACTGACAGGCGTGTTTCCCAGGAGATCCTGAAGGAGAAGTGGGTATTTGCACAGACGTTGAATAGGCTGGGGTCATCAGTTAGCACATCTTGACCGGGACTCAAGAATTGGCCAAACCAACCTTGATCATCAAATCGCTCAGGTTCATAGACCTATTTTCTTCGTGTTTTCGAGTCTCCATGGACGCAACGGACTTGGCCAATGCTTCGATGCCCTGATCGTACGCCGTCCAGTTCGGGATTGAGCGTCGTAGTATGGCTAGATCTTGCGAAAGGAGCTCATAGTTGGAACAGAACTCTTCGTATGCAGAAAAGGATGCGGACTATTTTATAACAGTTAGTTTTGGTCAATAGGGATGACGACTAACCTTACCAGTTTTTCGATTTCTCGAGCAACCTCGAGACCTTCCAGTGACTCAGCTGCCAAAGCCTTGAAGCGTTGGTTGGTCGATGCTTTCAATTTTCGAGTCCTCAGAGAGCGGTTCTGCAGCCCCTTCAGTCCCGGCAAATCAAGAGTGCTCAAGCGCTTTGAGAGGCCATGAGAGACAAGGTCGGAGGCTTCGTCTGGGAGTGGCAACGCTGACATGGGCGATGTCGTTTGAAGCAGGGCCAGAAAGCGCTCATGAGTCTCACGAATCCGGTGAATATTGTGATATATTTGGGGTCTGGTGTCGAACATGGATAGCACCTGTGAGTCAGAGATCAATACAGATCCATTTGACAACAAATAGAGACCTGCTACTTACCCCAGCGAGAGCTTTCAATCCTTGGACGTAATCAGCCTCGGTCGCAAGCAGCTCCCGTAGAATCTGACGTCGTTTGGTCGCTCGCAGCTCTGCGGCTTCATCCACACAGCTCGAAATCGGTCGAGAGCTGTCAGCGGAGATCCGCATGTTCAAGTCTGCACTCTGCGTGGTTGTGCTCTGGGTAGTTCCTCTCGATCTGGCCATGCTTTGACTCGCAATACTCATGGTTGCTGTCTTGACGGTTCCCAGCTGCGATGAGTACTCGGATGTTCTCTCGCCGAACTGATCTTGGATTGAGCCACGACGGGGAGCTGGAAGTAACATCGGAAAGTCAGTTGTGGAAGAGTCCGACCAGCCCTCGACGAATCGCTCGGGGATCGTGGGTGGCACGCGCCTCCGGGTTCGAAAACTGTCCATCCATTTCTTGAATGGATGGGTAGGAGAAGTTCTGTGTACTGGATTCGTCTTGTCTGCGGTTTCTGGGTCCTTTTCCGTCTCGTTCAGCGGCTGTAGAAGCTTGTCTGTTTCGTCGTCTTTATACTCCATCTTCGTCCCACAATACGGCAAGCCCACTGGTTTGATGTCGGGGCACAAAATCTGGTGTCATGAAGAGCACTGACAAGATGGGATCCACGATGTCGTCCCAAAAGCAGCAGCAGGACCCGCAGCTGAGTCTGGCTTCATCGTTCGGCAGCCGCGATGGACGCTGCGCAGGAAGGCGGCGCGCGCAAACGCGAAATCGGCCTTTCTCTGGGCTTGAAATATTTCATCTATAGCATGGCCCTATCCGGGAGAACCAAAATGATACGAGGGCATGGTAACAATGGCATCGGCCCCAGGCAGCTGTAGATCTCGCTGAGGAACCGAAAATTGCAATCTGATCTAGGTGCTCGATAAAGTCCCCCTGGGCGCCAATTCCCTTCTGCCTCTTTTACACCCTCAAGTTCATCTTGAGGAATCTGTACAGCCTCTTCATATCGCATTGGTCGGAGAAGAAGCCTGTGAGGCTGGCAATGCAGTCAACTGTTTGCAATCATTCTGGCCATTGCCACCGTGCTGTACGATCACTGCATATACACCTTCCCAGTGGTACTTGGTTCTGTAAATGCCATATCATTGGCTGGGCAGAGAAGTAATGGGGTCTGTACCGCTTTACACCCGGTAAACCAAAAATCGCCAGCGTTTGAACCGTTAGCTTATATTACTGAAAGGTGGATAGACCCGAGTATAACTGGGTCATGGGCTTATGCTGGCACTCGATCGTCTATATTTATCCTGTACCAGATCATAAGATAAAGCTGCTGCCACGATGGTGGCCAGTCAAGTAGAATTGTTCCACGCTGCGCATAGATTCATCTAGACTTGGACCAATTCAGCCTTGCCTGTATGGGTCCAGACTCGGTGAAAAGCCTAATAAGTAACGTTTTAGTCTCGCTTCAAGTCCATAGAGCGTAGACAGAATGGCGTGAAGAAGCTCGGATATGTTTGAAAAAATATGCGAAGGAAACTATTTGGAGGTCCTGCATCGGAAAGACATACTTGAGTCCTTTGTACGATGTATCGATGCGCACCAGATTAGAAACAGACGATGATTTGGTAGCAAAAAGTAGTAGTAGAAATCCTAAACCCGTGCAGCTCACCCTGCTTCCTTGCTCTTGCGACTACCCGTCCCGCCAGGCGAATTCTCCCAGCCTTCGGTCCGTGACGTCCCTTTCGTTCATCCCCATTTACTGCTCATCCGCGCTTTGCGTCGGACTGCGGTAGCTCTCTTCTTCATCCTTCTCGCTTGATTTTTCCTCGCTAAGTTCGTTCTTGGCTTTAGGTTGGGCCGCTTGGAACAGGTCGTTCAGGCCTGGGACATTTGCTTCGTCTTGGCGTAGGAAGTGTGCAGTGTCCTGGACCGCGGAAGTCTCCTGGATCCCTGTCGGTATGGCTGGGAGTTGCAAACCGAACAGGACGTGGTGACATGCCGCCGCACCACGGCGGTTGCGGTGGCGGCGAATCTCGATCTTTGCCAAGGTCTCGTCTGTTGCGTCCCGGAAATTTTGAGCTAGCTCGAACAGCAAGCTAGTCTGTTTAGCTTGGACCGCTCTGGCTAGTTTCGCACGCGCCTCGACCGCTTTGCCAAGGGCAATCATCATTTCCATATCGTTTTGGTTCGCTAGGTTCATCAGGACCTCGTGTATCATGGACTGCTGTGCATCTGTCGAACTCAGGGCCCATTCTCCGAGGTGCTTGACTTTATGGTCCCGCTCCTGCTCGACAACGTTGGTAGGCGCAGCTCTCTTTCTTCCGCTTGGAACCGGATTGGGGGTATGTCCTTTCAGAGACGAGTTCAAACTGGACAGCCGACCGAGTTTAGAAGTGGCACGCATCGAAGCAGGCTGCTTGACAACTTTGCTGCTAGATTTGGGGACCCCGGGCCAGTTCAGCTGCTTGAGAGCCTCATAGTTGTCGCAACCGCCAAGTGGGACCATTTTGGTCTGCGTGATCTTGGCCGGGTTTCCACAGTAGAGTCTGAAGTCTGGATGACGACACATCGGGACGAACCGAATGGTGCCTCCATTTGTTCCGGGCAGGATGATTATCAGCTTGTTGAATTCCTGGCGCATCGTTGTAAACGTTTTTTGCTGCTTCACCATTGTGTGAAATTCCTTGTCCGCATCATGCGTTTGGTCAGGTACCCATTCTCCGTTCGGGAGGTGCAGATATTCCACGACTTGGTAATCGTCCGAGGTCCATTCTGTTGGGATCGAGACAAAACCAATTGAAAATGGCGATTCCCGCGGGCCGCCCTTGAACTTGGCTTTCAGCGATTCTGGACGGTTGTTTCCAAGAATCCATGGGAAGTATTCCGCAAGTTTCTCTCCGGTCAGAACGTACCGACCGTCGACAACATAAAACCATTTGACACCATATGCTTCGGCGACTGGAGGTTTGCCGATGGGTTTTCGTTCAAGGCGAACATGGCCATTTTCGGTGAAAGCGGCAGGGAATGTGTTGCATGCAGTTGCCGTAATCGTCTTTCTCAAGGCGAGCAGGTAGCAGTCGTCCAGCATTGCGTCAACGTTGTCATAGTCCGGCCCAGGTATTTCGTCGACTTTTTGCACGAACTTGCGGAAGCTGGTCACGTCCGCACCGATTTCCAGTGTGCCATTTCCTGTTTTTTTCTGGTTTCTGCGTCGGAATATGACGCACTTGGTCTCCATAAGGCAAAGCTGCGTGTTTAATTCCTCGGGCGTACCGTCCCAGTTCATTGGAACGGGGCGGTCTTTGTCCCGCGGGGGAATTTTTGGTTTGGAGGATTTTTCAGACATAATGGAATTGCATGAGAGGTGTTGAGAAGATTAAGTTAGATTGGTCGGGAAGTGAGAGTAGATAAAATATAGGTTGTCAGCGAGTTTTGTTCACTCTCTCACTTTTTGTATGCGAACAGCAGCAAAAAGTGAGAGAAAATGCCCTCGAAGTGAATATAAACTGAGCGGTTCAAAGGAAATGCAAAGAGACTTTGGTGGAGTTTCGGAATATTTCTAGGAGCTATAGTTGGTTCGCGGGGATATCCTTTCTTTGTGTTCATCCCATACGCGGTTCATCAGCCTCTACAGTATATAAATTATCCAATCAGAAATCTTTCATGCCACCTTAACCCGGGTGGACTGTTGTTCCGGGGGCGGTGAGAGCGGGCCCGTCAGAAAAAAAAGTTGCGTGTAAACCGCCTCAATATCTGCGTGCGCCGATTCGAGGTAGCAAGCAACTTTGTTCCGAGATAAGAGAGAGAAATGGGCTGCTGTGATCTAGTCTGAAAAGCGACTGATTACTCCTACGTCAATATGGCCTCCTCTCTTGCGGCGCAGCTGTCGCAGATTGCGGCCAAGTCGACCAACGAGCTCGACCTCAAGGCCCAGCGCCTTTCCCACTCACAATCGTTGATCTTCGACCGGAAGATCGCAGGATCTCAAGACTTTGACACCGTTTATGATATTTGTTATGAAGGATTCCGAGAGCTTTGCTCCCTTGATGCGCGATTCGAGGACTTCGGGCGCACAATTTTCAGCGAGCAGAGCAAGGCGGAAGACCGAACACAAATCAACGCCACCCAGAATCAGGAACTCGATGCTGTAATTGAGGCATTCCTTGGTCTGGTTGGAGGCCGATTGCAACTAAGCCCCGCGGTGAAAGCCGTGGACTGGCTGGTTAGGCGTTTCAGGTACGCAGGTTTTGGTTAATTATTGCGGGAGACGATTCGGCAACTAACTACCATGACAGGGCTCACGAATATAATACCACCTGCATGATTCTCACCTTCCTCCCGTACCACACGACTCCCCTATTCTTGAACCTGCTCTCCATTCTGCCTAATGACCTGACGCCGACATTCAAAGTCCTTTACCCATATAAGAACGGCTTGGTGAACCCGCCGCGGCATCCTATCGTGCACAGCGCCACTACGAACAAACCGTTCTTTGCAGCTTTGAATGATTATGTTCTCAAGGTGTGCCGGCAGCAAGCTCAGAGCCACAGCCTGCTTACCTTCTGGGCCGGTATCATTACGGAGGCGGTGGCGGGCATGCTAGATGCGGCCCGCTCAGGCAGGAGAGAAGCCGAGAAGCAGAAGCATGAGGACATTATCATCCGTGTTCTGCCCGTCCTCAGCTCTGCATTCACGATGAAGAAGATTTCCGAATTGATCATCAGTTGCTACATGATCTCTGTTGTGCTCGCTCAAAAGGCCATCCTAGCCGACGATGTTCTCGATGGCTTGATGGAGAGTGTTGTCACTTCTTGGACGGAGGAGACTCTTAGCTCGGGTCTCATCTGTTTGTCCGTCCTGGCGCAGCAGAAGCTAACCGCTACACTTCCCAAAAAGGTGTTCAAAGCTATCGCTCGACTTGAGAACCCGATGCAGCAGCTTTCCGAAGTCACCGCACAGTACCAGACATCCAAGCTCTTCCTTGGACTTGTTGGCGGCTGTGTTAGTGAGCTGGACAAACAGAAGGACAACTCTCGCCTCGCACTGTTGTCGTCTATCTTCGAAACGGCCGTCTTCGGGGAGGACGAAACCAAAGAAGCCATAACCATGATTCTTAAGGCTGCTAGCAACTCCGATGAGACTCGCGGCATGTCCCTGGATGCTCAGACACAGCTTGCGGAATTGGTTCAAGGATTCAGCCGACCCGGAGCTCTTCAACCCATCTTCCAGAAGGCTCTGACTGAATCATCCTTTGACATCCCAGCTCTGGAGCACAACTTGCAGACAGTGGTCGAGGCCCCCATCCCAGCTCCAGCCATCGAGGATGTGGATATGCAAGATGTCGATGATGAGCAGGACTTGGACAGCTTCACCCCCGCGGTGGAGGCTCTGACCAAGGAGCCCGTGTTTTCCTCCTCGTTCCTCAGCAAGCAATCCATTCCAGAGTTTGACAGCCTTGTGCAAGTCTTTGCGCTGGCTGCTGATTCTGAGGCGAGGCTCGAGCAGTTCACTAACTTGCGAATTCTTGGAAAGACCGAGGCAACGAAGAGCGCTCAATATTTGTCATTCCTGACTCGCGTTCTCTCCGGATCTTTCCCTCTGGGAACTAGAGTTGCTGCCTTGGGTGCTCTCTCCTCGGCGCTTCAGTCGATCGCTGGTGAATTCGACCCCCAGGCGTTGCTGCCTTTCCTGCTTGTCGCACTCTCTGACCCGTCTGAGCGCATTCGCCGCGAGACCATCGGTGTCATTGCTGTTATTGGTTCTATCTACAAAAAGAACAAGAAGGCCGACGACAATAAGCCATGGGCTCACGACATGATCTATGGCAATGGCAAGCAGTCTTCTGGAATCTCTTGGATGTCTTCCCGTGATGTACAAAAGGTCCTGGAGCGCGCATTGCTTCCCGGACTGGAGGAATATGCCCTTGACCCTGAGTATATTGGCAAAGTACTTGATGCTACATTCCGTGGATCTGTTCTCTCGGAAGACTCGGGGGCCTCCGAACTCAAGAAGTCGGTTCGTCAAGGTCTCTTCACGTTCCTGTGCTCGCACGTCATTCGGATGCCCGTTTTTGCCCCCAAGTTTGCCTTGTTGCGTCTGCTCAATGGTGTTAAGAAGGTTTCGGGTACTACACGCGCCAAGGAACTCCTTCCTCTCCTTGAGGACTGGCGTGGCCTGGCCCAGAAAGACGTTGACGATATCTGTACCAAAGAGCGTCTTTCTGCCTCCGAGACAGAACACCAAGTTGTCGCCATCGTTTCACCGAAGGATGGTGATGCCATCACCACCCTCTTGACTAAGGTCAGCCCCAACAGCGAGTCCTTGCGACCATCGTTTGTCGCTGCTATCTTTGCCCGGATCAAGGAGATCTGGGCGAAGATTCCGGAGGAAAGCCAAGTGGGCTCAGCCGAGAAGCTTTTGGACATTTCGCTCGGGCTGTCGTCGGGCGAGGTGTCCTTGGCAGATAACTGTCGTAACGTTCTTCGTAGCGTCGAGATGTCCGGTCCTATTCTGGTCAGCTTTGTCAAGAAGATCCCTGCCTCGCTGACTGACATCGAGGCCACTGGCCCTGCTCCCAAACGTCGACGAACCAGTCAAAACAACATGATTGCCATGACCGTCAAAGACGAGGCAGAGCTTGCCAAGCTTATGGACAAAATGACTTTCATCCTGGAGGTTATTGACAGCTCTAGCCCCGACTCCCACCCTGAGTTGGCCGAAGGCCTGTTCCAGACTCTTGCTGCTCTTCATCACTTTAAGTCTCAAATCCAGTCTGGAATGAGTTACCTCCTGAGCTTGACCTTGGGTAGCCTCTTGGCTATTGTCAACAAGTCTAAGGGGTCCCCTAAGCCGCTGTTTGATACTTCTGTGATCCGGGCTGATCTGGTCGTCGACTGCGTTCGAACCACGGATAGCCCACAGGTGCAGAATGCGGCTCTCCTCCTTGTCGCTGGCCTGTCTGTCATTGCCCCCGAGCTCGTCCTTCACAGTGTTATGCCCATCTTCACTTTCATGGGATCCAGTGTCCTCCGCAAGGATGACGAGTACTCTGTTTCTGTCATTGACCAGACCATTGACCAGGTCGTTCCGGCTCTCATCCAGTCGCTTCGAAACCAGAAGCGTGATATTGTGTCGGGAACTTCGGAGTTACTGCTCAGCTTCACCGCGGCCTTTGAGCACATCCCCTCGCATCGTCGTCTCCGTCTGTTCCATGCATTGATCAGCAAGCTCGGCGCCCAAGACTTCCTGTTTGCTGTCCTTGCAATGCTTGCCAACCGGTACTCCACCGACAAGGATGTCCTGACTCTTATGACTGGCGTCGTCTCAGACACTACTCCTGCTGTGGAGCTCACCACTTACAGCAAGTACCTCAACCTTGTTATCGATTCCTTCGAAGCGAAGCCTGGTATTTCGCACGTCCTCCTTGGAATTGGCAGCGATGATGGCCGTGATCCTCAAAAGGTTGCCGTGGACCTCTTGCGGGACTTGGCGCACTTGCTCAAGCATTCATCCCTCAAATCCAAGCTGGAGACAACATTTGAGACCGAAGGCCCCGTGACCGACCAGGTTCGTGCTTGCTTCTCTCGGGTCCTGGGGCAGGTTCTCGCCCTAGGCGAATCGGTGCAGAATATGAAGCCCGTCAGCCAGGCATGTGGCGAGGTGCTCGGCTCTCTCTTCGGCACCCTGTCCCTTGTTGACTTCTTGGACACCATCGAATATCTCCTTGACCCTAAGCAATCGAACGATGACCTTCGCCGCAAGGTCCTTCGCTTGCTGGAAAACCGTCTTCGCCAAACCCCTGAGCGTGACAGCGAATCCCAGCTCAAGGTCCTTGACTTCCTTCCTACTCTGGTTGGTATCGTTCAGTCGTCCCCCGATTCGCTTCTCAAGCATGCTGCAGTCGCCTGCATTGACCGCATTACTGAGAAGTACGGCCGGAAGGATCCATCCAAGGTTATTCCCGCCGCCCAGGTTGTCGCCAGTGCCTCTTGCCTTGGCGAGTCTGATGAGCGCATTCGCATCATGGGTGTCCTGTGCCTTGCCTCCATGGCGGAGGTTCTTGGCGAGGCCATGATTCCCGCTCTCCCCAGTGCTCTTACTCAGTCCTTGAGCCTTTTGGAGCTTAGCTTGACCACTGGAAAGGAAAATTCGCGACTCCACGATGCTGTGTTCTCGCTCTTCTCTGCTCTGTTTGTTAACCTGCCGTTCATGATGTCGGCTGGCCATCTCGACAAGATTCTGCTGCTCGCTTTCAAGTCTGCTAATGCGGAGCTTGAGGAGAGCTCTGAGGACAGTCGTCTGGAGACTCTCCGGTTAATGGCATCTCGCAAGATGGATATGACTGCTACTCTTGGTGCTATTGACCGCAACTGGCAGCAGGCCGTCCAAGCTGGCCCCACAGCGACCAACGAGGTCTTGGAAATTCTCAACCTTGCCGTCGAGAAGAATACCAAGGCCGTTGTGGTGAAGAACGTCAGTGTCCTTTCCAACATCCTCTTCAAGGCATTTGACCTGCGCCGTGAGCAAGTTGCTCTCGGCGAGCGCTCCAACTTTGAATCTTCCGACGTGGATGACGCCGAAGGTGCATTGAACGATGTCACAATCAAGATGATTTACAAGCTCAATGACAGCACCTTCCGACCCCTCTTCATCAAGTTTGTTGAGTGGGCCACCACTGGTACTCCTAAGAAGGATGCCCAGGGCCGTGTGTCGCGCCTTACGACCTTCTACAAGTTCCTCCAGGGCTTCTTCGGTACTCTCCAGTCCATTGTCACCGGCTACTCGAGCTACATCCTGGAGAACGTTGTCGAGATCTTAGGCTCAACTGGTCCCTCGAAGACTACGAAGACCCTCTGGCTGGCGACTCTGCGGACTCTCTGCAATTCATTCCAGCATGATCAAGATGGTACGTTTTAATCCTGTCCACACTGATATTCCACATCCATTAACCTTCATCTACAGACTTCTGGCAATCTCCTTCCCACCTCGCCAGTATCTCGGGTCCCCTCATTGCTCAGTTGGCTCACGCGACCACGTCGAAGACTGCGGATCTGGTCATCGAAGAAGTGGTCCCTGCGATCACAGACCTCGCCATCGCTGCCGATTCGACCGACAACCACAAAGAGCTCAATAACGCGCTGATGAAGTACCTCCGACCTTCATCTGCTCCCAATGCCAAGTCGGCTGGTGGCGATAACGCTTTCACCCGCCTCGCCGCCTTAAAGGCCGAGCAGGCGCTCACCGAGCAGCTCGGTGAGGAGTGGCTCGCTCTTCTTCCCGAGATGCTGCCTTACATCAGCGAACTCATGGAGGACGAGGATGAGAGTGTGGAGAGAGAGGTGCGCAAGTGGGTTAAGCAGATTGAGGGTGTGTTGGGAGAGCGACTTGATGATATGTTGACCTAAGGGGTTTCCTTTGGTGTCCATGTATAAAAACCGCATTTGACTGGCGTTTGTAGAGATAGACCCCCCAGGCAGGGCATGCAGTCAACGTCTGCAGAAAAGAACATTGTTTATTATACTGCCATAACTATGAATTTCTTCGATTCGAGCCATTTACATAAATGAGGCCGTTACTTCCGTCCTGCGTTTAGTCCTGGGAAACTGGAGAGTCTGCCGCATCAACACTCACCCGTATTCCACCGATACTTCGAAGCCGGATGGTCTGCAGCTGGACCAGACTGACCAGGTCGTGTATGGCGCGATGCAGGAGATCCTGGAGGGCTCGGAACTCGATCAACGACCAACTACACTGGTCCGAATTGAATTACTCTTGTCCGAGCGCACCAGTTAGATCATGGAATCCCCTTTTTGGGTTTCGTCTCTCGGGCGAGAAATGTAGAGGCTGCGTTGATGTGATGCTGTAAACCTTGGGGTGCATCCGTGGCCCCAGGTCCATTCATCGGCATCGTCAAATCACCATGGGGTCCTTTCGATTTGCCTACAGCCAGACCAAGGAGACATTTTAAGTGGGCCTAATTGGGCGATCATAAATATCTGCCCAGGAGGTTTGAAAAAGACGTTTAAAAAGATATCTTGGAAATCAGTATCAAAAGATGTCTAGAAAGACGGGTTAAAAAATTACTAGGGGGAAATTTAGAAGGACAATGAGAATAAAGTATTGAGGCCCATTTGTAATATCTCCTTGGTTCGGCTGTAAAACCCGTCTCTAGACTATGTGCGATCGATAACTTCAGGCTATACATTATAGAATGTGGGTTTTCAATGGTGGCTCTCAGTCGGCCCGGCTGGCCCTCGGTGAGAATGTCACTTCTAACCTCCCAACATCCTGGACGCCCACTTATTCTGTAGACCCGTAGCCACTCCTTCGCAAAAGACCTTCTGCGCCACGTCTAATCAAAATGGTATTGTTGCTCTGACCCCAAGTTCAATAGTCCATGCAGTATGACGCCCCTGGTGTACCCTGGTTGCTATGATACTATGATACCATCCAGCGCCAATCGACCACCTTGAACTTAAAATCCAGTCTCTCGCTTCCATCATGCGAAAGCACCTCATCGCACCCGTATCAAGCAATAATGGATCGATATATGCTCATTCGCCCCGATGGCACCGACGCCATGGAATCGAACACCGGAGATGATACACACCCCTGTCCCTGGGACCTTTGCAGATTCTGCACTGGGGACATTTAAGCGTACCTCAGCCCTAGATTTTCCCTGAACTTGATATCACGTTTGAGCTGCTGCGTTTGTTTCTTGGTGAGAGGATGACAGTGTTAAGTATCCCGACTAACGTGAGGATACGTCTTAAAGGCATTAACATATGTACCTAATCCTCCTTAAGGGGCTTGCGACTACGAGCTTCGGTAGAAGACAATCAAAAATATCAGAAGTAGAATTGGTATTGAGCAAGCGGATGAAGGACAATCCATCACGAGCAACTCTTCCTCTGTAAATATCCACAGTCATATCGCCAGCGAAAATCATCCATCCAGTGATCATGAATTTCCAGCGGGATTCATGACAGTATCCGACATCTAACTAGAGGGGAAACCGGCCCTCAGGTTAGCATACTCAGACGCAGGGTAGCTCAGCTGATTCTGGTCCTGGAGCAAAGCACCGGTACCTCCGAATTCAGTCACGACCTGCGATACTGTCAGTCAAGACAATTCGAAGCGGTGTTTAAGAGGCGAGTAACTTACCGTGGTGATCAAGCTCTCGGAGCCGTTTTTGTCACTGCTGCTCTCCCACCACATACCACCGCCAAGGCCCTTAGATTGGATGTACTGTGCCTTCATCTGGGCAACCTCTGGCGTGTCGTAGCTGATCATCATCCGCTTAACTGGGTCGTAGCTGTAGCTAGCGATCTCCTGGTCCAGGTTGGTGACCGTCGCTCCGGCCTGCGGTAGCGCCTTGTAGTCCCAGACACCGTCCTCCCAGCTGCCGCTGCCAACACCACTGTAGTTTGTGCCTGGCCCATCAGTGTTCATGAAGGAGCGACCGTAGAGCGGCATTCCAAGGACAATCTTGTCTGCGGGCACGCCGTTTGATGTGTAGTAGGTGATGGCTTGGTCCGTGTTGAATGGTGTACTGAGCGGGTTCGCGACAGATGGATAGACATTGGCGTCGTCGCCGGCGATGGTGGCCCAGCTTCCGGAGTAGTCGTAGGCCATCAGATTCCAAAAGTCCAAATACGGGTCCATTTGGGCCATTGCGAGCTTCTGGTAGTTACTAGGGCCTAGCTCAATGTTAGCAGAAGTAGGCCATCGCTGATGAAATGATCGTACCAGCTGGGGATGCAACTGTGATGAGGAAGTGATAACCACTGGCATTGGCTGCACTGTAGGTATCCAGAGCCTAGTCCTGGTCAGTAATCAATGCACTTGGTGTCCTCTCCAGTGGAAAGGTGGAGGATACTCACCGAGCGCAGCGACTTGAGTAAATCAACGAAGTCCGCAGCCTGGCTGCTGTCGGCAGGATACTAGGCACTAGTTAGTCTCTCGTCTTCCAATTATGATCGATAGACATCATACCTCCCAGTCAATGTCAATACCATCGATTCCGAGGTTCTGCACCATGCTCACGGTGGAAGAGACAAACGCCTGTCTTCCAGTATCGGTACTCATGGGACTCGCAAAGTTGTCCGAATAGGTCCAGCCTCCGATAGAGAGGAGAACTTTCAAGTTTCGGTTCTTCTGCTTGAGCAAGAACAGTTGCTTGATGCAGCCATACACATTGTTTCCCACGTCGTTCCAGGAGTCACCGGGGTAGTGTTTCTGGATATCAGCGTAGGTATCCGACAGGTACACTTCCCCCGTGTCCGGGTGAACGTTGGCAAACGCATAGAGGACATGGGTCAACCTTTCAATGGGGAGTTCCTGGGGTTGGTAGTTTCGGCCATAGATAGCCTGGATGCAAGATATTTGTCAGTGGAACGTTCCCATGATATGAAGTTGTGGTATAACCGACCCAGTTAACAAAGTACGCCACAGAGCGGTACCCGGAAGCAGCGCGAGCCTCAAGCTCGGTCGTGTCACTCCCGAGGGAGGGGATGACGGCGGCATTGGTGAGCCATCCCAGGCCTAGGAGAAAAGGAAGGACAAGATGCATGATGAAAGTCCGAGTGGTTGGAATGAAATCGAGCCAGCGATTTCGAGGATGTGTTGCAGATGGGAAGAGGAGAAAAAGACGCGCTGGAGGGGATGTTTTATACCCCAAATCAGTCTATCATAAATTCGCCCATCTAGGTAGCCTGACCGCGACATGTCCTGCCTGCGGGGATTCCCAACATCGAAACTAAAAGGTCCGCATCTCCGATTGACGCGTTCTCCAAGTGACGCGACGGTAACAGGGAACACCCATAGCTCCAACTCCCGATCAAGAGATGCTACTCTCCAGATCCAGTCAACCCCACACTATCGGAGGGGTCCGCATGTGCACATGCTCAACGTGGCCAGAAGACTGTGTCATCACGAGTCTTGAAGGATGGAAGTATGGACCCCACATTCCGACAGGAACGAAGGCGCCATTCTCGGAACTGACAAACACGTTCCACGATCTCAAGTGCAGTGAGCATTCTTCATGTAACCGTGAAGCATGGAGCAACGTGGTCTTCCGGGTCTTTGATCCCCTAGTCCGGGTGCATGGCTGGGTTGCCTTGTGCTGTGGACGATCGCCCAATCGGCGCCCCCGATACCTGAGGAAGGGTGACATTCTCTTCTGCGATTTCTCCGTCTATCGCCCTCTGAGATTCCTCGGGAGGTATCTCGGAGCCACCGATCACCGAGCGATGCCTATTATCGCTCAACAGCATCTTAGTCGTTGCATTCACCGTCCACCCGAGTCCGAGGTTGACTTGCGGTAGCAGAGTGAATGTAACTTGGATCACGATATCACCCAAGATCAAGGTTCAGTATCCCGGGCCGATACCTGGGGCAGATAGACAGGGGTTGGCAAGAACGAATTAGAGTAAAATCAGGGTCTTCAGCACCTGCCGCCCTGCAGGAACGCATCACCCGCGGGATCAACCAAATGTAACATCCTTGGACCCCATGGCATTTCTACCCATGCGACCGGGGCATGTGCCATACCACCCAACGCGGAGCGCCGTCCAGATCCTATGTGACGAAATCGAGCGAGAGAGGGGTATAGAGATCACCTCGGCACTAAGTCTCAGGGTTGGGAAACCAGTCGGTTTTCCGTCGGGTGAGAAGCTCCAGTCAGGCTAGTGATTAGCCTAGTAAAGTAGCAAGGTGTTGATAGCCTTGTGCGAGATCCGATCGTGGTCTAGAGTCTGGTGGGGAAACAAGGTGAAACCGCATTGCTTGGCGCGGGCCCGATTGCATCAGAGCCCCTGGACCCGTCTTTACGCATGAACGTTGCTGCCGGGCTTAGCATGACCTCGGTATTCTATATGTTCTAACTGTACATGGATAGACGGTGGATGCAAAACGAGTCCTTGGCTCTCCAGAAGCCATATTGATATCCTGATATCTGAGCTCGCTTTACGATGAGTTGTCGGCGCAAGACCAGGCGGCCGAACCTCCCGACTGTTTGTAACTGTCAATAATGGTCACAATAGACCCGTAAGTACCTCCAATCATCAAGAATGTTCCAGCCACTATGATAAAGGCACACCACCCAACCATCAACATCCACTTGGTGGTTCGGAAGTCTCGGCCCTTGCTCCAGTTGTCGTACAGCCACATGCCGGCCATGGGCTGGAAGCACATCGGTGTACCAAGCAAGGCACCGACGAGTGAGACAAGATCACCAAATACGGGAATAGCACTGGCAATAATGTAGGCAATCACCGTGGTGCCCAAAGTGCAGCCGATCCAAACGGCCCAGTGGACGACGGTATTGGCTACCAAATGGCGGGAGCCGTAGAGGATGCGGACAAACATATATTTGGCCGTGATCTAGGAAGGATGAGCACGGCGACAGTAACATCGTTTGAAAAGTACTTACGTGGATAAATAGTAGTGTACTGACGATCAAGCCAGGGAGAGCGAAGCCGTAGCTCACAATCTTCACGGTCGGGCCTGCCGATCCGAGGGCGGGGGAGGAAACGTAGGATCCACAGAAATAGTAGATGACAACGCCGATCGCAAGGTAGAATCCAGTCACCACGGACTGGCAGAGTATCAGGGATCGGTTGTAGTGGGCGGGATCACGCATCTCGGATGCGATGGAGAAGAAGGCGGGGGTGCCGGCGTAGGCGAACACCATCGTCGAGACCGCGGTGATTGCATCGGTGAATGATACATCGCCATTGACAATTTTATAATCGGGAACCCAGACAAGGTCTGCGGGTACGGCGGAAGGGCGGTCCTGGATCCCAACGGCGATGGTGACGATAAGAACTGTGGGGATGGGTTAGCCTCATGGGACCCACGGGGTGGAAAGGACTACCCACTCGAAGTAAGAATGCAAACAAGACCCAACCACGCAAGCCACGAGATGCGACCTAATGTTTGGATACTGCCGAGCGAAAATGTAACTATGGCGGCCACGGCGACGTAGACGGCGGTGCAGGTGGCGTGGGAGGAGACGGCGTTGAGACCGATGGAGATGCCCAGCATACCGGAGCCGGCGACGAAGATCCACCCTACGACGAGTCAGCAACCGGCATCAAGTGTTTGCAGGGAAGGGGACTCACAGAGAATAAAGGCACCTCCCAGAATGATTCGGCCGGGCTTCCCCAGAAGAAGCTCACCGACATCGTCAATGCCGTAGACCTCACGATGCCTCAGTTTGAAAACACCAATAATATAGTCGGACCACGTCGTAATGGCAGCAATGGCACACAAGACAATCACCCCGGGAATGACACCCAGGGAGTCGAAGGCTACGGGGATGGAAAGAACACCGAGACCAATTTGGGTTTTCATCATCAGCACGGCCGTGCCCAACCATCCTACCTGAGGGCCAGTTAGCGAGAACGAGGACCGTCACCACCTGGACAAAACACGTACGTTGCGATAGTTCGGACCATCTTCCGTGATTTCACCGAAGACGGGATCATGCGAGCCTTCAGTCACCTGGCCGACATTGGAAGAGACGTAAGTCAAGGACTCGTCTTGTTTCTTTTCTGAAGACATGCTGACGATATCGATTTGACAAGTGCAAAAGAAAAAGGGCGGCTTGGGGTTACATCTCGCGGGGACTGATGAGACCTTTTAAAGCCTTTGCGCCGCACCCAGAAGCGGCTTAGGGCCGGGTGCTAAACCTCTCGGGTGGCGCGAAAGGGGTGGTTACCGTATCTTCGTATCTTCGTATCTCCGCCACTGAAAAACGCCCCCACAGCGAGATAAGGGATAAACCGTTTTTCTCGTGGTGTCGATCTTATCATTCGCGTCCTGTTCTCCTTGTTCTTCATCTTTGTTTCTTGCTACACCTTCAATAACACTCGATACAACTCCCTAGATCGAGGCGGTCTGTCCCCGGATTTCCAGAATCCCACCTACCGTTGTTCCCCCGCAATCGAACCGCACTCCAACGCCCGAAAATCCACTTTTTTTGAGTGTGGGGGAGGGCGAATTACGTCGGTTCCCCTCTTAAATGCCTCACAGCCTCCGGCCCGGTTCCACTACATACCACACGCGTGCGCTACTAGAATGTTTGGAGAAGGCGATCCACCATTCTTGCCGTGGCAGTCGGGTCCGACTGGTCCTCGCCCCGGTTGATTGGGCATCTCCCGCTGAGCATCGTAAGAGACTTTGGTCTGCCATGGATCGTGTTGCGAAATCTCTGCTTCTGGAAGGTTGTGGCTGACACGATCTGGTTCATTGCCGGTCGATCTGCCCATTCCCTTGTATGTATACTCAATCTCGCCCCGGTGGCCACCGGCCCGGCTTCCCGGGTTTCGAAGGCGTAGGTACCTTCGGCGAACACTGTGCATTGGACGGCCCGTCCGACAAATCTGTATCATGCGCCCGGCCCCTAGCAGCAAAAGATACAATGAATACATACAACATCATCAGCTATGCGAGGTCTTAACCAGGTACGGGAAATGTTCGGTCGGGCCTACGGGCAGAGACTTTGTAAGACATTTTGACCGGTTTTTCATTTGTGTTGCCCCGAAGCACGAGCCAAGTGCATTGGGGTAACCGGGGGGCCTTCTTACCCAAACAGGACGCTCCCTCCAAAACAAAACCTTGCGATCGCGAAAAGAATCGGGAGGGAATTTTTCTCATGATCCCATCAGTCACGGTGCCAATGTGGGCATCACCTACACTCCTTCTCGTACCTAGACGGAACGGGTGGCGACGAAACTACACACACGGCGTTGGTTCGCAGCGGAAGAAAATGGGCCGGCCTCGATGCGCCCCGGAAAAAATGTGCAGGTAGCGGCAGATAGATGGGGCCATGTCCACCCATGGATGTGGTCGTTAGCAACGCGGACATTATCGTACGTGCTCTAAGATATGACCACCGATGTGCGGCAGCGACAATTGACCGTAAACATCCCATTCCCGTCTTCCTTATCGAATGGGAAACTTCCTATTTCGGGATCCCTTCCCGGATCGCCGACCTTTTAAGCAGTTATGCGCGAGACGGCCACGCCGGCTGTCTTGCATATGTGGCTTTCAAGGGGTGGCGCACAGCCTTACTCAAACCCTTGCTCGAACCCTATGGCACAAGTACAACGCCACTTCAGCTGTGAGTCTGGGCCGCTCAACACGGGACTGGGAATTTGAAGTGTTTACAGTCCGCCGGCCCGGGATATGTGGAGTATACTCTTCAGAACACCCCTGCAGTTCCGCGGTTCCAAATATGGACGATGTGGACGATGTGGAAGAGATCGCTTAGGTTGTGGCGTTTTTGCCCGATGGAAGCCAATGGGTGACTAGAAGCGTTAGTCCCATGTTAGTCCATGCAAATCGAGGACCGTTTTTCATTTAGAGACATGGTTCCTAACTAAGTTTCAGATAGCGGGATAGCAAGTGTTCCCGGGCACGGGCAAGAATACGCGACGCTCTTCGATAGGAAAGGACTGCTGTTTTCATAGAGGGCCCTGGTACACTTTTGCCACTATTGCATCTAATCTGGATCAGACCATTCTGGTCGCGACACATCCATTTTGAAGAATTCCTTCGCCTAAACTTACTGGAATGCATTCCGAGTCTTTCGATTGGGAATGGTTGTGACTCCGGAGACACGTCACTGATCACCCACTGCCAGCCAAGCAAGGGTTATCTGTTTGACAGCCGGAAGAACGGCCTCGTAACCTATATCTCTTATTAGCTCGCGTATATGGCATTCAAAAGAACTCCCAGAAATGCTGCGACGCGGAAAATTTTCATTCATCTCCAAAAAATCCCTCGCATGAAGCACGGCCATCCTCGCAGAGCGTCTAGTACCCCACGGATTTCAGTCGAAGATGTCTGTGGAAATAGTAACTGTGTTGACCGCCGTTTTCGTTTACTAGTGCCCTGTTACAGTCCCTCGGCTCCGTGAACTCGATGATGCTGATTCTTCAAATGGCAGTGGTCCCCGGGCAAAGGAAAGTATTACCGCTCACCGCTTGCTTGATACATGCACAATCTCGATTAGCTCGGGATCGTCGCTGCTGTCAACCAAATTCTACATCATGCCACCCCACGCGATATCCACGTTCACTGTTCTTGGCCAAGCACTTTAACCTTATGATTCGTCAAAGCCGAACGTAACTCGTTATCAAATGATAAGGCCTACAATCTCCCATCATTACAACCTAGTGTGATAGATACCGGTTCTGCTGCCGTATCTAAGAGCATGGTCTTCTTGGGGGAATAAAATGGAACCGGTCGATTCGATGCTCTCGACTTGGTTGACCGATCATTGCTTATTAGTGTGATATCGCATCGTAATTTAGGCCGCCATGCTCCTCATATCTGACATGGGGCTATCAGGGTGCCCGATATGTCCAGAGTTTAGGGCTTATCTCACCCCGAGATACACTCGATGAGCTTACAGGAGACCTTTCATGTGTTGAATTTTCGTGGGACATACTCATAGCCAAGGTCGACAATGATGAGAATCCAGTCATTAGGTGCTCATAGACACGGAAGACAGGAACTTTGGAATGCAGAAATGATGGGTAAAAGATAAATATAGACGATTGAATGTCGGCATAGAGTGCCATAACTCAGTTATGCTCGGGTCTATCCACCTTTCTGTGATATAAGCCATAGCAAAATCAGTTCATTGTAACTGCCTGAGAAATGGGGCTATCTGGTGAGAATCGCTTGGAAGGTCGGTTCCAGTTACAATCAAAGGGAATTTCCACAAACAAGGCGAGCATATAAACAACGAACTTCCAATGGAATCTTCTCCACTCCACACGTCTCATCACCAAATATTATCTTTTGACATGGGAAATTGGGAACATCTTGTCAAGAAAAATGACCAAGAACATTGCAATCAAGAATGGGGACACTTTGCCAGATACGGCTGCCCAGAAAGTGCTCTCAACTCGCAACCTGGTTGCTGAAATAATCAGGTGGCTCGTGGAAATTCTCGATCATTCAGAACGGGGAAATGGAAAATATCACAAGGGTCGCGGCCGTCGTAATTCACTGTGCGATCTAGTTACCTTGAACAGACTCTGGTTCGACCAAACCATCCCCTACATCTGGAAAGCCCCAACCAACAAAAACAGCTCCTTTCATCAGCGATTCGCTAAAGTCAAAGAAGCGCGCCTTCAGACATACGCCAACTTTGTCGAATATGGTCATTTACTCGCCGTCCCTTTCGACGACTTGGTCGATAACAATAGAATCCTCCGCGGAGTGACTTTTCCCCGACTGAATCAAATCGACCTAGTTCTTCGATATCGTGAACGGATACTGTGCTTCCCAAGACTCAGTGCTCCGGCACTGCAGAGCATACGTATCCGGATCGCGTGGATATTGAAATCCAGAGGATCGGACAAGGTCCATTTTCGCTTTGGACACGGGACTACGCCGCGATTGAACCCGCAGTTGGGCCACAGGCTCGGTGGTTGTCTCAAGGTTTGTGTTTTGGATCCGTGGGCGATGTTGTATATTGCATACCTGACTCATTATGCTGGGATCGGTTAGTCTTATTTCACGAGCGTCTCGCGTGTCGTCCTCGGGCCTGGCTTGCTGGTTCACCCAAGGACGGTGCAGAGTATCGGTAGACGCCTTCCAAATGTCGCTGTTTTCGTCGATGATAGCAAGGTTGTTGAGGAGTAGCTTTGTATTACTTCGCCGCAGTAATTCCCCAATATCACTTTTTCAAGAGGTTTAGCTGCGCTACTTGAGTGTTCTGGGAGTAAGAGCCATTTCAAAAGGAGCAAGAAGTTTCAATAATGTGGTTGATTAGGTAGAAGATTGATTATGTGCTAGAAACATCCATTTTTGCGCTCCGTAGCGGACATAGGCAAAAAAGGGGGTATATTTCAACAAAAAAAAAAGGCTCGGAATGAAATGAACGCAACTTTTAATGAATGCAAGGCATGAGAATGGGGTATTATCAAGCAGAAAGACAAACATGTGCACGGATTCAATGCTCAAGTAGCAGCTTGCAAGCGGGGTACGGTAGAAGAAATGGTCTCCGAGTACTCGGGTGGTGCCAAGTTCACATCGATGACTGCTTCACTCACAAGCGGAGTTACAGATCGGGGTTGGAAAAAGGCGTTCATTTCTTCCTGCGTGATAATCACTCCCTCGATGGCTGACTTGAGAGAGTCACACTTGGACTGGGAGATGATCTGGATTGGCAGTCGGAGATAGACGGTAGGCGTGAGGACGTTTGCACCCGGGGTTTGATACGTCACTGAGAGGTCGAGTGAGTAGGTGCGAGACATCAGGCATGAGTGAAACGTCGGCACGAATGTCTTGTTTTTGGGGAGCGTGATGGGAACCACGACTGATGCGGTGTAGTAGGTGTCTCCAGAGAAGGAAGTAGATGGGCCGGTTGAGTCTGCCGAGCAAGTCGAGCAAGTCGAGTTGAATGAGTCGCGGCGATCCGTGTCAGACAGGGCGGAGTGCTTCTGCCACTGTGCGGATGCCACACACATTGTCGACAGAGCAACAGAGTCGGTGAAGAGGGCTTGTCCGATCTGGGAGAAGGGCATGGTACCAGACTGACAGGGGAAATCCTCCCAGGGAGTCACACTGTAGAAAGTGTTCACTTTGAGCTTGCTGGCCATGGAGCCGAGACGAGGCGGCTGCTCGTTGCCCACGGGCTCGAATCGAAGCTGGACGGTAGCCACGGTGCTGACGGTGTCACGGGGTTCACAGCTGGGAGGGGATAGTCGAATCGGCTTGGGCTGCGATGAGGAAGCTACCAAGCGGCCCAGCTTGCCGCGCAGGAATCCGCGCTTTACGCTCTTCTCCTTCCGGGTACAGTAGTAGGCGTGATCGACGGTGTTGATAGGAGGCTCCTCTTCGACCGTTGGAATGATGCGGACCTTTTTGGCGACATTGGCCAGTGCCTTGACCTGACGGTGGTCTGTTGACGACCTCTTCATGACCGCCACGCGGATGATATATGAGATCTGGGTCGTATCCGGTGCCATATCATCGAGAAGAGTCTTTCCATTTCCAGCCATTATGGGATCGCCCAATGTCGGTGGGAGCATGGTGTGAGATCGGTGGATTTGGTGGTTGCTCCTGGCGTGTGTGCACACCTGGGGTAGCAATTGTTCGGGGACGACGAATGTGAAGGGGAAGGTGTACTTGCAACCAGCTTCGAGCAGTCGCGGGGTTGGGTATTCTGTCTCTTCGATAGGTTGGCGCAGCTTTAAAAACATCTGCTGGGACCCTGTACGGCCGGGACATGCTGCTCGTTCTACTGTGGTGTGCGATGTGCCTATATTGAATTAGATACGATACCACCAGAAGATACCGGAGTATTCTTACCTTGTAGAACAATCTCCACCTCATCAAAACGCGTCTCATGCTCCACGGTGATCGTCGCAGTGCCTTCAATCTGGTCGCCAGTTGTATAGGAGTTGACGAGCCCAGGTGTCTGACCTTCCAGGTTGATGTCTATTTTGGGCTGTGAACGCCGAGTGAAGACATCCAGGGACTCGGAGGTCCTGCTTATGACTGAGGTCGCAACCATTGTATCGCGCCTTTGGAGTCAAGAGGGATCAAGGTGTAGGTCTGGAGAAAAGTAGAACGGAGAAAGCAAGACGCGAAAGGGTCAATAAGTGAGTAGTAAAAGGATCAAGGGACCACAAAAAAAAAGTAGTATAAAGTGGAGCCGTCGACAACCGCGTATACAACAGGGTCCAGGAGAAGCCCCGTCTTATAGACCCTTCCTTCACTTTGACTAGAACGAGTTGAAGATGATTTCAAATCGCCGTGAGTCACGTTCCGCCTCCGATAGCTTGTAGCAGAACTGACCAACGCCCGTCGTCTGGAGCTGCAGTTAAAGGCTAAGTCGGACGGAGCCGATCAGAGTGATTGGCGGGGCAGCTCCTACATCGGTCGCATGCGCACGCCCTTGGATTGACATTCCTAGACTTTACTTTAGCCCTTGTCCGGGCGCCACAGGACGTCATGGGTGTCATGGGTGTCATGCACCTTGCACATTGCACATTGCACCATGCCGATACGAAGCCCGAAACCGCATGTCCGTGGCTTCTCTCGTTCCTCCCAAGGGCACCTCGAGACTCGTCGAAGCACAAGCTTGACTCGGGCGGGTCTAGAGTCGGTGGATCGCGCCTCACGCCGACATGCACGCCCTTCGAGACTCCACTTGGCGCAGACCAACCGTGGTGGGCCACTCACATTCCCCGACGCTCGGTCTTTGTGTGATTGATATGGCCAATCAGTAACAACAAGCCACAATAGCATTTGGGGATGTAAGCACGAGAAAAGGTTCCGTTATATGGTCAGCCGACAACTCTTCCGAAAGCTGCTCATCAAACTGACCAGTCTTCCATGTTCGGCCCCCAACATGACACCATCGCGGCTCCATCATGACTTTCCCGAGGAGAAACTGACGACGGTAGCCGGTGTTTCGGGAGGCCCCAGATATTTCCGCCCTTAACCGACACTTTGTCCATGCCGAGTGGGTGCTGGTCGCAGTTTACGGGATCGCGGGCTAATCGTTCACACCCTGCGTTGAGACATCTCGGTTTCTTTTCGGTTGGCCGATCGACCTCGTCGCCGATCAATCCGGTGGTCTTTTACTTCAACATCCTAGTATACGGGACACGGGACCCACGGATACTCCAATTGTAAATCCATTTCTATCGAAATCACTACCTAGACTTACGGGTGGGATATCCCGACAGATAAATTACGGTGTATGTCCGTGGTGCAATGCGGACAAAACCGTACTCAAAAAACGTCGACGCGTGGTGTCCACGCTTCTTCTTGTCTCATACAGGTCACTCGTCATGGACGGGCGGCCTGCATCCAGCTCAAGATTAGCCGAGTGAAGACGGCAGACCGAGCGAGGCAAGAGACGTGCTCCGAAGAGATGTCTAAGAAGAGAAAGGGAAGTGGCAGAAGCCATGATACAAGAATGCGGTCAATGCCGCCAAGTGGTATCGATTAACAGGTACCTAGGTATCTGAAGCCCAGAGCACAAACGCCGTGATCAGACGCCGACCTGCCCCGTAAAAAGAATTAGTACGCCACCCGAGTTCGCATATCCGAAATCTTGCGCTCGATTTCGCGCACGGAGCGATCCAGCTCCCCCGCAATCATCATTTTCGTATCGTTGGGCAGTAGGAAATACATCTCGCAGAGGTCGCCGTCAATGACCCCCTTGGAGGGTGCATAATAGCCGCGGTAGATCAGGTGGTCTCGTCCTGCCAGAGGAGGCTGCTGCACGGCAAGCTGCATTTCCAGGCTTTGGAAGAAGTCAACGTCCTCGCGGCTGACGAACGGCACGAACATGCCGATCGTGCCCTGGAAGCCGGTCCATACAACAATGTCACGCCCACCAGCCACCAGCTGGGCTTTGTGAATGCTGGTGGGGACATCTTGCGTGTAGTAGTGGACCATCAGCTCGAGACGGTGGGGAGTTCCCTGCAGGTAGCCTCGCTCGTGAACAAGATGGGCACCGGATCCATCCTCGTCGGCCTCTTCCGAAACCTTGGTCGGGCATCGCATCAACCACAGGTTACCAAACTTGTCACCACCGGCGACGGTTTCATAATCGACCATGGCTGTCGAGGTTGTCCACCGAGAGATGGAGTCGTCGACGAAGGGAATAAGGATATTCTCCTGGTACTTGTAGACGACATAAGTAACACTCTCGCGGACATCGCTCACCACGATTCGGCTGCCTTGCGTCTGCAGGCCCACAATGGTCTTGGGGACGACCGGGGCCTGGCACTTGCGGAGAAGCTGCTTCATGCCGAGGTCGTACAGACGAAGAATTGAGCCAACGCCAGCAAGAACCTTACCCTGGAAGGCAAGCAGAGCAAGAGGTGGCTCCTCGACCTTGGTCTTGTGGATAAATTCCAGCTCGCGGCCATCCTCCTGGAATCGGTAGATGTGAATAAAGCCGCCAGCGGAGGATGGGGGCAGGGCAACCATATCCTTGGCAGTTCCAACAACCAAGAAGGTCTCGCCGTCTTGACTCGCGAATGGCACAGCAGCAACGCTGACTGCTGCTTCGTTCTCTTCGAGATCGAGAGTAAACACCACCGACTTTGAAGAGACCGGGTCCACAATTTGGATACATGAGGCCCAATGACCAGTACCGCGAGGATATCCAAATTCTTCTGGTGGCAAGACCGCAAACTCGCCATTGGTTTGAGTCTTCGAATCTTGAATGAGACTCTCCCGAGTAGCAGGAGACAGGACGTTGTTATCCGATTCGATGACGTAGAACAGCGGTTGCTCCGGGTGTTGAACAAAGCGACGCGGTGTGTAAGCAAGAGGAATAGATTCCTGAAGCATGTTGTTGTCGAGTTTCTCGATGGAGAAAATCCTAGTATTTGTCAGTGACAATGTCTCAACGCCAAGTGAAATTGCAAGACGGTGAAAGATAGAAAATGATCTCAGTAGGAACAATTGGAAAATAAATAAAAAAGTTTGTCCACATAAATATTCGGGCCCTTATTTTCATCATATGATCAAGGAGGGATGTTGGGGTATCAATGCACATGCTGGAATGATAAACGTACCTGAGGTTGCGGCCTTGGATACCGATCATACCCTCGACACACTGCTCACTGGAGAAGTTCCAACCCCACTCGAGAGGAACATAGTCCAGCGGCGTGAGCATAAAGCCCCTGGTTTGGGTATCGGAATATCCAAGCCATGAGCGGGAGCTAAGAGCCAGGACGGCGGTTTGGCCCTTGACAGAGACCTGTGACAGTTTGACGGGCTTTGCGCCCAAGAAGCGTGTCCGAGTATCCGACAGCTCGCCAGTGACTTCATCCAGAACGGTACGAAGGTAAACACCGGAGTAAAGACCAATGTGCAGATAAAGTGTGGTTCCACCAGAGCTTGAATCGGCCATGGCCATGATACTCAGTGACGAGGGAGCAGACGTCAGGGCTTGGACGGACTTGTTTTCCAGAGTGGAGTCTGGGTCCAGACTGAGGATGCGGACAGTTGAGTCATCACAGCCGACAGCCAGGAAAGAGCTGCGGACTCGGCCATCAGGAACCTGGCCCAGGCTTAGGGAAGTGACGGTGCCAGACATTTGACGTCTCTCGTCATATTCAGCCAGCGTACCATCGTTATCCATTTCGAAGTACACGATCTCGCCAGAGCTGAGAGCCACTGCTACCTGGCGCTCGTTCGTAGCCGCAGCCACGATTGAACGATGTTGCGGCGCGGGCCACTCGTTGACTCGACGGTCTGAAAGTAGGTGGCGAATACCACGAGGATGCACTTGAATCAAAGAATCCTCGCCCAGTTGTTGCACAGCTAGCGTAGGTGCTGTGGAGAGGAAACCAGTATCGCTGACCTCCTCCACGATCTCGCCAATTCCCAAGACCAGAGTACCATTGGCAAATGAGAGAACAATGTACGCATCGTACTCATCGTGTCGTGTCAACTTAGTCGTCCAGACGGCGGAGGGCACCGTTCGGAGCTCCGATTCCACAATCTCAGAAACTTCTAATCCGTGCTTAAGGGTTCGGAAAGTACTGCGAGCACCAGTGCCGCAAACTGAGTAGATTTGTGGGGCGTCATCCTCAGTGAGATTGGCAACTTTGCTGTCAATCAATGGATTGAGGGAACCCAAGGTTTCCATGAGATTGAGATTCTCTGCGGCCCGGGGGCGGAAGAAAATCGGGTCGTATGGGACAGATGGGTCGGCAGAGTAGTCATCGCTTGAGAATTCAAGTTCCACATCATCATCACCAAGCTTCTCAAATTGGTAGAAGTGGTGGTTGCCCGATTCGCTGGCGACATAAAGGAAACCGCTCTTGAGAATCAGAAGATTTGATGCGACTGGGACGGTATCGAAATATTTGATCTTAAGTCTCTGGACCTCGCCCGTCAATTGACCATTGTCATCTTCCACCATATCAAGCGTGAGCTTGAACATGTCACCGTCATCTGTTTGGAGAAGGAAGAAGAATGCACCTCGCATCTTGTGCATCACGCCAGAAACGATAGTCCGCTTCCGTTCGGGGTTCTCAGTCGGTCCACTCCGACGTGGGATAGGCACACGGAACGCATCCTGATTAGAGTGGCGATATGTGACGCTGTCCTCGGCACATACCAGTACACCGCTGGGGCCGTCCGCACCTCCAGGGACCTGGAACAACATGTTCGCGGTGCGGTCGACAGGCTCAGACCATTTGCGGACAACGTGGTTGAGACCGAGGTCAAGCTCATAGTACACCAAGACTTTCTCAATTTCTGCGTATGCCTGACCAGTGGAATCTTGGTCCGCTTCGGAATAATCCACTTCCAACGCAGCGAAGACAGGGTTCTCGTAGCCCACATCCAGAGATATCATTGCAAACACAATGGTTTGTGCCTTGTGCGCCTCGAGGGGGGACGAAATGGTGAGCTCCGCCTGGGAGTTGCGGTTCAAAACATAGACCAGCTTGTTCTTTTCCACCGACGCAATCAAGCACGCACGTCCCTTGGGGTCCACGGCGAGATATTGCCCTGGAACTACCCTTCGAACACCAGACTTGCCAAATGTTTCCAGATGGATCCGGTTGAAACGGTTCTGCGAGGGGACATACTCGATGATGGTGATGCGACCCGAGTCCGAGCCGATGATAATGTAATCTAAATAAATCAAAATTGTCTCAGCACAGTTTCGTAAACGTGTGTTAACAGCGTCAACGTTGCTGGCCGGGGCAGGTCCCCCGCCCGTCAAGGGGCCGGCTCAGAAAACCAGGACCGTGCTACCCGGAAAGCTTGAAGAATCACTAAGTTGAACTCGTAAATGAAAACACGGGCTAAATCAAAGACATACCTTTATTGCTTCCAGCCAGTCTGAACGCTGCCAGTGAGCGGATGATGCCGAAGACATTCTGCGAAAAGATCGGCACGACCTTTCCCTGAGTCGGGTCCGGACGGTGGATGGTAAGCTTGGAACCGGATGCAGTGACGATCTGCTGCTCCTTGGTCCCAGCAAACTGACCCAGGATGGCCTGGGTGATCGCAGTCGGAGGCTGGATCGTCAGGGAGTACATGAACATGTGCGAGGTGGTAGCCATGGTGGGCAGCTAGCTCACGGGTCCCCCCCCAAACACACGAAGCAGAAAGACGCGATTTGTACACGCAATTGCAGTCCACAGGATAGGATTATCACATCAATCCCATTGCTGCCGGATGGAGTCAGTTGGAAAAGAAGACTCCTCCGTAAAGATGATCCACGATTGGGGGTGGGAAACAAGAGAATGTGCTTGCGGGAAGGAAAGGTGCAGAGGTGCAAAATTGCAGTGCGAAGCTGTCGGTCACGTGCGGCTCAACGATCGGATTCGACCGCCTTCTGCAATCACCGCCCTGTTATGTAATTGCTGGACTATGAAGCACCTCGCTATCTGACCTAACCCTCTTTGCCTCCGTCTGCTCCAGGCATTGCTGTCTTGTTTCCGCTAAGCAGTGCGATCATTTGTTATCCTGATCCGGCTACATCCTGTGCCGAACCCCTCGATCTATCATTCCCACCAAAGTCCCCAACCCCACACGTCGGCTTCTTCCAACCTGCCAACATGGCCGATGACACCGGTGTTGCTGAGGATACCTCCATTACCTTCACCGTCAAGTCCTCCACCGATGCCAAGTTCACCCTGAGCCTTCCTGTCTCCACGCCGGTCTCGGAACTGAAGCAGAAGCTATCGAGCTCTGATTATGCCGATACCCCCGCCGAACGCCAGCGTCTGATCTACTCCGGTCGTGTTCTGAAAGACAATGAGACGCTAGAGAGCTACAAGATCAAGGATGGTCACACCATCCACTTAGTTAAAAGTGCCGCAAGCAACCAGCAGCGCCCGAACCCGACTGGCCAATCCAGCTCAACAACGGCACCTGCTGGCACCACCCCGAATCAACCCGCGGCTGGTGTCCCCACCAACCTCGCTGCTGGCACTGGCAACAACCCTTTGGCTGGTCTTACTGGTGCACGATATGCTGGGTTTGCCCAGCTTCCTGGGGCAGGTCTCTTCGGCCCAGATGGTGGGGTAAGTGAGCCCTGATATCATATGACTTGCTCGTCGGCAACCGCGGTCACGTTCGGATATACTGACATATGCCATTGAATCTAGATGGGCCCTCCTCCGGACTCTGACCAAATGTTGAACATGCTTGAGAACCCCCAATTCCAGTCACAGATCAACGAGGCTCTGCAGAACCCCGCGATGATCGATATGATGATCCAACAAAACCCCATGCTCCGTGATATGGGACCTATGGCGCGATCGATGTTGGAAAGCCCGGAGTTCCGCCGGATGCTGACTGATCCCAATCACATTCGCCAGATGATGCAAATGCAACGAGCGATGGGTGGTATGGGTGGTGGTATGGGCGGCGAGGCTTCCTTTCCCGCTCCAGGCTTGACCAACACCACCGCTCAAGACGGTCAGAACAATCCGCAGCAAAACCCTCCTCCCAATCCGTTTGCTCAAATGGGGCAGAATCCCCTTGGAAACCCATTCGCACAGCTCTTTGGGGGTGCCAATCCTTTTGGCAATCCCGCTGCAGCTGGTAACACCCAGCCCACTGGCACGCAAGGTGGCCAGGGCACTACAGAGCGGTCTGCTGCTGGAGAGGGACAGACTCCCGAGGCTGGTCAGGCTCAAGCCCAGGCTCAAAATCCCTTTGCATCAATGCTCAACCCGGCTCTATTTGGCAATGGTGGTGGTCAGGGCATCAACCCTTTCAATCCTCAGCAAAACCCGTTCCTGCGTGACCCTGCACTGATGCAACAGATGATGCAGGCGATGGGTGGACAAGGTGGACAAGGTGGAGAAGGAGGCGCGGCTGGTACAAATCCACTGGCAGCTTTGCTCGGAGGTGGTGGCTACGGTGGTGGCTTCGGCGCCCCACAGCCACCGGACAACCGACCCCCGGAGGAACGCTACGCTGATCAGCTCCGCCAGTTGAACGATATGGGCTTCTTTGAGTTTGAGCGAAACATTGAAGCTCTGCGTCGCACCGGCGGTAGTGTTCAAGGAGCTGTTGAGTATCTGCTGAGCGACCTGTCATGAGATTTCCCGCTCGTTTTTCCCATCGCCCATTTTTCGTGTTCATTTTTTACCTTGACGTGTTCCAATGACTGATGGTAACGTCCGGCTTTCTGAGTGCTGATGACCTTTTCATTCCCCCTTTTCGCATGCTTGTACGTGGATGTGGATGTTTCCTTTCTATTTAAGACTGGATCGGCCTGGATGTTAGCGTTTCTTGATGGCTGTTGACCACTCCAATATCATTCAGTTTCCTGCGGTATGCGAAACTCTAGATAATACTCCACGCGGCTGCTGAGAGGGTCTCTAGAGCCACATTGCGTAGATTTTGCCCATGTTGCACTTCATTCCGTTCTTATTGGATGTCGGCAGGGTCCACGGGCCTCTGCCGGATCACCATCGGTACGGGATGCAATAGATAGCATTAAACGGCAGAAATATATAACCGTTGGAAACTGCTCGACAGGGCACAAAACGAAGTATTTTGATTCTTACGATCACCACTGCTCGTTTGAATGTCCCCCAATTCAATTTAATGCTATATCCACTTTCTACGCGATGGTGGAGTCAAGGAAATAAGCAGGTAAGCTTTTTCCGCTTTCCGCCAGTGCCAAATCCGTCCATGCCGCCCATTAGGTAAGCCATGTTGACACGCTGGAAAGACCGTCCTCTTGAGTTCCAAGGTATTCCACCCTTGACTGGTCGATTCCCCATTGCTGGCCCTGCGGCATTCAGTGCCGATTACACTCGCTCTCAATCACACCCCCTCCTATCGACATCCGTCCACCAGATCTCGGTCGATCCCTGGTGGTCCAGAACCTCCCGGACCACGCCAAGCAACGAAGGCACACCTGCCTCCTAATCCTTAGACGACCACCTATATACCTTCCTTGGGTGAGGGTGTTTGAGACCGAGTCTCGCAGGGACATTTCCTTCAAATAGCCTTTGTTGATCTGCATCTCGCTATCCACGGAGCAAGCTAGCGGCCTGGTTGTATGGTTGCCTTGGCGCACCTCATTCTCGCTGGGCAGAACAGAAAAACAAACTCGCAATGTATGCAGCATCTGGGCCACTGCGCCCATGGAATTGGACGTTATGGTTTCTTCTGTTTGTGTCAAGTACCTGGGCCTTCTACATCCCTGGTAAGCTTCCTCGGTGCTGCTCACCCTGCTTCGGCCACTGACCCTGCCTCCCGTTCTCAGGTTACTCGGTCACTCGGTATAACGACGACCAACCGATTCCTCTTCTCGTGAACAAAATATTCTCCGACAATACCCAGCTCCAATATGCCTACTTCGACCTGCCCTTCGTCTGCCCTCCAAGTGGCCGATCACACGCTGGCTCACCCTTCGGGTCCGGCGAGAGCATCTCGCTCAATCTGGGCGAGGTACTGCGCGGCGACCGCATCATGACCTCTGACTTCGAGCTTGCTATGGGAAAGGATGTAGAGTGCCAGTCACTCTGCACTGCTGAGGTTAGCCGCAAGGATGTGAAATGGGCTCGCCAGCTTATCAAAGAGAACTATGTGATTGAGTGGATCGTCGATAATCTTCCAGGCGCGACCAGCTTTGTTACCGTTGATCGAAGCCGCAAGTATTATGCCTCCGGATTCAAGCTCGGATACCTCGATATCTCCCCCGTTACCGGCCGGCCTCGCTCCTTCATCAACAACCACTTCACGATCGTTATCCGCTGGCGCAGTGCACCGGAGGGCGGTAAGGTCATTGTCGGATTCGAGGTGTACCCCAAGAGCATCAGCGCCGAGGACCGCAAGGAGGACGGCTGCCCCAAGGCTGTTCACAAGGACCAAGACCCATTAGGCTTGTTCATTGCACCGAACACATCGCGCCTCAAGGAGAAGTACCAAGGACTGTCATACATCCCAGAGGAGGATGACGAGGATGATGACGGTGCCATGCTGAAGATCCCTTACACCTACTCGGTTTACTTCCGCGAGGACACCAAGGTGGAGTGGGCGAACCGCTGGGATTTGTACTTCACTAACCAGGAAGAGGGGTCGATGACACACTGGTTGGCAATCATCAACTCCTTGACGATCTCCACTGTGCTGGGTGTGACCGTCTTTGTGATTTGGAGCCGAACTGTTCAGGGCGATATCAAGGGCCGTGGTGACGGTGCCATGGATGACCGGAAGCCGAAAGGACAGCCTCGGCGAAAGAGATCTGGCGAGAAGAAGGGCGATGGGCTGTTGGAAAATGACGTGGAGAACGACGCGGATATGTCTTCTGATGATGAGGGCTTTGAGGACAACAGCGGTTGGAAGCTTCTTCATGGCGATGTCTTCCGAATCCCAGCCTACAGTGGCCTTCTGGCTCCGCTGATTGGCTCGGGCATGCAGCTATTGTTCATGGCCACTGGACTACTTGTTCTCAGCTGCCTGGGAATCTTGAACCCCAGCTTCCGTGGTGGATTCGTCAGTGTCGGCATGGGCCTGTTCGTCTTTGCTGGTCTTTTCTCTGGCTATTTCTCAGGAAGGCTGTACAAGACATTCGGCGGATCAGCTTGGCGGAAGAATACTGTCATTACAGCCCTGTTGTTCCCCGGGCTATCCTTCTGCCTCGTCTTGATCTTAAATCTGTTTGTCTGGGCTCAAGCGTCCAGCACGGCCATCCCATTCGGTACCTTGATCGGTCTGCTCGCTCTTTGGCTGCTCATCCAAGTCCCTCTGGTGTACATTGGTAGCTGGTTTGGATATGTGCGGGCAAACCCATGGGAGCATCCCCTGAAGACCAACTCCATCCCTCGCCAGATCCCACTCCAACCCTGGTACCTGCGCAGCCCTACAGGTCCCCTGCTAACCGGTCTGCTTCCCTTTGCCGTCCTCTTTATTGAACTTCTCTTTGTGTTCAAAAATCTTTGGCAGGATAAGAGTGGCTACTACTATGTGTTTGGTTTCCTGAGCGTGGTTTCAGCTGTGCTCATGGTTACCGTGATTGAAGTGACCATCATTGCGACATACAGCCAGCTTTGCTCCGAGGCAAGTTTCCCCTAAGAAGTATGCCGTGGTGCCTTGTACTAACTTATCTACAGAACTATCACTGGTGGTGGCAGAGTTTCCTGACCGGCAGCAGCAGTGCATTCTGGATCTTTGCCTACTGCATCTGGTATTACACCTTCAAACTGCATATCACAGGCTTTGTATCTGGCTTGCTATTCTTCAGCTACAGCTTCCTCGCTTGTGCTGTCTACGGTCTCTTGACGGGAACAGTCGGCTTTTTGGCCGCATACGCCTTTGTGCGGCGAGTCTACAGGTGCGTGACATGGACACTATATAATTTCCCTCTGGATGCAATGCTAATCGAATGTTCCAACAGCGCAATCAAAGTTGACTAAGCTCGAGCTAGTCACCCTCGCCATCTCTTTGGACCATTTTTTTTTTCGGCAACCGACCACCTTGCTACCATCCTCCCCGCCTCTCACGATTTGAACTGTCTGATAAGCATCGGTGAATGTTGTTGACCACCACGGCGTATACTGTCTCATTTCCTGCATCTCCTCACTCAAATTTGAGCACCTTCCCTTCTAAACCTGAGAAACATTTTCTCTTTTACGATTCTCTTACTATTGGCCTTCCCTTGTTTCTTTATCTGACCGCAGTCTCCTATTGCCGTAAAGCCTGCGATCAGGTTGCTGGCGGACCCTTTGGAATGTTTGGGTCATGACAGGCTGTGTATTCTACTGCGTTAAGCGTCAATCCAATATCTTCATTTCTAATGTGATGCGTGCCCAGTAGGAAACGGCAACGTCATCGCTCGTCAATGTCGCTGACCTGAAGCTCATCCAGGGTTCCGAATACGGTTAATCCTCTTCGGCGTTGCACTTAGCCTATTTTGTCTTCAATATAATCGCAGTCACTCTTTAATGACACTCTAATTCACCTCTTCAACTCCATGCTGCTTGGCATGTGGCTGGCTATGTAGGTAGCACTTCGCTATTTTTCACCGACGCTCATTCATCAATCAACACCGTTGACCGCGATTGTTCTCCTGCCATTCAATACTCTTCCACCCGACTCAACGAGGTTAGCCGTCGAGTCTTTCATATTAAGCTCTCCCCTTCATCCCACCATCTTGACTTCTTCCAATTCCGTCTATCCTTAACCTCTCTCACCCTACCCAGCTTACATTTGTCTTTGCCACACTTCCATTGTCTTCACGATGATGTCCACCATCATGAACCCCAACCGGGTTCACTTTATCCACAGAACCCCAGGTCTCCGGACCCGGGCCCTGAAGATCAGACCCATCCCTCAGACTGAAAAGGCCGTGAAGGAGCTGGAGGGCATGACACTCACCGACAGGGAGCTCCAGGAGATGGGCTACCAGCTATCTGACTTCGGCCACCACGAGCTGATGAAGATGCGCCGCTGTACGGACTGCTGTGGTAAGTTTTGACTTCGCTTTGTATTTCGTACCTCGCCGTGTGTTTTAACTCACTCCATCTACAGTTCGTATCAAGAGCAAGGCCGCCAGAAGCAAGGCGAAGCTCACCCCCTATGAACAGAAGCTTGAAGATGCCAGCAGAGAGGCCAGGAACGTCATCACCCACGCAAAGCTCAAGGAGATCATGCCGCACATCACCTACCACGCCTGCGCCCCGCAGCGCTTGGAGGGCTGCGGTGCCGAGGCCGAGGCTACTTACCTCGAACACAACCCTGAGGTGGCCGCGATGTACGGGATCGACGAGGAACGTGTTGCCGCTTCCTACGCCTACGAGGCCGCCAATGACGGTCGTCCCATGCCCTGGCCGAAGATCGAAGAAAAGGAAAGACCTACTTGGAAACAGGACAAGGATGGTTCCTGGAATCCCCATTATGCCAAGTCGCCTGTTTACGATGAGGATGGTTGGGAAGTGCTGGAACCCAATCCGCCGAATGTGAAGGATCCCAATGCCACACATTTCATGGTGCATCAAATCGTGATCGACCACAGTGAGGACTTCACGCAGTCCGCTCACATCGAAATGCCCATCGAGATGTGCCACTGGGAGCTTTTCAAGGGCGGAATTTCGAACTCAGGAAAGAAGGCTGTCTGTCAAAGCCACACTGAGAAACCTGAATACGGAGCAAGTCCCCTTTCTCTTATCACAATTTGATCAAACCAGATACTAACCGGTCTCAGATATTCCCCTGCTGCGGTGCACCAGTCGGAGATCCTGGTTGCAGACAAAAAAACACCCACCAGAGTAGCTGGGATGTCGAGGGCCTTCGCCGGGACTTCAAGCTGTTCGAGACGCAGCCCGGTCAGGCAATTGATGAGCGACACGCCATTGCCATCGACTGCGAGATGGGGATGTCCATGAGTGGTGAAAGCGAGCTGATCCAAGTCGCCGCTATCGACTTTTTCACGGGCGAGGTCCTTCTCGACTCCTTCGTTTGGCCGGATGTACCCATGCGCAACCTGGCGACCCGCCATTCGGGGGTCAGGTGGGCTAACTTCCGCCGGGCCTACGATAACGGCACCTGCCTCCACGGCCGCGACGAAGCAAGAAATCGATTGATGAAGTTCGTGGGTCCGAAGACCGTCGTCCTTGCGCACGATGGCAAAAACGACATGCTCGCGCTTCGATGGATCCACAAGTGGGTAGTTGACACCATGGAAACCGAGGGCCGAACCGGACAAACTCTTCGTGTTCAGGAGAAGAGAAGCCTTATCAACCTTGCTAAGGTCCACCTGAAGAGAGACATCCAGCAGAAGCGTGGTCACGACTGCCTTCAGGATTGCCTGACCTGCCGCGATCTGGGGGTTTTCTACCTGAGCATCCTTCCTGACAACATGAAAGTCCGACATGAGTCAGCTTCCCCCGAGAGAGATACGTTTTGGGATAACGTTGAAGGAGATCAGGAGGCCAACCATTTCTGGGGAGCCCCGCTGGGAGCATCACCGACCCAAGTATCCTGCGGAGCGCCACAAACCGACTCGTCCTGGGGAGCATTACAGACTGGTTCACCGCCGAGTGACGTTTCGGTAGTGGCCTGGTAGAAGGCTGAACCATGAACAAGATAGCAATATGCCATTTTGGCTGGGCCGAAGGGATTCAGACAAAACGAGAAGAGAATAGGACACGGGAATTTGAGTATGAGGGAAGAAGATAATTTGAACAGGGGGATTTCAAACGTAGGGAAAGTGACGACGATGATCTACAATTTGCACGGACTGGATGGGGAATTTAGTCAACGAGAACAAGGAAAAAAGTCTTCTTTTCTTTACTTCTGTCTACCTGTTTAATGCACGTTAGGACGTATGAGACCAAGCCACAAACAGCGAACTCGAGTCTTTACTTGGGAGAATGCAAGTACGTACGATCATGATTGGCACGGCGATTTGCAAAGGGGAGCCGCGTCAGTCGCACGGCGCGGACCCTGGACGGGTCACCTGAGCGGATCTCCGAGGGGGTCTCGTACAGTATCTTCGTAGATCTTGGCTGAAACGACGAGCTGATTCTGGGTATACGGCGCGGCGTACGCCATCCTCATCCCGTTATCTGTCGTATCACGCCGGTTCAACTCAGGTTGACGGGGAGAAGATACCGATCATGGCATGTGTGATGTGTTCTTTCATTCCAGCGCGAAGATCAGTACTGGGGACTGCGCCATTCTGCATCGGGTGAAACAGTCCCGCCAGGAAAAGGTTGCAGACGTGGCTAACGTGGCTATGTGGGGAAGCCACCGAACCTGCACTGCATCTCCAGACTCCGAAACGAAGTGAATGACGAGCTGGAGAAACGGCGGTGACGAAGCCCTTGGCACGAGACGTCAGTCCGGGGGCGGAGCATCTCCCCATCGACCACGCTCGTGGCGTGATCGGAAAGGGGGGATTGCTCATATCTGGTCCGTTTCATCTTGCATCTTGTTACAGTCCACCATGCCAGACATGTAGTTTTGACGACCGCACGTTGTCGATGTTGTCGATGTTGTCGATGATGCAGATGATGCAGATAACGCAGATGTTATGCTCTCGGGCTGCAGGATGGGGCCACGACCACGAGAGAACACATCCGAGTTGGGAGTGCAGTTGAACCGCGTGGCACGGGATTGGGCGGCGAGATAAGCAAGTGGAGCGCAGCAGCTAGCACGTCCGCTAGCCGCAACTGGAAAGCCCAGGGGAAATCGGTTCCCGCTTGATTGGACACCAAGGCGATGACACGATCCGGTGGAGTCCAAAGTTTGCACGGATTGCTGCCGTGGATCGCCGCTGTTACAAGGGTCTATCAAGACCATGCGACACTCTTCCATCTTGGTTCGCCACCCCGACGTCGAGTGAAGGTCGTGATTGCGCATGCGGCAATCAATTCGATTATAAAGCCTTCAGTGAGAAAGTTGAGCCACCATTCACTCCGAGGCCCGCACAGGGGAGAACGGGCGGCCAAAATTACACCGGCGGCGGGTAATACGCCCGTACCGAGCCCTCGCAAAGTGGCAACTCGGCAACTGCGTCGCTTCCGGGTCACGGTCACCCACGTCGAACAGAATGGATTATGTGCCTCGAGCTGGTCACCGAGTCCATCATCCTGCCCACATGACACTTCCGATCGCACTCGTTCGCTTTCCCAACGGATTGTGACTCGTGCTCTCTCCATTCGTGGGATCTCGAGCACGCGATCTGCTCCATGATACCGTGATGTAATCCCAATACACAATACACGATACACCGGGTCCCGTCTCCTGTCGATCGGCCAAGTCCACCGCTTCCAGCGCATTCCTCGGATCACACCATCGCACCGTATGATTGTGCCTTCGCACGCCTTTGGCGTACGTCACTTCACGGCCGAGCAATCCTAGTACACCCCCTGATTTCCATTGCAGTAGTCTCGGTCACTACTGTACACCGATCGAATCTAGCGAGCCCGTTGTGCGGGATGATGCGATCCCGCATGGGCGGTCTGTGTCTGGAGTTAGGGGGTTTCGGGTTAGCGCGAAGATTAGGAAGTACTGGATAACGGAGTATACCCCGGCCTTCCGGGACTCCAATAATACATGCGCTTGTAACTTTCCATTGTGTCTTCTGGCCTCGTTGAAAATCATTCTGTGAATCTGGGTCGTAGACTTGGCCCGATCCTTTGATTATCTTTTTTTTTCGTTTCCCTTTTTTTTTTTTTTTTTCTCGGAATTCCCCACATGTGCCATTCCCAGCTTCATATATCTACCCCCCGCCACTCCCTCTTCGGTTTCCTTTTTTTCCCCATTCCATCATCCCGTACTTCTTCCCAAGGTTGACTCCCTTGTGTCTCCAACACCGCCTCTAGTCACTATTCATCATGGCGGAGAAGAAGCCTAACATTTTGTACATCATGGCCGACCAGATGGCGGCGCCCTTGTTGTCTCTGCACGACAAGAACTCCCCCATCAAGACCCCCAATCTCGACCGGTTAGCGAGTGAGGGTGTCGTCTTCGACTCGGCCTATTGCAATGCTCCTCTGTGTGCCCCTTCGCGCTTCGTGATGGTTAGCGGCCAGCTGCCGTCGAAGATTGGGGCTTACGACAACGCGTCGGACTTGCCCGCCGACGTCCCCACCTATGCCCACTATCTGCGTCGCGAGGGTTACCACACGGCCCTCGCCGGTAAGATGCACTTCTGCGGGCCGGACCAGCTGCACGGCTATGAGCAGCGTCTCACCAGTGACATCTACCCCGGTGACTACGGCTGGTCCGTCAACTGGGACGAGCCCGAGGTTCGCCTTGACTTTTACCATAATATGTCGTCGGTGATGGACGCCGGCCCCGTCGTCCGCACCAACCAGCTCGACTTTGACGAGGAGGTCATCTACAAGTCCGAGCGGTACCTGTACGACCACGTCCGTTCTCGCACCGATCAACCTTTCTGTCTGACGGTATCCATGACCCACCCTCACGACCCCTACGCCATGACCAAGGAGTACTGGGACATGTACGAGGATGTTGACATCCCTATGCCCAAGAACGGGCCCATCCCCCACGAGCAGCAGGATGCCCACTCTCAGCGCGTGCTGCAGTGCATCGACCTCTGGGGCAAGGAGGTGCCCGAGGAGAACATCAAGAACGCTCGCCGTGCGTACTACGCCGCTTGCACGTACGTCGACACCAATATCGGCAAGCTGCTCAAGGTGCTGAAGAACACCGGTCTGGATGAGGATACTATCATCGTCTTCAGCGGTGATCACGGTGACATGCTCGGTGAGCGTGGCCTGTGGTACAAGATGACCTGGTTCGAGAACTCGGCTCGTGTGCCCTTGCTCGTTCACGCTCCCAAGCGTTTTTCCCCCAAGCGTGTCTCTGAGAACGTGTCTACCATGGACCTGCTGCCCACTTTCGCGGAGATGGTCGGTGCTCCGCTGGTCAAGGAGCTGCCTCTCGACGGTGTTTCCCTCATGCCCTACCTGACCGGTGGCGAGGGTCTCCGCACCGATACCGTGTACGGCGAGTATATGGGTGAGGGCACTCAGGCACCTTTGGTCATGATCCGCCGCGGCCGCTGGAAGTTCGTGTACTCGACCATCGACCCGCCCATGCTGTTCGATCTGGTCGCCGATCCCGAGGAGAAAGTCAACCTGGTTGCCGGTCTTCCCGTCCCGCCTGCCACCCGTGGGGTCCCCGCCAAGTCGCCATTCAACGCTTTGACTTTGTCGACCAACCTGCCCACCCCGATCGAGACTCCTCGCGCGTCTCCCATCCCGCAGCGCGCCCACGAGAATAACTCGTACCCCTTCCCCACGCCCACCCCTCCCCGCAGTCCCAGCCCCAGCAGCCGCGTGCCACCGGCTCTGCCCGAGACCGAGGACCCGGTCAAGCTGCTTGCCTGGTTCGTCGAGGAAACCCACAGACGCTGGGATCTGGAGAAGATCCGCCAGGACGTGCTGCACTCGCAGCGCCGCCGCCGCCTGGTGTACTCGGCTCTGATCCAGGGCACTCCCCACTCCTGGGACTGGGAGCCGCGCGTGGACGCCAGCACCCAGTACATTCGCAACCAAGGCAAGGGCATTCTCGACGACGTCGAGCTCATCTCCCGCTGGCCCCGCGTGCTGCAGCAAGCCGCCCAGGCCAACGGCATCCACGTCTAGACCTTTTTTTGTGTGGAAGGTCTTGGGACATAAAATAAAAAAAGCACACCGTTCGTTTCATTTCTTCAGCGTGTGTGCATTCACGACTTCTTATGATTTCTGCATCTTGCGTTTGAGCACATCATGGCATTTCCACCGTTTTTGGGGTTTTTTGTGACCATTTTTTGCACGTCATCAGCGAGGCGCTATACCCGGGAGCTTTATATTTTCTCTTCCATCAATCCCAATTTGCATCGGCGGCGCGTGCTGCTGATTCTTTCTCGTATATAATTTCTTTTCCCGGGTTGGGCGTCAAAGCCCTGTTGTTGGATTTGCCATGTGTAGATAACAGACTGAATATACTTGACTCTATTGCTATTGAATCCGATATACTTCTATACTTCTATACTTCTATACTTCTATACTTCGCCAGAACCAATAGATAGATGCAATGGCAACACTAGCTGAACTATATCCACCTTCATGATGTCACCAACCCGCATCACCCGAAACTCCCGCTTTATCTGATTTACCCCACACTCCACCTTGCATCCCCCCAGCTTTGCCCTTCATTTCTACCTCTATTTCCATCCAGCTATTCGTCTGACTACTTTCAGCAATTCACGGTTGAATTAATCATGCCCTCCATCACGGTAGCGGTTGCGCAATCCCGCACCCTAAACACAACGGCCGAGACCCTCGCCGCCCTCGAACGAACCACCACCCTCGCCGCCCGCCGCGGCGTCCACCTCCTTCTGTTCCCAGAAGCCTACCTGGGCGGCTACCCACGCACCTGCTCCTTCGGTGCGGCGGTCGGCCACCGCCACCCTCGTGGCCGTGATCAGTTCCTCGAGTATTTCAAGACTGCCGTGGATCTGGGCGATACGCCCGCTGGAGCAGGAGAGGATTGGGTTCAGCGGAAGCTGGAGGTAGCAGCGGGCAAGTCGCATCGCGGGGATGGGACTCGTGAGATCCTAGAGCGCGTTGCGAGCGAGACTGGCGTTTTCATCGTTACGGGGCTTGTCGAGAGGGCCGGGGGGAGTTTGTACTGTGCCGTGGTGTATGTTGATCCCGTGCGCGGGGTTTTGGGAAAGAGGAGGAAGGTGATGCTGGTACGTTATCTTTCTTTTTCTTTTCTGTTTGGACACTTTTTATTTTTCGTTTTCCAGGGCTCTCTTCTAACGTGTCAGACCGGCGCCGAACGCATCATCTGGGCCCAAGGCTCGCCGTCCACTTTACGAGCCGTAACGACGTGTCTCAACGGTATCCCAGTCACCCTGGCCTGCGCCATTTGCTGGGAAAACTACATGCCTCTGCTTCGCCAGAGCCTGTACGCTCAGAATGTCAACATCTACCTGGCTCCAACCGCCGACCCCCGCGACACCTGGCTGTCACTCATGCGTACTGTTGGCTTCGAGGGCCGCTGCTTCGTGCTTTCTGCGAACCAGTGCATGCGTGCTTCTGAGCTGCCTTCTTGGATTACTTGCGACCATGAGGCTGCTGCTAATCCGGGTCCGGCGCAAGCCGAGCAACCGAAGACGATGGGCCGCAAGCTTTCTATTACGACCGAAGGGCCGCATGAGATTGTTTGGCCGCAGTGCTCGACTCAGGGGACGGAGAAGGGTGAGTCGGCCAAGGTGTCTTCTCAGGTACCCTCGCGGGTTTCTGATGAGTACGTCAGTCGGGGAGGTAGCTGTATTGTCTCTCCGCTTGGCGATGTTCTGGGGGGGCCGCTCTGGGAGGTGTGTACGGATGACTCGCCCGATAGTGAGGATTCGGCGGTCACTGCGGGCGGTGCCCAGTCTGCTGCTGCTGGAGATGGACTGTCAATTGCGCAAATCGACCTGGATGACTGTGAGCGTGGACGACTGGATCTGGATGTTGCCGGCAGCTACTCTCGCAACGACGCGTTCAAGTTGAACGTCGAGGGCTTGGATCTAGCGCCGCCCCCGTTGTAAATCAATTCGGATATTTACTTGAGTACAACGGGAAAGGCAGGTCAAGTTTATCGATTGTCGTGAAGCATTACGTTCTTTTCATCGTACGTAACTCGCCAGATATCTGGCCAAGTAGTTCTGCTCAAAAAAGCGATGAATCCTCCAAAGCCACTCATATATCCACCTCAAATAAAACAAACGGATGGGGGGATATCATGCTATCGATCGTGTTCTTCATCGCTGTGTGCCAGCTTGTTCCAGCCTGCGCCACTATGTACAACGTCTTTCATTTCTACTCTATCATCCACACCGGTGCCTTGACGAGGACCATTGCCGGTCCCTTGCCGCGGACTTCGACGGTCAGGAAAGAAGAGAATCTGATTCGTGCTGGACCTTCGACTGGTTCGCTCTTCTCTTCGTGTATGTGGCTTGCGGCGGGTACGTGACTTGCGGCGGGACGAGGCTCATTGCCAGCTTTGCGGCTAATTATTACGCCAAACATGGACTTCTTCTTAGGTTCGCGGGGCGCGGGCGCCGTGCCATCGCCGCCTCCAGTCGAGTTCGATACGGGCGAGGAGTCGCTTTCAATTCCGACCGCCTCGTCGGGCTCTTGATCAGTCGGCGGAGGAGGTTGGCGACTAAGCGGCGGCAGCTGTCCTTCAACTTTCATATACCCCTCGACAAAGGTGGTGTTAGGAGGGAAGTAATCCACGCAAACGTCTCGGGCTTCCAGCGGAATCTTCTCGGCGATATTGATGGTGTTCTCGATGATCATCCGCACGCCCGCCTCCAGACCCGGCAGCGCTGTCTCACGCAACTGCGAGCTGAGGAAGGAGGCCAGCTCTACAGCCAAATGCTCGATCAGCTCTGCGCGGTGCGTCTGAGCAACGGCGTCTGCAAGCATATCGCCCAGTCCGTCAAAGGTTGTGCGACGCCAATTAGACAGTCGAGCAATAGCGTTCTCGCGGTCTTCATCGGTGGCAGGTCGCATTTGTTGCCGGCGGAGGTTCATCTCGATGCTCTTTAGTTGTAGACTGAGACCTGTTTCCAGCCCTGGGTGGAAGTGTTTTTGGAAGACCTCTTCCGCCAACCACCGACTGATTACGGCCCGTCCTACACTAGTCATTTCCTTTGTTGGTTTTTTGATTGCCTCATCGGTCACGAAGCCGTGCAGCCATGACGGGATCCCAAGCCAGTCCTTGCGCACTGAGAAGGCCAGGTCCTTGATGGCTCCGTCCAGCCGTTGGAAGCGGTTCGCATATTCATTGTCGTCGAGTATTGTGCGGGACACAGCCATGCGCTGATGTGCCACGGTATTCTGGAGGTGCTGCACTTGGGCTTCCTTGTCAAAGTAGTATCGCTTCACTTTGGAGTATTTCGATTCTGATTTTTGTTAGTTATGATTACCCCGAGCTGAAAATATACACCACAAATCTTACGGAGCTCTTCATGTTTCTGAATCAATGCACGAACGTCAATGTTCTCAGGATCCTCGCGTACTCGACTCGGTGTAGGGGTGTTTCGTCCCTCCGCCACTGGCACTGGCATTGGCACTGGCTGGGTCGCGCTACCCTGTCGACTGCCGTCCTGGCCCGATGACCACTCTTTCTGTGCCTGTTGGGCCTGAGTTTGCTGCGCTTGCTGCGCTTGCTGCATGGTGTCGTGTTCGTTCCGACGGGCCGGTGAGGGTGGCTCGTAGGTCTGCCGGGAAGGGGGCCGAGCACTCAGCCCCAGATCCTGCTGGGTTCGTGAATGAGATTGCCCCCGATGGCCCTGTTCTGGGTAACGGGGCGATTCCGGTGGGGGTTCGGAGGGCGACGGTCGACTGGATCTCTCGAGGAAGCTCAAGTCTGTACTGGAGCGCCCAAACGGTAAGGGTGCAGCGTATTCTTGTTGCAGGCTGTGAGCCGACAGCTGCTGAGACCACTCGAGGTTCTCACGCGACAATCGCTGCGAATGCTGCAAATGTTGCTGTTCGGAGGCTAGCGAGGCTGGGCGCGGTTCATGTGGAGTATTCGGGGATTGCCCCTCGGAGGAAGCGGGGTGAATGCGATGCTGGTCCGCTTCGTTCAAGGCGTGGAACCGCGGTGAGGTTGGCTGAGAGATTGGATGAGAGATGTTTTTCCCCTTGACAGAAACACTGCGCTCTAGTAGCCCGGACGAAGGACGCACAAACAAGTTCGTTCTTAACCGACGAGGCTGCGGATCCTCAGGGGGGACAACACTGACGGTCGCTCGGACGCGTTGCTGTGAATGGGGCTGCCGTTGGCTCTGTGATCGGCGCACGGAGGACGGACTCGGTCCGGGCGGGTGGGTGAAGGTTGGATTGTTTGGGGCCGATTCCTGGGCGAAACGATGGTCTGAGAAGCGGCGGTCGGAGTATGCGTCCTGAATGGAGCTGCTGCGGTCCGGTGGAGCGAGGGCGGAGTGAGCCAGAAGCTCCTCAGAACGGGCAGGGGCAGGGGCAGGGGCAGGGGCAGCGCGTGTAAGAGTTTTAGACGATTTCTTTCTCTTGCTATTGAAGAGGGGCATGCTTGCCTCGTCGTCTTTGGAAGGAACGCAAAGCAACTGTGAGGGGGAAGGAATGGCGGAGATGATCGGCAGACAGCGATTGGGCGGGGCCTCGTGTTCTATATATAAACGTAAACAATGTGATTTCTACAGCGGATCAGCAGAGCATGCCTGATAGGTATATTTAGAGCTTAGCCAGGAACGGAGTATTCCGACGTAGAAACAACAGGGACAAAGAAGGCCTTCAAAGAAAGAGAAATGAAGTCCTAAACATGGGCGCAGTTGGACAACACGGAGAGCATCAAGACAGGGTCAGCCGCATAACACGGTACAGGATGACATGACAGGAAGATGGGCTTTTCCGCACCAGGCAAAGGAATTGACTTGCAGCACCCGGTGAAAAACGAGATTCATAGAGTAGTATTAGGTTTATGTAGCGTCAGCTCCAGATGCTCCAGCCTTAAGAAACAAACAACTGTGTTGTCTAAACAAAGGAGAACTTGGGTAGAAATACGAGATCGATACAGGGATGAAATAAACTTAAGCATTTGCCTTTTTGCGAAAGACCAACGCATAGGCCTTTAGCAGCAGGACCCATATATCTCAGTTACAACTAGATACGCAAACCAACTAGATTACTCTCACACCGAGCTGGAACAAATCCATGGTTGATCCAAGTCAAATTGTATCGTAACGGGCATCTGCTATGTGAAAGGTGTACCTACAAAATGGCGGGTAGACAAGCTTTTCTGCGTGGCATCACACGGGCCCAGCACAGTCGATATCCACACATTCGGGCATCTTGAACATCTGCAATGAAAAAAAGAAATCCTTACAATTGAGCAATCTAGCACACCGGGTGAGACTTGCCGGTCTTGCCCTGCAGCGAGTGCTTCTCGCCCTGGTAGTGCTTGTGGGCGTGCTTGTGTCGAGGGTGAGCACGGTGGCTAACGATGTGCCTGAGAGGAGGGTTAGCAAGAGACAAGATCAAAAAAATTTCCGATACTTACTGCTTGTACTTGTCCACCATGGCCTGGTCCATAGAATCCAGAGTCTGCAGAGCCAGGTTGATATCAGTCAGAAGGCTGTCGCAGCGGTTCATGCTGAAGTCCTCGCGCACGACAACGCGCATCAGCTTCAGCTTGTCGCTGTTGGGTGCCATCGTGTAGGCAGGGACAATCCATCCTCGCTCACGCAGCTGGTGGGCGACCGCAAACTCGTCGTAGGCACGGTCCGGGTTCGGAGGCAGACGGAAGGCCACCAGGGGCAGGCCACGGCCCTGGCCCTGGCTCATGATGATCATGCCCTTCTTCTTCAGCTCCTCGGCCATGTAGTCGGCGATGCGGGTCAGGTTAACCATGATTGAGCGGTAGCCGTGCTTGCCCAAACGGATCAGCTGGTAGTACTGGCCAATAACATGGGCGGCACCCTTGGAGAAGTTCAGCGTGAAACTAGCCTGGTCGGCACCAAGATAGTTGATGTTAAAGACCAGCTCCTGGGGCAGGTACTCGGGCGAGCGCCAGATAACCCAGCCCACACCGGGGTAGACCAGACCGTACTTGTGTCCGGAGACGTTGATCGAGACGACCTTCTCGAGACGGAAGTCCCAGGCCAGGTCGGGCGTCGTGAAGGGAGCGACAAAGCCACCGCTAGCGGCATCCACGTGGATCGGGCAGTCAATGTTACGCTCTACCAGCAGATCGTTGATGGCCTTGACATCCTCGTACTCGCCAGTGTAGGTGGTACCGATAATGGCACAGATACCAATGGTGTTCTCGTCGATCAGGTCAACGGCCTCCTTTGGGTCGATGACGTAGCGGGTGTCAGTGCAGTAAACGTACTTCTCCTCGATGTCGAAGTAGCGAGCAGCCTTCTCCCAGCACACCTGAACGGCACTGTTCATGACGATGTTGGGGCGGGAGTAGTCCTTGCCCTCGGCCTTGCGCTTGTTCTGCCAGCGCTTCTTCATGGCCAGGGTACCCAGCATAATGGCCTCAGAGGAACCAATGGTGGAGGTACCCATGGCATTATCACCCTTGGGGTCGGTGGGGCAGTTGAACAGACGGGCGATCATGTTGACGCAGCGGTTCTGGATCTCGGCGGAATGGGGGTACTCCTCGTAGTCGATGAAGTTCTTGCTGAACGAGTCGGTCATGATCTCCTCAATCTCTTCTTCCTACAAGTTTATGAGTTATCTGACCATCCGCGGGTCACAGACGGTCTCTTACCATGTAGGTCGTGACGAAACTGGCCAAGCTGTGGAGAGGTCAGCGGTGAATTATTTTGTCAGTGGCACGGAACTACTCACTTCAGCTTGGGATTACCATCCAGACTGAGCTCATCCTTGATCATACGGGCGGCAATCTCGCGGGGCATCTCAAGCTCGGGCATTTCATGCTGAGGCATGTGGTCAGCAGCAAAGTGGCTGCCATAGACGTTGGTGTAGAAGTCATTGACGTCCGGGGGCGGGGCAATGGAATCGACTTTGCGAGTGGACGGGTCAAAGACCTGATCGTCCTTCGAAACGGTAGCGAGATGAACCATGATTGCGGTAAACAAGAATAGGGGCAAAAGCTGATGCAAGTCAAAGAGGGGGAGCTGAGGGACTTAAATAACAACACGTGCGGGGACGGGGCCAATGACGCAGTATGTCGCTCGCAGTTCCACCAGACACCAAAACACTTCGTCTATATACTTTTCTCCTGTTTCAGCCGTTCAATTCCTTCCACTCTGCGGTCCAATCGATCCACTAACTAATTTCCATCTCAAGCACACCAATCACACCCGCGATACCCCTCACACGGACGCGGCCCTGCCAAAGCTTGGGCAAAGCTTGGCACACGATGATCCTCAACTCCCGATGTATCCGATCTGCCCCTCCTTTGCAGCTAGGCAACCGTTTCCCTGGAGCCACGTCGTGGTGTGGTGGGGTCATCGGGTCTCAGCTCGAGACGATGGTCATGGACCCATGTGCTGGCTACTTTCTATCTGCTTGCTCTCGCGCAGCTTCTCCACTTCAGCAAATCGGCAGTAGTATTCCAAGATCCCCGGGTTGAGCAAGGTCCCCGAGGGCTGAATTAGCTCGCCACACACAATCTGCTTCAGAGATAGCTCCACTTTTGCTTACGTTGACCGAGGTTTGATATCATATTGCTCAGTCCAATTCAAACAGCGCCATGACCCCTAAATTCCCTAACCCGAGCCCAACCCAGCCCGCACGCGGGTTGTAGGTCGAGATAGATAACCCAACCCGAGCCTATATAACTCATAGTTAAATATTTAGATAAACTGGTTTTAGAGACAGTAAAGAAATAAGTGGTTAACCTACCTAATGCGAAATTGGTATCGGTTCTCACGACGAAGCGAGCAAAGACAGCCGCTGCCTGCACTCAGCAGGTCATCTTAGCAGGTTAGCATAAGGACCGTGGTCCAAGCCAGGAAGAACTCGATGGCTAGCCTTTACTAGGTGAATACCGAGAAGAGAGAGAGAAAAATCCTGGCATCCAATGCTTTTGGAGGCCTTCCGCTCTTTGGCATATGAGATGTCAGCTCATTCCCGTCGGTGTGAGTGACGTGACGGAAAGGTTATTTGTTAGGCTTCGCGCCGAGTCTGGACCCATGCAGGCAAGGCTGGACTGGTCCAAGTCTAGATGAATCTATGGGGGTGACATTAAGAACCACCCTATGAAAGAAGCGGATCAGGAGTTGCAGATTCCAGGGGTAATTTTTATAAGAGAAAATGCTTCCAACATTCATTTAGTGGTTCCCGAGTTCGAACTTCTGGTTGCTAATTGCTTTGAGTCTATAAATCGAATATTTGCGTGAAATGCTAAGGTATGCTTTATCCAGACATGTCTAAATTTGGCGTCTGGTCATCAAAGCCGGTCCGAAAGTGATCTTGCCAGATGCGAAGCTGCGCACGACGACCTACAATGAATGCGGTTTTAAAGTCAGCCTCTTTAAGGGCCTGGACCTCCTGAACACGTCAGTAAAAGGAGAAACAGCGAAAAGCAGGGACAAAATCACCACAGCGCAATCGAGGGGAGTATACAAACCGGGTCTGATGATGCTCTTTTGCTTCGTCTTCGGCGGTGCGGCCCTCTCAATGAGCAAAACATACAGGAGTCGCCAGCCCGCGAGTCCACTTTAAACTCCCGATCTCCACAACCAGCGCACAAAGGGCAACTACCGCGGTCACACCACCGTAAAGATATGCGTGCCGTCTGCGGAGATCCGACAGTTCCAGAACCCAGGTGCTGACGGTTGTGAGACACCCGCAGAATCCGTCCATGATCCCTTGTAGGACCTGGCATCCGATGACACTGCCTCCGCCAAGGCTGGACCCCAGGAGCGAGGCATGTTGGAGGGAGTACGCCATCCCCAGTATCATGGTCCCGCCCACATTTACTGTAAAAGTTCCAAGGGGGAATGAAGCGATGCGGCCGTTGAGCTTGAGGGAAATGAAAAATCGTGCTAGACAGCCGACGGGAGCAAAAACCAGGGAAAAAAGGACCGAGCCTCGCCATAATTCTGAGCTCCACAAGGTACTCTGTAGCGGATAATTTGGCAATAATACCACGAGGCATATGAGAGCGACCCACGAGAGACATGCGAGAACGACCGCCACCGGGTCTAGGAATTTGCGTAGCCAATGTTGGGGAAGACTCGGTGTCCACGGAGAGACGCCAATCGCAAGGTGGGCCCCGAGAAAAAGGCCCCCTAGCGACAGACCGATCTCAGTGAACAGCACAGCAACGAGGGCCATAAAACTGAATCCTCCATTGGGAGCGTGAGCTCCGTCGGGGATCGAAGCAAACAAGGAAATATTGGAGTATTGGCCAATGGGTACGGGGAGATCGTTAGCTAGCGCCAGAAACACGTCTCGAGTAAAAGTGGAAAACGACGTTAGACTTCCGCAGAACCCCGTTGTCAACCCGATGTAGAGTGGGATGGTTTTTTTGTGCGCTCTTAAATGTGCCGCCACTCGTGTGCCGTCCTCTCTCTCCGAATCAGGAAGTTTGGCCTCTATTTCTTCGAATCGAAATAGTTCCTGGTCCTCGCTCAAGAAACCCATGACCAAGCTGCCTCCAACATTGGCCCAGAGAACGCTAGTATTCACGGGAGATCCGGGGTAAAACGTCAGGCATTCAATTGTCATTCGGAGGAGTGTGCCGAGGAATGAGAAAAGGATGAGGTAGGACACGATGTACGTAATCCTTGTTATCTTGGAAATGAGCCGCGCACCTGCCGACTTCTCGGTTTTGCGTGCTAGGCTGGCACCTGATGCCCGGGGCTCAGTATCATCGGCCTGGCTCGGCTCGTTTTTCCCTACCGGGAGCTGTGATTGGGAGTCGCGGTCGCGGTCGGTGGGTCGGTTTTCGAAATATTCATGGCGTTGTACTGGTTTCTCGGTTGAGTCGTAGACAGGAGGCGGCGCCGCGACTTCAGCTAAGTTGGTTTCGGATGTCTGAGACTGAGCTTCCTGGGAACCTGGTGTCGCCGTGGGCGATACGCCAGAGCCAGAATCCCAACCTTGCGAGGGGGCTCGGCCATGTTTGCTCACATCCGTCGAATGTGACATAGGGTCAGGAAAATGCAGAAGCCAAGAAAGTGATGATTCAAATGCGCAGAGGTGATAAGAAAAGCGGAATACGAAGATGGTTGTTTCTGTCCAAATGCGAACTTAATGGATTTCCATTACCGGATCGGGCGGCCCGGCCAAACCCCATCATTACAATTGTAGGAATTCATGATTTCTGCTCAGTCACCAAGTCAAGGACACATTCGTCTCTTCATTTTCATTGCCCCGACCGGGTCTCACAAGGAAGCGACAGCGACAGAAGCGACTTTGCCCTAGGCTGCATCTTCACACGCATCGATAATACCTGATCCATGTCAAAATGTCATGATGACATAAAATCAGCTGACCAACCGACCGCTCGATTTATCGCCACCCGTTACCGCATTCGTTGATTCAACTTAGACACCACTGAAGGTCGATAGGTACACCGCATGAATGAATTTCTTGAAATCTCAGAACAACCATTGAAATGAAGCGTCAACGTGTGGGAGTTGCTTGTGATAAATGTCGCGACTTGAAAGCTAAGGTACGATTATCGTCCTTCCTTCTCTCTCTCCTTTCGGCGATCTGATCATGCGCCTGCGCGGACACAGTGTGACGGGCGCCAACCGGTGTGTTGCAGGTGCGAGGGCTATGGATTTGACTGTACCTGGTCCTCCAGGAGGCGGCGAGGGTCCCGGCCCGGTCCAGCAAGTGCGACCGTCGTGTTTTCCGATGGCCGGCGTTATCGTTCTCCTGCATCCCAAGGCTCACCGTTGCAAGAACACTTGCCAGCATATTCAAAAGCGGTGAAATCGTATGAAGCGTTGATTCAAGAGATTCGGGCGAATTTGGATAGCTCCCGTCAGGCTGCTCTCGATTTCAGCCTCCAAGATATTCGACGTCTCGTGCCGCAACAGCCAAAGGAGGAGCAGTTGGCACTTGATGATGCAGAAGCCAATGCGGATGCTGGAATAGCCGCGGCCCCCTCGCCGACATATGTCGGGAAAGCAAGTGACATCCACTTTATTCACAGCATACGCCAATGCGTCCACGGGCGCCGGGACGTGGCCGAGGGAGACACACCAACTCAGAATTACAGCCAAACTCACGTCTTGGAGAACCCAACGATTTTGAAGCACCCGTTATTGTTTCCCTCGCCGGCTGAGGCAGACCAATTTCTCGATGTCTACCTGTCGACAATTCATATTGCGTATCCGTTCATGCCAAATTCTGTTCTTCTAGACGCATTTCAGCGCTTCAAGAAAGGTGAAGTCCATGAAGCAGAATTTCGACCATGGCTTGCAATTTTTAGTAAGTCCACAGCGCCCCTTTCTATTCTCTACTCTTCTCTTTCTCTCCCCCTCACGGGTTGGAGATTGCCCTCGTGTCTTTTACTGACCGCATCCTAGATTTCATATTTGCAATTGGGTCATACTACACTTCTTTTCCGCATGGAAAGCACTCTAGTATCGGCCATCACTTGCGATATTACGACCAGGGCCTCTACTATTCACGAGAACTCAGCGCGGATTGCTCTCTACTGAGTGTCTGGGTCTTACTAGTGCAGTGCTTCTTCCTATTAGCCGTCTGCCATACTGATAGGTAAGGTTACTCGATCCTACAAGTGGTCTGCTCGTACGTAATGGGGGATGCTGAAATTTCATTCAGATGCTGGAACACGCTGGGTTTTGCCATTCGGATGGGGCAGAGCATCGGCCTCCACGTAGAGACCTGCGCCTCCAACTTATCGTGGATGTCGGATCCCAACCACAGGCAACGCACGTGGTATTCCATGTACGTTTTGGACCGTTTGCTAGCTCTTCAACTAGGTAGGCCAACGGCTATCCACGAGGCCGACTTTCAGGTCGAGTTGCCCTCTGCGAATGACCAGTCGCCATTTCTCTCTCCCAACAACCAAACCTCCGTCCCTGGCGGTGATTTAAGAAGTGGTGATTTGATGGAATACTTCTTGGAAGTAATCCGATTCTCGCATATCGTCGGTTTGGTCATCCAGGGCTTATATCGGCCGTCTCAGGTTGATTTGTCCCCCGAAGAGATGCTTCAGAGCGCCTCTAGCCTAGATCAACGTTTATTTGAATGGAAAATGAGTCTGCCCCGGCACTTGCGCTTTGATTTGGGACATGCCCTTGAAAAGAACATCTCGTTCAAACGCCAGGTAAGTGCCCTCCCTCTTTGACACGATTTTGTCATCGCTCTTTCACGCTATTACGTTTACTAAGGGGAAGGGGTTAGCGTAACAACCTTGCGGTGAAGTACCATCATCTGCGTGCACTTATACACCGGCCTTTCTTGTGCCTTCCGCTGCTACAGATGAATGATCAGTCCTTCATGAGTCTGCTCCTACGCGACAAGGAGCGAATTACTGAAGCAGAGTGGATCTGTGTCCATGAAGCTCAGGAGACTGCCCATCTCCTTCACAATGTTGTGGACGAGCGAAGTCTAGTCCATGACTTTCCCTGGTGGCAGATGATATCATGTTTGATCTGTGCCAGCTCCATATTATTTGTTGCGGAATGTTTCCACAATAATTCCCCCAATATGGACGGAAAGGTTTCGGCTCAAAGGCTGCGAGAGGATGCCGAGACCTGTCTCAAGGTTTTTGAAGCTCTTAGTGTCAACTCAGCTGCAGCGCAAAAGGCAGCCGACATGTTAGGTGGGCTTTCACGGATGCGTCGATCAACAGAAGATGGTATGTTTTCCTTGTGATGTTGTTTTCCAAATTATCGCTATGATCATCAACTTACCCTCACCAAATGTCTAGTGGAATCGGTCAATGTACCGTCTGTGTTGCCACCTGCCAATCTTCAAGCTGGTGTCGAGCCTGGACATGCCGGCTTCCACCATGCTCCAGAACCGATCCCGTCCTTTCCATCGCCGGAGATGTCTGCCGCCCTATCATCTCTATGTGAATGGCCGAGTGAGATCTCCAACACAATGGAGTGGTCGGTCAGGTTCTTGGATTATCCTCACTTTCATCCATCTGATCCTCCTGCCTCTGGTCGTGGTTTGCGCTAGCCGGGCGTCTCGCTTTACTTCCAGGATTTCACCCTGTCTACCTCGAGAGCGAGCTGGCAGGGACTGAAATCGATAGCAAGGCTCCTTTAAAGTTAATATTCCTATTATATTTTGTATGAAGCGCAAGGCTGGGGTTGGTGAACCGCAAATCCAATCCCTCTTCGCCATTTCTATAACTCGGCATACCGTCGATCGACCATAATGCAATGCAAATACGACAAATTGCGTCAACAGAATCGCACGAAGAGAGATTGTGCAAACCAACCGCGGTAGATGGATGATCTATTCCATTTTAATATACACATCCCCCTTCCACCTATCTTCCCTGATGGCTCAATTCTAAGGCCGTCGTGTTCTCCATCATTTTCTTATGTAAAGCAATAGGGCTGGCTAGTTGCAGGCTTCAGGAAGCATAGCATAATGATCATCAGTATCGTGAATCCCATGGCCGACCTCACTGCCTAGTACCAATTAGACCTTCGTGCAGTCGTCATGTGGTTATCGACCCGCTGGTTTACCCGAGTTGCTTGGTTGCCGTCCATGTTTGTGCACGCGAAACTATATTATTTGAGTGATCTTCCTATTTTATTGACTGTAAAATAGCTCTCAGGACAGTCTGACATCCAGAAGACATTAATTTGTCCGGAGACTCATAGCAGCACTGGATCCGCGGAGAACTTCACCTTATGTTACAGATGACATACTGATCGTAAGTGATCTTCAATTCTAAGTGGGGCCGGAAGAGACGGAAACTCCTTTCATTGGCTTCGGCGGATCCGACGAACCGGTTACCGTACAAACCCCTCGACGATGCAGATCAGTAGCCCGTCATACGTCACATCGCGCCTTGATGATCCTTAAAAATGGGTGGTCACGACCCTTTTCCGTTGCCTGAGGGTTTCACAAGCCTACGATTTGTTGCATCACCTACATTCAGTGCTATTACCATTCCATGTCCAAGGACGATGGTAAAACGGCCATAAATGGGAAATCGAATGCCACCGTTCCAGACAACCTTTGTAGAAAACACGCGCTCAATACAGATCATGCACTACATCACAGGACTATAAATCTGCCGGGTAGGCGCAACTCAAACAGGAATCTAGACCCGCCGGACAACGAGACATCGGGTTTTCCCGGCATTGCCATTGGTCGGCCAGACAGAGCCTTGGACGGTAGACACTTGAAGTTCTACCTGATCCGAGAGCTGGCCTAGGCGGGACACCGCTATTAGACTGCTGTAAATTCGACCTCGTATGTCGGCTAGACCACCAGATGCTGAGCCATGGTGAGATGCTCAAGTTCTGTCCCCGTTGAATAATGGAGATTAGTTCAACATTTGCTTCTACCGCTGACCAGGAACTGGAGGTACCCGCTTTCTAAACAATACATTGACAGGTTGCTATGCGATCATCACTATCATACAATCATTCACATAATGTGTATCTCAATCACCACTCCGCTGCGGCTGTTCCTGCGTGGGTGGAAATACCATTGTATCACTTTGACCATGAAGTTTCTTCCTACACCAGCCTTTCAGAGAACTCAACTTTCCCAGCATCGGTTCATTTCCATGTCGACTCCCTTGATGTAGGGGAGCGCGGGGTAAAGCCTGTTTCTCCCGAGGCCGACGCAGTTGATAATGAGCCTCGCGACAGAGAGGGCATCTCGTGTCTCTATTGCAAACCCAGTCGTCGATACAGGGCTGATGGAAAAGATGGTCGCAGGGGAGTTGCCTGTAGGCAGAATTTGTTTCCAAGTCCTCTAAGCAGATAATGCACACTTCTGGCACTAGAAGCTGGTCTTTTGGCATGTTAGTCCATGCTCTATGGGAGCCGCGTTTGGTGTTCTGTTCATAACTCACCAGGTAATAAAGGTGGGAGGCCGTCGAAGAGAGGCAGTTGCGTCAAGTCCACCTCGTATCGGGAGGAATAAGGAGTTCGCATGGTGGTAAGGGACATCTGAACCAGACAAGTTGCCGATGGAGGCCAACATACGTCTTCTTACCGTCGCAGTAATGGGATTTATAAATAAGGAATTCTTTAAACTGAGGTCATACTTTAGTCACCCGGCCCGCGATTCCCGCAAGTTTGCATCAGCTGACGATGGAGAAGCGGGAACACGCGCAAATCAAGCGCGATACAGAAAAAATATATTTAGGTTAGACCCTAATTTTTCGCAACAATACGCGAACTGAAGGGACTGGGTAAAAATCATTCGTCACCATTGCCCCACATTGAATGGTTCTTCCCTGTGTCATGGGGAATACGGTTTGGTTTGGGCATAAACTTCGAGCTACCCGCTTCCCCGCCTCCGGATAACACGGGAAACACGGAATGTGGAATTACGTGACAGAAATGAAGCATCAGCAGGGTCTTGACCTCATTCGTTTCCTGCGGACGGGACAAGTTGTACGTATTTGAATGGGAGTTGTTGCTTTCAGGGAGCCCTATGTCCTTTTTCAGCTTGTCATACTATGGCTGGCTACTACTTGCATGTGCCATCTCCTACGGAGCCGGGAGGCTTGACAGCGAAAGAGCTCTTGTACGCCCAAATGCCGTGTTATTTTGGGCTTCGAGACAGCACAACTGGTGGGTCCCTCGCGTGACTTAATGCCCAAATGGATTCGCTGATTTTCCTGACTTCTTTTCCGAAATAGACCCAGGTACTCTTCCAGATAGCTGTACCTTGTGCTGGGATGCCCTAGACGCTCTATCGGCTTATCGCCGGCTTCCATGTGGCCATGTTTTCCACTTGCCCTGCAGTGATCACTGGCTTCGGTACCAGGATGCCAGGTGTCCGCTTTGTCGGGCCACTTTCTATTATGCAAGGCGGCCGCGGGTTATGTATATGCTGGACAAATCTCAAACCCCCGACCATAGGTCCTCGATGTTAACTTACATGAGGCATATGGGATCACGGCTAGCTCAAGAATTATTCGGACATTAAACTTTCGTTGGCTGACATTCTCCCAATATGGAGAAAGTCCCTGTCGTTATGAGTTACGAATACTAGTTTTGCATCAGTGAGAAGATTGAGCCCATTCAGAAAGGCCAATATAATATAACCGCCTCCACAAGTATAAGTGGATAATACTAAGAGAAGTAAAAATAGTAAAAGGGGACAAAAAGCAAGTTTAAGCTATCTACCTATTGATTACCCCGACAGGCTGCCACGATGGCCATGTCCTTCCACCGCGAGTTGCGAGCGTCAGCCAGATTTCCATGAAAGACACCCCGAGGAAAAGATTTTGCTACCGTTGCCCCAAATTTTCAATGATACCGCCATTCCCTAGAACGTTCGTGCCACTCATCGACATGTACCCACAGCTAAGAGGGTGCCCTGCACGATGGACATGATCCAGACAGACCATGGGAAGCTATCACTCCATGGGATCATTTCCTCATAATTTCAGATCTTCACAAACGCGGAACATCGTCTGTGTCGCCCACCGCGATATTTCCATCTGCTTCTAGCGGGCATACCATTCCCATATTCAGCCACGTTCGCTGTTAAAAGTACGGGCATCAATCTTTTCAAGTACGTGGTAGCTTGATTGCTAGCTGACGAAAGAATCAATAGTGCGGGCCAAAGCAGTCTTGATCAAATTCAAAGTTTCTATCGCCAATCCATCTAGCTGATGCGAACTTGAAAGCCTGGAATAACGTAAATATATTTATTCAACCACTATACCGGTAGTTAAGGGTTAGATCTGTAAAAGTACCATTTAATCGTATATACAGGCAAAGCAGTGTGTCACTTTCTTACCCTCTGAAAATCAACTGCACAGTAGCACCCCTCAAGAAATCCCAATCTTCTCAGAGCGAAGCTAACACTTATCTCAATGAAAGATCTGTTTCAAAATATGGCAAGATTAATATACAGTAAACGTTTAATGAAAATGACAGACTATAAGAGAGTTCCCAAAATGATGTGGCTGATTTTGCTCCCGTTGGTTGGCATTGTTTGGCTTCTCTCGAGATAGGTCCCTTTGATTCATCCAAGCGTGTTAACCCGGTGATTTATTCAGTATGCGTGCCTCCCTTTGAGGCTCCAGTGTTTTCAGCCGGGCCCGACTTAGGTTCCGAGTGCCTTGAATGAGTCTCTGAGTCCCTGGAACGGGCTTCCGAGAGCCTGGAACGGACCTCCGAGAGCCTAGAACGGGTATCGTCACTTTCGGCCGCCAGATCACCTTCTTCCGTCAGCTCTCTTTCAATTTCACCCTCCTCAACTTGTTCGAGGGCCTCCTCATCGTGCACATCTTCCGGCTCTCGAACAAAAGTTTGCCCCGCAGCCCACCAGTGTAACAGATAGCGACGACGTCCGAGGTTATTGATGAGAAGAGCCCATCCAAACATAATCAAAGAGGAGGCAATGATAACGGGAAGATAGCGCCAGGACAGGGTTACTACTGCCGATTCGACTGCCGCATTGAGACCTGTTGCTCCCGCTCTAGATATCTCTTATTAGCTCTTGAGTTTTTCAAACCATATCAGGTCAATATATAGGAGACGGTCCATTTAATCTCCCGCCTTTTTATCACTATGATATAAAAGAAATGATAGTTTGTACATACGGAGGATGAGCGGTTTTTGTGATTAACATCACCAGTAACGATGTCGCCATCGAAATTCCTCCGTTGATGAACGTGGAGGGATGAAAATTCGTATTGTCAAGATAGCCTTGGTATTGGCGATTTAGCACGAACAAACGCGTGATGCATGTTCCAACTAAAGCAGAGAGAAAGTGCCCGCCCAAGAAATTCCGCGGTTGAGCGACTGGTGACTCGATTACCCCGAAGAGGAGTACTGCCGAGGCACCGAAGGACGTAATAATGAGCGGAGAGTGGTAGACATCTCGGAATGCCGTATTGGTAGACATGATCGCTTCGATCAAGAGATCCCCCCGAATGCCCCAATCCAAGCAAATAGCCATGTTTCATATTTCAGTGGAACTTTGGTGAGCCAACAGAACGGTGGGAAAGGCAGAGGAGCATACGGTGGACTGGAATCGGGGGCGCGATAACCAGTGAAGCGAGAGAGATATTCGGGCAGGTCGCCTCGGTAGTCGCGACGAATTTGAATCTCTACAAAGACCACCGAGACTTAACTCGGCCACGCGCACCATTTGTAAGGCCCATCTTTTCACCGAACGGGCTCATACTGCGTCACAATTTCGTTAGATTTGTAGATGACAAAAGAAGCAACGACCAGTGTAGAGAGTCTGCAAAAAGTCTGTATTTCTTTTATTATAGTACATAATGAGCTTAAATGAATTGCTGAAAACGATTATGAAGTCACCATTCAGTTCTTTCGGATGAGATGACGTTTTGCCGGAACGGGCGGTCCGGTATGGGTATGGTGATCATGCTTTTTTCCCACCTACGTTTTTTTCTGCTATGTATCTATTCTGCCCACGATAAGGCATGACGAGGCCGTGGGGTCGGCGGATGCTTAAACCACCTCTATCGAAAACCTATCCAGAGTCAACCAGTGGCCGCTCAAGGGGCATTTTCTCTAGGGATCGAACTCGAACAGCAAGCCCATTGAACAGGATCATATGTCAAAATGGAAAAGATGCAGACTCCCTGCACGGGTGACGAAGTGACACCGAATGCCGATCACTACGCCGTCCTTTCCCTGACCTAGGAAAGTCAGAATAGGTTGAATTAATGAGCAGCGAAAAGGTAATTCCGTGCATTCCGGGCCGATGAAGATCATGGTCGACGAACACTAGTCTCGTTCGAACTCTTCACTGTCACATCAAACGCAATAGCATACCAATACTCAAGCTTTCATATTACAATAATTCACGCGGAAAGCAGGATTATCGTATTGAGCGAAACCGGTGCCACTAATGTTTTTCGTTGATGGAAGCCAGGGCAAAGCGGCCGGCGGGTCGCCCGGTCCGTTAAGCCTGATTCATGTTCTCTGTGCATCGTCGACAGGGGAGGGGTGCTAACGAGCACCCTGCCAACATTTCCATAAGCCGATCCCTCAAGGCTTTTTAATGATTACGACTTTCCGAGTCAAAATATATTAATCGCAGCATGTAATTGACCAGGATGGTGTAGTTACTAAGAAAGTACGTAGATGACGTTGTGGAGGATTGCCAACGTCTCTAACCTTTTTAGACCAATATCGACAAAAACAGCCTTCCTCTGAAGGCCGGGGGGTACTTGCAAGCCTGCGCTCGTTATAAGGTCATTTATCATGAATTTTGGACTGATAACCCGCAATAATTATCAAGTTGCTGTGGGGTTTAACAGGTGGAGATGTATAAAGTCTCATACATCTGTCTGTCTTACCCAAGGCCGCATATTCTGCTAAAATTAATATTGGTGGAAACAACTAGCGATAACAAGGACCAAAAGCACTGGACAGTCCCAGCTCATTTACAACACTGTGAACAATAAACTCCCTTTACTTCTTTTGGGTGACCCTGGGAATATCCACAATTGTACTCCAGAAACCTGGCAAGCACGACTATCTTTTAGGTTTGTGGCTTTATTTAGCAGCCTTGTAAATCCAAAGAAATCTTGCAGGCATTCCAACTTTTTCCAGGTCGCCGACATCGGATAGTTTGGTTACGAGAGGATGACGAATGTTGATAGCAACAACTTTCTAATCTGTCTGTCATTTGTCGAGTACGACGAAAGGTCCAAGGCGTCTCACTTCCTTCACTTCCCCGCAATTGGCAATCACGCTTCCAATGTCACTGATATTCAGTGGGTAATCATCTCCTGCAGCACCGGTCTGGTCATCGATGGCGTCAGGATCTTCCCGGATCTATCTGTGTTTCAATAAACCAAGACACATTAATAATAATAGCAGCCCTTACTTCAAAAGGTCACTATGATGTTGACTATCGATCAGCTGCTAGAATGGCATCATAGAATGAATGGATGATTAGGATGCACCCAATTCCAACTGCAAAGCGAGAATCTGCACTTATAGTCGCATAAGCTCATATAGTACTTTATGTACATTCCGGACCACCCGGATGACTAGCGAGCATGTTCTAATGGTTCCCGTTGCCCCAATATAAGGATTGTGGAAGACGCCGCTAGATGACAGACTCATGGATAGGATTCCAGGCTAGCGTGATCTCTCTCAACACTGGGTTGGCACTCAACGGCCCTTTTACAAGAATCCCCTTAACTGCTTGGATGATTTGCGGTGTTTTGCGGGAATTAGTCTCAACCACTTCTAAGACTAAAACTTGGGTGCATAGCTACCAATCAAAAGCACCCTTTTGTAGCCAAGTCGCCCATGGTCCGTCGTTTGTATGTCATCAAATTGCTCACTTAAGCCTGCAAATAGAGCTGATACCGCGTTTTGACGTCATCTTGAGAAGGCAGAGGGAAAGCAGTGTTCAAAAAGAGTTCCGGCTTATCCGATTATGGGAATATAAATCCAACCTGTCGCTCGCGAAGGGGACGGAGTCAATTTCCCACATGCGAACAATATCGCTCTAGTTTACAGTAGGTGCTCTTCTTTAGGTCTTCTTGAGCCTTCTAGTTGACGAAGGAAGTGATTAACTGGTTTTCAGAATACCGATATGTCCTCAAGGATTTATTTGATTCGCCATGGAGAAACGGAGTGGTCTCTGAACCAGCAGCACACTGGCTCCACCGAGGTTCTTCTTACGTCAAACGGCGAGAAGCAGGCCCAAAGAACCGCGGAGACTTTCGTCGGGGATGGGAAGCTGATTCAACCAAAAAGGATCAAGCGGATGTGAGTCTCATCATCAAATGTGAGGTGCGTCTTACTGACTTTATCAAGATTCTGTTCACCTAGGAAGCGAGCACGTCAAACGCTTCGGCTATTGGGCTTGGGGGACGAAGATGAACTATCAGTCTCTGGTTTGACGTCATCTGAAACCCCTTCCGTGAAGATCACTGAGCTCTTGCGAGAATGGGACTACGGGAATTACGAAGGTTTGACAATCGAAGAGGTCCGAAAGTTGAGAAGGTCAAGGAATTTGGATGAAGTCCGGCCATGGAATATCTGGAGGGACGGATGTGAAGGTGGGGAGTGAGTCAAAATTTCCTAGCTTACTTTTACGGGCCATGGGACTAAAATCTTCTATCGATCACCTCGAGATGTCACAGAAAGGTTGGATGCGCTGGTTGGAGAATTTAAGCATCTCATTGGGGCAAAGCGAACGGCGCAGGGGTCCGACAGCTCATCTGCGGGGGGCGATATCGTTTGTGTGGCACATGGACATATTCTCTCCGCGTTGGCATTGAGATGGGCCGACCAGCCACTACAAAGCGGAATGAGATTGCTTTTTGAGACGGCTGGAGTGGGGGTTCTATGGCAAGCTATCCTTTCTATCTCGAATTTCCACCCCCAGTCAATACTAACCCCTTCTAGCTTTGAACATGAGAGCTTAGAGGAACCCGCAGTTCTGCTTGGTGCTAGGGCTGAATGAGTTGACATGTCAGCTATTTAGTATAACCGACATTCAATGTATGTGATAAAGTGCTTTTCTTCACATCGCAAAATGAGCGATACTTCATTCGTGGTGTCTTCCTCTCCTCCAAAACAGTTCCAGACATTTGAGTAATAACCTATATCGATATATATTGATGGTCACAGGTTTAACAAAATGGCCCGATATTCAAAGCTCAGAACAATTGTAGCGTGTTAAAAATCTATCGAATCTTTACCTTAGTAAATAGTTCTGATGATACCAACTTCCCATATAAGCAAAAGCGGAAAGAATTCAAAAATTACAAGGCGGAAAACAAGTACACTCTTACAGGGGCGCCAGTAAGAGTGAGCTTTTGCTTGGTGAGCCCCGGCGGAAGGTTAGCGAGACAGGTGTTCACCAGGGTTTCAAGCGAGAGATACTCTACTCATATTTGCTTCAGCTATGGCCGAGCACGTAAAGGTATGCATTATGAATCAAATGAAACCTCAGATCAGGTATTGTTCATGCACTGGTGAAGTATGCTCGACGGCAATACGTTCCTCATCTTCCCCCTTTTTTTCTTCTTCTTCTTCCTCCTCCTAGTGGCCGGACACGGAATCCGGTTATCAGGCGTATCCCGTTATTCCCGGGAGTTCCGGCTTTCCCGAGAAGGAATGACGATCATTCACGTGAAAGTTCTCGCTTTGGGGGGGAGAACAGCTGCTCCTCTAACATTTGCCGGCCGGAATTTGTAGGGAAGGATACTAACACGGGTTACAATTGGGTTCTATGTTTAATTAATATTGATTATGAATCACATTGTGTGCAAAACATACAGTAGTTCACGTCAGTCGCTTTTGTCCCTGGGCCAGGTTTCCACATTATTATGATGTCAGACGAAGATGCTACCTCACAAAAGCCCCATCTGGGCTCCTTGGCAGTGTCGTCAGACCCACCGTGTCATTAGAGACCAGTGCGTATGTTTAAAAGCAATAACCACCTCAATATTCCTTCATGATCTTATTCAACCACACGCCATGACCAGACAGCGCCAATGGAGTGGACAAGACACCAGCAGTCCACCAAACGGTGGATTGAGCAGAAGAGGTAGCAGTTATGCCACTCGTCTCAACAAGACATGGTTCAAGGGAAGATATGGGTTCAAGGACAACGTCTCGGCGATCGAAGCGGAACGACGACGCAGCGAGCTGAAAGATAAAATCCTGGCTGGGGTCAGGGATTTCAACGTCGAGAAATATCGCAAAACCGACGAGGAGCTCAAATCGATTCGCAATACTCAAGTTCGGGCATACTACGAAGCCCAAAATCAAAAACTGAATGACTGGGCAGAAGTTGATAGCTTGGTATGGTCATTAGCCGACGACATAATCGACAGCACAAACCCGGACGCAGATCATGACGGAATAATCGATAACAATGCACCGCTGTATTCCGCGGACCATGATTTGGAGGCATTTCTCCCCGACAAAGAACGGGCCAAGCGACATTACAACAGTCGTGTTGCGCAAAGGGCCCTCAATGTAAACACTTCTTGCTTTATTTTCCCTCTGCTGCGCTAACATTCAAATACTTAATCCAGGTTAATGTATCCGCCAACATCTTGCTTTTGATTGCAAAGATCATCGCAGTGACGTCCACGCGCTCGCTCTCATTGATCGCCTCTCTGACTGATTCAGCCTTGGACTTCTTGTGCACCATGATCATTTGGGTAACTAGCCGCCTCGCCAATCAGAGAATTAATTCCATGAATCTGAAGTTTCCTGTCGGTCGACGTCGGCTGGAACCTCTTGGCATCCTGGTATTCTCCATCCTCATGATCATTTCATTTCTGCAGATCCTACAGGAGTCAGTCAAGAGACTTTTTCCGTCGGGAGACCACGATACTCTCCCGTTGCCGATGGTTGCAATTTGGTCAATGGCAGGAAATGCCATCATCAAGGGCATTGTTGGCATCTTTTACTCTCGAGTGAAGTCCTCACAGGTGCAGACATTAGTTCAGGGTAAATAAAATCTCAATATCTCCAAGATTTTATGCTGACTGTTATCAAGATTGCAAGACAGATGTGTATTTCAACACAGCGTCTCTCATTTTTCCTCTAATAGGATCTAAATGTGGCATTTGGTATTTGGATCCTTTAGGAGCAGCATTGCTGTCGCTTTACGTTGTATACGACTGGGCAAACACAGCATTTTCAACTATCGTCAGGCTGACTGGCGCAGCGGTCTCACCCCAAATGGACAAGAAGCTGATGTATCTGGCGTGGCGGTTTTCTCCGCTAGTTGATGCATATAAGTCAATGACGGCCTATCATGTTGGCGATGGTATTGTGGTCGAAGTTGAAATTGCGCTAGATGAGAGCACTTCACTTGTTAAAGCGCATGATATTTCGCAGACCATGCAGTATTGTTTCGAAGGTAATCAACTCAAGTCTTCATTTTCTTCGATTTAGAAGAACACTTCAAGCTAAACATCAAACAGGACTCGCGGAAGTAGATCGAAGCTATGTGACAGTGGACTACAGTTCTCTTGGTCTCCAAGGTCATGCCGTACACTCGGGATGACCGTGTTCAGACTATATGGGCCCCATCGTTGTATATTATTGGATAAACTTGTAATTAAAGCAATTGGGTCGGTGCCTTTAAAAGGATGATGAAAGTTTAGAAATTGCATATTACTCTGCTATGAATATAACGAATACAGTTTTGTAACTGATGGAACAGTGTAAATTAGTTACCCTAGTTAACTAATTAGCACTGCTGACATGATTCGACACGATGCGAGAAATCTTGCGGAATCTAATATTGCATGTCTGCTATAGTATACCTTGAAGCAAACAATTGAACATATCCTTGTTACTTGAACGAAATTCGTCACTTCGACCTCCCATGTATTTTTAACAACCGGTTTTCAAACAATCCGGAAGTTAAAGCATAATTGTATTCTTCGCCATGGTTCTGCCCTTTCAATAAAAAACAGGATTACCGAACGGACCGTCCGGATGGGATTACTGAATTGCCACCAGGAACTTTTTAAGGCCACGACGGCTGCCGCTGTTAGGGTCTCACCTTTTTTCTATCAACCAACTGAAAGCACGAATAGTCGAATCAAGCCACAACATAATAGTAAGTATCCTTTGGGTGTCAGAAGACATCATCCTCTCAAGCTCACGCATTCATGAATGAAGACAGTCCGGATCCCGGGTTAAGCTCCACTGGGTTTCCTTGTGCCATTATTGGACAAATTAACAGCAACATGTCGAGGCTGCAGGAAGGGAAAGCTGATGTCTGCTTTTTTCGCTTTCCTGCTTACCATGACGCTAACTCACTCCCAGGTTTTTGAATCGTGGGGCGCTTCTACTTTCTTAGAATCAAGTCCCGGTGCGGATATTGCAGGAAGTCCGGAAGATGAAGGAGAGGACCCTCATTCAACAGCACAGAAATGTGAGGAGGACATCAAAGGCGTGGGGAATCGCTCACCATACATCGATCCTCATCGATTGGAGAAAGAGGACGACTTGAGTCTGGCTAAGGATCTACTTGATTTGAGGAAGTAGATTGTATTATTTTATGGGTTTAAAAGAAATGCATCCATGACTTAAATATTGGACTCCGAATTGAACAAATTTCTAGCTCTTCAAAAGTATTTGAATGAAGCCAAAAAGAGTACCCTCACGAGGAGTTGATCGCTATGAGGCGTTAGCCGGTAAGGCAAGAAATGTATAGCTTGAAACAATTGCAATTTAAGTATTTTTTTTACCAGAAGAACGGTTGATGATATCTTAAAGAGCTGGGTAGTTAGAATTCCGGTTCAAATATGGTCCAGGCATGGTGTCCTTCAAATGGCTTATATATTCGAGCCTACTTAGTTTTCGTACGAAACGGGCTACATTATAACCCAGGCGTAGATATACGTTGGTCGTTGTTAGATTTTCTTCGTTGTAAATCGAGCGTCGAAGGCTCTACTGAGGTAGATACTCGGCGAACTCGTATATGGAGGCTTTACAGGCTCAACGTTTATTTATGGTTTAGAACCGGATTAGCTTCTGATATAGGATAAATTTGGAATCCATATAGTTTGTAAAGGACCTGCAGTCGGTCTCGTTCGAGAGTTTCTACTTAAAGGAGGCCCTATCCCAATTTAATACATGGTAACTTGTCATGGGTATGCTACATATAAATAGTAATAAAACAAGCGAACGAGGTACAAAAACAAGGATAAAGACAGTATAGTACATCAACAATGTGAAATCCTTGAAAGTCGCCGTTCCAGGGAGGGATGGCGTGCCATCTCTTCCTCCGAGCATCTCTCGACAGGCCCGGGAGCTGCGATTTCGCTCAGGGCCCCATAAGGGTCATCTCTGGAATCTGCATAACCTTGCTCTAGGGAAGGATGACGCGCCAATTCCGCTTCCGACATGCGCTCGACGGGCTCAGGGGCTGCAACTTCTGTAAGGGCGCCGCAAAAGTCGTCATCAGAATCTTCGGACTCTTGAGGCAACGGTGGCGTTTTTTGGTGTGAAGGACCCGCTTCTCGACTTTGATTGTCTTTGTCCTGCTGCAGTGGCCCTGTGGCCTCGTCATTGGTCTTCCGGTTCATAAAAGCATTGAGAATGCTCCGAACTTTCTTGAACTGAGTCATTTGGAGGTTTGTATTTCGAGAAACAAGGTGCGAATCTAGACAAAAAGAAAGCAGGGACCCTGACTAAATAGAGGATCAAATTGGTTTCCATGCGTTACCGCCTTTTTCCTCCCGCGTTTGCCGGCCTTTCCAGCCATCTGATACGCACCTGATCATGACTCGTATGGGCAGGGTAGCGGCCTTGTTTCCCTTCACTGCGTGCAAAGAGCATAGTGAAACATATTACTTACCTTCAGCCACATCTCCTCGACGATTTCCATACACCTGAGGCTTAAACAGCCAATGGCTTTTGAATTTATTTTTAAGTGGGGCGTTGACCGGTGGCGGATCGACGCGATTATTCCTTTGTTTTTGTGATGGTCAGGGCTTTTTTTAAGAGGGATCAACGGACTGAGATCTATATTTCTAAAGTATTTTAAACATGTTGAGGATAAAATACGCAGAAGAGTTCATCTAAATTATTTTGGTAGATAATTATTCTGGGCAAAACCAGAAGGACACTCAAGCCCACACTGTATGATATACCGTAACTCATCCATGCCTATAATGTTTCAAGGCAGAAGCAAAAAGTCTCTGCGGCAGTAACTTATCTATGATGGCTGCACTGCAAGTAAGTATGGGTTCCTAACATCGATGCTCGGGATCGCTTCCATGCTGGATCAGTTCGAAGACTGAAGAGGCACGGGTTCAGCTAACGCTGGCAACCCAAGTTTTCCCGCTTGTGAATCCGGAAATTGCGGGGTAATACGTGCGGTAACGCATGCTGAACGGTTTTGATGAAAGATATTGCCCGGCTTCATGTGCATATCCTAAAGCAAAATGCGACATGGAGGGTTATTCAGCGCGCATTTCACAGGACCTTCCATTAATCAACTGTGCTTTTTTTCATCTTAGACCACCTGACCAAAGAGCTCCCAATCTCTTGGTATTGGTGGACAAAGCTCGCGTCAGCTGTGTGATGAGGTCATAGAGGAAGGTTTGTCTGTCCGGACGATCGGCACGAGTATTTCACAAAGGTGATCGAGCTCTTTTACCATCCCTGGCGTAAAGATTGGATTCGAGGTAGGTCAACATGAGTTGATTGATATGACTCTACGTCCGACATGCTGTCTGGGCTATGACTGAAGCCAAGCAGTCGGTTTTTTCTGACAAGTTCTCAACCCGATTTTTTTCCTTTTGAACGAGACAACATCAAACCGTGCTTGCCGGGCGATCCGAACGTGCTGAAGTCAATTTACCACGGGACTGGGGCAACGAATAGAAGCAGTACTGATTTGCGGTTCATACGCGGGGTAAGGTATGGTACTTCTGAACTTTAAATCTAAGAACGTCAAGACCCAGGGAGAACTCAAGAGCGAGGGAGAACTCAAGCGCGGCGTTAAAGCCTATACTATGAATATTTAAACCCAACTGTGAGTCAAGCGGCGGCAGACACAAAGGCTGCGGATTTGACGACAGCAAACAAATTAAGACAGAAAGTTATATTGACTTCAAAAAGGAGGCCGACGTAAGGGCCGACGTATCCGTGTCGGCTTGACGGAAAAGTGACGTGTCCGTGCCAGCTTGAAGGAAAAGCTTACTTGAAACTAGCAGAGGATCTACTCAGCTTTAGTGAAACAAGCAAAGTCAGCTTCAATTCCTCGAGCCATTGCTGTGATGCACTATACATTCGAGGAGGACTGCCTGAATGAGCGACGAGTATCGTGACAATAACAGTCCTCTTTCTTCCAGTACCGTTTATAATCATTTCATGACATAAGGAATTCTCCATAAAAATGGTCGTCTGCATAGTACGAAGCCATGTTATTTTATAACTCGTCGTCCCAAGCTAGCAACAGGTTTTGATTGATGTAGACCCTTGAAGAGCGTTCACGTCATTTAGCTGAATAAGTGGATGGCCAATATGCAGATCAGTTCTATAATTCTGTGGGTTCTGTCACCAATGCTGAGCCAAACAAACCGTTCCGCTGCAGTGGGTTAATGCAAACCAAGAAGCTCCACCCCGCAATACACCCCAAGATACCCCGCAATACTCCTCCGTGCCGCACATACGGATCGTGTTTCTGCAGTACAAACCAAGTAAGAGCCATGACCCACCTGTTTGCGGATTCGCCTAGCCGGATAGGTTGCCACTCCAACCCGATTAAGCTTTCAGTGAGAACCTTGCCATGACTATCCGTATATTATGCCTGAATTGACCTACCACGGACAAATGGAAGGAAATCATGATGCGAGTCCCCGGGGGGTTGGTCTTAAGGAAATTGGGTGACGTCACCGCTAGCTTAGATAGATATATAGAACTTATCATCTCACGTCGTCTAAGACATAGTAAAGCAATATAACCTCCAGAAGCTTCGACGCCATTACAAGAAATCAAACTCTGTCGTCGATATGGCTGAAAACCAAGGCAGTTCATTTGAGGATCATCGCCAGGGTCTGAATGGGGAGTTCAATACCCCTGACCCTGTCGAGGGTAAAGACAGACACATGCAGGCCGATGGAGCAGGGCACCATGCTCGGGCTCCTGCGGTGCCGCGACAGGGTGCAATGGTGTCGCAAGTGCTTCAGCCTCAGTATATGAAGCTAGCGAATCCCGGTCCGCTTGGCCTGCTTTCTTTCGCTATCACAACCTTTGTTGTCGGCCTCTATGAGTGTGGAGCGGGGTGAGTCTCAATCGCCTCTACGTTCATTATATTCTCTCTGACCAAGTTGAATGGCAGTCTCCCTAACGAGAACCCCGAAGGCTCGGTTGGCCCGACTCAGGCTGCCTTTGGTCTAATCACCTTCATGGGCGGGACTGCTCAGTTCATCGCCGGGATCATGGAGTTCCGAGTTGGCAACACATTTGGTACAACAGTCCACTGTTCCTATGGAGCATTCTGGCTTAGCTACGCCATGTATCTGCTCCCATACCTGGGTATTCAAGCAGCGTATGGCGGTGATAAGACTCGAGCATACACTTTTGCTATTGGAATCTACCTGATCCTGTGGTGCTTCTTGACCCTGTTATTCCTACTTGCCGCGCTGCGCACAAACGTGGCGATTATTTCGGTGTTTTTCTTCCTTGTTCTTGCCTATCTCTTCCTCAGCATCGCCAACTTCATTGCCACCGAACACGCGACTGCCAGCGTACGAGTCAATAAAGCAGGTGGAGCTTTCGCTGTTATATGCGCGTTTTGCGCCTTCTATGCTGGGTCATCCGGCCTCATGCTGCCTGAAACGACCTGGGTCCGCTTCCCCCTGGGTGAGATTCCCGGTCCGGAAACCGCTGCATAAAAGGTTGATCAAGGACCATGATGAATATTCCGCAACCAATCTACCGTCTAAATAATACGAGTGTGTGTAATAAATGCAGGGTTTTGTTACGTCGAACACTGGTTGCAGGCGTTTCTTACTTTTGAGGGCGAATTTGTTGGTTCAAACCCTTGCCTAATGGATAACCTTTTGTTAATGAATTTGCGGTATTGCTCGGCAAACCCTTTTTCACTCCGACTGTCAATTATTTGTTAATCATTATTTGAGTAAATTTTTAGGACTCAAAAATTCCCCGAGTTTAAGTTTCTACAATTGTCGTAAACTGCAGTTTGACTTTGTTCCTGACAACACAAACATAGTTCTCTTCTCACTAGGACCGACATTATCCTCGTATCGTAAACCTAAACAAATACCTGCGAGAATATCAGATTCATTTTTCGACTAATTTTTGATCAGATAACCTGACCAACAGATAATTATCCCGGTTTCACTGATGGATTGGTACGGCACGAGTTGTTTGGTAGGATAGGGAGGAACCCGTATATACCTTGCTTGCCGAAATTCTGACAAGTAATTTGCCCGAATATCTCATCAACGGCGATCCAACTACTTTTGTTTCGGGTGTAAATAACAGATTGGACATCATAAGGCCAGTGCGTCGACTGACGTAACCCTGCATCCTGCCAAATTGTCTAGGGAATGTCAAAAATCAGGGGCTAGTCTCAATAGACTTTCCTCCAAGCTGGCGCAGGTCCGTCGAGCCGTATGCCGTCGACGTCACTTTGGTAAGATCTACGGGGTCTGTTGGTCCAATACGGTGAACGCCGACTCTATGATACCAAGCTCGAAACTAGAATGGCGCCTTTTTACCGGGCATACATGCATTGAAAGCATTTATCCATACCGCCATCGCCGTCAAATTCTGGGTGGCAGCCAATTTGGAAAGGGAATGAATTGATTGAAAGAGAATAAATGTTATCCGTTCTGCAGAACTGAGACGGCATCCAATGTAGTCGGAGTGGACGGAGATCACCTACCCCTAGCTTTTGTTCTGATATATTTGCATGGAACTACGTCATGAGGATGCCAAGAGTGATCTTTGTCAGATTCTTGATATAGTTCCGTTTTTCCCGTCCTTTGCGTCTTTCCGGGTGCACATGTGCATTATAACAGCAACTAACCTGAAATTAGCCGTCGCCGAAAATGGCCATGATTCGCGGAAGCCGTAAATGATTGGCTTCTTCAATCTTAGCCTACCGATCTGCTGGCACTTCACACACGTTACAGTTCCGGGATGCCCCTGTATTAGTATTTCGAATATTACTCAAATCCTCTTTCCTAGTCATGGTGAGTCCCGCTAAGAAATCGAACCTTTGGCATCCCTGTGGATAGACTGGTCAACAAACGCTTTTCAAAGCGTGCGTAGAGTTTGTTACATGATTCGGATATCCGTGAAATATCCTCGTATAGACTCAGGCCCTTAATAAGCCGAATTCCATCGTCGTCAAGTGCAATACCACGAGAATCAGTGGTAATATCTGCCTCCTTCTTGATAATGATATTCTGAACGCCGGTTTTCCAAAATACCCAAAGAGCATTTGGCTCTAGTCGGCCCGCATCCGCAGATCAAACTATCTGTCGTTTCCCATTCCTCTGCGGCTGGTACCCTCTTTGCAAGTCTGCGCAGAATGTTGGAATATTTATGCTTGTGGTAAATGGTCAGTGTACCTTTTAAAGTGCGTTCAGGTCTAGCTGTCTTGGCTTTTGACTAACGAGTAACTGGTCAGTCGTCGTGAGTGAAGACAAATGTGGGAATTAGTTGCCTGCGGGCCCCAAAACTGAGGTTAAGTCCCTCTGGACAACTTATATTGTCGCTCGGTATTTAATTCCAGGTGATTACTAGTTTTTCAACTGATAGTCAATTCTCTGCGATTCATGGGTAATCTAGCCCGTCTACTGCCTTTGAAGACCCCCTGGTTAAGCCGGTACCTCGGATATGCCAATCCAATCCACCTCTTACTCCATGTCCATGATCTATGGAATGACTTTGCCAACAAGCCAGGCAGGTAGTGAATTATGGATAAAACCTGAGCACGCAGCATCCACGCATTGTGCGAGACTTCTAAGCCAAACCTTCCGACCGGTCAACCCTTCCCCGTAGTGGGCATACTTGGCCGAATTTGTCACGATCGTTCGTGTATGTGGTGGTATAACTGGTTCTTGTATCATGCACCAGCAAGTGTCAGTCAAAATCTGAGCACCAAAGTCATCCAAGGCCGTGATGTAGTTGTCCTTGGCAGCCCTAGAATATGTGTCGCGGTTGCATGTCACCACCAGCGTAGTCATCTCATCTTTCTTGCGGCCCGCACACAGCTGTACAAGCTTTGCGATCTCATCGTATGACATGTGAGGATTTCCAAGTGATATGAGGTCAATGGCAGTGGAAGATTTGCCTTCTTCACAAGGGCTGAATCGACGCCATTGCCTTGTCAGCTCAGCAAGTGGGATCGTCACTTTCAACGTATCCTTCAGGTGAGATGCAATATCCGGGGGGCTACGAGCCTCAATTGTAATTCCAGCAATGTGAAACATAGGTGCACTGGAGGTTGTTGCAAAAGCTGCGCCAAATGCCTTCAGGTCGTCCATGGTAACCGCTTCTTTTTCCAGTCCGGTAATGATAGGTACAGAATCGGCGGCAATGTCACCGGCAAGGTATCCAAGGAGCGGAAACAGCGTATCATCGGTATCCCGCACAGGTGCGAAGTCGATTTCAACCCGAGCTTTGCGGTTCTCGGTTATATGGCAGCCGGTGTTGAGCGCTCGGCCGGTCAAAGAAACACACACATCCAGGTAATCCGGACATTTGATGGTCCTCGCACCCAGGACGCTATTGGCGAAGACCACGGCATTAGATTCAGCCCACATAATATTCTCGCCTGCTTTCGGAGCACTCTCTAGAAGATAAGGGGCGCATGTAAATGTTGGCTGCGCGCCCATCTCCAGGTAAGCGTCTGCCAGCTGTTCGGAAGACTCCCCAAGGCCAGGATCGACTCCCTGTGAGCGCCATAGGCGCCTGTCGATGGAAATAGAGTTCAGAGAGGTGGGAATGCGGACTTTGGCGCCCATTTTGCACAATTTCCGAGCGAATTCCAATGTTGCAGGGCCTGTGTAAATGCAGCAGTCGATATGCGCTTGTTTCACATCTATCAGCTCCGTTACGCCATGAATCTGCGCGATGCGGAGAATAACCCGTATGGCCACCTGGGCAGCCTGGCCATGTATGCCTTCGAGTAACTCATGGTCGAATGGGGTCAAGTGGACTGCGGAGAAGTCGGGTTGCCGAAGAGGTGGGCACAATGCAGTTGGATGGCTGGGCACTGCAGCACGCAGGGAGCCTCCGGATTGAATTTGACCCTCAGAAACTCGGAGGCGATCAAGTTGTAAAAGCCTGTCAAATGACGACATCGGTATCTGTAAGACAGGAATGCTCTTCTGAAACATCTCCTGAGCGACGAGAACTCCGATTGTCAAGATCATCTCCTCGCGCCCAAAGATGAGTGCGCATGGCGCGTTTTCATTCAGCAGCAATTCAAGAATGACGCCGCTCCCTGTGCATGAGCCACGGCCACTGGGAATCGCGAGTATCTTTCCAGCAACTGACTTTCCGACCAGTGGATGATGGCTATCAATAACAACGCCATTTGTGGGATCCACCCCTCCCCAGAAACTGAGGGCGACCTTACTTGCGACAAGTTCACCTTCCGCGGCTCCCGGTATAAGCTCACGGGCATCCATGCTTTCCTAGTCAAATCAGTGAGACGGCGTTCCGTCTGAAAGAGTAGTGACTCACGGTCATTGATTCGGCGTGGACTTCTGTCAAGGCCGGCCGAGACAGTATTGGTCTCGACTCTTTTGTGAAGGTAATTAGACCAGATGATTCACTTCCCACACGGACACTATGTGTACCGTAGACGAGGAGATGAGAGAAAAGAAGGTGTCGGATGCATCAGCCGATATCAACGGCAACGACCACCGGGGAACCCCACACTGGAGAGAATAGACTCCCATGAACAATCTCGCATTCAAATTAACAGTTATTTCGGCAAACTACTCCAGGCCAACCAACAATCCTCATCCTCAGAACCTAGTGTCGTCGCGACTTTGCCCTCTGTGCTGTTCTAGAATCAATCAGTGCTTTGACCTGCGAAAGCCCTTCCTAGTCCACAACTCTACATCCCAATGTGCCTTTACTGCTGTGGATTTTCCTAGTTCTGCTCATGCGCTTTGGCGATGATTCAAACTCCGTCACTGTGACTGGCGGCTGATAATCTGCAATAGAAACACGCCTACACGGCGCGGGTGGCGTTCGCATCGTTCTAGAGCAGATCGGCGGGTTGCCTCTCAGGCTAGCGACGGACTCGCTCTTCCGCATTATTGATCTACAGCAACATATCAGTCACCGGAAGATCTCACAGAGTCTGGCATCCATGCCTTTGGCCCTGGTGGAGGAGACGCAGGTTTCGTTTAAGTACAATATGGAAAACATCCATTCGATTAGCGGTAGGCCTGCGGGTCCGTTGCTACAGTACAGCACAGCATTCACTTCTGATCATCTAGCTGTCTGAGTTGTAATCCTGTGAACCCCATCGGTACGCATCATCGACTCCACAGCTATAAAACTCAGTACTGACGAGATGATCATCCATTCCCATCGTAGATAGTTCCACCCGCCTACTAAAACAGTCCCACACGCAGAACCAACGAACCCACCGCATGGACCGCAACTAGCGGTGAAGTCTGGACCCAGCTACGAAACGGATAAAAGGAGAAATTACCCAGGGATAAATTAAATAGGGAGGAATTTCGTTCAATAAGCACTATGATATATAATTTCCATTGGTATAGGTGTATCATCAAAACTCAGACTGCAAAAAAAAAAAAATTCCAACCCTCCCCCATCATCTACCACGCTTCAACGCGCGTATCGTACATCCCCGTGGACTAATTATTTTCGTTTTCTAAGGTATTATTCGCAGCAAACAAACGACTTCGTCCTCTATTTGAACTTCCGCTTCAGCCATCCGAAGAATCCTCCCTTCTTCTTCTCCGGCTGCTCTGCTGTCTCGGAAGTCTGAGCCTCGTCCGCTTTAGCGGGCTCCTGCTGAGCAGACACCGCGGCAGGCGTGTCCTTGGCAAGAGTGTCCTTCTTGGGAACCTCGGGCCTGGTTTGGGGTTCCTCGCCGCGCTTCAGGGCCGCCTCGGGCTTCTTGGGCTCGGTCGACTCGGCCGCGGCCTTGTCGGTCTTGGAGTTGTTGATCGCCGCGCTAGCCGCAGCCACCGCGACGGGCGAGGCGGGGGCCTTGCTCTCGGCGGTCTTGCTCTCGACGGGCTTGCTCTCGATGGGCTTGATGTCGGCAGGCTTGCTATCGGCGGTGGTGGTCTTGGGAGCAGCAGCCTCAGTCGCGACCTTCTCCTCGGCCTTCTTGGGCGCTTCAACAGCGAGCACGGGCTCGGGGGTGGTATACGCCGCAGTCGAGGCGGGGCCGGCGCCGGCCAATGCCTTCTTGTCGGCCGCAGCACTGGCAGCAGCCTGCTCTTCCTCGGTCTTGGCCATCTTGTGAGGCTTCACCTCATCGTTCGAGAAGATGGGCTTCTCGTACGGGCGCTTGATGTGTGCGGCGTCGGTCTCCGACGGGACAGCGGCGGGGGCGGTCGTTTCGGAGGTCTTGGGGCGCTCAGACAGGGAGGTGGTGGCAGCGCCGCCAGTGGTTGCAGCAGTCGAGATCGCGGACTCCTCGGCGGAAGCTTCGGTGGTCGAGGGGTAGGTCTCCGCACCCAGGGAGGTCGCGTTAACGGTGTTCTCGGGCAGCACGGCTGGAATTGGATTTAGTTTCAGCCATTGTCAAATCACCGACAACCGAATCCTTACCCTTGTTCTCCTTGTCGCCTCCGGCGAGCTCGCCAACGGTGCCGGCCTTGGAGGCCTGCGCATTGTCACCGGTCTCGTGCACGTGCTCTTTGTTCGCAGCGGTGACCGGCGCGGCCTTCTCGGTCTCCTTCTCGGCCTCCTTGGTCTCGGTCACAGCGGGTGCGGCAGGGGTCTCCTCGGTCGTGGACTCGGCGGGAGCCTGCGTCTGCTCAGGGGACTCGGTCTTTCCCTCGCCGTACATGACCTTATCCTCGGTCTCGTGGCCCGGATGGCTGGGGGGAGTTAGAAAGGTTTGCGACAGGTGGCACGCGACCACCACAACTTTTTTTCCCGGGGCACTTACACAACAGTCTTCGCAGTGTCGGCGACCTTGTCAACAGCGGCAGCGGCAGCGGGCTTAGCGCCGCCCTTGTTCTTCTTCTTTCCACCCTTCTTAGGCATGATGTTCGTGACGATTCGTGTACTGTGGAGGGTCGACGTGTCAGAGAAATTACCCACGTCGGAATGACGACAGAAGACAGGATGCGCGGATGGTGAAGATATAGCCGACAAACGAAGGAGAAAAGGATACTTACTTTGTCCTTGAAGGTGGGTTCTGGGAGATGCAGAAAGGAAGAAGGACGGGAGTGGGCCAAGTAGCCTCAAGGGATGATGGCGATCCGGTATGCTAGGATGAGCTGGGATCCGTGGTTCTCCCTACGCTTCTGGAACACTAGACGGTGTAGACGGAAATTGGGTATGAGCTCAGAGTTTCTATAGTTAGATTCTTTACATCCTAATTCATTGACACCAATTGGCATTATTTTTGCTCCTGGCTTGGGGGCTTGTCTACCCTGCCGTTTTGCATTCTCTTTGCCGCTCGCAGGGCGATTCACCGTAGTGATTGTCTCTACCGGGCATTCTACAGGTCATTTGGGCTGCAAGCGATGGCATCCAAGGGCATCCCTTTTCCTGTCATAAACTCCGTCCCGTACCTACATAGTTCCGCGCTCGGGTCACGCAAGGTCGTGTGCCTGCAGGGAGAAACAGCCCTAATGCCGATTCAGGTAATAGGGCTGCGATAGGGCTGCGATAGGGCTGCGAGCGCTCGCGCTAACCCCATGGCCCTCTAGGAGCGTAGGGGCCAAGGGCTGATCTGGGGACTCCGCGACCGTTAACTTCACCTGCATTCTCTTCTTTCCCCTCCGGGGCTTTGTGCGGGATGAAGCATTCTTGCGGACGGTTGGGATGGATTACATCATCCCCACCGACCACCAAAAGGACAGCGGTGCGATTGATGAGATATATAAATAGTAATGGTAATCAAATCAACCAAAGAACATCGATGCACTGCCTACGTATCGGCCCCACGATGATGGCAGTGGCTAAGCTGTAGGAGTTGCCAATGGCCAAGTGTGATGATCAACGGACAAAAATCAGACATCATGGGATGAAAAAGGGAAAGAATAATAAACACAATGTCTATGATCGTTGATGACCGGATCTAGATGAAGAACACAGTCCAAAAAAATTGACCGACGCAGGGGTCGAACCTGCAATCTCTTGATTCGTAGTCAAGCGCCTTGCCATTGGGCCAGCCGGCCTACTTGTTGAAAACCAGTTCCACTGTTGGTACTATAAGGCAAGCGGTGAGCGAGAGGGGAAGAGAGGAATAGAAACGGGTAAATCGTGCCGAGCAGGGTGGAACCGGGCAAACCGGGCGACAACTGTTTCCGGTTTTCCCTCTTCATCCGGTGCAATGAAATTGGCTCGCGAGTGCGGGCTGACGTCGAATACTCCCCACCACCACCAGTCAGTGGCGCTCACTGACATTTGGTGCATGTCTCGCGGTAAGGAGTGTCTAGAATTGCCCCAGACAGACACCCCAGCGGTGCCCGAGGATGCAACCGTGATAGGCTCGCTGGTCCGAGTGTTTCTGGAAGCCTTCGCTGCAGGAAGATTTGCCACGCACGCTGTCCGAACTCTCCATGCGATAGGGGCCGACACTCCCGGGTCGCGGAAATACACGGTTCTACGGTGCCACCCACCTACAATGGGCAGGTCTAAGACGTCTCGTAGCAACAGAGCTATCCGCGCTAACCGTATCTTGCGTTAGTCTCGATAACAAGCGTCTGTTCTCGTGCAATCATAATCGATTGTCATGTCTAGCAGCGGTCGGTAGATATCGCACAGACATTGTGGGGTGGGATGGAGTAACAGAAGCGCGTAACCCCAATCGACTTCACCGGACGAGGAAGGCCGCTCCCACGGTTCCTGGGGCTTATCTCCTGTTGCATCCACTCGCCTCCAGTCTTCCCCCGATTTATCCGGGTTCTTTTGCCTTTCCCCTTTCTAAATACCTCTCTTTCTCTTTTCTTTCTCTACCGCGAAGAATGGTCACACATTTTCTTGTATAACCACTCCGCTCTACGTGCTTGCACATCCACCGCGTCCGTTCCCAGTTCGGGATTGGTCTGCACCTGTGAGGCAGGACTGCGTACTTCTGATACTCGATACTCGTTCTCGATACTCGGTACCTTTCCCAATGACTTTTCGCGACAAAGTTCGACGGGTTTTCCATCGCTCCTCTAGTAGTACGAGCAATGGAAAACCCAAGGTGGAATACTATCGTCGCAATGAAGTGCCCCCCTCCAAGTTCCGTGGCCCTTTCGATAAAGAACACCAAAAGCGACTAGCGGCCTGGTCCTTTGAAGCCGCCATGGCGGATCGCCCGCGCTCGCCAGACTTGTCCCTCTCGCCCTGCGACACCTACGACTTGCCACCTCCCAACCTTGACACCGGCGATGTTTCCCCCGACGATGACGGTGTCGATACCGATTCAGGTATGAGATTTCTCCGTGAGCCCGGTCCAATTTTCCCTAACGCTTCCGCAGCCCGTTTCGACTCTGTCTCACCTATCGATATCGACTCCTCCCGCCCCACCAACACGGGATCTCAGTCGTCCACGATCATCAACTCCGAGAGCTACAATGGCTCTATGATGACTCTTCTCGGCGAGCCTTCCATCTATGAACTCTCCGACGATCCCATCGCTCAGATCAAGGAGTCGATTCGATACACATCACCCATCGTCCGTGCCATCACTCCGGCTTCTCCGTATGCCATGTCGCCGCGATGCAAGCAGCAGCCCTTCTCGCCCGAAGACCTCAGCCGTGCCCTCGTCGCCGTCCAGGTCTGCGCGTAAACCTTGTACCACCTCCCCATACTTTCAACCACATCCCGGAGATTGTCCTTTTATCATTCTGTTCTCGCCGACTCGATGTCACCTTTAACCTCGACTTTATTCACCTTTTGTTTTCGGTTCTTGTAAGGACAAGAACCACGGTCGGTCGGATTCTTAATGGCCGGCCATCGCACATCGACGATCCCCACGATCACCGATCGGGAAGAGAAGCCCTCGTTCCTTTCGGATAACCAACCTGGCTGAAGACTGGGTTGCTGCGAGGAATGATCTCGTTCTTCCACCCTGCATCTTGCATTGAGCGTATACCCGCAACCTGGAGTTTTGAATTTTGCTTAGACGTGTCCTGGTGGTTGGGGCGCGCGCGACTGGTCTAGATGTACTATTAGAACACGCTAGACATGGACAAAAAACAACGGTCGCTCAAACTTATCATTTGGAGAGTATCAGAAAGAAAGAGTAAAAAACTACTGAGTAGGGGGCCTGGAGCGCCAATTTAAACTAAGTACTCAAAATTGAGCGTTGTCTTCCCCGCCGAGCCAAGACGCTTCCCCCCGCACACCCATGTGCACATCACCCTCGGCATCCACGAATTCGGTAATGATCCTGCTTGATCTACCCGATCTCCCCTGTCGTGGGATCTTTAAGTGGCTCGTCTTGGATTTTGCATTGCGGGGTGGCGAGCTTCGATGTGAGGTTAGATAACTTTGTTGTAATGTTGGTGCTGGGGCCTGGTGGTCTCCGCTGGGCAGTTGCCACACGGTGACACTCATCTGATGGACTTCTGCATGTCGGTAGTGACAGATAGCACGGCTTAAGGATCGTTGAGATATTCATATGAGTGGCCATCTAGTGAGGAAATGTAGAGCCGAAGCTTGATCCCTCCGAGGTTTGGTGGGAATGTCGATTTAGAATGTGAAACTCGGTGCCAATGTCGCTTTAGGTGGCAACTCTCGTATCTTGTTGCATCGTTGTTTTTAGAAACGTGAGAATGATTTCCAACCGTAGTGGATTGACCTGGTGTTCTGGTCTGTGGAAGGCCCTGAAATGCATAACGAAGGGATACGTTGACCACTGTTCTAGCTGGTGGTCATCGGGGTGTAAGAGGAAGTGACGCTTCTCTTAAAAGCAACAACGTTAGATATAAGTGGGTTGCAGATTGATGGTAGGAACACATACTTGTCATCCACTAAGCACATGGCTGTAGCATGTCATGGGTAAGTTTCTGGGTAATCTTGTAGGACAGCCAAAGAACGAATTTCAAATCTGCAAAGGCAGGGCCTGTCAAATCCCTCTGATCCAAAAGAAATAAGAGGCACATTGTGAATAGGACTGCAAGCACGTGGGCCTCGAGGAGCTGTGTAGCGTTGGACGGGAGGAACTCGAGGGGGAGCAGGCCGGGTTTTATACCTTGTGTGCAAGCTGAGACTCCGGTTCATGACTCTCCACTGGTCCTAATTGTCTGCTTCAGATATCCATCAATGTGCATCTCCCGGTGAAACGGTGTAAATTCTCCGCTCCTGGCTGCTGGAATTCATGCACTATCCCTGCCACGGGCCTGGATCACTGCGCATGTCCAGCACGCTGCCCAAGCTCTGGAGATAAGGCATCAGAGTAATCAATTACCAGTGTGTTTGAGACATTAAGCTTACGCTGGATCCGAGTTTTAGGCATTGTGGCAAGCACGTTCCCGGTTTTGACTAGATCTCGGGATACAACACAGCAACAAAAGAAGTATATACCAAGCGAGTTTTTGAGCTGCTACTTGGCACTCCGCACTGGACGGATTTCACCGTCAGCAAGTAACATTGAGTGACCAAGGTATTTTTCTTCCAAAGCAACGGAGATTTCTTGTATTTAGTCAAAGACGGGCTAAAATTGAGTCGCCATCCGGAGTGATGATGTTGTTGCTTCCTATGAGGAGTGAGGATATCATTAAGCGAGGTTGTTCGTCACCCACCACCTTGAATACATTTTATCGAAGCCTGAACATGTAGTTTTTTTCAATCTATTAGAAAGTAACTCACCGCAATATGGCTCTTCAGATCCACAGCCACATCACGTCACAACAAAATGGAAGACACGGAAATGTGGTTGGCTGATTTGCCTTGGACTTGTACATTGGTGGCGGCTGATAATCTCTACAAGAAAAACGACCTTCGATGCAGGAGCCGATTCTACTACATTAAGCCCGAAACACGGCGCATAATTACAGACAGGAACAAACGTTAGGCTTTCGTATGTGCCCTACCAAGTGGGAGAGTCGGGAGCCAGACACGAGCCGACGATATGCGACTCGAGCAGCACGAGGATGGCGATAGATCTTGACGAATGAGGGCCAGAGCAACATCCTTCCTTGGAAGTGCTGAGAGACACACCGTATTTAAAGCAGGCTGTGCCCTCGAACATTATCTCGTCATTTATTGCACCTGGCACAGGCTCTACTCTTCACTTATGTGGGAGCTGGCCTTCTTATCTTTGTATATTTTCAGGACTTCAGCCACTTTCGGTCTAAACCTATTCATCTTGAGCAAAAGTATTGACCTGTTCTGGGAGTACGCATTGCCAACAATATCTCTCTGCCACAGTATAGGGCGTGGTCCATCATGCTCCGGTCTCTGCAGCACCTTCTTTGCTTTTCCTTTTCCCAGATCCCCTCCAATGGCATTGACACGACTCTCAATGGTACCTCAAACAATGTCATTCGCATCATACCTATCCGCAAGACAGTCTTGAAAGCCGGCATTCCGGATCCCCGAACACGAGAGCTAGCAGGGCCCAGGGGAGTGAGTCCTGTAGTGCCTTTTTCAATCGATACGAACAGCACGTGTACCACTGCATACAACTCAGATGCAGAAACCACGGTCTCCTTCAGTTCAGGTACCAGTTACAGCCCGTCCTCGTACCCCGAGGCGCCCATCAAGCCACCCACCACGCCATTCGAGAACGACGGCACACCGTATGTTCCGATTCTGCAGGCAGATGGCACGCTGAGACCGCCACAGATCTCATTCGGCGGTTATGGCTCTTTCGGGGGCCGGTTCGTTCCTGAATCTATTGTAGGGTTCCTGCACGAACTGACCTCATTCTTCGAGGTCACTGTCTCTGACCCCTCCTTCTGGACTGAGTACGCCACGTTCCAGCGGCCCCAGCCCACGCCGCTGCAGATAGCGAGCAAGCTCACGGCCTTGGCAGATGGTGCTGCCATCTGGCTTAAACGAGAAGACCAGAACGAATACGGCAGCCATAAAACCCGCAACATTCTCGGCCAGCTCTTGTTAGCACGGCGGATGGGCCGTATTGAGATCGTCACTGACTGTGCATCGGCAAAACACGGTAACTTCACTGCAGCGATGTGTGCACGTCTCGGTCTGCGCTGTGTTATCGTCATGGGTGCAGATGACGCCCTGGCTCAAGAAGAGGGCGTCCTCAAAATGAAAAAGCTCGGTGCCAAAGTTTTGACCGCTCGGACTCCTTCAGGCATGGGTTCGCTGCGCGCTGCAATCACAGAAGCACTCCGCTATTCGGTTTGCAACTACGAGACCGCGTACTACCTGATGGGAGGCCCAGTGGGTCCCAACCCCCTACCAACCTTGACTCGCACGTTCCAGGCGCTCCTAGGCGAGGAGGTTGCGGTCCAGTTGCAAGGATTGGTCGGTCGTCAGCCGGACGCTGTCGTCACAGCCGTTGGCAGCGGCAGCAGTGCTGTGGGCTTGTTCAGGCCCTTTTTACAGGACACTGCCACTCGACTCGTCGGTGTCGAAGCAGCTCAAGCAGCTCCCCTGGCCGAAGGTGAACTTGGCGTCCTCCATGGTGCTCGCACTCTCATGCTTCAGAATGATGATGGTCAACTCCTCGATTCCCACTCGATCTCGCCAGACATGAACCTCTCCACTGTGGGACCCGAGGTAGCTTATTGGAAGAGCATTGGCCGCATTGAAATCTCGACTGCCACCGATGCGGATGCCCTGGACGGGTTCGAAACTCTTCAGCACCACGAGGGGATTATGCCTGGCCTGGACTCGAGTCACGCGGTGGGCAAAGCAATTGACTTGGCCAAGCAGCTTGGGCGGGGCAAGAACCTTGTTCTGGTGGTGACGGGTTGTGACGGTATTAACATGCGTGGATTGTTGGATGTTTGACCTGCAGTAGCGGCCTCCAATCATTTTTAGGGCATCTGGGATGGTCATGGCAACCCCTCTCACTTTTCTTCTTGGCTATCTTTCTCTTCTCTTTTTCAGTTTCCATTTGCTGGTCACAGGGGAAATATCCAGGAAAGTTGGTATTGGGAGTTGACCCTTTGCCGATTGCTGTGCTTTATTATTGTACTATAGACTTATCCCTTACTATACTCATGAATCGTAAATATTTCCATATATATTATCTATCTCTGATCGCAAGTGTAATGGAATTTCCCTTCACTTTGGAAGCCTTGTCTCTACGTCGAAGAAATGGCATATACACAAAGTCTCCCAGAGCTCATTCCCTCACCAATTACTTGCTCCATCACTTGCTTCTGTAGGACAAGAACATTGGTTGAAAATAAATAGATCTGGCACTATTGAAACTTAACGCAACGGAGCACCTTTTTGCTTTTCTATAGCGATATCATCAGTCATTGCAAAGTTCGTCATGTACATGATTCTAGGGGCAGTATATGCAATTAATCCTCATGTGTCACCGACATGTCCAAGACCTCGACTCGTCCTCGTCCGCGAGTCTCGTTGCCGACGAAATCGTTCAACGCTTTGTAGGCTCCTGGCTCAGCAAATCCAACCACCTCCCATTCATCTCCGCTGACTTCTTGTGATTCCACAGATTCAATGTAATTCAAGATCAAGTCCTTCACAGTGCCCGGCGCCTTGGGCGTTGCCTCTGCATCCGAAACACCGGCGTCAACATCGGAGTCGTCGCCCTTCTTCGGCTTCTTCCCGCCTTTACCTCCCTTCTTATTACCCTTTGAACCACCCGACGGGGCTTCCTTTTCTTTTCCGGATGCAGCACCCGGTGCGGCCTTGACTGACTGCTTCAAGAGTGAGACCGGGCAGGTAACACGGAGACGCATGCGTGCTCGCATCACGGGAATCGGTTGCCAGGCAATAAGGGCTTTCATGGCATCGAGTGCTTGACTCTTCGCAGACCTGTTGGAAGATACACCCGTCCACATCGGCTTCTTGGGTTGTGCCGGCTTCTCGTCTCCCGACGCGTTTGCATCACCGCCCGGCTGCTGTTGCTGTTGACCGCTAGCAGAGCTGAGTTGATCGAGTGCCTTGGAAATCATTCCTGATGTGTACACACGCTTCGTGGTGGGGTCGACCAGACGACCGGATACAATGTCCAGCACCTCCTTCTCGACTCGCTCTAGAATATCTTTACGTTCGCGCTCGCCGACTTGAACCTCGCCCTTTCGTAGAATTTCCTGCAACACTTCATCTTTTGGTGTGTCGGCACCAAAGGCCTTGGCGAGCTCTGCTGCCGGAGCGGTTTGCGCTTTCGATACGGACAAAAAAACGGTGGGAACTTGGAGGACGTTGTCGAGGTCTTTTTCGGCGCCGGATCGGTACTCTAGCAACTTGTTCTTGTAGCAAGCTAGCTCGAAGCGCTTTTTCCCTACATAACAGACCCGTCTTAGTGACATCATAGCCTCATGTCGTTCAGAATCGTGCATACCTTTCTTTAGTCGAACGATCGACACATTTGTGAATTTGATCTGGTTGGAGGGTTGGTTGATCGGCATGGCGGGTGAGAGTCACTAATGACCCAAAATCAAATCAAACGTCAAAATTTTAAAATGAAAGAAACAAGAGGGGAATTATTTGCAAGTTTCCTCACTCGTGCCTAGAAACCTCAATATCGTCTCTGAGTCAGCATTCCCACCCTGAGCCCCGTGACCGCACATGACTCAGCGGTGTCAGGTGACGAGGAGGCCCACCTGATTGGCTCCCGCTTATCGCGCTGGTTCCCGGTCCGGCGTCATCATCCCCAGGGTTCCCCGTTCCCTGCCTCCCCAACCTCCTCACCCATCTCCGATTGCAGCCCTCATCTTGCATTCATTCCTCAGCCCCTCTCACTACTTTTCGGGTATACTGTTAGTGTATGTTATACACCCTTTTCCCTGGCTGTCCGATTTAGTTCCCATCATGAGCGGTTACTGATAAGAGCTGCCGCCCAGACCCTAGGTACCCGCTTCTCATCAACAAGCTACCATTTCCATCACTGTCGTCGTTTGATTGTGTAAACCACCCATCATGAGACTTCTTCCCGCCACCGTGCTGGTGGGAGCTGCCTCTGCGGCAGCCCCGCCTTTCCAGCAGGTCATGGGCGTCCACCAGGAGCAACTGGAGGATGTCGTCAGACAGGGCTCCGATGCCTTCAAGCATAGTTCGGACGTCTTCTCGAAGCCTCTCGAGCAGCTCAAGGACCACTTCAATACCCTTTCCGGTGAGGCTCGCGAGCTGTGGGAGGAAGTGTCGAACTACTTCCCCGGCTCTATGGATCACGCTCCCATGCTCTCGCTGCCCAAGAAGCATACCCGCCGTCCCAGCTCGCACTGGGACCATATTGTTAGCGGCCAAGAAGTCCAAAGCATCTGGGTCACAGGTGCTGATGGCACTAAGGAGCGTGAGATCGACGGCAAGCTCGAGGCCTATGATCTGCGCGTGAAGAAGGTGGACCCCAGCTCTCTTGGCGTTGATCCGGATGTCAAGCAGTACAGTGGTTATCTTGATGACAACGAGAATGACAAGCACCTGTTCTACTGTGAGCTGACCCCCCATATTATCTCTTTCCATTCGTTCTAACTTTGATCAAGGGTTCTTCGAGTCTCGGAACGACCCCGAGAATGACCCCGTCGTTCTCTGGCTGAACGGTGGTCCCGGCTGCTCTTCTCTTACTGGTTTGTTCATGGAGCTTGGCCCTAGCTCTATCAACAGCAAGATCAAGACTGTCTACAACGACTACTCGTGGAACTCCAATGCTTCCGTGATCTTCCTGGACCAGCCTGTCAACGTTGGCTACTCCTACAGCGGCGAGGCTGTCAGCGACACTGTGGCCGCCGGCAAGGATGTCTATGCTCTCATGTCCCTCTTCTTCAAGCAGTTCCCTCAGTATGCCAAGCAAGACTTCCACATTGCTGGAGAGTCCTACGCTGGCCACTATATCCCCGTCTTTGCCTCGGAGATTTTGTCCCACAAGAAGCGCAACATCAACCTCAAGTCCGTGCTGATTGGAAATGGCTTGACCGATGGTCTCACTCAGTATGAGTACTACCGCCCCATGGCTTGCGGTGACGGTGGCTACCCTGCTGTTCTGGACGAGCAGAGCTGCCAGGCTATGGACAACGCTCTGCCCCGTTGCAAGCAGATGATTGAGTCTTGCTACAACAGCGAGAGCGCCTGGGTTTGTGTTCCGGCCTCTATCTACTGTAACAACGCTCTCCTGGCTCCTTACCAGCGCACCGGCCAGAACGTCTACGATGTTCGCGGAAAGTGCGAGGACGAGTCCAACCTGTGCTACAAGGGCATGGGGTACGTCAGCGACTACCTCAACCAGGAGCACGTGCGGGAGGCTCTCGGAGCCGAGACTGAGGGTTATGAATCGTGCAACTTCGACATCAACCGTAACTTCCTCTTTCACGGCGACTGGATGAAGCCTTTCCACCGTCTGGTGCCTGGCCTGCTTGAGCAGATTCCCGTTCTCATCTACGCTGGTGATGCCGATTTCATCTGCAACTGGCTCGGCAACAAGGCCTGGACTGAGGCTCTCGAGTGGCCCGGCCAGTCCAAGTTCGCCGACGCCAAGCTGAAGGATCTTGTCATTGACCAGAACGAGCATGTTGGTAAGAAGATCGGCCAGGTTAAGTCACACGGCAACTTCACCTTCATGCGCCTCTACGGCGGTGGCCACATGGTCCCAATGGACCAGCCCGAGTCCAGCCTGGAGTTCTTTAACCGCTGGCTGGGCGGCGAGTGGTTCTAGAAATCTTTCCCTCCTGCGTGGGTATATCTGTCCCTTGTATGCGGTGGTGATAAATCGACTCTCATATCTTGTATACAATGACTGCAACGCAATGTTCTTGGAGGATTTTCGATGAATTAGGAGTATCTATTTTGCTGCTTTGGCCGTTTACAACTTTGCTCATGCTCAAAGGTATATATACTCAAGGACACTTTGAAGCGATATTCGGCGATATAAGTACAAGTGCACTATCCAGTAGGCGTAAAAGATAAATACAACTATGGCAACGTGAACGCGATGTCAGGAAGGAGGTAGCAAGATCAAGTAATCATTCGGCATGTATGAAAACCTACAAAACCTAGGAATCTTGCTAAGCGACCGAGTAGCGAGGCACGGGTATGAGTTCGGGAGGACTGCTGGGAACTTGGAACAGATGGCGGGACTCTTTACGTAGCATGCTATGTAGACAATACAGGAAGAGTGGTAGATGCAACGGCGAGTTGAACCGTTTGTACGAGGCCATGGACCAGATCTAAACTGGTCAAGCCAGATTAAAGAGAAAGGAAATTGATCGGTTCATTTCATATTGGTATGATTCATTTTCAATTTTTAGGACCGGCATACCAGTCCAGCGGGGATTAAGATCCCACGGATGCCCATAGAAACACACCGACGATAAAGGAATCCCTCCAAAACCCCCGAAAGCGACGAGATAACTGGTTTAGCCCTTCTTCTTGGACACACCAACGGTGCGTCCACGGCGGCCAGTGGTCTTGGTGTGCTGGCCACGGACACGCAGGCCCCAGTAGTGACGGAGACCGCGGTGGGAGCGGATCTTCTTGAGGCGCTCGAGGTCCTCACGAAGCTTGCTGTCCAAGCCGTTGGAGACAACCTGCGAGTCCTTGCCGTCGGTGATGTCGCGCTGTCTGTTCAGGAACCAGGCGGGGATCTTGTACTGGGTAGGGGTCTGGAGGATGGTGACGATGCGCTCGAGCTCTTCGGTGGTGAGCTCACCAGCACTGTATTAGAAAATATTGTCAGCATTCCCACTCGACCCTTCATTATTGTTCTGGCGAGAACTCTGCAATGTCTTGGAGTCTTCTATTTCTTTCCCCTCCCCCCTCTTTGGCGAACCTCCACACACACAAAATTTTTGTGTTGTGTCATCCACATTCTAACCGGTCATCAAACCGTCTTCACGCACTCCGTGCAGTCCGCCCTTGACTGAAAACATTGCAAGAGTTGCCAGGTTGTTGGATTGTATCGAACGTACCGCTTGCTGAGGTCGACATCGGCCTTCTTGCAGACCAAGTTGGAGTAACGGCGACCGACACCCTTGATCTGGGTCAGAGCGTACATGATCTTCTGCTTGCCATCAACGTTGGTGTTGAGCAGACGCAGAATGAACTGGAAGTTCGTCTTCTCGCCGGACACGAGCGCTGTAATCAAAAAAAGTCGACAAGTTAGCCTTGCATTTTTCCAGCCCAACTCCAGCAAAAAAAAGGTGACTGTGCTTCTTGAAGGCGAAGATGGTTCGAATTATCGTAGGGGGAGAACGTACACATAATGGGCGATGGGCGCGACGGGATCGCGATGGATTGTCGACAGAGGGATGGAGAGGAGGAAGTCTCGAGTGACTTTGCTTCCGTTGTGGGATCGGGTAATTGGGACTCTAGCCAAGTTGGGATTAGTGCGAATGAGGGCTCGCTTGATATGCGCTAGTCTGAATGGGGCTAGCTCGCATGCGCTGCAAAATTACTCCAGATCACATGACCTTTTTGTATGTATGGTAAGCCGTATGTAATCACGCACAAACGTGGTTCAAAGCGATTACCTGTATTTTACCCACCTCGTTGCTCGACCATTCGAGTCTTTGATGTTCCCTCGCCAAGTCACCACACCACTACGACGTTCTTTGTATCCCAGTGCGCTTTGATCTCGAAACACCGGGCTCAAGGCGATCAAGGATGTTTTCGAAATCTGTCCAACAGCCATTAGCCATGTACTGATATTGCCAATCAATGATTCGAGCGCCTAGCTACAAAAAGTTCCGACATGGCTCTCAGCTGCACATGTGTGCTTTTCGTCCCGTGGAAAGAATCCCGAAAAGAAAATCCCTAGTAGACCCCTCGATCTCAAGTCGGCCGTCCTCCGTGGAGCTCAATTTCTCTTTGCATACCCTTTAACCAATGCCTCGAAATTGGAGGTACCAGTCATCCTCGATGAAAGGCAGTCCGATTCCATTCTCTGCTCTCAATGCCAACTATTTTTAATACCGGTCTTTGTGCAGCCTTTTTAAATGATGACCAGAAAATTCAATATACTGAAACCCCACTTCAACTCTGATTCTTTGAACTATGGTTTTCAATTATAGTCTTGCGCTTTTTGCACGTATAATGCTAGGAATAGGCAAGCCAAGGTTTCAATTTTGGAAACATTCAGGTGCGTTCGTTGAAATATCCTCTGATCCAATGTGCCTTTCTCAAAGAGCCTGGGAGGGAGAGAACAGTTCCATGGTTGTCGTCCGATTCCATTCTCTTTGAGGCCTCGAACCCAATACACCTTTTCTTTATCCTATACTCGGCCCTGATCCAAGGAGGGTCGGACTTAAAGGGGGCTACATCTCTTCATTACATCGCGTTTTGCTTTCCATCTCAACTACTACAGCATTGACGACCCGGGCTAGCCCTGAGCGTCCATCCACTCTTTACCGGAAAACTATTACTCCCTTGTCATCCATCACACCAATCAAGAGGCTCATATATTGGTCCACAGTCCCGTCTACTCCAAAATGCCGTCTCAGAGTATTGTCGTCATTCCCAAAAACTTTTTAGAGAATGTACTTCAACTGGAGTCGCCGGAGCCAACTGAGCCACTTTATGACTTGAGCAAGCTTCCTGACCCCCCTGAAGATTGGCGGTTCTTGGGAAGGACACAGAAAGATGTCTATTGGGCCCTTAAAGTGCCCATCATAGAGGCATTGATGTCGCATCATCTCTGGGGCTTCAAATGCTACAAATATGCAGGTAAACCTACTAAGAAGGAGAAGATACTGGTCTTATTCAAATACTTCTACTACATGCAAGAAGAGCATCTCCCTCGGAGTTGGGATGAGGTACTTGTCTTGACCCGGGACGCTGGTCCTCGACTATTGAAATGGAGCCTCGATCCTACTCCGGCTCCCGTGAGTAAACTTTACCCGGAGTTGCCCCCGAAGTCGTCCAAAAGGCTGGCCGGGAGTCAGACATGGGACCAACCCCCAGACGCGCCAGCCGATATGGCAAGGACTTATCTTGCGCAATTCCGATTCTCTGCCAATGAGCGTACGGACCTACCTGGGAACCCAATTGCTCAAACGAGCTCAATCAACAAAGATGATGGGAAAAGTCCTGCAACATCTTCAAGTCATCCACCCAAATCAAAGAAACGAAAAGTTGGACGACCACCAACATCCTCTCCCCCCAACGGTAGCTCCCCTTCATCCAACTTACCCGGGTGGGGATCAGGACAACATCTTCCCTCTCAAGATCCTTCCTCTGGGAATGGCCCTTTTCAAGCTGGTATACCTGGTCCTGGTGGCAACCTCCCATGTGTTCTTCCAGCGGCATTCGACCCGGGTCCTATCAGGGAAGCAATTGAGAGAGCCATCATGAAATATACATACCGCGATCTCGAACGTCACCCCTCTGCACCATACAAAGGGCCGATTCCACACAGATTAGCTGAGAGGCTTGATGATCTGGCAATTGTTCAGTCTGGAGCATTCCCGTCTATTGACAGGGTCAAACTCAACTTGAACCTTGAATTTGATGAAAACGGCTATGCATTCCCGTATCGTGGCAGGGGGCCAGTTTGCACTGGTAGATCTTGTGTCATAGATTGCACTATAGTGTTAGGAAACTTGCTCGACGCCGGATGCACCGTCGCAGACAGAGATCGCACAGATGGCGAACATTTCACGGATCTTGAAGAGGCCTTCGTCGAAGCAACAAATATGAACTGGGATGCCTTGAGTGAGGAAACGTCAAAAGAACTTCGCGATTCCTTCTTCCGGGTACTGTGTACCCACGTCCCTAGCATCAAAATGGGCAAAGGTTGTCCCGTGTGGACGCCGTGGTCAGAATGTACGAAGAATTTCGCACAGTTCCAATTCCATTTTACCACTAATATCCATGAATGCCATTGCCAGAACAGCAGGGTTGAAGAATATTCACTGACCGGGCGAGTATTGAACCCTCTTCAATTACCCGGGGATCGCGACGGGGTGACTGTGGATCAGCTATGGCAACGTTGTTTCCCACTACACAGTCCGTATTATTGCGTACATTGTGGTTCTGGGCCCGAAAACGATGGTCCGTCGCTTTCCAAAAGAATTGATCAGCTTCCACTCCGTCTAGTGGTTCAACCGGAACAGGGCTCCAAAGTCATTCAGCACACTCGAGATCAAATCTTCGACTACGTGGATTCGCAGGGAAACCTGCAACAAGTAGTCTACCGCTGGCTTGGTGGTATCTATCACCGAGAGGAGCATACGCGTGTCTACTGGGGAGAGAGTAAGCGCTTTGAAACCCCCACCAAGAGTTTTACCATGTACGACAGCTCGCTGGCGTCGGGAACGATCATCAGCTTGCCGACGCCGGTTGATGAAGATGAAATTGTTCCCATCGAGTGGGTGCATGATCCGGATAACACCCCGATCTGGGTCTACGAGCGTGTATTGGACCCTGAAATATCCACCTTGGTGACAGCGGTCAGCACTGCAAATCAAATGGGCCAAATGGTAGAACAAAACATTTGGTTTAAATATGCACACACGCCGTGGAACCCACTGCCTGGACCTCCTCCGTTCAAGGAGGGCGAGCGGCAGTTGCCCTCGTTCGGTGATCATTTCCTCGACTCGAAGCGTCCCGACCCATTCGACACACTTCCAGATCACCTTTACGACGTTAAAATCCCCGACTGGATGTCTCTTGTTAACATTGATCCATCTCGAGATCTTATGGCGAAATACGGTCCCACGGAAGTGCAAACTACCTCGCCGATTCCGGACGACGTGCTCAACCCTGATCCGCCGTCAGAGCCTGAAGACGGGTTCGAGTTCAACACTGTACGCGGTGGTCCGCAGAGTTTCGCTGGACAAACGGAGCTGTGGCCTGCGGGCACTAAAGACGTCACTGGCGCTTTGGATTTTCCCGACCTCTCATCAAGGCTGAATTCTAAGAGGGGGTGGGACCGTACACGATCTGGCTCGGGCTCGGGCTCGGGCTCGGGCTCCAGTCGACCTTCCAGCGGCGGTTCTTCCGGCAGCAATCGTCCTTTCACCATCGGGGAATACCTCTTCAAATCTAAGGGGGGTAGGAGCAAGTCTAGAAGTAGGTCGAAGGAAAAGAAAAGTACCAAGGGAAAGAAAAGTATCCAGGAAGAAGATGTGGCCATGGGAGAAGCTCCACCCTTGACTCAGGAAGAGGAGGATATCTTCGCGACATTCACTACTTTAAACAGTAGCCACCGCGCAGTGTCTACCATCCAACCTGTCACAATTTGTCAGAAAAAGCGGAAGCGGCCCATGCGAATGCAGGTTCTCATCGAAAATGCTAAAAAGACAACGAAGATGACAAAATGGGAGGAAGGGACTGGGGAGGATGCCAGGAACAAGAAGAAACGGACCAAGACGGACAAACGGGGAACTTCAAAGCCAAAGAAAGTCAGATTTGAGGAGTGATCATACTATGTATGCCCTGGCATACGTGAACAGTTACCGGGGTACAGCCTGGGATTGAATGATGCTTTTGCTTTTGTATGGTGGATTTCGCCTTGTCCGCTAGTTTGGGTTGTCCTTGACTTTGCAAGGGCGCTATTTAGTGATTCTAATGATATTCAGATGCAATTAATAATGGGAATTGTCTGTATTTTATCGACAGGTGGACAGGGCCGATACTAGTTGTTGGGGCACTGTGCCAATCAGGCTCGCGCTATTAAGCAGCGAGTGGACTTCGTTTGTATAACACGCGGGTATCGCCGAGTCCGTGCGGAGGTGCCCCCTCATACCCCGGACTCTTCCCTTCACACTCACTTCCTCTTTCCTTTTCTCTTTCTCTCCCTCCTGAATTTCCTGCATCTCTCGGTCCTCTTCTCCCCACCAGCACAAAGCTTCATTCATGTGGAGACTGCTTCCAGGGTTGTAATTCTGAAGACTAACACACAGAAGCTAATGAACAAGACAGACGCCTACGCTATGAAAGGGGAGGTTTGTCAGGTAACTTTCGTTCATGTTCTATCATCTATTTACAAGTCCGAAGCAGGCCAAATACCTGAAGTCTAGATCTATCAACCCAAAGGGGGAATTCTCACGCAAGGAAAAACAACCCAAAACAAAACAAAACAGCTAATACAGAAGAAAAAGATGCACGTCTACAGACGAGCACGAGGCTCGCCCTTTGACTTGGACGGGCCGGTAGCCACGTTACTCTTCTTGGGAGCAGACGTGTAGCCACCCATCTTGTTGTCGGTGTTGGTGATGGTGCCCTGAGCATCTCGCTGGATACCCAGCTCAATGAGCTTGGCAAAGACCTTGGAGAAGTGGTCGAAGAACAAGTCCTTGTCCTTGGCATACTTTTCTACCCAAGGTGCAAACGAAGGATCCGTCTTAAGTGCCATGTCGGTCGGCAGCATCATCAGCGGTTCCTCGTCCTCCTCCGCATCAGGGTCCTCATACACAAACTGTGTCATCCCCGTCGCCAGCTTGCGTGGCTTCCAGTCAAGCTCGAGCAGCAGCTTGAAGAACGAGTTCGAGAACCGAGTCGGGTTCGTCACCCACGGTCCCTCGAATCCGCTACGGTCGCCGTGGCACCGGCCCAGGTTGTGTCCACCGGTCAGTGCCACGATCTCCTGGTCGTTGAAGCCCATGCGGTAGAAGATGAACCGCAGGTGGTCGGCGCCCTGGGTACCGTCGGGCAACCGACCCCGTGGCGGTACCTTGGAGTCGTCCACCATATCCGTCCGTCCACCCTGCCACGGGATATCCGGTCCGCCCATTGCCTTGATCGCGACTACGCCTGCCAACGTCCACAGGTCCGAGTACGTGATCCACGGGTGTTTCTCCTTGATCGGTTCCAGGAACGCCCGTCCGTGCTGCAGGCCCGCGTTGGCCGGATCGCCACCCTCAGCTTCATATCGCATACCAGCACCGTTTGAGCCACCGGTGTCAGACTCGAGGTCATAGGTGCCAGAGGAGTGCCTGCGGAGGAGAATCCGTCAGCGTCTGATGCTTCTACATGATCGGTTGCCGCGGTCGCTCGGGAGCGGGCCCCCGGCCGACCGGGTCGGCCAAACTTTGGTTCGCAGCAACCCAAAAAAAAAATAATATGACGAGGTCAACTTACCATGCCAAACGCACGAACACGGGTCCCAGACTGCCGTCATCATAGTCGGGTTTCTTCAGGGCAGCGGCGATGTCCTTGCGGACCGCCTCATAGTCCATGATCTTACTCATGTTCTCGGCCGATAACGTCGAGGCTAATCTTTGTTCACAAAAAGAGTTTGGGATAGGGACACAGGGACACAACACAACTCTATGTCGAGAGAGAATGCTTTCAAAGAAAAAAAAGAGAAGATGAGGCAGAAAAAGAGAAAAAGGGTCAGTCTCCCAGTGCCACATGAAGGTCGAAAGGAAGTGGACCTGCGGGTCGCGAATCAGCCAACGCCTACTCGCCGGCCAAAATGCCGAGGTTCCTTCGGGTGACCATAACCCGTCTATCAAATCCCTGAATGGCTCGAGTGATGTGACCATTGCGATATATTCCGATTTTCGGCCCGGCTCATCCACTCCCTAGGATCGATTTTCGTGGGTTCTTGCTCTGGGCGCCGGGGCTGAATCTCCTACGATAAGGGCATGAAGTCATTTTCCCCAATCAAATGCCGTCGGAGATAGACACGAATACCTCGGAACTTGGAAGCCGTGTCACGCCCGTGAGAGCCGCCCTTACACACTCTTTTCGGGTTATGTATTTCGTATTCTCGCACCGAGTGTTACTCAATATCTTCCTGGAAATAAGATGACTACTTTGTGGCTTTAAGTTGTGCAAAATAGTCTCACATCAACCTGGGATTAGACACTGCAACTGCGGTTTGTGAGACATGACTGAGATTCTGCAAACGACCGGAAACACTAACAACCCTCCTGTTTGACGCTCTCATCTTTCCATTCCTCATCAGGGTCTGTCGATGGCTCCAGGTCCCTAGCAGTTTGCTGTCTCCCTGAAGGAGGATGATTTTCTGGCCCCTCATCCCTCTCCTCGACCCTATTCTCCTTTCCTTGCTTCTTTTCCATGCTCAGGCGCAATAAGTCCTGCTCCCCCTGCAAAGCCACAATCTGCGCCTGTAAATCCTTCACTCTTTCCTTCAGTCTTTGAACCTTGCGATTGTGTTCCAGTGCCAGTATTTCCGTTTTTCGAACATATCTCCGGTATTCTTTGCGAGTCCAATGTCTCTCTTTCCGTAGCCGTCGCACTTTTCCCGCCAACGTCTTCCGATGTTGGACATCCGTCTCTTGGATCAATTTGACCACCTCGTCGAATGACTCAGTCATTTCCGCGTCCACGTTCCCTGCTTTGATGTGCTCACGCAAACACAAAATAAACGCTCCAATGTCGGTTGAGATTGCCTCCACTAGCTCTCTCTTTTGCTTGTCGGACATTCTCTCTAGCCCTTCGAGACGCATTGCGCAAGACCCTGCAGGAGGGATATCTGAAATCGTCGTCTCTCGCCGGTGGAAGCATTGTTGGATCTGGACGGACATGCCGTGTGTCGTTTGCGGGAGAATGATTGAATCACAAAGGAATTTCGGCCGTAGACAGAGTAGTACTGTAAAAGACTAAAAGGAAGGTGGATGAAACGAGTCGGGAGAACAGAGATACAGAGATCTTATATCCATAAAATGCCAGGCAGCGGGTGCTTGTTAAGGAAGCAAACATTTTATTCAACATCTCATTATTCTTTCACCTTTGTTTCATGGCAGGCAGAACACGTTTCAATGAAGAACCAGGCAACCCTTTTGTTAAATCTTTCTGAATATACAGTTTCGATAGTTTGAAGGGCAGGTTCACCCTGCACGCTGTGTGGAATCTGATCATCAAAATATTGCCATTGTACATTCTTTCGATCTCTCTCTTATTTACAATGCTGCTACGATCGCATCGCCAACCTCCTTCGTCCCCATCTTTCCTCCTAGATCCGGGGTCCGAATACCTGAATCAAGCACCTTGCGCACTGAATCCTCCACACGCCTGGCCTCGGGCTCCATGTTCAGCGAGTAGCGGAACATCAGGGCGACGCAGAGAATCATAGCCACAGGATTGGCGATATTCTGACCTGCAATTCTGTGGAGAGAGTTAGTGAATAGTAAGCAGGCAAGCTGATCTCGACTTACGTTGGAGCTGAGCCATGCGTGGGCTCGTATAGACCGTATGGCCGTGTCTGCATCTTCTTGTCCCCAGGAAGACCATTCAGACTGGCACTGGGCAGGACCCCCAGGGTCCCAACAATGGAGCCTGCCTGATCGGAGAGCATATCGCCAAAGGTATTGTCTGCCAGAATAACACCGTTCAATGACCGTGGATTGGTCGCCATAATCAGCGATGCCGAGTCAGCGAGCTGATGAATCAACTTCACTTGCGGATACTCCGTGGTCATGGTCTTTTCCACTACACGACGCCAAAGACGAGATGAGGCCAGCACGTTTGCCTTGTCCAGGGAGATCACGGGCCATGGCGGATCGTGTCGCAGGGCAACTTCTGCAGCTAGACGGGTCACGCGCTGGACCTCGGGCTCTGAGTAGAGCCATTCATCCATTGCTGATGATACCCATCAGTAAAGTGGAAGGATCAAGTGAAGGATTTCGGCTCACCGTAGGTTTCTTCTTCCACCTTCCGTCCAAAATAAGCACCTCCGCAGTTCTCCCGCACTACAACAAAGTCAACCCCCTCGATAATTTCTTCTCGGAACGGGCTAAACTCCTTCGCGATAGAGGTGCTAGGAGAGCTGGCAGAGCATGGACGAATATTGGCATAGATATCCATTGCCTTTCGCAGCTGCAACAGTCCTCCCTCCGGCCCGTCCAATCCACGACGAGCATTGTCCCATTTGGGTCCTCCAACTGCTGCAAATAGGACGGCGTCTGAGTCCAAAGCTGCCTGCTTGACTTTCTCCGTGACTGACTTGCCGGTTGCGTCAATGCTACAGCCTCCAATTAATTCCTGTCGCAGCTCAAACTTGTGCTGCGGAGTCTCTAAGGCCTTCAGCACCTTGACCGCCTCAGCCATGACCTCGGGGCCAATGCCATCACCGGGAAGTACGAGGATGTTGTGGGTTTGGGACATATTGGTTTGAATTTTGGCGAATTACCACAGCTCAAGGACAATTTGGTTTGATGTTGTGTATATCCTATCAAGCCTATATCGGCGTGTCGGTCTTTACCCCGGCGTGTGCGGGGTTGGGCCATCTCGGGCAAGGACCGATGTTATGACATCCGATATACGGAGGTCGACTGTAGCTCTACATGGGTGTCTTTCTGTTTTATTGGACTGGTATGTAAGCCCATGTGCATTCAAATCGCAACTTCCTCCACTATGTAGGTTCAATACTTAATTCGATACTTACGGGCGGAAGCATGATGGAACAAAGAACTCGTTGGCACCGGGCCAAAAGGATTGTCATAAAGACCTGTACCACTGAGCAATAATACCAAGCCCCGTAAAGTCTGCCAAGCCAATTCAGTAAACTACAAACATCCAGCCCGTAGAATTGGCTCTATAGTTAGTTACCTCACCTACGGTTAGGTAATCCGAGGCACCAAGTACGGTAGGGCAGGAGTCCCGCACGTGATCCCCTTGCAACGGGTTAGCGCATCATGTTTATGTCCCATTTTGTTATTTTATTCCATGTAGATCCCAGCAGCTGTTAAATATCATCTACATGTCAAGCTAAAATCAAGATATTCAGACTACTCTTAGGTACAGTACAACCTTGGGAAGTAGAAGTGACTAGTAAGAGATTACTAATGCTATTCCTGCCCGAGGCCCCACGTTTGCATCTTTTGCATCAAATTTTTGTCCCCGCAAAAAAGTTCACGAGCAACTGCCCCTCCAACAAGGCATTCTATACCAAGTCTACACCATGTCTCGGATCGAGGAGCTTCCGGATGACTTTGATGAGTCGCTCAACCTCAATGAGATGCCTCCCGAGGTGGCTCAGGACCTGGCACAACCCGGATTCGATGCCTTCGCTGCGTCGAACGAAGCGCCATTCCCTATTAACGAGGAGAGGCTGAAGGAAATGCAAAAGGATCTCAACGCGCCAGAGTTGCCGCCCGCTATTGCGGCGATTAAGTCGCATTCCAAGGAAGAACTTTTGGACATGATGAACAAAACCCCGCTGTTCATGACCGACATTGAAAATGCCGGTGACGAGAGTACGTCTGATCTTTCCACCGGGAGTTTTCTAGAAGCGCCGGATTCACTAACTTGTCTCCTTTTGAATAGATGGCGAGAACGTTCTCCTAGATGCGCTTACTGCTATGCAAAACGAGGGTACCCGAGGCGAGGTTGCGCAAGGTTTCAAAGAGCAGGGCAACGAAGCCGTTCAAGAATTGCGCTGGATCGATGCCAAGGAGTTCTACACAAAGGCTATTGCTGTCATTTACTCCAAGGAAGATAAGTGGGAAAAACCCGAGGATGTTGACGCGGAGAAGAAGCTGCTGCGGCAGATGGAGGAGCTGTCCCATATCAACCGAGCGTTATGTAACCTCGAGCTTGGTATGTTTCTTGTCCTATTCTTACAAAATTGGAGCATGTCACTGATCCCTCACAAACAGGCAACTACCGATCTTGCACTCTGGACTGTGCAGCCACCCTCAAACTCAACCCGAAGAATGTCAAGGCCTTTTACCGCTCCTCGATGGCTCTGTTGAAGCTGGAGAAGATCGACGAGGCCGAGGACGCCGCTTCAAGAGGACTGGTAATCGATGCCAATAACAAATCCCTTCAAAATGCTGCCAAGCAAATCGCAGATCGCAAGGCCTCAGTCGCGCGTATTGTCGCCAAACGCAAGGCCGAGGAAGAACTCGCACGCAAGAAGAACCTGATTCTCAGCACGGCTCTGCGTGCCCGTCAAATCAGAACCCGCAAGACCGACCAGCCTCCGGAGATGGAGGATGCTAAGATCAAGCTTGTTCCCGATCCTCTCTCGCCGGAGAGCTCGGTGGAATTCCCAGCCGTCTTCCTTTACCCCATGGATGCCCAGTCCGACTTCGTCAAGGGATTTTCAGAACTGCACTCCATTGCAGACCATCTTGAATATATCTTCCCTTTGCCTTGGGATACTAAAAAGGAGTACTCGATTAACGGAGTTGAATGTTTCATGGAGACTGTCTCCGGCGGTCTGATCAAGGCCGGCAAGAAATTGCCCCTGTTGCAGATTCTTACTGGTGGAAAGGTCGAGGTCGTCGATGAGCTCGTTCGGATCTTCATCGTGCCGAATGCCAAGACTGGTGCTTTCATCGCTGAGATGAAGGCTCGCAAAACGGGTTGAGATTGCGCGCCACGAGCTCGCTAAAGCAAGCATGAATTCACCAGCTGCAGAATAAGCATGAACCCACCGGATCATGTGAGCGCTTTCATTCCAGTGAAGAAAACAGCCCATAAGGCCCACTTTTGAATCGGCATGGCGCTGGGCTTTCCGCCGCCAGCTCGGTGGTCAGTGCATCGATGACGAGACGGATTCAGATCGGCATTGAGGAATGGAAAGTAAGATACCCCGTTCATTGTGTACATAGACAAGCCTCGAGAGTTTGTATAGATTATTCACCTGACGTCAAGATGCGTACGAGCGTCGTTGGAATTTACACTTTCAACCATTGATCAATATCCAACAATTTCAAGGCAATGCAGAAATCGGTATGGCAAGATGGTGCTATTCAGTTGAGAGAGCGAAAGAGCATGGAGATATTTCTCGGCCTTTCTAGGCTGAACTCTTGGCCAGGACATTCAGGTCCACATGTTCCCCGTGCGCGAGGGGAATGCACAGGAAATACCACTTGTAGAATTTATCCGAACATTCATGCTGGTAATTTAGCCTTTGCAATCATTTAAATTATGACGAATGCGGGGATAAGCATCGGCAGGGTTCAGTGCATCAGGTTTTGCCGTGCGGCGAAGACGGAGGTTCCTCCGGGATGAACCCTGCATTAATTCGGCGAGTCACAGAATCGGTCATCATAAGGTAACTGGTGAGCTCTTGAATTTCTACATGTATTGAAACAGTCAAAGATCACTTGGTTGATTGGTTTGAGACAGCATTTCTCAGCCTTGATTCATGTCCTTCAATCATAAACTCTCCGTCGCGGCGCTGAGACCCGATTTGGTCGGCGTGCACTTGTTCCTTATGTTCCTCTCGTGTGAGTATGTAGAAGCTCAATTTGAGCCTAAAAAGTGCCTTCTGTTCAATCTCTGTGGCTATTGAGAGCGTCGAAAAACAGGGCCAAAACCTGCGATGACATGGATTCTAGACTGGATTAGAGCAAGCGCCTTGTTCTCGGAATATCCGCGTCCCCTGCATTGACTGCCTTGGGTGTCGAGGTTGCTATAACCAAGCTCGACGTTCGCATGACTCTGCCCTCGGCAAACGCTCTTCTCTCTCGGCAGTCGACGGACTACTCCAACACTGTCGCTGCATGCGTTGAGACGGACGGCTGCGTCGGCGTCACTATCTGGGATTGGACGGACAAATACTCCTGGGTCCCGGGTACCTTCCCTGGACAAGGTGCTGCGTGCCCCTGGGATGATTATCCGGTGAAGAAGCCTGCTTACACCTGTATTTTGACTGCTCTGGGTGGCAGTGGGTCGGTGACTACTACTGCCACTGCGGGCTCAACTGCCACGAAAAGCTCGGGGTCCAATGGCTCGACAGGGGTCGCTCAGCATTGGGGCCAGTGCGGTGGTCTGGGCTGGACTGGAGCGACGGCTTGTGCCGATGAATATACTTGCACCTATTCCAATGACTATTACTCGCAGTGTATGTTGTCGAGTAACTCTGATGGGATACGGGAGCTTATCAGATTGAACCTTACCGGAGTAATTTTCCTCCATTATCGCACCAATGTTACTTTCGCATTCAGAAACTATAAGTGGACATGAGCTTATCTCCATTAACCCTTAACTCAACTTAAACACATTGGGTACGGTTGGGAATAGATAGCGAGCATTCACAACGTTCATTGTCGTGGGACATTATGTAAGGAAACTCGTTATCGTAAAGAAAAAAGACTGCTGACACGCTCAATTATCGAAATAGTAAGGGAATCCGTAGATCTCTATGTTCTCTGCGAAGTTTTCTGCCCCAGGTTGTACCGTGTTCGGGCCCCCCGGTTGTGGCAAGCCTTCAAGGTTATCATACCTTTCTGACAAGAACGGTTGGGAGCCCACGAAAACAGGAGAGTAGTATGGAACAGAAGCCGGACTGGTACTTGTAGATGGGCCTGCTTCGCTAACGGGACGTTTTCTCTTCAAGTCCTGTGGTGATGCCGAAGAAGTATGCTCGAAGCCGGGGTGTATGGGGAGGTCTTGTTGAATATATTGCGAGGGACTTGGGGTGGCGGCGTGAGGGCTTGGGGTTAGGTTCGTCGGCAAATCGGGACTGGGTACAAGTAGAGGCTGTGGTATGTTGCTGCGTAAAAGTCCGTTGCGTCTACTAGGTGTCTCTTTGGTCGACTGTCGACTAGCGTCTTCTTCTGCCGGGGTGGCTCTTCTGCTGGCTTCTCCCTGGTGGACAGAGAGTTCTACCGCATCTGGGAGGTTCGCTCGTAACACGGATACCGTGGTTTTCTCATCTGCAGCATATGAGTTAGGCTCCAATTGGCTGAATAATATGAGCACGTACCGGCCACACCATCTAAAAACTTTTCCTCCGCTTCTCTCACCTCGTATAGTTCATCCAATAGCTGCAATCGCTCGGCTGGGGAGATTTGACGACGAATTGGCTGCTCTGCTTGTTCAAGTCTTCGGGCGGTGACTCCGTTGCTCGCGCGCAGGTCACAAAGGATGTGAACCAAGAGTCTAATGCGTTCTGGAGAACTGGTCAGTAATGGTCCGCGATGATTGGAAAAGAGGCCGATTCATTACCAGCTTTGGGAAGATGGTCTGGCTCTCGGTGGCTCACCCCAGCCGGCCACCATGGCGGCTTGGTCGCATCGGGCTCAAGCTGCTGGGTCCTACCAGCAACTATTTTCCGCCCGTTGTACGGATAGTTGACCTGCTTGCGGGGCTCCACGAGCTTGACGTAGGCTTTGGCTATAATTCGGCAATTCGTCTGCTGTAGATTTTGGAAGACCTTCTCATAGTAGCCACGCAAGAAATCCGTATCACTGATGGAGATCGTAGCCTTTTGGTTGCTGAGACTTAGTTCTTCGTTCCAGGGCTTCCTTCTGGGCTGCTGGACTTGCGTAGGCCATGGTTCCTGTTGGCCGGGCCATAACGCCGGTTGAATTGGCAGCCCAGGGGGCATCGGCACTTGAAGGTGTCCTTCAATGCCCGGAATGTCAGCAACATGAGGCGCATGGCCTATTGGGGGGGGAGAGAAGTCGGCTCGCTCGGTTGTATTGGGCGATGTGCCTGTTGTGCGCCCGGCTCAACTACTTCTGGTCAGAACAATCCTAGCTGCATCCAGGTATGTGACTTACACTGGGAATGTGACGGACCCAGGTCGCTTGACCTGGCCACGGCTCTGAGAAACTCGTTGGTGACACGAGGAGACAAGATGGTTTCGCGGCTATTGGCGATAGAACGCGATGCTTCATGGCGCAGATTGCCATCTCGGTCGATATAGATGAGGGCAAAGTGTGGATAGGTCAACTCGCCCTGCTGATTTCGCCTTGACATGGTCGCTGGCACCTGTGTCCGGTGTCAGCTTTCCTTCCAAGACGGCGGTCAGGAGAGAAAGACGGTACCATGCAGCCAAGGCTCGTCGAGGGAGGCCTCAAGTCAAGCTTGTACGGGTAATTGTATAGACCAAACGGTTCCCAGCAGCCAACGGAAGATGAAAAGGAGGGCTTATAGCCAGGAAGCATGTTTGACGATTGGAAGGCACAAGAACGCCAGAGGCGCTCAGGAAAAAGAGTAAGAGAATCGCTAACCGCTTTGGTCCCACCAGACCTCCAGGAATCCAGAGATTTATAGACAGGCTACTCAGCCACCGTCACTTCTGTGGCGCACCTAGGGGCTGTAGAAAGTGTGGAGAACCAGCTCTAGGCAGGAGAGAAAGTGTGCGAGATGAAAAGCCGGGAGTTGTAGCAAGATACAGTCATGGACGCAGTCGCCGGGCCGCTAAGCCCACGCACTACATAGCGTGTTTCCTGGAGGTAATTTTTTTCTTACCGGCCCTGCAAGTATCAAGGATCGTAAGTCCCGCAGGAACGCCAATTTTAGGTCTAAGATCCCCGATGTTATGACACCCCACGCACCGCGTGTTTTCCGTTATGGTACAAAGGGATCGTCTTGGCATGCCGCAACTCGGAGCCTCAGCTACCATGGGTTTGTCCCAAGGCGTGACCAATGGAGGGAGGAGCACACCGGGGGGGGTTGTCTTAAGTCTGCCGGACCATGGTATCTCATTGGAAGATGCCCATGCTCTATCGATCAGCTAGGTGCTAGCTCGAGACTCTCCACTCAAATCAGCGTGTTCCCTGCCCTGAAGCAAGGTAAGGCCGAGCGGATTACGAACGGTTTCCGGTTGTATCGGCTCTGGAATGCAGATCAGCGGCAGTTTGTGACACAAGTACGATTCCTCCGCCTTATGTGTGCCCTATCCGACGTTTTGACGGCCTCGATTTCTGCTTTCGGCTGCCTGCATAAGCATGGAGACTGAATCAGGCATCTAGGGCAATCTCACGTCCCCCATGCTCAACTGCGAACCATCTTTAACCTTACCATGTCAACCCCCGGTGTCAGGCTAGGTGTTCCGCGTGATGTGGACCCTAAGTCCAGCCTGTAGACAATGCCGGTGTGGCGTTTCGTTCATTTGTGAAGATCGGCTCACAGGGCGTTGAGACGGCCCGCGTCCATGCAACTTCAGATCTCTCCCTATACGATACCCGTCTGAATCCACATGGCCTCCATTTTTCTCCGGGCTTCATCCTGGTTCTTTCTTTTTCTCTCCGGGGTCTATCCAGGCGACTGGATTCTTGGGTAGCTCGTATCGGGTCTTGACCAGCTCAGAACCACTATCCCGGGTGAAAACCCCTCATACAAATGTGCACAGAAAGCCGATCAAATCACCGATTGAGAATTGGGGTTCGAGTCTTCTTCCACGCGGATCCACACTTGCATATCTAGACCTTTCACCGCTGGACCTTTCCTCAGCCACCCCTCGGTCGATCTTTGGAATTATTCATAGATTTGAATTTTATTTTCAATTGCATCGGGTTACGTGGCTTGGTAGATGTTCTCCTAGTTCCCCTCATTACTGGCTCAAGGGAAATGTTTTCCCGTTCTCCGCTTCCCAACCATGGACTTGGGACAATCCATAAAATCGTGTAATTTATTATGATCAGAGGGAAAGGACAACGGGGTGAAGATGTCTATCAACAGCGTACCTCCGAGCATATTGAGTACATCGTGGAGGCATTTCTCTTCCGGGTGAGGTGCTCGGGGAGCATTCGGTGAAGTAATGCAATGTGTCGAAGCATCAGCATGCACCGGCTGGAGCCCGTCCTAGTCGCGGGGAATCCCTGCCGGGAATACCTAGTTCCTAGCTTGCGAACGGCGTCCAACCGGGGACCAAAATACACCAAGGTACCATAGGTATAGACGCCACGATGTGGCTGAGTCGGTCCACCTTCGATCGCCATGTTTTCAAAACAGCCGATCCTTGCCTTAGACATCGGACGAGAAGGTTTCCCCGCGAGGAGAGCTGAAACCTTGAAAGTCAATGCGACCCCCAAAGTGGAATCCAGGGCAGAGCCACATTTTCTCCGGCTAGTTACTACTGGCTATCCTGAACTACTGTTTGCCACCCCTGGGCATGACGAACGGCCTAGGCTTGTTACTTTCGGCCGGCCGGCCGGCTTCAGCTCGGCCTGGGATCGTGGAATTCTCCCAATATGATAACCGCCCTGTGATGTGCTCCCTTACAGCTTAAAGTCGGCAGTCTTCGAGTCCTGGGGGTACTCATCCTTAGCTCTCTGGCCCACATCCACTGATCAAATCCCGAACCCCGTCCCCGCCGAAGTGCTGTCACTACTGTAGCGTGCCGATCTCGATGATGAGAGCCGTTAGCCTCGGAGAAACTTGAGGCCACCAGTAGCCTAATCGGGACGGATCCATCGATCGGACTTTTGCGAAGAAAATGAAACTTTGCTAGATATCTCATTCGCCGGAGAGTTCATACCATTCCAGGCCGGTATCCTTCCTCGGTCGCTCATCGCAGATCGTCCTAAGTGGGACCGTTGCTTTTTACTCGGGCTCGCCGATACGGTACCGGAGAACATCGATCAGAGTTTACCGGACTGCAAGAAATTATGTAGGCCACACCACTTAAGCGTTGATAAATCCCTTTAACGGTTCTCTGTTTGGGCCTGAGGGTCTATTTTTGTAGTTCCCATTGGGCTTCCTTTTCCTTTTGGCATCGGGCGAAAGAGGTGGGCGAGAGCTTATCGTTATAAGGCTCCTGATAGAGTTTGGATGCATCGCACAAGATCAACCCTGGTGTGGCACGCCCCTCATTTGCGTCGTACATTGGACCGCCGGAGCCAAATAGCAAGGTGTGATATGCATCCTCGGCAGTTCACTGCAAGTCAGTCACCTATTCTGTTTGTTTCGGGCTGATAGATACTCGGTGCCTCGTTGCTCACGTCGTATCCATGCAATTCAACCCAAGAACCGGGATCATAGGTACGATGATACTGTGACTCAATTGCTGCATTGCATGATACGAAAGCGAACGAAAACGAACAAATAGTAATGTATCGTTTTCGGCATGCTATGAGAGAAATAGTTGCCTCTGCACCACTCCCGCTTGTCGGTCAAGGCAATGAGCCACACATCAGTGCATGACGGGAGGAAGAACTCCGAGGTCTCACTGTGGCTAGCTGAACGAGCTGTCAGTTCATCCTGGAAATGCCCGGGCTCCATACTGTAATCGTACAAGGAAGGGATCTCCAACATGCATTTCCTGGAAACCGGGAAAATTGGATCCATCAAAACGGGCCGGTGGCGTCAGCGATATTCAATGGCCCACTCCGCTCTTACAGTAGCGAGCTGCAGGATTCCCATTCCAGATAACCTCCCACGGTGACTGTGGGTCTTTTGGTAAGATAATGAGCCTTGTCGAGTGGGAACTGCATGCCCGAGCACGGCCCCTCCTCTTGTCACGAACACTGCAGATTGCAACGGGAATCTGAAGCCCTCGATTGGTTTTTGGGGCAGCAATGAATTGATCAGGGGCTAATGCCTCATCTGATATCATGTTCTGTACGAAGTCGCCGTTTGTTGCCAAGGACTTTGGGTTCATCACTTTATTACTATGGTTGATGGGTTGAGTCGTCGCTCACCGGCAGTGCCACTACCGTGTACCTACCATTATGCCACTCACCTCGAGCAGAAGGTAGTCTACCGATAGAATGTAGAAGTTATAGATGACAAGTAGGTCTGCCGATGCCCACTGAGTCTCTTTATTCAGCTGAGCTTTGAGAGGGCTAGCAAGGTGGCTACCTCCCGGGGGCTAGGGAGTTGTCAATTGCCAATTGCCTAGCTTCCCTTCCTGCACCAAAACAAGAATCAGATGAAGCGAAAAGTGTATCGACAGTCTTCCATCGAAAAAATGCCTGCTTGGCCAGGGGCCAACTTCTTGGATCCGAGTCTATCCCATGGATAGGGAAGGCTCATAGCCACAGTCTAGTCTATCGGCGCCACATCTCAGGCCCGTATGAGGCGCAGTGCTTTGGGCTGAGACGTGAGATGAGGTACATGAGCAAGGGACTTCTCGTGGCGCCGATCAATGCTCTATAGACGCACGATGACGAATTGAAGTCCCACAACGCAGGGCAAAAGTCCCGCGGAGCCAAAGATCGATTTTCATGCCTGAGGCTGTGAGAATCCACGTGTTTGTATATTCCCAAAGAGGAGTAGCCTTGAGATCACATGCAAAATTTCCCTTGTAATTGTAATACCAAAACACACGCACCCGAAGTCCACGCGAGAGCCTATAAGTTTCTCGTATTGTACAGCGGTGAAACGAGATCGTTTCTCTCGTCCCGTGACTCGCTCCTGTTCTGTCGGCTTCCCACGTCTCTCCGATACTTTGGCCCCAAGTGTCAATTGTGTCAAAGGATCTTGATCGCATCCGACGACCATACACAATCAACCCGCAATATCGCAAGTCCAGCAGCCAAATAATCACCGCCCAACGGGTCCGTGTCCCCACACCAACCGAAAAGGCTCCGCTGCATTAGCCCGTCCGCCCACGGCTGATCACTCTGAATCCGGACCACGCCCACCAAAATCTGTCGTTGCTCCCAGTCCAGCTGTGTCAAAGAGAAGGCCGATCGTGTTCTAGCACCCCCCTGCCTTTCTCTGCTCCCTGGACCAATTATCGTTCCTGGTTTTCGAGCTCCCTTCCTTCGCTCAATCCAGAACCCTCTGCCGCCTCATTTCCGCGATCCCGCCTATCCCTGGATTCCCGCGAACGTCCAACGCCTGGCTGGTCTCCCTTCGCACTATCCGATAGTCCGTGCGGCGTGCGTAATTCAGGCACCCCCCTTCTTGCTACCCTAGATTCAAAGAAGCGCGATAGGGCCAGACAAAAGAACGGGATTATAGCGGGCCAACTCTGACGCCCCGGCCCCCTTCTGACGCCAATAGTTCGGCACTGTGATGGGCACGCCTTATTACACGATGGACCCCAATGCTGGCTTTCACGCTGGCTATCCCGTGCCGACCCAAAGCCCCCAGAACCAAATGGCGTTCTATCCGAATTCGATCCCCCAGTACCCCCAACCCAAGACACCGCAACAGCCTGGACAGCAGCAACATTCCTTTGGCGCCATGCCACTGCAGCCAGGCGGTCCCGGTGGAGCTATGATGCCCTCAGGGTTTCCCCAACAGTCGTCTGGTACGCGGTTCCCCCTTTTTCCCCCCCTTTCTATGATTAGCCCTGCACACCTGTCACCTTCAGCGGGGTCGACCTACTGCTCTAGAAGCTCCTAGGATCAAAAAAGCACAGTCCGCCTGAGGCTTAAGATAGGGCTGAAACTATTCCCCTGGCTCCTCACGGAACGCACTTGCTTTTCCCCGCTGGAACCTGCAGCTGCAATTGTCATCGTTGATGGCGCCAGTTTTCGCTTCGACTTTGGCCTTGGCGATCCTGGCCGCTGCGATTCGCCCGTCTCGGACTTAATGCAGTCGAGGCATCCTGGGTGGCGAGCCTATCGCTGATTGACGTGGAATCTGACCGCTAACGTGACAACAGGGCCTATGGACGCTTTCTCGGCGTCGTTCAACCAGCCTACCGTCCCGGCATCAATGCCTCAGTACACTCAGCCCGGCAACACACCGAATCAACCCTCCGCTGTCCAGCAAACTTTCAACCAGAACATGGCTACCATAAATGCGAACATGCTCGCCAATCAATCGAAGCCCCCGCAGATGAACTCCCAGATGAACTCGCCTCAAACCACCCAGCCCGGAACCCCCATCCAGGCCCAGGCCCAAGCTCAAGCTCAAGCTCAAGCTCAAGCTCAAGCTCATGTCCAAGCTCAGGTCCAGGCCCAAGCAGCAGCACGGGAGAAGGCCCGGGTGACCATTCTTCTCGAGATCAACTCGACCCTACTGCAGGAGGTGGTGAATCTGCAAGCGGCCGGGAAGGCAGGCACTGCACCTACCGCGGACGCGAACGCAGAGCAGAGTGACGCTCCCAAACCCACCCCGCAGAAGCCGAGCCAGGAATATATTGAATGCATGCGACGGTTGCAAGCCAACCTAGCGTATCTTGCGACGGTCGCGGAGCGGGCGAAGAAACCGGGTGGTGCCGTTCCCCAGGCCCCAGCTATTTTGACTGCCCCCACGAGCGTGCCCGCCGTCAACGACTTGTACAGCAGGCTGAACGAATTGTTCCCGCGCTCGAGTCAAGGCGGCACACCTCAAACCCTTAGCCCGGGGATGAATCAGGGCAACGGTGGCCCAAGTCCATCGCCCGTGTCGGAGTCAGTGGTTTGAAGGCCGGAACTTGGTGCCGTATCTCTTCCTTGTGGGGAAAAACGACTTCCGATTCAGTGCTAGATGATCTCCGTCTCCGATCCGCCGGTCATGCGGACAAACCCGGACTCATGTGCCCCCCCCTCCATGCTGCAAAAGCCTGGGACGGCGCCTCCCGCAAAGCTCCCCGCTCTCCCACCCTGTTAGTGTCACTGTATGAGCACCTGCCCTGGTAGCTGTGGCCCGGATGTCACCACCAAGGAGTCTCGAGCAGGGATAGGGCCGCTAAGGGTCATTTGGAATGGGACGGGACCCTTGAGGGACTTGGAAGTTGGCCCTCTAACAATAGATGTATTCCAGTTCAGCCTATGCAAATGCACTTGACATTGATCTTGATACTACGTATCGCTAACCACACCTCTCCGTAAAAAGTATACATAAATAGCGACGAAGATCGGCGCGTGGCTTCGCCGAATGATCGCATCGTGTGAGCGGCCACCGCCCAATCAGCGCTTCTCCTCCACTCCGCCTCATCCAAACGCGCCTGGAGCTACGGAGGACCTCTGCGGCTTTGCGAATGTCTTGGTTGGTGTGCAGAAGAAGCCTCAAGCTATCTGTATCTACTGTGCATTGGCCTGTTGCTGCTGTTTTGTTACCTTCTCCGCCTTCCCACCGTCGTTTCTCCCGCCAAACCTCTTCTTTCCACCAACTTCCTTCTCCGACCTTCCTCCGAGCTCAACCTTCCTCCCGATCGCCTCTATCGATTGCTCGGATAATGGACGCAAGTGGTGACATCGGCGCCAAGCGCAAGCGCAGCGCTGTCGCCGGTGCTGCGGAGCGGCCGGTCAAGCACCTCAAGCCTGAGGGATCGGCGCTAACCCCCGGAGACTCAACCCCGGCCAATGGAACGGTATACGATATCGAGGAGGATGACGATGCTAGCCGCATGATACCTGTTGGCCCGGCGCAAGCAGACTCGCCCGAATGGCAGGCCACCATTGAGACCGTGGTCAAGAGCGTCGTGTCTATCCACTTCTGTCAGACCTGCTCTTTTGACACCGAGCTTTCCATGAGCAGTCAAGCGACTGGTTTCGTCGTTGATGCTGAGCGCGGATATATCTTGACGAATCGACATGTGGTGTGCGCTGGTCCATTCTGGGGATACGTCATCTTTGATAACCACGAGGAGGTAAGTCTTTTCGGCGGGCAGGATGAAGCATTCAGCGGTTATTAATTCTTTTATTTGATTGTTAGTGTGACGTCCGTCCTGTCTATCGAGACCCCGTTCACGATTTCGGCATTCTCCAGTTTGACCCCAAGGCCATCCGATACATGAACTTGACCGAGCTCAAGCTTCAGCCGGACGCTGCTCGAGTTGGTGCCGAGATTCGCGTGGTTGGTAACGATGCGGGTGAGAAGCTGAGCATTTTGTCCGGTGTGATCAGTCGATTGGACCGTAATGCACCGGAGTATGGTGAGGGATACAGTGACTTCAACACAAACTACATCCAGGCTGCGGCTGCTGCCAGTGGCGGTAGTTCCGGAAGTCCTGTCGTGAATATTGACGGCCATGCCGTAGCCTTGCAAGCTGGTGGTCGAGCCGATGGTGCTGCAACCGACTATTTCTTGCCGCTGGATCGCCCGCTTCGTGCCTTGGAATGCATCCGCCAGAGCAAATCTGTCACTCGAGGCACCATCCAGACCCAGTGGATCCTCAAACCGTTCGATGAATGCCGTCGTTTGGGTTTGACTCCCGAGTGGGAGGCGGCCGTGCGAAAGGCAGCGCCTACCGAGACCAACATGCTCGCAGCTGAGATTATCTTGCCCGAGGGACCCGCAGATGGCAAGATTCTCGAAGGGGATGTGTTGCTGCAGGTAAATGGAGAGCTTTTGACCCAATTTGTCCGTCTTGATGACATTTTGGACTCCAGTGTGGGCAAGACAGTCAAGTTGCTCGTGCAAAGAGGAGGAGAAAACGTTGAAGTGGAGTGTGAGGTCGGGGATCTCCATGCCATCACCCCCGATCGGTTCGTAACTGTGGCTGGAGGAACTTTCCATGACCTTTCATACCAGCAATCTCGCCTTTACGCTATTGCCACCCGTGGAGTGTACGTGTGCGAGGCAGCCGGTTCTTTCAAACTGGAGAACACGCTGTCCGGGTGGATCATTGATTCCGTCGACAAGCGTCCGACTCGAAACTTGAATGAGTTCGTCGAGGTGATGAAGACCATCCCTGATCGCTCGCGAGTTGTCATCTCCTACCGTCATATTCGAGACCTCCACACCAAGGGTACTAGCATCATCTATGTCGACCGTCACTGGCATCCGAAGATGCGCCTGGCTGTTCGCAATGATAAATCCGGTATCTGGGACTTCTCGGATCTCTCTGATCCCATTCCGGCCGAGCCACCCATTCCTCGCAAGGCGGACTTCATCCAATTGGATGGTGTGAGCCAGCCTGCTGCTGCTGAGATTGTCCGCAGCTTCGTACGGGTCTCTTGCACCATGCCTCTGAAGCTTGACGGATACCCTCAAGCCAAAAAGACAGGTTTCGGCCTGGTGATTGATGCCGAGAAGGGTCTGGTCGTGGTGTCGAGAGCGATCGTTCCCTATGACCTTTGCGACATCAATATCACAGTGGCCGATTCGGTCATCGTCGGTGCCAAGGTTGTCTTCCTGCACCCGCTCCAAAACTATAGTATTATCCAATATGACCCCAAGCTCGTAAATGCGCCTGTGCAAAGCGCCCGACTCAGCACGGACTACATCAAGCAGGGACAGGACACTATCTTCGTCGGTTTCAACCAGAACTTCCGCATTGTCGTGGCCAAGACGGCCGTCACCGATATCACCACTGTTTCAATTCCCGCAAATGCGTCGGCTCCCCGCTACCGCGCCATCAACCTGGATGCCATCACTGTTGATACTGGACTCAGTGGACAGTGCACCAATGGTGTGTTGATCGGCGAGGACGGTGTGGTGCAGGCGCTGTGGCTAAACTACCTCGGTGAACGCACGCCCAGCTCTCACAAGGATGTTGAGTACCACCTTGGTTTCGCCACGCCGTCATTGCTTCCGGTCACTTCCAAGATCCAGCAGGGCGTCACCCCCAAGCTGCGGATCTTGAACATGGAAAGTTATGTCGTGCAAATGAGCCAAGCTCGCATTATGGGTGTCTCTGAGGAGTGGATTCAGAAGGTTGCGCACTCTAACCCATCCCGACACCAACTCTTTATGGTCCGGAAGGTTGACTGCCCGCCGGCGACTTTTACTGCCACCGAGGGCATCGACAGCTTCCAGGAAGCCGACATTATCCTAACTCTGGATGGTCAACTCATCACCCGCGTCTCGGAGCTCGACATGATGTATGAGAAGGAAGCTCTAGATGCTTTGATCGTCCGAAACGGTCAAGAGATGCACATCCGAGTTCCCACCGTTCCTACAGAAGACCTTGAGACCGACCGCGCTGTCGTCTTCTGTGGTGCTGTTTTGCAGAAGCCCCATCACGCTGTGCGGCAACAAATTTCCAAACTCCACAGTGAGATCTACGTGAGCGCAAGAGTAAGTAGCGATCTTCCTACCTCGAGTTGACAAGTATGGCTAACCATGTTCTTAGAGCCGCGGCTCTCCTGCCTACCACTACGGTCTCGCCCCTACCAACTTCATCACTGCTGTCAACGGTGTCCCAACGCCCAATCTCGATAGCTTTGTCAAGCAAGTTCGCCAGATCCCGGACAACACCTACTTCCGTCTTCGTGCCGTTACCTTCGACAACGTTCCGTGGGTAGTGACTATGAAGAAGAACGATCACTACGTAAGTAACTACTGGATTACTCTGATAAACACATGCGCAGGTCTAACATTTTCACGTACAGTTCCCCATGTCTGAGTATCTCAAAGACCCATCCATCTCTGCGGGCTGGCGCACTATCTCCCACGATAAGTCCGGTGACAAGCTCGGCATCTCTCCCGACGCCGCAAACCTGAACCCCGATGCAATGGACGAAGGCTTGGAGGGTGGAGCTAGCGACATGGAACCCGACATGGAATAGACCTAACTAGATTTGGTCTTTTGGGTAGCTTGGTGTCTTGTACAATATTTGGATTGACGGCGCGACTAGGTTGGGCTGGGTTGGGGCTTTTATTTAATCACTGGATCTGGTCTCTTCCAGGGTCGCGTATGGTGTGATTTGCGGTCTGGGTAGAGGGCCACTTGAGTACAAAATCAAAAAATTCCACGATGCCCAGGTGCAATCTACATAATCGAAATCTTTCTCGTGGGAGTATCGATCATCATCCAAAATTATTACATATTTATTGCGATATTGTATCTTGGAAGCTTTCAAGTCTGTTAGCTGTTAACAATTATATATTTGCGGGATGCCCCGGGCCTATCTAGCCAACTTGGATGTAAAACCAAACGTACTAACAAACAACCGAATGTATATTGAAAGCGGGTTGAAACAAATTACGAGAAACTAAAATGCAAAATGATACGAAAAATGAAGTGCATAGCGCGAGCGCCATGACTGTGCTAAAAAGACAAAAAGAAAATTGAGTTTGCATCATCCGTGAATCGAACACGGGCCTCGTCGATGGCAACGACGAATTCTACCACTAGACCAATGATGCTGGGTCATGTAATGGTATGGCAATGAATGCTCTATTAACTATCTACACATGTATCTGCCGTAGCTGACTCTTCCCACGGTTTACACTCGACTTCATGTTATTGGAACGAGGACAGCAGAATATTGAAACAGCTAAGACTATACTTTAAGTCTATACTTCGAGTGCCATTTGACCAATGTGAATATAGAATGATAACGGTCCCAGGGAAAAGTCCGATTAATAGCCATATGCACCGGCGGATGTGTATGCGACTGTGGTCTAAGATCAGAGCAAATAACATCTCGTAGCAGGGTAAAAATACAAGATTGAACGCCGACAAATCAAGCCTCCCAAACACCAAGAACACCATCTCTGCAAAGAAAATACTCCATGTCTGCCACTGCTGTTCACAATGAAATTTCAATCCTGTACGGAACGCTTTAATAGCCAGTACACGGTCCAGCCGTTCATGAATTGAAGGACCATCCGCCGTTGAGCCGTAGCCGTTGTCGCTCTGCGATGTCTTTCCGAATCTCATCCTGGGTAAGTCCGTCCGGTCCATTCCAGTTTGCACTACTGGTGCGGTCACGGAATTTCTTGATCCTCTTGTCGGTCTTGAAGGTGTCCTCCAAAGAGAAGGGTGCAATAGGACCGAAGATCGAGTCGACTTCCATTCCGTCCTGGTGACGCAGAAGATCCTCCAGCACCTTGGGCTGGGCCCAGTTGGGTACGGGGAGCAATTCAGAGTCCGAGTCCTCGTCCTCGCTGTCCGTGGCGATTTCAGGAAGGTGGATGTTCTCACCATTGGGGTATTTCGGCGATGGCTTTGCCACGGGCGGGGGTCGCTGAGCAGAGCTCGGTGCAGACGGCTTCTGCGCAGGTGGCGGAGCGTGAATTGGCTCGGCAAACGGAATCTTACCTGTCGCATATTTGGAGTGATCCCCAGGGTGAAGGGGCCGCTGGGGCGGCGGATACTTTGAAGGTGGTTGTCCCATGCCGGACAACCCAAACATAGACGGGGCCTATGCGGGTTCCTAAGTTAACACTAGGTCCGTCGGAGTTGTCATGAGAAGATACAAGTACATACCTTGCGAGCACCAGACTGGCGGATCGGCGGCTGCATCGGAGGTCGCACCGACTGCATAGGGTTGTGTTCATCGTCCGTCTTCCGTCGCTTGAATTCACCAGAAGCCTGCACATTACTAGGCTTGGTAACTGCTGGACGATGACCACCTTCTTCGTCCTGGGGCCTCTTGGGCGGCTTGGCTGGGTTGGGAGCCGGCGGGTTGATTGGTCGATACTGCTGGGTTGAGCCCAAGCGAGATGGCGGTCTCGTCGCTCCCAGATCATTCCGTTGAGACTGAGAGGGCGCCCTCTCGTGCTGCAGCATCGGACCCTGCCTCTCATTAGCAACATTGTCAAAAGGTCCACAGAAGGGCATGCATACCTCATTGGTGGCCTGCTGGCTACCCTGTCTCTCGTGCCTCCGGGCATTCTCCAGTCGTCGCTTTTCAATCGCTTGCATCTGAGCAGCCTTCTTGGGGTCTTCCTGAGCAGATCGCTCCCGACGCTCTCGCTCAGCTTCGGCACGACTTTCGGCACGACTCTCAGCACGACTGCGCATCTCTTGCCGACGAGCCTCTTCCTGTTGTTGTTGAGCTGCGCGCTTGCGTTCCTGCTCACGCTTTTGCTCTTCCTTTCGGCGCTCTTCCTGTTCCCTCTTCCTTTCACTTGCGAGCTGAGCCTTGCGCTGCGGTTGCGTTTGACTGGAGATGGTGCTCTTGAAGCTGCCCGTGGAGGAAGAGGTTTGAAGTGATTGGTTGCTGGCCTTCTTCTTCAGGGTTGTCTTGGGCATAGGGGCAGGGGCAGGAGCATTTGTCTCTTGGACGCTCGAAACTGAAGATGAGGGCATTGGCATACGGGATAGTGTACTTCCCACGCGAATCGAGACCGGCTGGGGCTCGGGTTTTTGGACCGGTTCACGGGTCGGCTTGGGGCGACGATCGTTTTGCTTGAGTTGGGGAATGGAGTATTTGGAACTCTCATGGGTCGACTCAGGCCTGCGAGGCTGTTGTCGCTGCGATTGCGTCGACTTCTGCGATGCTCGCTCCTCCGGCTCGACAGACGACTTATCTTCAGCAGCCTTGAGTTGTTGAGCTCGTTGTCTCTCCTGCTCCCGGGCTTTCTCCTGCCGTGCCTCTTCTTCCTGGCGCTCCTCACGTTCCTCACGGTCCTCGCGCTCCTTCTGCAGACGCTTCTCTTCCTTCTCAGTGGAGCTTCGTGTCCGGCGGGTCTCTTGTCGTGGTGGGCTAGAGATCTGGTGCGACTGGGTTCCTTCTTGATCATATTTATCATCGACTTCAGCGCTTGTCTGCTTGGGAGACGAATTGTCGACTCTTCCTGTGCTGCCAGTGCTGGAGAACAGGCCCTTGGCAGACTTCATGATGGACTGAAGTCTCATCTTTGAAGCACTTAGCGGTCCGTCGAAGCGCCTAGGAGATCCAGTAGGAGTGGTGGAGGAGGAGGTAGCAACAGCAATATTAGACGTAGATGCGCTTTGCTGGTGACCACGTGGGCGAGGAGATGAGAAAATTGAAGTTGCTGTCTTGGGCCGCTCCGACTCTGCAGAATGCTGTTTCTTCTCCGAAGAAGCGTCTTTCTTTCCGGCCGCCGAGTCTCGATCCATATCAAAGAGTTTCTCCATGACGTCCGTAGTCTTACTTTTCGAAAGGGTCGGTCGGCTGGGCGAGCCCAAAGGCTTGATCCAGTCGCCCTCATCACCCACTGTTGGTTCCGGCGCCACGGGCTCACGCGTCTTCTGGCTGGACTCTTGCTTTGCCTCTGGCTTGGAGGCTGGCAAGTCTGGATAGGCTACCTGAACAGCAGACTGGCCAGTAGATAAGCCAGCGATGGATGGAATTGACTTTCCGGGTCGAGATGGATGGTGTTTGCCGAGCATGCTGATCCTTTCATGGAGGCTTTGCGCAGACTTCTTGTTCTGCATTTTGCTAGCCGGATCCATATCCGTGTCCTCGCCTTGCTCTTTCTCATCATCGACATCCATAGAGCCGGAATCGGCAACATTATCATCGGATGTAGCCTGTGCTGTTTTATGGCCTCCAGTTTGTCGTCCAAAGTAGCTGAGGCGACTCGCGTTGTTGAGCTTGGGAAGGTCAATGTGACTAGTACGAGAGAGTCTTGAGCCTCCCATGCTCTTGGTAAGAGGTTCCCGCGCAGGGAGAGAGGCGAAACTCAGACTGCTCTTCCGCACTGGCAGCCTTTCGGGAGTAGAACCGTCCGAGGGGGATCCGATATCGTCAATATCGTCAAGAACAGTGTCTTCCTTTGTTGCCTCTTCCATTGCGGTCTCTTCCATTTCCACGCCCTCATATTGGGGTTCTTGCGCCTTGGGAGGCTCAGCGGCCGAGGCCTGCTTCGGTGAAGGGTTAGACTTCGAAGTCAGCTCGTCAACCTTTTGCGGCTTGGCTTTCTGTTGAATCGCTGCTCTCTCTTGTTGCTTGTGCTTTGGCTGTGCCGTGACTGTAGGTGTGGTGGTCACCTCAGATTCCACATCTTTGGATTTGGCCTCCTTAGAACGAGTCTCCTTCGAGCGGGTAGTACGCTCTTGCCTCGGGGTCGTATCTGTATTGATCGGCTCGACAGTCTCCCCGCGGGCACGAACATTCTCCTGCGCAGAATGGAATGAGTCGTCTGCCGTCTGCTGGCTTATCGAGACATCGGCCTGGGTATTCACTTCCAGGGGCTCGTCCGCCTCCAAAGGTTGTGTAGACATCTGAGTGTCTGGTTGCGAGCCTGGCAAAACCACGTCGTCGTCATCCTCCATGCCATAATAGCCCGAGTCTGTATTATACTTCGGGAAAGAGTTCAAGTTCTGACTGAGGTCTGGATATTGGGGGTGTGACATCTTTCCTACTTCGTTGATGCGGGGAGCGGCTGATGTTGTAGCCGGGGCCGCGGAGGCGGCTGTTTTCGAGATCACACGGTGAATGAACGGACTGGGACTGATAGTATTGTTCTCCGTTTGTTTATGAGCAGATGAGAATATCTCGCTCAGTGGCTGCAGGTGGTGGGTTAGGCTGACCACGATTGTGGGTGACGGAACCACGGGACTCACCACTCGGTTTTCTTCCGCATTTCGCTTCCGAGCTGTGCGAGGAGTCTTGCCTCTCATCTTCCCAGGGGTTTTGAACACATCCGTAAAGTTTCTGGGATGAAGGTCAGCCTTGAGGTCAATGCCCGCCCGGAGTGACTGGTCGCGACTCACGCTTGGCCGTTAGAGAAGATCTCCGTCATATGTTCGTTCAACCAATCCATTTCGTGTCGAACGGGGTATTCGACCTCCTCCATCTCTTGTTCGAGCAGCTCCGTCACGTTCTCTTTCTCTGCCGCGATCCATGCGGCAGAGCCGACGGGCTTTTGTGCCCGCGCGCCGGCTGCGGCCATGATGTAAACAACGCGCCTGGTGTCGGGGGAAAAACCGGGGTTGGTGGGCGCGATAGATGTTGATTTCGAGCTATAGACACACGATTATTGCAGGTGGCTAGTCATCGGGAGTCGAATGGGCGTGGGATATCGAGGTTGGCGTCGGGAATGAAGGTTAATCGAGGATCAAAACACACATCCAAGCTAGGAAGCGCGCACCTCGCGTTCACGTGATTACACGCTAAGATTCTGCATTTCGTTTTTGGTCTCTTTCGGTGATTGGGGTTTTTATTTTCATTTTTTCTAAAGGTGATTGACATCTACAGCGGCATTCACATGAGAACCAATGACCTCTCCGTGACAGTCAAAGTAGCAAATTGCGTCACTGCCTCCTCAGCGGGGGTGTCCATGGAGATGTTAAGTCTCTGCAATGTATCTTCTGGGAGACAATCATATCCCAGATTGCGAGGCAAAGGTCGAGTCCATTTGACCGTAAGGTCCGGGGTCCTCTCTGGGCGAGCACCTATGGACCCCCGTGAAGGCCGCCAGGTTACTGTCGCAACATAGTAGTCGAGCTGCCCAGGCCGCACTTCATCTCGCACCCATCGCCTGCTGCCCAGGATGGAACTGCCCGTCCACTGGGAGATAGAAATGTCAGATGGCTGAGCAAGTAGATTAGTACCATCGGTACGCTTGAAGTGCCATTTTTCCGCGGCTTCGTTTGCGATGTAGTCCACCTCCTCTTTGCGTCGCTCGATGCTTTCGATGTCCATTTTAAAGCTCGTCACACTCTCCGGCAGTACCATCCATTTACACCATTTGCCTGAGATATGAAGAGCTCGGTTTCCTTCCCACTCCCAGGTATCAGTGTAGCGTAAAGTGATGGTGACGGATGTGGGATGAAAGTGATGCATGGTGAAGAGCCCCATGAAGGTACGTGAGTTTTCGAGCATGAAAAGCTGTGCGAATAGTCGAACATGTCCGCCGTGCACCTCTCCATGTCGACGATGGATCAAGTCAAGACATTCTTGCATCTTTTCGACAGACATCGTTCGGCGAGGCGAACGCTCCGCCCGGGCCATGTAGAAGGTATGCTCCGACCAGATGAACGGCATGAACCAAGCCTCCATGTAAACTCGTTTGCAGGTTCGAAGAAGTTGTGTCCAGCAAAAATGACGGGTTTCATACCCCGGTCTTGTACAATACTCATCCTGGCCGATAGGTTGTGTGGTGTCGGGGGCACTGGCCAGGGCGAATGCAAATATCTCCGAGCGGATCTCCGGAGGGAGAACAGAGAAAAGACCACTCTGGTTCTGATCTGCATAGTCTATAAAGTATGCAGGCGAGAGATTGGGTTCCATTTTTGCGTGAGGAACTCTGTTCAAGCGACCGAGGCGTCGTCTCATGCTTCGTGTTTTTACCGGGAGTTTTGAGGGTGAACGATGCGGGGAATCCGCCCAACCGACATCGAGTTATTTGGAAGCGTGACCAAGCCACCTTTTTTATGATGTTCTCTATATGGCTCCGTCACCTATTCTTTAAATTGGATTGAACCGATATTTGGTCTTCTTTAAGTATCTGATCTGAGCGTGGGTCTCTTGCAGATTCGAATGTTCGTTGACGAGAGCCTGCGTCATGGAGGGTCACACAACGTCTACATCATCGTGGGAGGACTTCGTGCAATGGCCTGTCGGGTCGGGTCTGGGTCGAGGTCTTCTACGTATAATGTACAGAGTTGCACTGGGGCGAAGCCATAAACTAGTTGATTCTGAGATTGATGATCACTCCCTGCGCAGCTGCAGTGGATGTGTATACCGACAGTGGGTTTGTCTACGGAGATCTATATGCAGACTATATCACAATAGATGACAAAACGCCGATTTCCAGTCAACAGGGCAAGCAAGATACGAGGGAATAAGGAATTCAAATCTTTCCGACCAATGGAATCAGAATAGTCGATGAGAATTGGGCACCTGTTGCGCCATCGCAGGCCACTATTCCCATCTGCGGCAACTAGTAAACAACGCCGAAATTGAAGAGAAAGAAAGCTTCGAGACCATCGGTATATCGAGGCTCTCGGAAAGAAAGAGACATCATAAGGGTTGCCGGCTCCAGGTTGTCGAGGTCCGAGCAAGATCTTTTCCAGTGGGCACTTGACTAGGCACCCATGAACGCGTGAAAAATGCACCGCGCATGGGCCGATGAGCTGGCCGCGAGTCACAAGTGCGAGCTGTCCAGAACATTCGTACTTTTGACGAGTCCAGATTGGGCGATGCACGGAGGATCACGGACCTGCTCTCAGGGACCCGAGGAGAAGCCTTGACGGGGGATATGAATACTCAGAGAGGTAGAACCGGTAATTCACGAGAGGGAAAGCATTGATGCCTTGGACACATTGACATCATCAAGAGGTGTTCGGCAGGAAATTTGGGCGGAACGCACATGACAATCGGGGAGTTCCATCACACCAAAACAATTCTCTTATCGCGCTCCTTTTCCTTTCACCATTTCCACCTTCCCCTTTGCTCGAACTCCAGTCTCCGGTATCTCTTCTCTGTGACCTACCTTGACTTCTTTGATTCGCCATGGCCGACTCTGGTGACGTTAGCTATCCAAACACGGGCAGTAAGGTTCGCAGCGACCCTAACAACTCCTATTGATTCCTGCTGCTCGGTGATGCTAACTAGCTCTGCAGTTTATACTCTCTCCCTATTCTTCAGCTTCCATCTCCCTTAAATGACCCTGGACTGACCCCGTACTCCCCTGGGTGCAGGCCTCAGCGATGTGGTGACAAAGGGTAATCCAAACTCTCCACGGGTGTGCGGAGGGCTTCCTGAACCATTCCATCTAATGCGTACTTTTCTAGGCCCGGTTATCGATACCGTCAAGTCTGAAGCTTCCAAGACCAGCGGCGAGCTTCGCAACCTGAAAAACTCACGGGTGACCCCCTCGACTACCACCGACAATGACCAGCCTTTGACCCGTATGTGTTGGCCTAACCGAACAGAGGTTCGGGTGATAGGGGTAGCAAAAAGCTGATTGACGTGCAGACTACCACTCCTTGCTGTATAGCCTGTTGAGCGTGAGTTGCCGCGAGACTCTTCAGTTGTGTCATCTGTTTTGCTGACCCCCTCCTGTGTACAGTGGGAGCAACCCCGTGCGACCGCCGTTTCCTACGCCAGCGTTGTCGGCTTAATTTTCGCCGCCCGCTACCTGCCTCTCCTCCGCTGGGCCTTCAAGATTTTGTACATGTCGTTGGGATGTGAGTTGGTCGCGTGATCGGTAGTTTCCGGAGTGGGCAACTGACTTTGTCTCGCAGTGACCGCCACGGTTGAGATTGTCGGCCATGTCATTCTCAAGCAGGGTATCGCTAGCTCTTTCCGTCCCCGCCGCTACTACACCATCCCCAAGGAGACACATGAGGCCATTTTTGAGGACCTGTCGCAGCTCGCGGACTTCTTCCTGATCGAGTTCCAGCGCATCCTGTTCGCCGAGAATGCCGCCCACACCGTCGGTGTATGTATTTGATGGCTGCCCCGTGGATACAGGAATGAATGTTTAACGTGTCGCAGGCTTTCCTCGCAGCCTTCACCGGCTACTGGCTGATCCGCTTCGTCCCGATCTGGGGCCTGGCCGTGATTTCCGTGACCATCGCCTACTTCGGTCCCCTGGTATACATCAGCAACCGTGAGATTATCGACGAGCAGATCGCCAACCTCCAGTCTATCGTCAGCTCCCAGACCAACCAACTGAAGGATCTGGCCGGCGAACACACCTCCCACGCCACCGGCGTCATGAAGCAGTACGTCGGCGAGTACAGCTCCAAGGCTCAGGAGTATATCGGCCGCCGGTCCGCCTCTCCCGAGATGAGCAAGGTTGCCCCGACCCCCGTGAAGACTGAGCCCGTCTCGGAGCCCGTGATCAAGACCGAGGACTTCCCGGAAGCCCCCAAGGTCGAGCCCCTTGCCCAGTCCGTGGAGTTGACCGAGCCGGCTCAGCAGGCCGAGCGGGAGCCTCTCCTGGCCATTTAAACGCGCACGTCTCATAATATCCTAACTTGCCGGACTAGGTGACTGTCAACGACGATCATCGATTCGATGAGAATGGAAATATGCCTTGCAATCTTGTTGATTCTCAACGATGCTTGACGGTACGCGAGATTGGTGGTGAGGGTCCTCCATTTACTCGTCGGGTAATTTGGGATGTACATCAAGCCCCGACACTGCTTGCACGAAAACTATGTGGAACGCTCGGATGATGAATCTGTTTTCATGCCTCCCGTGGTCCTTTACTGTTCACTTTACTTTTTACCTTTCTACCTTTACCTCCTGTCTATTCTGTCTTCTCGGACCCTTTGTTTATTTCGTTTCGGGTTCATATTGTTTTAATGCAATTAAGATAATCTCATGAACTTGACGTTTGCCCCCTCATAGATCCTAATGAAGTTCTCATGCAGCTTACCGGTCCTCGACCTTCTCGCAAAAGCGCCAAACGTATCATCGCGCTGGAACGGATCATTTGTCGTGTTCCCAAGCTGTACGATCTGCGCAAGAGCCTCGACTCGACCGACTTGGGGACAATTGTTGGATATGGGGCCTGGAAGTGCCCCCGTATTGCTTTACGCTCCCGCATGAGTAACGCGCACGACGCCGTACGAGACGGCCGTTGGGTCTCATCCCGGTCCACCAGCCTCCCAACTCTCCGCATCGTGATTCGGGCCGGCCTGGGGGTGCATCTGTCACCTCTTTCCTCATCTTGTGCTCGAAGATTGGCCTTGTTGAAATGAGCTCGGCACGGCTTTCCACTTGGTTCAAAGCCAATCGTATCCCGATCAGGTCGTACTATTGCCTGGTATATATTAGATGTGCGGTTTGTGTGTGATGAAGCAGCCTGAGCTCTGTCACCATAAGCGTATGGAGGGACTGGGGCCCAAGAATCAGATCAGACTTGTATGGTTTGAAGTTTAGACCTCGCAGATTCAGCAGGGATTTCTGATGAGAAGGTGAGAAGGATCCTGGACAGGAGTAATAAGTTATCCTGCACAATTAACGGCGGTATTGCTTCAATTGCCGCTAGCTTCATCCAAATCCGCTGTGGCCGTAGTAATTACCATAACGGGGGCATTGGGGAGAATGCTACATTGCCAGCAGTGGAAGATCTAACTATATGAAGGATGTCGAGGTTGTTTTTGGAATTTCATTGAAGACGAGGACCTTGAGGAGGCCCGAGCCCTCACAGCAACATTCCAATTGAGATCTCCAGTCCTCGCTCACTCTTCCAGAAGGCCAGTAGAACAAGTTCAAAAGCTCTGGACACGCATGCTCATGTTTACCGCTCTTTTGGGCCCAAAGAGCAGTCGCCAATTGCCAGTCTGTCTAAGACATTGGGATCTCGGCCTCTCTTCTGGCCTCTCGGTCTCAGACTCGTATGGTTGAGCTGCAGACCAAAGTTAACATGGATTCTGGGGATAGCTAGTTGTAATCATCACTTTTTCTTGTGGCAGGTTGTCTTGATCGCAAGGTAAATTGGACTGTGTCCAGGTAGAAGATATCGTAAGATCTGCACCGATCATGCTGTGCTCTGATCTGCAGATTCTCCCAAAGCCAGTTGGTGCGGGGCCCCTAGACCTGTCAGGGATACAGGCTGCATGGCGTAAGTGGATACAATGGGAGAAAGTTGAATAATGGACTGGGGCAAAAGTCGGAGATGCTGGCATAGACCTGAACCCGAACAGGAACGGAAGATGTAACCGTCAACGTGTCTAACTTGTGCAGAGAAGCATGCATGGAAGCTTCTACGACTCTGAAAGTACCAGAGTATCCACTTTATGATGCAGCCCTGATAGTTCAAAGAGCGGTCTCGGGCTTTCATGTCGCCGGGAGGCGAAGTGCGTTGCAAGACATCCCATGAGTCTGTTTGAATAAGACTTTGAGTAGCTACATACCTGGATAGCCCCTGTACAGGCCAATGTGTGGACGACAGGATATTGTGTGTCCAGTACTGGGTCAGAAGTTTATGTCTTGCAGCGCTCTTCCACAGAAACGGACGGGGAAGGACTCGTTAGAAGACCATGCAAACTCCCGTTATACAAGGAATCGATGCCCTGCAGCCATCCGAAGTCTCAGACCTTTTTGATGTCCGTATCGTCGAGCCATCCGGATTTAAGTCTACTATTGGACGTCGGACGCTGCTCCTAATTCTCCGGTTGCTCTACTACCCTGCGATCCCCACGACAAGGTCAACGCTCGTGGGAGGTTTCATTCGATACAGCCTCCTTCACACGGATCAAAGCAGGTGCTATGTTTGATGGTTACATTGACAAGATTGGGAGACATCCAAAGCAGAGTAAATTACTGAGTTACTTTAATATACGCGTATACTGCCGCCAACGGTCTGTTTGCATGGATAGGTACCTGGAAGAGATAGCGGTGGCCAGCAAAAGCAGCTGTGAATTTCCATGAATTATCCAGGAAAACGTCTCTTCGCTCTTTGGGCTTCCAGGTCTTGGGTACCCACAGCGGCAGTGAAACCGGTGAGGCCTCGAATCTAAGAGACATGGGTTTCATACTCCAGGGGTCGTCAAGAAAATCGATGACACCATGTACACTGCATGACCAGGCCAATGTTGAAGTCAATAGCGTGGGAGAGACAAACAGACCCACGGGCGACTCGTTCGACTTCAATAGCCTCGTGATAGAAGGAACCGGTGAGGCGATTCTCGGAGCCACACTGCCAGCTTCCATCTGTAACTGCGGTAGATACATCAAGGCACACCGCTAGCACCTCGGAACATTCAAAACCTGTACTCACCCTACGGAGCAAACCTAAGAACAAAGGTGAAGGAGCATGATATCAAACTGACTTGTCTTTGATCTTGATTCTCTCCTTTCTGCACGAGCTTCTGGAAACGCCTCTTGTTCCACACGTGGTCCTCCTCGCTGCTTTATTTTCTCTCCCATCAAACCTTTTCTTCATCGAAGTCTACTTTTCTCACTACCTCTTCAACTGATATTCTTCATGGCATCGATTAAAGACCTACTGAATCCATCCCCAGATTCACCCCCGCAACTTCCCAAGGCACACTTTCAGGAGCGCCCCAAGACACTTTTTACAGAGCTACCTAGGGCGTACTACGGGCTTCTTTCGCGTGTAAATAACGCACCGCCAGCGACTACTGCCTCACCTGTTCATGAGAAAAGGTCCAAGATGCCAAAGGATAGCCCGGTATTTCGACCTGGAAGTACTCAGGGAGAGGTCCGATATCCTCCCTGCGAGGAGCGTGATGAGGAGCTCACCAAGATCCACAAGGAGTTTCAACTGCATCCTATGGGCAAGATCGCCCAATACCCTCGTCATATCCCGTACCAGAGTGACAAGAAGTCATTTCAGGAGAAGACTGGTCGTGATAGCTTTCATGGTATGTATCCGGTTGCTGCTATACCGCCAAATGCTAACACTGATATTCTCCAGTCTTCCAATATACGTTTCAGGAACCAGGCACCCAGGAAGTGTGGACAGTGATGTGGGATTACAATATTGGACTTGTGCGCACTACGCATCTATTCAAGTGTCTGGGCTATCAAAAGGTATTTGCTGTGGATTATCGTCTGCAGGAAGGACCTAACATCATGATTCTAGACTGTTCCCGGTAAAGCGCTGGCCCAAAACGAAGGCCTGCGTGAAATCTGCCACAGCATCACCGGCGGAGCGCTTGCAGCTCAAGGTAAAAGTCTCCGCTCCCCGAAGCCCCAAGCCATACTAAAGTTGCTGTCTAGGCTACTGGTGGCCATACAAAGCGGCCAAGGCTATGGCTGCCACTTTCTGCTGGAGAATTCGCTACGCCTTGACGCCCCTGTTCGGCACAGACTTTCCGTCCATGTGTATTCCTCCAGAGGACCAAACTAAACATGGCCGGATGGTCATCCACAAAAGCATCGTGGCGGAAGCCACAGAGATCGCCCGCCTCTACCGTGACCTGGAGCTCCAGAAAGCCCGTGCTGGCTCAAACCAGGGCTCTAGATCATCTGGCCCTGAGCACCAGAAGACATGTTCTCAGTCCTCTTTCGTCTACGGCGACCGAGATCATCGGCGAGTCAAGTCCAAGTTCCCTCGACACAGATACGAGGACAGTATTGGCAGTGCTCGGGACTCATCCTCGGAACCGTGCTGTAACTCTCCTAGGAGCCCTACTCACAATCCCTGGACACCGGTCAATGGTCCGCCTCGCAGCTCGGACGTTGTAACCCCCCAAAGCGATATCTCTCCCGGTGATTTCTTCCGTCCCCTCATTACCTATCGAAAGCGTGGTCTGTCGGCCGAGGAGACTGGTTCTGAGGCCGGCCTCAGTCCCATGCCCAACTTTCCCTCACTCGGGAAAGAGGATGCCGAGATGGGCGAAGCGGACTCAGGCGTCGCCGATGTAGAGTCCGCTGGAAGCCTTTCTGACACGAGCATCTCGGGAGACGATTCCGTTGATGATGACGATGACTACCGGGTACCTGTCTCCCGAGGCTCGACGAGCGATGAGGCTCCCGGTGAGAGGGCTAAGAATCCTCCTCGCTCTGCCAGGAGTCGGGGGAGTGAACTTCTGCCGCCCTTGGGCCACTTTGCCCATGAGGTCAAGGCTGCTCATGCCCTGCTTCATCTGCATATGCAGGAGGCCAAGGACAACGAGAGTGACACCGATGAAGCCATGGATTGGTCGCCTTGGAAAAATTCAGTCACCTCACACACCCTGAAAGTTGTTCCCGAGACTGACAAGAGACGTTGTGCTTCTCTGTGAACGGACACTGTTCTTTTACAGGCCTGGATCCTGTATTTCTCCCGCAGGAAGCGCCAGAGGCTGGTTCAGGGATGGCAAATTGAATATTTTTGATTTATTCCAGCTATGGAGTTACTATGGTTTGAGTTCATCGGTCTTAGAATGGTTGGCGTTGCATGCACATGTTTAATTCTGTTGAAATTCAGGATATGCGTCGATCTTCTGCAAAAGAATGAATGTGCCTTTTCGTTGTAGACAATTCACCGATTTTATTCGGCCGATAGTTGCTGTCGAGGCTCTAGGATACTAGGTCTTTCGGCAGCTTCTTCTCCAAGGCTTATGCGCGACCATCCATATTCATAAATGTGGCCTGGTATCTACGGTGAGAAGGAAGATCAACATCAAGATCTAATTCAATAGAATTTAGACATCAGACGCCTGGAAAAACACCACAACAAGTCGCATTCTGCAAACAGTGACTGGCTCTGCCTGAACACCAAAGAAAGCATAAAATGATAAAAAAGACACCAGCTAAAAAAGGAACAGGCAAAATCAGTGCCCCAGTGCAAGGAGAACGAAAAACTATATTCCCCAGCGCCCCCGGTGCTAATCTAGTCACTCTCATCTTCATCTTCGAAATCATCGGCCGATCCCTCATCTTCACTTTCATCTTCGATGACATAGGTCTTCTTTGCTTGCGTGGCTGTGCGTCGAGACGGACGAGCTGCCGCAGCTCGTCGAGGCGCAGGCGCGGGCTCATCATCCGATGCGTCCCTCTTGCCTGCTGGGGAATCTAGAATGTCATTGGCCATGGCATCAATGTCATCCTCCGAGAAGTCATCAACCGGCTTCTTCTTGACCGTCTTTGCCGGGGCAGACTTGGCAGTTGCCGCAGCGGCATCCTTCTTCGGCCGACCACGGACCTTTGGGACAGCAGCAGCCTTGGGGGCAGCCTTGGGCTTGGGCGCGGGCTTCGCTTTAGGAGCAGGCTTCATGGGCGAGTCTTCCTCCTCTTCATCATCATCCTCATCCTCGATCCTTGAGACTTCCCTAGGCTTGATTTGCAGCGAACGTCGAGGCGAGTTCTGAGGAATAAGCTTGCTGTAGTCGGTCGCATCCGGGTCGAAATCATTGTTGCTCTTGGTGGCCGACCTGGGAGGCAACAAGCTGGCGCTACTTCCAGCACGGGATCGCGAAGAAGAGATCATGGGCCGAGACTCCGAGTCACCACCTCCGATGCCCTTGACCATCTGACTGACATCACCGAGGAGGTCATCTCCGTTGTCGCTGTCCGAGTCGATGGGCGCGGCATACTTGACGGGTTTGCGAGCACGAGCACCAGACTGAGCAGCAGGCTTGGGGGCTTCCTTTGCAATCTCGAGGAAATCGTCATCGGAATCATCATCGACGACGGGCTTGGCTTTGGGCTTAGGTCCTCGCCTCGCAGCCGGCTTGGGCTTTGGCTGATCCACTTCGGGCTCCTCGTCCACATCAAATGGATCAGGAGCGGGCTGGGCCGATGTGTGAGAGGGAGCGTCTGCGGGATTCTCGTCCATGTCCATGAAATCACCATCATCAACGTTTTCTGCCTTGGGCGCTGGCTTCGATGCTCCGCGGCTCTTCTTGGGCATTACTTCCATCTCAAATTCAAAGTCGTCATCCGAGTCAACAGCCCCATCGGTGGGTGATGCCTTCGGTTTGGCCGATGATTTGTTGAGGAAATTAGCCAAGCTGTTAGTCGGCTGTTCTTTCTTCTTAGCCGCGGTCGTCTTCTTCGCTTTTGGCGCCGCAAAGTCCTCATCATCCGGGTCATCGCCGGCAGCAGCCTTGCGCTTGCGTGCCGCAGCGCCACCCCGAGCACCAGCGGAAGTCGCGAGCTTCGATGAGACACGACGGCCCAGGCCAGCAGCCTTACGGAGACGGCGCTCTTCATCCTCGAGCTGGAAGCGCCACTCGTTGATGAAATCATCCAGATCCTGATTCCAAATGTCCTCTTTGGAGAGCTTGATCAAGGCATCAACCTCCATCTCACGATCGCCAATCTGGCGACGGAGTTTCTCAACACGCTCTTGGGTTAGCGACCAGATTGGCATGCCGAGCAGGTAGTCGTAAGAGCTTGACAACACCTCGGTCTCGCGGTTATCGGCTTCCCCGCCTTCCTCGACGACAGGCTCGTCCTCACCCAGCTTGGCGGCTTCGACCACCTTGGCAATAGGCTTGAAGCCCTTCTCCTTCAGTTCAGTGACGAGAACACTCTTCTTCTTCTTAGAGATGACCAGCGAGCCATCGATAATCATTTGAATAAAGCGAGCTTGGTTGCTCAGCTTCTCCAATTCCTTCTGAAGTTCTGAAAGCTGGTGTTGCTTGCGGCGCTCGTAGTACTTGAGACGAACGGTGTAGAACTCCTTAAGGATATCATCAACAGTGGAGTACTTGGTGATACGACCTTCCGGATCGAAGGCGACCAGATTAGTGGTTGCAATGGTCTTGGAGAGCTTGAACTTCTCTTCCAGGCCGCCTGATAGGGCGGATTTCATGTTCTTCTCGTCGAGCTGAATCACGAAGTGAACCTTGCTGTGGGTGTTGTAGTCTCTGTAATCCTTGATGAACGAGGGCACCTTCTCAGCCTTGATGATTTCTTCCAACTTGTCTTTGAAGTCCTGAGTCCAGGTGCGGATGGGCAACTCGGTGATTTCAACCTCCTTGTCGCCAGTCTCCTTGATGATACCACTGAACTTGTATCGATCGCCGCCCAAAGCGACAACTTCGCCAGTAAATCCACGGAACCAAGGCTCCATGGGCACAACGGGCTCGCCTTTCATCAATCGCTTGATGTTGCTGACCACATCCTCGGGATTGTAGTTGGGAATCGAGGAACTCCATCCGGTTCCGATACCATCGGCACCGTTGATCAGGATCATAGGAACCACGGGCATGTAGGTTTCAGGTTCAATTTTCTGACCATCGTCCATGTTGTAAGTCAGCAACGGCTCGTCCGCGGTGTGGAAGACTCTGCGGGCGAACGGCGACAGGCGAGTGTAAATGTAACGAGCACTGGCACAATCGCCACCACCCTGGAGTCGACTACCAAAGTTTCCACTTGGTTCAAGGCAGTTGATATTGTTGGAACCGACAAAAGTCTGAGCCAAGCCAACGATCGTTTGCTGGAGCGAGGTATCGCCGTGTTGGTAGGCCGTCATTCCGGAAACGAGACCGGCCAGCTCAACGACCTTCATATCCTTCTTCAAGTTACGGCGGAAGCAAGTGTACAACACCTTGCGCTGACCGGGTTTCAGACCATCGACGACGGACGGAATGGAACGCTGGTTGTCCGCCATACTGAAAAGAATGAGCTCCTTGTTGATGAAGTCGGTGTAAGTGATCTTGGCTGTGGTGTGATCCAAAAAGGTACCAGGCTTGTACTGGCGCAACCATTCCTTTCGCTCATCTGCTTTCTTCTTAGAGAATGCCAGCTCGATAAGCTCCGCTTCTTTCTCTTGCATAGTGTGAAACTCTTTGAGGTGACGATCAAGGTCGCGGAAGTAGACCTGGGCATCCTCTGTGGAACTAGTTCCCAAACCCTTGTAGTACTTGTGGTCCCATCCCCGTTCATCTTTGTGCTCCTCCTTCCACGCCTCATACTCTGGCATGGTGAAGAATGATTTCGATTTGGATGGGTTCTTGGGATCACCTTTCCAAACCTTGATAATTGGGGTGATGAATTCGATGAGGAATTCAGGGATCTTGAGCAAGCTCGGGAACTGCGCCTGAAGGAAGTTGATGAGTAAACCCTTGATGTGACTACCGTCGTGATCCTGATCAGTCATAATCATGATGTGCCCGTACCGGAGACCCTTAGTTTCGGTGTACTCCTTTTTGTGCTGCAGGCCAATGAAGTTCTTGATGTTTTGGATTTCTTGGTTCTTGGAGATTTGGTCGAACGACGCATCACGGACGTTGAGCAACTTTCCACGAAGTGGGAAGACACCGAAAAGATCGGGACCTACGACCGCACGTCCAGCCATGGCCAGACCCTTGGCAGAGTCACCTTCCGTCAGGATCAGGGTGCAGTGATGGCCTTCCCGAGTACCCGCCTTATTGGCTTCCACGAGCTTGGGGTTGTTCATGCGGGTGCGGCGTCCGCCATCACTCTTCTTCAGGATTTGATCGGCTTTTTGCTCAGCAAAGTGCAGGATGTTGGACATCACTTCCGTCTTGAGGACCTTCTTGTAGAAATCTTCTTCGAGGACACACTTGCTACCGAACTGGCTCGCCTTGGTGGTCAACTGCTCCTTGGTCTGCGAGGTGAAAGCAGGATTGACAATGGAAGCATTGACGAAGATGAAGATGTGGTTTCGGATCTGGGCGGTCTTCAGAGTAGCACCACTCTTGTTTCTCTTCTTGACCTGATCAGCCAGGCGATTACAGATCTGATCGGCAATGTAGTTAACGTGAGTTCCTCCAGAGGTCGTAGCAATAGAGTTGACGAACGAAACCTGCTGGAAGGCACCATCTGAGACCGCAAAACCAATCTCCCAGCGAGGGTCGGGGCTGCAGGTTATGATCTCGTCCTTGGCAGGGGGGCCGTCATCACCACGCTCCTTGCGAATAGCCTTGGTGTACATCTCCATGTACTTTCGGAAGTTCCGAATCGGAACACGCGTACCATTCAGCTTGACAGCAACGCTGGATGTACCCGCCAGATCGTAGACACGGCGCTTCACGAGGGCCTCGAAGTCGTCGTCGATTCCCTCCATGCCAAACTTGGAGAAGTCGGGCTTGAATGTGACCTTGGTGTAGTCATCGCCCTTGGCGGCATCGGTTATCTTCGCCTTGCCCATCTTGGTCATGTTGTCGTTCCAGGTTTGCTTGTACTTCTTCTTTTGGCGCGAGTCCTGAGTTTCGATGGTGAATTCGGTTGAAAACACGTTACACAGCTTAGCACCGAAACCGTTTCGGCCACCAGTGACCTTCTGCTGGGTATCGTCATAGTTGGAAGATGTGAGAAGGTGGCCGAAAATAAGCTCCGGAACGTAGATCTTCTCTTTGGAGTGGATCTCGATGGGAATACCACGTCCATTGTTCCACACGCTGATTTCACCGTTCTCGCGACTGATGGTCACCCGGATCTCGTTCATGTTCTTATCGTTGTGCTTGTTGTCGGCGGCGTTGACAACAATTTCGTCAAAGATTTTGTAGAGACCGGGAACAAAAGAGACTTGACGGAACTCCATCGACTCGGACTCAGAGTTGTAAACCCACATCTGTTGGGAGGTAGCCTCTATGGAACCAATGTAGGTATCAGGACGTTTGATGATGTGTTCAAGTTGTGTAAGCTGTTGAACCCCAGCATTAGCGCGAATCCCGGTGGAAATATCGGTCCTATCGAGGGACTCACCTTCTGGTACTTCTCCGATGCATTTCCGTTCTTCCCCGCCGCCTCAGATACACCTTCTCCTCCAAAGGACTCATTCTCCACATCTGCGAGCGGCTTTGAGCCAGCTCGTTTAGGCGCAGAAGCCTTCTTCGCCTTAGGAGGGGTGTGGGAGAGCAAGGAATCGCCATCATCATCATCATCATCGGACATGTGTGCATCAGACATTTCATCTTCACTGTCGGCCTTGGCCTTCTTTTTGGCGGGTGCTGATTTGGCCTTCGGCTTAAGTGTGGTCTGGGTCATCTTCTTGGTGGTTGCTTTGGGGGCGTTAGCCGCCTTCTTCGAAGCCGCCTTGGCCTTGGGCTTCTGAATAACAATGTGATTAGCGGCGCGGCCTTGGGGGAGTTTTGATGGAACCAAGTCTTACTGGCGCAGGCTCGGGGGCAAAATCAGAGCTCCCGCCATCGGAGATATCGAAGACGGAGTCATCCATCAGAGAGTCGTCCATGGTGGAAGGTGATCCGGACGAGGAAACCGGCGATGGCAACCGAGAAAATCGGTCTTAAACCGAGGAAAAACGAAGGACTGGGTCAATCAAGCGAAGAAACAGTAAAAACTACGTGATGAAGCGGTCAGAGCCCAGCATGCTCGTGCTGGCGAGGGAGAGATGAAGAGGGGGATGCAGGCGTGTTTTCCCGCGCAAAGTGAAACGCGACTGCCAGCGGGTTGTAGGGCGGTGAGAGGAGTGGCCACTCGGACCATCGTTGATCCTCACCGCCTGCGCAGCCTTCGTCCCATTTAGGAAATTTGACAACAAACGTGCGGAACGGGGAAAGCGTGATAAGGGCTCTGCGCTTGGCAGGTGCGATGCGCGCAGTTGTAATTGTCTGCTTTTCAGTTCAGTGCATCGTATATTGATAAGGGTTACATCTCCGAGTGGGTTAACCATCTTAGAGCTCTAAATCAGAAAGAAAAAAAAAAGAAAGAAAAATAGGGTTTGACTTGCCAGCGAGCTATATATACTCTTGAAGCTACAGTGGTGTTGCAAGAGTTTGAAACCACCTTATGTACCTTTCTTTACCGCCTGCTTGTTAGAAGCACACTAACGCCCGTTGAGAGAATATGAATGGTGGAACTACTAATTGCCGGCAGAATAAATAGCTCGGTACCTAAAAGGGTTTCAAACTCTTGGAACGCCACTGTAGTAGATCTGGTATTCCCCGCGTTCGATTCCTCCATGGCCGGAATATGGGACCCCCACAATACATTTACATTCAAACCCGGGAATTCATTGTATAAGTGCCAATCTTGAAGGGTTAGTATCACAAAGACTACAAACCCGTCTCTGTTGACTTCCAAGGTTCGTACAGCAGTACTGGAAATGCAGACTAGCTGGCGCCCAGCGTGTGGAAGTTACCTAGGTAAAATAATCAGCTCAGGGAAGAATAGGATCCGGACATCAATTTTCAAAAGGATAGTCCTGAGACTTGAGCTCTTCCGTGAGAGAAATATCTCTCACTGTTCTGAAGCTAGGTGACATTGATTGATAGAAAATGGATGTCCCGGCGTAGTCCGCGGACGGCGTTGCAAGGGTGGTGGCAACCCCAGATACGAATGGACATGTCTGGCACTGTATGGGTTACCGTGTGCCATATAAACAACCTTTGGAAATAGATTCCCAGGTTGTGTAATCAGTTTTTCCTCATCCACTAGTACCTATCTGACTTGCGTTAGTTTCCTGCGGGCGCGCAGTACAGCATCTACAACCCTTGCATGGCACCAGATAAGGAGACCAGAAGAACAATCTGAGCAGAGCGGCCCGTCTGGTTGACAAAATATTATTCCGAATAACATGAACAGAAAAGGTAGTTTTGAAACATATCATTAGGATGAGAAGATGAAAGTGTCTATGCATCTGGAGACGACTGATGCCCAAGACATGTACTACTACTCCATACATATGTACTACTAGAAATCCCCAATTTTCAGTCTTTCCCAAGGCCCTCGGAGGTTTAATCCCGGCGGACCGCACGGACCAGGGGAAGATCCACTGAAAGGGGCGCTGTCCACGGCCCCTTAGGGGAGGTCGCTGTCAGAGCGAGGGGGAGATTGTACGGTTTGTGCTATTTGACACCGGAAGGGTGTGTGAAAGTATCCCAGCTGTCGGATGCAATTCCTCCTTAGGGGTCCTCCCTTAGCGCCGTGCAGAGGAGAACTGGTTAAGGTGAAACAGGGCCGCCGCAGGGGCTGTCACCATGTTTCGTACCCGGCGAAGTATATTAAGTAATATACTCCCAATGAGAGCCAGCGTTTTTCAGCATGGTCCAATAATCAAGCAAATAATTTACACCGATAGTTCTATCTGTACAGGAGTTACAGTCTGTCTCCGTGCATCCACCCCTCTAATATCGGAGGCTGTACCTGCAGGTTATTTTCACATAGCAAACTGTCAAGCTCATAAAAGAAATAGCAGTAAACTTAGGATATCATGTGAGTACATACGTGACTGGAAAGGAAGATTCAAGTGAAGATTCGAGACACAGCCGGGGCCCACGGATCGCGGGTGCATCCATGGTACAGCCGGGGGGAAGACGCGCAAAGTAAACAGGGGGCACATAACGCACCAGGGGGCCAAAGGAAATAAGCCAAGAAAAGCGAATCAATAATTACAGCATTAGCGTAACCGTCAGACAGTCGGTGTATGAGGGGAGATCGACGAGGGGCGAGACTCGAGGGGAAACTAAAGGGGTTAGCGAAATAGTGGGCGGTGGGTTCTCTCCTGACCTCCCTTTTTCTTTTCTTTCTACATTGCTACACGTCCGTCCATACATAGACGAGAACTCTACGGTGCTGGATCACCTTCAGGTAGGCTTCCGCTTTCTGCTTCCGTTCCTTGTTTCCTGCGCAGCGGCGAACTGACCTCGTTACCAAGAGATGAAGCTGGTCTTGATTACCCTCTCCACGACCTCCACACTGCTCAACTCCGATCTCTAATTGACCTTCCTCGGCCACTGTTTCATACATTTTCATTTAAGACACTCCTACAGCATGGCAAACTCAGAGCCTGCATCTCCCGGGGTGCCCCATGCCCCCAACCACGACTCTATGGTCACCGTCTCGTTATCCGACATACAATCCAATTCAGAGCACACACAGCCGGACTGGCGAAACCTCGACATTCCCCCGACTCCGGTGGAATCCACCCATGGGCCCGAGGGCAACCACTCCAAGACCGAGTCGTTCGGTCCCATGGCTCTCCGGGATGCGGCGAGGACAACCCCCACTCCAGTAGACGAGCCCCCAACCCCAACCTCGACCAAAGATAAGACCTCGGATGAAGAGACGGATAACGAAGTGGACTGGGAGAACCTGGAGAAAACGGAGGAGAAGGAGCCCCGCGGAGAGGGCTCAGACGAGGTAGGTGACTTGCGATGCCCCCCTCCCGTGAGGAGTGGACCCTGACCATTTTCGCTCTGCTAGTCGACGGCTCTGCTTCTCGCTCGTTTAGAACAAGAGAACAATGCCCTGGCCACAAATCCAAAGTCTGGAATATCCAGTCCTCCCCGGGCTCAGAAACACCAGCGGCAATCTCGTTCCCAATCATTAATCCAGATCAAACGGTTGATCAATGACCCGGCTCGGTCAGAACTTCGCTACTCTCAGCTGCCTCCTCCCCCGATGACCGAACTCGAGTTCTGGGCTGCTCTAGTCGCGGACTACCATCAGACGGCCCAGCGACTGCCGACCCTGACGTCGAATAAGATCCAGAGCGGTGTTCCTCCGCCTCTCAGAGGGGTGGTGTGGCCCAGTCTTGCAGGTGCCCGTGACCCCACGCTGCTGGAAGAATTCCAACGGCTCTCCGGCGAGAGCAGTCCATATGATGGACTCATCGGGAAGGACATTGGCCGCAGCTTTCCCAATGTGGAGATGTTCCGCGACCCGAATGGCGAGGGTCAGCAGATGCTGGCCAGAGTACTACGTTGTTTCAGCTTGTACGATGCCAAGATCGGTTACTGTCAAGGCCTTGGGTTTGTCGTCGGTCCTTTGTTGATGCATATGTCGGATACGGAAGCTTTCTGTGTGCTTGTTCGGTAAGAATTCCCGGCAGACCGAGCCGGACAGATCGGACACTGACCGATGTATAGTCTCATGGACCATTATAATCTCCGCACTTGCTACTTACCGGACTTGTCGGGTCTTCACCTTCATGTCTACCAGTTCCAGAACCTTCTCGCGCGCCACCGACCAGCACTGTTCGAGCACCTAGAGTCCCTAGGTGTGGAACCGGTATATGTATCTCAATGGTTCTTGTCATTCTTTGCAGTGGCATGCCCATTGCCGATGCTCCTCCGAATTTACGATGTCATTTTCCTCGAGGGTGCTTGTGAAACCTTGATGCGCGTTGCCCTTTCACTGATGCAGCGAAACGAGCAGAAACTCATAGCTTGTACTGAATTTGAGGATGTCATGCAGTTGCTTCTGTCGCGAAGCCTTTGGGATACGTACGCATTCAACGCGGATGATCTAGTCAATGATTTCGTGTCATTGACATCCTTGGTCACGAATGAGAGTCTACAGACTTTGGAAGCCAGCTACAATCAGTCCCAGGGTGTGCCTACTGGGGTTTCTTTCCCATCCATGCAGGCTGCCGCTTCTCGCTTCCTTGGACGTCTCTGGGCGGGCTCCGGCTCTCACAACTCGGTCAAATCCCTGAATCCCAACCCCAGCCCGTCTCGTCCCACCAGTACCATCCGCCGCTCGACTTCAAAACAAAGCTTGACTTCTACCCTCAATTCCATCGAGACCACCTCCGACACCAGCACCGCTCCCACCGAACTTTCTACCGCGACGATCAGTGTGGATGGCCATAACTCACGCGTCAAATCCAACATGTCAGCACACAAGGATCGCGATCTTCATACACAGATTGAGGATCTTTTGATGGCGTTGAGCGATCTTCAACGCCAACAGGCAGATTTGACACGCGAATTGCAACAGGAGCGTGAGGAGCGCGAAGAAGACAATGCGGTGGCAAGAGAGATGCTCAGTCACCTGCAGGAGCAGGATACCGGCGATCAGCCCAGTGACCTGATCTCGAAAGCGCAGGCCCGATTCTCTTCAGAGGAACCCAAGCTCACGTCAATTCCCCAAACTAAGCACCAACTCCACGACGACATGAGACGGTGGAAAGAAATGCACGAGGTGGAAGCTCGCCGGTGCTTGGGCCTTACACGGCGCATGGACGAGTACGAACAAGAAAATTCTTCTCTGAAGGAGCAACTCCGTGAGGCGCGTGGCCGAATCCAAGATGGATATCGCGATCGGCAGCGACTGGAACGGAAGAACCAAGAGCTTCGTGCGAAGACACCGACTTCGGAGTCGCCAACACCCCCCAGACGTCATGTTTTCGGTGGCGAATTCCACTGAAGCAAACTCACCCAACGGTCTTCGTGAATTCAAATTGGCGCGTACCAATTCGCAGAAGAATCCTACATTCAGCAAGCGGTCCAGCAGCCTGGGTCTTCAGAATGTCCTGTCCACCGAAAATAACAAACCCGCTGCAGAGGAAACCCTGCTTCTCGAGCTGGTCAATGCGAAGACGGCAGAAGCAGTCGCCAAACAAGAGTTGGAGGAAGTGAAGGGCAAGCTGGACGCGTTGCGAAAGATGATTAGCGCGCCCAATTCACAACCCGAAAACCGGCATTCTTTCATCGGCCGCGCACCCTCCCTCCCGAGTTTCAACAAAGCTCCGACGGAACCCGTGAAAACCCCGAGTGCCACTAGCACCGGAAGCAATGGAGGCTTTTTCAGCGGGTGGGGGCGACGCGTTGCACCCAGCAACGAGACCCCGCCGTGAGATGCAACCATTCTTGTAACTTTATTTCAGTGCCCTGAAGCAATATCTCAGCGGTCTGTGTTTATGTCGTTCTCAGCCTATCTGTTTTCTATTCAAGTACATAGATATCCCACTCATTCGAGAGCATCGCACATACTTCTTCAAGCGGCTATGTATCATTCCGTTTGGATTACCTGCAGAGAAATGAGAGAAATGAAATGTTTTCATTCAACGAAGCCTTTCATTGGTTCTAGACAGTGCATCATTCTATCATCGCTTACTTACTACATCCCTAACACTATACCGAAACGCCCTCAATAATCACCTTGATCACGCTCTCCTTTCCTTGCCGCACCAGCTCAAATGCCTCCTCGGCCTCCTCAAACTTGAAGCGGTTCGTGATGAGCCGCTTGACATCGATCTTTCCACTGGCGATCAGGTCCACAGCGGTCGGATAGCAGCCAACGGTATACCGGATAGAACCGCGAATGTGCAAGCCACGGATACAAGCGGTGGTTATGGGAAAGACGACGTTCTATCGGTGTCAGTCTGTACGTTTGCCCAAGCCGGACCAGATCAACTCACCTCACGTCCCATACCGGCTTGCACATAGGTGCCGCCCTTCTTGGTCAAGTGGATTCCGGTCTGGATGCATGCCTCGGCTCCAGTCGCTTCCAGGACAACATCGGGGCCTTCACCCAGATTGAACTTCCCCCTCATGATATGCGCCACTTCCTCGTTCCACACGGTGTCTTCTTTGCCCTCAGGCTTCACGGGAGGCACAAACACATCATCTGCGCCAAATGTGCGGGCAAAGTCTGCCCGTGACTGACTGATATCGACACCGATCACCTTCTTCGCCGAGTATGCCTTGCTCACGGCCTGGCAGAGTAGTCCGATGGGCCCGCAGCCAAAGACCACAACCGTCTGGTTGGGCTTTACTTTGCCCACCTTGGTGATCTGCACGGCGACAGCTACCGGTTCCACGAGAGCACCTTCCTCCATGTTCATGTGTGCGGGCAGCGGATAGCAGTAGTCCGCCTGCGTGTTGTAGTATTTGGAAAGGGTGCCGTCATGAGGGGGAGTTGCGGCGAAGACGGTGTCGGGGCAGAGATTATACGAGCCGCTACGGCAGTAGTCGCAGCTGGAATCCTTTAGCTATTGATATCTTGAAAGTGTATATGGCACAAATACCGTCGACACGGCACACCCGGTTCTATGGCGACTCGATCGCCCACCTTGACATTCTTCACTGCAGACCCAACCTCGACAACAGTGCCGGAACTTTCATGGCCGAGGACGATGGGAGAGCTCAGTATAAAGTCTACTCATGGGGCGTGTCAGTCAGTTCAAATGAGTTCGCCTTGGAGATTACCTACCTCCGATACGTCCTCGCTGCCAATAGTGTACATCGCTTCCACAGATACCGGTCTGGGCGACGTGGACCCGTACATCCCAAGGGCCCTTTAACACCGGAACTGGGCGGTCTTCGAGGACAACGTCTTTGACGGCGCGTAGAACAAAAGAACGGTTCGTCTCCTGAGACAAGTCCCGAGATTAGAGGGCTGTAGGATGAGGACCTGAAGTATACTTACCATGATTCTTTGAGAAAAGAATAGCCAAGAAAAGAAGTCTACTTACGTTAAGTAGAAGAAACCTTGGGACATTTTGGACCCGCTCTGTACCTTTTCCCCGCCGTGTGATGCTCCACGGACTCCCCACTCCGTTGCCGAACGCTCTACGGACGGTGCACTCCGGGTGGGGCATGCACGTCAATCTCCATCTCCAGACAGAGCACAGAAGTCGCAGAGTATTCTAGTGAATAGACCGGACTTATGAAATTCCACAGAGGTTTAAGCTGCCCTTTGACAAATTGGGTTTCAAGCGATGATCCAATCCTCGCCGATTGCGAAAGTACCGGGCCATCCTCTGCAGCTTGTTCCACCTCGCCAACCACTTGACTCAGTTGTTAAATGGAATATTGGACTGAATTCACCCTTGCTTAAGCTCAATTACATGGTGCAATCTGTGTTTGTGTCCGCAAGGGCACTGGGTTATTCTTCCCAAGCCGTGAGTGTCAAATCCCTAGTTATTTATTGCTCATACAGCACTTGGCCTTTATTCATTTTTGATAATGTTTATTCCATCTATCATGATTTATGTTCCAGAATTTATGTATAGCCATCAAGCAAATTGTGTTTTTTTTTTCCATCTCATCTACCGGCATGTGTATCCTCCATCGACCACCATGTCGGATCCTGTTGTGCATGTGCTAACGTCACTGGCAAGATACTGATAAACGCCCTTCAACTCGCGTGGATCGGTATCCCGCTTGAGGGGAATGAGACTGTACCGAGTCTCCTTTATCTCAAAGGGATAGTTTCCACTGATTGGCGTGTCGACGTACCCACGGCTGACGCAGTTCACACGGGCGAATTCAGCCCATTCCACGGCGAGTGATTTGGCCAGGTGAATGACACCTGCCTTGCACGCATTGTAGCAAGCCTATACGTGGAGGTCAATCGGGCTCACGCGTAGGCTTGCATAGCTGGAACACGCAATATTTGAACCGTGTCTATTGGAGGTTCTTCTTTATTCTCAACAGTCCGAAACATAAGTCAGCCTCATTTTTTCAAACGTTTCCAATCCCTTATAGTCAAGTCACCGTAAAACTTATCAATACTTATAGATTACATGGACGTCTAGTTGAGGGATGCACATGCGGAGTACAGGAGGCTGGTGGGCCCACGAAGGAGCTCGCGCAGCCAGAGCCTCACTAACACATTTGAAATAACCAGAATAGAGCCCAGCTTCTACACACCTCGTCATGCTACCGAACCCATTTGAGGAGGGGAATGGAGATTGGAGTACGAGCGACTTGGACCCGCGCGGACACAGTCGTCCGATCGGAGAAGCCCCGATGCGGGGAAACGGGCGAGTATTACTCCAGAGCATCACAAACCGGCCTCAGGTGCATTTTATCTGGCTAGCAATTAATTAGAAACAAGCTCCTTGAGCCCAGGCCAGTTGTATATTCATTCCACGTACAGTCAAGATGGTCCTCGCGCAGCCCCAGAACCAGCACGTCACCAAGGCCTTCGACCTGACGGGCAAAGTCGCCGTCGTAACTGGCGGTGCTCGTGGAATCGGTCTCGAGGTTTCTCGGGGACTGGCCGAAGCCGGTGCTAATGTGTGACCCATGCTATGCTGTGATATTGGAAAGTTCAATCGTCTAATTCTCGTTCAGGTTGCTATAATCTACAACTCATCCAAGACGGCCGATGCTGCCGCCGCCGAGATCGCGAATGCGAACAACGTGCGAGCAGCCGCGTACCAGGCCGACGTCACCGACCAGAAACAGATTGAGACTGTCATCCAAAGGATAGCCACGGATTTTGGAAAACTTGACATTCTCGTCGCGAACTCCGGCATTGTTAGCTGCGTTGCCGCCGAAGACTATACTCCCGGTCAGTGGAGCGAGATCATGAAGGTCAACCTCGACGGTGCCTTCTACTCTGCTCAGGCTGCAGCGCGCATCTTCAAGCAGCAGGGTCATGGCAACGTTATCTTTACGGCTTCCGTGAGCGCTACTTTGGTCAATGTGCCCCAGAAGCAGGCCGCCGTGAGTATACTACAGTTGTTCCCCAGGGACGGCATTGAATTGCTGACTCGACACAGTACAACGCCTCCAAGGCCGGTGTCGTGCAAATGGCCAAGTGCTTATCGGTCGAGTGGGTAGACTTCTGCCGTGTCAACTGCATCTCCCCAGGTTTCATCGCGACAGAGATCCTCGACATTCACCCCGAGGAATGGCGTGCCAAGTGGTATGATATGATTCCTGCCAAGCGCATGGCGCAAGCCTATGAGCTGAAGGGGGTAAGTGACTGTCGATCAAAGCAGCTTGAATCTCTTTGAGCTAACCGTGTTTCCAGGCCTACGTGTTCTGTGCTTCGGACGCATCCAGCTACATGACTGGTGCAGACATCATCATCGACGGTGGTTACACTTTGCCCTGAGTCAAGGTGAAGGTGTTTAATGCCATAGCATTCATTTCTTAGTCAAAAATAGCATGAATAGACCGTTAATCTTTTCCCTTTTGGTCTGAAATCGGTCGCAAAGCTCATTCCACTCCCGGCAGTTGATTCATAAAGTCCATGATCGTTGACTCTTGTCTGTAATACGGTCAGTATACCGAAAATCCCAGGAGAAACTTGGGGGAATAATTACAGAACCGAATCCATCCCGTCAAGCTGTGCAATCTCCAGTGTCGGCCACATCAAAGGATAAAGATGTGCCAGCTGCGTCTGCGGCAACTCCTCGGTCGGCTGGTCCCATCCATCATCCGAAGTGTCGAGATATGTCCCGCATCGGTCCCGAAGAACCGACAGACATCGGAGTGCAGTCGGATTGAGGATCGACATAGAGTCAAGGACCCTTATGGCTTGGTGAATCTGTTCACGCCATCCGGCCGCCAGGGATGCCTGAGGATCATTGCGCAGACAAATGACCGGAATGAGAACCGCTTGAAACAAGACGTATAGCCCGTACCAGCAGGCCATCATACTCTGTTGTTCTTGAGCCCAGAAAGTAGAGATGAGCTCCACGGACTCACGGGCTGCGTCCAGACACCGTTGAATGGTAACGTTGACTTGAGCATCGTCATCCTGAGCAGCATCCCGCTCCGATCGTGCCATGAGTCGGTCAACCAGTAAGGGCCGGTACATGAGAATGCGGAAGTCTCGATATCTCCATTGTAATATCGAGTGACAGAGCCGGAATCTGAGCCCTTGGGGGACCGACTCTTGAAAGAACGAAGGTAGGCTACGTAGCCAGCATCCGATAAGCCTATCGTCCATGTCGAGGAGCTCTGAGGCGGTCGGGAATGGCGAGGAGATTATCTTGGAGTAGATTTGACAGGTCGCTTTATGAAAGGTCGCTTGAGCACGCAGATGGGTGTATACGGTTGTCTCGTTAGCAGAACACGGCATGGTTTTGGCTCCCTGTGTAAAGTCCTGAAGCCAGAGTTAGCAAGCAACTTGCACATGCAGTATTGAAGCACTGACCGTATCGTGGACGTTCATTGGAAGTCCCACATCGATGCTATCATCTGGGAAGTCGAGCGGCCGTGAAAAGGTGATGATTGCACCGACATCAAAAATATAGAGGCAGTACCAGATCCGCCGTCTCATCTCAGTTGTAAAAAGGCTAGCTCCCCAGGTTGGAAGTTCTTTGTGTAGACCGATACCCATCGCAATTCGGCGTGCGAGGCCTGTATAGTTGTAGCTCGAATTCGGCTTGTCCCTCTTCTGCATAAAATTCGAAATTAAGGTGAGAGCTTGCACGAGGATCAGGTTTCCAGTCTCCAGCATATCAATGGAGAGTCGCGCCTTGGCAGCCTCAAAAAGCCCAAGGTCAACAGTGGTCGGTTCTCTCGCTGCGCTCCACACTCCCACCGCCGCCACTATGAAAAGCAAAACTTGCCAGGCATTTCCGGTTGGCCGGGGAATGACCTCCATAAACTGAGCTCGGAAGGTTGCTTCATGTACGATGGGGTATGATGGGTGGAAGAGAGAGAAATAAGCATCCACAAAAGGTTCCAACTGACCCAGAGAATTCAGCACAAAGGGGATGCTTGAGGTCGGACGATTTGCCATCCTGGCATATTGCTCTGAACCTGAAGTTTCGTTTGTCTCATGGGATCCAGTTTCGGTGATGCGCAGTAATCCAGCACCAGATGCAACCCCTGGCTTGAACTCAGTATCATGATCAAAAGAAAGAATGAGTATAATCCTAACCTAGATAACCGCCCTCATGGGACGCACTAGTCAAGCTGGCCATGCCATCAACGAACTTTTCACCGCTAAGGTTCCCGTTCCTTTCATCCCACTCGAAATTACTAGGCGAGGTTAGGGTCTCCAGCGACAAGACAGATGGTGCCTTCGGTCGTCTCTCAGAGACAGGCGACCAATGTTGCGGGTCACGATGGGAGGTGACTTGTTGTATCGGCAGTTGATAAATGCGTCCCACATTGTCGGTTCGGCTCGGGGTAGAATGCTGAGTTCGAGATTCGGGGCTTGCAGGATGCACTATAGTCTCCGTCCGTCTGTGACCCGGCTCGGGATTGTTCAGGAGTTGAGACCCGGGAATCTCTGTTGAGTGAGATGCATGGCCTGGTTCTTCGATTGGGGCACCAAAGTTCACTTGGAGAGAATTCTCCGAATCAGGCATGAGCTGCTGTAACAACGCCTTGGTGCGTGCCAGTTCACTCTCCACTTTGGTGAGGTAGCGCCGAGTGAGTGGTGTCCTCTCTTGTCTCTCATAAATGCATCGCCGGTCAAGCTTGCGGCACGGGTCACACATTGGTACCACACGATCGCACTTCCAGCATGTCAGTGAGATCTCACTTGCAGACCTTGAGACTCACTTTAGAACTCCTGCGACGGCATTCCCCGCATGCCTGCTCGGCCGTAGTGCGCGCATCATCCTCATGTTCGCCACGATTCGGTCTCTGTGCAGGCAACACAGAAGCCATGGTTATATCACTATTATGCATCTAAAAGGCCATCTCAGACCCGTTCAATGATGTGTGGGAGAAGTGGAGTAGAATAAATGGCACTCACATTGGACGAGAAGCTCCGATTGACGCCTGATAATCCAGGTAAACAGTTACTGACGACCCCGTAGTGTCTGCAGAGAAAGAACGATCAATAGAAGTAGAGTGAAATGAAGGAGGTCGCATTGGAATTGGAAACTTGGAAGTCAATAGACATACGTGTGTGGAAAAATCGGGAGTTACGGGATCATATCAGATGAATCGATGAACGACCGAGTCACCTTGGGAGGGAACGTGGTAGAAGGTAGATTGGCAGATTGAGAACGAAGAAGAGTATATCCATGGATGTCGAAAGGAAAAAAGATTTGTGGAATAGTGACTATGTATGTTTCGGGCAAAACTTCATGCTATAGACACGCACTTTCGCATACGAAACCTGAAAGCTCACAATCACGGATAGTCACTGAGACTGGGAGGAAGATCTTCTACATGAGTTCCCCATTGGCTCTCCTTCTCTCCCAGCTCCAACTCAAGAACACCGCCTTCGATAAAGAAGTCGTGAGTGAGCCAGTTCTTGGACCATGGCTTGCCATTCAACTTGGCGCTCTGGATGTAGATTGACTTGTAGCTGGAATCAAAGTTGACGTTGCGGATGGTGGAGACCTTGCCCGTGAGAGAGTTGGTGATGCTCAATTCCTTAAAGTAAGGCGGAGTAATGAGGTAGACATCCTGCCCAGGAACAGGCCACAGACCCATCATGCTCAGCACCACGAACGAGCCCATCGCCCCACTGTCATCGTTGCCTGCAATACCGGCGTAAGTCGTGTTGAATTGCGATGGAATGTAGAAGTGGCTGTATTTGGCCGAAAGAGCGGGACGTCCGGCGTAGTGGAATTGATAAATGGTCAAGAAGGCTTGCTCGTCACCCACGTAAAGCAGACCCGACTCGTGAAGGAAGGTCAGTCGCTTGGCAAACTCCTTCGCTCCTCCCAGGGCAGTGACCAAGGATCCCATATCGTGCGGGGCGTAACTGAGAGGGCTGTTAAAGATATCACCCAAATTAGGATGAAACGAATAGAACTTACAACGTATATAGCCAGGCGCTTCCCTCGTAGGTCTCGTGGCCATCGGGATTCAGGTAGCAGGATGTAAAGTCGAGCAGTGGACTGCAGAAAATGGGATCCTGAGAGCCCCAAGTTCCATTAATGTAGCGAGGCTGCAAGAAACCGGTAAAGCCGGTGTCGACGCCGTTAATGCTCGACTTTTGGTCGGCCTTGAACATATTGATCCAGTTGCCAGAGCGTTCCAGATACTTCTCATAATCGGACTCGTGTCCCAATGCTTTGGCCATCTCGGCAACGCAGAAGTCGTCGTATGCGTACTCCACGGTGCGCGAAATACTGCGAGTATGGGTACCAGTGCCGTAGGGATCGAAGTCGTCAGTGGGGATGAATCCAAGACCCTTCCAGCTGTGCAACCCACCACGGCCTTCGACATCCCAGTTTCTGGGCTCGACCTCGGCGTCCTTGACCACACCCTCGTAGGCAGTGTCCCAGTCAATACCTGGCACCTTCTTTAGATAGGCATCGGCCATCAGCACGTCTGCGTTAGAACCGCCTTGGGTGTAACCCTTGCAGAGAGACATGCGGCAGTCAGGGAAGTAGCCCTCGTGCCGGTAGATGTCGACAAGACTTCGCATCATCAGAGACTGCGAGACAGGATCCAGCAAGGTCAGCAGAGGGTGAATGCTGCGGAACGAGTCCCATATACTAGAAACATGTCACTGTTAGCCAAAACAGAGAAACAGAGAAAATAGCTTTATTCAGCCTCATTTGCTTACCAGTAGTAGCTGTCATAGTAAGGCTCATCGCTTTTCCAAAGAGGGTTTTCACCAGTGTAATCCTGGGGGCTGATCATAGCTCGGTAGGCTCCGCTCCAGAAGACCTCCTGCAGGTCTTTGGAGACACCCTCCGCATCCACCGAAATAACATCCAACTTCTTCCTCCAGGCGGACTTGGCTGCGGCAACAGTACCGTCAAAGTCAAAGTCGGGCTGCTCCCGCTCGGCGTTGGCACATGCTTGGCTGACACTCATGAAGCTCACACCGACACGAGCCATCATTGTATTATTCGCGGGGCTCTTGAAGCGGGCAAAAGTACCAACAGATAGGGTAGCAGGCGAGTCGACGCCGTCGGCCGTGACCTTCACTTTTTCAACGGTGAAGTTGGCCCGATTCTTCGACCAGACACCCGTGTCCCGAAGATCGGCTCCCTTGAAATCAACACAGAAATGGAGGTCGTAGTTACCAATACCGAAACTGGGACTGAATGTGCCGTTTCCTGTCAACCGTCCCGTATTGGGGTCCACGGCAGCAGTGCCATTTGTACGGGACTGCGGCAGATCCATCAAATCGACCAGAATCACCGGGCTGAGAGACTCGGACGATCCATCAAAGGTGAAACGATACAGGGCAGACCGATTGGTCGTGGTCATTTCGGCTTTCACACCGTTGGCTAGCGCGATGCTGAAGTATCCGGGATTTGCCACCACCGAATCCTTTTCCCATGCAACGGCTCGATCTGTCTGCTGCCACTTGCATTGGTTGATATCGTCATTCGGACAGGCGGGCTGGGCGAAGATCGGGAAATTTCCCAGAGATGGAGACTGTGAGAGTTAGGAGTCTATTTTTTGGGGGGTCGAGGTATAGGAATATCACGTACGCCACCGGTGCCAGAGTCATGCATATGGGAGAAACCCGTCACGACCGACGTATCCCAGGCGAAGCCGGCCTGGTTCTCGCCTACTGTGTCGGCAACGGCTTTGGCCATTCCTAATCTTATTAGCTATTGTCATGAGTCCTCAGCTTTGAACATACCGAATGGCAAAGTTGCGCCTGCGAACACATGGCCTGCAGATCCCCATCAGTTGATTGACGCCAATGCTGGTAATTCTGATAGCGCACCTCCATTCGACGTTCCGATCAAAGGATCGACAAATTCCAGGATATCGACCTTGCCGTTGGGGGCATCCTGGGTCCCGAGCGCAACAGAGCCGTACAGGGCCGCTGCAATGGCAAGTGCCTCCGCACGCGGGAGGAGAATTTGTGGAAGCATAGTGGGCTCGAGTAAATAACGCGAGCCAAGACTTTCCACGTCGTTTGTTTTCGAGATAGTTTTGAGATCAAGGCACTGCACGCGTCTGCAGATCGAAGCTTCCTTATTTACAATCGCGGGGAAGCATTCCACATCCCCTGTTTTGGTTGAAATGCAGTTCGGACCAAAAAGGAGCGAAAAATCCCATTTATTTGGGATCATTCGGTTTAGGTCACATCGTGCCCCCGGCCAATCTGCAACGGGTGTGACATCTGTGGCCAGCTTGTGGAGGTGCGTTCTGCACTAACGCGGGCCTTCTAATTTGCCCACGCCTGAGCGACTCTCGGAGCGGCATTGGCCGCAGCGATAGGCATTTGCGATGCCCGAAAGAGAAATCGGCGCAACACGAAATGCAATCAAATCATATTGGTACCGGACTGGGTTCCTGGCCGTGTGCTGATCTTTATCGACTTCGGGCCAGGATTGGCGAAAAGCCCGAGTGGGGAAGGCCTAAGATTCGTGGGTTGCCGTGTGGAGAATGAAAAGCCATACCGGCGGGGTTATCATGCATGTAACCTCCTTACGCTACGTCAAACATGGAGGTTGGGGAAGAGGTTTTGTCGTTGTGGTTTTGCTGTTGACCCGTCGGCTCCGTGCAGATGGGGATATCTCTGTCCGACTTCAATCTAGAGTCTATATTTCGCCAAGCGTTGGAGGTTCCTTTTTTTGCTTGCGATTGATGTCTGATTTGCTGATGCTCGATTGATGTATGCTCGATAGCTTGTAGATCAACATGGCTCACTATCTACTTGCTCAGGCTCCTTGCCAATCCCGGCCCGGTAGTTCATGCGTTCGTTACACAAAGAGTCTTCCAAGGTTTGGATCGGTTTAACCGTATAACACCTCTCATTCGGACTGCATATTTAAATGAGATCAGGATGGTGCTATCCCTCGACTTTTCCAGTCATGTAGGTCGATGACCTGGGAGATCTTGAACAGTTCGACGCACTGACAAAAATTCCCTTCTCTCGGCTAATGAGAATTGAGGTACGCTCGAAGCTACATGTTTCAGTCTGAACACCTCGGGGGATTGTTTGGGTACTCAGTGCCGAAGTCATCCTCTCCCCAATAGAAAAGGTCGCGGCGGCGATTCTCGGGGTGATCATGTCCCGTCAACGGAGATCCCTGTATAGCTGGAGTTTCTCTAGAGAGTGGCCCCGTTCTTCGGAATGAAACTTCCAGGAGTTGCATCTCGAGAATTGGTCGGTGCTGAAGACAATGGCAACGAAGGCGGTATCCGATCTCACCCATTTTCTTTGCAGGACGGACAATAAGAAAAGTTGGAGGCTGTATTCACAGCAGACAAGCACTGCGGATGGTATGCTCTACAGCACGGCCCGCATCCGATTAGGCTTTCGGGAAGGCGATACTCCGAGCAAACGAACTTATGTGGTTTCCCGGCATTTACCAAGGGTATCAACGCGAGCTCAACGTAACAGCGAGTTAGACCTACGAATCCAATCATGATAAATCCGTTTCTGTTCGGATCTGGTAGAATGGTCTTTCTCAAGGACCGCCATGCTCGTGTTTGGAAGCTCAGCTCGGCTGTCTCGTCTGCCTCGATGGATGGCCTCGCAATCCTTGCAACACTGACATGACTGTCGCTGCCCGGTACCTGCCCCAGCATTTTCACTGAGATTGCCAGAAGGATAGGCCGAAACACAGTCCAAGATGGACTGGCCGGGCGACCCCCGGGATGCCGATCCTGGCCCGAGAGTTCACCGAGTTACATAATACGATCTCCCTTGACGGCGAGCTTGCCCTTTGTTGGTCGCGTTGATTCCACCATCTTTATAGCTTATCTGCCGTTCGGGATGTGGGGTCCTTGTTTCCTTGTTGCGACTTGTCAGTGCTAAGGAAGATTATTGCGCTCCACCTCCAATGATCTCAACCCTCGTGAAGTTGGTCTTATCGCGCCCTCACAATGCCCGGGGTTCCCTCCAATAAAGCGTGCGAGAGGTGTAAAAAGAGACATTTGAAGGTTCGTGCCCGCGTGAACTATCAGGGTGGCTTTGGTTGATGATGATCAGTGTGATGAAACTCGTCCGCACTGCCAACGATGCACCGCGGCGGGAGTGGAATGCCCGGGTTATGTCCAAACCCGCAAATTCATCGATCAGGGAGCTTCGGTGAGACGCCGGTATGCTCCGTATCAAGATGCGCAGTTCAGATCTGGAACAGCGGCAAATGCTGGGCGAGGAGGCGAGGAACATGTTTCTGCCTCGCCACTGCATGAGATGCAAGTGGAAGAACTACGGGAGGTGACACTGGAATCAAGGGATGGTTTCCAGATGACAGAGGGACCGGAAGATATGACCGCCATGCAATCTCAATTCTCCGTCTCGAATACGCCAGAGCCGCAATATGTCCCAAAGGTGAACCGAGTGTCCGGCCATGACAGCCGTGGATCCCCAAGGGGCACATTGCAAAATTCCGTGTCACCCAACACTGCAATGGGATACTCTTCTGGTCTTGAAACCACAAATGCTGTAACCTCAAATGATCGGCCTGATTATCAAAATCTGGTTTCATCGGAGAGCGTGTCACACCGGAACGAAAAGGAAGAATTCCAGGACATCTTCTCTGAACTCATGACTGGCACCGAACATGAAGTCGCTTTTCTCCTTCGCCATTTTACCCAAGTCATCGCTCCCTGGTATGTGTTGTTCGCTACGAGCGATTTCAATCGGCTAACCATCAAGCTAGGCTGGATCTTTCTGACGCCGGGAAGTTTTTTTCAGTCTTGGTACCGATTAGAGCCATCAACTGCCAGTCACTCAAATACTCCATTGCAGCTTTAGCGGCAAAGCAGCTTGGGCGAGTAAAAGGGGCTAAGTCATCCACTGGAGGCGGCATGTTTAGCAGCCCTGCCACGACTGAGACGTATCCCAATGCAGCTCAGGTCGACTGGTACCTCAAGGCAGCCAATTACTACTACTTGGCTGCTTCAGACCTCAACACCTCGACCTCTGGAGGTTATACGATTGTGTCCAGCTCGGCTGTCCTAGAATCCCCGATCGAGTTGGTCGGGCGATGGCTGAACAAGCGATCCCCTCAAAGAATCGGTCAAACTTCCATTGATGCTGTTTTTCTGCGGAAGGCCGAAGACACGCTGGCGAGCATTGCACTGCTGACACTGTATAAACTTTTGGATGCGAAAGGGGAGGAATGGCACATGCAAGGACTCCCGAATCCCGATCCGAACTACAGCTAACAACACTATCTTACAGACATCTCTCCGGTATTAATTCTCTGTTCGAATCTCTTCTGCGGTTACATCAGAAAGAATCGATCACCTTCTCTCATGGTATCCGTGCCTCGTTCTGGAATTTTTCTCGCCAGGACTACCTTGGGTCTTATTTTACCCGCTCAGAAACACACCTTGACCCTCGAAACCTTCCGCTGTGGCGTGCAGCGGGAATCTCAATTGATGAGCAAGAAAAATTCCATATGGTGGACAGCGGGTCAATAGGTCTGTCTCTGGAAGACCAAGCTGCGAACGGTCTGTCGTGGCTCGTGTCCAAGGTGGTCAACTTCCTTGCCAAGTCGAAGCAATCTCAAATTGCTCAATGGACGGGATCTTCACCAGGCAGCGTATCCGAAACCCCGGGTGCGTCCGCCGACGCCAGTGAGCAGACGTACCCTAACACGAATACCTGGCTGGACCTTTCTTTCGAGTTTCAAACATGGTTCGAAGGTGTCCCCGAGACTTTCCGTCCATGTGTGCGCATTGAACACCCTCGAGACCTCTCAAAGCCATCCGATGGTGGCCAATTGCCATTCCCCGAGGTCTTTTATAGCCTGGCGACGTGTGCCGCTACCATGCAGCATTATCATTTCGGAAGGATTGCGCTCCTCCTCAATCGGCCACCCGACGCAGTCAGCGCTCCGAGCACCGCCTTTGATCGTTTACAAGGGTACCGTGAAGTCACCAAAGAAGTAGAGTATCGCAGTCGCGAAGTGTGCGGCATCGCTCTCGGACGCCCACAGGGTGAGGTACGCGTGTACATGGTTCCGCTATTGTTTGCTGTGGGTCAGTGTCTAGAGAGTACAGACGAGCACCAGATCATTGTGGACCTGCTGCGGGGTGTGGAGGCAGACATGGGCTGGGCCACCGAGTCTGCAGTCCAGAATCTCCAGTCGTCTTGGAGTCGATGATCCCGGGAAGCGCAGCTGGCACATCATCGCAAAAGCACCGAGGGAGAAGCGGAATATCTCCGTTGTGGTTTGAGCCACGATATACCTGGGGGCGTTTTTATACGATCTGCACGAATCTCGAGTCCAATAGAATGTATCCGTCAAGGGTAGTAATAATCCAGTGTTAATGTGAAGACTCATCGATACTGGCCTAGACTTCTTTGGTCTCTACGTCTACTATGGAGTACATGAGATCAATCTGGATCGATCTGGACTAGTTTCGGGGGTCAGTTGCAACACGGTCGGCAGATGCGCTCTAATGATCCAGCCGCGAAGCCAACCTTGAGTATCGTGAACCGCCGTTGACGAAGCGTTCGGCATGTCTGACATAGCTATCTGCCGACCAGCGCTAGGAAGCTCCCCTATCTTTAAATTCGATTGAGCAGCGTGGTCCCAAACATCCCCTTATCATGACGACACCATTATCATCGACGAGATGGCGACTCGTGCCAGTCTACTGCCCCACAAGTACGGCAAGATGCCGCGGGGGATTGCCGAAGAGGGTGCGTTGTGGCAACGATAGGCGATGGCTGAAAGTTAGTAAGTTGGACAAGCAAATGAGAGGCCCGGGACGTGCGGGGAGAAATCCGGGGTCGATATGTGGAAACCCGGGGTAGTGGGTGCTTTTGGAGGGGGCTGTCAAAAACATGGCTCGCTATCTAGACCGGCGACTGGTTTACTGTACCATTTCACCAGTTCAAGCGGAAACACCCAACTGGCGGCTCGTAGATCAAGGACGGTGCCGGGTGCGCCACACCACGGTGCATCCAAGCTCCGGTGTCTACCTTGCACGCCGTCCCCCCCCCCTTGGCCACCGGTAAATGTCGAGCTTGAAATTCCCGGCGGAATTCCGCACCTGCAGTGTTGCACCGAGTTTGATTGCGTCCTTAAATCTAGCTCAAACCCCTTTCTCCGAAAGGTCCGAATCACGCGAAAGCTACCTTTCTTTCGTTGATTGACCTCGCCATCTAGGCGAATCGGCCCGTTATGGAGATGAACTATGACGAAGGCGTACGTCCTTTTCTCTCTCGTATCAGGGGGCGCAAGCTAACCGCGATCGATCTCTAGGCTCTGCACCGGTATGCATTCTTCGTTTTTGTCGGCCTATTGCCGATCTAATCATGACTAGGATCGAGGAGGAGCTGGGGACGACCATCTATCCGGGTACGGAGATCATGGCTGATGTCGGAACTCATCACTTCGTCAAATCCTCGGCCAAATCCGACCGCGTGCTGGTTCCCCAGCCGTCGCAAGACCCGCACGATCCATTGGTATGTTTCTCCCCGGCCATCGACTGCCTACCATCCCTTTCCTAATCGCTCCGTCCTCTCTAGAATTGGAACCGCTTTTGGAAAATGAGTGCCATGGCCATATCCACGGCAACTTCATTCAGTCAAGGCTTCGGCCCCCTCGCTCTGGCGCCCATGTTCCCCCAATTGATGGCGGCATTCAATTCCGACCTGGCCAGTGTGGTACAGTTTACCGGTGTTTGTATTTTGGTACTTGGTTTCAGCAACTTCTTCTGGTAAGATGGTCACCCATTTCAAGATGCCATTCTAGCTAACTCAAACTGCCAGGATCCCCATTCAGACTTCCTACGGCCGACGACCGGTCCTAATCTTCTCGACGTTGATTTGTCTCGTCAGCAATATCTGGCGTGCGCTCGCCACTTCATACGGCAGTTATATGGGCGCGTGTGTTCTCAATGGATTTGGTGCCGGTCCAGCCGAGGTCAGTCTGAATTCCATGTCTGGATAGCTTTTTGCGCTGATCTCTCTCTAGACCTCTCAGCCCGAGATCATCACCGACATCATGTTTCTTCATGAGCGTGGTGCGTACAACACATTGTACTTTACAGCCTACTTTGGGTCGCTGATGGTAAGAATGGCCGAAGGTGGTCGAAGTGGTCATTGTCATTGACGTTCATTAGGTCGGCCCTATTGTCGCTGGTCCCATGGCGGATCACGTTGGCTGGCGCAGCTTCTTCTGGTTGAACGTTGGCATCCTTGGAGTGGTCCTGCTCTTCCAGATCTTCCTCTTCCCAGAAACCAAGTGGCACCGAGTTCATCCCGATGAAGCCAGAAATGAAAGACACGCCGAACCCACCTCTGATGGTGAGCCTGAGAAGCCAGTCGAGGTCACCCAGCAGGAAAATGTGACTGTGGAAAATGCCACTGAGCGAGATCCATATTTGCACCGTGGCACGCCCTCGAAGAAACAGTTCAAGCTATGGCAGCTGGACGGAAACAACATCAAGACCGTCCTGGTCAGCTTTTGGATCCCATGGAAGATGTTGACCTTTCCCATCGTCGAGCTCGCAGCCTTCGTGGTGTCCTGGTCGGCCAGTTGTTTCCTAACGCTGAATCTGACGCAGAGTCAGGTCTTCGCGGTGCCTCCGTACAACTTCAACAGCCAAACGATCGGCTTCTTCAACTTTGCCATTCTCATTGGAGCTTTCATCGGCTTGGCCACCAATGGCCTTCTCTCGGATTGGATCTCGATGAAGTCCACTCGGAAGAACAAGGGTATTCGAGAGCCGGAAATGCGACTGCCGGCCATGACAATTTACGTGGCGATCATGATCATCGGAAACTTTGTCGTGGCCTTTGGATACCAGTATAAATGGGATTGGCGGGTAAGTTCCGAGTCTCACCGGTAGAAGCGGTTGCTAATTTGCCCCAGGTGATTGTCATCGTCGGCTACACGGCCGCTGGAATTCAAGTTGCCGCCCTCCCAGCCATCGTCAGCACCTACGCCGTCGACAGCTACAAGCCCGTCGCAGGTTCGATTTTCGTGTCCATCACCGTCAATAAGAATCTCTGGGGATACGGCTTCAGCAAGTTCATCACCGTGTGGATCGATGAGAGCGGGTTTGTGAAACCGATCATGTTGAACATGTGTCTGGCAACGCTGTGGTGTCTCTTTGCCATCCCATGCTACTTTTATGGAAAGAAGTTCCGAGGGTGGACGGCCAAGTCTTGGGTGCATAAGATGTAGGTATTTGAGGCGCAATACTTTCTTGAAATACTTTCTGGAGATATCATTGGTCTAGAATGGAAACGAGACCAATTCATGAAATGCTTTTGAGATTAATTACGAGCTAGCCGTGTAGCTGGCATGGGGTTGGTACCATAGTAAAGGATTGCAAGGCCGGTCCGCTTGAAATGCTCAGATGTCGTCGTCGTCGGGATCGTAAAGATCAAGATCCAAAGTGGCCTTCGGCTTTGGTTTTGATGCCGGGGCTGGGGCATGTCCAGAAGGCCGAGGCAGTGTTGCACCGGCTGAGGATCCAGCCTGAGCCGCAGCCTTCGCAGCTTCGTCCTGCCTTGTGTCCACCACTGGCGCCGGAGCGGGTGCTTCGGCTGCTCCGAGACCCTCCGCTTCCCGTATCAGTCGCTCAACTTCCTTGTCAGGGTCGTTCCCAGCTGCGAGTTGAACTTGGCCCATAAGCCCCATGCGGATCCGCTCTTCCATCGGGTACGGCAACATGTATACCTCGCGAGTGACATTCGCCGAGTCATCCAGCCACTGTGTCGCACTCTTCGTCACCGACGATACCGGCTCGGCACCTTCCTCCGCCGTCGGCTCTCCATTGGTACCCGCCATTGTGATGTCCTTGTTTGTAATCCGTGGTCGCGATCCCTGGCCTTTGTCTGCGGCCCCATTGGCTGCATCGGCGGCGGCCTCGTTGTTGTATTTGCTGATGCGACGCGCAAAATCCAAGAGAAGTCGGTAATCAATCTCCTTGCGAGAAGCCAGCTTCTTCGCTCGGATCTCATCCTCTCCCTCGGAGTCCTGATCACTTTCGCTCTCCTCCTCATCGTCGTCGTCGCCGCAGGCCGTCCGGATCTCTCTATCAAATTCCTCAATGTCTCGGACGATGCCTTTCACGCGGTCCTCCAGTTGATCCGCCTCCGCTCGGAGGCGCAGAATTCTTGCATAATTCTCTTGGTGCCGTCTAAGTGTGTCGATGGATGACGTTAGTGTGCCGTCGGCCTCGAGCAGGGCGACCGCTGCGGCTGGTGCGCCTGCGGCAGCCGGGGAGGTGGTAAGTGTGGTAAGGAGCACATTGAGCTTGGATTCGACGTCGGAGAGAGAGGTCTGTACGAGGGCGTTCATTGTGGAGGAAGCTCGAAGCGGATGCGATTGCTCGAAGATCGGAGTGTAGAGAAGACAAGAGGATGGCGAAGAGTCTGCTCTCTACCGTTGAGGGTGTATTGTTGAATGCCGTTGATCAAATCGCCCGAAAAAATGGCGCCACCAAAGTCGCAGCGCAAGCAGCTCGAAGCAAAAGAAGAGGTAAATGCGGAGCTTCCCAAGTCGGTCACCAACCGGTCACGTGCGCACATACACGAGTCCAGTCATCTTAAACGATTCCTATCAGCCGAAAAGACTAGTAGAAAATTCAATAAAAACACTCGAGCTACAACAAAGAGCCAATGCATGGTCATCTCGCTGCTGCGAGTGGCCCAAAGGTTCTACAGAAGTGGGGTTTGTAATGTTTCGCGGCGACACTTATCAGCACCTCGGCAATTGCAATTGAACCTCGTCAAAGCTTTGATCCTGGCCTATTCTCTAAACGAGACGCGCCAGCTCGTTCACTAGTTTAATATAAATTTCAACGAGTTGACCTTTTCCCAGCCAATGGAACTCGAGTCCAATATCGTCCTTCAGCGTCCCCTCTCGCGCTGTGAACGAGGACCAGGTCTGATCCTCATTCGGCCTTCATCCTACGCAGATTGCCAGAAATATAATGACAGTCTCGACCCAGTGCCTCTCCAGAAATGGGCCGAGGAGAGTTTTTCGGTGGTCCAGATCACCTTGAATGCAGACTCTAGCAAAGACCCGGTCAAGGTGCGGGACGTGATCAAGATAGCCAAAGACGGATTGGCAAATCTGGAGGATTGTACGGTCAGAGACACGTTTGGCCTCATAAGTATGCCGATCTTCTGGCTTTTCAGCCCAGAGACGTGTGCTGATGATTTTTTAGTCTACGGTTCCAGGACAGACTATGCCCCTCCTTTCGCTGTCATTTTGCCAGATATTATGAAGGTTGATAAAACTCTAGCAGTGGCAGTTTGTTTTGACTCTTGGGGAACCTTTGAAGAAAGGCCATCTCTCTTGCATGCACTGAACGGGGTGGAAGTTCCAGCTCAGGGACTGAGCCAGACACACCGGTATATCGATGTGGCTTCTCCCGGCTTCATAGTCCCCGGACATCCAGACTTTAAAATCTCGACGGCGAGTGTAGCCCACACTCGCAGTCTAGGGTTCCTCAAGAAGCATCTCGGTGGGCCTTATTTTGACCTCGAGGCGATCTGGGATGAACACACCTACTATGAGTTTGGCGATCGGTCGGTCGACAAGACTATGGCGACGATGGTCCAGGAACCATACGTGAACCACGTTCCCACGGTACGAGCTGCTTCAACGGAATTGCAATAGAATCATATTATATACTGACCAGACACAGCTAACAGGAGGCATCGGGCGAACTCGCCTGAGTCATTTCTACCTCAATCACTTCATTTATAGCAATCCCGATGACACCGCACTTGAGTTAATTAGCCGCACGGTGGGCACCGATCGAATCGTGGACGAGTTCATCTTCTGTCTCACTCATAATAAGCAAATGGACTGGCTGTGAGTGATGCCGATTTTCGTTCCCTCTGACTCGAGTCTCACGCTTGCTAAGACTGCCAGGAATTCCGGCGACCGGTAAAGCGCTTCGAATTCCTTTTACTTCGGTGGTCAACATCCGTGGTGATCGACTGTATCATGAACACATTGCATGGGACCAGGCCACCGCGCTGGTGCAATTGGGCCTTATGCCCGAATATCTGCCCTTCCCGTACGCTCTACCGGATGGATCGGTTCCAGCTCCCGGCAAGAGATTTGAATACCGTGTGCCGGCAGCCGGCGCCGAGTCTGCCGATAAGTTGCAAAACGAGCACTCGGTGCCTTCGAATCGAATGTTTGAATACAAGATCCGCGAGGTGGATGACAAGTAGACAAGGTGGAGCACGTACTCGAGGTACCTTTGGTACTGGATATGTCGACCCGCCCATCTCAGGCAACCATGGATTATACGGCCTGAATCATGGCAAGCCTTCAATTATCTATTTTTCTGCCCTGTTTTTGCTCTACATTTGCTTTTTCCCCCCTGGAAACCAGTTGTCTTGAACGTGTAGCGTTGCACCATACCGGGGTGAACCCCGCAGCGCATGTCCGGATGCGGCACGGAGCACTGGCCCAGAACAGCCGACGAACACCTCACCGCAAGTGTCAAACGCTGGAAAGGCTCGGATCTCGACGGAGCTGCTGATTGACATCATTGCAGCATGTAGGCCGCATAAACAATAGCAAGGGGTAAAAGATTGACAACGATTTCGCTCCATAGAACCCATTATCCTGCATGGATTTAGCGAAGACTTGGAAAAGTGCCTATGAACTCCACCCTATGCACGAAATGGTGCTTTGGGCATCATTTATGACATCGTTCCCCGCGTCGGGGCTTACCGAGGCATCAAGTGACGAGTGCAAGATCTGGCCCGGTGCGCCTTCTTATAGAAACCCGACGCATCTGGGCAGGGGACATTGCACATCTCCGTGTTCAACCATCTGCATCTAGCGCCAGCATGGCTTTTGCACTGCTGCTGATCCTTGTATCGGTCTGCTATGCAGCCAAATTGCCCGTAGTCGACCTTGGCTATGAGCGGCACCAAGCTATCTCATTCAATGTATGGTACCGGCCCCGCATTCTTGGTGTAGTGTGACTGATGGGAATTCTGCAGAACACTCTGGGCTTGTATAACTTCAGCAACATTCGTTACGCTGCACCGCCTTTGGGTGACTTGCGTTTTCGGGCGCCCGTGTGGCCAGAGCAGAATCGGACGCACATTGAGGATGGCTCTGTAGGCCGAATGTGCCCGCAGGCTGATCCTCTCTGGGAAGAAGATATCGAGCCTGCCTTCCTGCTGAGTCTGATGGAAGGTACCACGTTCAACCAGTCAACCAACATCTCTTCGTATCCGTATGTGCCCCAGAAGATGGACCCCCGGACCACCGAGGATTGCCTGTTTCTGGACGTAGTGGTTCCAAAGAAAATCTTTGATCGTGCTCAAAACAAGACCTTTGTTCCGAGCAATGCATTGGCGCCTGTTTTGGTGTGGATTTATGGCGGTGGATATGTGGCAGGAGACAAGAGCGACTACGATTCCGCGGGCTTGATCCAGCGAAGCATGATCACAGGCGAAGGGATCGTGTACGTTGCGATGAACTATCGAGTAAGTTGCGGAATCCTGGAAATTGCCCTAGTGCTTCTTGATCTGACACTCTCCTTAGCTGGGAGCATTTGGCTGGCTCGGTGGTGATACGCTCATGGCCAACGGCACGGCCAACGCTGCACTCCACGACCAGCGCCTCGCTCTGGACTGGGTGTACAAGAACATTCACCTGTTTGGCGGCGACGCCCAAAAAGTCACGGTGATGGGCGAGTCGGCTGGAGGAGGCTCCATTATGCATCAGATGACGGCGTATGGAGGAAATGCCGGTCCCTCTCCGTTCCAGCAGGCGATCGTGCAGAGCCCCGGATGGGTCCCCATCGTCGGCAATATGCAGCAAGAGCAGACTCTTCAACAATTCCTGGGAATTCTGAACGTCAGTACGATCGAAGAGGCGCGTCAACTGCCGACCGAGAAGTTGATCGCTGCCAATGCCTACCAAGTGGCCACCAAGTCAAAATACGGCGACTTCGTTTACGGGCCCGTTGTGGATGGCACTTTCGTACCAGCCTTGCCCGGTCAACTTCTTCAGGAAGGCAATTTCGACCGCAATCTTAATGTCATGGTGGGCCACAATGCAGACGAAGGACTCGTGTTCACCTCGCCCGATGCTCGCAACGGCAGCTTTGTGGCCACACTGCTGCAAGATCAATTTCCTCATATTCGGGCCAACGTTACCGACTACATCACCAAGGTCCTGTACCCAGCCCAGTACGATGGAGCTTACCGCTACTCGAATCCGTTCGAGCGTGCCGTTGTTATTATTTCGGAGCTGATCTTTGTGTGCAATACTGACTATATAAACCGGGCCTACCACGGCGAAACCTATGCATACGAGTTTAGCGTTCCCCCGGCGGTGCACGGCCAGGACGTGCTATACACGTTTTACAACAACGGCTCCGCTGGACTGAGCTCTTCGGCGGATGGGTTGTCGGTCACCAATGTTACGATCGCCGAGATTATGCAGGACTACTTCACTAGCTTTGTTCAGACCGGCACTCCCAAATCGTCCCTGGGTCCTAAGTTCCCCCGACACGGCGGTCTTTGGGGAGAGCTGATGAATATTGGCAACACCACCATTCAACCGATGTATGACACGTCCAATAACCCGCGCTGTCGTTTCTGGCAGTCGGCGCCTTACGCTTCATGAACATGACTCTCAGTGCTGTGTTGTACATAGTTCCGTACATGGAGAGATGGGCGATTCAGGATCGATTCGAGTCACCTCTCCGGACGAATTTAACGAGAATTTATGATTATTAACTGCATCAATGGAGTCGCACAAGAAGAGCAAAGCTTGTAGATCGGACAACCTGCCACATCGGGGAATTTCGAGATCCGACAATCTCTCGAGGATCCGATAGGCCAATCAATGATTCCGTGGATCGTGCTTGGATACCTGTAGACATACAGAGTCGGGCTATTTTGAATTGCAACCAGCTCCGCGGTCAATTCAATTCGTAGAAGCGAACTTGTCAAATACTGTATCGCGGAGAATGCCGATTGATGTGGTGAGATGGTCGGGGCCAACGGTCAACGAAAAATCGATAGATTACCGGAGCTTGTCTTTGATAGGAAGGTCGGGCCCACATGGGTCGAAGGTTGAAAGAAACAGCTCAAAGCTCCGAGCTCCGGGAGGGTCTCATCGCCCCACGCTACTGCATTTACACTTCGATGGAAGAAATTTCGTGACATTGCGATAATGAAATTTCGCCGGTAAACAAGGCTGGACGAGCGGGGGTTTCTCTTGGCAACGTTGGTGGCGAATTTCTTCTCCTTGCAATCCGAGCCCGCGAGAAATTCGGTAATCCCACTGGATGTACAAGATAGAGGATTTACTGTGTACTTCGAAGATTCGAAGATGCTTGATAATTCCGGACCTCCCTTCGACGCCACGTTGATTCCGTACGGGTGGGGGACTAGAGTACGGGCGAGGAGCATTTAGGGTGAACCATCCAGGAAGATAGCGAGGTAACGAAATTTCTTGATCGGGCGCTAGGCACAGCCGGCAATAATCTGCATGCGCGTGAGACATGGACCCTGAATCGTAGATAGTGCAGGTGATTTGCAGGTGGAACTTGCTTGGCAGCGGGGGAAAAACCCGTGTTGGTGAGTGACTCTCGGTTGGAACGCGTCAAGACTTGACAGCACAACCATGAATGTCGAGCAATTCGGGATAGAACCGAGAAAGGGGGAAACGGGAAAAAAGGAAAGCGCGGAGCAGCCGACCGTTTCTGATTACGAAGAACGTATCTTGATACCGTGTAACGAAGGGGGCCTTGAGGCTCGGGGGATCGGCACGTCTTCACCATCACCAAACGAAAAGAAAAAAAAAAAAAAACAGGGCGGAGCCCGAAAGGCCCCCGCCCCGGCCTTGGCCCCCAGCTAGCTAATGAGCTAATGAGCTAATGAGCTAGCGAGCTAGCTGGAGCAGGACAGGGGTAAAAACCAATCACGGAGGCAGTGGCCCGCAGGTGCAAAGTGAAACCGATTACTCTTTTAAGACGCCGCTAAGCATTTCGGGCCCCATTCGTTATTAATAGCCAGACCCTGGGTGGGCAGCCAATGATGGGGGCAATACCTCGGGAACAAAAGCTTGCCCGACACTACTGAGTACTGAGTACTGTACTGAGTACAGTACCGAGTAAGCTCGTCCTTCATGTACTCCGTACACTCCACTGTACTGTCGTAGATTACCGTACTCCGTACCCGTTACCGTACTTGCTTTCGCTGGGTTTCGCCGAACTTTGCTGTGGCAGGCACCCACATTCTGCCCTGTATGGCCTTCTTAAGCATGCGACACTGCTCATCGGTGCTTCGTACTTCTCGATTCTTTCACAAAACTTGCGTGATTTGGGGCCGTCCTTGGGGTACATTGGGGCCGTATTCCGTCATTTCCCTTGTCTGCGCTTGACTCGGTTACCACTCACCTCGCATCTCTTACTCTTAAATCCCCGGGGGGCCGCATTCTTTTCTCCCTCCATTCCTTTCTCACCTTCCCTTTCTATACTTCCGGCACCATGCGTCTAAATCCGTGGGCAACGATCTGCCTGGCCGGTGCGATCGCATCGTCAATCCCCCTCGCTACTTCACATGAAATCCACTTGCCCTATCTGCCTTCTCTGGGCGGGGACAACGAGGTGAATTCATATCTGGTAAGCAGCTTCAACCGATCTATGGGAGACCTCGATGTTAACATATCCCAGTCCCTCAAATGGGCGGTTATAAACGGCTCGCTCTTCGCCAACGGTGACCGCGTCTTCCCTCCGTCAATGTCGATGCAGCTGCATGCGCCTCAACGGGAAGGCGCGGCGAAAAACCTCGTTACGGGGGATGAAATCGATCTTTCTTACGCCATCGAGGCCCGCCCATTATCCACGGAAGAAAACGGCTCAACCTCGACTATCGTCAGGGTTCGCGTGGATCTATTCGACCACAAAGGCGACGCTGTCACTACCGATACAGTGCTCGTCGATCTTCTTTCTCGCCCCGACGGCTCTAGCTGTATCACTCGGATCCGTATGGAGCCGATCAAGAAGCACGGTGAGAGCAACTTTCATCGCAACCGACCGTGGCGCATGAAGCTCTGGCCGACCCAGGTGGGTGCCATCTTCCACGGCAAGGACAAGCAGGACTCGTCCTCAAATCAGCCCCAACAAACCGACAACCAAGCCAGCCCATCTCGCCCTCAACCCACCGATGCGGCAGCTAGCAGCACTTCCAAGTCCCAGTACGGATTCATCTTCTCTCCCTACTGGTCACCAACCACCTATTCCCGTCGCCCTCAACACAACCCTCACGACGGCCACCGAAACCGCACTTTTATGCGCTTGATACGTCCCGTGATCCTCCCAGCTGTTCTCGGAGCCGTCGCCGGCCTGGTCGCCTGTCTGGTCGGGTTCGTGATTGGTCACCTCTTCATGTCCCTTTCAGCACGCCTCGGCCTTCGCAAGAGGCGGCATCACCGAACAAGGACGATATCAATTGAGGAAGAGTTTGACTCTGAAAAAGCACAACTCTTGCCCCAGATTTATGTGACAGAGGTCGATTCAATGGATGCATAGGGGAAAACATTGGGCATTTCCGCTCGGCGTAGGTTGGGGGTTTTTTGTTTTGTTTCATCATCACAGCGTTCTCATGCATGACAGGCATCATTTCCTTTTTCCAATATTCTTTTGTTAGACTTACTTATGTGTATGTAGTACCATTGATTCCCCGAGAAGAGACACATGTATAAAATTGCACACCTTATCCCGATTGACCTTTCCCTGCCGTTCACGTATCATACTTCAGGCATTTCGTCCATGCAAGGCCGGCTGGCCCAATGGCAAGGCGCTTGACTACGAATCAAGAGATTGCAGGTTCGACCCCTGCGTCGGTCAATTTTTTGCACTTGGCAAAGTGGTGGAGTGGAGGTGGTGAACCAGAAATTTTCGTTCGGTCCGAATGGGTCCACCCGGGGTCGCCGGTCTAAACGGAGAGGTGTCTCACCGATAACTTTTAGCGTTCGATAATAGACTTTTTCTTTATGGATGCTTATTTTACTTCGATGTGACCTAAGCTGGCTTGTCCCATGCTTGGGTGCCATTATTGGAGGCCTTCCAGGCAGCCTTCAAAGTCTGGAAGCTCCATGATCCATTCTTACAAATCTTAACTTGCACATGTGCACGAGCTGATGAGCGGAGGTTATAGCCAATGTGTTGCCAAATACATGATGGCCCAGCTGAGCAGTCCCTGAATACAACCTCTGGGACGGACAATACATCAAGATAGGGGGAGAGTGCAGACTGCATAGTGCGACGCGGGATGACAAAACTTGTGGCGTCGGCTGTAATACCCGAAATACGACTTCGAACGTTTCCACTTAAAATTGAAGGGCCATTACTGTAGGCAATGGAATCCGTACTACGTTTAAGCTTATTTGGTCGTAACGTAGACAACGCGTCTGAGGTTCCCGGATTGGCGTATCTTGCTTCACTTGCCTGCCTAGTCAAGGTCCACCACATCGTTTAAGACATCCAATGACCTCAATCGGTAGTTGAATCTTGTTACCTGGTTGCCTGTTCAATTTACCGCCAGGGCTCACATTAGAAGATTTCTCAGGGTTGTGCCGTGGTAGATTCTCGGGACCCGAGGACTCCTCGCGCCACCACGGAACGACAGTTCGTATCGAGACTAGTATTGTTCGACTCTGAAACTTTGTAAAGTAGCTTGGTATTTTATATGGAAAACGATGGGAAACAGGACCAGGCATATGTACCTACGAATGATACGTCGGGTCTAGAATCGGCCCCTGTAACCTTGGAGCCGGGCACCAATGGATGGCGATGGATATATGTAGATGACCCTTGAGGTATACCGAGCCAACAAGCCTGAGAACATTTGGCCCCAGGTGATCCCTGGAGTGCAATTTTCGCATTTACCCATTATCGAAAATCCGTCATTTGACCCAGTAGCATATCTACAGACTATCCACGAGTGCATCTTTCATACGTCCATACTAATTGCGCTCTGGTTCCCTGTGCGCTCCCAGAGCGGTCATCGCTAACAATATTTTGCCCTATACCAGTTGCCCGTGTCTTAAGTCGCCTTTCAGATCCCCGTGTTGCATCCCATCCCAAATGTAAAGCCTGTCCAGGTGGACTCGACGCCTTGGTAGCTCTTAAAGCCGAGATGAATATAGCTGAACGTAAAAGGAATACCTACCAAAGCTATTAGATGCTTCGACTAAACTACTATGCGAGGATGAACCCTTGCTATATATTGAGAATACGTCAAGTCCAAATTCCCGATACTAGTTAAGGGTGTTTTTTTAATATGTCAGCGGACGAGAGAGTCTCAAGCCCTTTTGAAAGATATAGATCTTAAAACTTGTTCCATGCTAAGCCCAGGTATAATCACTTGGCGTGTGGTTGGTATATAGCAACGTGCCATCTTTCCGTATGAGCTTGATCAGAGTAAAGGGCCTTGGTGTTGTTTTGACCTGTATTGTTCTTGGGACGATTTCATTTGGAGGCCATTGCCCGCTCCACCCGTGTACAATATTCCAGGTGTAAGGAGAGCTTTGTCTTAAAAAATAATGCCACACTGAATGGTATGCCTACTTAGAAGATCTGCAAGACTGGCTCCGGTTATTGATCACGAGCTGTCGAATGAATGTTGTCGGAGGCAGCCTTGCAATCATATTAAGACATGATATGATGGAGAGAAACAGAATCGGAGTGATGAGCTGCATCAGTGTATGCCATTTTCTCAGGAGCAGCGGGATATGTGTGGTTTTTAGAGCCGCCATGAAGTTAAGGCGGGCGGAGCTGGATGGTCGCAACCACCCAATTCGATCGCATTATGCGTTCACCGACTTAGCAAAACTGCGGGTTGATAAATGCGACCCGGGATTCGTGGATGGTGTGTTGCTTCGATAGTATTCCATGGTTACCAGCCACTCTCGTTCCGTTCGTGCACTAGACAGGGCGTGACGGCGCAAGGAAAGGGCATGTTCCTGATAAGCCGAAGATCCAGCGGCTCACAGTACGGTGAGGGCTTTCTGTTCTGTGGATCGTGGCTGCTAAGGAAGTGGACGATGTTAGAAAGAAAGATAGTGCGCCGCGCGGTCTCTGCAACCGTCCAATGTTCCAATTGCTGCAAGGCATGGGTCGAAGCGGACAGCAGGTCCTCGTGAGGAGTTTCGCCAATGCGAGCGGATAACGCTCGGGACATTTGAACCAGGAAGGGATCCTTCAAGTCTTTGCAGTAGGAGCTTTGTTTCCAATCGCCTTTCCTGCGGCTGGGATATGCCTGCAGATCTAGGACGCCATATACCAGCATCGCTCGCAGAGTATCCCACATTTGCATGCACATGTATGAGGGATATCAGTTGATGAGCCGCTGGCTATTTATATCCATCGCGCCGTAAGAAGTGAGCCCCTCCGCAGTCTGCACACTTCCGCAGCAGACGGCCACCGAGGGTTTTTGTCGTCATACCCGGCGCATCCTCGTCGTACAGACGGTGCAGGGAGAGCAAAAAGTCAGCATGAAGAGACCTTGGATGTGATTCCAGCAGGAATAACCAGTAAACGGTGAAATGGGGCGTTCGACTCTATGACCTGAAAAATCTCGGAGTTCAAGCGACGCCGTTTGGATCTAAATTTCTTGAAATTTCTGCCGCAATAACGTGCAGACCCCCTTGCGTGGCCGGACCCGCGTCCAGAGACCGGCCACAATAAAACCGGGTGCAAATGGCGGAGACAGGACATGGCTATGCAAGCTGAGGACTCGCGTTTCGCAGAAGGCTGGAAAGATTCAAAAGAAAGTCCCCGCCACGCACGGATTTGAGGTGCATGTGGCCTTCGCTTGGGCGCAGTGCAAGCTTTATGACGTGTGGATTTCCGTCTCGACAACGCAGAAGCAAATGGTCCAGATCACCCCAAGTCCTGCTGCGCAGCCGAGGCGCTGATACGTCCTCAGGCAGACGTAGACATGTCCAAGTCGGCGATGATTTATCCGAAACTTTGGAAATCAAGTTCAGCTCGCGCCAGGCTTCCCAACTTGGAAATGTGTAGAGCGCGAACGCGTGACGGTAAACAAGTCCCTTCGACGTAAGGCATCGATCATCATCCGTCGTAAATAAACAAGGGAAATTCGTGCCGAGGAAAACAAGCCTTTGCACATCACGTCGTACCATGCATCTGGCACCGCGTACTCTGTACATGGAACACGAAGTCAACCAAAGTGGGGGTTCTCCACAAAATGCTCAAATGGCGGCGAGAAAAGAGGACTCTGGCAGGGGCAAGTCATAGTGGGTCAACACCAAGGAAAGTGGCGAGAGAGGGACCTGTAATGAACGCCGTAGTGACCCTGTGGCTGCACCAGCCACACTGGCGGTGACAACAGAATTCAATAGTGCGATCGGACGCTCGACGTATCCAGCGACCATTCGGTTCGTTCCTTTGGCTCCCTGAGATTGGAAGGCTGTCGATCACCCAGCGCCACCCCTTTTTGTTTTTCTTTTCTTCTTCTTTTTGTGAATTGCCGATGGAAATCATCATCTTGCCCTTCCTTGAATTGAGATACGGGCCCGGAATCTCGGGAGAAGCTGTATGATGAAACTAAGCCCTATCGATGTACGCTGCGACGCACCGCAGGAAACTAAATATAATCAAATCAATCCCAACCTTGGAAGGAGCTCAAGCTCCTCTAGTCGCCCAGGGAAACCTACAGAGGAGCTGCACGGATTTGACGGGCCTATGAGATGGGCTGCTTGGGACCCCAAAAAAGGGTCGAAAGGGAGGATATCAGACCCACCAGTCGATCGATCCCCAATCGAGCTCCAGATCTAACTTGTCCGGCTTCCTGGTCGAATTCAGCACCATTGCTCGGCAAGGCCCTGCAACTCAATGACTTCATGCTGCCTCCAGGCACCCGGGCCCGTGCTTCTCCCTCCGCCACGTTGGCTGGGGAGCACGAAGATCCCGGACAACAAAATCCCAACAGAGCAGCCCAGTCCACACCGAGTAATCCATGCTGATCCTGTTCGATCTTGACTGCGATCGTCGGCTGCTTCCCGGTCCACCCAGCTCAGTTCAGTGCTCAGTCGAAGTGCTAATGGACTAGCGTGTTGTCGTTCCCACTTGCTCGGTCCCAAAGGGTACTTGCAGATTGTTTGGTTCCCAGCTGAATCTGCACCTGATATAAAAAGGCCCTGTGCCGAGCCACTGTTTCTCCCCTTTCTTCTTTCCCAAGCAGCCCTTGATACCCAATTAAATCCTCAGCTCCCTTTTCTTTCGATACTCTTTTTTTACACGATGAAGTCCTTCTCCCCCGTTGCTATGGCCCTTCTGGCCGCGGCTGGTGTGGTCGCCGCCGATATGTCGACCTCTCAGTGCGCTGTAAGTTCCCGTGGTCGTCCTGGGCTTGGAAGTCCTGCTGCTAACATTGACTTGTCGGGATAGTCTATGTGTATCTCCAACATGAACGCCAAGGCCTCCCAACTGGGCTGCCAGTCCGGTGACATGGACTGCCTGTGCAAGAACGAGAACTACTCCTACGGGATCCGTGACTGCACTATCCAGGCCTGTCCCGGCGACAACGCCGAGGAGGTCCTGAAGATGGCTCTGGCGAAGTGTCCTAGTGCGTCTCTCCATTGAATCATGACATCGAACTTGTGGCTAACAATCGACCTTCAGGTGGCTCTGGCTCCAGCTCCAGCTCCAGCTCCAGCTCCAGCTCCAGCTCCAACACCAACGGCGGCTCCAGCTCCAACACCAACGGCGGCTCCAGCTCCAACACCAACGGCGGCTCCAGCTCCAACACCAACGGCGGCTCCAGCTCCAACACCAACGGCGGCTCCAGCTCCATGACCTCCAGCGGCATGACCGGCACCACAACTGGCACCACAACTGGCACCACAACTGGCACCACGACTGGCACCACGACTGACACCACGACTGGCACCGTAAGTATATAACTGTGTGTACGTCCACGATCCACTGGCTAACGACGATGTAGACCACCATGACGAACACCATGACGACCACCATGACGACCATGACTGGTACCAACACCGTCTCTGGCTCGAGTGCTACCGAGACCTCTGGCTCTGGCAATGGCAGCAACAACGACAACACCTCCACCGGCTCTGGCTCTGGCTCCAGCTCTGCTCCCTCCTCCAGCACGGGCGGTGGTCACCCCATGGCTACCGTCGGCAGCGGTGCGGTCGGTGCCCTCGGCCTCGCTGCTCTGCTGGTGCTGTAAATGGCCGTGTAATTGTTTGGAATGGACTATGATCTATGGAAGTTAGCAGTGTAATGTCGAACTAATGAAGTCATGCTCCACCCGGGCACGTGCCCGGGGCTTACGCATGTGATTGCGACCCTACTACGTCTTTTTTCACCTTTTTTTTTTCCATTGTCATGTATTGATCGGTAGTGTAAAGAGTACCTCGAGACGGCGCCATGTACCACCGTGGTCATTGTCTCCTTGAACTAGGGCCTCGTGACCTAGTCCCAAGGCGGGCTTCCTTTATCCCGCCGGGAAAGTGGGAGAGTCTAAGCAGAGTTTCCCGTTCACCCGACTCGGCGAGCTCCGAATGTGGAATGTGAAGATGCAGCCCATGTCAACAAAAAAAAGAAGTTGCATTGTATCGTAACGATGAACGAACTATATACCATGAAATCAGAGTCAGTGTAATTCAGAGCATCGCCGAATATTCCAGTGGATCTCATCTGGCCGGAGCCCGGTTTCTCCGCATCCGAGCCGAGGCACGAGTTGTCCGGGGAATCGCTCGCCGTTCGGCTTCGGTCCGCATGCTCCTGGCCGATCTGCTGTGTGTGTGTGACGGGATTTCTTATTCCTATTCCTATTCTTACTGCTTTTGACTTCTGACACTCTCCTCTCCGGACTCTTCGACGTACCTTCTCATCTCTTCCCCTCTCTCCCTCTCAAATCCCCCCGCTTGACCGCATCCTCCACCATGTCCACCTCCACTTCTCCCCCGCCGGAACTCAAGGATGAGATTCAGGTTATAGAGAAGAAGGCTGTCAACCAGACCATTCAGCAGATTCGCTCGCTGGCGGCAGGTGCCGCCGGTGGTCTCTGCGCGGTTGTGGTGGGACACCCTTTCGACCTGGTCAAGGTGCGCCTGCAGACGGCGGAGAAGGGTGTTTACGCGGGCGCCATGGACGTCGTGCGCAAGACCGTGGCCCGTGAGGGTCTCGCTCGGGTAGGGCTCCTACCAGGATTGGATTAAGAAAAAAAATTGAAGCTAACAGAGCGTTGGGTAGGGGTTGTATGCCGGTGTCTCTGCCCCGCTCGTGGGTGTTACTCCGATGTGTAAGTTGCCTTGGGGCTCAATGGCTCGTATAACACCCAGAAATTGAACGACGAGCTAACGTGAATTCTTTGGACAGTCGCCGTTAGCTTTTGGGTATGTTTTCAAGACGTCCGGGTCTTTGCGATCGAATCGATCCGGGTGATTTTAACACCAAGTAGGGCTACGACTTGGGCAAGACCCTCGTGAACAAGACCACCACCGTCCCTGTGAAGAACGACACCCCGCAGTATTCCATTGCACAGATCTCCGCGGCCGGTTTCTTCTCAGCCATTCCCATGACCCTGATTACCGCCCCCTTTGAACGTGTCAAGGTTCTCCTGCAAATCCAGGGCCAAAAAACCCTAGCTCCGGGTGAGAAGCCCAAGTACTCCGGCGGTATGGACGTCGTGCGCCAGCTGTATAAGGAGGGTGGTATTCGCAGCGTGTTCCGCGGCAGCGCCATGACGCTGGCCCGTGATGGCCCTGGATCGGCCGCCTACTTTGCCGCCTACGAGTATATTAAGCGTTCGCTGACCCCCAAGGATGCGGAGGGCAACGTCACCGGCGAGCTGTCCCTCACCGCTGTGCTGACTGCCGGTGGCGCCGCCGGTATTGCCATGTGGATCCCCGTCTTCCCCATCGACACCATCAAGTCCCGCCTGCAGAGTGCACCGGGCAAGCCCACTATCGGCGGCACCATCAGCGCGGTGTATGGCAGCGGCGGCTTCAAGGCCTTCTTCCCTGGCTTCGGACCGGCTCTGTGCCGTGCCGTGCCTGCCAATGCGGCGACCTTGTAAGTGCCCTTGTCATATCTGTTCCAAAGCGTGAGACTAACTATTAGATAGCCTGGGTGTCGAGCTCGCTCACAAGTTCATGAAGAAGATCTTCAACGACTAAGCTGGGTTGAGTCATTCCTGTGTAAATATTTCCTTTTGTGTTATTTGCAGCGTTGGTTCTGTCGTCCATCTACGGATGGAGCCTTGCGATGGGTTGTCCCTATAGGGGATGCCCAGTGGTTTCCTGCTGGTTTAGAGATACACCGGGGGGGTATTTTCCGGGCTTTCGTATAGATCGGGTTCCTACACGGTTGTCTTTGCATTGAATTCGACGTGCCACTGGTTGTTGGCAGCCACCGAAAAGTACAATACTTGAAAAGCATTGGTCTCTTTTATTAATCCGTAAATGTCGTATATGCCGGCGAGTGGATCAAACATGGCCAATGGTGTCCAGCCTTACTCCGCACAGCCTCTCGGAAGCGCTCGCGTGGCAAATGTCATGATGGGGGCCCAACGCCGGGTGATTGAGGCTCAAAGACTCGACGGTCTATGGACCTTGCGCGAGCCACTGGAGTCCAAGGCCCCGAGCGCGCAAGTGAGAGACGCTGGATTGGTTGTACCGTGAGAGGCCACAAATACTTCAAGTGGTGGTTCTTGGGGGGCCAATCCTGCTTACCCGGTCGGAGCTCATAGTCGATGCTCAGGGGGTTCTATAATAAGCACGGGTGTGAGAGTAGGGCAAAGAGTACGGAGCATAGAGTAATACTGGAGATGAAAGGGGCACGATAGGATAGCATATGGTAATGCGCTTTGATGAGTAGCCACGTACGGATGAAAGCGGTAACAAGTAAACTTGGACGAGTTGAGGCGGTGTTGCCTACTTTCCCCAAGGTTGGCATTCAAAAAGGCGGCCCCATCCCGGCTTACCCTGTCTTTTTACCCTTTCCATCTCTCTTTCATCGACTCGTGGTAGAAGTTCTTATTCCTCACCATGTCGGCTTTGACTAGTCAGTTTGTCCGTCGGGGCGTTGACGTCGCCTACGCCAACTTCCAGGCACAAGACCCTGACAAGAAGCCACCCTCGGGGCTGCAGGTCCTTGGGCTAGTCTTGACTGCTCTGGTGCTCAGCCTGGCCATGTTCTCCGTAAGTACCTTATTTACTATCACTCGTTTGACCACGATTAACCTTTCATAGGTCGAGTACACCTACAACTGCGTTATTGCGACCCTGGCCGCCATCGAGGACTCCAACCCGGATATCTACATCCGCGTCGACGGCGATGACATCAATAAGCCTGTGGACCCCAACAGCCCGGAGCCGCAGCCGGAGGTGGTCGACCATCCTGCGCCCGTCACCAGCAAGCTGCGTCGCGCCGTGAAGCACCTCCGCTCCCGCGGCGGCTTCTGGTCGCGCTTCCGTGGTCTGTCCATGTATATCGTCATCGGCCTGGCCCACAGCTTCCTCGTCGGAGTCATGCCCATCCCTATTACCTCTTTCCTGGGCCAGATTATTGTTCAGCCTCTGGTCAGCGTCATCCTGTCCACCTGGCATATGGCGTGGGTGCATATAGTCATTTCAGAGCCTTCCCCCAAGCGCTTCTGGCAGCGCATCCCCAGCTACCGTACATTCTTGAAGATTGCCCCCGCTGCGGCTCTCGAGAGTGTCCTCACCTGTGCTGCTCTCCTGCTGCCCCTGGCTATCGCCAAGGCCGCGGGTTGGATCAACATGGAGCCCGATATGGACCACGCCGCTTCGGACATGTTTCATTACCTGGCCGTTAGTGCCCTCCCTGCTCTCCTGTCTTTCCTCATCTCCATTCCCGGCCGTGTGATTTTCATCCGTGTGGCGGCCTCGATGCTGCCCGAGGAGAACGAGACCATCGTGCCCTTTGACCGCTCGTTCGGCGGCAAGGTCGAGCCCTCAATCGTGGGTGGCAGTGGCAAGATTGGTCTGCTCGACGCATGGAATACTTTTGACTGGGCTGGTCGTGTCCGCTTCGTCAAGGTCATTGCAAAGGCCTTGGCCATCGAAGCGGCACTGGTGGTGCTCGCTGTGGTGGCCTTGGTCGTCCAGTTTGCCGCCATGCCCTCGAACACCGACTCGCCCAAGGAGGTGCCTCCTCAGTAGAGGAACTTTGATATCCTGAACGCTAGATTGTGGCTCTGCCCCGAAGGAACCCTCAAAGCACCTTGAACACTGTTTGCTTGTCACGTACACACTGCGCCCTTTTTTATTATTTCCTTCATAGCATCATTATCAAACACAAAATTGCGTCTGAACTAGCCCCGATATACCTAGACAACCGTAACGTAGATCCCGGATATGCCCTTTCGGGCCATGACTGCCGGATCTATACACATTTCACCCCCGATTATCGCCCCCGCTCTTCACCGCCTTCATTTCTTTTTGCGCCTGCGAAGGTCCCCCCTCACCTTCGTCTCCATCGACATCCCACTTTCTTGGTTTGCCTTCATACTCCTCTCAAACCCTCCATACTTGGCACCGCCTCAGTCCTATCGCCCTCCACAATGGCGACCTCCCCCGCCGGCCGCATGCTGTCCCGCCAGCTACAGCAGATGCAATCCGATAAGGACATTCCCGGAATCAGCTGTGGCCTGGTCGAGAACAACGTTTTTGAATGGGAGGTCATGCTGATGATCTCGGACGACGTTAAGTTGTATGGAGGTAGGGCTCGTGTTTTCGGGATCTACGCTCCCGAAAACATCCTCGGACACGGGAACCGCTCCAGCAGCGGATCGTCAGATAGTTACTAACATTGATTTCAGGTGGCTTCTTCCGTGCTCGCCTCACTTTCCCTAGCGAGTATCCTCATATGCCGCCCAAGATGAAGTTCGAATCTCCTCTCTTCCACCCGAATAGTAAGTGATTGCCGTACTGAAGAGTCTTTGGAGTATTTCTCCATGAATTTGCGTGGATGCCATAGTATATTTGGCTGCATTCCGAGGTATCATGCTTACCTATCCTTTTTTTTTGGCTAGTCTACCCCAACGGCGACGTTTGTATCTCCATCCTGCACCCTCCCGAGGAAGACAAGTACGGCTACGAGTCTGCCGCCGAGCGCTGGTCGCCCGTTCAGACCCCGGAGACCATCCTGCTGTCCGTCATTTCCATGCTGTCCAGCCCCAACGATGAGAGCCCGGCGAATGTGGAGGCCGCCCGCCTGTGGCGTGAGGACCCGGCCGAGTTCAAGAAGCGCGTGCGTCGGTGCGTGCGGGAGAGCCTTGGCGAGGAGTAAACAAACGAAGATTCATGATTCTTTTTTTTCTTTTTTGGGTGCATCTGGCTGGTCATTTTCTTTCGATTTGCCCGAGATTTACGGTCTCGGGGAGTTTTATGTGATAGTGGTGTTGCTCTCCATTGCATGATAGAGCGAGCGTGGGCTTTCTATGAGTGGAATGATCTAGCATTCATAGCCACACTTTGAGTTCACTCATCTCCCTTTTATGAGTCTTTATGCTGCACGATCTGGGTTGCTGGAGTTTCGCTACTGCTAGGATCTTCTGGTTTGCATTCTGGTTTCTACGGACACGTTTGTTTCTACCTTTCATCCCAGCCCGGCGTATCGGCCTTGCCGATGCGGAAATAGGGACGGCTAGTAGACAGATTCTATACGTAGGAACCGATGATATTAGCTTCCAAATTATGTTCGTTTTCGTCAGATCTTTGCGGTGAGAACTCTATAGGACCCTTCTCATCGGGATGCTATGATCAAGTGCGGTAACACGCCATGCCTAGTTCTATCTAATGCAGGTGAAAAGCCAATGAAAAAGAAAATGCGAAAAGAAAGGGGTTGATGACGGGGGGAAATGCAAGGAACAAAAGGCGCAGGGAAAGGGTTGATCTAGTTACGATTCTTGTATCCCGTGCGCATCGAAGGTAGGCAAAGACCCGGATGGAAAACAGTGAAAGTCAGACAGGCCAAGGCAATCATCCTAATTCGATCAGCCAATGCGTCTAATGGAGATGAGATCCATACTTACATTCCATCGAGGACGAGAAACTCGTTCTCTTTTTGCATCAAGGCGCTGCCCCAACCGCCTGCCATCTCGGGGATACTAGAAGCGTGTCAGCATAAATTCCTTCGTTTGTTCCCGGGTGGTTGGGTGCCTACCGATAGATACACCGGGTAATGACGGTGAAATAGGCGAGGATCACGGCACCAACGATCATCTTCATCTTCATGGGGGAGATTGCCGGCGTGGCATCTTCCAGATTCTTCTCGCCAGCGAGTCCGTTTCCACGACGTGCGACCTTGATAAAAAAATCCAAGCCCAGCATTCCACAAATCGCCATGGTAGCCACCTGGAAGGCAATACCGGTGATGATGATATCGTCGCCCACCTTGAGCAGGAACTGGTTTGTATTCCCTGCAGCCGCCGCAACACCACCGCCCGCGGCCTGCAGGATCAGCGATCCGATATCACAGCTGATGAAGATCCAGGTGAACAGGCGAGGCTTCAGCCTCGAGTGTTCGGGTCCGAGATACAACACAATGTGCTTGAGAGTCAAATAGACGCCGGCCGCAACAAAGGTCGGTGCCAGCACCAGACACACGATCTGCAACTTGAAGGCGCCTTGGTTCCACGGGTTATCGGACATCAGGACGCGGCCAATGTATCCTGCCATTTCCATGATGGTCGCGATACACAACGCAACCATGAAGGTCCATGTTCGGAAGTAGAATCCCAGGCCGATCTGAAACAGACCGAGCACACCAAAGAAGACCGTGAAGAAGACATTGCCGCCGAAACTGGGATAGTAGCCGTAGGTGGTGGCCGCGACGGGGCACTCCGGGCTGACAGCCGTGCAGTCCAAATAGCTCGGCATGGTGAAAGGGACGAGCTATGGGTTAGGTAGGGATCGAGCGATGCGGTGCTCAAAGTGTCAGACGAGGGCCCAAGGTCCTTATCAGCACGCTGACGCACGGCACCCAGGAAAACCGCTCGACCCCATCAGGACCCTTTCCATCGTGGAGCGCGCTCTCGCCAAAGGACAAGGCGCCAGGCCGCCTACCGGTGGGGCGTTCCAACGTGGAAACGTGGGTTCACGATGATACGATTGGTGCTCGCGCTCGCATTCGTTCTCGTTCTCGCGCCCACTTCGCTTGGAAGGCGCCGTCATGACATGCACCCGATCCACCCGGAGATCTTTATCGCCGGTGCTGCATAACGAATCGGGGATTTGATGGCGGCCTTCCCGTTCAGTGCAGAGGCGGCGGCTCTTGCTGTGTGCTTTGTCAGGGTCCGCAGGTGGATCAATCGGTGTTATTCCACCGTCTGGTATAGATCATCATGTCAATCGGGTCAGTCTGTTAATGTATCAAATGCCCGGAGATAACACCAGGGGATCGAAAGTCGGCAAAATGTAAGACAGACACTCCACGTGACTCGTCTTCTTTCTTCTTCAACTTCTCGGCCTTTCGAGTTGAGAGCCGACATGCCTCCTCGCCGGGCGCATACCAAGTCGCGCAACGGTTGCGACCAGTGTAAGCGGCGCCGGGTTAAGGTCAGTCTTTCATTCCGTCACGCATGGGATCTGCGGTCTCTGACAGGCGCAGTGTGACGAACGGGGGCCACCCTGCTCCAACTGTATTTCGCGAGAGCTCAACTGCACCTACTTAAAAGCACCACCGCGCGGAGCAATTGTAACCAATGTGCGACCCCCGTCCATCCCAGACTCGCGCGATTCGCTGGACCCGGGGACGCCCAGGCCCCTTGCACCCATCAGCCCGGCCTCCACCTCCACCCCCATCTCCGGGGTGCGCGATCTCGAGCTGATGCACAAGTTCTCCACCGAGACCTTCAAAACCGTCTGCACGGCCGACTCGGAGTACCACGTCTGGCAGATTGCCATCCCGCACCTGGCCCTGCAGTATGACTTTTTAATGAACGGCATCCTGGCACTGGCATCTCTTCATATCGCCACGACCAGCAAGCCGCCGACTTCCCTGGCTTACATCGATACAGCTCTTCAGTATCATAACCTCACTTTCGCGCCCTTTCGCGCAGCCATTGATAATCTCACCTCCCGGAATTGCGAGGCTGTGCTGGCACAGTCCATCGTTACCACCGTCATCGGCATCGCCTTGCCGCGCGTCACGGCCGCGCGGGATGAGAGCTCCAACATGACCGAGAACATCGTCGTGGTCTTTGAGCTTCTGCAGGGGGTCAAGAAGATCATTCATATCGGCGGCTCTTGGATTAAACTCAACCTATTCAGTCGCCAGAAGAGCTTTCGGGAGACCGATTCCACGGAGTTGGACCGCGAAACAATGGCCGCGCTCGATAAGCTCACCGCACTAAATTATGAGACTCTGGCCAGTATTGACACGGACCAGTATCGCATCAACAAAGACGTCATTGCTCATCTTCTTCAGTGCTTCACATGGTTTTCCGCCTCGTTGGATCCGGCCAATGTCCTGGCTTGGCTGGCTGCCGTGGACAAGGAGTTTGTGGACAACGTCCGGCGTCGTCAGCCACTGGCACTATTGATTCTCATGCACTGGGGTGTGTTGCTGGGCGAGCTAGATGGCAAATGGTGGTGGGCCCGAAACTCCGGCCGAGCCCTGGTTTCTGAGTTGTCCCATATCTTGCATCCTGGGGATATAAGATGGGCCGACTCGTTGGCTTGGTCTCAGCGGAAGATGGGGCTATGATCCGGGTGATTTGAATGAACTCCGTTCAACCGAAATCCTCCTTCACTCTCTCTCTATCGAGCCTGGTCAAAAAGCCTATCTCACAGTGGACGGCTATTAGACCGACAATCGTTCAAACGGACCGATCTGATAGTCTTTCGGTCGCATTCCCTGAGACGTTCCATCAACAGAATGGTTGACTGGAAACAGCGACCGTGGACCAATGACTCAGGTCTTAACGAATCAATACCGACCAGTCGATGCTGACCATCTCAAAAGGCCGACCTGTGTCACTGTCCTATCAATATATAAAACGGACTACTGAAAATCAACGTCCGTTGTTATTTCCCCATACTGTACACGTTGCCGGGGAAATTTTGCAAAACAAAAAGTTACGAATTGGTCTATAGAATACCTAGGTACCGCAGTTCGGACCTTTATTGTCTTGCATATACATATTATGGAGTCCTGAAACTAATCAATTGGAAATAATATCCAAACGTCCATTCTCTTTACGGCCAGTCCAATGACCTACTTCATGCTACTATCAATCTTGGAAGGCGACCCATCAAATCCTGGCCCTTTCCATATACTTTCTGTAGATCCCTTGGATCCGCAACTTATTTACGTTGTCTACTTGATACCTGCACACGCGCAGACTCAACGGGCCACCCACCTGTCTCATCCAGTAGGACCGACTACAGTCGAATAACCAATTGCGCGACGCAACCTGGACCAATTCAGCCAGGAAGCACTGGGGTTCGCTCTGATCCTCGGTAAAGACTATCTGTGGAAGTTGAGGCCGGATGGACGGCGGGGCATTGGTCATCGCGATATCTATGTACTCGTCGAAAGTAAACGGTTCATACAGCTCCGAGCCGATCTGCACGGTTCCCGTGGTACGTGCTGCAGCGTGTAGTAGACATGCATTGGCCACGAAGTCGACAGGCACCTCGTCGATGATATTGGCACCTGTTTTGTAGCCCTCTGCGGCATGCCACACCTGAGTCGACCCCCGATCCGCCATGTACATTTGATAGAATTTGTTTAACGGCGTCGAGTTCTCGAGGCCGTAGAGTGGATACGGGTGTCGCAACGCTTGACCGAAGATGGTCGGGCGAACGAGGAGAATGGGGAGAAGAGAATAGCGGCTCATGAGGAGCTTTTCCATCACGTACTTGGCCTGGGCATACGTCGAGGAGAAGCGTGACGCGTGTGGTGATTGATCCAGCGTCAAGATCGATGCCAGCTCTTCTTCTGGATCTTCGTCGGTCAAATTGTACGGTCGCTCCAGTACAGGACCATCGGGAAGAAAGCTATTACAATAGGCGGTTGACAGCTGAATGAGAAGCTTAAGACGTCGAAACCGCGATGCGATTCGGGCCAATTCCAGTGCCGGTAGGCAATTGTTCTCGAATGCATCGACGAGACTGGACTCCAGACTGATTTTGGCTGCCGTGTGAATCACGAGGGTGATTTGGCTGCGCAGCTGCTCCATCACGGCGGTTTCGATACCAAAGTCCACGGATTTGATATCTCCAATCACAAACTCGATTTTCTTCGAGGCAAGAATTGCATTCGTTTGATTCGGCATGGCTTTCTGCCATTTCTCAATTGCCTGCTCCGGTGTTCCACGGATTAGCACGTATATTTTGTGCGTGGGCAACTGAAGGGCCAGTTTATACAGCAGACATCCTCCCAGGGACCCGGTGCTGCCGGTCAGGAAGACCGTGTGCGCCTCAAAGATATTTGCATATCCTTTACGGAGGACCTGGTCAGCTTGGGATGGTACTGGGGGCGGCCGCGATGACATCGAAGCTTCGTGGTGTTCCGGAGTTGGAACCGACAATTAGTCGCGAGAGGTGTTCCCAGACTGCGAGGAAAGATGCAATCCGAGACCAGGGTACCGTGAAGCCTATCTACCCAGGTAACGATGAGATATCAACCTGATGCCGTAGCATACGGCTCTATTCCCGGGATGGACTGGTAGCACAAAGTTCCCTACTGGATGTTACTCTGGAAAATGCGAAGTTTACCTTTTTTTTTTTTTTTTTTTGCACTCCATGGATGCAGAGGGCAATGCGGTGTAGAGCGTTGACTGGACAAATGGGTTGTACAAGTACAACATGGGGATACCTGACTTCGGTTTATATGTGATACGGTTGGAAACTACCTAGGGAGTTACCGGGTTGAGAGTAGGCACTTGAAGTATATATCATTTCCCAAAGGAGTACTATTTGCAGCCGACGTATTCGCCAACGTCATCTGTACAACGTGTAAGGTTGGAAGGTTGAATCTCTGGAAATTGGCCGACACGGCCAAGGAGGTGGAAGTTGACTTGCGAGGTCGTGGACCTTCGGCTTCCGGCTCAAGGGCTCTTGCTTCCACCGCCGCACCAACAGCGTCCATCTCCATCACGCTCCACTTGAACCACAATGTCCACGCTCTTTTCTTGAAGATAGCTGACAGTCCGCTGGCGAACATCTTCCAGATCTGATCCACGAGAGGCAATGACGTGGATCACTCCGAAAACCCTTTGGCTCTTCTGTTCATGTTCATGTTCATGTTCATGTGCATGTGCATGTGCATGTGAATGGTCGTGATCGTGATCGTGAGTATGATCATGGTCGTGGACGTGACCGTGGTCATGGTGGCTGTGGCCGTGATCATGATCGCAGCCAGAATGACCAGAGTGGTCATGAGCGTGCGCATGTTCAGACGAGCCTGCACCGGTGTCGTCAATCCAAAATTTCGGCACCGTGTAGCTTACTACCCCTCGTAAAGTGCTCACCCCGGCTAGGGTTTCACGAACATTATATTCGGTATCAGCTGGCAGGGTCAGCAGCAGGGTCTTGGCCGTGCTACTGACAAGCGGGACGGCCGAAGCGAAAATCAAGATGGCGATAAAGCATGATGCCAGAGGATCGTACCCGGACCATCCTGAGTAGTGCACGAGGATAGTCGAAATGACAACCGCCACCGAGCCGAGTGTGTCGGCCAAGATATGCAGGAAAATGCCATGCATGTTCTCATTGCCATGCGAGTGGTCATGGCCATGACCGTGATCGTGCCCGTGGTGGTGGCCGTGCTCGAAGCTAAAAATGCCGACCAGATTCACCAAGAGGCCAGCAATGCTGACAGCCAGCAGCTCACCGATGCGATGCATTTCGCTCCCCGATGATAACCGCTCAACTGCCTCGTAAATGATTTCCACGCTGATGATCATGAGGAAAATTCCATTGGCGAAACCAGACAAGGTGTCTACCTTGCCATAACCGTATGGAAACCGAGAATTGGGTGGCCATTTGCTCATGACAGCGGCACACAGTCCGACAACCAGTGCAAGGCAGTCAAAGAACATATGAATACTGTCACTAAGCAGTCCGAGGGAGCCGGTCAAGAATCCGTAAGACAACTGAACAAGCATGAAGGTGAAGTTTAGGCTAGAATCTGTCAGTGTATTTTCCTGACGCTCGGAGTAAAGACTGAACTAACCACATAAAGTAGAAAATGCTGCGAGAATCCTTTTCCTGCAGAATGCTGTGTAGCAAAGGGTAGGCTTCGCTACGGTGGACGAGCCACTTTGTGACTCGGGAGGACTTAGCCATGCCGTGGGAATGGCTGTGATTATGGTGGTGGTGCGAGTGGTTGTGCGAGTGAGCATCCGAACGTAGGTGGCTGTCGTCTATTCTGGATGCGAAGAAAGAGCCAGCAGCCAAAACGCCGCGCGCGGCATAGACAACTAGAAAGTCATCCCGGATGTGTGGGGAGCACAAGAGCGCCGCAGCTCCACTGGTGACAGCGAGACCAACTTTATTCGAGGAGCGGAGGCTCGTCGGAAATGAGACCATCAAAGACATGGCGAACAGCCCGGCGGGAGCTGAAAGGTAGACCAAATCCGATATACTGAAGGGCGACCCCCGAGAAATGATCAGACCAGACACGGTCAGAAAAGACCCCGAGACAAGGGCCAATGGTGCATCGGTTGTCACGATGACCGATGAGTGGCTCGCATCCGATGCCTTTTCCGCAACCAAACCCGGCTCTGGAATAGGTCCCTGATGACGAATAGTAGGGAAAGGCGGAGATATAACGAAGACGGAGAGCGTGAGCGCGAGATAGCCCATGAGCGGCGATGAATCCAAGGATTGCTTCATGCCCAATAAGCTCAACAGCGTGGCTGCTCCGAGAAGAGCAATCGTAAAGCGCTTCTGAGTATAACGCTCGGAACTTGCACTACGCGGATTCGCATGCACCAAGTTTGGCAAACCAGATGCCCTAGCAAGAAGGAGCGCAAATGCGACCATGAAGCCTCCGATCTTCAGCGCGGCGAAAATGGGGAATGCAATGGACAATATTTGTAGAAGGGCGGCCTGGACAGTCTTTCCATCTGGAGTTGGGAATTTAACGGGTGAAGTGGTAATTGAGCCTCCCTTTTGTTGGTTCACTCGCGCAAGTCGGCCACAACCAAAAATAAGGAGAGTCATCCCCGTCAGAAGAAGAGTTTTCTGCCCAACGTGACTATTTCCCACGCCGGAGGTGCAGGCATTTGCATTCAGTATTTCCTCGCCGGATTGGCCTGTCTGCCCGCATTTCCTTGGATACCAGGAGAGCGCGATCCAGGGCAATGCGACAAGGGAACCAGTGAATATTTCATGTCTAAAATTATATATATGGTCAGTTCCGGGGATTCATCAGACTCCATCCACATACATTTGCTCTGAGCTGTGCTCTGTGTAGACGCCAGACTCTGCCTTGGTATCATGAACATGCGCTGCATCATGAACGGATGCCACGCTATGGGAGTGGTTGTGGGTATGATGCGAGATCGAGTGCGAGGTTGAGGCGGAGTGATGATGACTGGGCCACGATGGCTGGCTCGTATGAGTATACGAATAGCTCGCATTCACCGTGTCTGGAGACTCCGCAAGTTGCGATGGGTTCTCACTGAAGCTCCCCAGCGGGAGTGGAGGAGGCGGTTGAGCCCAGCGAGCGTTTCGACTATGACCGCGACTGCGACTGTGACCGTGACCGTGACCGTGACCGTGTCTATTTGAGGGAGGAGCGAGATCCGCAATCTGGAGCGGTGCCCCCGTCGACATTGTCTGTTCGTGGCTGATGCGCTGCTGAATAGGAGACACCCGCGGCGAATAATTCTAGGAGGCGCTCGGCGCCAAGGGTGGACAGAGCCTTTGAAGCTCAAACGGGGTTTGCAAGCGACGGGAAAGCAGACGGCATTGCTGGAAGAGCTGCAAGAAGATGTGCTTCAAGCACTTTGAAGTCGACACAAGACGAGACGAGAGGCCAGTCGCGGACCTTGGTGGGGTCCACGTGACGTTATCGGGAGATGCGCGACTCGTGTTTCGTGCTCTTCTCAGCTTCCTTATTTCTATCTTCTTGATACAAGAGAGCTTGTGCGATTTGAAATATGATCCCCCGTGATGATTGAGCTTCTCATCAGCATCGCGTTCTGCCTCTCCAGTGCGCTCACGGTGCTGATCCTGCTGCTCCCCTCGCAGTATGATCCAGCCACGAAGGACAAGCCCAGCGTGCAGATTCTTGTCTTGGGCGACATCGGTCGGAGCCCGCGCATGCAATATCATGCCCTGAGCATTGCTAAACATGGGGGCAAGGTTGTCATCATCGGGTATACAGGTGAGTCACTTCAATTGACGTGACACTCGAGCGCGGAGAAGCTGACACCAAGTTGTAGAATCCGATCCTCATCCCGACATCGTTTCCCACCCAAATATCGCAATTGTCCCTCTTCGTCCCCATCCCGCAATTCTACAGACCAGTAACAAGCTCCTGTTTACCATTTACGGCCCATTGAAGGTGTTGTTCCAGGTCACATATCTATGGAAATGCCTTGCGTATACTGCCCCGCCATCGCGCTGGCTTCTAGTGCAGGTGAGTATTTAGACGGAGGACAAGCCCCGTCACATTCTGACTCTTGTTATAGAATCCACCGTCAATTCCTACTCTAGCGATTGCGTCTCTATCCTGTTTCCTGCGACAAACCAGACTGGTCATTGATTGGCACAACTTTGGATATTCCATATTGGCATTGAAACTCGGCCAGGATCACCCGCTCGTGAAGCTCTCGATCTGGTATGAGAAGACGTTCTGCAAGTCGACCTCGGCACACCTGTGTGTAACCGACGCAATGGGCTCGGTACTCAAGAAGGATTTCAAGCTCCAAGCACCCATCTTGCCATTACACGATCGACCGGCCAGCCATTTCCACCCTATCAACAACCCCGATGAGCGAACGAAGTTCCTCAATACTCTTCCCGAGACAGAGTCTGTGCGTTCTTCGTTGACGGCTGGAACTCTTCGAATATTGGTCAGTTCGACGTCCTGGACCCCAGATGAGGACTTTTCGGTTCTCATCGACGCACTGCTGCAATACTCTGAACTGGCCACCGCGAATCCCAACCTCCCAGAGGTGCTGGCTATTATCACAGGCAAGGGCCCGCAGAAAGAAATGTATACCCGGCAAATTGCAGCCCTCGAAGCCGCCGGTCGGCTTCAAAAGGTCACAATTCGGACCGCCTGGTTGAGTGTGCCTGATTATGCCCGACTGCTGGCATCGGCATCACTCGGGGTCAGCCTGCATACAAGCAGTAGTGGCGTGGATCTCCCAATGAAGGTCGTCGATATGTTCGGCGCCGGTCTGCCCGTCGTGGGCTGGAATCGCTTCGAGGCTTGGCCGGAACTAGTAACAGAGGGCGTCAACGGAATGGGCTTTGGAAGCTCGATTGAGTTGACGGACCGGTTGACTGAGCTTTTTGGAGACAATAAAAAGCTGGAAACCCTTCGTGTGGGCGCCCAGAAAGAAAGCACCCGGCGATGGGATGATGAGTGGGATCCCATTGTAGGCAAATTGCTTGGACTCACATAGCAAAGTCGATACATGAATCAAATATGTAAATTTTTTTCAAAACTTGGCGTCCTGAATTACCTCTAGATGCTAGCCTGGAATTTGGCGTCACAATAGAGGCATGTATCAAACGTCTCACAAAGCTTGTGGAACAGCGGGCCATTGTACATATGAGCGACCAACTCCTCGTCCATATACTCGGTGCGGCAAACAGAGCAGAATTTAGACATCCCGGGTTCTTGGATAGCCAGGAAGGTCAATCCACAGCGTGCTAGCGAGCTGGGTTTAGTATACCAAATCAGTAGAAGGTAATTGCAATGCATACCGAAAAGATGGCCATTCGCGCATTGGGCTTCCTTAGCCGAGGACCACGCAATTCCCGCATTGCAAATCTCGCACCGCTCGAAGAGGTGGCCCCCAGGCTGATCGAGCTGGTGGGAAGATTTTGCCGGAACTGTAGAGGGTTCGGAATCGCATTTCGAGATTTCCTCGCTCAAGGCTATGCCTGTCTCACTCGCTAGGCGATCGAATGATTTCCGAGCCTTGGAGCGAAATGATGGGCTGTGTCCATCTACGATACTGCAACAGGCCGCTGCATATATGAGCTTCTGATCCTCTGTATTCACCGTGGTCTTGACGCCCTCGGAGAGAAGAAAAGAGGTCACTGCTTCCCGCCGGCTTAGCGCCGCCTGCGTTTCCTGGTTCTCTGCCCGCGGCACGAAGAGGGTTTGTTCGTCCGGTATATCACCTGTTTCTTCCGAGGCAAATGCAATGGTGGCATCTTCATCCGACGCCACCCGGTACTCAATCATATCTGTCGGGTGTTTTGTGAAAAGCACCGCAGTAACGTTGCGGTAAGACGTCAGCCCCCACATTCTCGCCACGGCATGTCCTCCTAAATCACGATTCAGATCGTATTGCTCTCGGAGGTTGTCCACAATCTTGCTCCATGCTGGTACTTGCGGATGATCATCGGGTCCAAGTAGATCGAGGCTGATGGCAACGCCCAGCCCGCCTGTAGTGCATATGTGGAGCGTGCAAGTACTGTCTCCTTCGTCTCGTGATACAGACATTGCTGAGATGACCTTGGTTATCAAACGTTCAATTTCACATTTCATCTAGTCCTTCCTTACCTGTGATAGGTTCCCAGTGTCTTGGGGGATCATTTGTCTCTGTGATCGGCTCAGAGACCGGCCAATCCCGAGTTTGGACTTGGGTTTCATTTGTACGAGTACCGTCGTATGCAGAGCGCTGCATTGAAATTGTGAGGATACCTCCAGTGATACCCACTGCAAGGGCAATGTCTTGACCCTGATTCTATGGCCGGTAACTCTTAGTAAATAGTGTAACATCAAGGTGTGTTGACATACCGTGTGCAGCCACTCTATCGGGCCAGTAATTCGGTGATGATTCCATCTGGGGGCAAGTTGTGTCACTGGGTGTCCCCTGAGCTCAGCAGTAGCCTCATATCGACGCGCATCCTTTTCCTGGCTGCTCGAATATCGCACTGCAACACTGGCTTTGAACAATTGTAGCTGTGTCCCGTATGCGGCGGCAAAAATTGCGGTGGCAGAATGGTCAAAATACTTGCGCGAAGACAATGTCGCGATCCATGGTCCACAGGAGATAGATGAGACACGGACTTGCGACTGTACCCTGCCATGTAGGAGTGATCCCGAGCAAGCCATGGGAAATTGCATCTCTTCCTGTTTCAGCGGGCGAAGAGCCATCTGTTCCACACAGTAGGGGCTGGAACGAGCGTGCATCCCAGGGGACCTACGCACTCGTAGCAGGACCAGATCATTCGAGTCCGTTGCAACGGCCAGCATGTGGATTCCCCAGCGGTTCTGGGGTTCAGGAAATGGATTGGGGTCATTGGTAGGTGGAGGTATTTTAAGAGGCGGGCACCATTGGAATGAACGGATATTCACTCGGCGAAGTTCTTCGCCTCCCACTTTTATCGGAGCTGATGGATCCTGATGGAATACGTGGTTCACTATACCCACCCTGGACCATTGTCCCTTCGAACCGATCGGTTCCCAGAAGGACAGGACCAGATTCGAAGTTAAAACGGCCAGGACGCTGCGCCGGAATCGAGCCAGGCCTGGTGGTGACCATGACATAGCAAGAATAGTGCTACTCGACTGCTCTGCCCCAATAGAGAAATCATCCCGGTTTTGCGGATAGATGTCGGCCCATTCAGCATAAGTGAAGGTGTTGACGCGGAAGCGTGTGACGTGCCATGTTTCTTGTCCCTGAGGCGCTGATGTCGATGCTCCCACGTTCAAGGTCTACCTAACTGTCAGCTATAGCGTTCGCGATGTTCGGTGCTTGTTGTACGCACCAAGATCTGAATCTGCTCGCCCGCGGCCACGGCAAGCTCGCCGTCCGGTGACCAAGCAAGGGCATCGAAGGATTGGGGATAGATGGGCAGCTCCACCGGACTTAGCATTTTGCAGCGATCCAAAACGACTTTCTCACAAAGTCCTACATCAGCCTCTAGCATCCCAATACAAGAATTGAAGAGGACGGAGAGGAAGTCAAAGTGAAAAGATGCGTTTAAGGTGGGAGAAGCAAAGCGCGAAGCTCGCTGCCCGATCGGGCCTAGCGCCATTCTCCGCGACTTCTGCTTCTTTCCATCCTCGTGCTCCATGATTATTTACAGGATGGATTTGACCTACGACGAGGTTCCAAGGTTGGCTATGAATACTGCTGAAATCCCTTTGGAAGGATGGGGAAAATTGCTTCAATTTGGATGTGCACAACTGGCACAATATGTACAATCCGAGCTTCATATGCGAGGGTATCATCAACGTTTTTGGGGTCGCATCGTATTTTAGTCAACACGATCCAGCTTCTGCACAACCATAGCGGTTGCAGCCCCGCCACCATTGCAGATAGCAGCCACACCGTACTCACCAGGTTGCAGCTGGTGGAGCAGGGTGACGAGAATGCGGGAGCCGGAGCTGCCCAGGGCGTGACCGAGGGAAATGGCACCACCGAGCATATTGACCTTGGCGTTCTCCAGACCGAGAATCTACGCGGGATATATGTTAGCATCGCTGTCTCGAATTTTAAGATCTGCCAATGAAGACACAGCTTTCTTACCTTCTCATTGGCCTTGATGACTGCCGCAAAAGCCTCGTTGAACTCCCACACGGCCACCTGATCTTTGGTGATGCCGGCACGCTCCAGGGCAATCGGAACGGCCTTGGCCGGGGCAACGGGGAAATCTACTGGGTCGATAGCGGCGTCGGCCGATGACACGATCCGGGCCAACACACGGCCGCCGGCACCAAACTCGCGCGCCAGCTCCTTGTTGCCGATAACGAGGGCGGAAGCACCATCGTTCATGGTGGAGGCATTCCCGGCAGTGACGGTGCCCGTGCCGTCCCGCAGAAAAGCAGGCTTGAGAGTGGTCAGCTTATCGATCCGGAGGTTCTCGTAGCCCTCGTCCCGTTCGATCACAGTCTCGCCCTTCTTGCTCTTAACAGTAACCGGGGCAATTTCATCTGCGAACTTGTTCTCCTTCCAGGCCTGCTGGGCCCGCTCGTAAGAGCGGATAGCGTACTGATCCTGGTCCTCCCGCGAGATGTCGTACTTCTTGGAGGTCTGCTCGGCGCAGATACCCATGTGGAACTTGTTATACACATCCCAAAGACCGTCCTTGATCAGACCGTCCTCCAGCTTGATCTCACCGAATGGAGGCAACTGACTGGCACGAGACATGTAGTACGGCACACGGCTCATGTTCTCCATGCCACCGGCAATTTGAGCCTCGGCCAGACCAAGCTGGATGTTTTGGGCTGCCAGTGCTACCGCCTTCAAACCGGAGGCGCACACCTTGTTGACAGTCATGGACTCAACGGTGGACGGCAAACCAGCGAACATGGATGCTTGGCGAGCAGGAGCCTGGCCAACGGATCCCTGGAGGACATTTCCCATATACACATCGGTGATCTTCTCCACGGGTACCTTGGATTTGCTCAGGGCCGACTTGATGACAACGGCGCCCAGCTCGGGTGCCGAAACAGAGGTAAAGGAGCCATTGAACTAGGCATACGTCGTCAGCACTTGCGTCCTCGGACTCACAACATGAATTGTACGGGCCATGTAATTACCTTCGCTGTGGGTGTTCGGGAGGCACTCAGAATGTAGGCATCTTGGATCTCCCTCAATGTCGGGCGGGCGGAGCTGAAGTGTCTCTGGCTGCGGAATGCGGGGATGGTAGCCCGCTTGGAGAAGCGAGCAGACAACCCGGTGGCAGTGATCATTTTTATTGAATGTGAGACGAGGCGAGGCGATATGAGATGGCGTACAGCGTATTGAAAGAGAAGAAAGAGAAGAGGAACATCGAACGGTTCAAGTGCAATCGGCTATGGAATGCATCCGCTCAACACCCGCGCGCGCCGCTTTTAACCGCCTGAGCCGAGGCTGTTCCACGTCACATGACATGACGGAATACAGTGACTCAGCAGCATAGATCGAGTTAGTTTCTCCATCGGGATAGTTCCGCCGGTTCCCCTCCCCGTGCTTTCTACTGATAGTCGTCCAGCGTCTCTGTTTCTACTCCGTTGCTTCTTCTTCATCCTCCATCTCGGTAGCAGAACACTGCTCAACCTTTACGTCACAAGCTTCCTATCTCTACCCGGACGCGCCACGATGTCGACCTCTGCCCGCCGCCGTCTCATGCGGGACTTCAAGGTACGTACTGCGTCACTTCAGAAATCGGGCGAGATTGCCCTTCGGCCCTCAATCCAGATCCCCTGCTAGATTTGGTGATGGCACTATGCTGGGGAAACTGTCACAAACGGGCGGCCGGTGGACACTCATTCCCTTTGTTTCCGAGAATCCTCCAAAAAGTGTCAAGTGCCCCAACCAACTGATTCGCGTCTCGGAATGTAGCGAATGCAAACCGACCCCCCGGCCGGAGTCTCTGCCTCGCCCGTTGCCGACAATGTTATGACGTGGTACGTGGAGATGGACTGTCTGTTGCTATTCAATCGACTGATGGGACGCTAGGAATGCCGTCATTATCGGCCCGGCCGACACGCCGTTCGAAGATGGAACCTTCCGCCTGGTGATGAACTTCGAGGAACAGTACCCTAACAAGCCGCCCGGCGTCAAATTTATCAGCCAGATGTTTCACCCCAATGTCTACGGCACCGGCGAGCTCTGCCTCGATATCCTGCAGAACCGATGGAGCCCAACATATGACGTGGCTGCCATCTTGACGAGTATCCAGAGGTAGCGTGACCCAAGCTTTCCCGGGGCTTTTCGTTCCCAAGACCCGATTTATGCTGACCTGCATGACCTCTAGTTTGCTCAATGACCCCAACACCTCGTCCCCGGCCAACGTCGAAGCATCCAACCTTTACAAAGACAACCGCAAGGAATACATCAAACGGGTGCGAGAGACTGTTGAAAAGAGCTGGGAGGACTAAAGGTGGACATGATGGTAGAGTCGCGCGCGTGACTTTTTACCCTTTTCACCATTCCGATTGATGATTCTTCAATATCAAACGTTGAGGCCGCAGCGAGTCCTGAGATGCGAATACCGGAGTCAAATATCGCTTTCGAACCTTCGGGCCGTTTGATCTGCACAGCGTGGGGTTTAGGCGCCAGGTTCTTCATTTTTGTTTCCCGTGGCCTTTGATTTTCTTTTTTTTCTTGTCTGCATTTATCCCATTGCGATAGTTCTGCATTAGCCTTGAATGATATACATATTTACGAAAGTCAAGCTCTTGTCGAGGATAAGAGAGCGGTGACCTCCTGAACCGTCGGAAGTCGGGGCGGTCGGCCAATCCCAAAACGGGGCGACTGTCAACAAATCCACTCCTCACCTTCACTCTCTTACCCCGTCTGCTCGGGTTATCTGTTAGCCTTCTTGTTTTCTTTTCTTTCTTTCTTTCTTTCCTCCACGCGTGGAGCCCATATCCCTGAGCCCCCCTGGACCTCCCAGGCCAATAGTGAAACACCTCTACCCTCGGGATTTGTCTGCCCCTCCTTGGGGTCTGTTTGTGTCCCGTGAGAGGGCCAGTGAACTGCCAAAAAAATGGCGTGAGTACTTTCAACTAGCTCATTTGACTGGCACTGACTTCCTTTCGCAGGTCCGTCGGGTCGAACACCATTAAGGGTACGCACAACGTGGGATCCTCAACGGTGGAGAGAGAGTACAGCTAACCCCCTAACGCGTACAGTGGTCGCTCGATTCCGTCCCCAAAACAAGGTTGAACTAGCCTCCGGAGGCAAACCGATCGTCGAATTCGAAGGCGAAGAGTCATGTAGCATCCAGGTGAGCCCGGGCACCTGGGGAGGCCGTGGGGAATGATGCTAACGAGCATATGTGGGTAGTCCAATGAAGGCATGGGTGCCTTCACCTTCGACCGGGTGTTCCCCATGGATACTGCGCAAGACGACATCTTCAATTTCTCAATCCGGCCAACTGTCGACGACATTCTGAATGGTTACAACGGAACGGTGTTTGCATACGGTCAAACTGGTGCTGGAAAGTCGTATACCATGATGGGATCCGATATCGATGATGATGTGGGCAAAGGTGTTATTCCGCGTATTGTCGAGCAAATATTCGCCAGCATCCTCACCAGCCCGAGTAACATCGAGTATACCGTGCGAGTCAGTTATATGGAGATCTACATGGAGAGGATTCGCGATCTATTGGTGCCGCAGAATGACAACTTGCCGGTACACGAGGAGAAGGCTCGTGGAGTCTACGTCAAGGGATTGCTGGAAGTCTACGTCTCGAGCGTGCAAGAGGTCTACGAAGTGATGCGCCGTGGTGGAAATGCACGAGCCGTGGCTGCGACCAACATGAACCAGGAATCCTCTCGATCCCACTCCATTTTCGTTATTACCGTCAGCCAGAAGAACGTTGAAACCGGATCGGCCAAGAGCGGTCAACTCTTCTTGGTCGATTTGGCTGGTAGTGAGAAGGTCGGTAAGACGGGAGCCAGTGGTCAGACCCTGGAGGAAGCCAAGAAGATTAACAAGAGCTTGAGTGCCCTTGGTATGGTCATCAACGCTCTCACCGACGGCAAATCAAGTCATATCCCGTACCGCGACTCGAAACTCACTCGAATCCTCCAGGAATCCCTGGGTGGTAACTCTCGGACGACCCTCATCATCAACTGTTCGCCCAGTAGCTACAACGATGCGGAGACCATCTCGACCTTGCGTTTTGGTGTCCGAGCCAAGTCCATCAAGAACAAGGCAAAGGTCAATGCGGAACTCAGCCCGGCCGAGATGAAACAACTCTTGCGAAAGGCTCAAAGCCAGGTGACAAGCTTCGAATCCTATATTTCCGCCCTGGAGAGTGAAGTCAGCCAATGGCGTGGTGGTGACAGTGTCCCGAAGGACCAGTGGACCCCTGCACGGGGTAATGAGATTGCCAATGCCGTGAAAGCTGAGGCTCGTGCCCCTCGACCAGGAACCCCGTCACGCCTCCAGGAAACTGCTCGTGCCGAGACTCCACGCCCCGACTCTCGCGTTGGAGACCGTTCGAGCACACCCAGCCTGGTGCTGGAGAAGGACGAACGGGAGGAATTCCTTCGCCGCGAGAATGAACTGCAGGATTCACTCGCCGAGAAGGAGACCCATATCGCCAATGTGGAGCGCAGTCTCCGGGAGGCCCGCGAGGAGCTCAAGTCGATGAAGGAGAATGCTGGTCGGTCAGGCAAAGACAACGAGCGCTTGGAAACCGAAGTCAACGAATTGCGAATGCACCTGGAGAAAGTCTCGTATGAGAGCAAGGAGGCAGCGATTACCATGGATGGTCTGCGAGAGGCGAACTCGGAGCTCACTGTCGAGCTGGACGAGATGAAACAGCAGCTCCTCGATGTTCGCATGAAGGCCAAAGAGACCACCGCAGCTCTCGACGAGAAGGAAAAGAAGAAGGCCGAAAAGATGGCCAAAATGATGGCCGGATTCGACCTCGGCGACGATGTATTTTCCGACAACGAACGTAAACTACAAGACCTGATCGCCCGTGTGGATGCGCTGCACGAGATTAGCGCATCGGGAGAAATCATTGCACCCGATGACATCCTTGAGCTTCGCACAAATCTGTTGGAGACACAAGGCTTCATCCGACAGGCCGAGTTGACCATGAATGATCGAGGTGAATTTGGTGAGCTGCAGGACAGCCGCCGGGCAGATCTGGAGAAGAAATTGGACGAAGTCCAACGAGAATACGAAGGCCTCTTGACTCGCAACTTGGGCGAAACCGACGTGGAGGAGATCCGCGAGCGGCTGGAAAAGGCTTTCGTCGACCGAAAGGAGACCGAGAGCGCCGCAGTCGAGGAGCTTCGAACCCACATCACCCAAAAAGACGAGGAACTGTCCAAGCTGCGCAAATCCCTTGTCGATACCGAGTCCCGGACCTCGAGCAATGGTGCCGCGAGCAAGACCCTGCAGCAGCAGATTGCCGAATTCGACGCCATGAAGAAGTCTTTGATGCGTGACTTGCAGAACCGCTGTGAGCGTGTTGTCGAGCTCGAAATTTCCCTGGACGATGCTCGTGAGCAGTACAACAACGTGCTTCGATCGTCGAACAACCGTGCCCAGCAGAAGAAGATGGCCTTCTTGGAACGCAACCTGGAACAATTGACGCACGTCCAGCGACAGTTGGTGGAGCAGAACAGCAGTCTGAAGAAGGAAGTTGCCATCGCCGAGCGAAAGCTAATTGCACGGAACGAACGCATTGCCAGCCTGGAGAGCTTGCTTCAGGAGAGCCAAGAGAAGTTGACCCAAGCCAACCACCGGTACGACCTTTGTGTACACCTCGCTCATCCACGTTTTGCCGATACTGACAACTACACTAGATTCGAGGCCCAGCTTACTGCTGTCAAAGAGCGCCTGGAGGCTGCGAAGCAGGGCTCTACCCGGGGCCTTCCCACCATGGACGGCAACGGGAGTTTCAGCTTTGGAGGATCCCGCATTGCGAAGCCGCTGCGTGGCGGGGGTGGATCGGACGGGCCGACGAATGCGACCGTCGCGGGCGTACAATCGCAAGAGGCGCCGGGCAAGCGCACGAGCTGGTTCCGCAAATGATCCTACAACACCCTCAGAAGAGTGTTCGTCCGTGGCGATGCTACTCCTGAAACTCGACAGCTGTCTGCCATGGGCACCGGACATCTTCCAGTTTGTCCTGCTGTCACTGGCTTTGGGCTGATCGTGATCTCTTCCTAACGCCGTCCTACGAGTCTCGTCTCATTTCCTTGCTTTTCCTCGTGGCTCGTCCACTGTGGCAGGACCTTCTTGTGATTTCCTTTTGACGTTCGATTGCGTCGCTTTTCTCTTCCCATTCCAGTACATTAGATCGCGCCCTGCGGGGGGGACTGGAGATCTGAGGATCTCCCTGATACCCATTGTACATCAACCCCAGATAGAATGCAGTGGAGCTGGTAAGTAGTCTACGAGATGGAGCGTGGGGGGTGAGACGATATGTTATATATGCCACGATAGTCCCAAGACTTATTTTCAGTGTTTGATATCTCATCTAAATGATTATTAAAGATTCGAAAGGGTTCCGGAAGTCCGAGATGGGTGAGAAGCGCAGCGAAATCGTGAGGCCTGAATGAAGCAGCAAACCGGCAAGGGCCTGCCTGATATGTACTCCAGGCAGCGCAATTCACCTTTTCTCACTTCTCATTTTCCTTTTCGCTTCTCTATATCTCCGACATCACAGCTTATGGAATGTCAATTTACTCCAACCACTCCCGGCGGTAATGAGGCGGCCTCGGTGGCCAGCGAGGGAGTCACATTTTCGGCAATGGACAGGAAAGTTGAATATCAGATAGGGCGAGCCAAGCGGCAGCCTTCCCACTCCACTCGGAGGATCCACCCGTCATATACCAACTGCCGCCTAGCCCGGTCTAGAACTGACGAGACCGGGACCTTTGCAGCATGCACTAGCGTAGAGACATGAAGGCGCTTGTGTTCCTCAGCGGTCGAAGGGGAAGCTCGGGAACGGTCTCACGCGGACTCACGACCGAGTGCATCGCAGACGGGGCGCTAGGGCCATGCTGGTCAAGACATGCAGGCCCAGGGATGGATTGGCATCGAGCTTATCTGAAAGACAAGGACGAAGCTATGAAAGAAAAAGCGCTTGGCAAGTTGGAGGCCAAGATGGAAAGCGAGTCACGAGACTGGAAGCACGATATACAAGTTGCATACTTTGACTACGAGAGGTCATGTACAGAAGAGGGGCATGGTATGAAGAAACCAAGGAAAAGAATGCCAATGCAAATACAGAATTCCCCCCCAGTCTCTTAAAATGGAAATAATTGCGCCGCCTTCGCCCGAGCGAGATCCTCAAACTATACCAACCCGTCGTATAGCGATAGCGCACTGACAATCGTCTCGTCGCGCTTGCTGCCCTCCTTGAACTCTTCGAGGTCCAGGCTGCCATTCTCATCCTTGTCCATCATCCGGAAGATCTTCCGCACCCGCTTCTCCGGGGTATCCTCGTCCTCCGGCAGCTTCACCATCGATCCCACCTAAAGCGCGTCAGTGACGGTCATATAACGATGTACGTGCCGGTCACCTACCATCTTGTAAATCGCCTCGACAATGGCCAGCATCTCGTCGTAAGTGATCTTGCCGTCGCCATCAATATCGTACAGTTGGAAGGCCCAGTCGAGCTTGTCCTCCATCTTGCCTCGCGAGGTCACCGATAATGCGCAAATGAACTCCTTGAAATCGATCATGCCGCTGTTGTCCGAGTCGAATACGCGGAACACATAATTTGCAAATGAGGATGGATCACCGAAGGGAAAGAATTGCCGGTAGATTTTCTGGAACTCCTCCTTGGTCAAGGTGCCCGACGGGCAGTCCTTCAGGAATCCTGGAAAGTGGTCAGCCACACTGGACACTTCATTGCGCGGCGAGACGATCAACCCCATCCCGTTCTCACATACCTTTATACCATTGCTGGAGCTCCTTCTTGTCGAAGTGGGTTGCCCTTTGCAACTCGTCCAGCTGCGTGGGCGAGAGCTTCGATTGCCTGCGCACGAGTCAATATCCAGAAGTTGAAGGGCCTGAAAACGGTCGCTCAATAACCCGGAAGGTAGGACCAGTCGTGACCACCTCGGAACGTCACTCTAAAGAAAGCGATTCCGTCGTTCCAGGCGGTTCCGCCCAAGTCCATCCCGCCGGGGCGTCCGAGTTCAGTGAGGCCAGATCGGGTCGGACTCACGACTTGCCCATGGTCAAACACCCAGAACCTCAGTTATAAATTCAGGCACATGCACGTCGAACTTCCACAGGATCGCCAGGGGGACGTCTTGGAGGCGATGGAGGAAGGGAGATGGGTGACGCGGGGTAGAAACGGGGGGACGAAGTGTGGCTGAGTCGCGGTGGCGGGGAATCGACGTAAGGGATCGTTCGCGTACGAAACCGAAGCAGGGAGAAGAGCGATTGAGGAAAGTCGCTTTGATACGTTCAAGGAAACAGAGTACAGAAGGAGAAAAGCGAAGGTGACAAGAAAGATGAATGGCGAGTCGAGACCATCCTCGGCCTTGGCATGACACCACTACGAAATTACCGCCTTCCGCTATATACACGTTGTACACTTTATCCTCCCACCCCGGAAATGCCGGATACCAATATCGTCGTAAAAAATATATCTCATATGCAATCATCTCCAGGCTAACAAGACACGCGAAGAACGGGCCGGGACGGGGTGTCCCGGTGTCCCGGCCCATGAAAGGTGGGTTTAGTCCACCTTGATAGAGCCGTAGATGCGATAAATAAACGCCCAACTGGCGAAGAAACCAATCGAACCTAGAAAAGTCAGTCAGGAATCGATTCGAAGACGAGCGAAATAGACAAACCGGTAAGGATAAAGACGACAAAGCCAATCAGGGCCGAGTAGCCCATGTAGAGGACAGCGCCAGTCAGCCCGCCAAAGCTCACTCTCGTTGCCCAAAAGATGAGTGCGTTGACGAACACGTAGCCACCCGTCATACCCGCACCGGCAAAAGCACGCCAGTGCCACCGGTAGTTCTCTGCACACAGCAGGAAGTATACCAGCAGAATGGTGGTAGCCGCGGAGGTGATGATCATCAGGCCGTAGCACAGGAAGAGGAACCCAAACATGTAATAGATCTTGCTGGTCCAGAGCGAGGTCATGATGAAGTACAGCTCAACGAAGATGGCACCAAAGGGAAGAATGCCGGTGAGGAGAATCGATGGGATAGTGCGGAGGCTGCCGGCCATCGGAGGCACCTGGCGTGGGATTTGGTTTGTCTTGGTCGGGCCTTCGATTGGCTAACGGCGAAGCAGATTAGTACAAGACGTAGACAGGAGGCAGAAACAGAACGATCACATACAGCTTGCCTGAATCCAAGCCAGCTACCGGCAAAACTCAGCGGCACGCTGATGACGAACCAGATCAGGACCAGTGCCAGCATGGTGCCAAAAGGCACCGCACCGCTGGAGCCCTTGGCCCAGACGAAAAGGTTGAGTAGGAAGAACGTGCCGAAGATAATTCCGGGAATCAACAGTGGGGTCAAGACAATGTTGCGTTTCCAGGCCTCGCCGCCGAAAGCTTTGTATACTCGTGCTGACACGTATCCACCAATGGCACCGAACAAAGCGGAAATCAAGAGAATCGCAGTGGCCAAGAAGCCGCGGTTGGCAGGCGAAAGGAGACCGAGGAGTGCGAATGCTATATGGATCGGATTAGTTTGCGACGCACGATTTCAAGAGAGAGATCAACTGACCAACAGTTACACCCGTCATCATAAATAGCTGAGCACCATTGCCCAGCATAATACTCAGCAACAACGGGGACTTGGGGCAACGGAAGACGTCACCGTGAACGAGCTTCCACCCGGAGTCTTCCTGGATACCATCCTCGACGGCGGCCGAGGTGCCATCGAGATCGTCCAAGCTGATCGCGTCCAGCCGGTTGTAGCGCGCAATGTCCTTCTTGAGCGCACGAACGAGAATCATGCTCACCATGCCCACGAGGAAAACCACGAAGACGGCGGAGTTGATAAGTGAAAACCAGTGGATCTTAGGGTCATAGACGTGCAGGTATTTGTCCCATCGAGTGGCCCACGCCGTACGAGATTCCCTCCAGTAAACACTGTAGGTCCAGGTAACTGGGGTATCCACATCCTCACTCAGAGTCAGGAGGTTCCGCTGGGTGCCACACTCAGCAGTCCCGTCGTCCAGGACTCGTGAATCGCGGCGAGACTCGGGCTGCACCAGCACACCCACCACCCGGAGCTTGTCTTTACCGCCGTATCCAACTCGGTGGTAATCAATTAGGAGATTAAAGTGATTGTTCAGCACGGCCTGTCCGTTGTCATCCAGATCGCCCAGGGAGAATCCCGGGCTATAGAAATCGGTATCGGTGTTGCCGTCGTGATTCAGCTGCGCGGCGGGCAGTCCATCCACGAGCCAGTTGATGTTATAACCTTGAGAAATGCGGCGATTGGTGAATTTGGCGCCCCGAGAGTCGAAAATAACCTCACCGCAGATTGCTTTACACGTCTCATTTTGAGCCATGTGCAGCTCCAGTGGGGAGGTGCGAATGCGGTCGCCGAACAGAATGCTTCCCAATGATTCTCTTACATCTTGGGCACCGCCTTCTGGTCGACAGAAATGAAGCGCAGGGTGGTAGTAGTCGTATGCAAAGACAGAATGTAGCTGGTCATCGCGTGATAGACCGGGCGTCAGGTGGTTGACATAGAGCGGAACGGATTGGCCCTTGTCGTAGGAGGTCGGGGCAACACCAGGAAGATAGAAGGCGGAAGACAGTGAGGGGATAGTGAGGAGGACCGAGGTGAGGAGGGAGGGCCGATCGGTGAACCGCATGGTGAGCGTCGAGAATTCGGGGGTTGCTCAAATCAGCCGCATGGGAAATATGGTCAGGCGGTGATGCAGTTCAAACAGAAAGCTCACAGCAAGAGCATAGACAGTCCCAGCAGGGATTTACAGCTTCATGCGTGCTGGTACAGAAAATGAGGGTGAGCTAGGTGAGGCATCAGAAAGGACAGGATGACCCCCGTTGGACAATGACGGCGGATGCCTCGCGAACACGTGATGATCACCTCCATCACGTGCTGATAAGGAAAAATTTCCCAGATTTTGACGCAAGCGCGCCGTTCCATGTTGATTTCTACATCTGCCATGGCTTCAGACACTGCGCCTTCGCGCGCTCAGAGCTTGTCTACGCTGCTTGATAATCTCAAATCATGTCTCACTAGCGCTGCTTCCTCTTTGCCAGCTCCCCGCAAGGAAGCCCCCTCCGACATCTCGATTGAGCCTCCGCAAGACGGCATCTCGCTCCTCGATACCAAGAGCGAAATTCTCCTTTCCTACCTCCACAACCTCGTTTTCTTGATCATTTTCCAATTGCGAAACGCTTCGTCAAAGCAGGACCTCAAGGACTCCGAAGATGTCGCGGATGCCCCCATCCGAGAGGAGGCCGTGAAAAAGCTAGTCGAGCTCCGAGTCTTCCTCGATCGCGGTGTGCGTCCGCTGGAGGGCCGTCTGAAGTATCAGGTCGACAAAGTGGTGAAGGCGGCAGAGGATGCGGAACGTACGGAACGTCCTGGCCGGTCGCGCAAGTCCAAGAAATCCCGCAAGGGCAGCCATGGTAGTGACCACGGATCATCGGACGAGGACGATACAAGCGGCAGTGATGAGGAGGAGGAGGATATGGATGAGATGGCTTACCGACCCAATGTGGCTGCATTCTCCAAGGCCAAGCCGGAGGAGAACAAGTCTCAGGCCAAATCAGTCACCGAAGAGCCGAGTGATGGTATCTACCGCCCGCCGAAGATCATGCCGACTGCCCTCCCCTCGACTGATCGCCGTGAAAGAGAGGATCGTCGCCCCCGCCGGTCCAATGTCATCGACGAGTTCGTCAACGCCGAGATGTCGTCCGCGCCCATGGCCGAACCCAGCATTGGTAGTACCATCATCGCCGGTGGTCGACAGACCAAGTCTAAGAAAGACCGGGAGCATGAAGCTGACCGGACCCGATACGAAGAAACCAACTTTGTCCGTCTGCCCAAGGAGACCAAGAAGGAGAAAGCTAAGCGCGGCGGTGGCCGGGACGCTACATTTGGTGGAGACGAATGGAAGGGCCTTACCGAGGGTGCTGATCGCATTGAGCGTCTTACTCGACGTGGCAAGAGCGGCGGCGCCGCTCTGGAGAAGAGTCGGAAGAGAAAGAATGATGATGGGCAGCGCGGTGATGGCGTGGGCATGGGCGAGATCTTCGATAAGCGCCGGAAGAAGATTGATAGTTGGAAGCGATAAGTGTGCTATGGGGCTGATTCCTTTTCTTTTATTTGCAACAGACCTCGAGTCTACGAACATCACGGAGTTGGCATGGCTATCAAAAACAAATTCACCACCGCTACAAGTTGTTCCTACTTGTACATTATTTCATCCATAGATACCTTCACGCATCCATCTTAAACGTGCTTCCATCCGGGGACGATTAACTGGACTCGGCATATGGGCATAATCCGAGGCAACCCAAAGCTACAAACATAATCGATTTATCCGAGAGTATTTAGAATCACTTGGAAGTATATAAAACAAAAAGAAAAGTCAAAACCGCGACATTCACATGTCAGGGGTAAAGTATGCCGATCCTCGGGCAGATGATGTCATTGCCTCCCGACTTGCTATCGCAAGGTCTCGCGGCCGACTCTTCTGACACTACTTGCAGACTTGCAAATCTGTTGATCATGGAGAACCCAGGTACGTTCCATTGCGTTGAATTCCTACATAGTGTACGCGTGAGCTCAACTAATTGATTGACAGTGGTCGAAATTCCGGCGCTGATCCATCATCTCACTCAGTCGTCGCCAACGTTACAACAGAAGACTCTGGAGCAGTTCTTTACAAGCGATGCATCCTTTGTCCATCCTTTCTGTCGAGTTCCCAGCTTTGAAGGGAGCCGATGGTGGATATTGAAGGTCTTTCAGTGGTATAAGATCATGTCACCACGCATTAAGATGGATATTCATTCAATCGGTGAGTAAGGCTTCTATGCGGAGACTCTCCCGTTGCTAACAATTCCGTAGCATTCGATGAAGATCATCTCAAACTCTACGTTCAAATGTCTCAGGTCTTTTCAATTTGGATTGTGCCGTTCCACGTTGCATCGGTGACACTGACGACCGTCCTGGATCTCACCACCGACTCGAAGAAGGCCAGCTCCTCGGCAAACGGCGCTCGCCCGCTGTACTACATTTCTAAGCAGGAGGATTTGTATCAGACCTCCGAGTTTGCCAAGTTCATCTTGCCGCACGTGGGGCACTGGCTGGTTACCAGCTGGCATCTGATTGCAACGTTATTCTGCTTACTTGGTGTGACGTTGCTATGGCCGATGCTTTGGCTGGAGGAGAATGGGTATCTTCCGGGCCGGATCGCTCAGGGAAACCTGGCCTATAACATTGACCGTAAGGTTTCGGAGATCAAGAAACATTGATTCCGGGCCTCATTTAAAAATTTGTTTGTACGATCTTACTTTTTCACATGATATGAAACTCGATGCTTGAAGCATTGTTATCTTTTCGCTGTTCTAACTTGTAATTTTGAAACTAAGTGAAAATGGAAAATCGTTATCGGCGCTAATCATCACGAACTCGATTGCTTTTGCCGTATGCATGAAACCCTTCGTCATGTCGTTTGTATCGCACATCAAGCCTGAGATTGTTTTGCGCTCCCCGCTAATTATTCTTGTGCTGCTTCTTCAACTCCTTGCGGAAGTTGTTCTCTTGCTCGACAAACATCAAGGGCAAAGCACGCCCAAGACCAAAGAACACGAACAGAGCCCACTTCCACCGGAACGGGTTGATGAGCAAGACAAACACGTACCAGTAGATAAGCTCGGCGTAGGTAAAGAAATCAAAGGCGTTGGTGGGCGAGAAACGCTTCATAAACCGTGTGAAATCGATCCAGGTCTTCATCCATTCTTCCGTGGGGCGGGTCAACGGGTCGGTCATGAACATGATCAAGAACCGAGTGTAGATACCGATATGCATGTTGCCCACAGTGCCGATGGCATTGACGTACGTGCTGTTGTTTGCACAGATGTCTGGGTACTTGGGCGGGAAGACCTGAAGGTACCAGTTGGGTGGACCGTACGGCTCTTGGAAAACCTCGTCCGGTAGGAAGGTCAGAGAGGGTCGCTTGAAACCGGTTGCCATCACGATAATATCACCCTCAACCAGCCCTTCACGGCCAGGGCCACCCTTGGGAACACCTTGGGCACGGTGGTTAAACATCACGCCGTGCTCCTCAACCGAGACGATATCTCCTCGCAACCAATGGGCCTTGCCCTCGCGGATTTGATCGAACAGTTGAGAGTTGGCCATGGGAGTCTGAGTGAAGATCCCGTCATCGGTCGGAGCAATGTCTTCGAGGTCGCGGTAGAAGAACTTTTTCAGCAGCGATTCAGGAATCCAGGAAAGACATGTTTCCTGTCCAAAGACGTTGAGCGCCAGTAGAGACTGCACCAGCACATTTCGCGGGATGATCCATTTGTCGGAGCGCGAAAGCACATCAATCTCCGCCGCACCAGACTTGACTGCGAACTCGAGAGCTTCGATTGCGCTGGCACCACCACCGACGATCAGAATCTTCTTGCCCTTGGCGTTTTTACCGTCCAAGTTGGAGGAATGGTAGATCTGACCCTTGAATCTGTCCTGGTCGGGCAAAGAAGGCATCTGTGGCTCTCCACAGACTCCCACGGCCGTGAGCACACCGTCGAAGCGGCCGTATTGGTCCTCGTCATTGTTGATAATCCATTGCCCGTTCTCAGTTTTCTTGACCGATGTGACACGGGTGTCGAACACCGTGCGTCGCTGAAGATCATAGCGCTTCCAGAGGTTGACAATTTGTTCCTTAATTTGTTTCTGACTGGGGTAGGCATTGTCATAATGGACCGAGGGGTGGAACCGGTACATCAAACTGTGCACCTGGAGGGCAGACGTGGAATTGACCCTCTGTAACCGGGTTAGCATACAATCGACGGCCTTGGTAGGTAAAATAGCCTTACACTCCAGATACCACCCAAGCCGCGGTCTTTGGATCTAGACTCGAAGATCTGCACGTCGAAGCCATGACCCACACAGTGAGCAGCGGAAGAAACTCCAGTCAGACCAGCGCCAATGACGGCAACCCTCTTGCGTGGGATGTTTGAATCGCTAGTCGCATCTGGTGGTGGGGGGACGGGTGAAAAGACATATCGAAGGACCGACTGGGTAATCAAGTAGAGCCAGGTGAAGGTCCAGACAATTGGGTGTCGGATCACGGACGGGATGGACGATTGAGTGGCCGCCATGGCGAAAAAAGTGAAGTATGCCTTTTGAGATTTCACCCATGGACCTGAGACGTGGACTTTTTGTAGTTTGGGTAGAGAAGTGACGTGATGGAGTGAAGAGAAAAGACAAGGCACCGTCTTCATGTGATTCTCATCTGGTGGAACGATGCATGACATCATGCAGGGCCGGCCGGCTTCTGTACCGCCGCCTCGGCAAGCCGTCGGAGTCTCTCGGGGCTAAGAATCGTGGAGTGTAGCTGGCTGGCATAATGAAAAGGAATATACTGCTCTGAACTGAGGTTCACAGCCATTGGAGTCTGAAAGGGGTTGCACACTTGCAAATGCAAGATCGGAGACTTTCGTGCTCTGCAATCGAACCGTTCTAGAGAGAGAAATCTCCGATTGGCAACTGCTACGTGGGAACGACTCCACCTGTAACTCCCTCTATTTACATTGAAAATGGTAAATTCCAAAATAGCACTCTTGATCTGAATCCTCAGCCATGAAAAGTGCAAGCTCACGGATGGCCCCAAAGGCGGTGAACGCGCGTGACTATTCTGCCGCCGGAGCTCTGTCTTTCGCTCGCGGCGTCTTATCTCTTTCTTTCCCGCTGAAGATGCGCGAATGACCGACTCTCATTTGCAGTACGATCCCGCCATGACTGCAAATTTATTCTCTCTCCTCTAAGTCCCATAATCTCCCTCCAATCCAGCCACCGGTCCTTCTCCGACCCGTTCATGATGGCGGGCCAGACCCCCATCTTGGACCAATTCCTCCGCAGCATCACCGATTTGGTCCAGAACCGCGATGGCGCCAAGTTGCAGGACTTCCTGCAGATCGAACCCCCGCTTTCCGACATCTATCAGCAAATGATCCAGGAATTGCGCCAGCGATACCCTAGTCCTCAAGGCGATAATGGACTGCTGCAACGGTGTGAAGGACTGGTCCCGCGTACCAAAGGTAGCTCATCGTGGATGGCTTTCCCAACCTTTATGAAGCTATACTTTGCATTCCTGCGCGATGTGAACGTTGATAACCTGCTGGAGACCTACAATCGACTCAGGGGACTGCTGAAGTAAGTGACCAAACCGAGAAGATTCGGGCGTAATGTTCGCGCATACACCATGGACAATGGACCGAAGGGCTAACCGGTGTCTCTGCTTTCCTAAATAGCCAGTGCGTGATGGCCCTCGGAGACAGTCAAATGGGTGTCATTGTGCTTCCAACCGTTCTTTATCTGTCGAAAGTCCTGGCAAAATTGGCTATGGGATTGGATCGCCGACCCGAGCTCATAGCGCATATCCTGCGCTCGGAGGGTCTTGTCGATCGCGAGGAAAACATCGAAAAAGTGACATTGGTAGAACAGTCGGCGAATGTGGTACGCGAAGCGTTTATCAAGTGCTTGACCGACCGTTCCGGCACTCCAGGTCCACACGGGAAGCCCGAGGGCAAGCGCATTGGGATCTACCTCATGGCCAATCTATGTCTCAAACTGCTTTTTCAAGTAAGCGCCTATTCCCTTGTGTGTTCACCGGTTTTCTCGTATCTGATGATAATTCTTAGTGCGGTAAACTTCGAAATGCCGAACAGATGTTTGCCAGCATCAGCGCCCAGTCGCCTCCTTTGGCCCATTTCCCTGCTTCCCAACGTGTCACTTATCTCTACTACCTTGGGCGCTATCTTTTCTCCAACAATCTCTTTTACCCTGCGCTGATCGCCTTGCAATCTGCCTATGACCAATGCCACCGCCAAGCACTCAGCCAGCGACACTTGATTCTCACCTACCTGATCCCGTGCAACATCATCATGGGCCGTTTTCCATCTCAAACACTCCTACAAAGGCCCGAGGCTCGGGGTTTGGCGGAACACTTTGAACCTTTGCGCCGTTTGATCATTCGCGGGGACTATATTGCATTCCGCCAGCATCTCTCCCTTGGCTCATCGAATGCTCAATGGTTCTCACGAAAGGGAGTCCTGCTTGCCCTCCGTAACCGGTGTGAAATCCTGGTGTGGCGGTCGTTCTGCCGAAGGGTATTTATCGAGGGTGGGTTTCACGGGGACACCCAGGCGAACGGGCAGCGTGGACCACCACCGTATCTTTATTTGCAGAAGCTGGCAGTGGCCACACGATGGCTGAGATCCAAGCATGGGCAATTGCCCATCAATGACAATAGCAATTCCATCATGGCGCAAGATTATGGGTCGCAGACTATCTCCGAGCCAACGGATCCTGATTATGCAGATCTCGAAGACCCGAACCGCGCGACTGCCTCGGATGCTGATCAAAGTATATTGGAAAAATATGGCGACTATATTGCTCCGGAGAGTTTCTTTGGTGAGGGTGGTCATTTACAGGAAAATGTGCCGGGCCATTTGGTCGATGGCGATCCGGACGCCGATTTCGACGATCTCGAATTGGACCCGTATGCTGATATTGATGATCTTGAAGCGGATCAGCCTTCTCTTCTCATGCGGGAAATAGAATCCATCCTCTCTTCATTACTTACACAGGGATTGATGCGCGGCTACCTCACGCACCGCAATCCTCGATTTGCAATTCCCGGTGCCCGACTTCGGGGCGCTCTGCCGACGGGATTCCCCAATGTTTGGCAAACAATCTCGGCCCGTGAAAAGGAGGACTCCAGCGTCCCCGGGTGGGTTCGGCCTCCACCGCGCACCACGTTTGGCGGCCCGGCAATGGTTAGCGGTGGCCGGGTTGTGAATCTCTCGGGGGCTCGACCGGTTGGAGTGCAGTAAGGGCGCACTACGCCCCAAGATTTATGAATTGATCGCGTTAATGATACCTCGTACGTCATACCCAATTGAAATTTTTTTTTTTTTTTTTTCCATAAATTGAAGTTTGAAGTTTGAGCTGCCTCTATCCAGCTATCCAGCTATCCAGCTGTCAACCACACATAGACCCCACTAAGGGTATTTATTGGGATTCAGTATTATCCACGGATAGCGACAGATCGCGCGAAGTTTCTGCATATATGATCGAAATAATTATGGCAACTACGAAGTAGTCTGACCTGGGAACCTCATCAAATCGTCGCGAGAAAAGAACCTTTCACATAGGTCTCTTACCAAAGTCTATGCTGGTACTGTACATAAAGCACATTGAACGGGCAATCAGGGTTCACTAAAAGTGGAAAGATAGAGCGCTTTGAAACCGTCCAAGAAACACATACAGCTCTTATTTAAGCTGTAGTGTTCGAAGTTCAACAATCTGCATTTCTGTAGCTCACTTTCAGGGCTGGGCAGACTCTGGTGTTTTCTACCACCTTGCAAGATTACTGGTTTACAAATGCAGAAGACGAAGCGGTCAGGTTCGAAAATTCCTTACTTCTGGACATAGGACGTAGCAATATAAACCAAATACTTAAGTACAAATCCTCCGTTCTTCATCGCGTTGTCAGACAAATACTGATTGATAAAACTTAGTCAGACTGTCAAAGCCTGAGTACTGCTTTACGATGCATCGTCTTTAGAAGCTAAAGAGTAAACATTAGTCAATGCTTTTCTCATATCGGGGGATATTCCATACAGCATCATCAATTTCTCAGCCTTCATTGGCTTCTCCATTCCCCCCGAGGCAGAGGCAGAGGCAGATGGAGTGGCATGAGCTGTGGGTGTAGCCCTCTTCGTTGGCATCGACATAGGCTTTGATGAGGTTGCAGGAACCTCAATACCCTAGATGTACGTTAATCATGACATTGCCTTAGTATTCACCGATGAGAGTATTCACCGTCTTGGACACTCCGAAGGGGATAGCCACTGCAGTTGCCACAAACAGAGCGTAGACGAAGTCGAAACGCATTTTGGAGAGTGGAATAGAAGTTGGAGTTGCGAATAACTTGAAATGATAGCAGTTGGCTTGGAATATTTGGGATTGTCGAGTTGGTTGAGGATGAACATGAGAAGCCTGCAGGCACAAGGCCATTATATAGTCGGTTAGAGATCGACCAAGGTCTTGTTGATGGTATCATCGCCAGGGACCTAGTAGGTCGATATGAAGTGCACATCCTTCCAAACATTTGAAGGTTACCTCTGAGGGCGGGGGAGCAGCCAATCATGTTTGCCACGAGATGGCTCACTCTGGAATAAGCTCACGGGAATTTTTGCTAAACACCTTGTTTGGAGCTTCTGGTATATGCGAGCTTTATGCTGTGATGTCAACGGAATGTGGGAAGCGTGTCGCTCCATGTTTGGTGACATACGGATTCCATCAAGTCCGATGCCCCTTGATTTACATGGATAGAAACCTGATTGAGATGGGGAACACAGAGCCATTTATTCTGTGCCGCAGAGGAAGTGAGTGGGAGGGAGATGGAGACAGTGAATTCTACGTCTATAGGGTCGCTTGGTTCTATCCATTGTATGAGCTCCCGTGAGGGTCTGTTTTTCCGTTTCAATTTCCCGGTCTACGCGATCGTTTTTCCCAACTCACAAATATAACGCAGATGGAGACTACCGGTGCCAATTTAGTCAATCCAATGCCCACGTAGAGAGCACCGCGATATCCACTCAAAAAAGTGCAGTCCGCGTCATTAACATATGCTACCACCGTACCGGCAAACCCAAGACCCGACTAAAATGGAGCAGATCACCGTCGCCGCTACGAGCGATGCGGCCAGCCCTTGATGGTGGCGATGCATTGAATGACTGAGAATGGGGATCCCGTAGGTGAAGGACATATTCCTGTTGACAAAATCAGCTGGCATATGATGAGATACTGACGGAGGCTGTCACACCCGCATTCCCCAAGACGTTGACAAGCTGACGACAGAAGCTTAAGCCCAGTAGCTTTGGACTGGCACGGTGGCAAATATTGATAGCCGGCTATGAACAACACAATGGCAAAGAACATTACAACGCCGGGAGACAGGAGACCGAGGAGGAATGCAGTGATGAGAGCGGCGAGTCGCGTTTGATGAGTCTCCATGAATTGATAGAATTAGTAGATGATGATTCCAACGATACATCCAAGTACCCAAGTGAGATTTCCCTGATGCTGTGGCCGGCAAGAAGACACCACAGACTGAACCGAGAGATGGAAGCCGAACTACATATATGAACTATACTGATCAAGCTCACCGGGAAATACCCCACGTCATCCAACGATCCGGGGTGGGATGATGGGCGTTTTGCAGCCCAGCTCGAGGTTTTGAGTCATGACTCCAGAGCTCCGAAGTTTAGAGAGTGCATTCGAATTGTTCCGTCGCTCACTTTCGTTCTTGACCACCATATCCATACGCGAAGGCAAAAGTAAAGTTAAGCTGTGACGTTCGACAGGCAATTACTAAGCATCACATGCCGCGGCCTTTTTTTTTTCCAAGTCGAAACTTGACCAGCAAACGATCTTGCAGCTTTCCAGCGCTGCCTTTTGCCTGGCATGCTCCTTTGAGCTTCATCTGGGGCTTTTTTGATCCCCGTCTCTGCTTTTGCAGACCTCAACGTCGTCATTCCGGAATTTGAGGGCTGGCATACAAACCCCCCCATCTCCCGTCTCCACCTTGTGACAGCGATGGCCGAGTCACCCCCCATTGTCTTCATCGCCAGGTAAATTTAATTTGTTGAAGCTGCCCGGATGTCCCACCGGTACTGACTTCGATAGACATGGCGCCCGTCTTGATGCCGCCGACAAGGACTGGCATCTAACCTCTCCCACTCCCTACGACCCGCCTCTCTCCTACGGCGGTTGGATCCAATCCCGGGCGCTAGGCGTGCGCATCGCAAGTCTCCTGCGGGCTCCTGAATTCACGGGAAAATACTCAGAGAGTCATCCCGACCGATCTTCGGCCTCGGGTGACCCGGCACATCTGCAACCGACCCCCGCTCCCTCGGACCTGTACCACCGATACAACGTCATCATCCATACCTCGCCGTACCTACGATGTCTACAGACTGCAATCGCCGTCGGCGCGGGTCTCAACCAATCTCGGTTTGAAACTGAGGCTCCGGACGCCACAGAACCTCCGGACGGGGCCCAGACGGACGATGTGGTCGCTGATCCTCGATCTCTGCTACGCGTCGATGCGTTTTTGGGCGAGTGGTTGTCGCCAGACTACTTCGACCAAATTATACCACCACCGGCCTCGGATCGCATGGTAGCCTCGGCTAAGGCCGAGCTTCTCCGTCGTGGTGACTTGATTCCTACGGCGCGAGAAGGAGCAAGAGCGCTCTCGGGCCATTTCCCGGGCGGCTGGGGTAGCCAGTCTCATCCGAGCTCCCCCAGCGAAGAGGAAGACCGTCGACTGGCCCCGCAAGGGCCATCAGCAACGACGGGCCAGCGACAGCGTGCCAGCACCTGTGACACACTGCAAAGCCCTCAGGTCAGCCGCGGCCCCAAAGCTTTGGGTCGGCTCAATACGGATCTCCTACCGATTTCGGATGCTTCTTACGTGCCCCCGACTCCTGGATATGCCATTTCTGCCTCCGATCCCATCCCCGCCGGGTACGTAGCCCACGCGCGGGACGCCTGCACGAAGATCGACTACCAATGGGATAGCATGCGCACGCCCTTCTGGGGCACGGGTGGCGTATACGGCGAGGAATGGAGTAGCATGCATGAACGAGTGCACGATGGATTTCGGCGGATGGTGGACTGGTACCGGCGACAGGACGGACCCAATGCAGATCCCTCGGGCGTCATGTCCAACGGTGTCGACAAAGACGGCCCCAAGGAGACGGTTCTCATCATCATTACACACGGAGCTGACTGCAATGCCCTGATCAGCGACTTGACCGGGCATTCGGTGCTCCTCGACATCAACACGGCGTCTCTCACCATGGCAGTGCGCCGGGACCGCCTGAAGGATACCGCACCTCTCTCCGAGAGCGTATCCAACTCGTCAACCCACCGGGATGACCTTGTGTCACGAGAATACGCTCTGAAGCTAGTTGCGTCAACTGACCACCTCCGTGCGGGGGTCAACCCTTCACAACTCACTGCGCTGACCTCGCCCTCGGCTCCGCAGCCGGTGCCAGCACCCCCCATTCCCACCTATCGCAATCGACTCGGCTCTCGTCCACCGACGCTCCAGGGCCCAATTACCACCGGGCCGACTCCAGGATCCGGTCTCAATCCTCGCTACTGGTCTTTGGCGCGGCAGTCAAACGTATCTCGAGGAGCCTCTGGCCTCTGGGGAGCCATCTTGTCGCCCGACAAGGACGATGATGCGGAGGACTTCGTGCCGAACTTCGGCGACCCACGGGCCGAGAGCCACGACTCATCTCAGATGGCTCGCGCGTCTCATACGGAGGGATCCGTTGACCGATCGGGCTGGACGAAGCAACTACCGCAACGAACCCTCTCGCAGCGCGGACTGTGGGGGAGTGCACCGTCCTTGGAAGACCGCGAGGCGGCGTCGGGGCGGCGTTGGACGGTGGCGGAGCAGAAGTTGTGAAACGAATGTCTACGACCTTTTGATTTCTTGTGTACAATCTCTTTTCTTAGGATACCTCATTGCATGGCGCCGGGTGTTTCCGATCCCACTCATCTTTTGACATAGTCATGTTCTTATGTTCCCTGGTTGAATCAATTTCATTCCTCAGGCATCCGTCGCATCCGCGTTCCCCGGATTCGCCTCGTCCCACCTTTTGCCCCTCGTAAACAACTTCTCAACTTCTGCCTTCTCTTCCCTTCTCTCCTGTTTCCCCCCTCTTCTCCATCCTTTTGCCCGGGCATTCCATGTCAACTCTTGACTCCGACGGTCTCTCCGTCACGTATACCTCGGATCGTACCGGCGCCCCGGATCTGCGGCTAATCCACTACAATGATGTCTACCACGTTGAGTATGTGACCCTCGGTTCTTCCCTGGGCATACGCGGATCCCCCATACTGACGGGCTCTCAAGATCTGGCTCTGCCGAACCTATTGGCGGGGTCTCGCGCTTCCAATCCCTCATGAACTACTACCGCACCCATCCACGGTTTGCCGACGAACCCAATATCCTGACCTTCTTCTCCGGCGATGCCTTCAACCCCAGTCTCGAGAGTACCATTACCAAGGGCCGCCATATGGTCCCGTTTCTGAACAAGGCCGGAACCGATGTGGCATGTGTGGGTGTGAGTACGGCAACCGGTTTCATTTGCGGTTGGAACACTGCTGATCCGGCCAGAATCATGATCTCGACTTCGGTGTCGCCCAATTTCGCCACTTGTCGGGCCAATGCCATTTCCCGTGGCTATTGGCCAACGTGCTCGATCCAGCGCTTGGAGACGGCGTGCCAATCGCTGATTGTGGAAAGACCTGCATGCTGACTTCGTCAAACGGGATCAAGATCGGTGTGATTGGTCTTGGCGAGAGAGAATGGTGAGGGCTCTTGGCATCAAAAGATCTCCGCCTGTCTGCATCTGCTCACGAATTTCTTAGGCTCGGGACCATCAACTCCCTTCCGCCTAACTTAATCTACCAATCGGCAAGCAAGACTGCACAGGAGCTGGCACCGCAACTCCGAAAGCAAGGAGCCGAGCTGATCGTTGTCGTTTCGCATCAGCGCGAGCCAAACGACTGCAAGCTCGCGAATAACTTGTCTCCGGGAACGGTGGACATCATCCTCGGTGGTCATGATCACTATTACGCCCATTCCGTTGTCAATGGAACTCATGTTCTGCGATCTGGGACCGATTTCAAGCAACTGAGCTATATTGAAGCTTTTCGAAAACTAGGCGGAGCCCCAGGTTGGGACTTTAACATAACGCGTCGCGATGTTGTACGCTCCATACCCGAGGATCCAGACACGATGGTCATGGTTGGCCGACTCACCTCCAGCCTAGCAGCAAAACTTGAAAAGCCCGTAGGCTACACGGTCACCCCCCTCGACGGCCGTTTTACCACGGTCCGACAACGCGAATCAAACTTGGGTAATTTTGTCTGTGATCTCATGCGTTACTATTACGCCGCCGACTGCGCCATGATGGCTGGTGGGACCATCCGTGGTGACCAGATCTATCCCCCGGGGATTTTGCGGTTAAAAGACCTATTAAACTGCTTTCCCTTTGAAGACCCGGTGGTGCTGATCCGAGTCCGGGGTCAGGCCTTACTGGATGCTCTCGAGAATGGCGTTAGCCAGCTTCCCGCATTGGAGGGTCGCTTCACACAGGTATCCAATATCTCCTTCGGATTCAAGCTGGATGCACCGTCAGGCTCACGTATCACATTTGCTCGGGTTGGTGGTGAATCTATTGATTTAGAGCGACACTACGTCCTGGCTACCCGTGGGTACATGGCCCGTGGGAAGGATGGATTTTCTTCTTTGCTAGTCCAATCCGAAGGCGGCAAAGTTGAAGAGCTTGTGGACGAGGAGAATGGAGTACTGATCAGCACAATCTTACGCCAGTACTTTATGAGCTTGAAGGTTCTCGGGAAATGGCAACGTTGGAGCGCCAGCCTCCATCGGCACTGGGGTTCTGTACACCGCAATCTGCACAATGAGGGCTGGCTAAAGCCCCCATCTGCCGCTGCATCGCCGGTCTCTGAGAAGGCACCGGGCAAACGCTTGAACCCCCGTCCAGGTTTGCAACGGACGGGCCGGCAAGCTTACTATTATGGCCGCTTCTCTCAGGAGGTCGAACAGATATCCGCGGCCTCTGCCGCCAATGGGACAAGCAGCGATGACATGGATTCCGACTCGGATGAGGACCCTGAAATCCTCACCTCGCCTCGATCGATGACCAACTACGTCACTCTTCCTGCCCGGTCTTCGGCGGAGGAGGAACATCGCTTACAGCTAGCGAGACGCGTTGTTCGCAAGTGGATGCGACATGCTGGCCTACAGTCCACCAACCTGAATATGATGGACGGCGAAGGCGAGTTCACTCCTGCCTGGACCTCTGGCATATCTCCCCGACTTGAAGGTCGGATCGTTGTGGAATAAGGCCGGCTAAAGAAGCAGGCATCTTTGTCGGGGTTGACTTTCTTTCTTTTTGATCGCATATTGCAAATGCGCCAAGCAGGATGCGTGGCGTTGCGGGTTTATAGATAAGACGATTAGATACAATAACGATGATATGAGAATAAAATATGTGTTTCGTATAGGTCAACCACTAGAGATCTAATTTATTTACAATGGCTTCATGTAGCAGCCTCCTGGGCGCCCCATCCACCACCGCCGGCGGTCATAATGACTACCCGGTCGTGTGTCTTAACAGACACGGTGTTCTTGCCTCCGATGTTGATCTGGCGCTCTTCACCAGTCTCGGCATCCCGAGTGACCCACTGGTTCAGGCCCGGTTCGGCATGTTCACCTCCTTCTAGGCCATAAGGTCGATGAACGCGTCGCTCTGAAAGGATCGAGACTTGCATTGGAGCAAGGAATTCAATGTCGCGCACCACTCCTTCGCCGCCCGGGTTCTTGCCCCGGCCGCCAGAGCCCTCTCGCAGGGTGAATTGGCGAAGAAGGGTTGGGTATCGCTTCTCTAGGATTTCGGGGTCGGTGATCCGTGTGTTGGTCATATGGACGTGAACGCCGGACTCGCCTTTCCAGGTTGGACCAGCTCCGCTACCACCAGCAATGGTCTCATAGTAGCCAAAACCGGGGGTGATGACGGCTCCGGTCTGAGGATCAAGCTTAGGATTGGTGCCGAAAGTCAGATTGTTGCAGCAACCCTGCGAAGCCGCACAAGCCTGGAAGGCTTTGAGAACGACGTCGGTGATGCGCTGCGAGGTGACCACGTTTCCACCCACTACAGCAGCTGTTTTGGTGGGTGACAAGATACTGGGTGAAGGAACCCGGATATCAATCGGAGCCAGGCATCCTTGGTTAAGGGGAACATCCGCATTAATCATGCACCGCAGGCAGTAGATGATCGCAGAGTGTGTGATCGCAATGGGCGCGTTCCAGCTGCCATACACCTCGGGTCCAGTGCCATCAAAATCGAAGACAGCAGAGCCATTCGAGCCGTCGATCGTCACCTTCAGACGAATAGGGGTGCCATCATCCATATAATCGACGGCCTCGAGCGGCTGTCCGCCAAACTTCTGATATAGTCCCTTGAGAAGGTTTCGGACAGCAGTCTCGGCAGTCGCCTGAATGGCATACATGTATTTTTGGACAGTCTCCACGCCATACTCGGCGAACAAAGTCTGGATCAAAGTGATACCACGGGTGTTGGCGGCAATCTGCGCCTTGAGATCGGACAAGTTGTCACTAATGCAGCGGGCACCAGAACAGCCAGGATACTGTGCCGGCTTCGTGACAAGTAATTCGATCAGACGTTCCTCATCCAGGACACCGTTACTAACGATCTTGTCACCCTCGATAGCGGCACCCTCTTGCCAGAGTTCCGTCGACTTGGGAGGCATGGACCCGGGTAGGATACCACCAATATCAGCGTGATGGCCGCGCGAAGCAACGTAGAACATGATCTCCGTGCCACCCGGCCGATCAAAGACGGGTGTAATGACCTAATATGGAAATTAGCCTCTGACATCGCCTTAAAAATAAGCAAAGAACTACTTACAGTGATATCAGGCAGGTGAGTACCACCACAGCTGGGGTGGTTGGCCACGAGAACGTCGCCATCCTTCAGGTTTCCTAGCCACTTCTCATGCTGGTAGCGAACGGCAAACTGCATCGATCCCAGATGCACTGGGACGTGAGGAGCATTTGCAACAAGTCCACCATCGGGAGAAAAGAGAGCGCAGGAGAAGTCCAGTCGCTCCTTGATATTAGTCGACACGGATGTCTTCTGCAGAGTGCGACCCATCTGCTCGGCGATGGACATAAACCGGTGACCAAAGATACTAAGCCGGATAGGATCGACCTCGGAGCTCACTTGGGTCTCGGGAGGAGAGACGGTTGGCTTGTCCTTCAAATCAATAACGATGCAGGTTTCGAGAAGGTTCGCGACGGCATTTGGAGCGACGACAATTGTCTGAGTTTGGTCAATGATGACGGCAGGGCCAGCGATTCGGCTGTGCTTCTCTAGTTTGGCAAGCAAGTACACTGGAGTGTCGATACGTGTGGAATAACCGTCAAAGTAGGCCGCAGTCGTGTTGGCCTGTGCGGTCGTGACATCCTTCATGGTGGCATCCTTCAATTGGACCAGGGGGCTGCGCTCGGTCCGGACCTTGGAAGAGGCTATGGTACGAACACGGATATCATCAACAAGGATTGGTCGCTCCGGGTTGAAGTTGAATTCGCGGCGGTGACGCTCGCGGAACTCATCCAAGAAATCTGACGAAGCCTCGGATCGCAATATCATCAGACTGGTGTCAGAACCCTCATAGCGCATGTTCAGATATTGTTCATGACGCACTTGATTGGCCGGGAAACCCTGTCCCTGCATCTCTTTGGTTGCAGCAGCAGCCATATCGTCGAAGCGTTGAAGAAGGCTGGAATGGGAAGAGAGGTAGTCAGAAGAAATCGGTTCCTGAGATTCCTTGACCACTTCCGCTAGCGCCAGGCCGTACGCCGACAGGACCGAGGAGTATTTGTGAATGATAATGCGCGAAATTCCCAGAGAAGCAGCGACTGAGCAAGCGTGTTGGCCACCGGCTCCTCCAAAGCAGGCTAGGTGGTGAGAAGCAGTCTCGAAGCCACGGGCCTCGGTCAAATTGCGGATGGGGCGGGCCATAGACTCATCTGCGACCTTAAGGAATCCAAGGGCGACCTCTTCTGCCGTGTACTCCGGTTGGAAATGATGCCGGCGCTCAACATTAATCTTTTGCGTCATGTCATGAAACTTTTGCGCAGTAATTTCAGTATCCAGTGGCTGATCTTCATTAGGCCCGAAAATATGAGGGAAGTACTCGGGGAGCAATCGGCCGAGGAACAGATTAGCATCTGTCACAGTCAAAGGGCCTCCTTTCCGATAGCAGGCTGGGCCGGGATGTGCGCTGGCCGATTCGGGGCCGACGTAGAAGAGACCGTTCCGCCAGGTCAGAATGGATCCACCGCCGGCAGCAACAGTGTTGATATCGAGCTGTGGAGACTGGATGAGAACCCCAGCAACCTTAGAACCGAAGACGTGCTCCAAGTGACCGTCAAAACGTGAAACATCTGTAGATGTACCGCCCATGTCAAAGCCGATCACGGGCGTCTTTTCAACAGGATCCCAGCTTGTGGCCGCAAAGCCTACCACGCCAGCGGCGGGGCCGGATAGGATAGCTTTCAACCCGCTGAACTTGCGGAAGTCCACCAGTCCACCATCAGACTGCATAAATTCAAAACGGCATTCCTGCTGCTTCTCCAGTCCGCCTTCAAAGCTAGCAGAAATGGAGTCGATATAAGTCTTGATAACGGGAGTGAGATAGGCGTCGGCTGCCGCCGACATGCCACGAGGCACAATCTTGATCATTGGCTGTAATTTGGAGGAAAGCGTGACTGAGAAGCCCATCTGCTCGGCCAGGTCTCCGATCTGGCGCTCATGCTCGGGATAAGCAAAGGAGTGCACGAGTGCTACCGAGAGGGACTGGTAGCCTTGCACCTTTATGCGCTGGAGGTCTGATCGTACCTGGTCAAGATCCAGTTCTTGCACCACACGGAACTTCTCGCCCGTGATGCCTTCCACAATGCGGGCTCCGGAAAAGCAGTTCTCGTCGGCGGCGGAATGGCAGGGAACCACACGCTCATTGACCTCAACCACGCCCTCCGGCAGCACACCAGGTCGTGCTGCAGAGAGATCGAAGATGGCTGGGCGAGACTGGTCGCCAATCTTGAGCAGGTCCCGGAATCCTTTCGTCGTAAATAGTACTGATCGAGCGCCCTTCCGCTCCAGCAACGCATTGGTTGCCACGGTGGTGCCCATTCGGAGACAACCGATGCGGTCAAGCTTCAGCGGCCGTCCGCGAGGATGTGGCTCGCCCGTTGCAAGCTCAAGGATCTGCCGAATGCCTTCAGTCGGTGCATCTTGGTAGTGTGCAGGGTCGACAGACAGAAGCTTGATGATAATGTCTGAGCGACCGGGGACAATCGCATGGACATCGGTAAAGGTCCCGCCGCGGTCAATAGAGATGGTGATCTTCCCGGGTTCGGCCATCGTGTGAAACGATGGAGGATGCGGGAAAATGGTAATATGAAATGTCTATGATAAAGACTCGGGGGATGATGACGGATTCAAATATCAAAGCCGCCCTTTTCCCCACCGTCCCCAGACTAGACTGTCGTTTCTCGCGACGTTGTATGAAGGTCACGTGTCGGCCCGATGGCCGGCGCGTCGGGTTCATCGGGCCGATGGGTTGGAAATGTGTAGATAGTAGGGGAATGGACAGGGATAACAAGATAACGGGCCGAAGGGTATATCGGAGAGCCGCGATGCTCTTGTCTGCATCTAGCTTGTGAGAATTATTAAGTAGGTAGATAAATGGAGAATCATATCATAAACAAAAAAAAAAAAAGCTATGCAAGATAATGCTATACAGGGTGTATCAACTATCGTTTCAATGTGCTCTCAATCCAATCGGTATCCATATCAATGTCAATTTGGTTCAATGCACCCTCCCAGAGCGCCGGGTCGTCGTTCAGATCGAATTGGAATGAAATATCCTGGAGCGAGGCCAGATCAAGTGACGGCTGCCAATCCTCCGGGAGCTCTTGCGGGGGAGGCCCCATCTCTTGTATCGCTGGACTAGCCGGCTGATTACTTCTTGGAGTGGCTGGAACATTCAGGGCAGGAGTTATCCTCTCTGTATCGCCAATAGCGGATTTGGGTCCAATGGCCGCCCGTAGCTCCAGCAATAAGGAATGGCGCGAGCCGAGGTAGGTGTTGCCTCGGTCGGCCATACTGTGGAGGAGATTTAGTGCTGTCTCCATCGCCCGGGCATTAGTCTCGTTATGTGGAAAGACAGCATTGACCATGACGAGGAGTAACGCAGCGGAGAAAACGTATTCCCCGTCGAGATAGCCGTAGGTGGCTGAATGAAACATTAACTGCTGAGCGGGGGGCAAGGGCTTGCAGAGAATAGAGGGCTTACCGATGAGATTTTGTTTCGCAGCCGCATCCATGATCAAGGTCGTTGCACGAGCAGCCGTAATGCAGCTATCGATCACCGCGACTGTGTTAGGTGCCAAGCCTTCTTTCCAATCCTCGCCTGAAGTGCCCAGAATTCCGGCGTCGAGTCGTCGCTGGATAACATAGAAGACGAGCGGACGCGCAGTCATGTTGACACACGAATAGAAATGCAGATTGATCGACACCGTCTCTCGATTAACGTGAGTATCCAGCGTGGTAAAATCAACGCGGAGGCCTTCGGGGGCATTTCGAAGCCAGCTTGAAAGGTCGTTCGTAATACTCTGCACAGACATAATCAGGTTGGATCCTGATCGGGGCTTCTTCCGGTAGATCTCTACGGTATTGAGTCAGTTACCGGCTGCGCAGATGTTGCAGCGTGATTTTCGGGCCCTTACCCTCGCCAATTCGGCCTAAGATTCGGGAGAGCTGTGTGTAGTGAGTGAGGACAATGGATGGCCAGGGGTCAGAAGTGGATATATCCTAGAGAGAACCGGTCAGAGGTCGCTCTTATCATGAGAGCCTTCGTGGAGCCTACTAGTGTCGCCGGCGAAGTGCCAATGTCTTCATCATGGATGGTGATGGGATTGCCAGATTTGACGGAGAGTACTCTATTCAGCGGATATCAGTGCGCTGCACATACCGATGAGATGTAAGGCTCCGTTACCGGTCTAGACTATAAACAGACCACCAGGCTCGACGCCTGCGGTTTCGATCCGTCTCACCGATGCTCGGGTCTGACACTTCTTGGTGAAGACCCAGCGAGATAGCCATGCGGAGGGCGAGCCCGATCTGACAAGGTCAGTTGGTTGATCGGGGATCCAAGGTGAGAGTGCCACTTACGTAGAGGAAGGCCGCATCGCGCCGGTTCAGGTTCTGCATATAGTATGCCACATAACACAAGACCTCGACGAAGAAGATCGACCCATCTTCGTGGATGTCAGGCAAGAAGCGCAAGGCATGTTTGAAATACTTGAAGCCGGGCGGGCCGTCATCTCCCGACCACTGATTGACGGAGTACATCAATCCAAATGCGATGACGAGTAATGTCTGGCAGTAAATCAGGCATGTTTCACGGTGGGAGAAGTCGGGTGGCTGGTGATAGACAAAGGCTAGTCGCTCTTCAAATTCCCTGGGTCTGATCAAGGAAAAGATAGTTCCGATGTAGGAATACTGGACCCAGAAGAGCCGCTTGGCAAAATCAAAAGGAGGCAGTTGGGGAAGGGCACTTGCCACCGGTCGTCGCAGGGAGGAGGCATCGTCGTAAAGAGGACGCACATCCCATGCAAGGTTGGTGGAGGCAGGATTGAGGCGCTTGGCCAGGTGTGTGGTAGAGGACGCGCCCACGAAGTCTGTACCGCTTTGATTAACGAAGGTCTTGGGAGATCCTGCAGGATGCATACGGTGTTCGCCCGATCGGTTCAGGAACAGGTTATCGGTTCCTTTGAACCACCAGTCATCTCGTTCCAAGGGCACCTCTCTTTCCCGATCCGAGTAGTGAGTGGCCGTCGAATGCGCACTCGATGGAGTAGGGGTCGGTCGATCGTACTCTATGTCTTCGTTTGCATCCCTCGAGCGACTCGTGTGTTCCACCGGGCCTCGGGGTGATCGGGCCTGCGTCTGTAAATGACGATAGTAGCTGAAAAATCAGTGTCTGAAGCGGCAATTCGTGGCACGTCTACACACCTCTCCGTAATTGAAACTCGCTTTTCGGCCTCTGAATAGACGCAAACGTGCCCGACGTCCACACAGCCTGCACATGGCTGCGGCGGGATGCCGGCACAGCGCGTCTTACGACTGCGACATCGATTGCACCTGCGTGGGTCAGCGCCAGTTCGTTCGGTGTACAAGTCAAGCATACGCTACCATCGACCGGCGAGCCATGCGGTCTTGCGATCGTCGCGAGATCTCTTTACTATGCACCATCGCAAGAAGTTGGCGGGGAAAGACGCTGTTATCGACTCCACACCTCTTATCGTTCGGACCGACGTGAACTTTCTATTGGAAGTCGGCGCGTCACTCCCGACAGCACATGGCATATCTAATCTTATCATCTCTTGATTACTATCTCCTATGGAACTTTACGTTGACGTGGGAATCAAAAGATGGCCACACCGTTTGGCGGACTCGCAACGCCACCGGGGACCTGAGATCATCAGCCACGTCTCGGGATGGGAATCGAGCTCGCTCACCTTCAATGGCACGCTGCTGAAGAAGAAACTCCAGCGCTTTCTCTGGCGACATTCCTGACCGAGGCGCTCCAGGTCAAAGAGCTCGCCGATCGGAAGGCCCCAGCCTGCCAGCAGCCACTCGTGCAGGAAGAAGTCCGGGTTCTGGCAGGGGTACGCTTCGAAACTTGGCATGTCGCCGGCGACCGCGGCGAACTCATTGTCCCAGATCCATCGCAGCATCTCTTCCGACTGTTCGACACCGATGACGGGCGGTGCCTTGTAGTCTGCCAGCTGCTGACACTCCGCTCGCGAGAGTCTCTCGTAGTCACGAGTCCAACCCGTTCGAATAAAGAGGATGTCGCCCGGTCGGAATGTCGAGTTCTGACTGGCGGCCACTTGCTGAAGAACCGAGAGTGGAATTGATTGGGTTTGGAAGCAGTTGACGGTGACGCCGTTGACCTCGGCCCACGCGGCGTAGTCCAGAAGCACTCCACGGCCGACGACACCACCGTTTTCCACCCACGCTATACATCGTGAGAATCCAACATCCAGCACGAGTACGATGAGGAGCCGAACCTACCGTGAATGCCGTTTCGCGTGGATGTCTGGATATCTTCGAGAGAACAGCCATTGAAGTAGGACCCTTCCTTGGAGCCGTAGTGCCGGAATCCGTCCCATTGGGAGCTGCTCTGCGTATTAAAGACCAGGACGTCGTCGTTGACCGGCCTGGGCGCCTTGTTCTTGACCGTGTGTTCAAAGGCCGACCGTCCAAAGCACGGAACGGCCATGCTGTTGAGGTTCCAATCGGTCGATACGCGCACCCCCTCCACGATTTCACGCGCGGCGGCAGCCGTATTCTCGGGCGTGAGACGATTGAGCATTCCCATCTCGTCTCGATCCCCAAATAGGCCCCACGCGTTACCACGCGGGCCGTCTTTGCGCAGCGGCAGGGAGTCGAAAGCAGGGACTCGTGAAGACATGGCGATTCTCTCGGGTTCGTTTTCAGGGGAAGGTCGCTTGGGCAGGGTATTTCTATCCAGCCGCCTATGTACAGACTTACCCCGCAGTGTCAAGATGACCTCGGGCTACAGCTCCGGATAGAACCATTGTACGGCATCGTCAGGAGTCCTCGAGTGTAGGTCCTCGGGTGTAGAAACTACTCGGCTATATCCAAAATGCGTCGGTCACTTCCAAAGTTCAAGGTTTCCTTGGAAGGTCCTCTACAATCGAGACCTACCCTTCCCGGCCACTTGGTGTCTATTTTGCAATTATTCAGTCCTGAAGTGCAGTGAACATGTTTTTGCGGGGAAGATGCTTCTCGCCGTGAAGTCCGGTCCGTCGCAATCGGCGTCGGGGTATCTCCGATTATGATCCTCCGACGGGCCCTGGAGATTGCATAGGCTACATCTTTATATCGCGGAGAGGAGACATGAATGCCTGCCTCCAGGACTATATGAAATGACTTCCAGGCTTGTGCAGGTGTATTCCAAAATTCACGATTAGCTACATCCCGTAAATGGTGCAGTTGCCCGTCCAACAGTCTGGATCTGTTTATCCCGGCTGATAATATACCTCAAACATGCCCGGTGGGTTTAGCCGAAAAAACTTCGAAATCGGGTGGTCGCCCCCAATCTCCCGCGCATTGGGATATTCCATCTACTGGAGGCACTCACCGGGAGGGTCAATATGCATCTACCTACGGAGTATACAGGTACCCGGTCGTCTCCAGTCAGACTCGGCCCCCGGTTTACCAGGCACCGACAGCACGTGACATTACGTGGGCGAAGCGAAAACCACACGTTATGTAGCCATGTACCTCCGTACTCCGTATTCACATTCACATTCACATTTACATTCACACGCCAGAAAAGGAGGCTCATTGGGGCACCCAATCACGAGCCCCTGTGGACTTGCAGTGGAGGGGCGTTTCGAACCAGCCCCTGTGGGAGACGCGGCCGATCGTTACGCCTCCTCGTCATGGCGGCACTCGTTAGCCCCCTCCACAAGGTGCCACTCTGGAGATGTACGGAGTATTCTTGGCAAAGATCTGAAAAGCTGCAACGCCACAAGAAGCAAGAGAGCGGTTTCAGATTTGGAGCGGAACAGACACGTAGAATGGAAGGGATAGGACCACATGTAATAATGTCTGGGAAGATCGGGGCCTGCAATGGGTCCCAGAGAGGACCGTTCGGCCAATGTGCAGACGCGTTGCGCAGTTGACCCGCCGTCGACCTCATCGTCGACGAGTAATGTCGCGCACAACCGGGACTCGGAGCCCGGAGTCCAATTCGCATCCGCGGTACCTGAGCGACGGGTGATTCTCCTGGTAATTGTGTGAGGACTCCCAGACCATCCCTGATCCACGGATGGGTGTTGAACCACAGTGACGGGCAGCCCCGAAGTGCGATCGACCCGAATCACATTGTGCAGGGGGGAAAGAAAACGGCCAGACAAGTGATTCGGAGGGTCCAGCAGTGGACCCTCCGAACAGAGGATGACGAACGACAGTTGCCGACATGGGTCTGCCTTGCTCCACCATCCCTCGCCCTTCATCAGTCCCACGCCTCCAATCAAAATCTTCGGTACCAAAAATATCTCGGGTCCTGCAGGCTATGCTCTGATGCATCGGCCTTGGTGATCCCCAAGAACTACGCTACCGTCTTCTTCCCGAGTTCCTGAACCGTCGCCGTATCCAACTTTCGCGTCCAGCCATTCTTTAACCCACCTGAACAGATCGTCCAAACGATCTTCACCAGCCTACACCGTGTCCAAGAGATCCAGCATTACTCTCCCTAGATGTCCTAGCGAGGTAGCCACTGCCTGGAATCCTTTTCTTTCGCTTGGTTTCATTCTCGGTCCTCGACCGACCACTCGCCATCTTTTTTCTTTGAGCTCGCGTCGACCTTTTCGTTCGCGGACTCTCTACCATCTCCCCCTCCCTCGAAGACCCGATAATCGGGGAGCCAGTGCACCATGGGTACCCCCATGCCAACGTCTCCCCATTCCCCCCATTCCCCCCATTCGGCTCAGTCGTCTCATTCGCCTCAGGCAAGCGAGATCAGCCTGTCTTCGCACACCCATCCTCAAGCCGTGAGTAGCGGGACCGCTTCCCGGAACGGAGGTTTCCATACATGGATGCTAATTGGACTCTTCGAACAGCAGGGTTACGGCTTCGAAGAAAAGTCCGAACAAGCCGAAAGTCAACAATCCCTCCTCTACCGGAACCAGCCGAGTCCCCTCAATGCACCTTTCGATGATCCCTATGCCTCGACCGATTCCCTGCGGCGCTACACACTTCAAGACCCCGGCGTGACCATCTTCCCGAATGGGCCGTACCAGGAGCCCTCCCAGGCCGCCTCGGGCGTGTTTAACCGCCGCTCGGGGATTCAGTCTCCCATGTCCGAGACGCCCTCGGAGGCCTGGCAGCAGCGGCAGGCCCCCGGCTCCGGCCTCCGACGCTACGCGACCCGTAAAATCAAACTGGTGCAGGGCTCCGTGCTGAGCGTGGACTATCCCGTGCCGAGTGCGATTCAAAATGCCATCCAGAGAGAGTATCGGGAATCGGAGGAGGGTTTCCCGGAGGAGTTCACCCATCTGCGCTATACAGCCGCCACCTGTGACCCCGACGAGTTTACGTTGCGCAACGGATACAACTTGCGACCGGCCATGTACAACCGACACACGGAATTGCTCATTGCCATCACCTATTACAATGAAGACAAGGTGCTCACTGCGCGCACCCTGCACGGCGTCATGCAGAACATTCGGGATATCGTCAACCTGAAGAAGTCGGAGTTCTGGAACAAGGGTGGACCGGCATGGCAGAAGATCGTCGTCTGCTTGGTTTTCGACGGTATCGACCCGTGCGATAAGAACACCCTCGATATGCTAGCCACCGTCGGTATCTACCAGGACGGCATCATGAAGCGGTCCGTGGACGGCAGAGAAACCATGTCTCACATTTTCGAGTACACCACGCAGCTGTCCGTCACTGCCAGCCAGCAATTGATTCGGCCCCAAGGCAACGAGTCGACCAACCTCCCGCCCGTTCAGATGATCTTCTGTCTGAAGCAAAAGAACAGCAAGAAGATCAACTCTCACCGTTGGCTGTTTAACGGCTTCTGCCGTATTTTAAACCCGGAGGTGGTGATTCTGATCGATGCCGGTACCAAACCCGGCAAGAAATCCCTCCTTGCTCTGTGGGAGTCGTTCTACAACGACAAGAACCTTGGCGGATCTTGCGGTGAGATTCACGCGATGTTGGGTAAAAGCTGGAAGAACCTGATGAACCCTCTCGTCGCGGCGCAGAACTTCGAGTATAAGATCTCGAATATTCTCGATAAACCCCTCGAGAGTGCTTTTGGATACGTGAGCGTGTTGCCCGGTGCCTTCTCGGCTTATCGCTATCGGGCGATTATGGGCCGGCCTCTCGAGCAGTACTTCCACGGTGATCACACGCTCTCGAAACAGCTTGGCAAGAAAGGTATCGAGGGTATGAACATTTTCAAGAAGAACATGTTCCTTGCTGAGGATCGTATCCTGTGTTTCGAACTGGTGGCCAAGGCTGGTTTCAAGTGGCATTTGACCTACGTCAAGGCGTCCAAGGGTGAGACCGATGTCCCCGAGGGCGCTGCGGAGTTTCTCGGTCAGCGGCGACGATGGCTTAACGGCTCGTTCGCTGCCAGTTTGTATAGCATTATGCACTTCAACCGGATTTATAAGAGTGGCCATAACATCATTCGTCTGTTTTTCCTCCACGTGCAAATGGTCTACAACTGTGCGCTTCTCATCATGACCTGGTTCTCTCTCGGTATGGATTCTCCCACTTTGGTCTGAAAATGAATGGGTACTGACAACCGACACCGACAGCTTCGTTCTGGTTGACCACTTCCGTTATTATGGATCTCGTGGGAACTCCTAGCGCGGCCAACAGATACAAGGGGTGGCCTTTTGGTAACGAAGCGTCTCCCATTGTCAACAATTTCCTCAAGTATGGCTACGTGTTCTTCCTGATGCTCCAATTCATTCTGGCCCTTGGAAACCGACCGAAGGGGTAAGTGACTCGAATCCTTCATCGTGCAGGCGAAAACGCGAATACTTATCAAGTCGGGATCTAGTTCTCGCCTGTATTACACGCTCTCTTTCGTCTACTTCTCCATTGTCCAGGCCTACATTCTGGTTCTGGCGTTCTACCTAGTGAAGAACGCCTTTAGCGGAGGTACTCTGGATTTCGACATGAGCCAGGGCGTGGGCGTGTTCCTGTCGTCCTTCTTCAGTTCGACCGGAGCCGGTATCGTCCTGATCGCATTGGTATCGATCTACGGTATCTACTTCGTAGCGAGTTTCCTGTACATGGACCCCTGGCACATGTTCACCTCGTCCTGGGCCTACTTCTGTGGAATGACGTGCTCGATCAACGTTCTGATGGTGTACGCGTTCTGCAACTGGCACGACGTCTCGTGGGGAACCAAGGGATCTGACAAGAGCGAGGCACTGCCCGAGGCTCAAACGAAGAAGGATGACGCCAAGTCCAACTTCATCGAGGAAGTCGACAAGCCGCAGGCGGATATTGACAGCCAGTTCGAGTCGACGGTCAAGCGAGCGCTGGCGCCGTTCGTGGAGCCGGTGGAACAGGATGATATGAGCATGGACGACTCGTACAAGGCGTTCCGAACCAACCTGGTGCTGCTTTGGATCTTCAGCAACCTGGTGGTGGTTCTGTGCATTACTAGCGAAGGCATCAACCGATTCTGCTTGACGGTAAGTCAAACTTCCACCTATGACGTCACCGCCGAGCGAGGACACTAATGGGACGAACAGAACACTTCGACGGTACGGACGACGCACTATTTCGCCGCCATCCTGTGGACCACCGCCGGCCTGTCGCTCTTCCGCTTCATCGGATCCCTCTGGTTCCTGGGCAAGTCGGGCATTCTGTGCTGCGTGTCCCGGCGCTAAGGTTCGGCTTTCAAATGTCTCATGTCTTCCGGTCACCCGCGTCCGGTTCGTTTCTGTATATATCATCGTCACACGCATTTTTTTGGCTTGTGATAATCATGTCTTTTCATTTTGGGAGGGTCTGTGTGTTATAGAGGCTCGGATAGATGGTCTAGTCCGGGCTTGGGAGGGTATTCCACGTCTGCATCACCGGAAGGGGCATATAGTATCTGTATTTTGATCCAGGGTAATGCATGTATGAATCCGAGGAACGATCGGCATTGCTTTACTGTACATTTGAAGTTTCCGCAGCGTTGTGTGTTATCATCCGCTCCACCGGGGTCGCATACAGTAATTGCCGCGGGTCGTCTGGGGGAGGATCCCGATCTGCGCTCCATAGAAAAGTGGAATGGAGGAGCAAAAAGTGGTCCTTGAAGAGTGGTTCCTCCCTACAGAAACCGGTCTACGACGTTTTACTTTCATCATCATACAGGTTTAATTTTTGAATGCCGACCGTTGGTTCTTCGGCGTGGTTGGAGTATGCTTTTGCCTCGCACTTTTTGACTTTTCCGCTTTCCACCTTCACAAGCCCCCTGTCCCCATGTGTCCGAGCGTATGCAAACGGCGTTCGGCAATCCTTTGGGCCCTGAAGAAACCTCGGAGGACTGCGATCCGTGGCAAAGGGCCAATAAGGGCAGGATGGCCGACTTGGCGACTCAATCCGATTCGGTTGGCGTCGTGTTCTCCCGCATCTGGACTCCTCGCGTTACCTGCACGGCGTCATTGCCTCCCCGCATCTCCGGCTGCCGCATATGGGTGGGTCGGCGGGTCTCTTTGGAAGTCTGGACATCTCCGATGTCGTTGATTTGCCCTTCCTCCCTTGATGGATCTTTGTTACATAGGGTCGGCTGAGATACCGTGGTCCACATGCGTTGTCCTGCCACGGCCATGATGCCATTCCGTCTCTGCCTGGTTTGGGTCTCAAAACCCAGAGACATTTTCACACTGCACCGTCCCACGCGTCCAAACTATATAAAGGCCTCTTCCATCCCGGACCACGCGAGTACTTCCTTCCTCCAGAACTGGCTTCCTATTGATCCCATTGAACACGACATTGACCCACTTCCCCTCGATTTACCGGTGATCCGATCCTCCCCGCTTTACCCACCTCATGGCACAGTACGTCCCTCAGATCTCGTCTGAATCCCTTCAGGACAAGGTGGTTCTCATTACTGGTATGTCCTCGTACTCATCTGTCACCACCCACCATACTCATTGACCGTATAGGAGGTGCCAATGGGATCGGTGCAAGTCTCGTACAGCAATGTTTGGAGAGCGGCGCCAACGTTTGCTTCGGCGATCTAGATAACGTCGCTGGCGAAGGCCTGTTGCGAAAGTGCCAGGATGGATTCCCTCCGGAGGAGCCCGACCTGCCCACTCGCACCATCTTCCAGACCACCGATGTAACCAACTATCAGTCGGTGCTCGCGCTTTTCGACCTGGCCTTCAACACCTACAAGCGCATCGATCACGTCGTCTCTGCGGCCGGCATCGTAGAGATCGGCAACTGGTTCGACTTCGGACTCACCCTGCAGAGTGTCCGCGAGGTAAGTACTGGCTCGTGAGTCTCAAAAGAGCGATGAAAATAACCTCGTGAAGAAACCTACCCACAAGGTGTTGGATGTCAATCTGCTTGGCTCCATGTACGTTTCGCGCATCGCCTCCGTCTATCTGCGTCATAACCGCGGTCCCGGCTCCGATCGTTCCATTCTCCTCTTCTCGTGTCTGGCTGGATTCAAAGAGAGTCCGTCTCTGTTTGTCTACCAGGCCGCGAAGCATGGCGTGGTAGGCCTCATGCGTTCCCTGCGCAACTACGTCTCCTCGCCCTATAAGCATGCCTTGCGCGTCAACACCGTCTGCCCCTGGATGACCCAAACCGAAACTATCAAGAATGTCGAGCAGCAGTGGAGAAATGCCAATCTGCCGACTAACAGCGTCCGTGACGTTTCTACCGTGGCGGCCAGCATTCTGGCCGACAAGTCCTTGAACGGCACATCCATGTTTATCGAGGGCGGTCGTGCGTGGGAGATCGAAGAGAATATCGACCGACTCGAACCCCAATGGCTCGGTGAAGGTCCATCCAAGGCCCTCGCAGCGGGACAGGAGCTGCTCGATGACGGCTCCATTTGGACTGCTCGACCCCGAAAGAAGAGCCACATTTCGAACGGTATCCCGCCTGGAGTCCCCGAGGAGAAACTCAACGGGATTCAAAACGGTATCGCCAACGGCCTGACCAACGGTCACGGCAACGGCATTACCAACGGAGTGCATTAGGCATGTGCGAGAGACTCGACCAACCAACTTCCCTTGATACCCATGATTTAGCGACAGTTAAGGCACACCGCGATATGGTAACGCAGATGAAGCACAAAACTTCATGATAAATGAAACATATCGGAAGACTCCAGAAGTTTTGATTGACCGCAACTATTTGTGCTATGTACATAGATGAATAAAAATGGCTGTTCTTCACCCCGTCCACTTTCCCATGTTTATAGGATGGCAGGAGTGATCGTCGAGGTAAATGCAGGGTTCACCTCGCACCCCGCAAATGCATCACGGTGTGGATATTCGCACGAGGCCGAGATGTAAGACCGGTAATTGAATTTTCTGATCCAGTAATGACTCGCAACAAGAACATGGACCGACGTTTCAGCGGATATTGAAATATTGACATTATCTATATGCGAATTAGCCCACCTGGGCAGACATACATGAAACACCAGAGATGCATCGACGATTTCATGATGACATGAAATCTTCATCTCGTTCCCACATTCCCCAAACGCCGGTAATTGTTGTTTTATCTGAAGGACTCGCGGGTATGCACGCGGTCGATATTGTAGGGGTTCGCCTCGTAGGTCGGAATCCGTTGCAATCCCGAGGTATGGGTGGGCGTGCGCGAGAGCGATCGGTGGATCGAGTGGACCTCGTGTGTACTTTGCTTGTGCAATGCGGCTTCAACAGTGCCCGTCATAGCTTCCGAAGGCACGCGAGAGGCGATTTGTTCATTCAGCGTCGGGCCATCGACTTCAGAATCCGCCGGCGCCCTGGGCTGAAGAAGACTTTGAACGAACGCCTCGGACTCTGCAGAGTATTTGCAGTATTTCCGGATGGCCAGTCCCTTTTTGTAGAGGACGAATGGAAAGGGTACGCAGGCCAAGGCCAAAAACGCAGGTATACACGACGCCCAGTGGATTCCCAGATTCTCGAACATGTATGTGGTGAACAGGGGGAAGGCGAAACCGAACATGGACCGGAGCAACGAGTTGGCCGCCAGGACGGATGCGGCAAAGATGGTATAGGCATCGATCAAGTAGTTGAAGACGCTCAGGAAGACCAAGACCATTCCAAAACCGAACGGAACACCGGCAGCGATACTGACCATCCAGTGAATCGACGGTGAGTTGGTCCAGGCAAACCAGAAGAGGCCGATAGGGAGGGCGATCGAGGCCAGCATACACGGCGGAAGACGAGATTCAGGGGGCGAATAGTCTCCGTTCTTCTCCAGAAGCTTTCCGTAGCGAGTGTTTTCGGGGACCGAATAGGCGATCGCGCCCAACATTCCCACCATGACCCCCAGGAAAGCCAGGCCGGAGATACCTTGGTTCCATCCTCGGTGAATCTCGTAGACAATGGGGAATGCACCGAAAAGCATATAGAGCGTCCCGTAGATAATGGCGAGGTAGATGGAAAGGAGCAGCACGATGGGCTCACGGAAGAGAAGGATAAAGGGTCGCGACATGGACGTCTTCAGAACCTCCCGGAGGGCCGGTCGACCCTGGTCAATGTCCAGCTTGCTCATATACAATTTGCCGGTGAGTTTTGACAGAGTGCGCGCGCGCTGGCGAAGGAGCACCGGTGCATATGTCTCCGGCTTGCAAGCGGCGCCGATGAACCACATCACACCGCAGAGAATGGTCAACAGACCCATCACCCACTTCCATCCGGCTTCCATTCCCAAGAAGCCGCCCACGATGGGACCGATAGTCGGTCCTAAGAAGGGAGCTAAAGCAAAAATGGACAGAGCCAGGCCTCTCTCACGGGCGGCAAACATATCAGCAATTACACCTCCGGAGTTGGTGAAGGGAGAAGAGCCAAAGGCACCGGCCAAAAAGCGGAAGACCAACAAGGTCTGGATGTTCTTTGCACCCGTCGTGCCCGCGCAGAAGATGGTCAGGCCACAGTAGGTCCCCATGAACACGACCTGGCGACCGAACATTTCACTCATCGGCGCCCAGATCAAAGGACCCAGGGCGAAGCCCAGCACGTAAAGCGAAACACCCAAAGTCGCCACTTCGGTGGTGATGAGGAATTGCTCTTCAATCTGCACGATGCCGCCTGTATAGGCCGAGGACACCAGGGCGACCACCAGGGTCTCGAGGGCGGCCACCGCAGTAATCGACCATTTCATGGACGTGCTCAGCTGGAGAGGGTTTCGAAAGTCCTTGGGCATCCACTGCACCACGTACGGATCATCGTCCGTCCCCGATCCCGCATAATCATGATCCACCACCTCCTGCGTTATACCGCCGGGCTCGGTGACCAGTCGCCAGAAAGGAATCGTCCGTGGCAGGTGTGTTGGGGCCTTGGCCTCCACCGAAGGCGCCTCCGTCGCCATTGAGACGATGTACGAACCGAGGCGGACCGAGGCGTATAGGCTGGTATTGTATAAGCCTCACCAGGCACCCGGATGGCGAGCCGAGAAAGACGAGATGGTCGGATGCTTGAGAAATATGTGTGTCCCGGTCTGAGCGAGGCCGACATGTTTTAATTGTCTACGGTTCCTGGGGATTACTCAACGGATTGTAGTAGCCCGGGGACATTACTGGTTTGGAGCAGTGATATTTTCGAGAGTGGAGTCGGCGCGATGCATCTGGGGTGCAACACGTTTTATGATTATTCAGTAGACACAGCGTGAGACGGCGGAGTTCATTCGGAATGACCGAGTGCAAGAATTTAGCGATTGGTTTCAACGGCACAGAAAATCGGCCCGATTATTGATCGGTTCTTTCTCAAGGTGGATTCGGACACCGATAAGATCGCTCGGTGCGACTCGCTATTGGTTTCGTGTGGCCCCGTCGGGTCTTTCGCGCGTTCGAAAGGGCAAATGGCCCGCCAAGCTCGCACTTGCCGAGGCTCAAAGCTCATTAATCGGGGTGTCTTCTGGCCGGGCCCGCGGCCTTCTCGATTCTCAAATTTACCTCAAGTGTTGTAGAGTCCCACTTTCGCAATGAATCCGAAATCCGCCCTGGGATGTACACTGTAGTATTCCGTACCTCGGCTCTATGAAGGCAGGAAACAGGTTGGAGGTTTCCCGGAACAAAGCCGCAATGTCCAAAACCAACTATGCAGCCGCATCGTGCATCCAGTAGCTGTGGAGCCGCACTCGCCGGGCTTCTAATGGGGGGTTTCTTTGTCATGGATGCCTCTTGTGTTGTATCGTTCCTGATGCGTCCGACTGTGAGACTACCTGCATATGGCCCGCATTCGCGGCCCTCTCGAGGCCTCATGGCTGCATTTCGTTTATCCGGGTTGCTCCTATCTTGCGTATACTCTGCAGGAAGATGCTCGGTTAAGATGACTTGATTGGCGAACGGTTCGGGCCTACTTTAGTACTCATCTAAGCCGTATTCGCATTTCTCGATAGCCCTCTTTTATCCCCGTGCCCGAGATGCGCCTCAATATTTAGCCCCAATACGGTTCCTACGGTGCAAAAGAATATGTGACATCCGCACAGCTGAACAAATGGTAGGTTCTGTTTCATTTCTCAAACAAGATGTTCCAGCATAATTTTCATTACAGAGTCTTCTCAATCTCCGCCACTTCCGCCATGGCTTCCCGAATGGACTTCTTGGCGGGCTCTCCAAGGCCTTCGTAGGGATGGCGGGGCAGCAACTTCTCTTCGGCCCCTTGGATCCCTGCTGATGGGGCCGAGTAGCAGGCAACTGCATGCTTGGTTGAGGCAATGCCGCTTTTGATAGGACTCTCAGCCAGGGCGGCCTTCCGTTGGAGTTTCATTGCTTCGCCTAACTGTCCCTTCTGATATAATGCACAGATCCGTGATGCAGTTTTGGGGAACACGTTAGCAAAGGCTGCAATACAACCGGCACTGCCTGCGGCGAGACCCCCGATGAGGAAATCCGATTGACCACCAAACGTCGCGAATTCTTCCGGCGCAAATGTTGCCCCCAGGCGTGTGATCTTCCCGACTGAGCCGCAAGTCAGCTTCACACCGACGACATTCGACAGGCCACTAGAATGAGCGGCAGCCGATTCCCGCACGATCGAAGTGATAGTTTCTGAGTCCATATCAACCCCATTGCACACCCCGGGAAAGTTGTACACCACCACGGGCAGCGGAGCTTTCGCTGCGACCTCCGAAAAGAATCGTTTCACCACGTTCATACTTGTGGCTTTACCAAAGTATGCAGGAGGCAGGACCAGGAGATAGTTGGCACCGGCTGCAGCCGCATCCTGTGCGAACTCAAGGGTCTGCTTGGTTGAGTGCGCCCCGACACCCGCCATGAGAGGAAAGTCAGGGCCGACGGCGGCGCGTGCGGTCGAAATGAGCTGGGAACGCTCTTCGCGAGTCAGGAGGAATGCCTCGGAGTTGGTACCCAGAATCACGAGACCGGCAAGCCCGGTCTGCGAAAGGTAGCGGAAATACTGAGACTGCGAGGCAAGATCCAGGCTGTCCGTCTGATGATGAAAAAAGGTAACGGCTGGACACCACACTCCTGCGGGAGGAACGTGGGGTTGAGCTGAGGGGGCGGGAGGGCCCATCGTGGATGTAGATGTGCAAAACGGACGATAGTCGAGTTAGAAAGATTGGAACGAGCGTGGCCTTATTTCTCTAGAAACCCCCAAGAGACCCCACGGAAAGGAGGGGGAAGGGGAGGGGTAATAGATGACATCTTTTGAATAGATAGTCCACTTTGATTGCTCGCGATCATCTCGGGTCGGGCTCCCGACTGTCCACGGCGGTGGAGTTCTCATAACAATCGGAGTGGCAACCCGATGGTTTTATCGGTTTTTCACGCCGGAAACGAGTGACCATGTCGGAGAATATCCGAAAATTTAGATTTGATTCGCCACAATAACACGGTCGACATTCTAGAGGGTTCAATTCAACCTGCGGTAATTGTATAGTTCGGCCCAGCTCCCGAGAATCGGATTCTTCCTCCGAGCATCTCCAACTACACCATCCGTGTGGAGATCGCGATGATCTATGCATTGATAAGAGCGAAGACAGAACACACGATGGTACATCTCCGTCAGACTTTGAGAAAAGCGCCCCCCAACATTCGCAAAATGGCTACGACCCTGTCATCCACATCGACTGCGCAATCCCGGTTTGAGCAAGCGCGATTCATACCCCCTGATGCGATATTCGCTTTGACAGCCCAGTACCTGAAAGATTCGTTTCCGCAAAAAGTCAACCTAGGGCAGGGAGCTTACCGCGATGCCGATGGCAAGCCATGGCTTCTTCCCTCCGTGAACAAAGCCCGCCAGACTCTCTTGGAACAGGGTTTGAACCATGAATATCTTCCTATTTTGGGTCTTTCCACATTTCGGCAGGCGGCGGCCGAACTCCTGTTAGGCCCAGAGCTTTTTGCGCAACGCGAGAATAAAGTACGGAACAAGACCTATTCACAGACCGGGACTCAGCCCGTATCTCAATACTCCCGGACTAACCTGATCCGAACTATGTCTAGATAGCAACGTGTCAAAGCCTATCAGGGACTGGCGCACTGCACCTCGCTGGTCTGCTACTGAAGGCTTGCCAGAACCGCCTTCCGAAGGTGTACATACCGGAACCTACGTGGTCCAACCATCACCAGGTGTTTGACTCTCTAGGATTCCCATGTGAAAGCTTCAAATACTATGACCACGAAAGAAAGGACATGGATATTGACTCATATTATTCCATGCTTAAACAGGCAGAGCCAAACTCCGTGGTCATCCTCCACGCCTGTGCCCACAATCCGACTGGCTTGGATCCGAGTAAAGAGCAATGGCGGGAAATTGCTCACCTTATGAAGGCCAGAAATCTTTTCCCGCTATTCGATGCAGCGTACTTGGGTTTCAACTCGGGGAACCTCGATGAGGATGCGTTTGCCATTCGTCTTTTCATTAGAGAAATGGAAATGGAGGCTGGGGTTTGTGTTTCCTTCGCGAAGAATATGGGACTTTACGGTAAGCCTGATAAACCACCTGGCCATTCCGCGAAGATGGTGTATTAAGCTCGGATCTTAGGTGAAAGAATTGGGTGCTTTCTGCTCGCAAACAATTCCAAGCAGACAGCCGTTCATACCCAGTCTATGCTTGAGATGCTGCAGCGATCTGAAGTATCCAATCCGCCGGCGTTCGGAGCAAAAATTGCAAGCCTTATTCTAGGACGTGATGATTTGAGACAGATGTGGTACGCTGACATGTTCACCATGAGTGACCGACTCCGCTGGATGAGGAAAGCGCTGTACGACAATTTAGTCTCTCTCGGTGAGTTTCCTCAGCCGCAGAAACCCCGAAGCATACAGTCTTACACTGTTCAGGGGCCCCTGGCTCATGGGAGCACTTGATTCGACAATCCGGGATGTTTGGATTTCTGGGTCTGCCCCCGGACATTGTCCTGGAATTGAGAGGTCGGTCTCATTCGCTGAAGCACACTTGATGATACTAACATGGCTACGAAAGAAACATATCACGTTTACATGGCGGACAATTCTCGAATCTCAATAGCAGGTTTGAACGAGGGGAATGTGGAATACGTTGCTCGCTCGATTACCCAGTGTCTGCTGAGGATTGAAGGCCTAGGACATCATCCGTCGGCAGCTCTCTGATCCATCTTCCAAGAGGTAGCGTTTCTACCTATTTAGAACCTGTAATGTGATCACTGACGGTCGATAGCCGTCGAAGACATGCGACGCTTACGTCGGTAGCCCGTTAGGCTCTCTCTTTCTTGTTCACAATGGCAACCACTAGAAGTGTTGTAGGGAACATTACCCAGATTTTATATGTAGTTTCGGGGGAAAGTTCTCCTAGAATGGTCTACAAAACTCCTTCCAGGGACACTCCGAAGTAACCTCAATTTTGCTCATCCCCTACACAGAAATCAAAAAGAGGATAACCCAACGATATTATGTAATCCATATAGTGCTAAGGTGAGTCACCGGTTTGCTCTGATATGACGCCCGAAGTACTCAGTAATGAAACTCTTCCATTATTTTATCTATCAGGTTGCGCTTTAGTATATTTCGTCGATAAAATCTTACCAGAGTCGTTTCACTGCCATGCCAGCCCCCGAACTATTGGCGGACCCATACACAGCACATCGGTGCGAAGATGGAGAAGCGCTTCATATTCGTCGCCAAGCGGAGGTCTGCCAAGAGCTCTACCCCGATCAAAAGGTTCTGATTCAGCCAGTTCCAAAAGGAGGAATCGCCATACGAACACTTCCAGCTTTCGATGGGAAACTGAACCGGGCGGTCGGGTGTGGAGAAGAAGGTGAACTAGCCGACGCCGACATGAAAGAGCTAGAGTCCGTGTTCGCAGCAGTCGGTCTCGAGCCTGAGATCCATCTGAGCCCGTTTGCAAAATCGTCCGCCTTCGAGTCCTTAGTCTCTCGCGGATACGTTGAAAAAGGCACACTGAGCACCTATTGGTGCACCCCGGAGCAAGCGGCAATTGAAGACACAGAAACCTGCACCACCGGGGCGGCAGTGATGGTCCGACGGGCCACGGTTGACGAGACACTAAAGTTCATCGAGGCCTCCGCCATGGGCTTTCAGACCAATGGCCGCTCCCACGAGCTGCTTCGAGCGCTGGCATTGATCGCAACCCGAAGGACGGACACGAGCCTGTATTTTGCGTTTGCGAATGATGAAATTGCGGGCACCGCCGCGATGGCTACCATGGAGACAGCCTACGGCGGAGTAGCCCACCTGTATTTGGATAGCACTTTGCCGGGATATCGAGGACGAGGGGTACAGATAGCGCTGATCCAGGCCCGCCTTCTCGACGCAGCTCGGCTGGGACTCGGCGTGGCCACCACGATCACTCGAGTTGGGGACGGCAGCGCGCGCAACGCGGAGAGAGCAGGGTTAAGGCTCGCATACACCACGGCTATCCTCACTCGACAGCGTGGATCCCCATAAAACATCCGGGCTTTTCCGAGACGACGATCCCGGCGGCCCATAGGCATACCTTGCAGATGATCTGACTTGAGTCCAATTAATATTGTTGTAATGATGGAAAGTCCCGATCATCGCAAATGCTCTTTGGCCCTTGGAGTTTCTTGGCCCCGACCATTAGTATCGCGTAGCGAAGCCAAGGAAGCATCTTGGATGCCGACTCGGTCGTACCTGAGTGCTAGTGTAGTCCTCCAGCCTCACGAAGTAAATTACCCCAGACAGACCGATCCACCCGGGCGTTTGAGTTTATCCGTACCCCAACGCCTTACTGTACCCCAAAGGCACGCAGCCACAGAGCCAAACATACAGTGCAGCTCCAGACTCGAAAAGGCTTCCAAGGGCCGAGCGCCACTATCGGTCGACGGAACGAATCACACGCGGTTCCCTGTATATACTCTTGGCGCGGCCCGATCGACGGTCCACCCCGGGGCAAAAGCGCCTGTTAGAAGCGAAGGTCCAATTGACTTTGGGGCGGATTGAAACACTCTGTTCACTGGGGCCCGTGGAGCCAAGGAACCGGAGACGGGATGTATTCCTTGCGGGTTCTGAGGTGTTTCTAGAGGAGGGAACGAGATAAACGAGGAGGACCGCGAGCTGTTTGCGGCGGGCACGTGACCACGCCCCTGGGGAAAATCTTGATTTCGCCGCGACTCGCGATTGGGCTCATCTTCAGCCATAACCTTTCGGCTCTCCCGGCGCAGGGATCTTTACGCTTGTGGCGTGAGGCTTTAGATTTTCGATCTACTCGTCATTCCGGGTTTACTTCCTTTCACCGTACCCCATGGCTTCCCCGCAAATATTACTTCAAAGACGCGGGGAGTGCTCCATAGAAATGACATGACTGCATACCACCGGCGGCCAATGTCGCATTTCTTTTACCTAAGAAGCAAACCTTCTTATCGCATCAGCGCCCGGCTGGATCGAGGCGCGGGCCCAGTTGCGTCTCGGGATGTATGGTGGACCGCTCCCAGGCTGTTTTCGGTGACCTCGTTGGGCGGCCGATCACCCGGTGGAGCAGCGTTGTACTCCACGTGTGGGAGGCCACCAAACAGAGCGCGCAAAATCCACTTAGTCAACGAATCTGCCAATTTGCCTCCCTGATACCGCCGGATCCAGAAGGTGGGCGCATTTTCTTTTATAGCAAGGGCGATCCCGGGACGGAGAAGACTTCGTTCCCTGCTCCACGCTCTGTCCTTCCCTCCCCCATCCTTCTCACCATGGGCTACGAAGACGACATCTCCAACGATCCCGATGCCGTGAGCGGCAAGATCATGGAGGCAGATGGCGAGAAGGTGTACGCGGCTCCTCCGCCGTTCGAAGGCGACATGCTGGGCGAGATGAGCGAGACCGAGCGCGCCGTCTACGACCACGGTATCAAGAAGTTCAGTCGTCTGGGCTGGAAGCGGCTCACCGTGGTGCTCATTGTCGAGGCCATCGCCCTGGGCAGTCTGTCTATTCCCTCTACCTTCGCCGCCCTCGGAATGGTCGCGGGTGTGATTTGCTGCGTGAGTCTCGGCCTGGTGGCCATCTATACCAGTTTCATCGTCGGTCAGGTCAAGCTCGCCTTTCCGCAGGTTGCCAACTATGCCGATGCGGGTCGCCTGATAGGTGACCGCACCGCCGCATTGCTGATCCGAATGATCAAGCCCGTGTTCCCCAGAGTCGCCAACTTTGCCGAGCGGGGCCGCGTGATTGGAGGTCATTGCGGATACGAGCTGGTCAACCTGATGCTGGCCCTCCAGCTCATCTTCCTGACGGGATCACACTGTTTGACGGGCACTATCGCCTTCATGAATATCACCGAGAGTCATGTCTGCTCGGTGGTTTTCGCGGTGGTATCCGCTATTATTTTGCTCCTGTTGGCTATTCCCCCCAGCTTTACCGAAGTTGCGATCCTGGGCTACATCGATTTCGGATCCATCATCATCGCTATCGGCATTACCATCATCGGTACCGGTGTCTCTTCAACCAACGCACCCGGTGGACTCGCCGCGGTCCCTTGGTCCGCCTGGCCCAAGGAGGATCTGACATTCACCGACGCCTTTATTGCGGTGTCCAACATTATTTTCGCCTACAGCTTTGCGATGTGCCAGTTCTCGTTCATGGATGAAATGCACACCCCGAGGGACTTTGTCAAATCGATCTGGGCTCTGGGTCTTACCGAAATCTTAGTTTACACCTTGACCGGTGCCCTGGTCTACGCTTTCGTCGGCCAGGATGTGTCGAGCCCAGCTCTGACCTCCGCGGGTGGCCTGTTGAGTCGTGTCGCTTACGGTGTCGCGCTTCCGGTCATCTTCATCAGTGGGTCGATCAACACGGTGGTGTTTGGTCGCCTGATCCACGGTCGTATCTTTGCCAACTCCCCGATCCGGTTTATCAACACCACGATGGGTTGGGTGACCTGGATGGCAGTCATCACGGGCGCGACGGTGATCGCCTTCGTGATCGCCGAAGTGATTCCCTTTTTCAATGATTTACTGTCGATTTCCTCGGCCCTTTTCATCTCCGGCTTCACCTTCTATTTCCCCGCGGTCATGTGGTTCCTGCTGATCCGCAAGGGCGGCTGGCTCGAGCCCATGAATCTGTTGTTGACCGTGACCAACGGCTTGATCTTCATTATCGGAATGATCATTCTGGTTGCTGGAACCTACTCCAGTATTGATGACATTGTAAGTACTCACTTTCTGGCGTGTGCATTGAGACGGAATACTAACCAGACCACCCTCGCAGATCAACAACTACAAGTCGGGTTCCGTGCGTGGCGTCTTCACATGTGCTGCCCCCGAGTAATCGCTGAACCCACCTTGGCTTATTTGAACACTGAGAGAGACCTCGCAAGCTGGCATGTGGCCGATTATGGGCAGTGGATCCATCGATATGACGCAGGTCGTGATATAGAGGCTGCATTGCATTGTCACGATAGATATACCCGACGCCGATCACGGTCCTGCCCGCTTTGTATATATAGCATTTGGCCTCACTGCCTTACATGTATACCTTTTATAACCTTGCAAGCTACCATGGCCCCTGGCTCCGCGTAGATGTCTGCGACTGCCTACATGGTGCCAGATGTTGGCGAAACGCCTTGATTCATCAGAAAATATGCGAAGCATTCTTAGTTTCGAGTACATGGAAGGTACAGGCTGTTACAGTATCCCAAGGTTGAACTAAAGTTACTGTCCATTGTGTAGGTACTCAGCATAAGAACACCCGCAATAAAACGGCAGCCTTTCGAAATGGTATATAAGGGAAATGTATTAAATTCTAAAGATCTGGTTTCTGGGGACGGTGTTGTGGATATCTTAAACCCGCTCAAACTCGGCTGCGCTTGGAAGAATCTCGGTGGGAGGGAATTCATGGCTTCGTCGAAGGAAAGTTTCCAGTTCCAAGTATATTGCCATCCTCCTCACGACCTTTTGGTGCTCGGTCGATGCGGAACTGAGTTGTTTTGAATGGCCTGGGCAGGCGTGTCCCCTCGAATGGGATTCCGTGAGCGACCATCTTGGCCACTTCTTTCGCTGCGAGCCAAATGAACGGAATACCGTGGCCATTAAAACCTGCGAGGATGAACTAGTTTTCCCTGGTCGGAACCCGGCCAATGTGTGGATTCGAATCGTAGGAGTAGCCCTTGACACCAGACCAAATGTTTTGAACACTGGCACCCGTGTTCTCCCAACCATTGAAAGTGCGTTGCATGTAGTCGGAACAATAGTCCTTTGCGGCTTCAATAAGGAAACTGTCGTCAACGTTATCGTACCATTGGTCCGTGAATGACTTGAACTTGGCAGCTGCTCCCCAACAACGATATTTCCATCGGCTCGATGGATCAAATAGGAAAGTGTGTTGTCGTCAGTTCGATGAAAATAAGAGTTATTGAGAAGGCATTTAACAATGCTCTCTATTCTTACTTGGGAATTGAAAATATCACGATTGCTGCAGCTTAGACTCGATCGCCTCGACATGCTATCCCGATGACGGCCAAGCGCATCTTTGTGCGAATCCTACTCTTTTACGTCCTAACGATATTTGTGGTTGGATTGGTTGTCTCATCAAATGACCCTCATCTACTCACAATGACCGATACTGCTTCTCAATCCCCATTCGTGATCGCGGCTCGCAATACCGGTACCAAAGTGGTTCCATCAACCATCAGCGCCGTCGTTTTAACGTCGGCTTGGTCTTCGGGTAAATCCAATATGCTACAGAATCAAGAATCATATATGGTATGGCGACTAATGGACATGCGCCATCCGTCTTCATGCGACTTAATCGCTTCGGAATTCCCTACGTGGCTGTTGCGCTCTATGGCGTGTTTATGGCACTGGGCTATATGACACTTTCCCAGTCCGCTAGCACCGTATTTACTTGGATGCAGGACATTGTCTCGATTTATACCTTGGTAAACTGGATCTGCATCTGCGTCGTCTACCTGCGTTTCCTGTATGGCTGCCGCAAACAAAGCATTGACCGCCACAAAGAGCTCCCATGGACTGCGCCACTTCAACCATACACTACTTGGGTATCGCTGGTTGTGTTTATTCTCCTGTTCTTTACCGGTGGATTTACGACTTTTATGAAGGAATGTTGGAGTACGGAAACGTTCATTTCATCGTATCTCAATCTGCCGTTTATCATCCTCGTTTCCATCGGATAACAGGTTTACATGTGTACTGATACACTCCAATAGGTTCAAAGGACTCTCTTCCGGTCGCATAGCTCAATGAACAAACCAAATCAAATCAAATCAATTGCGCACATACTTTACGAGACCGTTGCCTTTCAACTTTCGATTCATCACAGCTACTTGGACAATCGAGCATCATCTAAAGAAGGCGATGGGATATTCATTGGGGCCTCTCAGAATATCTATCACGACCGAAGATGCCGGGCGAATTCTACAAGTCGCAAACGTGCCAATTCGAATATAAGCGGGCGAAAACACGTCGTCTTCGACATTATCGGCACTTGCGTCTCATTTGATGTATTCTACGAAACTACCGATCGGGTCATCGGAGATAAGCTTGCCGCAAACAATATCGCTGCACCGTTATTCGGGTTTAGTTGGATGACAGCTGCGGAGCTGCGGAGCTCGAATTCACATTCTTGTCGGTCTCGGAACGGCACAAGCTATACAAAGAGGTCCCCAAGGCTCTTTTCTTTCGCATCCTCCACATGGCAGGCATTGCCGCACCCCGGAAATTCGCCACGGATGCGGAAAGAGATCACGGCGTTCAGGCTTATTCCGAGTTGAAACTAAGACATGGAACGAAAAGCTGCTTTGATATACCGTGGAACGGAGGGTTCATTGTCTGGTGTCTCACGACGGGGGATATAAAACGTGTCGGAGGATATTTTGAGCGCTCGGGTGTGGACATACCTCTAAAAATGTGATTAGCTGCGATACACAAGGCTTGGCAAAGCCCGCTCTGGCAGCTTATAAGACTGCGTTTGACCGCTTCGCCCCGGATGATGACAAGTGGTTTGCAGCCGCCCACATGTGGGATGTTTCCGCCGCAGCCAAGGCTGGATTTCGAGGTGCCTACTGTACAGTGTATGAGAAGGAGTCCTGTTCAGAGATATTTGACGAGGTGATGAACGTGACGGCCGACACGTTACCTGAGATGGCGAAGAATATTGTGGCCGCCTCACAGTAGTCTCGGCTTTTTGCATTGTATGGTTTCTTAATCCCAGCAGAAACGAAAAAGATTATGGAATTGAGCCACTTAATGCTCAAATTGACGTTCACATGCCCGGGTGTCAGCGTTGTTCACATGTCAACGGGAATCTCCGCTGGAAACGTCCCGATTCCTGTCATCTCTGATTATTCGCTCCGCCACAAAGTTAATTAACTAATTAATCAACCAAGGTAATTCCCAAGCGAGTGGTCACACCAACCTAGCAGGAGTTGACATATGGCACCACCACTTATGAGGTCTTGGCACCTCCATTTGGTAAATAAGCTAAGCCTAAAACGACGGGCATCACCTATTACCAACGGTATGAAATAAGTAGATTACACTAGGGGTTTTTTTTTTCGCGGTGGTGGCTTTCGCAATTATAGAGTCACAGATTTCGAGTCTCCCGTTCGATTTAATAATATATCAATTAAGCGATTAATAAGTGCTTATTATGTGCGTATCAAGCGCTTACCCAGCTCACTAGATATCTTTTATACAGCAAAATAGCCTAAGAATTATTCCACTAGCCTTTCTAGTCTTTATAGACCTGTTAATTATATAGGAATATAGTGTGAACTATATTAATGATAGCTTCTAGTCAACATTAGTATATTGAACAAAAAAGCGGGTTAAAAATATAGTAATTTGGAAAACAGAGTGTGGAAGAAGGAAACTTACTTAGCTGAAACTGAAATTCAATAAACCATTTCAGATTATTTAGGCCTACATGGTCCCGTTCAAATGGCGGTGCCAAGACCTCCCAGGTATCGGTGCGAGCAGTATCCTCACCTAGCAGTCACCCACAGAACACCATATTAAATGCCTTTTTTTTATTAGTATATATACAGCTCAACGGATATGCTAGGTATACTATTTTGGTTTAGGGGTTTGCCTATAACTATTTCATCAAATTTTAAATCATATATGTCGCCTTAGCAGTAAACCAATGTATATTGTGTATACATATTCCGTTACCGAAAATTACCTATTTATAGTTGTAAATATATAGCAAAAACATATCTGAATATGAATATCTGATATTCACTACTCTCTAAAATATTTAGCAACTCAAAATATGGATTATATATGTTTCTTCCAGCATAAAATGATACAAAGACTCCTAAATGACATCTTCTTGTTGAAATATGAAGTTGTAACTTGTCGCGTTTAATATGGCGTTCCGGACTGCGCAGCTCGCTTACATGCGCAGCTCACTTGCCGAATACGTTAGTTAGCGAAAGAACTAGCAGACAGCGCAAGGCGCACATTCCAGTTCTCCTTAGCGCCTCTCGTACTTCATCTGCTGCTCTCGGGTAATTCTCTTGGCAGAAGGTACAGCCTGTGGATCAGTACAGCGACTTTACGCCACAATGCCGTCGACGGACGCCTCATACAGGAGGCCCATGAGGACTCTGAGATGCAATCTTGGAGTTTGGAAACGATTTGTGCGAACGGATAATCACCTAACGAATCACTTCGGAAGGGGTGGATCGGGGTCATTTCGGTTGACAGAATAGGAAGCGGCCGGCGACTCCAGAAGGGCGACCCAAACCAAAGCTTCGCAACCCGTGGATATACCTATGTACCTATGTACCTATGCAGGTATTTTCGAGAATACCGGTGCAAGACGTTTTGTCCACCCAATAAAAGCAGATGCAGCACCATGAGACGAGATGAGTTTATTGACTCGGTTCTTTGGACCATGACTCGTGGTTTGCCGAGGTCTAACTTTGAGGCGTTTGAGGCGTTTTAACCTTACCAGGCCGTGGCGGTCGGTCCGCGAACGCCATTGACAAAAGATGACGGATGCCGGAAAAAGATCTTTTCCATGCTGGTTGGCGAGATTAAAAGATACAACGGTGGTGCACCGGAGTGACGGACGATAAATTCTAGACATTGTGCAGCCCTAGTTTTGCGTCCCCGGTGCGACGCCCCCAAAACCACGCCCCACACCATCAACGCCTCGCACCTGACCACTGTACCCCTCATTCTACAGTACAGTAGTCCGGAGGGGCGTTACAAAAGTATCTTTTTGCCTTTTTTCCGCCCGGGGTTTGCCCAGTGGAGGGAAACCCGGGGATGGAACACCGCACGTGACTCGGCTCGTTTGCGGCATGATTGGCTCTCGGGGGTTGGCCGACCTCACGGCCCCTTCCACGTCCAACAGCAACACTCCGGCCGTCGGCATCGGGAAGGAGATTCGGGGGGGGCAAGAGTGAATGGGGTAACTGAAACGAGTTTTATGGAAAAGCACATCGGCCGTGACACTCGGCCCCCGGTCCATGCGGGCTTCCATTAGCGAAGGTTTTCCGACCGCGACACGGAGCGTGACTGGCTGTGGCTGGATGTGACTGGAGCCAAAAGAACGAAAAACTCTGACCCTGACCCACCAAACTCCCCGTAATTCCCCGTGGGTGGACGGCCGGACGCCGGTTATGGCAAGCCCAAGGACGATCCTCCGCCCGCCCCAGGAGTGACTCCACCCCCACGAGGCCTGTACACGAACCGAGAGGGCTCCGACATTGTCGGGAGGGAGGAAAAAGGAGGGGGCCTGGAGATTGGACCCAGGCGGCCCTGAATGGAACCGGTGGCGCATACTAAGCAATCGGAGCCAGGTATTGGCGTACCGTGCTTCTACCGTGCTTCCACCATGCCCTACCGCGCCCTGACTTCCCCACCGCGACCCGCCACGCGCGGGTTCCGAACGCAAACGTTACGTTGGTGGCGGCCAAGGCCGAAAACTCATTTGGGCGGCACCCGAAACTTCAGCCGCTAGCCCCTTGGAAGTTAGCCTTACTCGGCCTTGACTGGCCTTGTCGGGCCTTGGCCACTACTTGACCCTCTCGGCGGCTCGCGAGACTTGCCTAGAGCGCTAACCCGCCGACGTCATCTCCCCATTCATTCGTCTGAAGCAGTCCGAACACGGCTTGGCGCTACCGGCCGTGAGATGGGGTCCTAATTTTCCCCCAGGATACAAAAGGACGCTGATCCGATTATCCCACCCCGGATGTAAAGCCTTTTCCCTTTCTTTCTTTACTACCCTTGTCTTGGTCCTTCCTCCCTTTGATACTAGGTAGAGAGGCACCGCCAAAAAAGGTCGACAAGATGTGGACAACCACCAGCGGCTTGCGGGGCAAGAAGCTCCACCTAGCCATCACGTTCACTTCCGTCGTGGGCTTCTCGCTCTTCGGTTATGATCAGGGTTTGATGTCTGGTCTGATCTCCGGAAACCAGTTCACCAAGGAGTTTCCGCCCCTGGACGATAAGATCCGCCCTATTCCCCCCGGGTACAGCAGCGTGAGCGCCTTCACTTCCCATGTCTCCGTCCTCCAGGGTGCGGTCACGGCCTGTTACGAGCTGGGCTGCTTCTTCGGTGCCATCTTCACCCTGATGTTCGGTGAGCGTATCGGCCGCACTCCTCTTCTGGTGACCGGTGGTGCCCTGATGGTTATTGGTACTACGATTTCCACCGCGGCTTTCGGCCCTCACTGGGGTCTGGGCCAGTTCGTCGTCGGCCGTGTCATTTCCGGTCTCGGAAACGGCATGGACACGGCTACTATTCCCGTCTGGCAGTCCGAGTGCTCTCGCGCCCATAACCGCGGTTTCCTCGTCTGCTTCGAGGGTGCTATCATCGCCGTCGGTACCTTTGTCGCCTACTGGATCGATTTCGGTCTTTCCTACGTCGACTCTTCGGTCCAGTGGCGTTTCCCCGTCGCTTTCCAGATTGTCTTCGCCATCGCTGTGATTGTCGGTGCCCTGATGCTGCCCGAGTCCCCTCGTTGGTTTGTCATGCGGGGACACGACCAGCAGGCGTTGGAGGTTCTAGCCGCCCTCAACGACAGTTCCGTCGATGCGGAGGACGTGCTCACCGATTTCAACCTGATGAAGGCTGACCTGAACGCCCAGGAGGGTGCCAAGGCCAGCTGGACGACCCTCTTCAAATTCGGCAAGACCCAGGAGTTCCAGCGGATGATGATCGGTTGCTCCGGTCAGTTCTTCCAGCAGTTCACTGGCTGCAACGCTGCCATCTACTACTCTACCCTGCTGTTCCAGAACAACCTGAACATCAAAGGCAAGCTGTCTTTGGTTCTGGGTGGTGTCTTCGCCACGGTCTATGCTCTCTCCACCATTCCCTCCTTCTTCATGATTGAAAGGGTTGGCCGTCGCAAGTTGTTCCTCATTGGTTTCGCTGGTCAAGGTCTTTCTTTCATCATTACCATGGCTTGCCTGATCGATCCCACCACTCAGAACGCCAAGGGTGCGGCCGTCGGTATCTTCCTGTTCATCTGCTTCTTCGCCTTTACGACGCTGCCTCTGCCCTGGATCTACCCTCCCGAGATCAACCCTCTCCGTACCCGTACCATGGCTGCCTCGGCCTCGACCTGCACCAACTGGATCACCAACTTCGCCGTCGTCATGTTCACTCCCGTGTTCTCTTCCACCAGTGGCTGGGGTATCTACCTCTTCTTCGCCCTTGTCAACTTCATCGGCATTCCCTTCGCCTGGTTCTTCTACCCGGAGACCGCCGGCCGTGATCTTGAGGAGATCGACATCATCTTCGCGAAGGCCCACATTGAGAAGAAGTGGCCATACCAGATTGCCAATCAGCTGCCTAAGCTCACTGTCGAGCAGATTGCTCAGATGCAGACCGAGCTGGGCCTGGACACGTCGGAACAGCATGTCGCCGCTGAGGCCGAGAAGGCTGAGATCGCGATGAGCAGTGGCGAGAGCGAGGAGAAGAACGCTTCTGATTAATCGTCTCTACACAATTACTTCGGCCTTCCATCCTGGAGACGGAACGCAGGAGGTCGCAAATACCCTGATGGATTATAGACTGTTTTGATCCTCGCATTATCTTTTCCTTTCTATTTGAATTATTATGGTTATCATGTCGCGATGTGATAGTGGTTGATCGCCACGTTTTCTTTCTGTCAGATAGCTTTTTCCCTTTCTTTCCTACCTGTGTTCATGGCTATCATGTCGACATGTGAGAGTGGTTAGTCGCCACGTTTGTTCGTGAGATAGGTTTCTATCCTTTTCCTACCAGTTAATGAAGAGGCCTCGCAGCCAAATCCTGCGAACGGTCTGTATAAATAAACGTCTTGATCAATCTTGAAGGTTAAGCTGTATTCAAAAGTTAATTTTGCATCGGAATTTTGCATCAGAAGTTGGCACGGATAAAGAGGACGTCTCGTCTGAAGCTGTAGTATTCACGGAAGGCGTTAAAGATGTCCCAAAGGGTGCACGCTCAAACTTACGCTTGCTGCTCCTCCTATGCGCAACCTTGACGGTTCATCTCTTGAGGCACTTAACAACGATGTCTAATTACATGCACAGTCAGATGAGCCCAATGCGGAAGGAGAGCCGCGATCTGAACGGTGCCGGGGATATAACCTTCAAACTATGACTGTCGCGTATGCGAGATTCCTGCAATCTGAAAGTATAACCTGCATATGGGCATGCAATGATGACGAATGGTTTACAATATACGTTGAAACTTCTCCCCGCCGCCCCAAGGTGACTTAAATGACAACTATCAGTAACTAGACCTCGCAAGTCGCTCTAGAGACGGCGAGGCTTAAGACTTTGCATTTTTCCTTTGGGCAAGATGGGATTTGACCTCTGCGTGGACGAATTTATGGCAATGCGAATAAAGAAGGCCTATTTGAAAGCTTTACACGAAAGGTATAGAAATCCCCGAGTGTTTCATAAATTCGGCAGAGTGGATCCACTTCCGCTGTTACCAAACTCAACCCCACCGGACGTGATGAACGAAGACGAGCGCTCAGGACCGTAATCAAGAGAAGATATGTTAATTGAATCCTCGGGAGGCCCTTGTTTCGAGTAGAAGCATAGACAGGGTATGAACAACCACGAATCCCATTGGCACCCGCCGGGGTCATTACCTATGCATCCTGCTTTTAATCATAAGACAACTTCAAAATGACTCTGGACAAACTTGCCGTTCTGGTTGACAGCAAAAACCATCGTGTGAGTGTTGGCCGGGCTGGACCTTTAAAAGATTAATCAAAGGCTCTCATTAGGCAGTCTATGTACTCTCTTAACTTGCTGCAAGGTTTATCACGCCAAGTAGAGAGGTAAAGGTTCACCAAACGAAGATATCAAGTACCGAATAGGAGAAAAACTGGGATTTACAAATTCGAATTCCAAGGTTGACTGCGTCTGAAGTGACAGTCACGGTGTGGGGGTACATCCCATTAGCGTGGGTGCCGTGTCTAGTGCGGGGGAAGATGTCGCCTATGTATAGTGCGGGACCACACAGAATGCGATCACAGAACCAATCCACGGTCCGAATGGGAGGGTCAAATACCACCTAAGTTGAAGATAGTCGTGGAGGTCTGTGTCGATCTCTATTATTTACATGTCACATTGCCCCAAGTCCCCCTTGCCTCCGGATTATAAATAAGAACCCCGCCTTTCCCAACCCCGAGTCTTTCCAGGAAACTTGGACAATACCACCTGGCTTCACCACACCCTCTATTTCATTTTCAGTTCCGACCGCTACGGGATCCCGCCTTCAATTTCCCTGATCGCAGATCCAAAATGTATTCCCCTAAAGTAGGCGACAGGATAGAAAGCCTGGACACGCCATCCATGATCGCAGACCTTGATCTCATGGAAGCAAACCTCAAGAAGCTTATGGATAAGCTGCTCCCAACAGGGCTCAATATACGCCCGCATCTCAAAACGACAAAAAGCGCTATTATTGCCGGCAAGATGGTCAAAGCTGGCGCGAAGGGAGGGTGCGTGGCAAAAGTGAGCGAAGCGGAAGCCATTGCAGCCACTGGGTTCGACGACCTGCTCATTACATGCGAAATCGTGGGCCCCGCCAAGGTTAAGCGGCTGGTAGAGTTGTATCGCAAGCACCGAAAAATCAGGATTGTGGTTGACAGCGAAATCGGCGCAACGGCCATCAACGAGGTGTTGGCCAGTTCGGGCATCGATGATCCCATCATGGTTCTGATTGACTTGGATGTTGGGCTCCACCGGACTGGTGTTAAGCCAGGCGACCCAGCTTTAACCCTGGCACAACACATTGCCGGGCTCAAACATTTAAAGCTCATCGGAGTCCAAGGCTACGAGGGCCATCTGCAGCACCTCCATGACCGGGAGGACCGCAAAACCCAATGCCTGGAATCTATGCAGATTTTGACCGGCACTGCTGATTCGTTACGCAAGGCAGGCTTCAATATCGAGGTCGTCACTACGGGGGGTACTGGCACAGCGGAATTCTGTGCCACGGTGCCTGGCGTGACAGAGCTGCAACCGGGATCCTTTATCTTTATGGACACGGACTACCGTAATGCGGTTGGCTCGTTCTACTCCAATAGCCTGACAATCCTGTCGACTGTTGTGAGTAAGCAAGGCCCCAGGGCTGTCACGATCGACAGCGGGCTGAAGTCATTGACGACCGACAGTGGCCTCGCAGAATGCAAAGACTCGCGATACACTTATGGTGTTCTTGGAGACGAGCATGGGTCCCTTACCTGGGAAGAGGGCACTCCTGCGCTTTCAGTCGGTGACCGTGTTGAAATGATACCAAGCCATATTGACCCCACGGTGAACCTACACGACGTTTATTACGCTTGCCGGGGAGCTATGATTGAAGAAATCTGGCCGGTTGACTCAAGAGGGAAGGTCCAATAGATTGAAATGCCCCGTCAATAGGAGCGATCGTTATGGAATCCTTCCCTGCGTCTCCGGAATGCGGTCTCTTCCTGGTGTTTCCAACTTTTCATGTTTTTAGTCAATAAAAGAAACAATAGAGATTATGAGAAACACTATAGAATATGGTCAAACCTCGAACCTCGTGTTATAGTTAGATTTTCGGCAGAACCCGACGGTAATGTCTAGCTCTATTAACACTAAAACCGTGGGGAGTAATTTAGGGAACTAAACTTAGGGTAGGCTTTAAATGATATACTCTATACCCGACTCCAATAGACCTCAAGGGACCGAGTTTTATGAATGTTACTCGTATTAAAATGTGCAAATCGGCCTTTCCGTGGTATGTAATAATGAAGCATTTGCATGGTATTAAGGTCCTAATGGGTTCCGAAATTTGGATACGATTAGGTTGTAGCCGACATGCCTCTTCAGTAGATCGTGGGTGGTCAACCGCTCTAGAAAGGTTCTTTATGCCTTAATGCAGGATATACAAGAATTACTACCGCTTATCAGTTGTAGTCTGCTCGCATGACATGTAACGATTCCCAATTTCTGTACAGTGGAGCTACGAAAATACCAACATCGACGCTGATGTTTCATAAAACCTGTTCGCGGCGGCTCTATCAACCATGATACTTATAGCAGATAACGAGCTTATGATCTGGTATATTTAAGCCTTTTGTGGCATTTTAACCAGCTATTGTTGGAGCTAATGCATCAGATCTCATCGGCTGGCTCGCTATGGCAAATGTTCAATCCTTACTTCGTGAGTCGATGCGGCTACGGTAGAAGGAAACGACTAACAGTTGTCTCAATGGCGAGAACGGCTTTCGACAAACAGAAAGTCTTGTTGCGGCGAGTCCAATAACATCATTCAGCACTGATATCGCCAATTTCTTTAATTATTTAACATGGAAAGAATATCTTTCGGCGGGTACTCAATTTTTAGTCGGTAAAATTCCCTTTGATGCTATCAATTGCCGCGTTTCGGCAACTACAGTACCGACAGTTAGTAAATTTAAAATTTGGTATTGAACATTGAAGGTCTCTACTTGGTCGGCAAAAGTAAATTAGATAAAAGTCTGTGGGTCTGAAGCTTCATTCGTTAAGGGGCTCAGGTTCATACTGGCCCCTATTTACTTGGGTTTTACTCTTCCATAGCATTTCACGATTTCTCAACTATCTTTTGCTGAAAATGCCCAGCTTACCTTTCCGCATTGCAAGAGTCGAAACTGCTTGCAATACAGATTTTCTTGAAAAAAGTTTCAAAGCCACAGATAGGTTTGGGCCATTGAACGGGATAAGCTCCGAGACTGAAATCTACGCTTGAAAATGGGACCAAGTGCTGTTGAAAGTCGTACGTACAAGAGCACTAATTCTGCCGGCATGTGATTTTAGTGATAAATTATGACAGACAAAGTGGGTTCCTTTACTCCAGCTCTCTCATTCGAGGGCGGGGAAGTTAAGATCATCGGAATGAACATGAAAACAAGCTGCCTGCCGAGAGGCTCGTGCACTCCAATCGTGGCCTCCCTTGGGCACGGGATATTCAACGCCACTAGAAGCGGGAGCCACCAAACACAGATCGAACGCAAAAATGAATTAAATGGGACGCTCACATCATCGGCCCGAGGATAGCCTAAATGAGTTTAGTTGGCGTCCTCTTCACCTTCCAAAAAGGGATTTATGCCATGAAATTCCCCGGGAGGGTTAGTACTTCCCAGAGCAATAATAATAGGAACCCCCTAAGCGCCTCTGTAGCAAATGCAGGCCTCCTGAGGACTATAGATCCACGAGCTCGGGGCAATGGTAGGCCCATTAAGCTTTCCATATAGGCTCCTATCCGGAGGATGGCATTTACCTTGATTCTTGAGCCAAAGTGGCCAGCCAATTCAAGAAGCTTTCACCTCGGCAAATTTCTCGGCTGAACTGGGGTCGAAACCCACCCAAATGATTGCCGACCGTGCTCACTACTACCGTAACGGCACGCTAGGCTCACACTAGGCAACGGTAGGAACGACTTATTTATTTTCAAGCTTTTCAAGCGTTTAGGCCTTCCGCACTAGATGTAGTTCCTTTCCACTTTCAAGAGAAATTTCAGGCTTCGGCTGGCGCTCTAGGCCTCTACAGCCGAACTACAGATATAATCAAAATCTAGGACCCACCGTGATCAGCTCCCATCCGACCGCTTACCTACTTAGACTACCATCTCGCTGGTCTGAGAGGTCCTAGTGGCCAGATAGGCAAGGTAGAACCGGCAGAATCTAGTGGCGAATTTGTGGGGTTTGATTACATCTGTACATAGTCCGGCTGCAGTAGTTGAGAATCTTAACGCTAGATATCTGCTACTGAGTTCAGGGGTCTTGTTCCTCCTGGCGCCTACCCCCGCCCGACTGATTTTTGAAAACTCTTATACTGGACTTCCTGCCCAGCTGTCTGGTCGCATACTCTGTTCGCTCCTTTATTGCTGCCAGTCATACATACTTCCAATATGTCGCTCTCTCCAAGCCAAAACAGAGCTATCGAGATCACTGAGCGAGTCACTTCTTCACTTTCTGTTCTCGGTGCTCTTTTCGTCATTGGCACTTATACTGCGTCTTCCTCATTCCATAAACCAATCAATCGCATGGTCTTCTATGCATCATGGGGGAACATCCTCGCCAATGTCTCAACTCTTATCTCTTTGTCTGGTATTCAAGCAGGCAGAACTTCCACAATGTGTCAGACCCAGGGGTTTTTGATCCAGATGTGAGTTCCTGTGATTTCTTTAGCAAGGCATGGCGACTTATGCTGATGAATGTTCCAAGGTTCATGCCTGCAGATGCTCTTTGGACGTTAGCGATGGCCTGTAACGTCTACCTCACTTTTCGACATAGGTTTTCTTCCACTCAACTGCGGCGCCTCGAGATAAAATACCTTCTTCTTTGTTATGGCATCCCGTTTGTCCCGGCTATTATTTACGCATTTTTGCATACGGAGGAACGGGGGACGATTTACGGGCCTGCCACGGTTAGTTGAAGTGCAAAGCTTGCTTCAAATTGGAAAGTCTCATCTGACAATTTATCTCATAAACAGCTTTGGTGCTGGATTGATGTAGATTGGGATTTCCTCCGCATTGCCACCTTCTATGCGCCTGTTTGGTAAGCTTATTCAGAGCATGCGAGAAAGCACGTAATCTCATTCGCGACATAGGTTAATTTTTATCGTCACTGGTTTTATTTACATCTCTATCGGAACGGAGATTCACCGAAAGCGAAAGCAGCTTCGAAATATGACATCCCAGAGTGTGCCAACCGTCCAAAGCCTGAAAACCACGGAGGTCCATGTCGTGAGCGAGACAATGGACGCCTTTCAAGGCACCGACGAGGGTCGTCCAGAGAACGACAATTTTTCGCAAGGGAGACGATTTGCCCAGTACGAAACTAATATATCCAGCGCTAAGATGTCGAGTTCTGATGCGGCTGCTTGGGCTTACACAAAATGCGCAATGCTTTTCTTTGCTGCACTCATCATCACCTGGGTAGGTCCTCGATCGAGTGCATTGATATTGACTATGATTGACCTAATGATACGTTTCGTAGGTCCCCTCGACAATCAACCGAGTCTACACCCTTGTCGCTGCAGGTGATATCAGCTTTGCGCTCTGCTATTTTGAGGCACTCGTGCTTCCTCTGCAGGGATTTTGGAACTGCATCATTTACATTACTACATCTTTGGGTGCCTGTCGATCTTTGTGGAGCTCAATCTTTGCTCCCAAGCCCGCCTCTCAGGGTATCGCCCTTTCTTACACGAAAAGCAGAAGACCTTTCAGCAGGATTGACGAAGGGTCAGAGAGTATGACTGAATTGGCGGAGGACAAGTGAACTACGCGAGAACGAACAATTTGGTTTATTTTTCTCAGGGTCCGGTTTTTCAGCATTCAAACATTTTTTGTACAAATAAGCAATCCGGTTCCTATACAGTACCCCATTTAACACGATTCTGTTGGGAAAAGATCAGACGGAAGAAGATGGATATACAATTGAAGGTGTAATGCGATGATCTTGTCTAGTTGTTCTGACGGGATATTTATACCCTTTCTTCGAGAACGATTCTCTAAGAGAAATGCACATAAAACAATTATTTTGATCTCTATATCCGAAGGACTTACAAGGATTTAGATCTTCTAAAAGTCATTTGCATGTCTCTTATCAAGCTAAGCGAGGTTAAACTTCCGACCGTATTACAAATGGTGATCTCTAACGGTCTTACCAATTAAGAAGGGGGCGGTTTAGAACTCAGGGTGCAATACTTTCATGAAGGGACAAGTTCGACGGAAAAACACCTACCGCTGATTATTATGCATAGGGAAATGTACATGGCACACATCAGTACATACCAGACCCTGTCTGTGAGGGTGAACATTAGACGAAAAAGTTGATGTTAGGAAATAAGACTTTTGCTTACGCTTCGGGGCAGACGGGTGTTATCTTCCCAGTGCGATATTTGCGTTTTAACCATGTTGGGTCTATCTCTGAAATCCGTATTACTCATAGCTTCGAGTAGATCTCGCCCGGTTCACGGGTTTTACCTGATCTGGAACCGTTTCTGCGCGGGTTTTGGTTTCAATGTCACGACCCGAAGTCGGTTCAGGGTTTCAATATTGAACCCACGGGTAACCCGTGGGTTAATTAACAATGCAAACATAGAGAATCTCGTGATATGCAATTCGCAAAGCCTATAGCGCCTATAGAATTTGAAGGGCTTATATAAACTGAATTCGGATATAAAACCGTCAGAAACAGAGCCCGATTCAATATCAGCATCCATGGCCCGAGTTTCCCGGCGCTCGTGCATGTTACTCAGAAGACGATCGAATGAATGGGAAGGTAATTGATGGAGTGGTAATCTGTGGATTAGGGAAATCAATTTGAAGACACTCGAGTTGTGGAACAGTGGTAGGTTCTGATTTGCATCTCAGAAAAGTCCACTCAAGGGGCTCCTGAACTGCGGGATAGCACCTACGGCAAGATAAATCTATATTCATATGTCTATGAAAGAGGAGACCTGCCTCTCGTGAAAGTGGACCACACGATCTATTCTGTGTCCATGAAAATCACGACGCCTGGGGAGGGGGCGCGAGTCAGTCAATCCTCGACTACCCGGAAAACAAGTGGCATAACAGGATCCAAATAAACCTTTGTCAGCGGTGTTCGTGCTGAGCTAAGCGTTTGTGGCCGATCTCGTTTGAACTGGCCGGTCTAGGGGGGCCAAGATCATCAGCACCTCCTTAGTGGGAGGCTTTCTTACCAAATACAGTGGCGTACACTGCGGAAAAAATGGCACCAACGCCCTCACAAATTAATTCTCGACAGAATTTTCTGGCGACAGAATCAACGTCAACACCATCGCCCCGGGGTACACGATGACCGAGCTGGCAAGGAGCAATCTCTGGGAGAACGGGCCTGCCTTCCTCGACTGGATTCCCAAATCCAAGACAAGATATCTTAAGCGTTCTGAAGCTCTGCGAAAGTCATTTTATGCGGGGGGAAATTGCATACCTCTCTGCTTGTTCCACTTCAAAAAAAAGAGCGAAAGGGTTGAGGGATGAGGTGCTCCATGTTGTGAGTGGATTCCAGGTCGCTGGGTTCAGGCACGTGATTGAGACCTTACGGCCATTTGATGACGATGTGTGCGTAAAGGTTGTGAGATCGTTCTATGCTGAGCTTTGTCGGAACGGTGCTCTGGAGTATACCGACAGAAGGGTTGCAATGGCACTTTATAAGCGGTCTCGGTGATTTCGACGAGAGATAATTATTGGAAGCGGCCATTAAAGTGGACACAGTACTTACGTGATGGTGTCTAAAAATCGATCACCCATTGGGACGAATAGAGACTAGAATTTCAGATTTGGGGTCCTTGCAGCAACAAGAGGTGGCTTCGCACACAGAGCTCAAATAGCGGCTTATACTTTCCCCGGAGGAAGACAACCAATATATGTAATGGAAACCAGACTTCTCAAGGAGACTATCGCAAAGTACTTTTAGTTTTAGAGATTTTGCAGCTTGTCTATATGGCCAGGTTGAGGTGATGAGTTGACACAAGGTCCTCCCGGCAAGTTAATTATATGGAGCACATTCGTCGGCGGCTCTAGCTGAGCTGATAAACCAGAAGTATTCCGGTGCATCACCAGTGTGATGCAGAGAGATAAATCCGAGAACTACTTGATAATTTGTCCGTGCCAGACACCACAAAATTTCGATCTTCGTTTGTCTCCGAGGGTACAATAAGAGATCTGTCGGATGGCGCTAAACAGATGTCCCCGTATTCCCAAGCTTTTACATTAAATACGTGTTTAATGTTTGAACCCGCATGTACACGTTAGAAGCCCCGTAGATGCTCCGCAGGCTCCAAATATCCTTCTACTAGTGATTCTGAAGATTCGGATCCAGAATTGTACTTGGATTTCTAGAATCTTTGATACGTCATATTAGGTACCAAATTGAACTATAAAGTCCAGAAATAAGCTGTGAGGTCTTCAGACCGAAGACTTAGGTGTTTTATTTGGAACAGTTTCAGCATCTATATCACCATCTTCTCCGGCCTCTGATCGCGTAATTGTCCCAGGAATCTGGCCCTAGTCATTTTCTCCACTATGAGCTGTCCGAGGAGGAGTGCCACTCAGCGGATTGTCCTTGGCCGTTAATGTCAAATATTCTCCTTTGAAGAGACCATCCTGGAAGGACCCAAAGGCTCAGTCGAAATAGTTGAGTTTGACTTCAATAGCTCCCTTGCTGCGATCCGATTTTTCCTGGCTTTATCGCTTACACAGAACGCGATACTGATCCCAGAGAACAGGGATATCAAGCAAACTGAAAAGACAATAGCGGTAATGTTTCCTTTGTGATTCCATTCGGCAAGTTCGGCATTTGCAGAATTTGTTGCGGAAGCTCTGCTTGTCATGGTGGTTGAAGTGTTTGTCGTAGTTGAGCTACTCGTCGTTGACGCTATTGAGGTGGTCGAAGTGGATGAAGTAGTGGAAGTAAACGTGGTTGAAGACGTAGTTGAAATCATACTTGAAGTCGTAGCTGCATCTGAGGAAGTTGTTGTGCTTGAGGTAGTGGTGCTAGTTGTAGTTGAACTTGTACTCGTTGTTGTTGTCGTCGAGGTGTCTGCCGATGTGACGTCCCTGGCTTGAAGAGCGACATGATCGGGGCCGGTATTCACCGCGCGTGGTATTATAAATTCGCCACAAAGAGGTTCTGAAGATGGCTTCCTGTAGACGGTAGTTTGTAGAGAGGACCAGGACTCGATTAAGGTGACATAGGGATGGCAGGTAGCGAAGACACACTGTGTCGCTGCTAGCGCCAGAATGCTGCACTTCATGTTTTCTCAGTTGGAAAATAAATATTCTGGCAAATACTTGAAGGAGAGAGCGACGTAGAGGAAGTAATAATGGGCTTATGGCTCAGGCGGCCACGCATTAACGAACGCACTGTCTTCCGCTAAAGACTAGTCTGGCCTGCACAATCTTCTTTCTTCAGATATTCTAGGCTGCGCCTAGTGCAATTTGTCGCAAGTGGCCGCGTAAATTCAATTTGCTAGGTTATTTTTGATCTCAGCGCCCTAGTATCAGCCACTCGCGAGGCGGCGGAGGAGGGTAGCACACGCACAAGCCGCGCGGCAGCGCCCCACAGGGCTGGCCCATTATTGCAACCTCTAAAAGAAACGGCCGGCAAATATCCAAATAAACCATATGGATTTGACCTTGATCGATAATGGAGAGGTACTTGGTAAAGTGACTAGAGAAAATAGAAAATGGCACCTACTAGATCATGGCGGGGAATACGAAGCTATGAAAAATCCTGTTGGTCAAGCCCCAGTCACATGTAACTACTTACGCCGATCGCCAAGAACCGCTAGTTCAGTCTTAAAGAAATACCCACTTCATTTTCAAGATTATTGTTAAAGCAAAACTAAGAGATTTGTCTAGTATTATCCTACGGGGATCACGTCTATGCGACCGCGTAGACCACGACGCATAGCTGTGATTTAGGACCAAGGCAATTACATATCCTATCCCATGGGGGCTGGTAGGATGCACTGCGTACTAGTTAGATGTTTTGCTTTATTATGGGAGGAAAACGGTGCTAGCGAGTGCATACTGATTTGAATTCGCGAGTGTGTCCTATTTAACTTCATCGGTCCGACAACTCTGAAAGATTTCAGAAGTTGTAAGTTAGCGATAAATATACACCCAGTTTCAAATTGAAGATCATCCGAACATTAGGAAAGGTAGTTGTAGGGATATATTAGATGTTGCGGGCTCAATGGCTTTCGATAATATAAACATGGGACTAGTGTCACTGAGGTAAGCGGTCCTCTTTGCTTTACTGTAAGATTGTCGATATAGGATTCATGACAGCCGGGAGAGAAAATTCCATCAAAACGGTCATTCAACGATCAGTGAATCGAGACGGGGATCAGGTGGTCTAGTATCTCATTCTGTGATATTGGTGGGTGGAGGACCCATCTTAAATGTAAATAGCTTGAGATCTCACAAAACCAGATTTGCCCACGAACTTTGCAACTGCCCTCTTTACACTTGGCTGGATCGAAGAGTAGCAGTGACTGTTACCAAAAATCCCTGTTTGACTGGCCCTCTATTCTCAGCGCCAGCTTGTCGACCCCGTCTTCCTCTCGATTCAAAGCATATCACAGACGTCACCATGTCCGCTCAGTCGATTTTGAATAAGGTGATTGTTCCTCCTGTTAGCTGCAGCTTCAATGATGTCCTGAAAATGACAACTATTTCCCACTCGGCTATTACCAAAAAGGGATTTGACGGCATATCATATTGCGTCCCGACACTTGTGGTCCTTGGTGTTTACAGAGGACTTGAAATATTTCAATAAAATTGAAGCCATGTGCTATGGACGGAATTGACACACGGGGGTAGTCATCGAAAGCTTCGTCGCCGCCTGCAACAAAAGATCCAGTGGAGCTTGTATAGTCTCCAACAAAAGCTGTTGATTCTCCATCAATTCCCATCAATTTACTCCTGCTTATGTAACTTGGGAACCGTGCCGCCGGGGTTGGCCGGGATCAAACAAACGTGGCCTTTTTCAGACTCGCCATGCCACTACTGCTTTGAGAAACCCCGAATCAAAATCGAAAATGCCTTCGTTTCTAATTCTGCCCCCGGAAATCCGAGAGTTCATTATTGAACAAGTCCTATGTAGCAGCCATAGGCCACCAACCTATCCATCTATGTTTGGCAGAATCGACTTTCATGATATTGATTACAATGCCTGGCGCAGCGAGACGAAAATCTATCATGAACAACGCAGCACGCCCTGCCCATCGAATTGTCTTCCTCTTCTTTTGACTAGTCACCAAATATATGAGGAAACCCGATCCGTTCTCAATCGCAAAATAAATCACATATGTTCTGAATATCTCAGTCTTAAACGACTACGACCTATTCCCGACTTGGACATCTATACCGTATCTAACGAATCGCGTCCATGTGCTGTATGCAGACGTGCGCCTTTTTGGCAGTATCATCCCGTCTAAGACAGCTAAACGCCTCGTGGGGGATGGGGGGTGCCTTGGATTCCACCGGAGCTTCTATTCCTTGCTTGAACGCTTTCTCCGCTATGGGCCTGCGGACGAAAAGAAGGTAAAGCGCAATCCGGATATCGGCGGGAACGAAGTTTCCTACGAAACCAGATTCCCTTTGTTTCGGAAGAATCCGAATTCAGTGATCGCGATATAACCATCGAGATCCTTAAACTTGACTTCCAGTCATCCGAATCCGTGCTTCCGTTTCCCTCAGACAAAATTGGTAACGATGAGTGGCGACATAAATATTTTACATCCCACTTGATCTTTGATGAAAGCGGCGGTCCGAGCGAGCTTGAGAAGTATGGGACACGACCAGAGTGGCTCGCGACATATCTTTTGGGGGAGATTCATGCCCTGCTAACTATGTCCTACCACTTTGCGTCGTATGGAAAAATTTTCTATGAGCGGGTTGGAACTATCTGTATCCTCTCACGAGAGGGAGCGACTGAAATTGACCTCGCCAGCAGACTAGCCGAGCTACGCTTTACTAACCAGCAAGACACCTTTGGTAATGTGTGCCCTGAAGATCACCTTTCCACGTTCTGGGAGTGGAAGAAGCAGATGCTGGCTCGTAGGCAGGAGCTAGGTTTTCCAGTTGTATGGCCACATGATCCGGAATTGAAAGGACTGATGTGAGCTTTTGCTTGTGAGCTGTCTCTCAAAAAAGAGCAATTCTCACATTTGGTAATTCCTTCTCTTCCGAGCCTATGTTTCATAGCGATCGACGAGAGCAGTTGAATAGGCGGGAAATCACGAGCTGGGACCTCAACCACAGCATATGACGGCCATCGTTTCGGACTGCGACAACCCAGAAGAGCAGCCGCAGGATCAGAATCGAAAGAAGGGATAACAAGGAAGATCGAGAGTTTTTGAAATAAAGCGTTCGCTGCACCGGTCAATGAGATTGCAACGCCAATGATTTCCGGGCCTTGGTTTTTCGCATGTGTGCCTCTTGTAGGTCTTTGACAACAATGTGGGAGCGTCTCTCCACATGTGCAAAGTTCAATATATTAGAGTTCAATTAGAATTCGCCAAATTTACCATCAGAACGAATATCATCGCGAGACCATATCTGCCGCAACAGCACGACCCCCTGCAGCAGTGAGATTGTTCAGCGGCAGCAGTCTCTCACTGATTCATTCACCTGGAGCCATACGTGCCATCGACCATGATGGATCGAGCACTTTTGGGCTCATAAACTGGTTCAGTCCCCGAGCTTGGAGGGAGCCGGGGCCCGCGAACTCGGAACTGTCGGGGTCTTCAGCGCGGTGACGTCTCGCCCGATTTGGATTCTCTCTTTGTTTCGAAACCTCCGGAGCCGTCTCTAAACGCTGACCGGTCCATTGCATCTCCACGCGTCAAGAGACTCTGTCAAACTGGACAAAACTGCCTGACCTTTCCCCGCAACGATCGACGTTTCGGGGAAGACAGCACCGAGACTGACCCGGGAATTTTTCCACCAAAGACAGTCCAGGTTGTTCGCCGTCCTGACGCGGCCTCACGAGCTCCGCACAAGCTCCGGGCACCAACAAAGATCAGACAGACTTGGGCCAGTGGCCAAGTTCTCTTCCGCCCCTCATCCGGAACGCAATGGCTCAGTCTCCAGGCGCGTCGTGCATGCTGGCGGGCGGAGACGACGGAAAGTCAAGAACGAACTCAGGCTGCCCGGGTAATTGACGGACAGCAACATTAGGCACGTCACCGTGCCCTGGACCAGTCAGTGGTCGCTGGATGTTCGATCTGACTATAACTAATTTCAAGCTCAAGTCCGTGCCCTCTCTCCCGCGGCGATTGTAGGTATCCGCCTGCCGATCGCGCGGGGCTCCTGAGGAGAACCTGGAACATTGCAGTGATCGACAAGAGCAATATTGCCGGGGAAATTTCTCCCCACGACAATTGCGCACAAACCGGCGTAATCATCGGGCGATTGGGATATGAATGAAGCAGAGGATCTGCCATTTGACCTGCCTAAGATGGCATTAGCCTACGCTGCACCACTGTGTCATGCCGGATGGACCTCCTCTGTACCGCATTCCCCTCCAGCCTGACGCTGTATGCGGTCAGTTGCCGACGCGCTCATTGGCGTTCCATCCCCAGGCACCGCATCTGGAGCTCCCTACTCGTCGTCCATGCACGACGCTCGCCGACCGTCAAGTTGGGGGTGCCTGCCGATCTAGCCGTGTCTTCGTCCAGGCTCGTGGGTGCCACTGGCATCAGTAGAAAAGGGACCGCCAATCACCCTGAAGCTGCAACAAAAACTAACAGCAACTGCCAGCCCTAAGCCAACGCTGCGACAGCTGCCTCCAGTCTCCATCGAGCACTCTATCAGTCGATCCAATTGGGCACAGACACTGATCCAGAGGCAGTGAGCCGTCAACAGTATAAATCATGCGGGTCTCCAGTCTGCTGAAGGCGCTCCTCAGCACCAGTTTCCTGGGTCAGGCCTTAACCACCCCAGTCGAGCCGGCCCCAGCGCGCCTCGACCCCGCTAGCAAGAGGAACCCAGTGGTCAGGGGACAGGACCTGCAGGACATCGTGACCTACGATGGACAGTCCTACTTCATCTACGGGGAGCGCATGTTCCTCTTCTCCGGCTCCTTTCACCCCTTCCGCCTGCCCGTCACCGACCTCTGGATTGACGTATTTCAAAAGATCAAGGCGTTGGGCTTCAACGCCGTCACTTTCTACGTCGACTGGGCCTTGGTAGAGGCGGAGCCTGGTAATGTGCGATTCGACGGCATCTTTGACGTCGAGCCGTTCCTCCAGGCCGCCGCCGCCGCCGGCCTCTACCTCCTCGCGCGCCCGGGACCGTACATCAACGCCGAGGTCTCCGCCGGCGGCATCCCTTCCTGGGCGCTGCTCATCGGGTGCCGGCTCCGTGGCAACTGCACCGAGTGGGAGGATTCCACCAAGAATTACATGGCAGCGATTGGCAGCATCATCGCAAAGTACCAGATCACCAACGGCGGCCCCATCATCCTGACCCAGGTCGAGAACGAATATACCAGTTGGCCCGGTGTCGCCGACTTCCCGGCCGAGCTCAACCGCGAGTATATGGCGTTCCTGGAAAGTGAGCTGCGCGCCGCGGGAATCGTCGTGCCGCTCACCTTCAACGACGACGCTCAAGACGGCCTCTGGGCGCCCGGCACCGGTCTGGGCGCCGTCGACGTTTACGGCATCGACTCCTATCCTCTCGGGTTTGACTGCTCCGACCCGCTCAGCTGGGGTGCTGCCTCGCTGCCGGCGAACTGGCAGATCGACCAGAAAACGTGGAGCCCCACGACTCCTTTCACCATCTTTGAGTTCCAAGGCGGTTCCATGGAAGGCTGGGGCGACGTGTCGCAGGACCAGTGCAACGCCATGGTGGGACCAGACGCCGTGCGCATCTTCTACAAGAACAACTTCTCCTTCGGCATTAAGTGGTTCAACTTGTACATGACCTACGGCGGCACCAACTGGGGCAATCTCGGCTACGATGGCTGCTACACGTCGTACGACTACGGCGCCGCCATTAACGAGTACCGGGAGGTGATCAGAGAGAAGTACAGCGCCGAGAAGCTCGAGGCCAACTTCTTCAAGGTCTCGCCCGGTTACCTCACTGCCACGCCGGGCAACGTCACCGCCGGCGTCTACGCAGACACCGATGCCGTCTCTACGACGCCTCTTTTCGGCCAGCAGGCCAACTCGAACTTCTATGTCGTGCGCCAGACGAACTGGAACTCGACAGGTACCGTGGACTACAAGATCACGCTCGCACCGTCGGGGGGCGACGTGACAATCCCACAGCTCGGCGGCCAGTTGTCCCTGATCGGTCGCGACTCGAAGATGATGGTCACCGACTACCCCGTCGGCAAACACAGCCTAGTGTACTCGTCGGCCGACATATTCAGCTGGGGCAGCAGCAGGTCGGGCAAAACCGCCCTCATCATGTATGCCGCCGAAGGTGAAACCAACGAATTCTCCATCAAGCCGTCCGCCGGACGCGGGAAGTGGACCGGACCCAACCCGTCGAGCTCTGGCTCCTCCACGCAAATGTCCCAGATGGACTCGGAGACCTGGACGATCAAGTGGAGCACGACGGAGGCGGCCCAGAGCGTCTCCTTCGGCAGCGATCTGGTCATCTACCTACTGTGGCGCAACGACGCCTACCAGTACTGGACTCTTGAGCTGCCGGCTGCGGCGCCGATAGGCGCCTACTCTCACCCGGGCAAGGAGTACGTCATCGTGAAGGCCGGCTACCTGATGCGCACGGCCCAGATCTCGGGCACCGAGCTGCAGCTGACCGGCGACTTCAACGCCACTACCGACGTCGAGCTGGTCTTCGACCCGACGGACGCGGTACAGTGCATCACCGTCAACGGGAACCGGCTGAGCACCACAAAAGAACGGGGGGTGCTGAAAGGGACGGTCGAGTACAACCCGCCGTCGCTCGATTTTCCGGACTTCTCCACGCTCGAGTGGAAGACCATCGACTCGCTGCCAGAGATCCACCCGAGCTACGACGACTCGTGCTGGACCCCGTGCGACCATACGACGTCCACCAACGACCAGCTGGCCCTGCTGACTCCGTTCTCCCTGTTCGCCAACGACTACGGCTATGACACGGGCTCATTCGAGTATCGCGGCCACTTTGTCGCCAACGGCAACGAGAACTACGTCACGCTAAACGTCTCCGGCGGCACCGCCTTCGCCAATAGCGTTTGGCTCGACCAGACATTCCTCGGTTCCTACGTCGGGTCCGGTGCCAACTCGGAGTTCATGAAGACGTACGCCATCCCGGCCAACGCCACCTCGGCTGGCAAGAACTCGGTGCTCACCGTCGTCATCGACATGATGGGCGAGACCGAGGAAGGCCCCGGCACGGACACGATCAAGGGACCGAACGGCATCCTCAACTTCGACCTGGCCGGCCACAGCCAGCGGGACATCAGCTGGCGCATGACCGGCAACCTCGGCGGCTGGGCGAACTACCCCGACAAGGCGCGTGGCCCGCGCAACGAGAACGGCATGTGGGCCATCCGCCAGGGCTACTTCCAGCCGGACCCGCCGGACACGGACTGGGCCGTTTCGAACCCCATGGACGGCATATCGGGTCCGGGAGTGCAGTTCTACACCACGGAGTTCGACCTCAACATCCCCGTGGGTTGGGACGTGCCGATCGGCGTGGCTTTTTCGGACAACAGCTCCGCCAGCTCCGGCCTCTACCGGCTCGACTTCTACATCAACGGCTACCAGTTCGGCAAGTTCGTGCCATACGTGGGACCGCAGTTCGAGTTCCCCGTGCCGGAGGGCATCCTGAACTACGACGGCAAGAACACGCTTGCCATCTCGTTCTGGGCACTAGAGGAGGGTGGCGCGAAGCTGGGCGGCGTCGAGCTGAAGCCCAAGGCCGTGGTGCTGAGCGCGCTACCAAGACCGGGCCTTAGTCCGCAACCCAAGTGGATGCTTAGACCGGATGCGTATTAATGAAGGAGAACCTTTTCCAGTTCGCCTGGATCTAATGGACTTATCTAATGGACTTATCTAATGGACTTGTCTATGATTTAATTTTCGTCGGCTCGGCCGACCTGCTTTGCTGCACTTCCGCGCTTTCGAGCAACCTCTGGACACCCTGTCCAGCGACAGCTTCCCGTGGCTGCGCGGCTCTCTTAGAAAAACGGTGTTCAGGTTTGTCATCCAGGAAAGCAAGGACTCTGGAACGGTGATGGCCATGAATTTCCATCGTGGCCCTAAACCACCCTAGTAGAACCCGAGTGGATCAGCCCATTTCCGCAAGTTCTTTTGACATCTCAATGTCTCAATATCCTCCAGCTCAGGACTCTCATGACAACTTAGATCGGTCCCATCACACAACCTATGTTGAAAGCGACAATCGTTGGTTTATAATAGTAGTGGATGAAAGACTAGAATATTTAACGGATCACTGCCACATCCTTGTCCTTAAAATCTTTGGTGTTAATATTGCCGAGTGCCACTAGCCAACGGATGAACGGTCTTATTAGCTTTCAGCGCCTGAATTATGTGGACGTAATATTTTAGAAGGCAAGCGCGAATAACATAAATATAGATGTGACCCCGGTTCCTCAAAAGCAGAAACTACTCGTAATAAGAGACAACTAAGTTCGAAGAGGAAATATATACTAGAGATATACCAGGACTTGCCTAATACTGCTTATTTAAATCTAGGCCTCAAAAATGACCTCTACTCCCAGTAGAAAGAATATAAGTCTGCAGTGGCCATAGGTCGAGACTACGCTGCTAATATAATTGGCGTTCTTATAGAGGAGCGCAAGCTCTCCGAGGATATAGCCAAAGAGATCTACTAGGAAAAGATCAGTGACCGTCGCCGACTTTCGTGAGATTGTCGCTAATACTAAGGCTCGAGATGACGTATTCGTGGACACGAAGCGGTATCTAGAAGGTCTACTATACAGTCTGAGGGGAAATATGGCTTATAGTATCGAATGCTCTAGATACTATCAGTGGTCTTCGTATAACGAGCGTCAGCTTGATGGGATGAAGAATAGTATTCCCAAGAGCCCTGAAAACCTTCTAAAATTCAATAGGGAGTCCAATAGGCTAGGCAATGGTACAGAGAAGACTGTCTTCAATAGACATGTGAATAGCAATAGTAGTATCTATATTCTATCTACTAATAGTGTCACTTATACCTTAGTGTCCAATGGTACTAATAGTACCATAGGCCTCAAAGATCCGCTCAGCCTGGACGTCGACACTGACTTAGTGAACTTTTTGCACAGAAGGATTACAAAGTTATTAGTGCCCCAAAGCTGCATAAGGGAGAATTATATCACTCGGCGCCCAAGTTAGGAGCTAATGGTGATATTACCACCCAGAAAATCCCGGAGATTGAAACTAAGGTTAGTACCGACATCCAGTTTACAAGGTGTTCACAGTATACTAAAAAAGCCGATATAGGTAATACAAGCTCCTTACGACTATATTAGCTCTCTACCATCAAAAAGAGTCCGTGATCAAGCGATCGACGCTTTACATATCCAGTGCCGTGTCCCTACTGCGAAGGTTGACCGAATCAAATTAGTAACCAATATACTTTATAACACTTCTTTGATGTAAATTCCTAATCTAATACCCGTCTAAGAGTACTAGCTAATAAGTAAATATGTTAGATAATATAGAAGATCCCTCAATTCTTCCGCGCGTAGAATGATCAATATATACGATCTTCGGAGCTGGCCAGACGGTGAATACGGCTAACTACCCAATCATTCGTACTCTGGAAGAGGTACAGAAGCCTAGGGACAAAGAAAGCGTGTTAGTTTTCACAAGTGAGTTGCCAGCTATTCTAATCGTCGGAGGATGAAAATTGATTTACTCTAGCAGAGAAATTGAAGAATCTCTATATCGGTCAGAGCTTGGATCTATATTGGGCTAATAACGTAATCTGTCCGACTATCGATGAATATTTCCGTAGGGTCGAGCGCAGTAAGTCGAGAGATATAGAAACAAACGTTATTGAACGCCACGGAGAATAATAAGTGCGACAGAAACCGATGGGCTGTTCAGACTCTCCGGTCATCCATATGATGCTTTCCGCTCCATCCAAAATTGTGATCCACAATATCTGGACTCGACGGTTGGTCAATAACCAGGCCAGTCTCTCGTATAAGTAGGCTATCCTGGAGGTAATGAAAACAGGGGGAAGCCTGCAGTTTACAGAAGACGCGTTGGACGTTTTACACGCCCAAGTAGACAAGAGTATTTCCGACCTCGAGGGCAAGTTCGGGGCCCAAAACTTTCAGTTGAAACTAATCCTGGAGATGCTGCGGAAGAATTAGGAATTAGGGAGTTTCAGCCAACTTTCCGTGTCTGTTTTAGTTCATCTATTGCGTATTTTTCTTTTCTGGCTCATAAATTCATAATCTGTTTTATGATGGTTTGCTGCTGGCGACACCATTAGTTAGTGATGTGAATAGATTCGCATATAAAGCATCGGCCCTCTCTTTCCACCTACTAGGATCAGCAGTTAGCTATGTATTTCGGCGAGTGTGGTGATCAGACCGGTGCCATTTTGAGTTCGCGACGGGCCGTCTCATAATGTATAAAACTGTAATCACCAGTAGAGGGCCAAGCACTAGACTAGTTGATAAGTGTTTAAGTACACCCACTCCGATGATTCGCTTATGCATGTATATCACGCAAGCCGCCCAACAGTCATTCGCATATGCTAAGGCATGTTACATAACCCTGTATTAGCCTAACATAAGCATCGCGGAATACGGGAGGACCTACATAAACGAGAGCGCGGGGGGAATGAGATCCAATGCCATCCAACGCCATCCCACGCTAACGGAACGCCTCGCCTCCTTGTTCTTTGAACACGCCACCGACCAGTAAACCCCTGTTCGAACCCCTGCGAACCAAAATACTGAACCACAGCCAAACTTCTGCACGATGCCGGACATAGGAAGTAAGAGACTATGTCCGTATCTGCGGCCTTAAAACCGCGACCCCTGCATGTCGCTTCCTCTATCAGCATCGAAGTCTTTCCCGTTCACGAGAACAAATGTCAGAAATTCTGTATCTTTCACGTCTTTATTATCTCTGATTTCTCTCCACTTGGCAACTTAATACCTACCCACGGTCTCTCTCTCTCTCTCTCTCCATTTTCTCTCCATTTTCTCTCCCCCTCGTCGGCACGAAAAAGCAGCGGTAGCATGGTCTCGTCAAAGTCGGATTTGCGCGCGGTAGTGTCTGCAGCCCCAGCTGAAGCTGAAGCCGAAGCTAACGGGCGGTCCGCGAACTGCTCGCCTGGTGAACATCCCTCAAAGCTCTCTCAAGTCGGTTTTAGCCCTGGCTCCCTCTCCTTGGGGGATGAAGAGAAACAGGTGGTCGCTCAAGTTGGAGCGACCTCTACAGATTCTTCAACGTCGCTGGCCTCAAATATTGTCGACTGGGACGGTCCCGATGACCCTGGAAATCCAGTCAACTTCAGTGGTCTGATTAAAGGCACTAATGTCGGAATCGTGAGCGCGCTGACTTTCATTACTCCGCTCGCGTCGTCTATGTTTGCGCCTGGTGTGCCTGTGCTCATGGAGGAATTCCATACCACGAATACGCTGTTGGGCTCGTTCGTGGTGTCGGTCTATGTGTTGGGTTTCGCCATTGGGCCGCTCATTCTGGCGCCGGCCTCGGAGCTCGTCGGGCGAGCCATTATTTACCATATTTGCAATCTCGGCTTCACGGTGTTCACCATTACATGCGCCGTGAGCACGGATATAGGAATGCTCATTGTCTTTCGGTTTTTCCAGGGCTGCTTTGGCTCGGCGCCGGTTGCAAATGGTGAGCGGCTTCTTTGTTTTATTCGATGCCCTACCCCGTAGCTAGATCCGATGTACTGATACTCCACGCCCCCCGCTATAGGCGGGGGTACGATTGCGGATCTCATCATGCAGGAAAAACGGGGAGGCGTCATCGCTATCTATGCCCTCGGTCCCCTGCTCGGTCCGGTCATCGGACCAGTAGCAGGAGGGTACCTGACCGCAGCCAAGGGCTGGCGTTGGGTCTTCTGGGTTCTCACTATGGTGGGCGGATTCTGCACTATAGTGTCCTTTCTCTTCCTGCGTGAAACCTATCCCACCGTCCTCCTAAAGCGCAAAACGCAACGCCTCATCAAAGAAACCGGCAACACCAACCTCCGCTCTAAACGAGACAACGGCCTCTCCACCGGTCAGCTCTTCCTCCAAGCCCTTACCCGCCCATCTAAAATTCTATTCTTGTCGCCGATCGTCTTCGTGAGTTCGATTTACGTGGGTATAGTCTACGGGTACCAGTATCTCATGTTTTCGACCTTCACTGAAGTCTTTGAGGAGCAATACCAATGGCCAACTAAATCCTCCGGTCTAAGCTTCCTGGGAATTGGTATTGGTTCGCTCCTCGGACTGTTCGTTATTGGCGCTGCATCGGATCGTATTCTCAAGGCCAAATCAAAGCCCACCCCGGAGGCTCCCTCAGGTGGCATGCAGCCGGAATACCGTCTCCCGCCGCTGGTCGTGGGTGCGTTCTTCATCCCGGCGGGTCTGTTCATGTATGGTTGGTCTACGTATCACAAAGCGCACTGGATCGTGCCGGTCATCGGCACTGCTATCATGGGAATAGGCAACATTGCTGTTTTCATATGCATTATGAGTTACCTGGTCGATGCCTTCACGATTTACGCGGCCAGTGCGCTGGCTGCCAACACGGTCGTGCGTAGTATTATGGGTGCATTGTTGCCCTTGGCGGGACCGGCTATGTATGACTCGATAGGACTGGGATGGGGGAATAGTTTGCTGGGATTTATTGCCGTGGTGTGCATTCCTGTGCCGTGGGTGATGATGCGGTATGGAGAGAGGATGCGGCTGGCATTTGATGCGAGTAAACTATAGATAGGGCGGTTAAAGGACAGATGTTGAGGAAATTGGCGTGTGTCGACATACGTAGGGCAAACTTGACACGGTATCCATAGTGTCTAATTATCTCCGTTGTTGTCATCTCTAAATGGTAACGTAGCTATGGCCACGTCCCTCGTTCTCTCCAGGCCTGTCATTCTGATGTTCTTCTCCGCGGTTCCCACTCTGATCGCCTCGTCTTCCAATTTCACCTGAGCAATCATCGTCGTCCTTGCTACGCCCTCAATACTACCCACTACAACGGCTGTCTTTCTTCCCGATTCATCAAGAACCCATTTCATCGGCCCGGGTGGCAATTTCCCCTCTTCTTTCCACTCTAAGCCAGATTGAATCCTGACATCCAAGTCGAGCGGCGTGCCATGTTCCCAGGCAAACTCTCCACCAAATCTACTCGGAATACTCTCCGTATCAATGTACTTCGTCGGTTTTGGCATCATCTCGCTCGCTGGCACAACTACCACCTTGCCCACTGTCCCTGGGTCTAGCCACTTCCTCATAATACCCCACATCCATCCAAAATATAACGGGGCATTGAGGACCTGAGAAGGCGCTATTAGTTCCCGTGCTATCAGCGTGTATGGAAGGCGGACAAAAAGGAAACGAAAAAGAAAATTTCCACGGGAGACACACAAAAAGCCGACCAATAATCTCCGGATACCCCATCATAAATAATTGTCCAATGTCACTGGTATAGTTCTTGATATCCCAACCTTGCTTCATTGTGAAGGTACTAAGGTCCACGAGATATTTTGCGCTGGTGATCGGGATGCTAGGCCGCGGTCGGTCCTTCATCAAGCTACATATCTACGGCGGCAGTGTAACTGCTCGTGAGGACAAAGCATTTCACTGAGGGGGCTCGGGCGGCGCTCTCGAGAGCTGCCTGCAGGGCATTGAGGCCCGGTGGGATGACCTGGGTGTGGTCCGCGTTCAAACTGGTATCGGCGGCCATGTAGGCGATGCCATCGACGTCTTTGATGAGAGCATCCATAATACCCAGTGCAGAGAGACTGGGCACGACAAGGACGTCGAATTTGCCCGTGGGGTAACGTGTCTTGACTGCCTTTGTGATCCAGGAGGCGCTCTCAGGCCTTCGTACGGTGCCTCTGACTGCGTATTCCCGTTCGACAAGTTCTAAGACCAAATGAGATCCGAGAAAACCATTCACCCCAGTGATGAGAACAAGGCCCCCGGGAGGAATGATAGACCCCATTTGTAGCTGTGGTGTGTATGTGGAAGATGGGGATGGGAGGACAGTGGGAAATTGGCTTTCTGTGGACTTAAAGAACTTCAGGGGGCCACGCCCGTTCTCCTCTATAAACGCATCCACCTCCAAATGAAAACCTGTACCGAAGCATCTTACTGCCTTCTATAGGGTCAGGATGGTCGAATTAACCTCCAATAGGCTCCCTATATGCAGCCTACCAGGTTAGGTAATATCCCAGTCGGGCGGGCGACAGACAATCTGCACCTCACTTTTGGCTCCATTCATCTTCTCTTTCCCGGATAGCGCCTATATGTAGGCCTCGCTATGGTGCGGTTCCGGTTCCAATATCTAGGACCGCGCATCGCACCTCATATTTTCGCGGTTCCAAAACTGTCGCACCGCACCGCGCCGCGGTTCCTTGCGGTTTTGACGCGGTTAGACCTCACCCAAACCCGCGGGTTACCCACGGTTTGACAAATAATACGCCACAACACTGATGGTAAGGACCTACGTGATCCGGTAGAACGGTCGATAGTCGATTAGTAGAAAGGCCGTGGCGCTTTCTACTATTCTACTATCTACTCAACTACAAAAAGAGGAGGACAAGATATATAAGGACGCTTATTCCTGTACCTAGCTTAGTTCTTCGCGATCAATCCTACATTGTTACTTGGAACCACCTTGTTAGTATTTACAGTTCGACTTCGTTAACAACTATCGTACAATAAGGGGAGCTACTTCGGTACTGACCTTATTGGCGCTCTACCTAGCATATCCTGCAAGACGACTCTATAGACCCGAGCCCGTGTAAAGCCTAACGGACTAGGAAACGGTACAGTTGCAAGTCATTCTCTTGGGACCCACCGCCAGTGCCAAGAAGGTCGAACCCAGCCTACTTAGTACATATCGTTATTCTCCCCTATAAGAATAACCACAACCACTTAGTACGTATACCTTCGCGCACGCAACTTACCGTGACCAGTTAGCAACGCTTAATATATAATTTAGGGATAAAAGGATATGAATTTAATCTAAATAATACTATAATAAATCGTTTAATTTAGATAAATATACGATTAATAGAGTGGTTGACGTAAATAAAAATTTATATGCTTATATTTACCAAAAGGCACCACCTCCGTCTTATGCTAAATATATATTTCAACAATAACCTAAAAGATTTCTTATAATATCACATTGCCACCACTGTTGAGGATAAGTCTAAGACGATCCACGGGCACCTACATGTAGGCTTTTTGCCGTAGGGGGATTTCCAACAACCATAACCCTACGGTCGCACCCTTCTAAACCATGTAAATAATTGAAAACTACTATTATTAAAATGAATATATAAGCTAATTTCTCTATATTTTGAGTACGTGAAGAGGAATTCAATTATTTAATATAGTAGTAAAGATATTTTAAAAATAGTATAATTTCCTCTAAAATTTAAAGAACGCTAGTATATTTATAGTCAAGCGCTAGCAAGCTTAGATTAGTAGGGGTTAAGAAGTACGCTATACTTTTAACGTAGACCAATTTTAGGAGCGCAACAAATCGTCGTCAATGATTGAGTGGAATGACTGAAAGTAGACCGAGACTTAGGAAAATATAAACTTCTTCATTCTATAGGCTGGTCTGGATCAACGTGGCTGGCTGTTAAGAAGGCTGCTAAAGGCACTATCTTTCTGGCCAGCAAGTTCCCTAGGTCTACCAGTCTCTATCACCTTTCCCTGATCGAGAACGAAGACTAAATCATAATCCATGAGTGTGTGGACACGGTGTGCCACGGTGAGAACCGTGCATGAATGAAACGGCTCACGTTCCAGAAGGGCCTGAACACGAGCGTCCGTTTCCATGTCGACACCGCTAGTTGCTTCGTCGATAAGCAGGATTTTGGCATGGCTTGCTTCTATCTTCAGTATCGCACGGGCAATCTCCAGCAATTGTTGTTGGCCCCTCGATAGAGATAGAGTATCAGTTATCTCAGCCTCCAGTCCACCCCTGTCGTCCAACACGCCCTTCCAGATCCCTACTCGGTCTAGGGCCGCGATGATATCTGCATCGGGGAGTTTTCCAGTGGGGTCTGTGTTCAACCTGACTGTACAGCCCACCATGATGAATGGATCCTGGGGAATGGTGACGAGCCTTTCTCTGACCATTTCAGGTGGAAGGGTAGCAAGATCAACGTTGTCGATCAGAATTGATCCATTCGTAATGTTGAGCATGCCCAAAATTGCGGATAATAGAGAGCTCTTTCCACTAATTGCTCATAACAGAAGGAGTCAGGCCACATACTCAATATTTCACCGGATAGGATACGCAGAGCTGATACTTACCTCCCAGTGCGCCCACAAATGCCAATCCTTTGACCAGGAGAAGCCATGAGAGAGAAATTCTTCAGAGCAATAGCTTTCGAACTATTCAGTCTCATTTTAGCGACCGGAGTGAAAGACAATTCATCTGTCTGTGAAATTCTTACTGGTACTGTGCATTAACTCCCGAGACATGAATTGCGCCCCAGGCTGGCCAATCACTAGGTGGTTCCGTTTTTCCGCTTGTCACTTCGCGGATAACCTCCATTTCAAAATCCCTGACTCGTGAGATTGAACCAAGTGATATCTCGAGTTGGGTCCAGCCCGATATTAAAGATGAGAGACTTCCGTTGAATGCTTAACGAAGTTTAGTCAGACGGGCAAAGAGAATAGGTTGAAGCATTTGATAGGAGAAGAATGAAGAGCAGTTCCAGGGGTACGCATGACTTACAGAGGATGCTGTTTAGTGAGACACCAAGTAATCCCACACTAGTCCTTTGCCTCAAAGATACCACTAGGCTAACGACAATAATCGCTTGTGCGGCAACAATCAGGTCCAGGACCAGATTAAGCCAGCGTTGGATGCAATTCAGCATATAGTACGTGCGTTGAGTGACATCTAATAGTCTTGAATTCTTGTTCTGGAAGTCTTCTTCCCATCCAAATGCTTGAATTGTAGCAAGGCCGTCGACTGTATCAAGAAAATGAGAGTACAGTGGGCTTTTGCTTTCCAGATCCAGAAGTCGAAGCTGTCGTGAAGTTTTTAGATAAACATGCTGTAGCAAAAAGACAGCAAGTATCAGGAAAGGAAGGGAGATAGCCACGTATTTCGATCCCGTAGCAATGAGTGCAGCGCTAGCAATTGACGAGAAGAGATCTGTAATCGTAAGAATGCATCTCCCCAAAGTAAAGAGTGCCCATTATAATCGATAGATCTCATTGTGAGATTAAAGTGGGTATGGGGCAAATCGTGAAAGATGTAGGGAAGCGGGACTTACTTGAGACAGTGATCAACACGCCGATAGGCAATTGACTTTCTATGAGGGTCATGTCTTGGCTGAATCGGTTCAATATTGACCCAGTTTCAACTGTTGCAAGGAATTCCGGTGTCGCCCTTCAAAGATCAGCAGCGGACGAAGACCGGAAAAGACAGAACTTAATATACCGTATAATAGTCTTCAGTACGACATAGTGAAGAGAGCGTGCCGTTGCAGGCGAAATCAGGATCAAGATAGCCCTTCTAAAGTAAGCAACTGATACTTTATGACTCAGTTCAATGGAGACCTCATAACATACCAAATGTAGCCACCATTCCCGATCGTGTTGCAAATCGCGAGGATGAAGTATATAGTGACATAGAGCGGCTTATGACCTCCGCCGCGGTTAGCCCACTGCTCCAGCCAGATCTCTATGTGCAAACCAATGTCAGTCATGTAAGGAGTAGTATAACGTCAAGTTTCACCTACGGCTGTATGTACTGGAGAAGACATTAATAGTCACGAAGAAAACAAAGATCATAGCCTTCGTCCAGCCAATGTAGCGCAAATAGTACCTATAAACAGCCGAATCTCCCGTTGCTCTTCTGAGATCATTCATATCATTCGCTTTAGATATCTCGGTTGCTTTGTCTTTCATTGTCAATGCTGGGCTTTCCTCTAAGCCCTCATCTGCTGCAGCGTCCGGTAGCAAAGCTTGGTATACGGTTTCCTCGCGGGCCTCTTCCCGGTAAAGATTCCCGTCCGAAAGAACCAGAACCTTGTCCGCATAAGATAGATGTTCAACTATCGAGTTGTCAGTACACAACACTAGGGATTGGTGGCATCTAGGCTGTCAAAGGGAGCCCTACTGTCGTGAGTCACCAACACAACGGTCGAAATTGTTCTTCGCAGCAGTCCGTCAACTCCGAAAAGACGCTCCATGATGACAGCTTTTGTTTTCAGGTCTAGTGCACTGAGTACATCATCCAACAACATAAGTTTCCTACGAGCATACACAGCCCGTGCAAGGGAAATCCGACTCATTTGACCGCCGCTGAACTGATTCCCGGATCCATTGCCGATTTGCGTGGCATCACCCTCGGCAAACAATTCCAGGTCTGGAAGCAAAGCACATGCATGAAGAACGTCCGCATACCACTCGTAATCAATAGTTGGAGTGGTTAATGGTCCAGTAGAGGTTACCCCACAAATTGCGTCTCGGATGGTCCCCTTCGGGATCCAAGGGATTTGCGCGCAAAAGGCCGGGTTTTGAATTTTCACTGTAGTCACCCCTTTCTCGCAAACTGCTTGGCCAAGTATTGCCCGAAGCAGTGTGGTTTTCCCGGATCCCACTGGTCCCCGAATAATTACTAGTTCTCCTGCTGTGACTTGAAGACTGATATCCCGTAGTACTATCTTTGCCGATGGAACTGGGCGGATATTGACTCGTTCCATAGATATGACGGGGAATATGCGATCGGCAATGCCGCGGTTCAACAATGATATAGGCTGCAGCTCACCAGAGCTATCGTTCGTGTGTATGTAAGCTTCTTCCGTGGTACTAGAAGTGGTATCTGGCTTAAGCTGACCAGTCGGCACCATGAGAAATGCTTGGATTCTATCGAAGCATCCCGTAGCTGCCGCCGTGGAAGGGACCGCACTAAGCAGCTTAGAGGCCGGGTCAGTGAGAAGTGTTATGACTGATAAACTGCTCAGGGCCTTGATAACATCAAGTTCCTTTCCTTGACCAGCGTAGACTGCGAAGGTCAAGGCTGGTGCTAATGCCCATGGTAGGTTCTGGATCATGTTTTGCCAAACGACACTCCATCGATATTTGGCCATTTGATGGGTTTCTTGGACTCGTTCGTTCTGTATGAGATGAAGAAAAGTGTGACTCAACCCCATCCGTTTAACAGTTTGGAGATCACCCAGCATTGAACGGGTGATTGCGATGCGCTGTTGAACAGCATCAACCCATACTTTCTGCTGCCCCCCAATATTCTTCGAAATATATGTACTCCCTACACTAGATACTATGTAAAAATATCAGCAGCCAGTAGCGTGATGTGAGGTGATTGGGATACCCACTGATCACGATAATCAATGGCATCAGACAAACCCATCCTATACGAAGAGCAAGCAGCGAAATGCCAATCACAACCTCGATGGTACGAGCCCAGCATTCATTTAAAGTCACTAGGCAAGCGATAATCCGGTCAATGTCTGTGGTCATAAGAGTAATTGTGGCCGAACGATCCTCCAGTGTCCCATCGGGGATACGCAGCGCATGGTCATAGATCATCGACGAAGTGGCCCCTCGGAAAATTGTCGTGAACCGATTCAGCATGTGGTTATAAGACAGTGTGGAAAGAGCCATGCCTAGGTATATGAGAATAGTGACACCGATAAGGCCGTAGCCATCGTTCATCGCGGCATGTGGATCATCAAGCCAGTTGAGCATGGAAGTGATCAGGAAGGGTTGCGCAAAAGTAAACCCTATCAAACACAATCGAGGAAATACCACTAGTGCCAATGAGCCCTTGAGAGCCCGGCACATCTGCACTGGGAATTCGAAGCGGCGTGCTGGGCGTTGGCGTTCGACCCAAGCTCGCAGCGCCTTCTCGGCCGCGCCCGAAGACTCCAGAGGCTTATCCAGAACATCCAGATCCCCCACAGTGAGCAAAGATCGGAAACCAGCATGAAAAAGACGATTCAACCACCACATGAAGGACCGGTTCAAGATACCACTCGTTGACTCTGGTGGTAGATCACGATACGTACCAGTGAGGTACTTCTGCTTCCCCAAACTCTCCAGAAGCAGCATCGTCGTCTTTGCAGCCACATTAGCCGTAAATAGGCTGGGAATGACACTTCCAGCGCGAGACAACCAAAGAGTTCTGGTTTGCACAATATCGAAGAGTAGCGTGAGGAAAAGATAGATGGCGAGGAGTGATGACGGTTTGACTGATCGCTCATCCTCCATCCACGATAAAATTAAAATCTCCATTGCAACTGCCAGATTGACCGCGCCAGATGCCACGGAGACGTTTGTATGGGGCGTAACGTTCTGTGCCCAGCTAATAAGCAAAGCGAGTTGAATCGCTGCAAACGCTAAGGTAGTTATCTGTGCTGCGATATAAGTCGGACCTTCTAGGTAAAGGTGTGAAGGTTCTCACCAGCTTTGCAGATCTCAATATATTAAATTGGATTCGGACATCGCGTTTAGCGAGAATTTGTAGTCGAACAGGAGAAATCATGAGAAATGCGACCGCAGGAACGAGGCCGAATATGGCCTGCTCGAACAGAAGGGTGAAATCAAAGCCATCGCGGCACGCAGGATTCATCACAGGGCCGAAACCATTGCCCGCCTCAACCGAGCAGCCTGAGGGCATCATGCTGTGTCTATCTCTCTGAGTCCCATGAAAAAGAGAAGGGAAATATGGGAAGCTGACAAATTTGAATGAGCTGACTAACTAACTAGAGGCCACGTAATGGAGACTTTATGAGATATGTTACTCCGTACATATGGTGCTTTTGATTTGATTTGATTTGATCTATTTTTAGTTTATGCCGTCGGATCTCCGAGGCTATTCCAAAGATTAGTTTAAAAATACTGTAAGCCTGAAATGCCTGTAAACTATCTGCCACGCTTAGTACTCTTCCCCCGAACCTAAATAAGCGAGCTTTAGCACCCCCTTAGCTTCACACAACATCTGTCTTTCCCAGCCACTTTCTGCACTTTCTGTATCTTCTACCCTATTGTATCGGCTTCAAAATAATGACGGATGCGACACGATTGAAGAGCAAGAAAATCTGGCGTACCGTGTGGTCTGGTCAAATTGAACCCGTGGCTCGAGTCTGACTGCTCTAATCTACACATCGCTAGCGAAGTATATAGCAAAATCATGTCTTGGTCCTCAGGGTGGCACGTAGGTTTCCAGCAGTGCAGCATGGGACAAGCAGGGCTATATGCGCTTTGTCATTCTCCTGGTGTGAATGCGACAGTTGCCAATGGCAACCACCACACATGCTGTGGAAAATGGCATACTGCTGAGTCGGATGATACTTGTGCCAGCTGGGCAGCACTTGCGTGCAAGAATCGATTACTTCCTCCTGTTCCTCAAGGTCAATCCGCCATTTGTAGCGGACTTTATTCACTCCTTGTGAATGACGCGGTCCTCTTCCGAGAGAAGGTCTTGCGGCACCCCCGCGGGAATATGATCGATGATTGGGTCTGCGAATGTGGCCAGGGCGTAGTCCTGGGGTTTCTTGGTTAGTGGGTGGAGATCGTTGAATGGATGAATGGGTAGGTGGGTAGATAGGGAACGTTTCGCCTGTATTTCAAAGCGCGATCCATTTCTCGATAAGGATTATTTTCTGCTCGTTTTGGGAGAGCAGGGACGCGGCGTCCCAGCTTGTCTAAGCAATTGGAGAGCTAGGTATGGACTTGCTGTAATGGATGTGTTCTGAGGGGTGCTTACTAGGACGAAATGATCGAATAGGAGGTACACGAATTCGGAAAGGTGGAGGCTTTCTCTCATTATTGTTCTTGTTATTGTTGTTGTTGTTGTTGTTGCTGTTAGTGCTATACGATTTGTGGTCATTTTTCAAAGCAGTTAGGACCGCACCACGGTCCCCCGCAATCCTTTACGGTCCCTCGTACGATTCCCCGCAAATTTATAATTCCCCCAAGAGCTTCCTTTTCTGGCCGTATAAACGGATTATTTAGTTATGCAACTGTGTCTTATCATATAAGCCGTCACGCTTCTCAGCCCACTTCCTATAGCACAAGGCGTTCTACTCCGCTAGAAACGAGATAGTTACCGTCCAGAATTCCTCCCACGTTCACGCCTCACAACTTAAAAGTGTTTCTTCTTATAGGTTTATGGCGGTCAAGAAATTCTACTCGGGAGAAATCGGCGTCAGAAGTCCAGTGACATTTGCTGAGGAGAGAAGGGTCTGCGTACATGTATTATGTCTTCCCCAGGACCCCTGCTCTATTCCTGGATATATGGCAAGGTGTAGATCACCCGGTTGGATCATTCGATCACAACCTGGAAGTCGGCATTTCGCACCATGTGGAGAGTTCGGAGGAGACTCAACGAAAAATAATGGCAGCGCAGTATAAGCCGCAAGAAATGTTTGCCGACTTGGTGTGGTTTCGAGGCCTAGATGTTGAATGGGGCGCTTTTTCTCCAGTGACACGATATCGTCTAGCACGGGATGGACTAGTGCTTTCTCACTTGAAGACAATTGGTTCATCGCGAGCACGTCAAGTTCAATGTCTGCCTACTGTCACTTTCATCTTCAATATTGATCTGAGACATCCATCAAAGAATGAAGCTTTCAGTTCGTGCACAAGTGACCCCCAAAGCTGAGTGCTACTCTCAAACCCTCAAACAAACATAATAGTGGAGCCACAAGCTCCCACAGTCCGAGCCAATGTAGGGATTTCAAGCATTGAACTTCCAAGGGTTAGCTCCAATAGATCGAATTCAAGGGATATTATTTTGACATACTTGGGCCGCAATAATACCATCATGGGACTCAATGGTCTCACGGTACACAGCGACTCAAATGTTGTATTCCCACTGTACTGCTGATTCATGATGACGGGGGCGGAGATGAGTTCATTGCAAGTGATGCTTGTCGTAAAAGCATCTCCACACGCGGAGGGAACCTTTGCAGGAGTAGTATTGAACAACTATAGGGCTCATGTCAGGAAGGACAGCGCTGGAACCATCAAGACGAACCCAAGATAATGAACTTGAATCACGAAATTTATTTGGAGTCCAAGAAGAAAGGCGGACTTGGTGTCGAAAATGAATCAGAGTAGGCGGGCTGGGACTTCATCTAGGAAGGGGTTAGGGGCCGGGGGGTGGGGGGCACTGCGCTATAACCACTTGGTGCTAACATTCGAAGCGACCACGGCTATAATAACCCGTCGTCTCATCGTAAAATCGTAGACAAGCTGAGTGTGAATACCCTAAGTGATGAATAACTAGCAAACGCCTTATCAAAATCAACGCCCGCTTTGGAGCGCTTTCGCTAATCCCCCGGATTGCACTCGGTCTCTGGAATATAATGAATCAAAATTTTAGATTTTGAAATAAATGCTATGAAAACCTTGCGTAGTGTGTATTGTAGCCTGTTCACAGTCTTGCCTTGTAGGTCTGCTGGACACCCGATGTTTCGTCGTGTATAGATTCCTCTGCCATAGCTATGGGAACCGCATCCAAATCTTGCAAAGCTTCCGCAACTAGATTAGCAACATCAGCCGCACATCCGAATGACAGGCTCCATCCCGCACCGCCCTGTCCATATGAATGCACAATGCGGCTGGGGTACGATCTTGGACATGTTCCCGTTCCATACAACCTGTTTCCTTCTAAGCTCCCGCTCCACCCGCACATTTTTTTCACGAAATGGACGCAGCCCTTGCATCAGTGGGTATTTAGGGTCCACACGGGCTTTCTTGAGCTGCGGGAAGAATGCTTCGCATCGATTGCGCATCCGTTTGATGATCGGAGTATCGATGGTATGATCGAGATTCCACTTGTGTGACTCAGCGATTCCGCCAAGTAAAAGGATGTTATCGTTACGGGGGACGATAAAAACGATCTCATTAGCGTCGTGGGCGGCATCAGCTGTGATGGTCATAGCTTGATTTATCTTCGGGAAGTCGGTCCCATCATTGATGACACGAATCAACGCCCCCCGGATCGGGTAACAGGACATGTCCCCAGCCGTTTCGGCGCAGGCTAAGCCGGTAGCATTGACGATAACATCGGCGCTGAAGCGTTCTAGCAGTGCATTTTCTTGGGCGAAGAGATCGCCATGAATATATTCAGTGACGAGGCGGGCACCCTTAGCTTGCACCAGCTCCATTAGCCACCTCATCGCACGGTCCGTATCAATAATCGGCGCAAGATGCTCATATGCGTCGACAATTCCGTATGCGCTATTGACATCTGGAACTCGAAGAAGGTGACGGTCGCGAAAAAATCCCCGGATCCCGCTCTTCTGAATTTCTTCCATCTTCTGCAGCTGAGCAGGATCATCCTCGATGGGATCGGCAAAGAAGAAATGTGAACGCTTCATCCTCACACCTGAAACTGCAGCCATTTCTGGATCAGAAGCGATGATGTCCCATATTTGATATACCACCATGCACCATCTCTTGGAGTTACAGAGAGAGGCTGTGTCTGTGTGTTGACCACAGACTCCCGGAGGATACTCCCACAGTGCCCCCGCAATTTGAGAAGTAAGTCGTTGCGCTTTGGTCCATGACGCCCATTCTTTCGAGACAATCGTTACGTGATAGCCTCTATCAAGGAGGACCCAGGCGCTTAAGAGCCCTGTGACTCCACCACCAACTATCAGAACAGTGGGTGAGGATGTACCGGCTGCTTCCAAAGGGTCTGAGGCCAGGGAAAGGTTCTCGCTCAGGATAAGCGGGGAGACACGGTGCTGTGACATTTGAAATCATAGAAATTGGTCCGTAGAACACGTATTAAATTGCATCCAGGGAATAATATGAAGTATTAATGTTCATGGGCGCGGTGTATAGCTTATCTATCCCCCCATGTTCGTTTTCTGAACCACGGTGTCCAGAACTCGTTGCGTGGAGAAGGACAGACGGTGCTTTGGGATACGGCGGGATAATGGACAGCTTGCTCCGATAAATAGTACCAGACAAGGTTTGACTTCATGGGGCCAAATCCGGGGAAAAAAGTGGGAGATCCGGACCTAGTTATCATATGGTATAGCAGGTATATCGTATAGATGTTACATCGCATAATAGTTGCGGCATATATACGAGCAACGTGCGTTCCGCCAACCATTCAAATCCTTCTTTTCTGGCGTTTTGGTGGAAAACCGAGCGCATCAGCTGCACGGGCCCACCCGGAGTGTGACTTTTCGGCTGGGCCATCTAGCCGTCTCATTTGACTTCACGAAGTATCGAAGTGCATTAGCCGTCCCAAGGTGAAATCCTACTGACAGACCGCATGGGACATGAATCTGACCAGATGGGGTACAAGGGCTCCTTCAGTCGAGGAGATTGGGGGACTGCTCATTTTAACGAGTTCTAACTGAATGAATCTCACGTGTCGGGCCTCGGCTCCACAACCGGCACGCTTTTGGAGCAAAACGCTACAAAAGATCGAGATGGATACCTGTCCACGCATTACCCCAAAGAAACACGAGTGGTTTAGATAATAAATAACTGCGCACTGGGAGGTAGAGGAGAATTTCGTAGTAGCTGGCTGTACATGATACCATATATTGATATTCAATAAATAAAGTGATGAAAGGGCAAGAAAAGGAAGTCTGCCTGCTTGTATAAATGCTTGTTATCCAAGAAACAATACCTACAAGGAAGTTTTTGATCTGTTTACTATGATCAAAAGCAAACTTGACATATTGTCCTAGAGTAAGGTAAAATTCTAGCCCTATCGGTAGAGCATCTGCATTGTATGCCAGGCCACTTCATCAGATTTTGGTTTTTTCCAGAGGAGAAGTTGTCTTTTTCAAGTATTCATTGCCATGGCTTTTTTTCCAATCGCTGACTATCTCCTGTAACATCTTCGTCAAGATCCTCTCTTCCCTTTTGACATCTACCCTCTAGTTTGATACCGCTATTTGAACCGCTGGCTTGTCCTCCTACATACCCCCAGTGTGGCCTGGTCATATGGTAGTCTTGGGACCATGGGCTAGTTAGTGGAGGACTGTTTGTTTGTTCTAGAATGATTTGTGCAGGAAGCCTCGATCTATGCAGGAAGCTTCCTTTAGTTTGCAGGAAGCTAGAGGCTTCCGGAGAAGTGCCGTTTATGGCAAGAGGGGTTAAAAGAGCCCTCTTGCCCTGAATTCTCTCTCTTTCCTTTTTTCTTCAACTTGATGTTTTAGTTCTTTAGGACATAATTGAGATTCTTCCCCGCTTCTAGCTTGCCTAACGATAACACCTAGAAAGGTAAGTATATATAGACTCATTAATTAATCTCAGCAAGCTCTAATTTAAGCGTTCATCCCTCGCCCGAAACAAAGCAAGCATGTAAACCCGCTCTAGAAGTTGCTTCTTTGTGAGGCCCTTGCGCACTGGTCGCAGCTCAAAGTCAGGCGAATCTAACACAAAGGCGGCGACTGCCTAGCCACAAAGACCCGCGGGGCAAGCATATCCTTGTATCCGCTGCGGCCGTAGGCTACCAAAGTGGCATACACAGATAGAGCTCTTAGGCGCCGAGAATTTTTGATGCCAATATTGAACGGTGAGGGAATCTTCGAGTCCAATTTGGTGGCAAAGTAGGCAATTGGGGGGGGGGTCTCAAACATCGAGCCGGATGGCGCGAGAAGAAGAAGCCGCGGTCATACGGAACATTGAGAACCCTAAACCCTAAGCTTATGTCCATCACCAGTGATAGAATTGGCGAACCCAACACCCGCCGCTGCCGGCCCAAGATACGCGAATTCGCTCGTCGTGGGGGAGGGCAAAGACGAAGAGTCCGAATGCGGCGTCGACGTGCAGCCAAGCCTGATCCTTGTCACACAGGGCTCTCAGACTTACCATGCCATCTCCATCAGTGCCAAACTGGCCGGTCATGACCTCACCACAGGAGACAAAGACAATACTGGCGGTACGTGATGCCTGCAACTCTTTTTCAAAGAGGACAAACTCGATCTTCCTCTCTCACTCGGGAACACGACATACTTGATTGATTTTCGTCCCATCCCAAACAGATTCGCGACCATAACAATTTAGGAATACTGTCGGGTCACCAGAAGCTAGAAATTATTCACGCCAGCAGCAACACGGGCCTCCATCAGTCCGATTGTCCATAGGTCTGTGGCTCCTCTCTTCGCAAGACCATATTCCTGGCCACACGCAATGGCCATAAGATTGCTTACGGAGAATCCTGAGGTAAAGATACCTCTCCAGGTCTTGTCAAGGCCGACTAGATCTATTAGCAAGTCAGGGCCTTCAGCTCAATATCTGTGGCGAGTGTCTTTTGGGCAAATGGACCTGGACATTTTGGTCCGGAGCAGAGACGAGATTGTCTGCCAAAAAGGCTACAGCTGTACAGCCACCGGTAATGAAACCATAATACCGTGGAGAAAGACTTGAACAGGAGAGGCCTGGCGAGATATCATTTATCAGGTGGCTTGCAGTGGCATTGAGACCATATCCTGGGCGTGGCAAGGAAGCAGGAAATGTCTTGACTGCCTGTTCTAAGAGTCACGATTAATAGTAGGACAGGACCGTCCTTTCGAGGCTCAATCGTCTCTAGTAGCGCGGATTGGAATTTGAGAACTGTCTCCTTGAACTCCATAATCGAGAAGATGATAGTCAATTTTTGCGGATTCAGGGTGCGATGTGAATGCGAAAATCACTAAGACAGCGGTGCAATACCTAACGTAATTCCCAAGCGAGCCGCCCACCCCAAAACACCATATTAAATGCTGTTTTTTATAACCTTTTATCTCAACAACCAAAGCTCTAATTTATTCCAATAGAAGTACACTAGTATTGATAAGCATTCTTTATAGTGAATATTAATTTCAAGCCGATCAAAATGTCGTATACTCACAATACCATAAATTATGTTATATTAATTTCAAGCCGATCAAAATGTCGTATACTCACAATACCATAAATTATGTTGTAGGTTAGCTAAATAAACCAAAAATATATATATTCCGCTACCAAAATTTTCTAGACTCCATCCAAGTACTATGTTTATTGTATAGAACATGGCCTTAGAGTTTGCTATCTATAAGAGCCCCGACTGTGGAGATATAAGGTTGTAAAAAACAGCATTTAATATGGTGTTTTGGGGTGGGCGGCTCGCTTGGGAATTACGTTAATTGAACTTTGATTGATTGATTGATTGATTGATTAATTGATCAATACCTGTGTTTGCAATCCTGGTACATATCGTGTTTGAACGGCATGAACATTAGCTTATGTACATAGGTGCAGCAGTCCTCCAATCCTCCTTTGACATGGTAGTGGGGCATCCTGTCATTCAACGTGTCAATACTGGCGGGCACGCCGGGGGTCAGTGTGTCAGGATAGCGGAGGTGGCTTGCCACTATCCACGCCGTTCGGTGACACCCAGAACAGTTCCCACTGTGGGTGCGACCAAAGGGCACGAATAGTCAGTAATTAATTCCGCAATCTCACCGACCTGTTCAGCGTTACATCTGGACCCCAGTCGGCTGACGTGCTCAGTTACACTCGACACAAAGCGGGGTGTGGCTCAAGGGGTTTTAGGGCGCTGCGTACGGGGATGAAAAAAGAAAGAATTCCGTCCTAGAGCCCTGCTCAACTCGATCGGCACGGCCAGGAGGGTTTGACCAACTGTTGACCCAGGATCTCAGTTGCTTATCTCTGTGTGATCTCAGCGTTCGACCAGTAGAACCGAGGTACTGAGACTCCTGAGTGAAAGTGGTAGATGCGAAGAAGATCGAGCCACGCCCTGATCCTCCAGTGCTGTTCAATAAGCGGACCCGGTCCACTGTTTATCTTTCCCATGCTACCCCTATTTCTTCCTACTTTAGAGATGTCAGTGGTCAGGATGGCCAGCACAGGATCCGAAATTGAAATGTACAGAGTGGCCTCCCGTGCCTCTTGTTCTCTCTTAGAAGCAGCGTTCGCATATATCGCCGCCATAGGGTCTACATTACACACTATTACAGAACAGACACATAATGCGCCGAAATCTAACCACCCACCACCAAATGGCGGCCCCGTGGCATGGCTGCAAGTCCTCGCGGGCCACCTTTTCGTGTTTAACACCTGGGGCTATGCCAACAGCTTTGGCATCTTCCAAGCCTACTACGCCTCATGGCTCTCCCTACCTGCCTCTACCATCTCCTGGGTCGGTAGTGTCCAGGTGTTCCTCATTTTTCTAATCGGCTCGGTCTCAGGGCGGGCATTTGATACTGGGTATTACCGGCCAGTTTTGGGGATCGGGTGTGCAATGCAGATAGTGGCCGTCTTCATGACGAGCCTCTGCACAAAGTACTGGCAAGTTTTTCTAGCCCAAGGTGTGTGTCAGGGCCTAGGAAATGGCCTCATCGTCTGCCCAACAATTGCGTCGGTGTCAACATACTTCACCACAAAATGGACAATCGCCATCTCGACAGCTGCAAGCGGTGCTGCAATGGGGGAATTGTCTTCCCGATCATTGGGGAGAAGCTACTGCCTCAAATTGGCTTCCCCTTGACTGTTCTGGTTATGGGCTTCGTGGTGCTGGTAAATGCGGCGATAGTGGTGTCCACCACCCGAACGCGACTCCCATCACGCAAGACAGGCAGGATAGTCGAATTGGCAGCCTTCAGGGAGCCAGCATATCTACTCTTTACCGTCAGTATGTTCTTCACGCTCTGGGCGACGTACTTCGCGTATTACTATGTGGGTTTACCTTTGTCGTAACATGAAGACTGATTGTCTCTCCTTGAGGTTCCATGCTAATAACGGCCACTAGGTTCGTCTATACGCCCTCGATAGCCTACATGTATCACAAGCAACATCGTACAATATTCTTCTGATCTTCAACGCTGTTGGAATCCCAGGTCGCATCATTCCAGCCTGCTTGCAGATCGCTACTTCGGTGCTATTACGGTCCTTATTCCGATCATCTTTCTTGTGGCTTTATGTGTCTACATATGGCACTCGGTGCAGTCTCTCGTATCTAGTTTGGATTGTTTTTCTTGGATTTTTTGGTGCCGGCATTCAGGGTCTGTTTCCCTCGACTCTCGCTAGTCTGATAAAAGATTTGAGTAAAAGCGGCACCAGAATTGGTATGGTATTTACCATTATCAGCATCCTATGCTTGACCGGACCTCCGTTGGCTGGCAGGTTGATTCAGGTCGGGTGCGGAAACTATATTGGGGCACAGGTGTGGGCTGGCACATTTTTGCTTCTAGGGTGTGGGATTCTCTTTGCGACACGGGTAGCGAGTATAGGGTGGCGGTGGAAGCTTGCTGAGCAATAGTTGTATCAGAATTAGCTAAAAGTAGACTGCGACAAACCAAATCAGGCATAAAATCCTAAATCAGGTAGGATTAGGTGTCCATGGGCCGGCCCATAGACGGGCCGGACTTCACTATCTATACGTAGGCCGCCTATGGACGGGCCGTGAGCCAGACTTTTTGTCTATGGACGGCCTATGTCAATGTCTAAACTAGTCTACGTTGAACTACAGCGTGATTCTCTAACCCTACTGATAAAAGCTTCCCGAGGCTCCACTCTAAATTAACTAGCGCCCGCTGAAATTCAAGGGAAATCCTGTTTTTATTCAAAATACACCCCTTACCCTATTAAACGGTCGCATAGGGCTACTGTACTAGGCCGCACGGGAATGGGGCCTATTCCACGCTTTTCGTCCGTGGTCCCCATAGTAAACCGTCCGGTGGACAGTAGGGACCTATCCCGCCATTATACGTAAATTGTCTGGCGTTGTCAACCAATCGCAGCGGCCTATACCACCGTTCACCACGCGTTCTGTCAATTCATTATAGCAGAGGTACGATCAAAAAAAGCAATATACATGTTCAGACGCGACGCGTTTCTTAGGATAAGGATCGCTAAAAACTTGTCAATAATTTTACATTCTTACACCAACACTTCTGATAGCTAGTTAAGCCGCTGAGTGTAACTACTTAATCCCCCGATGTCATCCCCACACCCACCCTCACTAGTATATCCAGTCTTTTCTCAGGACTAGCCTTCCCTTCCGTTATTTCTAGACTAGGGTGAATCACCCAGGGGGGTGGGGGTTCGGATTACCAAATTCCTTTATAAATGGCTGCTAACTAAAATGCAATGCATTGTAATTCAATTACCCCCATAGGATAGAGCGCGTAAGAATTACACTATAATTCAGCGTAGAATAGTTATAGGGCCAATTATCGTTCGAAGAAGCCTTACGGTGCAGTTAACAAGAGAGCACAGGAGCAACCTGAATATCATGGGATGGCCAATCTTCTCCCTTAAATCCACGAAGTGTGGCAAAATAATAACAAAATTAAGGTAATAAACGTTGTAAAACCCCAGATACTTACACATATGAGCTTTATTTTGGCATCTTCACATCTGGAGGGCTTGCAGAATAACTCACAGCACCGAAAGTCCCCCCATTTCCCTGAGTAACAGAAGCATACACTTTGTTACCCTGGCCTGAAAAATCAATTTTGACGTCAACCCCAGCCTCAGTTATATCAATTACTTGTTCCGCTTCGAATTCCCCCGTGAATACGGAGAATCTAGGCATAGGGGTGACCTGATAGATCGCAGCAGATTGTGCTTGCCAGCAAGAACAGGTTCTGACTCCATACACCGCATTCTCTGCACCACCTGTATCTGGAAAAGCACTATAAAGAGGTTTAGGCCTACCAAGGCCGCACCAGACCTCGGCTGAAGGGGTATGAGATGGTTAATTTAGGTACCTTTGAAGACGCAATCGAATGAACTTGTTATTCAGTGACTTACGATATTTCGTCGAGTCGTAATCTGGCACAATGATCTCAAAGGTGCCAGCCTCAGCACCTGGTGAGCTTACTGCAAAGCCAGGTCCACCGTTGTTGATGACCATATTGGCGATATTGTTCTGAACACCGTTGAGATCCATGGGGGCGTTGTCGATGGTGGATACGATCATCCCACCTTGGAGCTGTTGGTATCCGCAGCAAGCGAATATATCGTACCCGAATGTGAATGTATACGTCGAGCCATCTCCTTGAATGGGAACACTAGCAATATAAATGACACTGTAGGACTTGAGCGCTGTAGCGGAAGGATTCGTTATCTTGAGAAAATCACAAACCACATAATATGATTGAACAGATCCGCTGTTATTCGTCACATATATATTGTAGTTGGACATAATGGAATAGTTTGCAACAAGAACCTTAATAGGGTAGCGTCACGGCTTATGTCTTCATTAAGAACGCCTCATAAAGACCCCTCTAGATTGGGATGGTGCGTTCTTTTATACTAGAACTATCCTATGGGGACTCTCAGATTTGCTTTCTCTTTGTCAGAGATTCGGAATTTGAACGCTATGGCATTTTCGAGAATGATGACACGTAGAAGAGACAGCTGAACGTAATCACCCGAACGCATCTACCACTGTGATTCTAGACTCGATCAAGCTTATGCTGTGCCTCTGGGCCGAACGGTGCTGTTTCCGATAATTCTAGATCTAGGGAATCTGAATAACGAGCATCATCCTAGCATCATTGAATAACCATATTGTAAAGGCAATGATGTTGGAATAGTACTATCCTAACGCACATAGGGTTCAATGGTGACGCCATCAGACACTTGGAGGAAGTTGAATGCGGTAGAACGCTTACACAAGCACTAGGTCACCGTAAAGGGTCGGGGACCGCGTATGGCAACAATGTGCGAGATTACTCCACCCTCGTCATATTAAGGTAGTCTAAAATTTGGATATAGGCCCACTAGCTATGTGGCGTTTAAGTGAGTTTGCAGTTGTGTCTCTCAGGAGCTAACATCTATAGAAGCATCCGGGGGAATATGTCGGTTTGACCGATGGTTATCTTGAGATTAACGTCACCTACGTGTCGTAGAGCTTCTGAAGAATTTTATGCTGAGTTCATGGAGTACAATGCGAGGGTTTCAATAACCCTCGAGATATTCCGATGTAGTTTACTTATCTGCCTGACTCTTACTCAAACCGCCTTTGTCAGCGCAGGGTTTCTTAGTTATATCAGTGAATACTAGCTACCCAAATGATGCCTCGAGGAAGGTATAATGTAAATCAAGACTTCCTGTAGAATAAGCGTGTACGTTGTGCTGGTTTTTGCTAGCGGACGATGGTTAGATGAATGGAGTCAAAGTGCCCTGCTAGCACAACAGGTAGCCATTTTCCTCCGCAGTAAAGCATAGTTAATAGTCAACATTACTATAAATCAGGGAGAGACACTATCACAATCTGATATAGTGACAAGGATGAAGAGCATAAGCGAACACAATAATAGGAATGATCAGTAATCCCATATAGGGAAGGGCGATTAACCCTCAGTATCGGAAATATCCACCTTGAACGCCGCGACTTCAGGGAGTAATGTATCAATGTTTGGTCGAACAACAGTTATTTCCACTGTACCTGGATTATTGAAAGCCGCAAAGGTCAGATTTCCCTCCGAATCTGCGGGCCCACAGGACATGATGGCTTGCGGGTTCGACACGATGGCGATAACTTTCTCATCCCTAATAGACTCCATTGAACTATCTCCAGAGACAGCTCTGGGAACCTGTAGCGTGAAAAATGTGCCCATTTCCACTTTCTTTGGTGGCTTGATAGTAAAAGGGACCGAGCCACGAGAGATGCTGGTTTGATCCGTGTCACCTGAGGAGGATAGGTGCGCATCCAAGGCAACCGCGGCGGAGAGTAAATCTTCCTTACTTGACTTTGGTGCAATTGATATTTGTGAAGAATCCAGGATAACGTGTAATTTAGCGTACACATTACCGTGCACTAAAAGGATGGTATCCTGGCAACACAACGAGATATCACCAAGAGGTGTTGGTGTGGGTCGGACGTGCTCTGTAAGCGGCTTGACAGAGAAAGAGGAAAGATAATCCGCTAGGGCTGTGGTTGCCCCTCCCTGTGTATTATGGACCTGGATATTGAGAGATAGTTGGGGATGGAAGCCATGGCTGGTGGATGCTGAATTGAAAACGAAATTGCGTGCTGTACTTTCAATATTCGGATAGAGTTGGCTGTACACTATAGTGACAGCTCTGTCAAGCGCCCTTGACATAATACGAGTGAGGATCTGGCATCTGAGCGAGGCGGTGGTGAACCGAGGTGGCTGGGGAGGCTGGCTTGCTCTCGCTTGTATAAATTTTCTGCTTTCTGAGGTAGGCTCTCCTGGAACGAGGGCTCCTGGAAGGGGTGGAGGTGGTGGATCCATATCTGTCCCAAAGACACCGATGCGAGGCAGACGATAGTCTGGATTTTGGTCTAAGTGATCTCGTCAGCAATTCGCCCCTGACAATGGAGGAGTTGTGGGATATACAGCAATTCCCGACAGGACTGTTGCCAGTGTTATTAATAGCATTCCCATTGCGATTAAGTGCCTGAAATCCAGCGGGGTCTTGGTGCAATGCGAGATATTGCGCCCTATTATTTGTGCCAATTTCCGGGATGAGTGGTTCTAGCGGATTTTGATGTTCAACTGCATGGGCAACGTCGATGACGAAGCTTTGCGGGCCGGCAAATTGCACTTCGACCCAGGCAAAACCGGAAAAATAAGACCGAAGTGGATCCGGGGGCTCACATATCGGATGGTTATTAAACGCCTCTATTTGGGTCAGCTACTGGCAACAATATAGAGCGATAAAATTCTTACGGTTCAAATAGAAAGGGTTGTTGCATCCGATGAACTGAGGCTGACCGAAGAGTTCCCCATTCAGAATATAGCCGCGAGGATATTGGAAAACCCAAGTAGATCGCAGAATCTCTGATCCGGTAGGTGACAAGGCGATGGAGCATCCTAACTGCAGTACTGCTGCTAAGTCGAGACTGTTACATGTATTGGGAGGACCCTGGATCCATTGTGTCAAAGCAAATACACCCCCAGTGTCGTTCATATTGAATCCAGACGCTCCAAGGTTGCTGTCATAGGGAATCGGAGGGTTTCCGTTGCCCAAATTCCATATATTGGCCACCATAAAATAAATGTACCAACGAAGCGCCTGATCAAGGTTGTTTGGGACTAACCCAAGCTGTGCAAGATTTGGAAACGCATATCTCTGCACTACAACTGGGTACGAACTTCGAAAATCAGGTTGGGATTCGAGAATACCTGACTCAGGCCAGAGTGGGTTAGGATTGGCGTTATTTGGCGGGAGGGGGTAGACCGCAAAAGAGAGCTCAAGCCTTGTAGGATTAGGGCATGGAGTTATGGTCTCTGTCACGAGGTAAGCTGGCTCGCCTGGCAAAAAGAAAGCAAAAGCGTCCCTAACGGGGAGACTTTACCTGGCGATTGGACTAACTGAATTGCCCAGGACCAATCCCCGCTGGTTCGGAAGGGAATCCAGAAAGTGTATTCGGGATTTGCTGGGTTGATAAAAGACAAAGTTGACATCAGGCTTAATTCATTAAAGGTCCAATTTTGGGTTGCCGTAGCTTCGAACACGTCATTTTCAACAACCTGCACGCCGTTCAATGAGCCCATAAGCTTGCACTCCTGCCCGTACCATTCCTCAGGGAATGCAATCGTCGCAGAAATGGTCATCGGGAGCCGCCAGTCTAGACTAGGCTCGCTTGGGACCTGAAAAGTCACTGGGGCAATTGATCCATCGTTGCCATCTAAGTAAATTTGTCCAGGTGTCCAGATAGTACCATCTCCGTTTGGAGGGGGCAATTTAATTCCTTGGGAATTTGTTGTGGGGAAGACTGGCCCTTGGGGCGAGATTTGTCCGACAACGATTTTATCAATTGTCCATGGAAAGGCCATGGTGGTTTATGGGATATGTTAAGTATGAAAAATTGTTCAAAGATACTGATGGTCAACAGAAAATTAATAACAGGAGCAACGAAATTGCGCCGACTTTATAAGCTGCCCCACCATAGCATGAGTTACATTTATATTCTGACATCATTGGATTTTGAATGATAACTATAACTGGTCTCAAATTATCATACCCGGAGAATTATCAAGAAGGGCCTACATGCCTAACGCTATACACATACCCAGTCTAAACGCCACTATCCTTCCAAAACCTTACTGTTTAAGCACTCCAGCAAATGGCCGTTGCTTAGGATTGGGAATTCCGAATCCGTGAATGTCTCCATTTCATTGTCATTGGACAGAGGGCTATATACCAAGGTCATCCTGGTCAACTGACCTCCAGAAATTCCGTTTGCATCTTGTTCAAGCTTGCCACTTGAGTCTAGAATGGCAGTTGATAAAATTCACATCCTCGTGAATGAAGTCTAGCTTATTGTATCGCGGGACTTGCGTAACTCTACTTAGAGACATTTCCGTTTGCATGCAGATCAGCTGCTTCACTTGAGTCTAGACCCAAAATTGTTGATATCATTATAACGTGCAGGCACGACTTCGAGACTTAAGTGGTTAGTTACTGATGCCTGGAGTACAATCGGTGATATCATTAATTTCAATCCGCTCCGCCTGCATCTCATCTGATCATAGCAGATAGGCCTAGAACAGTGATATCTAATGTCACCTGGTTAATTAAGAATTATTCTAGACCGTGTTGTCTCTGCTATGCCTTGTCATTGGGTGCATCAACTAGTAATACATGACCTCACTATTACACCAGCTGAGATCGATCGGCTATAAAAGAAGAATCCCTGACCCTACCTATCTATTTGCTTTTCTTTTAAATGTGAAACCAGAAGTCTTATAAACTTGTGAAACAAATTTCAGATATGGCCAACCCGACTACTTATGAAATTACTATTCAAAACGAGAGCGGGAGCTCTCATGCCTACTGTCTCTTCGCCGAGACACCCCAGGTGTCCAACTCCTCAAGTGTTTATCAAAACATCTGGATGGCTGCTCCCTCGATTGTTTCGCGGACTGATGGGTCCAGTCAAATGAGGTTCACTATAAATATTCAGTACTACGCCATCTGCGGTACTTCTGACCAGCCACTTGGTTCCAATGTGGCTATTGCCACTAGTGATTACGAGAAAATTCAGTTGGGCACAGAAGACCAACAAGGAACAACCCTTAACTTTACAACTATCGGCGGGGCTAACTTCGTGGAGCCACTGCCAACTCCAACTGGCCCTAATGGTGGATTTACTATTCAGGCAGACAGGAGCTGGTCTGAACCTGACTCAAGTAAGATTCCTCGTTACATTACCTGTCACGTATACTTTAAAGTGCAGTTTGATCCTAACTTATTGCAGACAATACATTTATCGGCTTAGGCGCGCAAGACATGCATGGAAATGTGGTCCCTGTTGCAACCGTGCCTGCTTTCCCAGGAATTACCTACAATATGTTCCCGGTGGTGAAATTCTACGTCTCCTATGGGACCTTCGTGGAGGGTCAGATCCTCGACGTAGAAGAACTTGGCCCACAATTGGAGGTTGACTTTACTGAGGCTGCGTATGACGCGGTCACCTTCATCCACAATAACCAGGATGAATATCAGCAAGTGGCGCCATCCGAGGCCAGAAAAGTCAAGCTACAGTCACTGGCTGCAAGAAAGGCTGCCTTCCTCGGGGAGTCAGAGGCTCCAGCTGTAGGAAAAGTGCGAGGACAAAATCATACCCTAAACGGTCTAATGAAGGAAGACCGGCTGGCTAAGGAACTGCAGAGAACTTTGACTAAGATGGTACGCAGTGCAAATTGCGTTGCTTGAGAAGTGTCGGGCCGCAACGGTTACTATTATAACAGCGGTCCACGGCAGTAAGACCTGATAATACGAACGACGGTGACCGAAACAAAAAGGAAGGTGAAGGAAATGCAAACCAAATTAAGTCTGGAGAAAAGGAATATGAAATTGGCTTGGGGGATCGTTTACTTGTATGGTCGACTTTTGAGTATCCCTTCTTTGATATTTAACTTGATATTCTTGATATTTCGCAGTGTCAACGTTAAGTCTTGTTTTACACGTTCTTTCTTAATCAATTCTAAGTGTACCCTATGGGGTTGGTGGGATGCACTGCGTACCTATTTCTTTTCCATTCATTCTGATTCCACCTTCCACCTCTTAAGTTTACGTTTATCTAAGGTGACGCAAAATTGAAGGGCATAAATTTACTCTTTATGTTGTAGCGAAAATAATGACTCTTTTTTTGACCTTACGTAGTTGTACTATCTCTTAGATATTTAAAATAAGCTCTCTCGCTTACCTAGATGCAATATTTTCAAATATACCTCTTATATAGCACCTATAGGCTATAGGCATTATCCCACTATTATAGCGTCTCATATTTCATAGCATTGCCTTTCTAGTACTTTCTTGGGCATTTACTTAGATATAGGTGGAAAAGTATCATCGACTCACTATAAGATCGCTAAAAATCAACGCCGCAGAAAATTCGAAAACGACCTATATAGCTACATTAAGGTATTTAGACTAACTACAGCACATTTGGAGCTTAATTTTGGAACAGAGACGAGAGTTTCAAAAAAATAAGAAAATGGACCTAAACAAGGGGACAAATAGTACCGAACAGTACAGTACTAGTGCTGCTCCAGTTATGCCAACAGCGAATCGAATATTTATTGGTTAAACAGATTGCTCCAAGTAAAGTCCGTGCCAGGGTAGCTTAAATCAAGTGGAACATCCTCACGGGTCCTAGTGTTACAGGGTGGATCGAAATCAGTTTCACCACTTTCCCACAGAGATTCTTTCTAGAAACCTGTCCCGAAACACGCTGTGGCCCTTTCTTGGCAGTATTCTTGTACAGTCGTAAATAGCAGCCTAAAAATAGCTTCTGTATTAGACTCGTAAGGTATCCAAGGTTTCTAGAACGTTGATCCAGCAAACACGCCAAACAGACGGATGCCTGCTCATTTGAGGATGTCGCAAGACTCCGAATCCCCATTCTGCCAACCACTTACCCTGAGTGACCACTGCGAACGAACAACTTGCATAGAGATAATATGTATGTGGCAATATATTGTCGGGTGATAGAATAAATAGCGAGAAAAAGCAAGAGGGAGAAAACGAGAGTTGATTGTCTGTGCGAGTTGAAAACGCAGCTGCCGACACCTCCGCCCCGCCACACTATATACGGCCTCGATAGAACCGCCAAACCCCCAATCCGATCATCACATCACCTGAAAGAAAAGCTCAGCTTTCAAGTCTTTCGACTACTAAGGTACTCATTTCTTAAGAAGAGATCGTGACACTGGCGCTGCCAGCACCGCTCCATGCCTCCACCGCCATGACCTGATAATTGAAGTCGCTGTTGCCGAACCCATGCTGCGCCCAGAAGTTGAAATGGTTGGCGACAGTCACCGTTCCAGATGTGCGCGTACTTTCTCGAACGGAGAAATACTGCGTGAACGTGCTTGTTCCCGTGATTGATGGCTCGTTGGTCCGAGTGTCGGTGCAGACTTGGTAGGTGCCTCCATCAGAGGACAGGGTACCAAGGCTTGTGGCCGAGCTGCAAGGGTTGTAATCGCCGTAGTCCTCGACGATGTAGTATTCAGCCTGAGGAGAGTTGACCCAGCCATACACAGAGAGGTAGGAGCCAGAGCTAGAAGCGCTGTAGTCGGCAGAGTAGGTAATAGAGCTGATAGACGTTAGATCCTAGATTTATGTTAAAGGATATAGTCACCCACTTAGAAGAACCAGTGCTCCAGCCTAGACCAACGACAAAATCGGAGCTGACTCCATCCTCCCAGTACATGGAATATGTTCCGGCACTTTCGTCGTAGGTGAAGTCACCAAGATTGCCGTTGTAGTTCTGGACGTAGTTAATACTAGCACTTCGCGACCCCAGAACAGGTTCGGGGGCAGGGGCGGCGAATGCCGTGACCAAGAGGCTTGCAAAAGCTGCAGTGACCTTCATGATAATTAAAGAGAGTTGAATGCTGGTGAATGGATGTGTGTAACTAGAAGAGAAGCCTGTGCTGGTCAGTGTTGCTGCGAGCCCGTTCTACCTTTATTTATATTCTGCGAAAATGACTATTTATCCTTTTTCCCTGCACGACGACCCAGCTTGATTATGTGCATTTTGCCGCGTCACCTTTGGTGGTTGAACGCGCTCGAGCCTATTTCCAAAGACAGCTCTATAGTTATGGGTTTCCGGTGCAGCCACCAGTCTGGGCACTGCACTTGGCTAAATAGACTGCACTTGGCTAAAAGGACTGTAGGTGGCTAAAAGGGCCGCAGTAGGGTAACAGTTGGATGAAAAGTAAACAGTGTGGAGGCGGGGAAGTGGGGTTTCTTCACCGGTTCCCCGCAGAAGTTTTGCTGGCTCAGAAGTCACGTTCATAATTATGTACTCGCTGATCGACTGAATGAACACAGTTCCTCGTTCGCACAACACGTATGTACTGGAAGGTCATTTTTCTTTGCTTCTTGTAGCAAGCCTAAGGCTGAGTTGACGCTGCGAGAAACACTGGCCAAAGTTAGCGCCAAGCATTACTCTCATTAGCCAGGTACCTTGGAGCTTAAAGGGCACTGGGAGGAGGCCGAGCAGCTCTTTGTGCAGGTGATGAAGACGAGCAAGACGAAGCTCTGCGCGGACTATCCCAACACGCTGAGCAGTATAGCAAATCTCGCTTTTACCTGGAAATATTCAGGTTAGGATGCGGAAGCCATCAACTTACTAAGGTACTGCTAGGCCTCGCCCAAACCCGCGGGTAGACGGGTTAGACCCGACCCATACCCATTTCTTGGTGGGTTTTGGGTCGAGGATATAGACCCAAATAGACTGCGCCATAACCCGCACCCAAACCCACAGCGGGTTCGGGTTATAAGTTATGAGGATTGACATAGCTAAACCCCTTGAGGAACCAGGTGATCGCAAGTGGGCACTTAGGTCGCTGCAAGGGTCACGTGGCTTTTTTGGCAGTTTTGGTCCGTGCTCATCGCAATTATGTAATTTTGTAGGGTATGCCCTGGTAACCCGGTAATTTACCCACACAGATTATTAGTCTCTTTCTATCATCATCCCAATTACCATAGAATATAGTATAGATTATATCTAGAGGGCCTATAAGGATCGTACCCTCACTGAGCTTATATAGGTTAATCCTGAACCTGATACGGAACTAGCGAGCGAGTATGTCGATGAGTTTGAAGACTAGCAAGAATTCTAAGCAGCAATTCCTGACCCAGATAAGGTAAATATATATTGACAATAACTAGATCCAAACTAGTTTTAAACTGATTTATTCCTAGCCAAGTTATATTCCAACACTATTAACCTTTCATCTAACCCACCTAATATTAGCTACTATTATTGAGTATATACCTCTACTTCTAGAGTATCCAGAAACTCATAAGGGTTTGCCTATATCGTGAATATTAATAAATCTAGACTAGATAAGCTACGAGCTATAATAAAATCTATTAGTGAATAACTAGTTATTAACTATTTATAAACTACTTACTAACTAGTTATTAGACACAGTACGCTATAGGTAGGTATAGATTAAGAGAATTTATATATTCTATATTCCTTAGCTACTAAATAGAGCGAAAACGCTTTAAATATAATAGTATCAAGAGCTATAAGTTTATTAATCCTAGACTCTTATATCTAGCCTATATAAGGGTGGATAAAGATCTATAGACCCTAATTATAAATATACGCTAAGTGTCGGGATTGGTAGTATATAATAATAAGAGAGATAAATAAATGCCTGCGGGTCCCTATGCGGCAGGGCTGTCCTCAGGACAAATATTTGTAGAGAGAAATACTACCTCCCGTAGAGGTTAGCTACTACTGCGGCGTAGTGGCTTACCCCTGGAAGATGAATAAAGATAAAGATAAAGGGTCTCTTTGGTCTGCCTTTAGGAGAGAAAGGTAGTAAGAGAATAATTCAGATGAAAGCTCTTGTTTTATTCAGTCTGGTTTCTAGGCCATATTTATTGACAGAAAATATTCAGTTCATCTAGCTAATTACCCAAGGTAAGCGTAGGCTGTTTGCCCGAGGTAATCTTGCCGTAAACGTGCTGTTGCCCGAGGTAGGTAAACGTGCTGTTACCCGCGGCTATAGACAGGATAGGCCTAATAACCTCGGTTTGGTAGGCTGACGTAGATAAAAAGCATAGTAAAGGCCGAAGTGAGGGGAAAGTGAGAGATAAATGAGAGATAATTGGAAGATCAGATGAAAGCGGTGAGAGATGGCAGAACGGGAACATCAACTGGAACTTTCCATGTTGAATTGGAAGCTCTGGAAATCTACATGAATTAATGCATGCACCTAAAATCCTGACACTAAGAGATTGCGGATTCCTCGCTCTTAGAGGGCTATAGAGAGCTATAGTGTAATAGTATTAGGTAAGTAAACTGTCGGGATTGGTAGTATATGAAAATAAGAGAGATAAATAAATGCCTAAGGGTCCCTATGCGGCAGGGCAGTCCTTAGGACAAATATTTGTAGAGAGAAATACTACCTCCCGTAGAGGTCGGCTACTACTGCGGCGTAGTAGCTTACCCCAGGAAGATGGATGAAGATAAAGATAAAGGGTCTCTTTAGTCTGCCTTTATGAGAGAAAGGTAGTAAGAGAATAATTAAGATGAAAGCTCTTGTTTTATTTAGTCTGGTTTCTAGGCTATATTTATAGACAGAAATATTCAGTTCATCTGGCTAATTACCTAAGGTAATATTCGCCCGAGGTAATCTTGCCGTAAACGTGCTATTGCCCGAGGTAGGTAAACGTGCTGTTACCCGAGGTAGGTAAACGTGCTGTTACCCGCGGCTATAGACAGGATAGGCCTAATAACCTCGGTCCGGTAGGCAAATGGAAAGAGAAAGCATAGTAAAGGCTGAAGTGAGAGCAAAGTGAGAGATAAATGAGAGATAACTGCAAGATCAGATAAAAGCGGTGAGAAATGGCAGAACGGGAATTTCAGCGGGAACTTCTATGTTGAATTGGAAGCTCTAGAAATCTGCAGTTATAAATGCAGACACCTAAAATCCTGACAATTTTTTATATAATTAGTAGAGACAAAGGGTCATTAGAGGTTAAAATCTTATTTATTATATAAATCATAAATCATCTATATAAGTGATTTCTGCAAAAATCCTCTTCAATTTTTTTAGTAGGCATTAGCTATAACTATTCCTTATAAAGAATGAAAGTAGAATACTGAAAAATACCTCTAGATTCTACATAAAATATATATATCACGGGGTTTTCTATATTTGTCCTATTTATAGGACCGTAGGACCGCACCGGACCGCATTGGTGCGGTCCTTAAAAAGTTAGGACCGTGCCAGTCCTTGAAAAGTTAGGACCGGTCCGCGGTCTAGTCCGGTCCCTTGCGGTCCTTGCCGAGGTCTACTCCTTCCCCGTTCGTAAATTCCTTACTAATATATATAGTTAATCTCCAGTGAGTATATACTAATTCGCAGTTGCAGTTAGAGCATTATTAGTCAAGACACTATAACCAACGCCTACGTCGTTATCATCGCTATAGAGCTTAACACCGACCGAAAATAGGTAGCGTGTATCTATTTTACGATAGAACTATCTTATACGCGATCGCCACCGCTATGTAGTGTCTCGGAAATTCGATAGGGCAGTAGCTAAAAAACATTTCGCGGAGAATTCGGAATCTTGTGTAGACGATAACGGGAACCTATTGAAGGATGAGTCCAATAATTAGACCCCGCCAAAACCCGCAAATTCATAAAATAGCTTCAATAGGCAGGTAACCTTCCTATTTAGGCTATTTTTATGGAATTTATGTAGTTATACAGGTTTGCGGGTTTTGAAATATGAGTAAAACCCGCAAGAGCCCCACTTTTGCGGGTTTTTTTTGGGTTTTGGCGCAGTCTACCAATAATCAATTTCAGTACTTAGAGGTTGCCTATATTCTCCCTTATTATCTAACGATGGTAGCTTCTAGTGAAACCGATTTAGTATATACGATTATTAGGATTGGTATTTTGATAGTGCTAATGTTATACCTAGAGCGATTCAAAGAAGAATGCTCTTCGGATCTTGGATATGTTCGATCCCGGAATAATCTATCTTATTAATAGACCCAAAATCGATAGTCCTATAAACGCCCTCACTCTAACGCTAGACTACCACTGGCTATTCGGCGAATTCCAGATCTATTTCGAACGCACTGGCACACGATACTAATATAGGATTGACTCGACAGAACGCAGTCCTTTCTTACGTAACCCCTTGTTTCCCGTCACACGTTCGCTAACCCTAAGTCCTCATCGCACGGTAGATCCGCTATCTTTCCGGCTTCTCGATGTCCACCACGCTATTGCACTTATTATGAAACTTAGCGGCGCTAGCGAATATATTAAGAAGGTCCTTCATGATATAGAGGAGTTGGATGTCGGAGAAGATGGATCGACACATTTAGGATATCTTGCAGGCTTACGACTTAGCGGGTGGTTAGATACCCTATCAGTGCATTAGAAATTGGTACGATGACATTGGCATATCGGAGAATATATGCATTTCGTATCTCTGAATGTTGCTGGAGTTCAAAATACAACGCAGTTCGCAATAATGCCTATAAACGAGCCGCAGTAGCGCTATACACTATTCACCGATAGCCTAGATCGGTGGACGCATCTGCAGTAAACCTATCGGGTGTAATGCTCCAGCGCTATCTTGGAACGGAATCCCAGTCCAGGGCGTAGGTCGCGGAGCTTTTACGGGTGGAGATGGCCCTAAAATCAATTATAACGGGGCCTTATATAAGAGCATCAAGAGACGAGAGAGAGGACACAATGGAAGTCAGAGAAATAATAATATTTTCTGACAGCCCGGTTGCAATTCAAGCGGTGCGGAATCCAAAGCGACCGTCAGGCCAAGACCGTATACTTGCTCCGGACAATTTACCATCACGTACGAGTTATCCGGTCGCGGCAAACGCCCAATCTATCACTCTTCAGTGAATTCCAGCTCATGTAGGGGTTGCGAGAAATAAGGCAGCAAATGAGTGTGCGAAAACTGATACGTTGTGGGATGCGGGCAACCTCGGTGGTGTGACTAAGGCTGCGTATGCGTGGGACGGAGATGGGGAAACGCTTGACCCGTCTTGCCTCCGCGGTGAAGAAAGCTATTGCAACAGCATCCGCGAGAGGCGGTCAAACAGTGGAGAAGACGGCTCGGCCAACCAAGCTAATGACGAAAGAGACCACTAGCGGAATACTTGGACCGTACACATTAATCTCCATTTAAAAAAGATGGATGCGTATTAGCCTACGGCATATTTTGTATATAAAAATACTGAAATAGAGTCAGATCACAGTGGCTACGACGGGGTCTCAAACATCGAGATATGTCTTGTTGTAGTGCCCGCTATACACCTCACTGCGAAGAACCATACTGAGAAGATCTCTCGCGCCGGTCTTTGAAGCGCAAATTAGTACGACGCAATCTGCTGGCTGCCCGCTACGCCGCCGCAATGATCCACGAAACCGGTCTCCTTAGTCACTTCCGCAATGTTGACCGGAACAAGACCCGACGATGACCACAAAAGAATCGGCCTTGCGACTATAAAGTAAACTGGTTTTGAAGACGCTGCGCATTTACCACCGAAAATTACTGAAGAACAGGCCACCGAGTATGGCCAGAATAATCATCAATCACCGATTACCCGCCACCAGTGTGGGCTACGACACGCAGGCAATTGAGAACAGGGCAGCTAAGGTGCTGATGACGGACGGGAAGAGGCAAGAGAGTATAGAGGATACAAAAGAATGCAATGGACTGTCGGATATGGTCGACATCCCTAAAAAGGTCTCACCGTAAAAGCAGCCGGATTATTTTTAGGTGAGTGATCGATCGACTTACTCTTGACTCTCTACGAAGCGCCAACTTTGGTTTTGATGTAGGTGGCACCTACAGGGTTCAAGCTCCTAAACACTAGGTTTTTGCTGGATCGAACCCATTAAGTGCAGAATGCACGGGTAGTAGATTGAGGTTACAGCGAGCCACAGTTAGTTTTGCTTTATGTGCGATGACCCACGTTGTAGTACAAGATGGTACCTCGATAGGCGGGTCGATGTGGGGGCTGCAAGTAGACTGGCACACTCACCCGTCCCGCGGGTCCAAAGTTAGGAACCTCCACCCACACCTCCGACGGTAAGGGTCCAACCGACCCGCATAATACACACTTTACCTATTTTGGACACGCCTACTATTTTAGGAGAGATGACTACGTGGATTAACACCTAAAACATACCTTTCTTCCCCCTAGAATCAGCCACGTGGGGACCCTGAGGGTGACCCTCGGAGGATCGGGATGTCCGACCCTCCACTCGTACCTCCTCTTCAGGTGGAGGGTCCGCGGGTGAGTGCCAGGTCTGGCTGCAAGGTATGGGGTGAAAAAGCCTTGGGGAGGAGAGGGTGAAGAATAAGAATATATTATCCGGTTCGCCAATAATCTACGTTTGCTTCTGGCCCTTAGTACTTACTAGTAACAGACACCAAATCTCTCTAGCAATTAAAGTACCAACGTAGGAGAGGATCGAAGTGTGGGATGCCACTTTGGACAAATCACTTTTTCTCTGGTGCATGTGGGCACTCCACAATTGCATGCGTCATTTTTCTTTCGCAAGACCTTCCATTCTAAGAAAATACTACCTTCCACATCTCATGAATGCAGTTACTGTCCTGAGCGCCATTTTCCAGCTCAATGATTGGCAGCTATCTCAAAGCCCTATGTAATCTTGCATCTCCAACTATCATATACGCAGCCAACCATATTTCCTGTTCAGCTCGTGGTGGGGTGATGACGGTCTATAAAGCCCCCCTTCATCCGCAAAGAGGAAATGTATTAATCCCCCAATATATTTCAATTTAATCCAGTGCCCTCGAACTCTCTCCCTCATATTCACCAATACCCAGAAACTTCGATCTCATTGATATTTGGTTTTATTCCATCCGTTCCTCAAAAATGCCCTGGACTATCAGAAACAGGGTCCCGAGCGATGAGCAGCTTGATACTTACGACCGCTTAGTTTCTGCGCGAGAGGCAGAAATCAAACGACCGGGCAGGAAAGTCAACATTATGTCTGACGAGGAGTATGACCTAAGGAAAAAGAGCGAACATCTCAAAAGACTTTGGCAACTAAGATACCTGATGGAATCCAAACGTCGAAACAAAATTGTTTATGAAAAGTCACTGCATTTTTTCCATGAACACTTCAAACCCAGCGAAGGACCCGAGACCCTGTGGCTAAAGGCGCAAGCAGCTGTTTGCAAAAGCATCGTCAAGGATTTCCTCTTCTATTCCCAGCTGGCCAGCAGGAATAAACTTGAAATCCCTGAACACGATCCGGGAGAATTTCCTTTCGAACTGTTCTCATCCTTCGCACGCCAAGAACTTATGCTTGATATTGACGAAAACGATATTTTGAACGTCACGAAGGCTTTCTATTCTATGGTAAGATCTCCCTCGATCAAGCAAGATGATCTACGTTCTGAAAAATTGGACTTAACCATTTGTTCATTAGCAACCTCCGTCAAAGATGATGTCCTCTCAGATTAAACGGGACTTTGATGAAGTGACTGAGGCTATAGACTTTTTCCAAACGCTCTGTAATCTCCCTGGATGGTCAGACCCTGAGACCTCTGTGAATCTTTGCAAGTCTGTGGCAATGAGAATATATAGCGTCGACGAAGCCAACGTTGGTTGGTTGAAAGGGACCCGCGATGAGTATAAATCTAAAGTACTCGAGGAACAGAAAAAAGGATATGTTGACGATGTCCTCAAAGCTCTTCAAGGGCCAGCGCCGTCCTTCGCCACAGATGTCATCTCGCTAGAACCAGAGCAACTCACGGCGCTGAGGTCTTTCCTAGACACTGAGGCAAAGATCCGTGCTCTCTACAAGCTGTTTTCTGATTCCGAATGGTCAAAAGACCCAGAAGGGCTGGCAAAAGAGAAGGAAGTTTTATCCTCGATTTTAAATGATGCCTCGGTCCAACGACTTCTGTTTGAAGCAATCATGAAGACCTTTCTTACCAAAAGCAAGGTGGTTGAAGTTATCGCTTCAATTCGAAACGAGGTATTCAGCAGTTGGAAGGCTGCCGCTAATGAGGAGGAGTTCTATGACAGGTATAGCGGAGCTGTGAGACACTACGACAAAAATATTAAGGAGGAGAATGAGGAATCAGCCGCAGATGCTTATAAAAATTACGATGTGCGCGAGTGGTCGTCAAGTCCTTATTTCAGCAGATACTATGACGCTGGATACTTCTAACTTAGTAGGTCCGAATCAAAGTTTCGGTTCTCTTTTGTTTCCTTGCGCCTCACTCGCTCAAGTCTCATCGGCAGACTTTGACTTGTGAATTCGTTGTCGACACTGCCCCTCGAGTATCCGGCCTGAATATTTATCGATCACACGTGCTTATGTCTCTATCTCTCTGTTATTACTAGTCAGGACTTTAGGTGTATGCATTCATATATGCATTTACCCAGGGCTTTCAATTCAACATGGATGTTCCCGTTCTGCCATTTCTCACCATCTTACGTCTGATTTTCCAATTTTCTCTTATGTATCTCTTACCTGTCTCTCACTTCTGTATTTACTATGCTTTCTCTCCCTGCCAACCTACATAACTCGGTTATTAGGTCTACCTATTACTTTATGACGATGTCTATATCTTCCCCTCACTTTATGATATCCTTGTGATGTCGATATTAGAGAAAAATACCTCATTTCTTGTCTATAAACATGGCTCAAAAACTAGACCGAATTAGGTGCCATTCCCATCTTGCGTTGACGTTAGGGGCTGAAGACAAGGGCATGACAGGGGAACCAAAGGCCAGGCCGTCATACTATAGGTCCTACGGAACGGGATTAAAGTAGTGACGGTTTTAAGGTAGATTGTGGGAAAAGGGAGGTCTGACTTTCCTTCCACCTTTTTGGTGATCTCAATCCAGCGATTTTAAATATTCTACTAATAGACCTCACCACGGGGCTAGGTTTGGGCCTGACTTTAGGGCCTATAACCGCGGGCCGGGCTTGTACTCTAGGCCCAACCCCCCAAACCGAAGAGCTCGGGGGCCTGATAGGTGAGGCCGCGGGTTACCCGCCAAGAATCCGTTTGGCATAAATTTTTAGATTTGGCTAAGTTATGCCAAGACGCATTATTCTGCTGGATCCCTTAAATAAACCACGGATTCGAGAAATGCAGTACGTACTAGTAACATTTATGTAAATAGGCCAAGCAAAGGGGAGGAATACGGATGCAAGATCCTTTTTATCCACCTCAGCAGTTTTCGCCTGCACTCATCTGATCCAAAGAGGACAGGCTTCTTCATTGACCTTATGAACGTTAACGGTATGGCAGAGCATAAGACTGTTCACTGCAAGAATAGAAATGATCGGCTCAAGCCGCCACTGGGTGTCAAGTCGCTGGAGGTGGCTTTCAACCTCTTGTGATTTTAACTCCGCGGCTATAAATCGATCGCTTCCACATACTACCAATATCATTGATGCCTTTTGGATGCCATAAATCTAGTTCATCCAGCAGCTGACCCGCCTCAAAGGCCCATTTTTGCTGCAATGACGTTCAGCAGCCTGAATACTTCAGTAAGCTCTTCCTCTACGGTACAGTATTTGACTGGAGCGCTATGTTCATCTTCAGCTTTTTGCCACAATCACACAAACCAGTGCGTGGATTTTACTTCGATGAATATGGACGCACAGAGGGCATGACATTCCGTCGCCCTCTTTTTGCCTTTGTCATTCGCCCATTAAGGAAGTACGAAGCAACGCATCTCCATAGGGGACAATAAGGCAATCAATCTAGGTAGGCGATATATTTTAAATGCAGTAGTATATCTTTTTCCTCTTTATCCGACAACGCATGCTATAACTTGATAACAAGACAAGGACACACTTAATCATCTTATAAGCCAGCAGCCGCTATTCAAAATACTACGGCCTCAATACAAATTGAATAGAACGCCACGACGCACAAAACTCCCGGCTTCTAACACAGTGTGGAGCCAATCAGACCTTGGCGTAAGAAACATAGCTGTCAAACTTGTTCGGCGTCATCAAGAAAATCTTCAGCACCTTGGTCAATTTGCATGTTTAGTTTCGTTACTTTAGCCCATTCATTTATATCACGTAGGAAGCGACGGGTGGTTCCAATTTGGATTCCTCGTTGAACAAAGAAACCAGCGTCTGGATCTTCAAGGATTAATTCAAGGTCAAGGTGATTTTCCAACGTCACCTAAACATAGAATCGCCCGGTAGGGGGGGGTACCCATAGTTAAAAAGTCTTGGCAAGGGGGGGGGTACCGAGTCAACACGGTACCCCCCCCCCTAAGTAGGTCAAATCTTAGTATTTTTCGATCGGGTCTTTTAAATCTTTTAATATTAAAGCCTTTCCAATCTTTTGGCTTATTTACATTTTTAGATTTCGACCTAGAATAGTGAGGGCTAAGGGGGTCTGGTTTTCGTGAATTATTTTTGATGGGGGATGCCAAGACCTTTTCGCGCGGGTAGCCTATCCCTATTTAAGCTAGACATCCCTTATGTAAGTACTAGGCTTAGCTATTAGGCTAACTTCTAGACCCTAGAAAGTCCTTAAGGCTAGTATCAGGGCTAATAGTAATCCTTTAATATCTCGCGAACGAGGTAAGCTATTAGAATAAGGGAAGAAGTTCTAGATACTATAGCCCTCTCGCTACTAGGCTAGAGGATTTATATTACGTAAGCAAGCCTTATACTAGGATAATTAGTAGGGAAAGGGAGTTTGAAAGTTTTTACTAGATGACTAATCCTAGGTAGGCTCGTTTAATAGAGGGAGTCTTGGCGGTTAGATTAATATTAGTAGTATCCTGATTAGGCTAGTATCCACGAAGTTATTAAGCGTTGAAATCGATTACGCTTAGTAGTTATAAATATAGATCCGAATGATATATCGTACTAATATATAAGAGGAATTGATAAAGTGATATCTTCTCAATACTAGTAGGATATATATATTATTTCTACTATAGGTATAGCGTAAAGGGGTCTATAAGAGAGACATAGGTAGATAGAATAATAGAAGGCATAGTGGCTGCTAGTAGTATTTAATTATATATAAGCTTAGTAGCTAAGGAAGGTAAGGTAGGGTAGTAAGATAGTAGGGTAAACCGCTAAACCGCTATAGATAATAAAGTAGGGTAGTATAGAGTAGGATAGTAGGGTAGGATAGTAGGGTAGGATAGTAGAATAAAGTAGTAGAATAAAGTAGTAGAGTAGAGGAGTAGAGTAGTAAGTAGTAAGTAGAGGAGTAGAGTAGTGGGTAGTAAGTAGAGTAGTAGGGTAGTAGGGTAGTATTAGTAGGTTAGTAGGTTAGTAGGTTAGTAGGTTAGTAGGTTAGTAGGTTAGTAGGTTAGTAGGTTAGTAGGTTAGTAGGTTAGTAGGTTAGTAGGTTATTAGGTTATTAGGTTATTAGGTTAGGGTTTAGGGGGTTTAACAAGACTTGACAGGTTGATGTCCCGGTATCTTTGTCCAAAGTGGGAATGGCAAAGCGTCAGAATGGCAGCGACCTGCACTACATGCAGCTGCGGTTTTCCCATGGCGTCGGAATATTCGAGCTGCAGGAAAGCCGCACAATACCAGTGATATGATACTGAGAAAGGATACGGGCTTGGCTCGACCACAGGCAACTTCAGCGATGATGTATCCTCATCGGCCATGAAGAATATCCCTACCTACGAGTTAAGGTCAGCAAATGGGGTCACCACCTGCGTCAAGATTGACTCGGACGTACTGCCAGGACACTGAAGTAAATAGCCATCCACTTGTGATCCTGAAGAACCTCAAGCGTGCCGGCTATCAGCGCATTATGGAAAGCTTCGTGCTCGATGAGAAATTGGTCCGCACGGAGTGCTTAGTGGATCCATCCCAACATCTGCAAGGAGAACTCGACGATTCGGGTGCTCGTCGAGCTATCTGGGACGGATTTAAGGGTCTCGACAAGGAAGTGCAAGTCATTTTCCGAAGTTGGCTTTCCCAATTTCTCCTGCTTCAGCCGGCCGAGATTCCACTCATCTAGGATGGCTCCAACCTCCTCAAAGGCAGTAGCCTGATGCCCAGCAGTCGGCATTGGCCTGTCATTGCTGGGCGAGCCGTTACCGACGCTGAATCGTTGCGCTCCGGCTCGGCCCCGCAAGCTCAACGTTAGAGCGAGCTCGAGCTCAGCCACCCGCTCCTGTAACCTCGAGTTCTGCCGAGCTAGCGAGGCATTGGCATCTTCTATCGGCGCGCGCGCTGAAGGACTGGAGTTAGTTGAGCGGTCACAGCTGGTGGGGGAATGAATTGGCGCAGATTGCTTACACAGTCGGTTTACCTCTCACCCGAACAACTTCGCGGACGCAGAGGTGGGCGCAGCGGTTAGCGATGCATCTGCGGCAAGGGATTTTCTTATCACATTTGATGCGGCGTTGCGCGCATTCTGTACAGCGCAGTGGCACTCGCTGGCTGGTGCGTAACTCGGCCATGTATGGTCCTTGAGTGGAAGTGTCAATGTCAGTCGCTTGCTCTCGTTGAAACTCAGTTGCGAAACCGTGGTCGGCGCGTATTCCAGGTTGCTCAAGGGTAGGACCAGCCACGTGTGCTAGAGAGTGTGGCTTCGCGCCCGCACACTTCGCTTCCGGCTTTCTGACAAGCGACGGGCCGCTGAATCTGACCGAGACTTTTTAGAAGACAATCATTCGGTGTTGATAGGCGAGGAAATCTCACGAAGGCCTTGGCTAGACCTGTATCGGTCTAACGTAGCCCATGAAGCCCGTGGGAGTTAGTGTCTTTGGACCCTAATTCGTGGCTCCACAGTCTAGCTGCATTTGTTCAGCATCGTTGGGGCAAAAAAAAAAAAGGAGGCAGGGTAAAGGTCTGGGGTTGGATGTGGTTGCTTCGGGTGAACGGTACTGTCTCGGCTCGCCGCAATTCCGCTATTCACTAGCGTGGGATCTACACGCGAATCAGCGCGAGTTCTATGATTCCACAACACGCTACACCATATCCCCCGGAGTCCTTGTGCGCTTTCCCCACTCGGCTGTTGACCCCGCATCGCAGGTTCCACATAGTCTATCCCCCTGAGTGCGTGTGGGGGTGGCGCGAGACTGGGTGGGGAACCCCCGGAAACCATGGCAAACTGGGCAATAGGGATCTGTGGGAAAGCGCTAAGCTCTGGTGCGTTTGTAAGACAAATCTCATTGGCATGCCTCACTGCGGAACGTACGCATTGTCCTCGTGGATTAGATATATAGGAGGTCTGGACGAAGCGAGGAGTAGGCGCAAGCCATTGTTGCCCGACGCACCAGTCGGGTCTCTTTTACTCCCATCCCCAGCAACGAACAACTATCATGGAACGACGCTTGAGCTCCCTCAAGGGGGATGGTCTCAGGGACGTGGAAGACCGGTTGGCCGATGTCTTGCCGGAGAACCCTAGGCGTGGTACCTCACACCTCATCTTCTAAAATTGAACCTTTGTATCGGCGTTGTCTTGCTATCTGCAACGACAATGGGGTTTGACTCTTCAATGATGAACGGCCTTCAGGGGTTGGATACCTGGATGAATTATTTCGGCAATCCGAGCGGCACCTGGCTTGGACTCTTGAATGCAGTCATGTTTTTGGGAGGTGTAAGTGGAGAGGCCACTTCAACCCAAAACTCATGATACACCTACTGACATTTGACGATGGCAATAGGTACTACTTGCGTTTCCGACTGCGTGGTTGTCCGACAAGATTGGTCGACGGTATACCATCGTGATTGGCATTGTCATCTTGACAATAGGAGCCGCAATTCAAGGCGCATCGCAGAACATTGCCACCTTCATAGTCGCACGTTTCATAGTAGGCATGGGGGTGGAAATCGTCCTCGTCCCAGCACCAGTGCTTATCACGGAAATCGCCTACCCTGCGCATCGAGCCAAGGTAACTGGTCTTTTTCAGACATGCTTCTATGTCGGGTCGATCGCTTCGAGCTGGATCACATTTGGCACCTTCTCTCTCGCGTCCACCTGGAGCTGGCGCATCCTCCATCATGCAAGCGTTCTTCCCGCTCGTGCAGCTACTTGGGATCTTCTTCGTTCCCGAATCGCCGCGTTGGCTTGTGTCCAAAAACAAGCTGGACGAAGCGCGCGCTTTTCTAATCAAATATCACGCCGGGGGAGATAGTTCTCACCCGTTGGTTCATCATGAGATGGCATTGATCACGGCTCATATCCAGTCAGACACTGAGATTGAGCGCATGGGATGGTCCGTCGTAAGTGTTCCCGACCACACTTGGTTCCTGTATCCTCTCTGCTAACAACACTGCCGGTTGCCCTAGATGTGGAACACAGCAGCTGATAAGAAGCGCACGGCAATCGCGGGATTTGCTGCAATTATATCCCAATGGTCAGGCAATGGTATCATCACCTACTACCTGGCAATGGTTCTTGAAACCGTTGGCATTCAGGATAGCTTTTACGAAGACTCTTATCAATGGCATCCTTCAGATCTTCAATCTCTTCGCTGCCATGATCCGGGTCTTTCTGCATCGACAGGCTCGGTCGCAGGTCGTTATATTTAATCTCCTGCATCGGTATGCTAGTCACATTTACAGTCTTTACAGTACTGTCAGCAGTCTACTTGGAAACCACAAATACTGAAGCAATCGGCCGGACCGTTATTGCCTTCATCTTCATCTACTTTTCTTTTATGATATCGGCGTCACCCCGCTCACATTTGGTCAGTCATCCTGACAGAGAAAGCCCGGTCAGAATACATCATTAACCCTCAGCAGCCTACCCAGCGGAAATCCTTCCCTTCCATGCTCGCCAGAAAGGAATCGCCTTCACGAACATGTGCAACACCATTGCACTTACATTCAATACTTTCGTGAACCCTATTGCGCTAGAAGCTATCTCTTGGAAGTATTACCTGGTCTATGTGGGGCTCCTGGTAGTTATGAGTCTTATCGTATATCTCTTCTTTGCAGAGACCAAAGGCCTCTCGCTAGAGGGAAATATCCGAAGTCTTCGAAGGTCCTGCCATAACCACATCATGGTATCGACGACGCCACACGTCGGACGAGGTGGACGAAATCCTCGATGGGCGCGACAATACCAAAGATGACGCCGTCATTGAGCACTGCGAGAGAGCACAGGAGTAAGCCTGGTTAATAGTATTTACCTTGTATGCATCCGGGGATCTGTTGTTTGTGACAAATGGCTACATATCATCAGTTTGGCGCGTGCATAGTCACGCTTGCTCTCTACACAAGATCTCAATTTAGTCGAGGGTCTCGTGGAGCTACCAAGTGATGATTTATCTGAGACTTTGAGAAATTGGCTTTACTGTTTTGGTTATCTTCCCCAGGGGTTCTGTATGAAATAAATTCTGGTCACAGACCAAGGGCCTTTCCGGTCAGCGTAACTGGGTGAGTTTGTCCCAGGTGGCGGACTCGCAGGAAATTGCTTCATCCAAAGTGTTAAATCAAAAAGTGCCTCGGACGTGCGTCAATTTTCGTAGTCGAAAACGACTATCTACTATACAACACATAAGTTTAAACGAACTCGATACGACTCGTCCGCTACTGTAACAGATCAGACAAAGAGACTAAACAAAGAAAACCCAACCTCAAAAGATCATACTCGGTCACCCGATCCCCCAACTCCAGTATACAAAAATACCTCATCTTGCCCCTGACATATACTCGATTTTTACATGCGTGATGGGCCTGGCGGCTCTAGCACCCACGGAATTGGAATTTACACGTGACCGAAAATTGACGCCAATACGCAATGAATTGTAAGCTTTGAAGCCATTTTGTCTACGTGTCATCCCCTGCCGGAATTGTGATAAATTCTTCTTTTTCATTAACATACAACTGATATTCATCGCCGAGGCCAGTACAGCTAGATATTAGGTAGGATAGAGACCAGTTCCACTCGACCCCCCCTTGTCTGATATCAGAGATTCTAGTCCGCTCGTAGTTGAGTTAGCAGTTGCCTATAGATTCTACTTATCCCCCACGATCGGAGGGACTGCATCGCAGAGATCGACTCATCAAGAAATCGTTGCCGGCCCAGTGAAGAGAAGATGTTGCCAACCCCCTGTAATTTGACACGACCGTTTCCAGATTCCACCCACTGCTCTTGATTCGGATCGGTCGTATTGGAGGCACCGAGAATGATCAAGGGCGCGTCACTTGCGGGCTGCGAGTCAAGTGACAGGTCATCGAGAACAGTAAAGAGCCAAATGATTAAAGTCGCGCGGAATAACAGCACAGGGGTTAAAAAATGGGCGCAATACTGGCTGCGGACTGATTCAAACGCTCGCGCAGCATATACAGCAGCCCGTCGACGCTCCTGTGGTGCCTTATTCCATTCTGTCGCTAGACTGCGGAGTTCTTCATCGGTGTAACGACGATACCTCACACGCATGGCTGTAGCAAGCAGGGGGAGTCGAGGAGTATTACGCAGCATGAGGACTGAGAGAATCACCAGTCGATGTGAGATAGATGCCTTGAGTTCTAATGCTGAGACGTTTGACTCTTCATCTTCTGTCCCTGCAAGTAGCGCCTTAAGCGCCGCCTCAGCCTCGATCTGGCTTATACCGTTGTGGGATTGTGAGGAAAGAAGACGATCTTGATCAATGACAGCGGCGTTCGACAGCAGCTGAAGGAGGGTTTGTTTGCCCAAAATGCCGGTCTTTATCCACGATGCCATCCAAGTGCTGTCTCTGACAACTTGCTCCACCGTATGGAGCGTGCTTGATTCTAGGGACTCATAAGGACATGTAAACTATGTGGAAGGAACGTAATGGACGGACGGACCTGTGTGCGTAGAAAAGCTGGCCCACCCTCGGGCACCTGAAGCTGCCCATCTTTCCTCGCCATGGGGCAACGAGTTCTGTAACTCTCCAACCGAAAGGACCGGCGTGAGATCAAAATGGCTTTGAAAAGCCGAATCAACGAGCTTCCCGTAGATTAGACTTCATACCTAGGTAGATCCAATGACATCTCCTTACCCAGATAGCGAACCCAGTCCGCCTCCGCTCCTCATCCAGAGCCCAAATTTGCCACCTTTGGGAAAGTGAGAGGTCTAGCCCTGCCATCTTCGGTGCAGACAATATGTTCGTGAAAAGATGTTTCTCCGAGCGAGAGTAACAGGGAGCGCCTGCAGGAGCTCCGCGATCTCTAACGCTCTCCGTTCTCCGGAGTACATCAGACCAATTTGTTAAGGAGAATCACCTGCGTTAACCAAAGTTCCCGACCATTCTTATTTTGATTTTCGCACTAGATGATAGGAATCTTGAAATGCCCAACCGCCAAGTCACCGACGCGAGCAAATCAGGAGCGAGGAAGACTTACCAGATACATGGACTGTCGACGGATCAATTCGTGCATGGCCCTCGCGCAAGTCTGGGCCTGCGGGATTCGGGAAAACTGAGCTCCAATAGCACTGACAGCAAACACTAGGAGCCAATGCGTATCTGGGCCCCTATATGTGGGCTTGTGAAGGACCGGAAAGACAGGATGAAAATGTTCAAAATATAGTTGTGTCCAAGCGTTGATGATCGGGGCAGGTGGAATCTTTAACTTCACGAACGGCGGGAAGAGCGATTTCGATTCCAGGACTGAGGCTAGCTTGGCCACCTCGTCTACGACATTCTGCTGAATCTCATGGATGTGGGCTAGGTGTTCTTTGTCTACATCCTCCGTACGAATATGCTGCATATCTGGAAACGTCAGCTGCGCATCGATCTCGATTGCGGTTGGTTGATATTGTCGTGGCTCGACGGCCTCGTCGGTGGGGCCAGGTGAGCAAGCGCGATTATAAATCTCACCCACAGTGGCGGTAGTCAAAGGCGTGGGTATTTGAGGGGTTTCTGGGGCAGGAATTGGACCTGTGGTTGGTTCGGTGGATGCCAACCAAATGTTGTCGAAATGGTCCAAGGACGATCGCGGATCCAAAATGTTCGGCCAGATGGAGGGTCCAAGCCCTCCCCTATGTCTAGGTCAAGTCAAGCAGACTCCCCCATCTTGGATACTTGAGATCGGAAAGCCCCTTCATTGTTTAGCGTCGAACCCTGAGTGGGCACTTGGTCCGCACTTTCCATCGCATAACCATTGAGATCAGGCATGTTGGCCGGCTCGTGCGACAGTGGCACGCACAGCCCGTACGGCAGCCACCTGATTGACAATCGTGAGTGGCGGAGATGGGTTTGTCGTGGACTGCGAGGGGTCCCCTGGATAGGAGGAGTGCGTTAGCCCCGTACTGCTGAGGGCTGGAGTTGCGGATGATGTCGCTTAGAATGCGGCAAGGTGGGAGAGAGATTGCGGTCTGTCATCCGACGTTTCTGGCGGTCTTCATAGTAGCATTCATCCTCATATCGACGACACCGTTCACATGGTCGCTGTCCATCGCATCGAAGCTTGGATAAATTACACGGCTTGCATGCCTGAATCACCCGTCGTCGCTCTCCGGAAGATTCAGAAGCCCCTTGTCGATGTCTCGTGCCGTAATGCCGGGTAAGGGAGTCTCTGTATGCAAGTCAGCACCCAAGAACGCTGGGGTAGAATTGCAACAAACGTACATTCGAGCGAAACTTTGGCCACATTCTGTACATGACTGTGGATAGTCAGTCGCTGGATGCAGGTACGCGCATAAAGTACCATCATTGCATTGAAATACATACAAACGGTTTTTCTTTGGTGTGGGTGCGGCGATGCCGTTGGTAGTGTTCTTTCCCGCTGGAAGGTGGCGTTGCATTGCTCGCAGTGGTCTCCATCCGCAGCTTGCATTGTGGTTACAACATCACACCAAGACGGACCTGGCTGGAAGAATAATGAGATGCTGAGACAGCGCTCATGGCACAGAGAGTACAAGCGTGCAGGTTGGCGGGGTGCGCTGTGACTTTACCCCGAAGTTTACGCGTTCCCGCGTCAATTCGGCAACGATCGGCTACGGGGAGGGCACGAGATCTGGTCGGCTTACGAAGCGCGGAATTGGTCGACCCCCGGCTAAGGTACAACCTCGGATGACCTTCAAAACTAGGATATTGAGCAGGATGATCTTCAAAATTAAGTTGCGACTACGCATCATACCCCTCGTTGGCTCTCCACATCTCCATGCAAAGCTCCCTTCAGTGGATCTACCACCAAGGTGGATTGGATTAGTAAGGCATTGCGAAGGATAGGGCATATGAAGTGGCGTCTCAATTTATGATAAACTGTTACGATAGTATGCTGACTGCTGAGGTCTTCTCAACATTTTCCACCCTGGGATCCTAGACCTGCGCTTCAAGCAGACGCTTGGCATCCCGGCCTGGACACGAAAGGCCAGGTGAAGGGAAAACATGTCGGGAGGCATTTCTGCTTTGGGAACATACTTCCGCAGCTCGTCCAACGTCTCGGCTCGTCGTTCGTCGTGCGTCTTGGACATCATCATAACTGTCACTGCTCGGTCATAACGGACTTTGTCGTATAGAGACAAGCGCTGAGGAACCTGGTCCAGTGTAGTGTCGGCTGGCAACACACCGCCCAATGCAGCTCCATCCTCAAATGCCTGCGCGCCACCTTGTCCTTGGTCTTTGTGAGGTCAGCAATGGAGGGAAAGGTGGGGAGAGAGTTAATAATGATAGGCTTACGAGGGAAGTGTTGGATGCGCTGCATCGCCTACCAAGGCAAGCTTGCCCTGGACGAAAGTGGTTGGCGGGGAGCGTGACGCCAAGCTCCAAAGTTTGAGGTCCTCAGCCATGCGGCAGAGTTCTTGGAGCTCTGGTCCAAATGAAGAATAAGTCTCCAGGAGCTGATCGAGATTGCCCGAGTCGAGCCAGGATGCCTCTTTGACCTCTTCAGGACCCGTAGGGTGAATTGCAACAACGTTGAGAAGATCACCCTCGCGGCAAGGGTAGACGACGAGGCGGCGATCTGGACTGGACGAAAGCGTGGACCCCATCCACGCCGAGTCTTTACAACAGTGCCGCAGTCAAGGGATTTGCCTGGGCCTTTGACATGGGAACGAGGAACCGGAAACAATTTTGTCCTGTGCTTTCTTTTCTGTGCTCCTGTCCGACAATAGCACGCAGAGATCGGGACTAGCCAACACCTAATTAGTACCAGATTTACGATGAGAGTGGCGGGACTTATTACATGCACTCCATCTGCTCCCACAATCAAATCGCCCTTGTAGATGGTTCCATCCTCTAGTGTGACAATTCCAGCCTCGGAATCCCTAGATGAGAAATAAAACAAAAGAGAATTAATGGAGAATTAATCCTAGCCGTACCAGAGAGAGCTCACTTACGACAGAGACCACGCGCGATGAAAGGCGAATGTCAACCTTTCGGCCATCCACTTCCTGAGCTGCAGCAGCGCAGAACATTGTGGAGATCCACACGATGGGTCAGAAGCCAGTCATCTGTGGTATTCAATTTCCGGTGGAGGTCTTTCGTCACCTACCGATAAAGGGTTAATTAGGGTGTCTTGCGCTCTTGCCAGAGGATTGTTAAACATACAACAGGGGTCAAAAGGAGATTTCCCCTCCGAATCCCAGACCTGTAGACGGTTGCATTGTACAGGATATAGGCCGTTCAAATTACAACCCCATTCCTTCAAGATCCGTGTAGCGTTGGGTGCGACGTGAATGGCTGCGCCTACTTCATTGCGAAAACTGGATTGTTCGAGAACCTGTTACCGCGAAGGTGAGCCTCGTCAAGTGAAGAAGAGTCAAGTAGGAGACAAAGCGGAATCTATACTTGGATATTGTGGCCCGCACGGTTGAGGGCAATGGCAGCGCCCAGACCAGCCAGGCCTGCGCCAACAACGATCACTTGCAGTGGCATTTTTAGTGGAAGAGTGGATAACAGCTGCTCTGCAATTTTTGGTTCAATAATGCATTTTATTAGTAACTTTGCTAGGAAGCACCGCGGCCCTCGGCACAATGAGATTTTTTCGGCTGTGTCCACTCGGCTCTGCCCACACACAGCCGAAATCGCGGGGGCAGGCTCATTCCCTACTATTACCACAAGTTCGGAGATAAGTGTCTTCTAAATTGATACTATGGGTTTTGGCTGCACCTCTCGTGAAGTCTATTTATTTACTCTTCGCGTCACCGACTCACTCAGGTAAGGAACGACTTTATTTCTCAGTAAGATGCCTTCCACCGAGCAAGTCAAAAAGATTTTTTGCCCCCTTCGGAGAAGGGAGAGCTCAAGATTTCTTTGAAAATATTGTTGACGATGTGGACTGGCAAGTAAAAGGTGGGCAGTGACTATGGGTTTGTGTCTTACCCTTACTTACGTTGCTCATGGCAGGCACCTTTGCCCTATCGCTGGGCACTACCATTCCAAGGCCGAGTTCCACGAAGGGACCAAGGCTCTCAGCTCAACTTGGGCGAGTCCCTTGAAGCTGGAAGTTCAAAACATCATCTGCGATGGTCGCCAAGCCGCTGTTGAGCTGAAGGCTGTGGACACGAAGTGTAAGAATGGCCTGCCGTTCACCAATGTGTATACCTGGATATGCGTGTTCAACGAACAGAACAAGATTGTCAAGATCCGCGCTTATATGGATACGTAAGTTCTTCCGGCATTTATAGCAACATTCTATTGGAAACATTATTGACTCGCCTTAATCTAAGTGATCTGGTCGTCAGAGCCATTAGGGAGAATCAGTGATCGCGTAGCAGAGGCTAGGCAGGATTGATGAAGTAGGGATGGGGTACTAGCTAAGTATCTTGTCGCACTTTTTAGGCAATAAAACCACTGGACCAAAAATGCACTATAGGCAACATTCTTAGTATATCCCGTTATTTCCAACTTTGACACATCTTTTTCAAGCCCCATAGAGCGTACTGAAGTAGCAACCAGAAATCCAGAACTAGAAACTGTGCGACAAGCCACAACTACTAAGCCAAAGCGGCGAGGCGCAGATGCTGAAAGTTTGGACCTAGTAGATGAGATGGGGCTGACCCAATAACTCTAGGCTGCTCTGCATATGGAGCCTAGTTGAAGGGCCAGTGCGGCAGCCGCGCGATAGAGGCTGATTTCAGCTTATCTAGTCTACTACACACTTACTCAAATCGACTAAGACTTTACTCGCTATATTTTCCTATTCTCCGTCATTCGTGTCACATATGACCATAGGGTGCGGAGAACAGGGTGCGGAGAACAGGGTTTCCATCCGCCCAGCCGTACTTAAGCCACACGCCGGTCAGTGAGTATTATGGTGGGTGCCAACATGCGAATCCTGACTGTTGTATTATCTTATTTTGGTTTTTTTGCTTACTTTTTATTCATCGTGAGTGAGTTGAGGACGGATTATCTTTCTATTTGGCGAGAGCAAGAGGTCTCAGCGGAAGAAGCGGGAGAGCTACAAAGATAGCGAACGTTGACAATATTCTTACTTTCCGGTCATACAGCTACTATCATTTAGAACAAGAAACTAGAAATTATCGATGATATGAGCTTAGCAAAGATGCACATGTATAAATATGCAAATAAGTTAGTTATTTTACAAAGTCTTTTCGACGAAGACAACAGGTTGATGACATAGTTAAATCACTAAGATGATTCCTCCATGACTCGAGACACAGATGATGTTACAAAAGCGTCACATTAACTAGTCAGGATGTAACTCTAAATGCCTCTGGTATCCCCTTGTCACCAAGCGCTTCTCCCACGATAAAAGGCTCAGAGGGGAGCAGAACAAAGATAACACGGGACACTTTATCTGTTGGGGTTATTCCACTGGTGCATAGTCTACTTCTGTGTTAGCTCTCGCGTCTCTGGCGCATAAAGGAAAGGACCAGAGGCCAACTGACTGCTTGTTGTACGACAACATCACCAGCCCGAACCCTAGTTTTCGATCCGTCATCAAGGAGCATCTCCATTTCACCATCCATGATAATCGCATAATCGAGTGACTGTGTGCGGTGGTTGTGGCCCTTGGAGTTCGGAGGAAAATCCACCACGCGGATCAGAGACCCCCTGCTATACATCTGCTTACTGCGGCTATCGGCACTCGGATCGGTTGCCGTTAGCTCCGCCGGGTACTGTCTGGTCATCCAGATGGTTGCAGCTTTGGAAGCAAATCCTTTATTGGGTTCTAGATTTCCATCAAACAAGATCACAGATTGGGAACCATGGTGCGTAGTGACAACTCGGCGAAGAGGAGCATTTGCTGATGCCATATTGAACTGATCCAGGAGAGCAAATTGAGAGTCAGGAACAAGATTATTTGAAGGTATCCTTTACCATGCTACCAATTCATAAGCCTACAATTTATAGTGCGGTCCCGACTGTCTAAGCACCCTGAAAGAGAAGCAATGCCGATTAGTGATACCGCATTGCCTTCTCCTTTGGCCCAGGTTCTACCCCCACGGAATGGTTCCGTACCCCATAAGACAGCTTTCCCCGCTATCGACCCGTTGTCAGTACCCCATAATTCTCGCCCTTTTTGGGGTGGATCCCCCTTTGCCTGATTTCGGCCCCGCTCCGGATATCCCACACACGCCGTCGGGCGAGGGGGTGCCGAAGGTGCAAATAATCCGCGGATAATGACATGGTTATAAAGATAGGCTGAAGCTCTGACCATTGGAAGTCGACTATAACCCTCAATAGTTTGTTTCGAAACCAAAGCTCTTATTCGTCATGACTCTGGCCATTGCTGGTTTTGACGTTGCCCAGGCCCCGGCCATTCCGCCGGAGGAGGGGGCTGCCAACAAGTGGCTCCATTTCATCCTTCCACCCAGGAGCTCCAAAGGGCTTCCGGAAAGTGAGAAGAATGCCGCATTTCCTGTAGACACCATTTTTGAACGGGATGTGGCGGTCACCATGAGAGATGGCGTCAAGCTCTATTGTGATATCTTCCGTCCTAAGGGCCGCTCTAACATTCCAGCAATTCTCATCTGGAGCCCGTATGGTAAAGGTGGCAATGGTTAGTGAGAGCCTTGGTCGTGTTGCATAGTCTTAAGGGAATGAACTCAAAGCTGATTCAAAACATTCCTTAGGGCCTCATGGGTTACATATGATTGAAGGTCGATTTGGGGTCCCAGAAGAACGATTAAGTGGATATGAGAAGTTTGAGGGCCTTGACCCTGCCGACTGGGTTGGTCATGACTACGCAATCATTAACTTTGACCTGCGCGGATGTTGGAACCCGAAGGCACCATCCCGTACGTTGATTTCCAGGGCGATTATGGCAAGAATATACTAACCTACGTGGATTAGGTGGCTAGGATCTCAAGATGGTCGAGATGGCTACGATGCGATTGAGCATGTGGCTCAGTTGGACTGGTGTAACGGAAAGGTGGCGCTCGCTGGCAACAGCTGGCTAGCCATGTCTCAGTGGTTCATTGCGGCGGAGCAGCCTCCTCATCTGGCCGCCTTTGCCCCATGGGAGGGAGCCAGTGACTTCTACCGGGATACACTTTGCCGCGGTGGCACACCCTATCCTTATCAGCGGTTTTGGAAGATTCTTGAATCATCGATGATCGGTCGGGGCCAGGTAGAGGCAATCACCGATATGCTCACTCGGTATCCGCTGTACAACGAGTACTGGGAGGACAAAAGAGCTAAACTGGATCGCGTGAAGGCTCCGTGCTACGTACTTGCCAGTTACTCGACCTCTCTTCATACCAGCGGCTCGATCGGGGGATACAATGCCTTGGATGCCAGGATAAATGGTCAGTAGCCCCTGGCCTTTTCCCCCCGGTGTATTGCCGCGATGTAGCATACTAACGTACTCTGGCAGGTTGCGAGTGCACCCCAAGCAAGAATGGTCTGATCTATATTCAGATGAAAGCACAGAGGATCTTCGCAAGTTTTTGGATTTCTACACCAAGGATATCCAAAATGACTGGCCAGCGACGCCCCGGATCCGGGTTTCTTTATTGCCTTTTAATGAGGTAAGTTTGCAATCCTTAGTTGACTGACAACTGGCTGACCCGGCACACAAACAGGCACCGATTGACAATAAACCGTTTCCGGCGTATCCCGTGCCCCAGACTCAATATACCAAGCTGTTCCTGACCGAGAGCGGCGACCTCTCCCCTCAACCACCCTCCTCGTCGTCTGAGTTGTCTTATCTATCGGATTTTGTCCCCACAAAGCCCGATCACAATTCCGAGGAACTCATCTTTACCTACAAATTCGGAAAGCCAACCTGGCTGCTCGGATACAGCAAGGTTATTCTACACCTCTCGGCAGATATCCCGCAAGACTTGGACGTATTCGTCCAGTTGCGGAAAATGGACAAGTCTGGGGCAATTTTACAACACATGAACGTACCACTTAAACAACTGGTGCCACCCAAACGCAGCCCTGACGAGGTGTCCAATACTTGCTTCCTCAAATACCTTGGGCCCACAGGGGCTCTCCGAGTCACTCACGCTAGAACCAAGATTCCTTCTTCTGACCCGAACGCATGGCCAAAGTATCGCAATGACAAAAAAGAGGCCGCCGGTAAAGGCAGGTCAAGTATATCGCCTAGAAGTTCCTATTTGGCCAGCTGGCATTACTTTTGACACTGGGGAATTTTTGGTGCTAAAGGTGGCGGGTCACTATATGAGCATGATGGAGTTTGATTTCTTGAATCACCACCCTGACATCGAGAATAAGGGCCCACACACGCTTCATCTAGGGGTTGAGGATGGAAGCTACTTGGTTGTTCCCCTGGTTGAGCCCCTTTTAACTTTAGCTTTGCTATGTACAGTGACTTAAATTAAATGGATATAAGCCGTCACCGCTATCGTGGGCTACTTGTGTTGACATTATTCCTAAGGCCCTTGTACCGTAGAAATGCTTGTCTATTATGATTGCCAGTTCGATGAGAGAGAATCTATATCCACGCTTTAACGGCTACCCAGAAAGAGCTTATCACCTGTTTTTTTTTTTTTTTTTTTTTTTTTTTTTTTTTTTTTTTCGCTATTGCCTGAACTAATAATTTGCTTTAGCTGCGCTCAAATTGGAGTCTACTAGATTATATATTGCGGATGTCTCTGCAGTTCCCTTGTAACTGTAGTGACTACTCATTTTCTTCATAGCATATTCCACAACTATAGCCAGAGTATTTGCGACATATTAAGTTCTCAAGTGAGTCCAAGCGTCGTCGAGAAAAGTTATTTCTGCACTATAGATCGCATACAGCTATTCGCCTACAGTTCCTGCTAATGTATGGCACGGTATGGTTAACGGATGGCTTAGGTGCCGCAAAGATAGAGCTACCAAAAAAAGTTTCACTTCCCCTAGTCTCTAAACAAACAAGCATATGCGTACAGAAGGGGGACATGGACAATTTGGGCTCTCTCTCGAAATATTCAATAATAGACCTGCTTCAATCCCTTGAAGATAGTAAATGCAAAGGTTGACGCAGCGATAGCAGTAACGCTCAGTCCCACGATCAGACCTTGCTCAAAATACGAGAGCCGACCGCCCTTTGGCTGTGAAATTTTCTTCAAATTCAGGTAACCATGACGAGATCCTTGGTAATTCAGGTTGGAGTCTTGTAGGATAACTTTATTGCGTGAAAAGTTGTCTGGGCGGAATGGCAGCGCGAAAGTATCGTGTGATGAACTGGGTGCAATCATGCCTGGGAAATACCAAGTTAATACCAGCTCAGCATAGCGCGTATGGATGGATACTCACAAAATGATCGCGGAGGAATGCAATTTACAAAGCAATGCTCTGAGTTAATAAACTGGGAGAGGTACCAGGTTTCTTTCCCGCCGCCGAACACATAGATCGCCGGCGAAGGCATGCCATTGTTCCTAGAAGAGTCAGACTGAGGTTCCTTGGCACTTTAGTGGCACTTAATTTGAACCTACACTTTGTTCCACAAGTCAATCCCGTGATCGAGACTGGTGGTCGGAATCAACAAGATGCCGTGGTATGACTTTGTGACCTGACTTGCAACCGGACCAATAGTTTCTGGATCAATCGAACTGGACATGTACACAATCGTCAGTTGGGTCACTATACCAATACTTGGATGGGCTTAATATTACTCGGTGGACTGAAGCACAATCAGGCGAGAGAGCTTGTCGGCGGTGACAGACAGCCCCTTCTTTTTGAGAGAGGGGAAGGTAGATGTCAGAAGATCGGCAATCTCTGTTGCCGGACTGGTCAGAGGATGCCGCGCCTTTCCCCTACCCAGTCGAGTCGTTGCTGCACAAGCCACGTAAGCTGTTCAATCACGAATTCGTCCACAAAGCAGACCCGAGGCATCGATCCAGAATGCTGGCGAGAGCCATTCAAGATCGATTTTTCTAGCCAGGTTGCAACTGTCTCCAGTTCTGAGGTGCTGCGGTCGACAAATATCGCAGGGAGGCCGGTGGTGGGGATGTGAATTCGTATGGCTGGGTTTATTTGCCGCATCACATTGGCAAAGTCTTCGGTGGTCTCTGAGTCCTGTAGGGCGGCTGGATTCAAAGCGTAGGTGTTTTAACTCTTCGGAACGAACAGAAACATCCACAAGCCCAATTGCCTCCTGGTCCATGCCATTCTGGATGATGTTGTGGAGAACTTGGTTGATCGCGGGCGTTGCGACGCACAAAAGAACCACACAACAACTTCCCGCGGCGACGGCAGCCGCCAAAGGAAGAATAGCTGACGAAAGAGGGCATGGCAAAGCCGCTTGAATCAGGACCGGACCCAGCGCCACAGAGTTCAAGGAGAGGTCTGACCAGCTTGAACAGACCTCTCTCCCGATCCAGGAGGAAGGAAATCCAATTGGTCGTAAAGCTGCTTAATTGCATCGAGAGCGAGGTCAATCTCCACCGATGCGCCATCTTCGATAGTCTCAAGATCTTTGGTAAGATAATAAATCAGTGGATTGAGATCATACAAGTCGCAGTCATCTCTCTGGTGATAGTCATTGTCCATCAAGGACTACATACCTTTGGAAAACGCAGCGACTAAGCCAGATCGATGGCGTGTCAGTGCGGCATGCAATCCAGCAAGTTCTTTCTGCCTCTGAGGACATTTTCCAGTCGGCCTTCAACCCAGGCAGACTGTACAGCCGCGTAAACCTCTGTCAAAGACATATTCAACTTTTGTGCAAGCGAATCACGAAGTGGTTAGGAATCCAAGTTCACACGGGGCTTGGCCAAACGTGAAGGAAACCAGCGTAGAATATTCATGTGAACTGGCCCCGTGAATGCGCTCCCACGGGGTTTCTATTTCGATGCTTTCGCCAAGAATGGAGAAGCTCGTAAGCCGGAGGTCGGGGTTAAGGTCAATCGGTTCGGCTCCACACGCGGCACAAGTGGGCGCCCCAGTCTCGCCCCCAGTCCCGCCCCCAGGGCTCGCAGCTACAGACACTAAAGCCGAGAAATAATTGTAGCTAGATCGGGTGATGTACACTAAGAGAGTGGTGCTTTAACTTTCCAATTTCCTTCTGATAATAGTCACCGATTGCTTATTGTATCTTTCACTATCTGAGCCGGCAGAAATGGGCAACCAAAAAGTGGGAAAATGATGTTGATTTCCACGGACTTCAAGAACATGATGTGCTGACAGTTATGTGTATCGCGCAGAACCAGCCCCGGTATTTCTCTTTGCACATGGCTCGACCATGATGCTGGGCGAGGAGTCGGAGCCTGCGAGAACCTGGGAGCAGGTAGGAAACGAAGCCTTGCGACGAGGAATGAAACGGATCGTCATGATGGTAAGTCCCCCACTATGCGCTGGATGGAGAGCTTTACAAATTAACTGGATGCCTTTAATGTACAGGGTGCCCACTGGGAGACATTGGAAGACGCCGTCGAAGTTAGCATGAACCCCGACCCAAAGAAGCTGCCTATGGGCGGCGTCCGTGACGATCGCTACTTGCCCTACAAATTGGCACCTGATATCGAAGGAGGTCAGGAGGTGCTGGAAAGGCTTCGTGCTGCGGGAATAAATGCTCGGGCAGCGCCCAAGTTCGACTGGATCCACGACACCCTTCTTGGTAATCATCCGCATGTTTCCGCACTGTGTGCCCATTCCGACCACTTTGGTCTCGATGAATGCTCGATATGATCCACACTTCCACATCAAGCTGGGCGCCACCCTGCGTCCGATGCGGTACGATGATACCTTGATTATTGGCAGCGGAGGCTCGGTCCACAACCTCTACAGAAACCACTGGGAACACATGTTTAGGTTTAATGACAACTTCGCGCAGCCTGTGCCCCCCGACACTTGGGCGTTACAGTTTCGACAAGCTGTGGAAGATGCGATCCTGCGCAATAAGGGCCCAGAGGTGCGTCGGGCATTGTCTCGGTTGATGAAGCACCCTCGCTTTCGGGACGCTCATGGAAACTGATGATCACTGGATGGCTTCTTTATTCGTTGCCGGCGCAGCTGGAGGAGTGGAGGACCAAGGCCCTAACACTATAATGGCAGAATGCTGGGAGTTGGTCAATATGTGCAATTCCCAATATCAACTGGGTTCGTGGGACTAGTGTGGAACGTATATTGTCGGTTGTAGCTCTTTTTTATCTGGTCTACTTGCCTACATAGTCATATCCCAATAAATCCAGTCCACAGTCAATATGGCAGGAACAATCAATTTATACATCTTCCGCTTTGCACCCATTCATGTGGCGTGATAAGACGAGGCGGATTGTTTTTAGGAGGCGCAAAACATGTGGATACAAGCTAGAGAAAAGAATGTATTGATAGAAAGTTGCAACAAAATATTCAGGCTAGACCAATAAAACAGTTGCACAACGAACGTATTTCCCCTTGCAACATGCCCATCAAAATTCACCACCTACTGCCCCAATGCCAATGCTCGTAAACCTTCCAGCTGTGTTTCTCCACAATGAAGACCAGTTCTGCTCAGGTATTGGTTAGGAGCTTATGCAACAGCTAGGTACACATTATGAAGACTCACTGCAATAATGGAACATCCCGCGATCATAAACGTGCCAACAACCTGGAAAAGCCTGGCCTGTCGCCTTTGCTCGCGATCGAGTTCCCTATTTACTGGACGATAATCGGGAACTCGACGATACCCCTGTTGCCACCATCCCGGATTGGAAACTGGATAAGGAACCAGAGGATGCGGTGCCTGCGTGGGGTCGAACTGGGACGGCTGGGCTTCGCGCTGGAAGATTGCCAGCAACCGTGACTAGCTGACCAGTAGATTGCTGTATGCCCGTTTGCTCACTATGAGAACGATGAATGTCGTAATCGCTTATAAGGCGGAGGGCGGCAGCATCTGGAAGTCCGGCCGCATGCACTGTTTCCGTTTGTGTTGTCACTGCTGCCATCTCGAAGTGGGAGGTAAAAAAGACAAGAGACAACCAGAGTCACGACCGATAGCCAAAACTATAGACAAGCTAGTGGGGATATTTTCAGGTAGCACGAATTCATAAAATCATTTCCGCCTTTCTCTCCAGAATTGGTTGGAGCTACGGAATGTCAAGCATCCAAGCCTTCGGGGTTAACTGAATTGCTCGGATTTTACTACATGGTGTGGAGCCGAACCGAACCGAGAGGGCATTGACCACCTCCACATCCACAGTAATGCCGAACAGCCCGCACTTCCATTCGGAATTGGACCGAGGGGCTAGAGATCTAAACTCTCTTTAATTTGGGTGTTGATCTTCTTTTTTGTATTCAGGTGCCCTTTTCGCGTAATATCGATTTCGCAACCCAAGATGGCCGAAAACAAGTTCCTCAAAATTGACCGTGACAGCTTCCCTTACATCTTTATGAAAAATGTGGACATTCCACTAAAGACGTACGAGAAGGGAATCCTCCGGTGCAATGTCTATCTTCCTAAGGATGCTTCTCCTTTCGGGTCTATGACTTACCCGGTTATTGCCACCTACGGCCCTTGTAAGTAGCTGTCATGACTAAATCGTCAGAGCTGCCCTTGACTAACCCGAGGGAACTCCCATACTAGATGGCAAGGATGTTCCGTACGAGACTTTCTTAAGAAGAGCTGGGACCAGGTCAACCCGGACATGAAATCGGCTCATTCATCCTGGGAAACCCCAGACCCGGGCTTTTGGACGCGCCAAGGATATATTGTCGTTCGCACCGACGAACGTGGCTCCTGGACAGAGCCCAGGGGAGCTCGACACCATGTCTCGCGGCACCAGTGAGGCTTTTTTCGATGTCATTGAGTGGGCGTCAGAGCAGGAATGGTCTTCCAGCAAGGTAGCCTTGCTGGGGATCAGTTACTACGCAGGCACCCAGTGGCGAGTGGCCGCACGTCAGCCAAAAGGACTGTCAGCTATTATTCCCTGGGAAGGCATGAGTGACTACTATCGCGACCGGGTTCGTCATGGTGGCATTCTATCTGACCGGTTCATTGGTGAGACAGCCCGTTGTTGAATATTTCCACTGTTATGCTAATAAGTGTTTTCAACCCGGTAGACTTCTGGTGGCACAACGGTGTTCAGCCAAATCAGTACGGAATGCCCGGTCGAGCCGCTCGAAAATGGGGCGATGATACCCTCGAAGGAGACCCCACACCCGGAGGCATTGGTTTCCAATCGTCGCGACCAGACTAAGGACACTGCAGCCCACAAGTATATGGACGAGGAATACTACAAATCGAGGAACTTTGACCTTTCTAGCATCCAAGTTCCTCTTCTGAGCGTTGCAAACTGGGTAAGCAATATTTTCGTTTTCCGCCGGAATCCTATTTAACAGGTCCGCGTTTAGGGTGGCATTCTGCTTCATTTGCGTGGAAATGTCATGGGATGGATGCGTGCCTCATCGCCTTACAAGTTCCTGCGTTTTATAGTCGGACGCCATGACTTGCCGTTCTACTATCCTCAGTCGGCCAGACTTCAATTGTCCTTCTTGATGCGTTCCTCAAGGACAATGACTACGACGGCTGGAAGTCGGGCCAGCAGCCTCGTGTCAATGTCTGCCTGCGCAAGGGTGACTGTGGAGTTGACGATCCTGAGCGGGAACTGAATTTCCCCAGTCGTGCCGAGAGCGACTGGCCTATCCCAGACACCCAGTACACCAAGTTCTTTCTCAATCCCCACAACAGGCTGTCTCAGGAACCGGACCCTTCTGTTACAACTGCACATATGATGCACTGAACGGGTATGTACTTCGCTATCTCCTTGAGTCTGAAACATTAGGTGAACCAGGTCTGACGTATATCTTCTCTTACTGAGATCCAGTCACTTTCCGATATCAAACCCCATCAACCCTCGAAACTACCGGTCATATCCTCGCCCATTTGACTGTTTCTTGCTCCAGATCTACTCCTGACGCTCCCTCTCCAACCGAGATTGACTTGTTCGTAACCCTACGCAAGCTAGATGCCGAAGGGAAAGAAGTCTTCTACACCGGTACTATGGGGGATCCCGTGCCTATTGCAAAGGGTTGGCTACGTACATCGCTACGGAAGGTCAACGCCAATCACCCATTCCATCAAGATATCTTGCCTTACCGCGACTACTTCAGCAGTGATGTGCAGCCCGTCAAGGAAGGCGAGAAGTATGGAGGTTGACGTGGAAGTGTGGCCGACTAATACTATTCTGGAGCCTAACGAAACGCTAGTACTCGAGATTGCAGGGCATGATACTCAGGGTGTGGGTAAATTCTCCCATGAGCACCCCGAGGACCGGGACCCGAAGGCACTGGGTGGACTCAACCACATCCAAGTAGGACAGGAGAATAGTTTTATTGTGCTACCTGTCATTCCATCCTGATAGACCAGCCGAGGCTGGTATCTATTTGGCCATATGATTCATTGTATAAACTTATCCATCTTTTATTTATGTAGAGGCTTAAATGTCACTATATGTCAGGTTGCAGAACCGGTAACAGGTATATTAGGAGTTAACGTGACAGGTAGTCTACGGCTAGGCTATACACAAGTACATAGACAAGACGGAGCTCGAAGAGCTATCGACAGGGCAAGGATTCAAGGTAAGGTGGGTAACGTGCAGGGAGCGGCCAGGCATGCCGGCCGCGCACCGTGATAATATATATATGTTAGAGAAGAGGCCATGAATCGAATCGAATAGTTTGAAGACTGACATTGCTCCGAGGCATACCGAATAGCATCTCTAGAATCATAAAAGAGGGAAGCGCCAGAATGAATACCAGCAGGGTGTGGCCGAACCCCCAGGTATCTTCCTCATCCGCTCCTCCTTTAGCCTGATTCATTTTCGTAAAATAGCCATGCTAACAGAAAAGACCGATTTTGATATACCGTATAGGTCGATAGAACTCGATGTTAGAATCCGGATGACTGAAAAGCATATCACGGAGTAACTAAGGGTAAGTATCTCAATAATCTTCTGGCTGCCAATAATCTTCCCGCTACTCGGTATATTCTTTGACAACCCCCGAATATTGACTTATCATTAGCCCTGATTAATGAATATGAGATCAAGCAACGCCACTGATGCCATTGTACATGATCCGATTGGGCCCTTCTTTTTCAGAATTGTGGATGAAGCAGTGAACTGTGTCGAGAATTGATAGGTATAGCTGACAAAATTTCATTATGACATTCATACATGCCTCACATCGGAAGCGAAGCAACACAACGCAACCTTTGTTACACGAATCCCTGCCCATGTCTACTTTCCGACTCTGGACAATTAAAGCTTGTTATTACGATCGGCCACCAATTTATTATGACGTTTGACTTCTTCCGATTTCGATTTAGGATCCAATTCCCCATCTCAGTGTTAGGTCCTTCGCGGTAGACCTTGAGGGAGTCATGTTTATGATTTACTTCTTTCGGGTTGGATGCCGACTTCCGGGCGCCTAAATATATAAAGCACATGTCAGGGTGTTCCTTTTTGGCCAAGCAGGTCTGGAGAGTATTGTATCGACCTTCAGCACTCGTGTCATGATTTTTGCTTTTGGCATATAATAGCATAGTCTTGTTTTGAAATGTCCTATTGCGCCAACGGCAAGATCACACACAGTAGAACTGTTGCGCAAGTTGAAAACTAGTAATTCGTCGAGGACTTTGCATTGTGATGATTCAGTGACGAGGAAAGTGAAAGAACAAAGCGAGAAGAATGGCACGAGGTTTTAAGCAGACTCCTACGTAGCTAGACATGATTTTGGTCTTATGGAACTCTGGGTAGCGACTTAGGTTTCAAGGGAGGCGCTCTTACCTATATGGCAGAATTTATTGAGCTTTACAGCTTTTGCTGCAAGTAGGTACATCCAATTAGGAGTCATTCAGTATTCCCAAGGTGATTCACAGGACCGAGAGCATGACGTCCTGCTTAGCGAATTTTTATTACTTAATATTCTTCGTGTTCAGAAAATAGTTTAGTAGCTGTTTTTACATAACTCTCAAGATCCCTCCTTTTTTCTATTTTCGAGAAGTCTAGTTGAATATGTGCGAAGAGCAAACTACGTCGTCAACTGACGATCACTAAGTCGCCGGCCAACACAAACTCTCAGATAGCACGTCGCTATAGTGTTGTGCCTTTCCTAGGGAGAATATTTTCTGACTGTTTAAAAGGTTCGAGTTTGATTCTGGTGTTTTCGCGTAGGTTGACGTCCTACCTACATTAATACTCGCTTATCGTATCAGGATGCAGCCAGAAGGCAGGGAAAATGGTGGCAAAGTAATACTTTTCATTCTGTTTTCAAAACAACCAAGATAATAATATTCTTTCGCCTAGCCACTCTCCGAAAATGAGAAGATTCCTCTTCAGAAACTACGGAAAGGTCTCACGTGGAGGCTTGATAGGTCAACAATCTAATGTGATACTCATGATCCATTATTTCGGGCAATAATTAACAATTGCAAGCAATGGATATATTTTGATTTCGGCGATTTGGCTCTTTCCCGCCGCCAATCGAGTGACAAAAAATGGCGCTATTCAAACAGGCAGTGCACGTCCACATCGAGACAGCATCTCGCATCCTTTTGCTCCCGTTCCATCCGCTAGTGATGTTGGAAAGGATGCAAACGAAGACATAAAAAGCCCAAAGCCCATAGTGGGTTGGGCTTAAGATATATATAAAGCCCAAAGCCCACAGTGGGTTGGGCTTTGGGCCTGACTCTAGGCCCATTTTCAGGTTTTGGCGATGTCTAAGCTTGCCATTTGCCATTTGACATAATTCGATAATAAGAAGATCTTAGTGGGCTTTTGCTTGATCACCGAGTCGCTATTTTAGTTCAACAGCCTGCAATAAGATTTGTGCGCTCATTCCAGAATTGAAATCTACCTGGGTACAATCACATCACCCTGCTGACTGACGAATCAAATGGAACAAAAAGAATTCACCAACATTGGAGTCACAAAGTGACATTTCCAAGAAAGATTCCACATGGAATGACAATGGAGAAGTAGTTTCAACGGGCCTGGGTAACTGACTGTATGCAAACCGATACAAACTGATTGTTAGATCCTAAAAGCGAGTCTTGTAGAGCCGGAATCATACGGATATGAGGTCCTTCCAAGGCTGGAAGTAAGGAGGAAATGCCCGGATAAAATACACTACTGATACCGGTGTACGTCTTTCCAGGTGTAATATACGTTTTACGGTAGGGGGGTTTGATGAAAGGTAATGCAAACAATGTACGTGAATTTGTCCCCGCGTCTGAGATTGGCAGGGCAACTGGTTACCAATCTCAGGGAATTAGATCAGATGAACAAGGCAATGTGGTCAAGCTGAGCTAATTCAGGGTCTTCTCAGGAAATTCTCAGGATAGAAAGTGGAGAAGAAATTGGCATGAGATTCAAACTATTCTGCCGAAAATACGAGAACTAAATACCTGAGATTTAGAGAAGAAATCAAACAGAACAAACAAATCAAGTAAAATATCACATGATATGACATAAATGAAATAGCGGAGAATTCCGGTAAAAAAGTGCGAACTCAGAGAACACGTAAGGACTCCATTCTCTGAAAATCATTAGGTGTATCCGCAATGATAACACTGACTGGATAATCCCTGAGAAGTAGCTTTTCGAGTTGATTCTTATGGTCTAAAGCCCGTCGATCATTCGGCACCGCCTGCATCTCAGCAGCCTCGGTGGCTTGATGTCGGGGATCAGCCTGCTCGTCTCTGACGGCTTTCCACTCCTCCTCAGATAGGATATGGGACGTTGCAAGACCGGTGGTTTCAATAAAATCTTGGCCACCAAGGACTGGAAAGAAAACGTCCCAACCCCACGCACCACTATCAAAGAAACGTTCCGTATTGCAATCCACGAACACCATGCCCACAACATCATTAGGCCTAAGTTCCAGAAACTCGCGAGAAGTATAGCCTCCCCACGAGTGAGCGACAATGATAAACGGAGGCTCAATACCGGCATTCCTAAGGAGAGTATCAAGCTCTGCTGCAACTGATGCTGCAGATATGCTTGGTGGTGTCTGGCTAGGACCTTCACTCCTACCCATCCCTGAACGATCATAGTTCAACCAACGAGCAAATGGAACCACAAGCTTTCGCACTACAACCCACTCATCGATCGTGCTGCCAACGCCTTGCATGAGGACGACAATAGGCTCTCCGGGCTTGCGATCTGGCCCCGAAACGGATAGATAGAGGCTATGGGAACCAATGGAGACAAGCCCATCCTTATCACCTTTATCCCAGTCAATGTTGGATGATTGCATTATGAACTGAATGCGGGTTCAAGTTGAGGAAGCAATAAATTGACGTCGAGTTGTTGGATAACGGGAGGGTGAAAGATGCCCAAACCCCCCGCTTTCTCAGCCTGCCCCTCTCTAGAAAATTCTACGGGATAGCCAGAAATTACAATGACTCATTAGATACTAGTTCCCGATACGTTCTATAACACGATACTGCCAGGCAGGGCCGCAGGAATTACTCAAACTAACGTCATAACGATTACCGCGTTTTTCGCTACAGCCCGAGAAATTGAGTAGGAGTGTCTGAGGGGTAATCTGTTTTCGAATTCTACTGTAGTGGTGGTAGAATGTTGCAACCGTGTCAGCAGAAAGGAATGGTGGGGAAAGCAGAGGAATCGCATCCATGACTTATCTACGCTCACTTTTTTGTATCAAGGAGTTGATTGATTTCCTGGGCCGGATTGAATGCATCTTGGCATTTTGTTCCGTGGATTCATGAAAAAAGAAATCATTCGTCACAATGTTGATATATAAGATTGCATGTCACTCTGGAACAGATATATAATAATTTAATAAGAATCTTAGTCTAAGCTTTAAGAAGCTTCTCTTCTTAGTTATAAAGAGAAGATTAGGATTTTAGAAGATAATATTATTTAGAATTAGTAAAGGATTATTTAGATATCTTATACTTAGTACCCTAACTAATATAAATATAATAAGAATAGCTCTTAGAATAGTTAGAGTAAATATAAATATAATAAAGATAAGTATAATAAGAATAAGGGATAAGGGACTTAAAATCTTTATATTTAATTAGTTAATAAAGTTTATAACTAGAAACCCTAGAGAAAGATATATTTAATAAAGTATAAGAGATAGGAAAATAAAAAAATATTAATAAGATAAGGGCTATACTTATCTAAGAGAGATAGTAATTATTAAGGAAATATCTTTAGGGATAAAGACCTAAGAAAGAAGGAAGTGATATTATAGACCTACTTAGAATATATATCTTTAAATTATAGAGGGCTAATAGTTCTTAGGAAACTATTTAATAGTATTTACTATCTATACTATTTATAGCCTTATACTTATTAATATATAGAAGACTTAATTATACTATAAGATAGTTAGTAATAGACTAAAACTAGCTATCTTAGTATAATAGGAAATACTATACCTTAATAATAAGATATTATAAGGAATATAATTATATAAGGCCTAATCCTTAATAATTAATTAATATCTTATTTATTTAGATAGAATAGATCTAATAGTAAGAATAGATCTAATAGTAGAAATAGACCTATCCTATTACTAGAATAGGACTATAGAAAAACTAGAATATATAAGAATATTTATTATACTATATATATTTACTTCTTATTCTAAAGAATATAAGGATATTATTTAAATAAATAATATAGAATTTATCTAGAATCCTATATAAAGTAATATAAATATACTTCTAAAATATAGTAGATATATTAGTTAATCTAAATAATATAACTATATATTTAAAATAGCCATATTAGATTTAGAATATTATTTTTTACTTATCTCTACTTTTAATTTAAATTTAATAATATAATTTTTATGTATTAATTTTAATAAAATACTAAGAGCTAGATAATCTATTTAGAATCTTAGAAATAAAAGATAGTAGATATTAATTCTTTATTAAAAGCTTATTTAGACCTCTATAATTAATATATAAATAAAGAGTTCTATTCTTTTTTAGTATAAAGAGAATAAAAGCTCCTATAGGACTTTTTAAAGAATAAGATTCTAGTATAGTATAGATAAGTAATACTATTTCTACTCTAGTTTCTAGTAGAGGTCTTATATATTTTTATATCTCTAGTCTTAGTTCTAGGACTAATTTAGAGAAGAAAGTAAGTATTTAATTTTCTTTATTTTCTTATAAAAGATACTCTTCTAAAGAATTTAAATATATCTTAAAATTAAATAGATACTAAATACTAAATTAATATATAGCTTTAATTTAGTTTCTAATATCTATCTTAAAATTAGTAGTATTTTAAATTAAAGTAAGAGTCTATCTCTTAAAATACTCCTATAAATTAGTATTAATTTAATATTATTCTAGGGTTTTTTCTAAGATATATTCTATCTATTTTATTCTATTAGTATTATTAATATATACTAGTCTACTAAGAATTTTTAATCTTTTAGAAGAATATTTAAATAGAGTAGCTAGAAAAGTAAGATTAAGATTAACTAGCTATTTATATTACTTTTAAATAAAGAATTAATTATTAAAAGTTTTAATATCTTTAATCTTAATATCCCTACCTTTCTAAGATAATTTAAAGATAAATTTAAGAGATACTAGAGATTTATAATCTTTAGTATTTAAAGATAATTTATTTTTATAATTTTTATAATTTTTTTAATTATTTTTTATACTTCTTATAGCTATTCTTTAATAGAAAGAGATAGCTAATCTTCTATATCTAAAGTAATACTAATTCTAGATATAAAAGAAGAAGTAAGATATATAGACTCTATACTTCCTTTAGAGATAGTTTAATATATATTTACTATCTTCTTAGATAGCCTAAGATAGAAGAATTAGAAATTATAAGAAGGAAAAAAAGGCCTAGATAAGAAGATAGTAAAAGAGAATTAAAAGGAATATAAAATATACTAATATAGTATAGATTTAAGGTCTAAGATAATATAGATTATATTAGTTTTAAAACTAATTCTTAAGGAAGAGAAGAATTAAAAGAGAGAGATTCTTCTTCTTCCTTAATATAGAGGAAGTAAGAGCTAAGTAAGAGCTAGATAAATAGTTTATAATAATCTTACTTTAAATATCTCTTTATTATAGACTAGCTCTAGGTAAGCCTAGAGCTTACTCTTAATCTAGATACTAAATTAGAAGTGATTTAGTACTATTTTAGGATATCTAAAGTATCCTATGATTTCTACCTTAGAAAAATAGGTATCTATCTTTTCTTTTATAATAAGGCCTATTTTATATATTAAGAATAAAAGATTAGTTATCTTATATATATACTTAGATTAAGATACTACTCTAATATACTTAATCTATAAGTAAGTACCTATCTAGCTAGGCTATCCTAAATATACTATATTAATTAATTAGACTATTCTTCTCTTATCTATTACTAGAGGGGCGTATCTTACTTACTATATAAGCTATTAAAAAGTAAGAAAAATTATTAAATTATATAAGATAGTAGATATATATAATATACTACTTTTAATACTCTATACCTAGCTCTATAGATATAAAATCGCGTTAATTTATATATAAATTACTTTATATCCTGAGATTTTTTGAATCTCTATAGATATATATAGAGTAGCGCCTTAATCTAAGTATATATATAAAATAGCTAATCTTTTACTTATAATATATAGATTAACCCTAATTTAGACTATTAGTAAAAATTAGATCCTATAATTTATAGAATAATACCTAAGAATTAATTTATAATTCTTAAGATATTATAATTATAAACACGCTAAGTATAAGGATCTAAAAATTATTAAAGAATAGTTTAACTTAGTTTAAAAGATAATATCTAAGAATAGGATCTATAAAGATAATATATATAACTTTAATAAGATAGATTTCAATAATAGGCTTAACTATAACTATAAAGGTTATAATAAGAGTAAATATAAATAGTTAGCGCTATCTATATTTATAATCTAGAAATTATAAGTAGATTACTATAATTAAGTATATTAGCGTATTTAGATTTAGTCTTTCTTTAATAGTAATCTTTAAGAGTAAAGTCTTTATTATAAGCTAGACTAGATCTAATTCTAGATACTTAGTTCTTTTAAAAAAAATAAGAATAGATAGACCTTAGATAAAATTAGAATTAAATAGCTTTAAAAAGTCTTTCTTTTATTAACTTTCTTAAGAATAAGAGGAAATTTTAACTTCTTATTCTTAATAGTTATAGAGGCTATTTAACTCTAAAATTTAATAAGAATTTACTTTTAAAATAATATAATTCTAATTTATATATTACTATACTTTTTATATCTTTTATAATCTCTTAATATAGATTATTTTACTATATTAAAGTATATATATGGAAAAAGATTAAAGATCTAATATAAATTTAATTAAATTATATTAATAAGCTTAACTTTCTTAATACCTTTCTAAGAGCTTAAATTAAAGCTTTTAAACTAGAAATAATTAAAAATAGCTTTATAGTAACTAGATTAGTTCTATATAATCTAAATTATATAATTTTAAAGCTAAATATTTAACTTTCTATACCTATACCCCCCTTTTAAGAGATAGTTAAAGTACTATATAGGAGCTAAAGACCCTATTAAATTATAAGTAGCTCTAGAAATAAGCTTCTTTTATTAAAAAGCTATTAAAAGATACCTTTAGAAGCCTACTAAGTATAGTAAATTCTATATAGATTAAGTACTTAAAGTATATTAAATAACTATATAAAATATACGTTTCTATGCCTAGCTTAATAAAAGCTTTTATATACTAGAAATAAAAGAATTAAGTAGAAAAAAGTAAGATCTAAGTATTAGATAGCTTATATAGAGACTATATCTATAGTAGAGCTTTAAGAGCTAGCTTAATATACTCTAGAAGCTCTAGAAGTACTAATTTAACCCTTATTAACTAGTTAATCTTAAGTATAAGAACTATACTAGTGAGCTCTACTAAAGTATTTAAATTACTAGAATTTAATAGGGTATTCTACTTACCTAAGTATTCTACTTACTAGGGATATATAATACCTATTCTAATAAACTTTAAGATTATCCTAGATTATATATAAAATTACTTAAATAAATTAAATTAAATAGAGTTTTTCTTAAATAATATAAATTCTCTATAGATATATATAAAGTAGTATCTTTACTAAAAACTATATAAGAAATAACTCTACTTTATAAAATAGTAAGAATTAAATTAGATTATAAAATATATTAAATAATATATAGAACGAACTTACTATATAGTTCTTAAGATATTATGATCATAAAGATAGTAAGTATAAAATCATTCTTTAATAATTTAACTTAGACTAAGTAATACTTAATAAAAATAGGATCTAATAAGATAGTATATATAATAGACTTTTATATAAGTTATAAAAGTATAATAAGAGCTTAATATTATATTTAGCGCTCTCTTTTATAATCTAGAAATCATGAATATATTATCAAGATTAAGCCTTTTTTAATAATTATATCCAAGAGTAAAATTTCTAATAACCAGGCTAATAGACTCTAGATAATAAGTAATTCAAAGTTCCTAATCATAGATATATTTTAGATATTATCAGGCTTTATTAGTTTTGGAAATTCTTTCTTCTTTCAATTTTCTTAAAAATGAAACAAATATTAACTTCTTATTGATTCTCAATAATTATAAAAGTTATTTAACTCTAAAATATAAGAAGATTTACTTTTAAAATAATATATTACTAGTTAATATACTAATAAACTATTTATTTATTTATTTTCTCTTAATTTAGGTTATTTAATAGTTTTATAGTATACATAAAGAATATATTACAAATATTATATAGATTAGATAAGGCTATATTAGAATAAATTAGACTTTATAAATACCTTTTTAATTATTTAAATTAGAGCTTTTAAACTAGAAACAATCATTTAAAAGAGCTCTCTATAACAATTAGCTTATTTCTACATAATCAATTATATAATCTTTAACCTTACTTTTTACCTTTCTATATCTTTACTACCCTCTTTAAGAGATAAGTTAAGTAGTATATAAAAGCTAAGAGCGCTATTAAATTATAATTAGCTTTAGAAATAAGATACTTTCTATAAAAAGAAAAAACTTTAGAAAATGCTCTAGAAGGCTATTAAACATAGTAAATTTTATATTAGATTAAGTACTTAAAGTATACTAAAGAACTATAATGTCTACTTTATTTATATAATAATTGATGAAATTATATATATTACAAATTAGGGAAATTGAATAGTAAAAAATAAGTTCTGAATAATAGATAGCTTATCTAAAAGGCATTTCTATAATGAAACTTCAAGACCTAGCTTTATAGCCTAGCTACTCTATAAGCTCAAACTAAAGCTCCATTAATAGGTTAATCTTTGACTTAAGAACTATAATATTAAGCTTTACTAAAAGTATCTAAATTACAAAATTAGATATATAAGACTATATATTATTTAGGCTTAGTTAAATATGCTTCTATATATTAAATACTATATAATTTTAATTATATTTTATTATATTAAAATATTAGTATTTAATTAGTTAGCCTAGCTTAGTAGATAGCTTACTTAAGAGTAAATTATTACTATATATATCTATTAATATTATCTAATTTATAAGTAGATTCTCTAAAACTTTAATTATTCTAAAGGAAGTTATATCTAGATTAATCTAATTCTTATTTCTATTTAAGAAAAATATAGAGTATATTATTTATAACTACTGTCCTATTAATTAGATTATAGTTTTCCTTACTTATTACTTTTTAGAAGCTTATATAGTAAGTAAGACTCACTACTCTTACTCTATTCAACTAAATTTAGATAATATATAATCTTATATCCCTAAATTATATAATTTAAATATTTTAGTAAAGCTTATTAGTATAGTTCTTAATCTTATAATTAATTAGTTAACTCTATTATTTAAAGATTAAACTCTAGATATTATAGCGTTTTAAATAATTATTGTAATTTAGCTATATTTATAGCTTTAGATTAAATAATTTACTATCTAGCCTTAGCCTTTTTTCGCTTCTCTTTCTTGTTAGTAATATCTAAATAGTTTTCTTATATAAGAATCATCGCGTTTTATATTATAAGTCTATATCTTTTTATAAGCTAGTCTAATATATAATTTAATAGGCCTCTAGGCGCTTATATTTATAATACTACTTTAATAGCTTTTTAATTAAGAAGCTTATTAATAGAGCTATTTTAGTATTATAATGATTTTTAATATAGACTTCTAACTTAATTCGCTTTAATAGCTTATTAGAGATATTAGAGTTTAAAGATAAATATTTATATTAGAAATTATATAATTTAGATTAAGTAGAACTAAATTAATAGCTAAAAAGCTATTTTTAATAAAATCTAGTTTAAAAAAGCTTTTAAAATAAACTTCTAGTAATATATTAATAAACCTAAATTTATTAATATAATTATAATCTTTTTATATCTAATATCTTTATATATTAACTATATATATACTTATGAAATTATAAAATAATCTATATAAAAAGATTATAAAAGATATATTAGATATATAGATATATAAATTAGGATAATATTATTTTTAGAGTAAATTTAGTTGAATTCTAGAGTTAAATATCTTTTCATAATTATTAAGAACTAAAAGTAAATATTTCTCTTTTATTTATAGGAAAGTTAAGGAAATAAAGACCTTTCAAAGCTAAGAAACTCTAATTTTATATATAATCTATCTATTTTTACTAATTATAAAGAAGTATTCTTTTAGAGACCCTTTAAATTAGTCTATAATATAAGTCTTTAACTTAAAAAGGCCTAATTATAATAATCTACTCTTATAGTACTTTTATAGTTATAATTAAGCCTATTATAAAGCCTATCCTATCTTATTAAAGTTATATATATTATTTATATCAATCTCTTTCTTAAGGATTATATTTTAGATTAGATTAAACTAATCTCTTAATTATTCTTAGATCCTTATATTTTAAATACTCATAATTATAGTATCTTAAGAATTAGATATATATTCTTTATATATTAATTTATAAAATTATATATAAATTTTTCGCTAATAATTAGTAGTAGAGTTATTCCTTAAGTAATAAGTAGAAGATCTACTATACTAGTCTTATACTATAGGGTAGCTCTACATATCTAAAGATATAATCTAGTTCTTAAGAGTTTCTTCTTTAAATATAGTTAATTTATATAAATTTATATATGTTTCTACTTAATATAGAGCCCTATAAAGATACACGTAAAGTATAGATTTAGATATAGTAAATATATATATTACTTATTATATAGAGATAATTTATATAGTAAGTATGATACGCCCCTCTTATTCTACTAATTTTTATTAATTTTATAAGTATTTTAGAGGTATAGTAGTAGTTAAAGATCAAACTGTTAAGGTAAAGGTATTGACTAGGCAAGGTTAGAGATGTCACATGTAATTCCACTGTAGAATAGACAGAGACTAATCCTTGAGGAATTGTCTTATTCCTCAAGTGCGATAGATATATACATGATGGGGCAGAACCCTGATTAAGCGAGTCATGCAGGTGCTCTCCAGGAGTAGATCGGACAGGATTAGGCACCATGTCGGCCTACCCTGATATCATGCCCTAATAACGGGGTTACGCCGTAACACAAAATGATATGGACTAAGTACATGGAGTATTTCGGCCGAAAAAAATCAGTAGTTACTAACGAACATAGAATCCTCTCGTCTTGGGCGCTTTTCACCTTGGAATCTCGTTAACATCCAGGACTGGGTTACCTCTCCTTTTTGCGGTGGAAGATCTAGCTCACTACCTTTAGAAGGTTCTAGAGGTTCTAGAGATAGAGAAGAAGATGAAGCTAGAGGTTGATGTAGATATGGATCTAGGTCTAGATCTAGATCTGGATCTGGATCTGGAGGACCTGGTAGAGAGATTGTAGGATTCTCTTCGTCATCTTCATCATCTGGAATAGAGTAAAGTGATCAGCTACATCTCCATCTCTTTCTAAGAGGTTATTGGCTTAATCGCTGCTTTGATCGCTGGCTTAGTCGTTGCTTTGATCACTAGATAGGACGTTATAAATGACTAGGTAAGTCTTCCTCTTCATCATCACTAATTAGATTAATCCCATCAAGCTTAAGAAAGGGAAGCTTCACGCCTCTCTTCTATCTCATCAAGTTCTTCACAAGTATAGACTTACTTATATAAATTAGCTCATCTTACTCAACTTCGAAATTTAACGTACACCAAAATAGCATTAAGGCTTAAATTGTTGATGGTAAAAGAGACCCACGCCGGTAGTGGCATATATCTCGGGCAGAGTTAAAAAGACGTTCTACACCAGCTCCAGTTACTAGAATAGAGAAGACATCTCGTGCTAGCCACGCAAGAGTTAGGAATTGACGCTACTGGTCTCGCCAGTACGTATAGGGATCTTATTCAGTCTATTATCCTATATGAAGATTAGACTAAGGACAAGCTAGTAAATCCAAGAAAATAGGTAAAATACCAAGATTCAGGTAGGTTGTAAGCTCATTATTAGAGCTTAGCTTCTTAGCTTGCTAAGGCTAAGAGTCACTAAATAATCCCCTAAACTAACTAGTCATCTAGCTAATGGCAGTTACTAGTAAAGGTAGAGAGGCTAGCTACTATTAGTAGTTAAGAAGGTATCGCCATAAAGAGTTCTCATATTTTTCCCGCCATTTATAATTGTTATCTACCCAGTCTATTCCTAAGAAGAATTCAAGCTTATTCTCTGGGGCAAGAATTGTCCTAATTGCGAAGAGATTGTTACGGCTAACCTTGTTATAGGGCATGATACCAGGATAGGCCGAGACGCTACCTAATCATGCCCGATCTACCCCCGAAATGCACCTGCATGACTCGCTTAATCCGGGTTCTACCCCATCATGTATATATCCAAAACACTTGAGGAATTAGTTGATTCCCCAAGTGATTAGTCTCTGTCTATTCTACAGTTGAATTACATGTGATATCCTGAACCTTGCCTAGTCAACAACCTTACCTTAACATGTAACGTTCGCCTTCCGCAACGCGTTGGTCAGAACTTGCTGCGACACGACTTCAGGGTCATGATTACTGACATCCAGTCGACGACAGCTGTTTTTACGGAAAACTTTCCGAAGCCGGTCCAGGTTTTTGAGATCCAGATCCCGAGGCAAAGGCGGTTCGAACTGAATTTGACTGATGCTGACTTTGGCTGCTCCAATATACTTCACGCGCCGCTCGGTGGCCAGACGCACCTCTTCTTCGGAAAACAAAGCCCGAGACATTGAGGAATACACATGGAAGCAGAGGAAAATTCCCACTAGAGTGAGATGGTCTGAAGCTTTACCATTGAACTTTATAGGTTGTTCCCAACTCCACCCGCTGCGGTAGCACCTGCAAGACCCCTCGGCCCACTGTACAAGTTAGGTCCCATTTAAAACCACACTATTCTCCTCGTATTTCCCTTTTATCTTTTGTAGAAGCCATATTCAAGTACACATTTAGCAAAGTCGTCATGAAGTCAAATAAGGAGAAGCGAGTCACAAGAGTTCAACCTTACCAGGTTGCCCTCGTGCAGAAATCTTTACTCGAAGGTCAAGGAAACACAGCACCACCACTTGAGTCCAAGTTGAAGCCAGGGCCTCTTCAGCCCGTCACTCGCTCAACAAAGAGGCCCACAGCGCCCTCACTTTTAGATGCTCATGAGATGGCCACTAGACGCTCGCCACGCCTCCCAGCTCTTCAAGAAACTCAAGAAACAAGCAAACTAGAGAATGACACCAGCCCGGACATAATTCAACGACACGAGTCTCCATGGGACACTTTCGAGAAAGGTTACGAATGTGATCTAGCCGGCACTGTTGCGGTATGTTTGCGCTTCAAAGGAAAGCGCGTCGTACGCGCAATTCGTCAATTCTCTCTCAAGGAGGCTGACCGCGTCTTGCAAATTCTTCGTTCCATGAAACATGATAATGTGGCCTCCGTTCAAGAATGTTTTCGGACTGCAGATGCCTTGTATACAACTAGCGAGTTTGATCCACTCACGCTGGATCATATCGTAGCTTGCAAGCAATACCCCAAACCAAATCAATTGGCTTCCTTGATGTCTCCAGGTTTGTTTCCCCATTTTACTCACGCCTACCGATTGGCTAAACATGCCCAGTTGCTCAACGGAGTATCATACCTGGTCGCTCAAGGCTTTCGTCATACATACTTGGATTGTTCTAGTGTACTTATAAGCCTCAGTGGCGAGCTTAGGATCGGTAAGCAGATATTCAACTACATCTCCAGGAAAAGAGGTTAACGCGGTCAGTAGCACGCCTTGAGTGTTGTGTCGTCCGACAAGCAGATAAAATCCAAACCAGCGACCTGGCTCCCATTTCAAAGATAATGATGGAGCTGATGCAGAAATACGTCAAGGACGACGGGGCCGTCGGTATTGACAATCCTGAATGCTGGAGAATTTGCCCCGCTGCCATCGAGTTCCTCTCCGCCACCACTTCGGCCAGCTCACTTGAGGAGTTGAAGAAAGTGAGTTATCTCTGAAGAAAATTGGAATTCTTTCCTCATTGTGTTCTAGCAACCGTTGCTGACGGAAATTCGATCGTGTCCTGGGGACCTAATGTGCCTTGTTTGGTTTGCCCTTATATCTGCTCGTACATTCTACTCGTGGAAACCTTGGTTGGAAGAGCATGTATACAGTGACTAGGTATTGCAGAGCAAGTCGATGGATGGCAAAGTGTTCCATTTGAGACACACTAGTCCATTCCTGGGCTAGCCAACTCCAAACAATCGAAACGTATTGTAACGTCAAACCAGATGATGAGATACTATGTAAGCTATTGGAAATAGCCGTAAGATTGATATCGCATTTCTCGATGCCCTCGCACCACTGCAATATTGATAGTATTCCATCTTTTTTTCTAAGGTAGACAATGCTGAAAATCCACAGATACCCCAATGAAGAAAAATACATAACTATTTCGTTTCCAAAAGATGGAGAAGCTGGTCCCAAACAACGCGTCTTTCTTCCCAATGCCGCTTAGTAGATCACCTGACAGCGGGGTACCTTGACGTGTCAGCCGTATGCTTGCAAACATCTCTTCTAAAAAGCACACTCACCTGATGCAATAATGGCATATACGACATCATATGACGGTCCAAACCTCTGGTTTCCCAAGTTAGCAGAACCCGGTCATATCACCAATCAGTTCCGTTAGTGGGCCTCAAAACTCTGAAAGGAGCGTGACTAATCGGTGTGAATGCCTAACTAAGTACAATCTGAAACATCATTGAATCAGGCGTGCCTGCGGGATCTGCGGACCACCGATCCTCACGATGACAAAGAACGTATCGAGAATACCAAGGGAGGACTACTCAAAGACTCATATCGCTGGATTCTAGAGAACAAAGAGTTTCAAACAATGGCAAGACAGCGAGAGAAATCGCCTTCTCTGGATCAGGGGTGATCCTGGTAAAGGCAAGACGATGCTCCTATGTGGTGTCATCGAAGAGTTGACGAGATTGTATGGGGATAATGCGAGCATCTCGTTCTTTTTCTGTCAGGCTACCGACATGCGGATCAATAGCGCTACGTCTGTCCTGAGGGGGTTGATATATTTACTTGTCAAGAATCATCCATCTCTTCTCCACCATGTGCGAGCTCGGTACGACTATGCAGGAAAGACCCTCTTTGAGGATGCAAATGCATGGAATGCACTGTCAACAATCTTCAGGGATATTCTAAACGACCCGACACTGCAGATGACTTATTTGGTAATTGATGCCTTAGATGAGTGCACCAATGGGCTCCGTTTCCTTCTAGACTTAATTGTCCAGGAATCATCAGTCAATCCACAGATAAAGTGGGTTGTTTCTAGCCGCAACTGGCCTGAAATCACTGAGCGGCTTGACATTGCTACCCAGCTAGCTCCGATCTCATTAGAGCTGAACGAGGCATCTGTGTCTGAAGCAGTGAATCAATTTATTCAGCATAAAGTTCACGAATTGGCAAAAGCGAAAAGGTATAGCGATAAAACTCGCGATGGCGTTCATTCCTACCTATTATCAAACTCGCAAGGTACCTTCCTCTGGGTGGCCTTGGTGTGTCAGAATCTTGAAAAGATACGAATAAATGTACTTAAGAAGCTAGAATCATTTCCTCCTGGATTGGAGGCTCTATATGGTCGAATGATTGACCAGGTTCGCGAATCTGAAGATGCTGAGCTCTGTAAGGAGATACTGGCAATCATGTCAACAGTCTTTCGGCCTATTACGCTACACGAACTGACTTCTCTTATTGAACTACCGGACGACGACTACGATGATCTTGTTTCCCTTGAAGAGATTATCGCAATTTGTGGGTCTTTTTTAACGGTTCGGGAAGAAACTATTGTGTTTGTTCATCAGTCTGCAAAGGAATTTTTACTTAAGGAAGCACTACATGAGATACTTCCTAGAGGTATAGAGGCTGAACACAACATGATATTTCTACGATCTCTCGACGTTATTTTCAAGACACTTCGACGTGATATCTGGAATATCAAATTACCTGGACTCCACATAAAGGATATCTGCAAACCTAGCCCAAATCCACTAGCAGCGGTGGAATACTCATGTGTCTACTGGATGGACCATCTTGAAGCTAGCCTGGTTAATGGAGCTTGTGAGCTGGGAGTTTATGAGAGAGGTCGCGTGGATACGTTTCTGCAGCAGAAATTCCTCCACTGGCTCGAAGCCCTTAGTATTTTGGGAAGTGTTTCTGATGGCATCCAAGCCATGCAAAAGCTCGAGATTTTGATTGAGGTGAGTGGTTAAAATTGAATAGAGATGATCTTCTCTTCTGACAAGGGGTGCACTTAAATAGAAGAGAAAAGAGTCAGGAATGCTATTGAATCGAGCTCGAGACGCCTCTAGGTTTATTCGATATCATAGAACAGCAATTGAAAGCAGCCCTCTTCAAGTATATTGCTCACCTCTTATATTTAGCCCACTAAAGAGTCTCGCAAGAATATCTTTTCAGGATGGGAGACCAGACTGGGTCTTAAATTATCCTGTGGTAGAGGAAGACTGGAGTCCCTGTCTTCAAACTCTTGAGGGGCATAGTGATTGGGTCACGTCGATTGCCTGGTCGCCAGATGGAAGCCGACTCGCATCAGCGTCTATGATAAGATAGTCAGGATCTGGGATCCGGCTACCTGGCCAGAGCATATCAACCCTTGAGGGGCATAGTGATTCGGTCACGTCGATTGCCTGGTCGCCAGATGGAAGCCGACTCGCATCAGCGTCTGATGATAAGACAGTCAGGATCTGGGATCTGGCTACCGGCCAGAGTATATTAACCCTTAAGGGGCATAGCGATTAGGTCAGGTCGATTGCCTGGTCGCTAGATGGAAGCCGACTCGCATCAGCGTCTTATGATAAGACAGTCAGGATCTGGGATCCGGCTACTGGCTAGAGTATATTAACCCTTGAGGGGCATAGTGGTTCGGTCACATCGATTGCCTGGTCGCTAGATGGAAGCCGACTCGCATCAGCGTCTTATGATAAGACAGTCAGGATCTGGGATCCGGCTACCGGCCAGAGTATATTAACCCTTAAGGGGCATAGCGATTGGGTTAGGTCGATTGCCTGGTCGCTAGATGGAAGCCGACTCGCATCAGCGTCTCGTGATAAGACAGTCAGGATCTGGGATCTAGCTACTGGCCAGAGTATATCAACTCTTGAGGGGCATAGTCATTCGGTCACCTCGATTGCCTGGTCGCAAGATGGAAGCCGACTCGCATCAGCGTCTTATGATAAGACAGTTAGGATCTGGGATCCGGCTACCGGCCAGAGTATATCAACCCTTGAGGGGCATAGTGGTTCGGTCACCTCGATTGCCTGGTCGCCAGATGGAAGCCAACTTGCATCAGCGTCTTATGATAAGACAGTCAGGATCTGGGATCTGGCCACCGGCCAGAGCGTATCAACTCTCGAGGGGCATAGTGATTCGGTCTACTCGATCGCCTGGTCGCCAGATGGAAGCCGACTTGCATCAGCGTCTTATGATAAGACAGTCAGGATCTGGGATCCAACCACCGGCCAGAGCATATCAACCCTCGAGGGGCATAGTGATTCGGTCAACTCGATTGCCTGGTCGCCAGATGGAAGCCGACTCGCATCAGCGTCAGATGATAAGACAGTTAGGATCTGGGATCCGACTACCGGCCAGAGTATATCAACCCTTAAGGGGCATAGTGATTTGGTCACGTCGATTGCCTGGTCGCCAGATGGAAGCCGACTTGCATCAGGGTCTTATGATAAGACAGTCAGGATCTGGGATCCAACCACCGGCCAGAGCGTATCAACCCTTGAGGGGCATAGTGATGCGGTCAACTCGATTGCCTGGTCGCCAGATGGAAGCCGACTCGCATCAGGGTCGTCTGATAAGACAGTTAGGATCTGGGATCCAGCTACCGGCCAGAGTGTATCAACCCTTGAGGGGCATAGTGATTCGGTCAGCTCGATTGCCTGGTCGCCAGATGGAAGCCGACTCGCATCAGCGTCTTTTGATAAGACAGTCAGGATCTGGGATCTGACCACCGGCCAGAGCGTATCAACCCTTGAGGGGCATAGTGATTCGGTCAGCTCGATTGCCTGGTCGCCAGATGGAAGCCGACTTGCATCAGGGTCTTATGATAAGACAGTCAGGATCTGGGATCTAGCTACCGGCCAGAGCGTATCAACTCTTGAGGGGCATAGTGATTCGGTCTACTCGATTGCCTGGTCGCCAGATGGAAGCCGACTTGCATCAGGGTCGGATGATAACACAGTCCAGGATCTGGGATTCGACCACCAGTCAGACCGTATCCATCTCTCGCAGGCAGGTCGCTCGGCTCCAATTTGATGAAACTGATTCAAATCTGTCATCTGCACACTTCGTTGGTACATCTGATACAAGTCTCAATGGCTCTAGCATGACGGTTCTGATAGGAAACATCATCCAACCTTGCCTAAGCAATGTGGATACGGTCTCAGCGATGACTATTCCTGGATAACCTATAATGGACTCAACGTCCTGTGGCTGCCTTCAGAATATCGACCACTATTCTTCCTTCTTGCTATTTCTGTACATGCAACAACATTGGCCATCGCTTGTCCATCAAATCGCGTCATATTCCTCGTGTTTTCAAAGAATTGTCCTATCTCTGGCCTTGATCAGTGTTTATATCATATTATTTTGGTTTGACATCTTCTCTCAGTGGACAGAACCTCTATGCTCCTGGTTTATCGAGCTGTTCCATGCTTATTGGTGGTCATGTATTTCTGCTCAATACGGGGGAAGATTCAAGCCAGGCTCAATCATTCCACCTTGCTGATGACCATATTTATTGTGATGTGCGAATAAGCTTTTTGTTGAACAGAATATCCCTCTTGTAATTTTGGACTGATTTGTATACTCCTTCAACAGGTAGTAATTCATAATAAGGTTTATTCATGGTGTTCAATTCACCGACCTGCTTCCCATCTTGAAGACTGGTCCCAACGCCCTCAAAATAGAGCTGATTCGTGATACTGATACCCATGTTCGAATACTTCATTGAGCAGCTCCTCAATCACTGCAGAAGGTGGCCTGAACTAAAATTCGTCATCGGCATGGATAATACATCGATCGTTGCAAGTTGCGGAGGTGGGCAGACTAGCGACTACATTATATGGTTTGTTTACAAGAAATATTCTAGACCGCAAAAAGCGCATACAACAGAATACAATGTCTATTTTTATTCGTTTATTTACAATTGTACTGGAATAACGAAAGTTACCGCATCAGGGGTAGTCTAACTAGAATGGGTATAATGTTATGCAAGATAAAGTTCCAAAAACTTTTGAAAAGAATGACCTAGATGCAGCTGATTTCGAGCGGCTCTGTAAGAATTCGCATTGCAAGACATAATAGATCTCCCGCGACTCCGGTACGCTCACGGATGCGTTCCACAATCAAAGACTTTAAATCCCGATACAAATTGACCTCGCTTTCATCCAATGTCTCTAAGAGGCGCCCGAGACAGTACAGGAAAGCCTCAGAGGGTGCTGTAACTACCCCGAGTCCCATCTAAATATGCGCGATGGTAGAGGACCTGTCGAATCCATTCCTGGGTACGCCGGAGATCCTTCCCACGTCCGAACTTATGAAATGCTCGAAGTACGTTCACGCAGACTACAGGATCAATACGTGGTCGGGACTTGTCAAAATAGGTCTGTATGGGTCACATTAGAGAGTGTATTCAGTACCGCAATGGTTTTCAAATCTACATGGCGTGTACGTACCATAATGACCCCTCACTATTCATAAAGTCAAGCATATCATCAAGCATGGTGTTTATATGCTCCTTTGAATTCTTCAGAGTGACCAATGCAGCTGAAGTTGTATCCAGATCGAATGGGAACTCTTTTGTTGTCAACACGTGCTTGCCTACAAAGGAATGGGTGATAAGCAGGTTTCTGAGATTTGTCTTCAATCTAGTTAGTACTCACCGATGAAAAAGCCCCACCGCTTGTCGTGATGTTCCAGTGCGACCAATTCTCTGGAGAGATATCAATTAGCTGACTGGTCTCTGTGTTGGGTCATTGATTGTCCTGTTCATACTCATCCTGCGTCGCTTCCAAAATCAGCAATTGCGCGAAGTTGTCTTTGATTTCGACCCCAGTATCCGTAATGCTATCCATTTTTCCCGCATTCTTAGACAGGGGTTCCCAACAGGTTCACCAATGTTCGGGCAAGGCTCGTCGCATCCTTGAATATTTTTGTGGCGATTTTTCTAGTGATCCCGCAAAATCTTCGTTTCTCTATCTTCGCGTCAAAAGAGGTGTTTTCTTCGGGTAGCGCTTCTGGGGTTGAAAAAGTGTTTAAAGAAACAAAGATCTGGCTTACGCATACCTACCTCCCCAGCGGCGAATACACTGTCAAAAACATCCCAGTCGGCCGCTTTCGTGCGCAGCATATCGTAGTCGGGCTTGGAAATATTTGACATCGCGTAAATATGTCGTTTGGAGCCTGAGTGGTCTCTTATATTATGTATCATAGATGAGACTGTATGGTCGACCTTCAACGAATCGCGAGCCTGTGAGAATGCTTCCTTGACCTCGGAAGCCTCCAGGTCAAACGCGTCACCCACTTTCTTATAGCACTCGGCCTCAGAAAGTCGACCCTGTTCGTATTCATACCAAATGTCCAATGACAAGGTAGACTTCAAAGTTTTTTCCGGATATACCCGTCTTGGTGGAGGAGACCAAGTAAAAAGAACATCCCCAATATCGAAGATCCAAAACGCTGGTAAGGAGAAGGTATCATGACTGCGGAAGCAAATACGCCGAGGTCACTTGAACGAAATGGACTGGTGTTTTGAAATCACCATTGGGTTTACCAATTTATAGAGAAACTTTGATTGAACCGAGGCCTGCTCGATTATGTTGTCATCACTAAACACCTCAGTTCATCATAGCCGATCAGTAACATATGCCCTCCCATTCGCCGGTAGTCAATTGAACTAAGCAGTAGACTCGCGCTAATGCTCTAGTAGATAATCCATGGCGCTAAAGAGATACTACTAAAGTCCCAGACCTCTTAATCAATTTTATTGACAAGTAGCAACATCTGACCACCCCCCTGGCACTCAGTGATGTGCATTTCACCCTTACACCTATCTGTGCTTTCGGAGAGGCTCGTCACTTGATTTCTAAAATTTATGGAGTTTTTAGGACGTATAATGCTCTTCACAGGTCTTCTCGTGTCGTCAATGGGGTTTAATCCATGCAACCATAGCGATACGGGCGCAGCGATAAAAATATTTCGACTTTGAGTACCTACATCTACCGCTTAGGTAAGATTCGAAGATTAGTTCCAAAGACGGGTTCGCGGATTCTTCCGCCGGCTCATTCTACATAAGCAGTTAAGCGGCTCTTAAGTATCAACGCCTCACTTTAGCCTAAGGCGATTTGGACGGATCCATCCGGGAATAGCTCCGTGTTCCTATCACTTAAGTCCGCAGTAAGACGCTCAGCAACCATATATATCACATGCCCAAGCCCGAAGAGAAGAAGAGGAGAAGAGGGGGGGGGAGAAGTTGTGTGGGGTAAACATCTCGTGCAGCCGCAATTGTGGTTGCAGGTGCGAGGACGCAACAGCCGTTCATCCCGGCTCGCAAATACATGCCTTCGCCTGGACTCATCCATTGAACAGGTATTTAGCCCATCAATAACATTTGTCTTCCATGTAGGCTTCGCTTTTCAACCACGGGCAGTTTCTTGGCAGATTGTTGGAACTCAAAGCTTATCGAGGAAGATCTCACTGGTTACGCCTTTGGGACATGCCTTGTCACGGCTCAACCCACTACCACAGATCCCCTATGGAGAGATGATGCATTTCTCGCAATTCCCAGATAACTGACATGGACTCGTTTGTTGTGGCTTATTCTCTCCACGGACTGTGGTCTTAACATGTAACTCGCCAGCGGAGAAAGGCAAAGCCCCTATAAAGGATCGGTCTTATCCCTTTCTCCCCCCTGCGCAACTAATAACATTCTTCTGAAAATACATCAAATTTGAATTTGTCGTCAATTTATTCTGCTTTATTGTCGCTTCTAAATAACCATTTGCTAAGCATCATTATTCTTACGGATATCTTTTACGATGAACCAGTCTACCACTATACTCTTCGTCCCAGGCGCCTGGCACACAAATCTGACTGCTATGATCCCGTTGTGCAACGCCTCGAAGCAGTCGGCTACAAGACCGACAAGGTCCATTTACCCACCAGTGGACCCGCCAACACACTATTTAGACTTCAGCGCAGATGTTTCCCGTATTCGAGCGCAATCGAGCACGCCGTCAATGAAGGGCGGGATGTGGTCGTGGTTGCGCACTCTTACGGCGGCCTGCCCTCGAATGAGAGCTATAAAAGGACTCGATATCAACACGCGCCAGAAAGTGGGTCTGACTGGCGGTGTTACCCATCTGTTCTTCTGCTGCTCATTTGTCATTGCTGAAGGGCAATCCCTCATCAGTGCCTTCGGTGGTAATGACCTCCCATGGTTCAGGGTATCGGATGATAAGGTGTGATCAATGTTGCAGATCCAGAAAAAATATTCTACAACGACTGCAACGATGCCCAGGTTGAGCGCGCGGTAGCCTTGAAATCTCATAGTTACCAAGCCTTTCATAGCGTTTGTACTTATGCGGCATGGAAAAATATCCCATCCACCTACTTGTACTGTCTCCAGGATGCGGCAATTCCTCTCACGGTGCAGAAGATGATGGTTGAAGGCACTGCCAAGGGATCATCGGGATGAGGACCGGAGACGGTGGATGCATCGCACAGTCCGTTCATCAGCCAGCCTGATGAGTTGACTGCAGCGATTCTGACGAGCTGCTCGGAGAGAGCGTCTAGTTTGACTTAGTGACCTTTCTTTGTTTTCTATATATGAAATAAATATTTGCCACTATCGAAAGGACTCCTGGTATCTGGGGGTAATATTAAGTAATTCCAACCTTGCGGCGAATTTGCTGCCGATATGCCATGACTTCCTTTTCTTCTTCGAAGGATACCAACCGCAGCCGACACCATAGAGCAGCTGCGGCACCACGACTGCCTGATATATCCGCCGCATTGCTGACGTAGACGCACCCCACGCGGAGCTGTAGCAAGGCTCCGTAGAGATTTCAGAGACGTGCTGCCTTTGATGATTGCCTTTTCACGATGGCAAGCAACGAGCCAGCCGGGGATCAAGCCAGAAGCCGAGGTATTTCGTTGCTGCATGCTCAGGTGCAATGATTGAGGTGAGCCCGTCTTGACCTTGACGAGAAGTAGGCGACCTTCCTGCCTCTGTCCTTCAGGTACAAAAATGGATTAAATTGTACTTTTCGGGTTTGAAAACTGACGCATGTCGGCTGGCCCAAATTCCTGCTTTTTCACTACGCTTTTTCGAGCTTGGAAAACGTCTGTTTTTCTGTCTTTCCGGTTGTTGATGAAGCCCACGTCGTCGACCATCCCATTGTAGAGCGTCTCCACCCCGTGTCTGGCTGTCTTCGAGCAAGTCCGCGTTGTAGACAGATAGGAGACTTTCGAGAGACCGCGAGCCTTGCGGAATACCTGTGGGGTCGAATCCATGCTGACCGCCTTGTGCTAAATCTTTGGGGTGGCTTTTTGTGTTAAGGCAGCGTCTGGATCCACAAAGAGCTGTCCGAGACGTCGTTTATGGAGTAGTAGTGTAGTGGTATCACGACTGATCTAGCCATTGCCTTCTTAGTAAGTAGTAGTAGTAGTAGTAGAATTCATTTGCCCGATCTAGCTTGCCTCTAGTAATGGCCGCTATACGGGGGTGCTGCCGGGCCTGCCCGGCAGCGAGGTAGGTGCGCTGCACCCAGGATATATATCGTGCATGGAGGTGAAGTTAGGGCTTGCCCACTTGCCCCCAGTTGCCCGCAATCCAAGAAAATTAAGTACAAAGAAAAACCCGAGGTTTTCGGCCGAAGAATCAAGGAAAAACAAAGGAAAGAACGTTAAAGGAAAGTCAATCTCCGCCCCAGTAACACAGCCACCAGCGTCCAGCTCGTTTCCAGCTTGCTGGGAGGCCTGCTGTGTCTTCTAAACTCCCCACGAGATTGTTGCACCTGCTGCGCCCACAACTTCATTTTTCCGCCCCGCACACCTCCGCGGTTTCGCCGCATCTCCCACTTCCGCTCCCACTTCCCACTTCCAGCACCCTCGCACCACCATGTCCTCTTCTTCTCTCACTCTGCCCTCACTTTCGCCTCACTTCCACCTCCATGACACGCCATCCCCGAATACATGACCCTTTCCCCGGCCGGTCAGCCGCTTCCGCGCCGTTCTGCCTCTTAAGGGAAGAAAGGGGACCTGGCCCTTCTTCCTGCGATCCATATTTCATCTACCACCACCACACTACCTATTGGATCATACTGGTTGTTCTTGCTCTGGTTGTTGCTGCTCTGGTTCGAATCCCATAACGTCGGGATCGACCGCGTGAAACTGCCCGAGAAGTCGGGTCTTTTCCATGAAGGCGGAGATCGCTGGAACCACGTTCTTTTCCTGCATGAATTGGTCGAACGAGAGCGATGTGCATACGCGTGCTTGTACGAGCGCTGCTCGCATGTCTCTGCGCTCATCTTCAAAAAAGGGGCACTCTAAGAGCACGTGTCTTGGTTGCTGGTGCCCGAGATCGCACGCGCAGCGAGGCGAGTCTGTGACTCCAATTCTCCATAGGTAACGTTTCAATCCGATGATATTAAGCCGCATTTGAAGCATGATGGATGCTGACGCTTTTCTCTGGCCTTTCTAGTAGTCTAGAACCTTCTTCGTGGGCACCGGAATCAGTCGCTTTGTCGCCTGCCCAACCTTCTTCTCCTTCTCCCACGCTGCCTCCCACGTGATCTTCGCCCGCTCCCGAATACCTCGCCTCGCCGCTGCGGCGAGCTTAATATGCCGGTCGTGCGGGCCTGGAACCTCTGCTTTTGCTGCCTGCTTCGCGTGCTCGTCCACGAGCTCGTTGCCTGGAATCCCCTGGTGAGCGGGGATCCAGCGGAGCTCGACCTGGATATCTTGTTCTGCGAGTTTTTGAAGGTTTTCGATAGCTCCACGGAGGTAGACCTGACCAGAAGGCATACGTGGGCGGAGAAGCGCTTGGAGAGCAGCTTGGCTATCAGAGAAGATTCACGGCGTGCTACGCGTGCTCTTGTACGAGTTCTGTCGCCATCTCAATGGCCCGGAGCTCTGTAGAGTAGACTGTTGAGTCTTGCTCCGTGCCCATCTGGCAGTGGCGGTGCTCACGAGTGGCCTCTACCACCACCGCAGCACCGACTTTCCCCCTCGATTCCACTTCCCATCCGTATAAATAATTAGTTTTCCTTGACTTACTTGACCATGGTCTTGACCTCATCTTGACCTGCTGATTTCTGAGTGCTTCTTCACCGCTTCGTCACGCTCTAGGATAAAGACTTCTGGAGGCGCGTGCCATGGTGCCCGGACGTATGCTCGCCTGCTCTCCCAGTCGCCTTGCAAAGTTCCCGGGGGAGCCATTAAGCATCCTCCCTTCTGCCACGCATGTGCTTCCATCGGAGTCCATCCACCACGTTGACGTTGCTATGGAGAACGCTGTCGGATCATGAGCTATGGAATTCCATGTACTGGACCCGTACGTATCCGGAGAGCTATCTCCGCGGAGATACGCTCCATCTGGATACCGATTGGTGGAAGGTAGAGCTCAATATTTAGTGCTTCTGCTGCGCTGGTCTTGAAAGCTCCGCCGATCAGGCACGCTGCACGCTTCTAAATTGCTGCGAATTTGCTACTGATCATGCTTGCACTTCCCTTTCTCGAACCATGGATACCACACTGATACACCATAGAGCATCTACGGTATCACCACTGCTTGATATATCCTCCGCATAGCTAGCGTAGACGCTCCCCATGTAGATCCTGCTAGACTTCGTAGTGCTTGTATGGACGTGCTGCCTTTCATAACTACTTTTTCGTGGTGGTGAGAGAACGTGAGCTGTGGATCGAGCCAGAAGCCGAGATATCTCGCTGCTTGCTCTGGAAAGATGATATTATGGAGCCCGTCTTGACCTTTAACGAGTAGAAAGGACTGGCCTTCGTGCTTCCTTTCTGGTGGCACGAAGTGGATCAAATTGTACTTCTTTGGGTCAAAAACAGAGGCATGCCGACGTGCCCAGATCCTCTGATTTCTCACACGCTTTTTCGAGCTTAGAAATGGTCTGCTACTCTATCTTACCAGTCGCCATAAAGCCCACGTCGTCGACCCAGCCTATAGTGGAGAGATCTCCGCTTCTGTCTGGCAGTCTTCGAGTAGGTCCGCGTTATAGAGAAGATAGAGAATTGGTGAGAGAGGAGATCCTTGCGGGATACCGGTTGGCGTGGGAATACGCTCTGATATGCCCTCTGGCATACGGATACGCGTGCTTCTACCAGTTAGAAACGCTCCGATCTAGGGTGTAAGCTGGCTAAGACGACGTTTTTAGGAGGTTATGGATTAGACGTGCATGTGAGACGTTGTTGTACGCTCTAGATACGTCTAGCATAAGAAGAGAGACTATAGAGCCCCTACCCCACGCGCTACGTATCCGATCTAGCATGATCTGTATAGCGTGCTCCGTGGAGATGCCCCGTCTTCCACTAAGATGACCTTTTGGTAGCAATCCGTGCTCTTCCATAGCGTAAGATATACGTCTTGCGATGATAGACTCGAGAAATTTAGCAATTGTATTAAGAAGAGCAACTGGTCGGTATGACTTAGCTTCCTGGTAGTCTCGGTCTCCGGCCTTGCGTAGAATAACCGTGATAGAGCGCTGGAAGTGGCCTGGATTGTAGCCTAATCGCACATACGCGTTGAAGAGCTGGTGGAGCGTGCTCGCTACTACGGGGATTTTGATCAGCTTATGCCAGAGAGCGTTCGGAATCGCGTCTTCTCTAGGGGCCTTGCCCGCAGGAGTAGCTCGTATAGCTTCCTGGATCTCATGGTGTGTAATCTCCGGAAAATTCCACGCTTTCTGGATATATATATCCTTCCGTGTCTACTATATCCGCTTCTGGAGGTTGTGGGAAGAAAGCGTGCTGGAAAGCTGCTGCTTTCTGCTCCACGGTCTCCGCTGTGGAACCATCACGGGCTCGAAGTGTAGGTGTAAGCCCACGCTCGTAGACGCCGCTATGGTTCCGCGCCCACTTTGGCCAGTCTCCACATGCCACGGGGGCCCTCTTCCATAACCTTCTGTACACGCTTCCGGTGGGCCTTGCTAAGCGTGCCCTTGATGAGCCGGTTCTTATCGTTCCGGGCCTGCTTGTAGCGGAGCTCGTCAAGTGGGTCGTGTGAGCGAGTCCACTGCCGGCGGAGATAGCGTACGGTCTTAACCGCTTCTCTACACTCCTGGGTAAAGTCGGAGTTCGACCACATGGAGGGTTTAGCCCATGGTGTGGAGGCGTCGATTGCTACTTGTATAGTGCGTATAAAGGCCTGGGTTTCAAGCTCCATACGTTGCTGGCTGGCGAGAGGTCAGATCTCGTGATATAACGTGCTTTTCGATGAATTCTGTGAGGATCTTGTCGTCCATGGCACTCCAATTTCGACGTTCTGGGGCCTTCAAAAGCGGCGTCTGCACGTCTAGTGTCGTCCGTAATAGGGATAGTGGTCAGATTGGTGTTCAATATCGTCTGCACGCCCATGGTTAACCAGTCGACCAGTTAGCTCCTCGCTGATCCACGTCAAGTCGATCACTGATTCTGCATACCTCCACGCTCCCACGTGGGCCTAGCGGCCTCCGTGAGCAAGTCAAGCTTGTACTGGTCAGCCAGCAGCAAGAAATCCTCTGATTCTGCCTCTGCAGGAGCTCCTGGGCCTCCCCATACTGGGTGGTGGGCGTTGAAGTCTCCCACGATGATATGCTCCACTTCTTTCCGCTTCGAGAGCTCTTGACGGAGCTTGTCTGGCATGCCTGTGCCTTGCCGATTGTATATATTGTGCACGAAGAGATCCGTCCAGTTGCCGTCCACGTGGGCCTTCTGGAGCTTCAAGATCTGGTAATCACGGTCCACGAGCGTGCAAGACCACTCGCCTGGGTAGAGGTTCTTGGATACGTAGAAGCATACACCAGGTGGTTCGTCTAGACACGTGCTTGGATAGACAAGCTGGAAGAGCGAGGATATGGGTTGGTGTGTGGTGTTCGAGAGGGTGTTCTTCCACGGCTCTTGAACTGCAATCACGCTGGCTTCTTGCACACGTCGATCCCTGAGAAACGAGGCCATGACTGGTTGCGATTTGTTCACATTGTATTGTAGAATTTCGAGCTTATTCATTAGATGAGAGGTTCGTCTTGGTCGTCGCTGTATTCTGAAGCCTCGTGGAAGAACTCTTCTTCTGGCTCTGGTTCTGGGGGCGTGCTGCCGATATGATAATATCTGCATCCACGTCGAAGATATCGCTGAAGTGGAGACCGTGGCTTGGTGGAAGCGTCTCCTCTGTGGGCGCTGGAGCTGGGGGATGTGGTGGGAGGATTCGTAAGCGTGTGCGTGTGAGCTCGCTCTTGCTGGGGGGTCTTGAATACCAAACTGTTCCCTAGCGCTTAAGTAGCTGCATGGCTGGGTTGGACTGGAGCTAGAGCTGGAGATGGAGATCTGGGCCTGCATAACCTGGTCGTTTTCTATGTCGATCTGGGGCTCTTCAAAGCGGCGTTTCTTGTGCTGTAGGAGACGTTCTGGGTCCGATATGGGGTCCTGGAGCATACGCTGCTGAGAACGGGAGTTCCTGGCATGCTTCGTGATGGTAAGGGCGGTCTCCGTGAGCTCTGGCTGAGTGGGTAAGCTCTTGTCGCTGAAAGTGGAGGTTTTTGACTTATTCTTGGAGCCCTTGGGCGGCCCCTGGTCCTCTGGAGCCGCTGGCTGGCTTGCTGGTTGACTGGCTGGTGGAGCTGTACGCTGGCTGGCGAGTGGAACTGTACGCTGGCTGGCCGATTGGCTGAACTGGAAGTCGAATCGGTTCGCTGGAGCATGCACCGAGTCTTTAAGCCCGGCTTGTGGTGTAAAGTTGAACTCTGGGACGCGCGCTGGAGCTCGTGCTGAAGCTGGTGCTGAAGCCGTGCTCGACTCGTGCTGAGCTGGAGCTGGAGCTGGAGCTGGAGCTGGAGCTGGAGCTGGGGCTGGGCCTGGAGCTGAGAGCGCGCGGTGTACGGAGATGGAGAGGCAAACGGTGATATGGCGGGCATTCCGCACGTATCTGCTCTGCCTTGGCCTTCGCTTCTCTCTTGACCGAGCAATCAAGGCTCGTGGGCCGGTGATTACCTGAGCAGTTAGCACACTTGATTCGAATCATGCCGCCACGCGTTGAAGGGCACTCCCAGGTCGGGTGCTCCTCCGCAGTGACCGCATATGAAGCTTCTGTGTGGGCAGTGTGATTGAACATGCCCTGGTTTCTGGCACTTGCGGCATAGCTTCACCCTGCCATCTCGACAGAAGAAGACGACGGAGTGGACCTCCGAGTTCCAGTATAGGTCCCTGATCAATTGCTTGATTGGCAACTGCTGGATTGTCGAATTCCATTACCACCGACGCTTCACACTGGCTCTCGCCGCGCGGGCGGGTTAGCCAGTCAAGGTAGACAATCTTCGCCTTTCCACCCCAATTCAACACGTTCTGCCGCTGAATCTCACTAAACCAAGCCCTCTCGATCTCAGGCGTGAGCTAGAAGCTCCGGATTGGCAAGACCATACACGACCACGCCCCACGATGGACTCTGGATCGGGGCTGCCGAGCCAAACATGCGTTACCATCACTCGTGAAGACGCGAAGGAGCTCCGCACCTACAGCAGAGTTCGCCAATAGCGATACGTCTCCAGACGGCAGCACACGAGCAGCGCAGAATTCCGCGTTTCCAGCCAGCGCGGCGGAGGTCTTCGAGCGCGCCTACTGCATCGCGTAGACGCTCCGCTTCCTTCACAATTGCCTTGGCTTCCATCTGCCTGATCTTGTCCCTCTGCGCTGGGTCCACCTTGACCGTTATGGATCGATCTTCGCGGAGCTCGACCTCGCTCACGCCTGGCGACGCCGTGCCGTCGCTTCGGTTGATAGGGGGATTAGCGGAGGCCGTCTGGTGCTGCCAGGCGCCCGCCCGGAAGCTTTCCAGCGGTCTGTCGAGGATAGGGTTGAAGCGGAAGTTACGGTTGACGAGCTGGCGGACTTTTCGATGCTATCAATTCTGGTATTTAAGCGCTGCGTGTCAGCGGCAATTGCTTCAAGAGCAGAGATCACTTTTGCCATCTCCCCCTGAGCGCCGCCTGTCTTCGCTTGCTCAGCGAACTGGCGGACCGTGATGGCGAACCGGGTGACGATTGGCTCGTCCTGGCTAGTGTTCTCCATATGTCGAATCACGGCATTCGCGCCGTTAATCAGCTGGTCCATGCTAGTCGTTGTTGTTGTTGATTCTGGTCGGTCTTGGCGTTGCAAATTTTCGGTTTTCCCCACGTTCCGCAGCTGCAGAACCATGGTTCGGGCGCGCAACTCCAACAGCTGCCATTCTGACCCGTAAAACCGGTATCAAAACGTAGCCGTTGAAGTAATTAAGATTTTGAACTAGGTCTTAAAGCCCTAGGACCTCTGGTTGGCGAGATATTTCAAGAATTCGTTTTGCCAAGAGATAGATGTTT